GCAAATTGCGTGTTGTTGATGGAAAGTTCTTTCTTGATGGTGCTCTTCATTGAGGTAAGAAGAAGCAGAGCTTCCTTACTCTGGACAGTCCAGACCGCGAATTTATCGGGATTGTGAGGTCCGCAGCAGATTTAGTGGAAAGCTGAGCGATTTGCAAACAGTATGTGCCACCACCGCTCTGCACAGATTATACCAAGGCTGCCTCCCTCACCCTATCTTCCTATATCTGTACATACTCCAGGGACTAAATCTACTCCAAGCAGATCCAATGCGACCTGACCACCGCGTATGACCTTGCCGCTTCGACCACGCCTGGAGCTCGATTATATGTACCCTCAGCTCCTCCTTCCGAACAACCTTCACGTAGAAGATCCAGCTCCCCAACACGAATCCCAAAATCAGGACTACCGTGAACAGCAAGCTTCCCCCAAAAAGCCAGCCATTCCCTGCCTCCGTCTCACGGACTGTATCCGAAAACGCCAAAAGCTGCCCCTCAACATCAAGAGCCACAACCCGAATACTCGCATAGTCCGCAAAATCGTGCGGCAGCACAAAAATATCCTCGAATCCCTGCTTTTGCATAACGTCTATCTCCTCGTACTCGCCCTCATCTCCCCTGCCGCTCTGGCCCCCATAATACCTCGTTGCCTGCAGACTCCAGGTCTTTACCTCCGTTGCACCGTTCCAGCTGACATACAGGTTTCGACTACCTCTAGCAACCTTCGCAAGCGGCTTCGTCCTTGGCCTGCCCACCCAAGGCTCCATCTTGAGCGCGCGATACGACGCAACAAAGTCCGGAAAATCCAGCCAGCTTGGTCCAAAATGCCATTCGCACAGCAGCGCGCCGTCGTTCGTGAACTCGCTGAACATAGCGGAGTGTCCCCATCCTACAAAGACGTCTCCTTTGCCCACCTCGCCGTGTTGGTCGGGCAGAACCTGTACCGAACCCTGGGAGGCGGAGCTCGTCGCTGCCATTGAGACATATTCGTGCAATAGCTTGACGGTTTTGGCCTTCACGTCGAGTTGCAGCATGATGCCCCGACTGTGTCCTGAATGGGTCTGCACGGGTCCGGCGTCGCCGTTATCGTAGATCGTCAGTGTTCCCGAAGCTTCATCGACCCAGCGCGCGTCGTGCTGCCATTGAAAATTCGTTGCTCGGCCGTCTGACAGGTCTCGGAAATCGTTCTTCTTCCCACCCAGAGTCCAGAGCACTTTACCGTTCTTGCCTGACACACAGCAGACCATGTGCAGATGTCGGCTCGAGACAAGGTAGTTCCCGTCGGAATCCTTCTTCAAGGAGTTGATGTGGAACCAGTCCAGTGGGCGCGACGGGCGCAGCCCGTCGAGGGGTGCCCAGTAGTAGCTGTCGTTAAGGGAGAAATGCTCGCTGGCGCGCCACTCGAAGAGGAGGTCTCCTGTGGTGATGTTGATTTCTTGGAAGGCGGACTCGGTGAGGTAGCCTGTGGTGACAGGACGGTTGAGGAAGGTCATGCTACCGTCGGTGATGGTTGTTTGGTCGTATATGGTGAGAAGGGCGGTGTCTGCGGAGGTTATCTGGAACTCGTGTAGGTCTGCGTGGAGGGTGGCGCCATGGGGCTGTATCGTGTGTTGCAAGGTGTAGGATGAGTCGAGCATTAGGTAGACGCCCTGGCCGGACGTGGCGGCTTTGTCGCCAGTCCAGAAGGTGAGGTAGCGGTCGCCTTTGTAGGTTTGGATGTTGAGGTTCATGGCGTTGCGGTATTCGCTAGACATCCAGATCAATTCGCCTCGGGGTGTCATGATTGTCGGTCCGCTTTGGGCGACGTAGCTGCCTTTGGGGGTGAAGAGGATATGGCGGCCATCGTCGCATACATCATTCCAGAATGGGATACTCAGCGCTGGTGCTTCGATGTTGGTGGATATGTACTTGGTGACGGCGTAGGGGCCGTAGATGCCTAGGTCGTAGAACGTCGGTCGCCATGTTGGGACCAGCCAGACTAGGATGGGGCCGAGGATGTTGCTGAATGCCCATATCACCGATCCTAGCGCCAGGAATGTGACAAGTGTGATAGTTGAAGCGCGAGACAAGGTCGACCTGGATGGCAAGTTCATCACTGTGCGCGACACGACATGTGTGGAGGGAAAGTAAAGTTCAACAACATGATTCTGAGCGGAAAGTATTGAAGCTCAGTAGCGTCTGTGAAATGTGGTTAGAGGCGCGACTACAACGGAACAAGCAAGTGGCAGTGCTTTTCCACGTGTTGCAGCGATAAAGCGATAACATTGGCGTTTGTTGATGACGAGTCGACGACTCGACGGCCAGATCTCCGGTAGATCATCCGCTGCAGGTTTCACCGGCGCCTCGAATATTTACGGTCCTGGAGGCGGCGTGTGTCTACTTGGCTTTTCAATAGCTTGTCATTACATGCATCCTGAATAGGCTGAAGATGGTCTGTGTCCGTGAGCTGCCAAATTCAGGTTGTGCAACCACAAGTACATAAGTTATGGCAGCGATGTCTTCAGATTGCAAGAGGCCGAAAAGCTCACGCCGGGACGATATTCTATCTCGCCTATGGGTCCAGTAGAATCCCTGCTCCAGGCGGCATCGGTGGTTGACCGCCCGTGCCGAGTCCTTGGAAGTCGCAATAAGGTTTCCGCCTGAGAGTATGGATCGCAGTGATTACCTACTAGGTAGGGTGAACCTAGGTATGCTGCCGAGGTCCACGGGTATGGCAGTGGTAACGGTTGTCCTTCGTGCGCCCGCGCGTATTCGAGCGGAAGAGGACATGCCACTCACAAGGGGGAAAGCCCGCACTTATATTCCGTCGACGAACGAAAACCAAGAGGGCCATCGTTTCCTTCACTCAAGCAGTAGGAATTCAGTGTTATTTGCATGATTCCGAGCAGGCGTGACTTAATCTCATGCAATGCCAGCGCATTGACTCCAAGTTACTGAATATTGTCTGATGACCTTATTTGAATCAATTCAAACTCAGCTACCTCATTTGCCTACACGCGTTGCCACGCGAACACCTTCTCCAGCTTCAACCATCCCACCGGCTTCGTTCTGAGCCCACCACTATCAATATCCAAGTTCTCGAGCGTTGCCTTTGTTTCGATCTCTGTGATCTTCCACGTTCTCAGCAGGAGCACAAACGCCGCTCCAAGCAGGTACAGACAACCAACAAATATTTGGCTTGTCAGATACCCAGAGGCCGAAGCTAAGCCCAGGCCAAGAGGTTCAGCGAAAGTCGTCGGCGTCACGAGCGCAACGCAGATGATGCCGAACACAGTGGGTAGTCTTTTCAGTCCCACGACCTCAGCTATAACAGCAGTGCAAGTACCTGTGGTTGAGTCAGCATTTCGTTCATAGTATTCGACTTTACACGTACCCCAGAATATGCCAGTGACAGCTCCGGCTGGAATTGCAAAGACTATTAGCACCGCGAAAGACTTTGCTGGCATCCAGATAGCCAGACACAGGATTCCACAAAGTGCTGTCATTGAGCCAGCCATGTTGATGCGTCCGAACGTGTCGCTGTAGTAGCCAATGAATGGTCGGCCGATAGCCAGTCCCAGAGAGAGCATAGCGCCCACGATCGAGCCTTGGGTCTGCGAAAGTCCAACTGATTCTGCGTAGTGTGGTAGACTGAACAAGAGAACCACATACCCTACATCAGTCGCGATGCCCCAGGCGATGATGAGTAGGACTTCGACATGTCCAAGCTCGCGATAGTTGAACGAATTCTGCACCGGCTTGACCATCTTGTTCCGATCTTTTAGCAAGATAGCGGATGCAACGTTCATTACGAGGGTGACAACGGCCAAGACGCGGTAAGTCCATTCGATCCCTACCTGCTGCACGAGATGGCCGGTCAGAAGGCTGTAAAATAGTCCACCGAGCCCAGCGCCCGATGACGCGATACCAACAGCTAGGGATCTTCGCGAGCTGAACCACTGCGGGAGGATGGCCGCAGCCGTGATATATACGAGGCCCATTCCCCAGCCAAAGCATATTCCAACAGTCATGAAGAGGTGCCAGATTTGTGTCGCAAACGACGCTGTTAGCCAGGCTGCCGATACCAGCAAAGACCCCAACAAAAGCGTCATCTTAGTCCCAAAATGCCTACTTATCTTCGACTGGATTGGCGAGATCATCAAGGCTTGCGAGATAGACAGTCCGCCGATGAGAGCGTACTCCAGCTGTGTGGCGCCGGGGAATGTTGAGTTGAACAGATAGTGACTCAAGAAAATCGCCCACGAAGCATTGACTCCCCAGGTGTTTGCATTCATGAGTAAGGCGCAGACTGCTACGACCCAGCCGTAGCCGCCATTGGGAGGAACGTCTTCGACCGAAGCAATGTTCAGCGTGAGGATTGTGGGTGGTTCAACGATGGTGGCTTGGCTACCCTCCGCTCGTGATCCATGCAGCTCTGAAGGAGAGCTTCTTGTGGGCGTCTTGCTGTCTGGCGAGTCATGACTTAACATCCCTGAACCTGATATAGGATGTGAGGAATCTTGTGGCGGTTGCATGGTCGTTGATGATGTTGATGTACTTGAGCTGGCTGTTGAATAGACGAGACTTAGTCGGTCACTGCTCCATGGGTCATTCGTAGCCCTTCATAGCGCGGAAAGTCGGTCTCGTTGTAAACAATGGCAATGCAGACCATGACTCCGCCCTATGAGCAGGTTCACAGGCTTCGAAGAATAATCCATCGGCTCCATATGTGCAGCTTATAGTCGCTCTTGCCGTCATGACACATGAGTCGATGAGGGGTCGAAGTGGAAGCCTACCTAGGTACGACAAAAGGTTACGGTTGTGGTTTCCGCGATGCTTTTAGGCGCTGCGGCAGGCGGTGATCGCCTGAAGCGTCTGCAGGGGAAGTCGGAATCGGATTTGACCGCTGATCCGTGGTCAAAGCCTGGAGGTCCGGGGTACACCTAAGTAAGTCGACATATTTCAATATCAACTTACCTTTTGTTTGTACTTTATATATTTCATTCTCTCATTCTCACCATGCAATCGACCACAGGGTGTGGAAAACAAGCCTTCCCGTCCGCTCAGGCAATTTAAGCCACACGCCGAACGGTTAGTAGTTAAGTGGGTGACCATTAGCGAATCCCGTTTGTTGATTGTTTTTGATTTTTGGCTGAAGAGCCTCCTCGCATGTTGTGCGAAGACTCAGACTTGATCGGTCATACATGACGATCGATAAAATGGCGAGTTGGGACTTCATTCAACGAAGTTCAGGACGTGCATGCTCGCGGCGACCCGAAGAGGTAGTATCTGGCAAGTCAATATTACATGGAAGTCACGAAGAGCTCGCCGTGCAGAGGCAAACTGATGGTGCAGTATGCAGCCCACACAACGCTGATAGACCTTCCGTTGCCTTACATTGATAGTAGGGGAAACAAACTCCAGGTGGCAGAATAGTTGTCGTTTCGTCGGGCTGTGAAAGGTACAAGTACGTGATCGATGCGAACTGGGTCAGCGCAACCCTGGACTCCGGGGCGCCGATCTGGTGAACGATGTATACAAGGGAGACTTCGCGCCTGACTTCGCTTGACCGACACTCAAAGCACCCAAAATCTCAGACCGACAGCTGTAAGCTCTCCGGTAAGGTCGAACTCATCATCCTCGTGCTTCTGGACTCAACACCCTTCGTCAGAACACAAAGAGATCTAAGGAATGTTCATATATGACATCCTTCCAATCTACTCTGACATCCGCAACATTGGCAGCGCTTTCAGTAGCCTCGGTTTCCCGAATGTGCCAGACCTGTTCAATGAAGCGTCTATGCCTCGTCACATCTCTTATGCCGCGTTTGGCGGCATGATCCAACAAGTTCAGGACGAGGTCCTGATGATGTTGCTGATACGCTTCCGTGCCTGAGACTATAAGTGGCCAGAGCGTGAAAGCACCTTCGCACGTCGTACAAAAAGCCATCAGACTATCGAGTGTTGAGCGGACATATCGTAGGAGAAACCTGGGCGTGACTTCTTTGCAAGCTTGGTAGTAGTAGATGACGGTAGCGGTCTTGAAGGCGTGTAGATGCAACTGTTCTGGTGTCGACTTGTGTAGGCTTCCCATCAGCAGATCGCTCTCCGTCCCTAGCGCGTCCTGCTCGCACTCTGATATAAACTGCGTGAGATGCAGTGGCGCAACAACTGCTGTTCCATGCACCCCTTTTCTGCGTATCTGTCCGGCTGTAGCTTGTATTGCGTCGATTGCTTTCATTACCGAGTTTGAGGCGCCTAAAGTCCACCCATAATCTTGAGACTCGGTCAATCCAGCAATGAATAGGGATGCTTGACCATCTGCCAAGGTATTGTTCTCCCAAGCCCGAGGGGCAACGGATCGACCGCCTGTGATAAGCAGCATGAAGCTCTGAGCCGCAAACCATGCGTCACTAGACTGTGACCACAGTTCAAAAAAGCCCTCGCTCCGAAGATACCTCGAAGCGGCTTCCAGGTGATATCTCCAGAAACCACTGCTGCCATGAGTCATCTTTTATGATGTCAGCTGGCAGTCGTGTATCTCTCAGCTTGTGTACTCACCTCGATTAAAAGCAGAGAAAGTATTGTCGTCAGAAGATCGAGGCATTGTATCGCATTCTTCTCGATACAGGATCGAAGTCCAGCCACTGACTTCGACTGGAAATTCAGTGCTGCCTTGGTCATCGTCGTTCGCCTATAGCCTTTGGACGCAAGTGCGAACGAAGCATGAGCGAGTAGTGAGTTTAGAAGGTGGTGTTTGCCCTCCACTTGGCTCAGGTACAGCGCGATAGAGGGATACCGCAGCCAAGGGTTGCGTTCAGTATGGACAGGAACGAGTGTAGGAACTACCACGCTCACGTAAAACTCAATGAGATCTCCGTGGTCCTTCGCAAGACCCAAGTGATGACTGTGAGCATGGCTCAACGCCGATAAGGGTCTAAAGACGGCAGCCTGGTCACCGGGTCGAGGGCTTTCGAAGTCAGATTTGCTCTCTGCCCATATGGCTTCAGTGGTCGCTCGGGAATCGATTTCTTCAGCTCGACGATGCTGCCGCGCTTCGTTTCCGAGCACTGATCGTACCAAGCCTAGAGACTCTGAATTGCGAGACGAGAGATCTGAAGTGGTTCGGCCTTCACAACGAGTATTTACCACGAAACAAGTGAAGTACCTCGAAGCAGGTGCTCTCTGGGCTGATTCTTCTGGGATGCTGCATTGATCAATCAGCCGGTCGACCTCTGCCGAGGACAGCGGCCGATGGCCTCTCCAGGTATGGCCTCTCGCAATCAGCAGGTTGCTGGAACACAGTCCACGGCGTCACTTACAGGGATCTATATATCGTCTGGCGTTTCGCTGATACGTCTTGTTGGTAGAAGAGGTCCAAACAAGCGACTGTTGATATCCGTTGCATTCTAGACGAGCCTTGTTGCATGGCGAGCAAATCGGTTCTTTCAGGTCACACTAGGCACAGAAGCTTGAGCGACGGAACGGGTGGAGGAGTAAGAGAGTCGCACCTTGATTCTTCGTTGTCTGCATCGCCAACAACCCTACTCGTCATTAGGTCATGTTCAGCCATACGGGTCGCCTGGGGCAATACTGTAAAAGTTCGTTGATAGCCTGGGGTCTTTGTGAACCTCGTTTGAGTCGGTTTTTCTGCAGCGTGGCTGTCCATGGCACTGGTCAATTCGAGCCATTGTAGTCATGGAAATACTGGCGCGCTCTCCCAATAATAGTTCAGCTAACAGAAGATGATAGTGTTATCAGACAACCCCATTGGGAACTGCAGCGGAGGTGCCCCGGCGAGCCCCGCAAAGCAGGCGAACCGGGAGGTTTAAAAGGCGAGACTAATTCGGAGTTTTGGCTACCTCAATTACACTTCAACTTCATCTGTGTACTTCGTACACTTCTCAGTCGCCAGACAACTCAGGAGAACGCTTTCTCAACAGCGTCAGCGAAATCCGAGAGCTTGTCATAAGCACCAGCAATGTCAATGAGACCTTCTTGTTCCAATTCCTCGCGATGTCCACCCATGGTTGAACCTCCTCTGGCAATCCAAACGCCAGGCTTGAAGTTCAGCTTTTTGGTCATGACATGATCGAACTCCAGGCTTTGTGCAACGATAAGTAACTCGGATTTCTCGATGCCGAACTTGGCAGCCTTCTCTACCACATATTCGTAGTTCCTCGGATCAGGTTTGTACGACCCGATCGTCTCGGCGGTATATATCCCATCCCAGTGCGCGTTTTGCAGCGGTCCGCGGCGTGTCCTTTCAAAAGACTCGTTGTCGACGTTACTCAAGACAAAGAGCTTGTAATGCTTCGCCAGGCGCTCTAGGGCTTTTACTGTGTCTGGAAACGCTGGCCATTCGCCAATGCTATGGCCGAATGCCCGTTGCGCATCTGGTGAGAAGGAAACGCCCAGGTCCTGAGCTACGCGTGCGTACACTCGTTCCAACACCAGAGGATATTTCAGTGTTGGTTCGGAGGCCCAGATCTCTTTTTGGTACTCATGATAAGCGTGAAACAACTGTTTCTTCAGTTCAGGTGTCTCCGGAGAAGGTGCAAGCTCTAATAGTTGCGGCAGAATGCCGGCTTCCCAGTCAATTAAGGTCGCGTAAACGTCAAAGAAGAGTCCTTTCGTTTCCTTGAGGTCAGTCGCCATCTTTGCGTTGCTCAAAGATTGGGAACATGGTGCTGAACTTGCTTGTTTGTACTGTATATGTATATGTGTCTACGTGTCTTCATGGCCAATCAGAAAGCATCGGAATAGTACTGCAACGGGTACGTGGCAGGCCCGGCTGTATGCAAGGTTCACGAACATTGGCAATTAATAACGAGGCCGAGCGCGTTCTCGCGTGCCGGACTTATTTTCTATTTCTTCCTCTGGTCACTCGTTATTAGTTTCCCCATGAGTGCATTGCCTGCGTTCCTCAACCTCATCACAAAGATGCAAACTCTGTCTGCGTTCGGCGTCTCGACGAGACTGATTACCTCCAGTGTCTACATTCACGCCAGAAGCCATGGAGTCAACCTATAAGGCGTTCGGACGTGATCAAAGAACAGGGTGCTTGCTGTCGCACGAGCAAATGCCTCCGCCTGTGTCGTTATTGACGCCAAACCAACCTTGCCTTTGCGTACTTGATACGGGCTTTTCTTAATCTGCGTCTTCTTCAAGTCGGGTAGCGCGAGATGGATTTCTTGAAGGAGTGACTCTCCCTCACCTCTGGGCCGAAGGATTGGGTTGTCTTCTCACAATGACAATGAGTACTGTAGGAACGATGAATGGTAACGACGAGAAGCTTAGCGGCGTAGGCATTTCATCTGCGCTGGAAGCTTGCCATGCGACTTACAGCGAAAGTAACCCACTGTCAGCAGCACAGCATCGAGACAACCTTGCCTATTTTCCCGGCGGCAATACAAGGAGCGTCATGCATGCACTTCCGTTCCCACTGACCTTTCAGAGAGGCGAACGTGCGACCTTGTACGATCTCGACGGACACGCCTACATCGATTTCCTTAACGAGTATTCTGCAGGTCTGTATGGACACAACCCGGTCCCCATCCAGAGAGCAATTGTTCAGGCCACTGAGGATGGCTGGGCTTTGGGTGGGAACAACGTAGAGCAAACAAAATTGGCGAAGATGATTGTCGAACGCTTTGCGAATAGTATGGATATGGTGCGTCTCACAAATTCTGGAACCGAGGCGAACCTCATGGCGATCGGTGCTGCGCTCAACTTTACTGGCAGAGACAAGGTGAGTCTACACGGATGTCCTATCTGTTAAGTACCAAAATCGTCACCAATGACCCCAGAGAGACCCAACGTTATTCTGATTGAGAAAAGCAGGTATTGGTGTTCACCGGCGGGTACCACGGAAGTGTGTTCTCGTTTCTGCCCAATCTCAAGAGCAGGAGCATGAACGCACCATACTCATTCGTGCTGGCACCTTACAACGATGTTTCGGGTACAGCTGCAGTCATTTCTGATCACAAGAACGCAGTGGCTGCAATCCTCGTTGAGCCCATGCAAGGTGCTGGTGGCTGCATCCCTGCGACAATAGCGTTTCTGCAGTATCTACGCGAGGTCAGTAAGAGTATAGGGGCTTTGCTGATATTTGATGAGGTCATGACGTCGCGCTGCGCTTGGGGTGGACTGCAAACGAAATATGGGATACACCCCGATCTTTGCACACTTGGCAAATGGATCGGCGGCGGAATGAACTTCGGCGCGTTTGGTGGCCGCAGAGAAATTATGGAGATGTTTGATCCGAATAGACGACAGCTCGTGCACTCGGGAACTTTCAACAATAATGTTGTTACCATGGCAGCTGGAGTTGCAGGTTTGGAGCTGCTCAGCAGGTCAACGCTCGATAAGATGAATGATTTGGGAGATGTACTAAGAGAAGACATCCATTCCGCAATACAAAGGTACTTTTCTACTCCAGGGCTATCAAGCGCAGACATGAAAAGGACCCAGAGACCGCCCAACATTCAGGTCACAGGCATTGGTAGCGTTTTCAACATTTCGTTCCTAGGGCACCACAAGGAGACCCTGCAGGCACTATTCTACCACCATATGCTGTCAAAAGGAATTTACCTGGCCACGCGAGGATATGTCGCATTGAGTATCGAAACCAAGGAAGAGCATATCGCGAAGTTCATGCTAGCTGTGGAATCATTCCTTCTAGCATACAGCCACGAACTGGTAGACTAGCACATAAACATTCGGTTAGCTCTCATATCTACTGCACGTTCATGTAGCTTATAGCCTGACTGTCGGCATAGAAGCCTCGGGAGACGGACGCTCCAGTCGATAGTTCCGGTTTTCCTCTTCTTCGGCCTAGGGCTCCCACCGATGACGACCGCTTGAACCGCGCTCAACCTTGGAGCAGTATGTGCCTGGAGAACTCGCAGCATTAGATATTTCACATGAATGTATCTCTCGTACGACATCGACACGTGACCTACCCTCACAGGTCCCTCTCTCCGTACAGCGAGCGGCCGTTCACGTCGCCACAACCGATGCCGGCGCCGGTAGCGTCAAGTTAAGCAAGTATGCGTTGATGGCATCGCTCGCCTCGCCGTGCAATAGGTAGCTTGTGTGCCCGGCCCCATCCCTGAGCAGCAACGTTGAATTATCGATCCCCGCTCTTACATTCTCCGCCCACAGGTAATTGCAGCTCGGGTCGTACTTGCTCTGCACGAGCAACACCGCCGTGTTCGTGGTCTCGTTGCTGGGAAGCTGGGCTTCTACAGAGCCGTTGAGGAACGTGATCGGGCTGGGGTTGTAGTTCCACGGCACGTCCATATTCTGCTGTGGGTAAGTCGGGCGGTGGCCGAAGCCGAGACATTGCATTTGCTCGGTCCAGGTGTGGCTCGCCCCGCGCGACAGCGGCGCAATATAGCTGCCCAACTCCAAGCGGTAGCGTAAATCATCGTAGTTGGCGAGTGCGTTGCGGAAGTCCAAGCAGGGGATCGCCACAGCCGCAAACGTTGCGCTAGCGTACTTCGAGCGGGCGAGGCTGGACTTGGCGTATGTTTGTGAAACGGCGGTAGCGTTGCCCTCAGCTGCCAGGGCGAGCATTTTTGCGACGGCGGGCCAGCCCGGAGTGAGAGGCTCGTCTGGCGACTCAAGCGCAGGGCGTCGCGCATGACGCTGAGGAATTCGGTGGCCGTGACGTTGGCGTAGCAGGAGCCGTTGAGGAGCGAGGCTGGGGTGCCGATGCAGCCGGGAGCCGGAATGGGGTGGTTGAGAGCGGATGTGACCGTAGTGTTCCAGATTGAAAGTACGTCGCGGCCGGTGAGGGGGCAATTGGTGGTGTCGGTAGTGTTGCACCATAGTGCGAATTGGTTGATGACAGACTCAAGGGTCTGGGCGGCGGTGAAGAAGAGATTTGTGGCCGAGCTGGTGTGGTCGACAATACCATCCATGGCGATAGTGCGGTAGCTCTCCGGAAAGAGCTGCGCATATGTCTGAGCGATGACAGTGCCATAGGAGATACCTAGGAAGTTGAGTGGGCCATCGTTGAGGGCGATGCGGACGGCTTCCATATCCCGGGCGACAGATCTGGTGTCGATGTTGTACAAGAGCGGGCCGGACATGTTATAGCAGGACTCCCAAATTTGGATCTGCGTTGAGACGACGGTGTCGAAATCCTCTTGCGAGCTGGGAAATTGTGTGACGCGTTGGTTCCAGAGATCAGGATCACACTGTATGCCTGTACTCAGCCCAAACCCGCGCGGATCCATGCCGATCAAGTCGAAGGCCTCCGTGATTGAGTCTGGGAAGAACTCGAAGCCAAGCGCCTGTGCCCCGATAAGTTCTGAAGTCGGTACACCTGGACCACCAGGATTCACGAACAAGCTGCCAATGCGGTTGCCAGGTTTTGTTGCTGCTAGGCGTGTAAGTCCTATGGTAATTTTCTGTGCTGAGGTGTCGCTCCAGTCGAGGGGCACAGAGAACTCAGCACACTGAACGCGAGTGTCGTTGAGTGGGATTCCGATGATCGCAGTATCATTACTCGAGCAGTTGCGCCATGTTATCGCAGCAGACGCCTGGCAAAGCAACGTTGACAGGACGAGGAAGCCAGCAGAGCTCGAAACACGTGTAGGCATGACGGCGGCAGACTTGGGCAAATTATTATGGAATGGCTGAACTTGCGGTTTGCGTTCACACAGCAATGTCCTCGCAACGATATTCAACAGTGGGCTCAAGGAGCATTGACTCACGTTGTGCAGAATCAAGGAAAGGGAAGGGCCCGTCCGTGACAACGTACTTTGGGTGCACCGACAGTCTGGAGCAACAAGCAAACTCTCTCAGCCAGCAGCGACTCACCTGTCATCAATTTCAGCTGGACAGTATCACTGGCATGTTCGAGTCCCGACTCAAAGCTGAGAAGCGTATTGAGAGCAAAGGGTGTGAGGACGCGTAGGAGCAAAGTTTATAGTTAGCTACACCTGGGCATATTCTCCACACCACAGCAAGGCTGCGGTGGAGCCTTATTGTGCCTCGGTTCGCAGGATTCGTCACGAAATGCCACTTCAACATTGTATCGATCAGAGCAACATCTGTTCTGGGCAGGACACCGTACACGATGGACCGGTAAGCACACTAGCGGCAGTCCGAACACTGCCAGCCATCGCGATGGAATACATCAGTGCGATTCAGTCCAACACGGACACCCTGAAGCCCTCCCTCTTCGAACTCCTCGCAGAGCAACAACTCGCCGCTCTTCTCCCACCATCCATTCGCTACATTCTTGCGATCACCACACACCGCTACCCGCGCTACCTCCTTCGGATACTCAACAACTTCGACGAAGTCTACGCGCTCCTCTCCCTCTTAGTAGAGCGCTACTATCTGAAGACTTTCGGCGGCAGCTTCACCGAGAACTTCTACGCCCTGAAGCGAGAGCGCGTCCTGCGCGTCAACGGAGGCGAGATCAAGCGCACCCAACTCGCCGTCCCATCAGAAGTCCGCGAGCGCTTGAGGATAAAGCGCGCGGATATCTGGAAGAACCTTTTCATCCTGGTTGGAATCCCCTACCTCAAGCGCAAGCTGGATGAAAGCTACGACATTCACATCGCGCCCAGTGCAAGTCTCCTGAGGCCGCAATATGTCGACCGCAATGTCCTGCCGTCAGACGCCACGCTCAAGCAGCGAATCATGCACTACTACAAACTGTTCCTTCGCAGAATCTACCCTTCGCTGAACGCAGCATACTACTTCAGCATTCTCGCCTTCTCCCTGGGCTACCTCTTTGACTCTACCAAGTACTCCTCGCCCTTCCTCTGGCTAGTCTCGACGCGCATGCGCCGTATGTCCGAAGCAGACTACCGCGCCATCGACGCAGCCAGCGATGCCGCCGCCAAAGCAGCCTCCGCAGCAGCAGGCCGACCGGGCCAAGGCCTAGCAGGCATCTTCCACCCACGTACCATGTACCCACGCCTTCTTTCATCGCTTCGCCTCTTCCTCCCGGCTTCGATCTTCGCCCTCAAGTTCCTTGAATGGTGGCACCAATCCGACTTCTCCCGCCAGCTGACTCGCAAAGCCGCCGAGGGGCTTGAACTCCCGCCTCCTATCATCAGCGGGCTAGATCTCATCAAGAATACCGACCCAGAGTCTGGCCTTACGACACTCGAAAAGTCGCAGAGCACCAAGAATGCGTCAGCAAATACGCCTCAGAAACGCCAGCCCCCAATCTCAAGCACGACCTTCCTCCCAATCTTCACCGTCCCACCGCCAGCAACATCCGACCTATGTCCGATCTGCCTACAGCCGATCTCGAACGCCGCGGCATGCCAGACGGGGGCGGTCTATGATTACAAGTGTATCTTTCAGTGGCTGGAGGGAGCACATGACTTGCAGGAGAGGTTCATGCGTGGCGAGGAGGAAGCGGACGATGGTGACAATGCTGGAAATGGGACCGGCAAGAAGAACGGGTCGAGTAGGGAAGGGAAATGGGAGAGCGGACAAGGGCGATGTGCGGTCACAGGCCGGAGAGTGCTTGGTGGGACGGGTGGGTTGAGGAGGGTGCTTGTGTGATATTATATGATACCCTAGAGACGAAGTTCCATGACCTGTTCACGAGTCCGATACACAGCACCAGATGGTTACTTGGGTAGAAACTTGGGAATGCCCATGATCAAGCGCTATTTCTAAAGAAACGCAATCGCGCTGCAGCAAGCACGCTACGATATGCTCGCAGGCTTCGTGAAACCCTGCCTTGGTACCAGAATGCTTTGACAACGCATTTCACCACGTTGCGCCGTTTTGACATTGACCGCCACGACTTTTATGTCTCTAACATAGCCTTCACACAGCTCATTCATCGTGGACCTCCATTGTCCCATTATGATGCCCATTGACCGGACCAGCCTTCTTCGCCACCGAAGCCTCCTTATCGATCATTTGCCGTGACACCGCCACAATGTTGTCTTCGATCAATTGCTGTCCGACGTCTTCGATGTGCTTTTTCGGATCGACTTTGCCCACATATCTTGTCTTCAGCTGCTCCTTTGTGAGCTCCGTCTCCTCCCGTACTCGCTTCTCGTAGCCGTCTGCCAGGTCCACCAGTCTCTTCAGACTATCCTCGTTCTTCTTTCTCTCGCCTCCGAAGCTGCTTGGTAATTCGAGGCCTTCTGTCCAGACTTCCTTGTGTAAATTCATGAGCATGTTCTCCTCCAACCCCGTTTTCCGATACTGAATGCCGATGCTGTAGTAGTGTCTGTTGAGGCCGTGGATGAGGGCTTGTATCGAGGGCTTGTTGAGGTGGCCCAGATTTGAGGTAGTTTGTCTCGGCTCTTGCCCCATCATGAGAGTCTGAGGGTTGATCAGGCGGAAGGCGTCGATGACGACCTTGCCTTTGACGGACTGTATGGGATCGACGACCACAGCAACCGCTCGTGGCGTCAACTGTTCGAAGGATTGTTGTGTGTTGATATCGACGCTCGAGAGCCAACAGCCGAAGCCAGGATGTGAGTGGTACCAGCCAACAACAGTCTCTGGCCGTCCGGTCTGCCGCAGCATGTCCATCATCTTTGTCTGAAATACTGGATCGACCGATTCGACCGAGACAGAGGTACCGGACTGTGGCATGGCGAAGACATCTACTACTCGCACTGTGAAGTCGTCGACGAATTCTCCGAGCATCAAGCCCATGACTTCCATCGGTACTCCTGCGCGACCATGTCTTAACATCTTGAGGAGTGCCAGTGATGAGATATAGACCGTTTCCGAGTTATCGACGAGGTTCACTTGGTCGCCGCCACCTTGTCCACCGCCCACGCCCATCTGGGCGGCCTGTAGCATTCGGTTGAATCTGTCCATCTTCGCTTATGAATCGTAGTGAAGAAAGGAAGGAGGTTCAGGGTGGTCGAGTCAAGTAGCAAATGAGGTATGTTGGTTCCGAAGAATGATGCGCGTTCTCCAGATGCCTGCACTGACTCTCGCCGCACGAGGCTGAAGTTCAGCCTTACGACTTCAACTACAAATGCCCACCGATGCCCTTTCGTTCGCCAGGACTCCACTCAATTCTACGCCCAGGTCCCAGCCACCTTCTCGACAACCATACTTCTTCAAACGTCGCACATTCTAACACATAATCAAATATCAAACACCAAACATAAAATTGCGCGCGGCGCTGGTCGCTGCGTGTAAGTGTTGAGTCAACGGTGAGCAGGTATCGAGGCAGGCCATCCTCCATACATATATCACAAATTCACGAATTTCAAGATGTCGACGTCAAATGGCTTCGCGCCAGTCGACGCCGTCAAACTTGCAAGCAACAATGACGGCAAAAGGGTTGCTTACTTCTACGACTCTGATGTCGGCAACTTCGCATATGTTAGTGGTCATCCAATGAAGCCTCACAGAATACGACTGGCTCATTCGCTGGTCATGAACTATGGCCTCTACAAGAAAATGGAGATCTACCGTGCGAAGCCAGCATCGAAGTATGAGATGACTCAGTTTCACACCGACGAGTACATTGACTTCCTCGCCAAAGTGACACCAGACAACATGGAGTCCTATCAGAAGGAACAGCAAAAGTACAATGTCGGCGACGATTGTCCTGTCTTTGATGGCTTGTTCGACTTCTGTGGCATCAGTGCTGGAGGATCGATGGAAGGTGCGGCACGGCTGAATCGGAAGAAAGCTGACATCGCCATCAACTGGGCAGGTGGCCTCCACCACGCCAAGAAATCTGAAGCTTCTGGGTTCTGCTATGTCAACGACATCGTCCTTGGCATTATTGAACTTCTTCGCTTCCACAAGAGGGTTCTCTACATCGATATTGATGTTCATCACGGTGACGGTGTCGAAGAGGCATTCTACACCACCGACAGAGTGATGACTGTTTCATTCCACAAGTACGGCGAGTACTTCCCAGGCACTGGCGAACTCCGCGACATCGGTGTTGGCTCTGGCAAATACTATTCAGTCAACTTCCCACTGCGCGATGGCATCGACGACTCATCCTACAAAGGCATTTTCGAACCTGTCATCAAAGCCACCATGGACTTCTACCAGCCATCCGCCGTCGTCCTACAATGTGGCGGTGACAGTCTGTCAGGCGACCGTCTGGGCTGCTTCAATCTCAGCATGAAAGGCCATGCCAACTGCGTCAACTATGTCAAATCATTCAACCTCCCCACACTCATCCTTGGTGGCGGTGGCTACACCATGCGGAACGTCTCACGCACCTGGGCTTACGAAACTGGTTGCCTTGTTGGTCAGAACATGCAGGCTAACCTCCCATACAATGACTACTACGAATACTACGCGCCCGACTACGAGCTCGATGTTCGCCCCTCTAACATGGACAATGCGAACTCGCGCGAGTACCTGGAAAAGATTCTATCGCAAGTCCTCGAAAACATGAGGCGCACCATGAACGCCCCTTCAGTACAAATGACCGACATCCCACGCGAGTCGCTCGGCATTAACGACGACGAAGACGCCGCACTAGATGATCTAGACGAGGATATGAACGCCGACAAGCGAATCTCAGACCGACAGCGAGACGCTCACGTCGACAAAGAAGGCGAGCTTTACGACTCCGAAGACGAGATCATGGCCGACGGCACTAACGGCCGTTCACCTCCAGGCAGAGACATGGAACGGGCCCGCTTAAACTATCGCGACATAAGAGACCCGGAAAATGGCAATGGCGGCGATTCAGGTGTCGATACAGGAGGCAGCCAGCCAGACACAGATGTCAGCATGGCAGACGACGTCGCTGCTGAAGCCGCTGATATCCTTTCGCCTGGTCTACCGGCAGCCGCTCCAGCCGAAGGTGAGACGGAAGCCGCTGCGGCGGAGGTGAAGCAGGAGGCCGACACGGTGGCAGACGAAGGCCTGCTGGAGAAGGAGGTTGCCAACGCGCAGGGCGAAGCTGCTGCAGCTGCTGCGGAGTTGACGGAAGAGGCAGAAGCTAAGCTACCAGACTAGTGGCTTGAAGTTTGTGACCCGAGTGACATTGCTACGTATGAGATAGGTCGACTTCCCAGGAGGACTCCAAGGAGGACTTCAAGGAGGACTTGATCGGACACCTGTGAGTGCTTGTGCTGAATGGGAAAGGGCAGCCACGACTGCCGCTGCGACGGTCGACGTCCGGAGAGGACTCCATCGAAATTGTGGTAGCTTGTGCTGAATGGGAAAGGGCAGCCACGACTGCTGCGGCAATGGAGAACGATATCCTTAATCTACCAGTGGTCGGGAAGACTCTGCTCATTAGCAAAGCTCATCGATGCACGTTCAACACGAATAGTAGTGCTAGTAGCTTATGAAACAGACAGAAATCACACATCGATGGGTCTCTACTGTTCCCGATCAACGCGCAGCACGACCTTTCCCCTCCCCTTCCTCCCTTTCCCTTGCTCGACGCGCATCATCGCCCCCCTCCCGTGCTCTAGCTCCCACACACTCTCCACCTCCCCCATTAACATTCCCTCCTTCACCCACTCCCCCAATCTCTCCAATTGACCCATATCCGGCTTCACAATAAAGAACTCGAAATGCAATCCCTCCCTGTCCTCCACCGCTAGCTTTGCCTTCACCTGCGCAGCCATCTCCTCATCTAACGTCGCCAGTCCGCCCTCCAACGGCCCACTGATACTCATTACCCGCCCACCAGGGACCTTCACAATGCCATCCTGCAGGATGATATCCGCGGCGATCTCCCCGCCCGCGGCTTCGATAACGAGGTCAAACGGCTCAGTGATGCCGGCGTTGCGCAGGGCGGTGGAGAGGTGGAAGTCTGATGTGGTGTAATCAAGGACGACGTCGCGTGAAGGGTGTCCCTTAGGTAGGGGATGTGCGTCGAGGAGCTGACTGCGGTCACGTGGATTGGATCGGGGTTGGAGGGAAGTTTGGCGAGTTTCAGGCGAGGAGGCCGACTGTGCCGCTTGCGCCGGTAATGAGAAGCCGTTTCGGTTCTTGTGCGGGAGGGCGGCTGTGGCGTTGGGCGGTCGTAGTTGTTGATGGTTCAGCGAAGTGGCCGTTGGTGTAGAGTGCTTGGTATGCTGTCAGGCCAGAAAGGGGCACAGTTGCCAAGGTGGCAGATGATGTGCGGTGGAGGTGCTGGATGGACTGTGGTGCAAGTGCGATCTCATTCTCGTACGCGAGCACGTAGTCTGCTGCAGCGCCGTCGCGGTCGAAGTCGATCAGTCCCCATACTCGATCGCCGGCCTTGAACTTGGGAGATGGCGCAGTTGTTGCGTGGTGGACTGTATCAATGGTCCCAACGACGTCGTGTCCTGGTATGGCCCCGGCCCATGGTTGAAAGCGGTGTCGCTCGAGTGGCTCTGGCCATGTCAGTTCGCCTTTCTGGAGAGCGGTGGTCTGGACACGTAGAATGTAAGCATTTGTCGAGCAGCCCGCTGGAACAATGGGCTTCGGGATGTCTTTGGAGAATTGAAGAGCCTCTGCTCTGCCTTTCTTGTTAGGGTAGTTGAATGCTGGAACATGGCCATCAGCGGCGCCAGGCAGGTGAAGTGCGCGCATTACAATTGTGATCAGGTTCTAGCATCCGAACGGAACGTTGGTCCTCCCAGAGAAAGCCATCACTTTATACCTTACCGTCAATACTGTGCCCAGTTGAGGTCATGAGCATGCGACTTCGTGGGCGAGCATTGGATCATGTACAAACTTCCTAACACGGCCAAGCTCGTGTTCGGGCTGTAGACGCCCGTCGGGGAGCGATGCATATCGCGAGGCGTCGACTCTTCGACGCCGAACGCTAGATATGTCATCTTACCAGTATGATGGGTGCCGCGTCATTTCTAGAGGGCGGTCTTCCAACTCAATCCGCACGACTGTCGGTCCGTCTCAACAGGCTTGAAGACATTCTGTTGACGAAGGAAGGAGCTCAGAACTGTCCGCTCAGTCCTTTCTGATACTTGTCGGAGTGTCAAGCTCAAGTAGAGGCGACCGAAGATGTGGAAGCCGTCTAGGTACTTAGGTAGTCATGAGATGACAAAATATACTCTACTCTCAGAAGCGTCAAGCAACACCGCGGAGACACGTTGAAGCAATTACAGTACGCCCACGGCTCAAGATCGGCAAGGCCTGATCCTGGCTACGGAAGAGTTAACCGGCGCATCTCGATCGCAATTCACGACCAAGATTTCAGGAACGCGGCTCCCAAAAACAAGAAGGCGGGCGGTGCTGGGCGGAAGCACCAAGCAGTCATGATTAGTGGTTCTCGGCACTCTCCAGGCGTGGCTGGTCATCCAATAGGCGCTGGATTTGCCTCACGCTGCGACTTCTTGTCTTATCGCGATCTCAAGCTTGATGGCGCCTACAATGCTCAAGACCAAGCAGGTTTCCCGTTTGCTTGTATTCCCTCCTCAATACAGTACTTGAGCATTTCTCGCCATGCTCGATACCATCAGAATAGCATTACCATTTTCCCGTTGACAGAGCCCGCCCTGCACTCTAAAGTGACCTGACGCACGCAATGCCTCTCTCCGATTTCCTGGCGTGGACTGCGCCGACATCCTTTCGATTAAGAGAAGCAGCATCATCGCTAGTCGGACGAGATCAGGTCGTCCTGATGAATGACAACGTCAACAGTCTCAACGATCACTCGGGCCACCCAGACTTTGGACATCTGACGCTGCTGGTCTTTTCCGCTGTCCTCGAAGTGGTCTGTGTCAGTCTGCCTGGCTACATCATCGCCCGAAGTGGCATGTTCGATGCTGAAGCACAGAAATTCCTGGCCAACCTCAACGTCAACGTGTTTACGCCATGTCTGGTCTTCACAAAGCTGGCGTCACAGCTATCAGCCGACAAACTCGCCGACCTTGCCATTATCCCCGTCATATTCGCCGTACAAACGATCGTATCCTACGTGTGCGCGATCGTGATGGGCAAGATGCTGAGATTCAAGAAGCGACAACAGAATTTCCTGATCGCTATGGGCGTCTTTGGCAATTCAAACTCTCTTCCCATATCATTGGTTATATCACTATCGAAAACGTTGAAAGGTCTACATTGGGACAAGATTCCGGGTGACAATGATGATGAGGTTGCAGCAAGAGGCATTCTGTACCTACTTATCTTCCAACAGCTGGGTCAACTGGTTCGATGGAGCTGGGGCTACAACGTATTGCTAGCGCCGCCAGAAGCATACACTGAAGCAGAAGGTGGCACGAAAGACAGTGTCGAGGCGGGCTTCAGGGATGAGGATGGTACCGATGATGAACACCGGCGTCTGCTCGCGGATGATCGCGATAGTGTTGACAGTGACGACCTCACACAGACATCATCCCCGACTCTGGTTTCGAACGGTGTGAAGACGCCGACCACGCCTTATACCAAGTCCGGTCTCACTTCTCGCAACGTGTCGAACTCTCAGCTGGCTGACAATGCTGATGTGAGTGCTACTCCGGCAAACGGCAACATCGCTCCGACTGGTTATGGAGAGACTTCTTATGAACCATTCGAATCTAAGCGCTACGATGAGGAGGCCTCTGGCTTGAAAGGGTCTTTCAACTTCGTTCGGAACCTGATCAGAGGCGCCACACTCTCCGTCAAGAGATCGGTCTCGAGCAGCGCCTCGAAGGGCGCCACGAAAGCTTTCCGTGCACTACCGCTTCCTCTTCAGAAAGGCTTATCGACCGCCGGAAGAGGAATCATGCGTTTCCTGCGGGGACTTCGGGACTTCATGAATCCCCCACTCTACGCTATGGTCATTGCGATCATTGTGGCATCTATCCCTCCGTTGCAAGATGCCTTCTTTCACAAAGGCACATTCTTGCGAAATTCAGTCACTCGTGCAATCGAGCAGAGTGGTGGTGTGGCCGTGCCGCTCATTCTCGTCGTGCTTGGTGCCAACTTAGCCCGGAACACGCTACCCAAAGATCCTAGCAGTATCATTGCAGATCCCACAGTCGAGCGAAAGCTGCTTATCGCGTCAATGGTGTCACGCATGCTGATACCGACACTTGTCATGGCACCAATGATCGCACTTATGGCCAAGTACGTGCCTATAAGCATCGTCGACGACAAGATCTTCGTCATCGTGTGCTTCCTCCTCAGTGGTGCGCCCACTGCCCTGCAGCTGGCCCAGATCTGTCAAATCAACAATGTCTACATGCCGGTCATGGCAAAGATTTTGTTCCAGAGCTATGTTGTCTGGATTCTGCCATCGACCTTGCTGCTGGTAATGCTTGCATTGGAGACGGTGGAATGGGCGACACAGGGAACTTAGTGAGCTCTGGTTGTTGGTGTCTTTGCTGTCGCTTCGTGCTGGGCGTTGGGTTTATCAGGCCTGTACATAGGCAAGCTATTTGGCCAAGCGATGAGCGTGTGCTCCAATCTTGATATACACGCCCAAAACTTCTACAGCGACCTCCCCGGGGGGCAAATTGATGATCGATTGATTCCGTGATGTCACGCTTAAGTGAGGCTCCTTCGAAACTTCCTGGCTTGATCTGCAGATCGGTTCCAGCCCTCAGAGCCCGCCTTGACTCGAAGTCTGAGATTCAACGGACGCGCTGGAAACGCTCAAATTGTGCCTAGACAGCCTGGTAGGGACCTGGAGTCGATTGACCTGGTGATTGATCAGTGCAGCAGTTCAATGCGGACTGTTTAAAACATTTTTGCCCATTGATCTGATTCAAATGCTTTGCAATGACACTTCTCGTCTGCATGTATCTATAGTACTACATCATACTGACGTAGAGCTGGATGGGCATAGCTTGCCGCGGTGTGAACCCAGCCATCGCATTGATCTGGATACGACCATGGCAATACTCGCTCACTTCGGGTGCGCTGCAATATCTTTGACCTGTGCCAAGTTGCCGTCTCCAAGAGCTCGTATCTCATCCAGGACCTGAACTTGCCGTTCTCCTTGCTTAAGACCTAGGTAGTACCGATTGTCGAGGGCAAGAGCGTGACGGGAAAGGGTTTGTTGTACTTGGAAGTGAGTATGGCGTCTACTGACATTAGTCTCGGGGCTTTGTCGAGTGGCTCAAGTGACTGACCAACGATCTTGGAAAACCTCGGCATTGTCAAAACGAGAGGAGGCTCTGTTGTTCAAATATACATGTATGTGATCTAGATACATGTCCCATGTCGTGTGTCCGTAAGCTGCCTCCGCTCGGAGGGTGGAGCTGGGCACATCGGCTGTTTCATCATCGCAAACCTTGCGTGGACATCGACACCAGATCGACTAACCGCCCTTTCTCTAGTCAGTCGAGTCAGTGTTCTTTACCATTACAAGATGATCGATTGGCACTATCGTAGACCGGATGACAGGCGTGCTGACTTGGAGAACCGGAGCAAGGCTAAACTGCGGGCATAAATTTACTGCCTCCGCATTTACTGACAATTTTATAGACTTACAAGCCGCGGAGCCTCATGTAGGACCAGAGACTTCGTGATACCATGAGATGAAGGGGAGCCGCTCTCAGAAGCACGGTCGGCAGCGCCGCCAGTCGACGCAGCGACCCAAGGTCCTTAAGCGCAAACGAGATGAAGAAGATCTCCAAAGTCTCAGTCGCCGAGTAGACGAACTCGAGGCACATCCTGCCACACCACCTACTCTGTTCTCCGAGCTGCCTCTGTCCGCAGCGACGCAGGATGGTCTGTCAAAGGCACATTTCAAGGCTTTGACCACAATCCAGGCACGTGCGATTCCTGCAGCGCTCAAGGGAGGTGATATACTAGGCGCGGCCAAGACAGGATCGGGCAAGACTCTGGCCTTCCTCATCCCAGTCCTCGAAAACCTGTACCGCAAACGATGGACCGAGTTCGACGGCCTAGGCGCACTGATACTGTCGCCAACGCGCGAACTAGCTATCCAGATCTTCGATGTCCTCCGCAAGGTGGGCTGCAACCACTCATTTTCCGCCGGGCTGGTCATCGGAGGAAAATCACTACAAGAAGAACAAGAGCGGCTCGGACGGATGAACATCCTCGTTGCCACGCCCGGCCGTATGCAGCAGCACCTCGACCAAACGGCAGAGCTGGACGTGGGCAACCTCCAGATGCTCGTCCTCGACGAAGCAGACCGCATCATGGACATGGGCTTCTCGCACACCCTCGACGCCATCATCGAGCACCTCCCCCAACAAGACCGCCAAACCCTCCTCTTCAGCGCCACCCAAACCAAGCGCGTCTCCGACCTCGCCCGTCTCAGCCTCACCGAGCCTCTCTTCGTCTCCGTCCACGATACCGCCGACTCCGCCACACCGTCCCAACTCCAACAGAACTACATCGTGACACCTTTGGCCAACAAACTCGACACGCTCTGGTCCTTTCTCCGCGCCAACGTCAAGAAGAAAATCCTCGTCTTCCTCTCCTCGGGCAAACAAGTCCGCTTCGTCTATGAAGCCTTTCGGCATCTCCAACCGGGGCTAACTATCCTCCACCTGCACGGCCGCCAGAAACAGACTGCGCGCGTGGACATCACGAAGCGCTTTAGCAATAGTCGGTACGCCTGCTTGTTCTCCACGGACGTCGCCGCTCGGGGCCTGGATTTCCCGTCCGTCGACTGGGTCGTCCAGGTTGATTGCCCAGAGGACACAGACACCTACATCCACCGCGTCGGGCGCACGGCGCGATTCGAGCATGAGGGCCGGGCAGTCATGTTCCTTGATCCGAGCGAAGAAGAGGGCATGATCGGCGCCCTGGAGAAGAAGAAAGTCGTGCTGGAGAAAATCAATGTCCGTCCGAGCAAGATGCAGAACACGATAAAGCACCAGTTGCAGAATATGTGCTTCAAGGATCCCGAGCTGAAATACCTCGGTCAGAAGGCGTTTGTGAGCTACGTACGAAGCGTGATTGTACAGAAAGACAAGGAGGTGTTTGATGTGAAAAAGTTGGACCTGGAGGCATACGCTGCAAGCCTAGGCCTGCCCGGAGCGCCGCGCGTCAAGTTCATCAAGGGCGAGGATGCGAACAAGCGGAAGAACATGCCGAGACAGCTGTTGAAGTTGCAGGAGGAGATCGATGGTGGGGACTCTGATGAGGATGAGGGTTTGAATGATGGCACGGCGAAGAAGGAGGTTCGCACAAAGTATGATCGAATGTTCGAGCGTCAGAACCAGGACGTGTTGGCGAATCATTACACGAAACTCATTCAGGACGATGAAGACAATAACGGCATTCATGGGAACCCTTCAATGCGCTCAAACACCGAGATCGAGTCCGAAGACGACGCCTTCCTCTCAGTCAAGCGCCGCTTCGCCGCTGGCGACAGTGCCCTCAACCAAAACGACGAGGACGACGAAGAGGAAGACGGCGATGAAGCCAGACCAAAGACCATCACTCTCGGCCCGCACCCAACAGACTCCCTCACAATCGACTCGAACCGCCGCTCCAAACTCCTCAAGTCGAAGAAGGCGCTCTTGAAGTACAAAGGCGCTGGCGAGCACCTTCACTTCTCGTCAGATGAGGACACGCCGTACAAGAAGGAGTACTATGAGGACGAAGCGAAGTATGCGGCGCAAGGCAAGGAAGAGGCGGAAGCCGAGAGGAGAAGGTTTGTGGAGGCGGAGCGTGAGAGAGTCAGGCTGCTGGATGTGAGGGATAAGGAGGTTGCGAAGGCGAAGAAGCGGGAAAAGAGGGAGAAGCGGAAGGGGCGGGAGAGAGGTCAGCAGGGTGAGGATGATGGTGATGATGAACGCGGTGACCGGGGAGATGATGACGATGGCGTGCAGCTCGTAAACGACGGGGAGGTAGAGATTGTGCCGGATTGGAGTGATGGCGATTTTGAAGACTATGCCGTTGGAAATTCCGGTGGACCAGCAGTCGACAAGGAGGAAGGCGGCAAACCAAAGGAGAAGAAACGCAAGAAGAAGTGGTTCGAAGATCCTTCCAGCGGTGACGATGATGACGACAATGATACCCAAAAGAAGAACAAGAGCAAGAAGCGAAAACATGCAGCAACGGCTATGCAGGAGCCGCAAACACTCGAGGATCTAGAGGCTATGGCTTCGGGCCTGCTGGCTCGATAACTCATGAGGAGGCAGTGGCGACCACATAATTGCACCATGTAAAGTCGATAGAGCTGTGCGCTCCTATACCATTTTCTGCTCCATGGTGCTCGGTCTTACTTGTTGTGCCTCGCACAGCGATGTGAACTATTGCGAGCGAAAAGATCCGTCCCGTAGCGCCAGCCTTCATCCTCGAGGATCGGCGGACCCGGCCGCGGTAGCCCTAGTGAGCGATCTACAATTGGCACTTGAACAAGTTCTCCTTCCTGCTGTCCGTGAACGTGCAAGAGGGTCTCCGCAGACCGCATCTCCTCGACCGCGATGAGCCGCTGAATGAGATCGACCTGAAGCTCCGTGACGAGCAGATTCTCCTGCGCGGGGCACCTTCGCATCAACTTGACTGCTTGTCGGCAGATGCCAATGTCCCTGCACTGCCAGCCTACAAAGACAAGCGCTGGCATGACGCCCAGCTCTAGCATGAATGGTGTGACTGAGGCCCCGGATGGGGATGATTGTGATGAACCGTGTTTGAGTGCTTCTTCGGAATAGGAGAGTATGCTCATGTAGCTGTGCTGCTCTTCAGCGTCATTGTACATGTGGCCATGTAGGCTGCGGGACAGCCACAGGTATGCTACTCGCTCGTAGCAGCAGAGGACGCTGTACACTTCGGCGGCACCGTGATGCTGTCCGTTATCGATTGTTTCCATAAAGCTTTGGGTGCGCTCCGCCCATGACCGTAGCCAGTCAAGCATGTGATCTCGTTCCCTTTGCAGAAAGAGTCGCACGGCTTCAGAACCAGGTCTAGCGGCAGTCACACGCTGTATCCAGTTGAAGATCCTCACGAGAATAGCATAGAGGTCGTTGCGTACGTCGTCTAGAGACAAGATAGTTGTAGGGCCGGTTGGTACCAACGCATCCAGGATGGTGAAGGCCTCCTGACTGAGAGCATAGCCAAAAATGCCGAAGACAATCGTCTGACGACACAATGCTGGAATTACCAAATCCAGTACCCATATAGCAGGCTTGGAGGGAGACCCTTCTTGCACTTCCTTGTACCGAGCGACGAGTCTCAAACCCTTCTCAAGCAACGCTACCGTGCTTCCGATGTTCACCTGTTGGACTTCGACGCTCGTAAACAGCAGACATGTCAACAGCGCGGTTTCAATCTGCTTGAGCTCATCGTCTATGCTGATTCTTGTAAAGACACTTGATACCGCCTTAGCGTACCAATTTAGGCCTATGCGCTGCTTGTCAGTGTAGACAATACCTACTGGTGGAGGATGGTATGCATTGAGTAGCGGATGTTCAAACAGAGTACTGATGGCAAGTACTGCATTCTTAACAGCAGCATCCGTCATGCAGAGCTGTGGGAGCAGCTGCAGCCAGAAGGTCCTGCCCAGTACACCTCCAAGGGCAGGAGCGGCGCAATGAATGTAAAAGTCAAAGGCGCGAGTCTCCGCCGGTCTATCGAAACATTTATTCCATGTCGAAGGACCACTCACAGGGGCCAGAGTAGCGTTACTCGCAGAGAGTCTATTGGGGTAGGAACGGATGATAACGGTGCCAGTAGTAGGGCCATCACACTTGCGCCCTGTACTGGTGCATTTCTGACATGATGGCAGAGTCTCGTCGCACTTGACTCTTCTTATGCGGCATGTTGCACCTAGATACTGTTAGTACCAAGCAAGATTGCGTCTGAGGCACGGAGTGATTGTGAACCTACATCCGTGGGAGCGTGCTTGGCGCAACTTCATGGACGGAGATCCACGGAGTAACCATCTCTATCGCGCGCTTGGAAATGCGAGCATTGTCGATAGAAAGAAGACCGGACTGTGTTCAGCGACAGCGAAGTGGAGGCAGTATGATTAATGTGTGATTTCGTTAAGGGATGGTGCCGTCGTCGCCGAGAAATGAAGCCCTAATGAAGCCCCTAGCGAGTGGCCATGCGGGCCGCTGTGGGCCCTGTTCGCAGATTTCTCTCAGCGTTCATTGCTCAGTTCGTCTTTACTTCCTAATCGAGAGTCGCTGCCTCAATCACCCTTTTGCAGCGGTGAATCTTAGTGGCAGCTTGGGAATGCTTCGCTTGAGCTCCCTATAATCATTGCTATCGCCATGTCTCATAACATGGCACGGCGGGACTGTCGGTGCGCCGGGCGGGGCCTCACCGAACGACAGTCGTTATCTCATATATTGAGCTGTCGATCCTGTAAGGAAGATTATCCTTTCGTCCCAAGTCACCAAGTACTGCAGTGATACCGTTGTTCCGAAGAGACACTCATCCATATCTCCAAACATGGCAGCGGGCGAATTGGCTGTACCGCAAGAGGTCGTTGTGGTTCTCGCCATTCTGGTTTCGGGGTTCATCGTTGCTGCAGGATACGCAATCCACCGTACCGTGGCACCTCACATGTTCCGAGCAAACGAATGGACTCATCCTGGAGAAGAACAGCACGGCTATATGGTAGAGGTCAGGAAACGCAATTGGGTCTGAGCCGCTGGTTGAAGCCAGGATAGTCATCAAGAATTTCAGTCCAAGAACATCGAGCCAGAGATGGCGGACCAGGCTTTTGTCGTTGTCGCCGGCACACATTCAATCTGAAACAGCTATTCAAACACATTTTTGAGGTCAGCAGAGGCACAAGTTCGCCTTTGCATGGTCGAAGTCCGCAGTATACCGCTTTTGCGCCTGGCCATGGAGATCAGAACCCATTGAAGCGCCGTCGCAGACCAGGCTGGTGACGCACGAACATACCGCAAGTCTGAAGATGATCGCCTCCACCCACACACAGACCTGCGTCTATGGAATAGCACTCAAGTCGAACGCTGGAACGGTCCAGTTGGTGGAAGTTATTATCCGTCGCACACGGATTTGGAACGAGGTAGTGCGGCCTGAGGCCAGTGGCGGTCTGCCGGACGCAGCTATGGCTTGTAGCGAACGGTGTGGAGGGTCTGAGACTCGGTTCAGCGGCATCGATAGCTCGGAGGAGGCTCTAGCAGGGACGTCAGGGGAGCATGAGGCCGTTGCAGCCCTCTTGCACGAGCAGGCCATGTAGGATACTGGAAAGCAGTGATCACAAAGGAGCCGACCACGTCGGAAACAATGACAGTACATGACAAGACGTTAACACCACCTTCTGATGACATAGTTGATCTCTTCCAAGTGGATGTCGAAGCGTGTATTGTTATTTGCAGTTTGGATGTTGTTCCAAGCAGCAGGAACAGCACAAGTGATCAGGGCTTATGTGGGCAGGTGGCAGTGGTGTCAGAGGCGAGTGTGAATGACAATACCCGCTTGTGAGTGTCGTCCTTACCGTGTCTGCATTCTTTACAGATTGCCTCGATTGCCGACCGTAAAGATTGAGACTGACCACGAGATGGACGATGACGTTTCGCTGATACGAGGAGCGGCCGTTAATTCTGTCGTAGACGGGAGATCCTTTTCATATCGTGGGTAGATTGAGCGAACACGGCGCGTGTGGGCGCGTACGACAGCCACATTTGCCTACTGTGGACGACGTACATGAGATGAGCAGATACCGAGCAGGTAGTTAGGTACAGTAGAGCCGGCTTGTCGGCGCCAAGCAGATCTCGGAGACGATTTCCGCCGGCAGCATCTTTTTTTGGAGAGCCTCGAGAAAAGTACCAGCCTCAGGTCTATGCTATCATCAGATCATCAGTCCTGCAAGCAATACCTTCTCACATTCATTGCGTCTAGTTTTGGAGGGCTTGGTGATCGCGTACTGTAGCAAGTCATGTGCCTTTCGTTTCGATAATGCTCAGTCGAACCTTCCCTGCTCTCATCAGAGCGTCTACTCTTCGATCTCCTCAGCCGATTCTCCGCACTGCTCTGTTTTCTGCGCCGTCAAGAACGTATGCGAAGGTCGGCAAGCCGCGGCAGCCGCAGTTGCAGCCAGAATCATCACAGCCGCCTCGGAAGCCTGCGTATTCTTCGAAGCCTTCGGCAAGCGATGATGTTACTGCCAGCACCTCATTGAACGAGACTCAGCAGCCAGGAGAATCCACGAGCGGCAGTGAACCAGATCAGCCTCTACCAGATCTCACAAAGGGCATACCGTCCACACTAGCATACGAGCTGAATGAGGCGCAGCGCGCTCACTCTAAAGCGGACAAGGGCAGTCTGAACATCACCGAGGATCCTGCAGAACCATTACCGAGCGAGGAGGATGGCGGTCCACGGCGACCGAGAGTCGAATATGTGTCGTCCAGCGACCGGAAGAAGAACACCGCATTCAGGTACACCTACCTCTTCCTGGGTTTGGGCTTGGTCGGATACACTCTATACCTCGGTCGTAACTGGGAGACTGAGGAATTGAGAGAGAAGCACGCTGAAGGTGCGCCGAACGGGTGGAGCCCGGGCATGATCTTCACACGAGTGAGAGCGCGGATGGAGTCAACGAGGAGCTACTACAATGATCCCGTGACAACGAAGCTTCTTCCTGACGAGGAGAAGAATCCGGAGATGCGAATGCCATTCACCCTGGTCCTTTCTCTTGAAGATATGCTGGTACATCAAGAGTGGGATCGTGCGCACGGCTGGCGGATTGCGAAGAGACCTGGTGTCGACTACTTTCTGCGCTATCTCACACAATATTACGAGATTGTGCTTTTCACCAGCCAGCCATCCGCGATCGCGGACCAAGTACTCCGGAAGCTGGATCCTTACATGATGATCAGATGGCCGTTGTTCCGTGAAGCGACACTGTACAAAGATGGCCAATACATCAAGGTATGCTGACTGTACCTTTCCCCTTGTTACTATCACTAATATCGGCTCCAGGATCTGTCCTACCTGAATAGGGATCTCAAGAAGATTGTCATTATAGACACCAAAGCAGAACATGTGCAGAACCAGCCCGAGAATGCCATTATATTGCCAAAGTGGAACGGCGATCCCAAAGATCAGACTTTGATCCAAATGATCCCGTTCCTAGAATATCTTGCATCAATGGGATTCGATGATGCTCGAACCGTGTTGAAGTCATTTGAGGGCAAGCACGTCCCGACAGAGTTCGCGCGGAGAGAGAAGCTGCTGAGAGAAAAGTTTGAAGCCGATCGAAAGACCAAAACGAAGCCGAAGAAGTCGCTCGGCCTCGGGTCATTGTTGGGCAAGCAACAGTCTCCAGATGGCCTGGGTAGTACCGATGAAGCACTTGCAGAAGGCAAGATGATCTGGGACATTATTCGTGAACGGGGTCAACGTGGCTACCAGGAGCTTGACAAGAACATTCGCGAGGAAGGGCCAAAGTGGTTGGCCGCAAGAGAAGCTGAAGAGAAGGCGATGCAAGATGAGGCAATGAAGAATATGACGCGAGGAGGATTCATGTCGGGTTGGTTCGGTGGCAAGAAGCCTGGAGAAGAAGAAAAGAGGTGACCATGACCTGTGGTCGACCGACGGTGAATGTGTACTTTATCATGCTGGATGACCGAGCGTTGTCTCGCCAGCCACTGTGTAATTTCGACTTAGATACAGTTTGGATCATCGCCCGTTGCGAAGACGGCCCTTTTGAGCGACGACGACTGCGTCTGTGGACACGTAGAAAGATAATAATGAAGCTCATCTCAACGTACCCATGGCAGTTTTTGCGGTCGCATGCTCACCTCGCGATGCCTTATGTTTCCTTGATCGGTGGCTGAGTCACTCGTGCTCGCAGACTGTGCACTGGCTGGCAGCAGGGAATGGCTCGGTCTGGCCCTAAGAAATGTCAAGCAGCAGAAATCCAGAATCCTTCAACAGCGAGGCGGACGAGTTCCAGGTGATCAGCAAGAACAGGAGGTTTAGCAGGTTTAAGCGAGTCGACTAGAAGCCTAAGAGTTCTTTTTTTAGATCTCGAATGCCAGGCCATCTCCTTTGCTGATGATCTTTCTGCTCAATGCAACTCTGACGGCCAGAGCGCGTTTCGAAGAAGTCCAAACAGTACGGAGGATCTACAGCACCACTTCGTTTGCATGTTCTGGAAAGAGTTCGGTGCATTCCCGTAGCAGATCTCGACGGCCCTCAGGGAACATAGGCGGCAGTGATTACCAGCGAAAGACACAAGCTCTTGCCACAGCCCAATCTTCACACCCCGGGCTGCCCAAGCCACGCCCGTTCCGCCACTGAGGGAACGCGTTTCTTCGCTTTCGATTTCGACACCACATCAGACCCTGGTCCCTTCATCCACAGCTCAACACGGTTGCCATTCCTACTCAGTACCAGGACTGGTTTCATCACGTTTCACAGCAATTCATTGCTTCTGTGATAGCCTGCAGACTGGCTCTAGCCTGCTCGCAGCTACATGCCCCCGCATCTATCTCCATCGCAAACAATACGAAGCCCAACATAGGAGCGTATTTGTGCCGACAGTCAGACTGAGCGACAGCACTCTTGACGAGCGATGGCAATTGCCTTCGTCTCGTCGCAGACACTTTCTCAACCGCCTACAGATCTTCCAGCACCATCGAGATGACAGCGATCGCCACACCATTCAGGCTTCGCTTCACAGACGTAGGAGAGCATGGCTTATTCATCGGCCAGATCGATTTCACCTATCGCCAACGATGACACAGACACCTTGGATGGCGAGGAGCACAACACTCCTCAGGCTTTGTGGTTTTCATCGTTTGGAACGCCGTCGGAGGCCTCCGTAGCTGCTTTCAAGTCATTGCCCCCAGAGGTCATTGAAAGGTGAGACTCATGCCAAGACAACATAGGGCTGTCCATCAAACGATACCGGGATTTCGCACGAAGCTCGTGCTAACTGGACATAGGATACTGTATGCCGTGGACTCGGATGGCTTTGCATCCCTTGCGCTACTCAACCGCGCGTGGTATATGCAATCTCAGAAGCTCGAGCTGTACGCCCATCACCTCTCACGATGTCCGTCGTACGCGTTGTCCAACAATGTCATTACTGGGCCTTTCCGGCGCAACGACCTCTTTCGTCTGAAGACCAAGTTCGCTGCCGAAGTCCGAAGAAATCTCTTCGAAGCATATATGCGGCCCAGACGTACGCTCGTCAATCTAATCTCGGTCAACACGAACTCATCGGCCGCTATACCAGGCGGAGAGGCATTTCGCTTTGCGTTCTCGCCTAATGGCCAAACACTGCTCGCATTAAGCTCATCCAGAGTGTATGTTCTGGACGTGACGCAGGAAGATCTAGTCGTGCGCAAGGAGTTGAAGACATTGAGGCGGCCTATCGCTGCATCTATCACGGACGATGGATCACTACTGGCAGTTCTGTCATCGCGACATCAGGTCAACATTTATGCGTTGACAGCAGAAGGTCCCAAGCACCTGCAAGTTCTCGCTCTTACCGATCCGCCGAGGACTATTGCACTGGCGCACGAAGGCACGGTCTTGGCTGCGGCGTACAATGGCTCAGTCGAAGTCTTCTCACTAGCTGCCAACGCACTGGAAACAGATCGCAGGGCAGTCCGTAGCGAAGCTATGGATACACTACAGTTCTCCGGAGACGGATCCATGCTTGTTGGCAGCTCACAGAGTCTGGACGATCCAAGCGCTGTCGTTATTACAGCACCGTTCTACACAGAGAACGACCCTGATTTGACTCCACGCGAGATCCACAGCCGCATGTGGACACAACAAATTCTTTTCCCTCAAATCAGCAGCATATGTAGTCATGCAGAATTGCTGCAAGGCCACATGGAAGGAGATGCAAATTGGCTGTTTGCCTACGACCACAGTCTGATGTCGTATCGCGCGGTCCGGACAGACGATACGAGAAGCGGAGTCGCATACTTTCTCAATCCTTCCACAAATCGCAGATTCAGCCTCCCGTCTCCATCAACGGCACCATCTGCCACAGTCTGCGGCACACTTGTTGCTGCTGGGTTCGCCGGATGCGGGCTATGGCTGTACGGCGTGCCCGAAAGATTGGACGCAAGTCCAGACATGGGTTCCGTCGTTGAACGATATGAGGAACGTTTGCGTGGACGAGTCCATCTCACAACAGCTACAGGTCATATGGAGCCGCTGATGGCCTACTCGCCTTCGGTATCCGGTAGCAGTGACGAAATGGAAGGTCTGGATTCCTTAGCTCAGAAGGTCGACTGGCGGCAGAGCTTATTTGTCAAATGTCGTGCTATCAAAGCGCTCGATGGATGCAGCTCCCAGAAATGGGTTGAGAGGTCAGATATGCGCGACTTCGGCTTCACTGGTCAGAGACTCGTAGCCGTAGCTCCCGGAGGAGTCAATGGCTTTGCTGAAGATCTCGGCGACGAAAGTATGCCTGTTGATGGGTCCCGAATCTGTCTGCTCGATTTCAACTATGCACCGGATCGCTTGAAGGACCGTGAGATCACAATCGAAGTCGGCGACATTCAACCTGAACTTTTAGCTGAGCACGCTGGCGACATGGCGGTCGAGGTCGCTCTGGAGAGACGGCGCACGGTCAGAGGTGGCGGACCAAGTGCAAGGCCGAATCCTCGGGCAGCACTTGGTCGATCACAGACGTCGGCTTCCCCGAACGCGGGTAATGGCTACTTCAACGATATTATGCCCCGGTCCAGCGCCTCCCAACCGTCTTCGCCGAGTGAAGGAGTCCGAAGTCCTAACATGTATCAGCCCGCCACAAACTTGCAGCGCAGTAACACTGCCGGTGGTTTCAGGGCAGCCCGATTCCCTCCACGGCCGCCACTTGGTCAAGAGTTCAGCAGTCCGCCACCACAACAAGGGCAAGGGCAAGGCGAAGGGAGAAGGCCATCGCAGGAAAGTTGGGAGACGCCACCTCCGCCATATTCGAATTCGGGCAGGCACACGCCAACAAGTGGTCCATTCACACACCAGCAGAATTGGGCACAGCTGGGCCAGTTCAATCAAGCGTACGGCACACCTACAATTTATGCTACGACAGCGCCTGCAGTGCAGCCTCCGCAAGGGAACAGTGGATTTGCTGCTGCAGGCAATAACTATCTCGCCCCACGATCCCGAGGCCCGCACCTTGCAACTGTTTCTGAATCAGCTATTCGGCATAACCACCAAACAGCACAGCCCCTGCATAGACAATCGCCCTTGGCTATGCAAGGCTTCGCGCCATCGCCTCCAGATGGTATGCCGCCGGTCATGAGCGCGACAGTGCACCAGCCCATGCCGTCTCCTGTCAGTCCAGATATCCCATCGATATCACTGCCAGCACCGGTGGTGCCACAACAGAAGCCGGCTGGCATCACGCTGACAGGTGCAAACCTGCAGAACCGATTGAACCATCCAGTCCCTCCCGCACCGTCGGACGATGACCAAGGACGACGATCAGTATCCGCCCCACTCTCACAAAATCGCAAGGAAGGCTACGCTTTCGGCAGCCCAGCAAACAATCAGCTATCGGATCTCGAAAGACGAGTAGATCAAAACCGACAGCGAGCGCTCAATGTCGTGACAAACGGCAACGCCAACCATAGCGGAAGCCCAGTTCCACCATCGCCACCGCCCGGAGCCTGGGGTGCGGCGGGCCCGCCTTCACCATCGTTCAACCGTGCCCTCACCACTCCCAATGGGCCGGTCAGACCAAGCTCGCACGCAAGCAGCGGCAATATCTCGATACCGGCTTCTAGCTCTACGCCAAACTTGCACGCACCTGGGCGACCCACATACGGTCGTCTAGATACAATCAACAGCATTGGGAGCCAGCCTGATCATCATGGTCACTATCATCATGTCGGCCCCTCGAGGATGCGCGCTCACAGCGTGGCAGAGGACGTGCCAACGCCGATTCTAGAGCAGCTTGCTGGACTCACTGGTGGGAGTGGTGGACCAGCTGCGCCACCACCGAGGGTTGAGCCTGATGGGTTGGTCTTTGTGCCCAGGAGTAGAAAGAAGAAGAAGGCGAAGAGTGAAGGAATGAGCGCAGCCAGTGAGTGGGGCAATGGACCTGCGGAGGGAAAGAAGAAAGGCTCGAAATGCGTGGTTATGTGAATGTTGCCTTGCTATATCTAGATGACGTTGGAACGGAGGATCGATTGTCAGAGACCAACATAAGGCCTCAGAACCAAGAGGAGGGCAATCTGCACGAGTCTTTCCATTATAAGGGCATATATTGGCCGACAGCAGCATCTATCTTGCTACGTAGCGATTTGGCATTTTGGGACATATACTGACGCCGGGCGAAACACCATGCGAGCAGAGGGTGTTCGACCGTGTAGGTAGCTAAGTAAGCAAAGAACTGTAACATGCAGTGACATCAAACTTCCGGCTCACAGGTTCTGCCCTATCATTCTTCATATCGCGCCGGGAGATCGGTCTCATACACGGCCGGCCAACTTGAGCTGGCCCCGTCTTAAAGGAGACCGGTTGACATGTACGTAACAGCAGCCGATTGCTAGAAGTTACTTTTTTTATCCCCCGCGACGGTGACACCGCGCGATTGCTTGTCTCAATAGTAAGAGGCGAATATCAAGTATGAGCGCGCAGCAAGACCTCAGTCTCGAGTTGATAAAGACCCTAAGCCACCCGGGACACTCATCATCGCGCGCATGGCACGCAGCTGCGCATCCCAACTCTCCACTTCTTGCGGTTGCTTCGGCGGATAAGCAAGTCTACGTCTGGTCGCTTCGCGACTTCCAGCTCGTCAACAAGATAGAAGGCGGACACAAGCGCAGTGTGCGCTGCGTGGACTGGAAGCCCGCCGGGGCCAAAGTCACGCTCGCCACAGGAAGTTTCGACGCAGCAGTCGGTATATGGGAGGCTTCTCGAGACTCGGATGAATCAGAAGACAACGATGAGAAAGAGGCGTGGGAGTTTTCAAGTCGGCTCGATGGTCCGGACAGCGAGATTAAGAGCGTACATTTCAGTCCAGAGCACTACAGTGCCCATATTCTAGCGACATGCTCAAGGGATAAGTCGATATGGATTTGGGAAGAGGTCGAGGACGGGGAGTGGGAGACCATGGCGGTGCTGCAAGAACACCAGGGCGACGTCAAGTGTGTCAAGTGGTGCGAAGGAGCGACCATGTCACCAAAGTCGAAGGACGAATCACCAAGAATCGTGGGCAGCTCAGAGCTTCTAGCATCAGCCAGCTACGACGACACCATAAGGCTTTGGCGCGATGTGGAAGAGGAGGGTGATTGGGCATGCGTTTCGCTACTCGAAGGCCACGGTGGAACGGTCTGGGATCTCAGCTGGGAGAAATGGATAGACTCCACGGCGTCTTTTCTCTCAGAGAACGACTGGGAGCAGGATTGGAGCCCTCGATTGATGAGCTGTAGCGATGATTGCAGCATCAAGACATGGCGGAGAGAATTGAGCGACGCAGAGAAAGAAAAGCGACGGAGGCAGCGAGGTACCGATGGAGGGGCTTACACACAACGTATACCCTCAACCATCCGGCCAACGAGTCACTTCGAGACTTGGGTCGAAGATCAGACCTTGCCAACAGTTCATGTAAGACCAGTCTATGCGATAGATTGGAGTCGACGAACAGGACTAGTAGTGAGCTGTGGCGGAGACGGCACTATCGCGGTCTATCGAGAGAAGCGAAATGAGAACGCAAGTGACACGACTTGGGAGGTGGTTGCACTCCAGGAGTCTGCGCATGGCGATTATGAGGTCAATCACGTCTTTTGGGCACTCAGGCGGGACTCAGGTGCATCTGAGGAAGAAGTGATTGTTAGTTGCGGCGACGAGGGCGATGTCAGGATATGGCGGATAGGCACTCCAAATGCAGGATCATCGACAGGATGAAACCCTCGAAAAGCCTTGCCCAAGCCACACGACCAGCCCGATGGTGAGACGATCATACAGAGAAGTCGAAGATGCAATACTCGAGTGCAAGCTGCGTCGACCGGTCTGATGATGTTCCTGCTCAATCGACGCTTGAAATGGACCCCGCGCCAGCGAAGATATCCTGGCAGTGAATCGGTCGACGACAGACTTCTCAGCCCGTGGACGCTCGCCAATTACCACTGTCCTATGCGACTCGAGTCGTTCAATTGCCGCCAGTCTTCGTCTGCTCTTTCTCTGTCGGCGCCTGAACTGACGGACTTTTTTGTGGCTTCATGCCCAACAGCCCTGTCGCGTCCACCAACCGTGCCTTAGGATTCAACGTCAGCCCAAATCCAGGCTTATCCAGCTCCGAGATGTCCAGATACCCATTCGTCGGGATCGGCTCATCCAGAAATAAGTCTCCAAAAACGGGCAACACGCTCTTGCCGTCCGGCGAGTTGGCCAAGTACTCTTGAAACGGCGAGTTATGCTGGCTTGCCACAAAATGATACGAGTATGACCCCGAAGCATGCGGTATGACCGGAATATCGAATGCCGCTGCCATCGCCGACACCTTCAGCAACTCCGTTAGCCCGCCCAACCACATCACATCCGGCTGAATAATGTCGATATTCCTCTCCAGCAACAAGTCCCTAAACCCATACCTCGAAAACTCATGCTCCCCCGTCGTAAACTTCGTATCCGGATGCGCTCTCTTGATAGTCTTGAATCCCTCGCTATCATCCGGACTCAACGTCTCCTCCCACCAATCAATCCTCAAATCCAACCTCTTACATTCGCTCACCAACTCAATCACATACTGCACATTCAGACTCATCCAACAATCCACCCTCAATGGGAACCCATGCCCCACATCCTCCCTATGCTTCCGCAGAAACTCCACATTCTTCCTCAGACTATCCTCCTCCTCCGCACTGTACGGCAACGGCACCTTCGCGGCCTTGAACCCCATCTCCTTCGCCGCCTTGGGCTCCGGTCCCGTACAATAGAAATCAATTCTCCCTTTCTCCTTCGTCGCTCCTCCAATCATCTTATACACCGGCTCTCCCCTGATCTTCCCCAACAAATCCCAGATCGCGAGATCAATCACACTGATCACCGCCACCGGCAGCCCCTTCCGCCCGTAGAACATGCTCGCCCGGTACATCTGCTCGAACAGATCATTCGTGTCCCTGGGGTCCCGCCCCAACAGAAACCGCTCGAAATGCTGCTGCACGAGCCAACAAGCGGGTGGGCCGCCGAAACCCGTAGCGAAGCCTTTCGTGCCATCGGTGGCTTCGAGCTCGACGCAGAAGGAGCCGAGGACGTTGATGCCGAAGGTGGTGCGCGAGGAGCGGTAGTTGGCCCATTTGGACATGGGCGTCGCGATCTTGGCGTCGATCAGCCAGTGTCCGCCGGAGACGTTGTGGTAGTCGCCGCCGGAGCCGACGCCGTCGATGATGAAGGTGCGGACTGTGGAAATTGTGGGAAAGGTCTTCACTTTCGGCGAAGTCATGTTGAGGTGTGTGGGAGTTGATTGGCTCGGATGGGGTCAGTCGTAGGGTGGAAGATATGGTCTTGATGGTCGAGGGTGAGTGTGGGCCGGTGGCGGGTTGCAACTATTTATCTTGAATTGAAGATTGGCGGTCGGTCCCGATGCCGTTTCTAGAGCCTACAATAGCCGCTCTGCACTCTTAACAAAGGTGACGACGGCTAAGGCTGCTCAGCCGGTGGCAGCTTGTGACAACGTAGACGTTTTGGCTCGGCGTAATGCAAGGCGAGTTGGAGAAGTGGCCAAAGGAGGGGTTTTGCTCGGTGCAATTCGGAGCGAGGGAGTGAAGTGAAGTTAGAGGTGTTATAGTTTCTTTCAATGAGTCCACCTGTTACAGCGTAATGGTGTTCCGAGCAGCAGGAGTGACGTTCAATTAACGAGCGATAGCTTTGTGACAGGATTGTCCAGCGAATTTTGTTGCAAAAGCCTCACTGGCCACCAGAAACCTCGAGGGGACTAGGAGATGCCTCTTCCTCCACTACTGGCAGGCCAAGTCTGCGCGGTAACCGGAGGCTTGACAGGCATCGGACGGGCTATCGCTCTTTCATTTCTTTCACACGGCGCCAAAGTCGCAGTCAACTATCTCGCGTCACACAATAAGGACGAGCAGAGGCTTTTAGACTCATTACGAGAAGATGCAGTCGCAGCAATCAAATCTCGAGATCAATCGTCCATCATCTCCGCAGAGGATCTTCCCCTTTTGATGGTGCCAGGCGACATTTCGCAGCCAGAGACCGCCACGGACTTTGTCTCCCAGATTGTCTCAGCCTTTGGCCGCCTCGACACATTCGTTTCGAACGCAGGTATCTGCAAGTTCGAGGAGTTTCTGGCTATCAAGCCAGACTCCTTTCAACGGCATTTGCAGACCAACCTCTCAGGCGCCTTTTATACCGTGCAAGCGGCGGCCCAGCAGATGGTCTCGCAAAGCCCGCAAGGAGGTTCCATCATTGGCATATCGTCGATCTCTGCGCTGGTTGGTGGAGCAGAACAGTGCCACTATACTCCTACGAAAGCCGGTGTGCACTCGCTCATGCAAAGTACGGCCGCCGCGTTAGGAAAGTATAACATCCGCTGTAACTCCCTGCTGCCTGGCACGATACGAACGCAGCTGAACGAGGAAGACCTGAAGGACGGGAGCGAGAAGAAGGCGTACATGGAGAAGCGGATTCCCCTAGGTCTAGGGAAACCGGAGGATATGGCTGGGCCAGCTGTCTGGTTGGCGCAACCCGAGTTGAGTAATTATGTCAGTGGTGCGCAGATCCTGGTTGATGGCGGAGCGTATGTCAATTTTCAGTGAGAGGCAGCTGTATTCGATACGCCGTAGCGGCAGTCCTGTGCCAGATATCCTGGCGAGCAGCGTCGCTCAGGTCGAAGTCGTCCAGAAGTGCGCTTACAAGCCGGTGCCAACGTTTCCAGGCCTCAGGACCGGGACCACCAACATTGCATACCGGCCAGTCGCTACCGAACATAGTTCTGTTCGGGCTGAAAGCGTTGAGAATTACTTCCGCCCACGGACGTACTCGAATCACGAACGATTCAGTATCGTCCGGAGTGTCTGTCGACTGTGGCGGAAGTTCCGAGAACAGACCGGACAGCTTCATGTAGGAGAAATCATGGCCGGCAAGTTTCTCAATGAGAGCCTTCCATCGAACAAAATCGGGTTGTGATCGGACGTCCTCAGTGCCAGAGAGCCGCAAGTTCGGCTTGCAGAGATGGTTGATGATAATCTTCACAGGAGAACTCCGGTCGCGTAGCTTCTCCATCATCTGGATAGCCTCCTCCAGTTGAAAGAGTCCGGTCGATCTTGCATCGATCCCAAGGTCGAACGACAGGTTGTGCTCACCTAGCCAGACCAGGCCGTCGATAAAATCTCCCTGTAGCATGACATTCCGAGGCTTGTCCTGAAGCAAGTAGCGGAAGCCCTTCACCTTGTCTCTGTGATCGCCCGGATACATGTCCCACACTCTGCCAACATATTTTGCCAGAGCATTCCCTCCGGCTGGGACAGGTGCCCATGGTACAACTCCCAGCACCAATTTGCTATCCGCGCGTTCGTGGCCCTCACCTGGTAGCGGCTCGCCTCTCACAACCCTAGACAAGAATGCAGCTTCTTGAAGTGCATCGGCCCATTGATCTTCTACAAGCCCGGATTTGCGGTCCGTTTCGAGGAAGACGAACCCCACAAGATTGCTGACGCCACTGGTAGCAGCTTTGTAGACATCAACGGTGTGGCCTCGATTCAGGACATGATCTGTTGGTAGATCGCTCGTCCATGCTAGGCGTGGCAGATGAGATTGGGCAAAGAGATGGATGTGGGTGTCAATGATCGGAATATGTTCTCCTGGGGTCATTTTCTAAGACGCATGCTAATATTGTCAGATGGCTGTTGCTGAGCTTCGGACTGCCACTATCTATGTGAGGTTAGCTGGAGGTGTCTAGTACTGTCGACGGTGCCTCTAGGTGTGCTGGTGGGAACCGGCATCTGCTATGTCATAACACGACGTAGGTATGACTTCGGCAGTAATTCAACCGACGCGAATTTTCAATTATCCTATGCCTACCTCATATCCAGGACGCCCGTCGTACTGGTGCACAGGCAGCAAAAAAATGTCTCGCTGGTTGATGAACTTCGAAGGCGGGTCACATTCGCTACGCGCAGTGCGCTGCATTAGATGCAAATGCAAGGATAAGGTAAAATGACGATGTGGAAGGCATGAAGTTCAGAAAGCCAGGAGCTCCAGTGCCAAGCGTTTCAAATGTCATGGATGGCCAGCGCCCATAAACCTCATGGACAACTAGTGCGCACCACGGTACCTAGGTAGGTAGCGGCGAGACGTCCAGTATATTATTCCGTATTTCGGTACATGTAGATTCGAAGGTCGTGAAGCTGCCGTGCTCCGCGCCATGCCTTGGACACCGCCTAGGGGGCCACAGCGTGCGCCACTAACACCTTCCCTACTCGCTTCCCAAGCACGTCCGCTAAGACTTTGGCCCTTCGCTCTCGTCGGCATCTCATCGGTCTGTATCGCCCAGATCTCCCTACATCCCCGCTTGAAGCTCTTGAAAGACTCGGCTGGATGGACTCTAAGATATGACTACGCCAAGGACTATGATCCTGGTCCTGCGGACAAAGGTCTTGAGATACCGTCGCCTGCCCGCACGGTGCTGGATCGTGCAGCCGCGGCAGCAGAGACCGTCGCCTCCAGCAACACGAAGTGGATCCTAGATACCGGCGCAAACTCTCACATGTGCACAAATCGGGATCTGATGCATTCATATTCGGAATTGGGATGGGGACAGACGCGGATTGGCTTTCGAGGTGCAAACGGTGCAATGGACGGCTACGTCGGCATCGGAGACTGTACGTTGTCGACCATCACACCGGCTTCGAGAGGTACAAAAACACCTGATCAAGTTCAAAAGTTCACGTTGCAGCGCGTGCATCTTTTTCCCACCAATGGCTTCAACTTGATAAGTTGGAGTGCGATGAAACGCGGGGCGATGAAGCAAGGGAAGCGGCTGAAGATGGTCGAGAACGACGATTGGAGTCTCAGTATCTGCAGTGTGGAAAGCCGAGGGACGTTGACGCAAATTATGCGATTCAAGCCTGTCAATGGGTTGTACGTGCTCGAGCAGCCAGAGTGACATATTGACAATCTCAGCACCGAGGTCATAAGTGAGGATCACACTAGGGAAAGACGCTCGATCCTGCGACAGTCGCCTCAAGGCAGGAGTTCCGATGCTCGAGCTTGTCATGATTTGTACGAAATGGTACTCTATCATGCTGCTGAGGTCATGGACTCGATCCGGCGGAGGGCAGCCTTTTCCGCCCAGTACCAGCACTTCGAGTGGCCACGAAATGTTTGAGATGGACGAGATGCCGCTCACTATGGACGGGTGCTTGAATCACGCACTCCACCTGCTGATAGGCTTATCCCATCTCGCCTGCAGGCCCACTAGTCGTCATGTTGAGTTTGACAAACAAGTCGTTGCGACTCCACCAGGCCCTCAGACGTTTGCCGAAAATGTACACTGGTAGAGCAAGGAGGCAGAGGAAAATAGACGTGCCTCCGAAAACGTACATGATCTCCTGTGGGCCTTTGGCGGCAACCCAATCGTTGGCGAAGTTGGAGAGACCATAGAACATAAAGTTCTAAGCCGATCAGTATCGGCAACGCAAGCTATCAGCAGGAGTGGTCTTACCTTAAACAGCATGTTCATCACAAAGATTTCGTTACTCTGGCTTCGGAATGCATCCAGGCCATAGGTTAGCGAACTGAAGATGCCGATGAGCACCCCGACCATCATGACACCTTGCAGGAAGGCGCAAAGGTACGCTGATGCGCCGATTGACAGAGTGTATCCGAACAGGAACATGCCTAACCCACAAGCGATGCCGGATGGGAGCATGAAAACGAGGCGGAATTCGGGTTCGCTGCGTCGTGGTCAGCCAGGTGAATCAGATCAGTCAAGATCAGCAACTTACTATATACCCTTATTCCTCCGGGTCAAATACTTGATCACATGGTCACCGAAGAAACCACAGACCAGAGACCCAATGAGTCCACCAATGAATGGACCTGCTCCTAGATATCCTATTTGTGCTGCATTGAATGTCCAAGGAGGTCCCGCAAAAATGCCAGCCAGGATGATCGCAGAGCCAACGTACCAGCTGTTGAGGAGACCACTGGCGATTACTGCGTAGCATGCCGCTGGGTTGAGCAGAGTTAGAAATGGGCCCAGGAGGAACTTGAAGATGGAGTCTTGAGAGTAGACGCCAGTGTAGACTGCAAGCTCTTGAACGAATGTCTTCTTAGTCGGTACGTTCATGTCCTGCTCCGCATGCTCCACTGGCTTTTCGACGTCGGGCTTACTCTCGACTCCCATGACTTCGGGCGCATCAGCGCCGGTCAGATCGGTGTTGTATCGGGTGTCCCGCAAGTATGTGGTCTCCGGGCAGAAGAAGAACATGAGAAGGAACTGGAAGACGCAGAAGATCTGGAGCATGTTGAAGAGCCAGAGCCAGCCCAGGTCCTGATATCGGGACGCCGCAGATGATGGATGCAAGACTAGATGCGGCGTTGAGAATGAAGTTGATCACAGCAATACGCAGACCGCGTTGATGAACAAAATAGATGTCACCGACGGTGGAAACGATCAGGGATTCGAAAGCGGACGTGGAGAAGCCTTGAATGATGCGGGCGGCGAGGAGGTAGTTGTAGTCGACCTTGGCCTGCCCGATGGCAGTGCCGACGATGATGAAGAGCGCTTTTGCATTTGTTAGACTGAACATATATTGGGAAGCACCAGAACCGCAGGAGTGATGTCTCGCCCAAGCCAGGTTCAGAGGCATACGTACTGGACACGAGGAAGACCGGTCGCTTGCCATACTTTCTCGCGAAGGCGCAGACTACGCCATTATTAGACCTGTGCGAAAGCATTTTGAAGGTACTCACCAAACGGTCCGATGCAGCCCGCCGCTAGCAAATTGTAGCCAGATGCCAACACAACTGTAGTTATCGTGGTGTCCAGCTGCTGAGAAAGCCCAAAGTAAGAGGCGTTTAGCAATGGACCCTATCACGTTAGCGAAGTTCCAAAGTAGCGTGGGCGACTGTACGTTGACTCCAGCATTCAGCATAGCTCCCAGCGATAGAATAACAATGATCAGCTCTTTTTTCCATGCTGACCAGTTCAAGGGATCGTTTGGGTCGTTGCTTGGCTGTGGCGAGAGTACAATGTGGGCATTGCGACCTTTGCCATGCTTCAAGTTGCCCGTGTTGGTGACAGTTGTCTCGTCGTCGAGCAGGACCGTGCCCGGAACGTGATCCAAAGACTTGTCTGGACAGTGTTAGTGATAGACTTTGCTATGGTCATGGTCCAAAATACCATCCTTTATTCCTAGACCCATGTTGCCGACCTTGATCTGAGAAACAGTGATGTACACAATCTAGATCAGATGAGATTGAAGAGGTAGATAGATACCTAAGTAGATATCCCCAAACACTCGTGATTAAGTGGGACAATCCCCGTGACGTACTCCGCACTTCGTGTCCGGGAGATGGTGGTAGCAAGAGTGGGAAAGGTCCAAGCTGCGGAGCGATGCAGGTCTAAGATCGTGCCCAATGATTCCGCGAAGCTTTCCATTATGAGACGCCATCGATCATGAGTCTCTCAGGATAGTCCTTGTGCACCTCCAGCTGAAACGGTACGAGTGGGAAATCTCCAGGAGTACATGGTACAAGATGCGATCCGCATGAAGACCTCGGGACCTGGGGCTCTTGTGGGGCTGAATAGCTACTTCGTAGAGCGCATTTTGATATGCTCACATCTCGGGGACTTGTGCAGCTTTCTGACACAGAATTTCAGAGACGAAGTGGTAAGGTTGCAAGCCCAGCCGTGTTATCGCGCGAGTGCTGTCTGCCCGGCTCTGTGTCATGGTCCAGGCAGGGAGAATCGCGATCGCCGTGTTTCTGCTCGCTTATGGCAAAGATGTGGACATCGAGCAATCTCCTGGTGCCAAGGAGAGCGGGGAAAAAGTGACAGCTGCAGACGGAGTTGCCCCAGAAGAAGGCGTACCAGAACGCGAATATTATTGAGTTCCCCACGGGACGGCGGCTCTATCGGTCTCACGTGGCACTGTAGACACTGCAGCGCCGACAAATCTGCGAGATCTCTTACACTCCCAGCGACTGGGTCGTGAGTGCGTCTAAGGTCCTGCCACCTGAGTTCCGGACTCGGCTCCAGGAGTTCCGAGGTCTCCAGTCAGTCGTGAAGTTCCATTTTGATTTTTGCCCCAAACCTCCCCCAATGAAGTGGGCTCAAGCACTGGTTTGGGCTCTACAGCCTGCGAGGCTAGTATGCATTTGACTTTGTTTATGCCAATGGCGATGGCGCTCGGTTCACGGCCGTGGAGGTCGTGGTCGAGGTGGAAATAACCCATTCCACCAGCTCCAGCACGCCCCTCGTTGTTGCCAGTCTGGAACCACTTGTACAGGATATGCGAAATCCGGATGTCAAATTCCTGCTACGATAGCAACAGCTTTGCTTGATGCATGATCATCGCCTGAGCACAGCGACTTAGCTGTCCCACATTATTGTCCTGCGCATACTTCATGCTGAGGTCAACGTTCTTCCCACTTCCAAACTTCACCCTGTTCGCTGAGAGTCGCTGATACTATGGACATCGCAAGTCAACTTTTGCGGGCCATGCTATGGCTCATAGCGCCGCCATTATTATACTGTATTGCCTGGGTGATATATGCTCGGACGATACATCCACTTCACAAGGTCCCGGGCCCATGGTTGGCATCCGTGAGCCGAGCATGGATCATGTACCACACCTGGCGAGGTGACATGGAGCACGTCCAGCGAGCGCTTCACAAGAAACATGGCCAGCTCATTCGTATCGCTCCGAACGAATGCGCCTGTTCCGATCCCCAGGCTATTAGGGACATCTATCGAACACAGGGGCCTCTGACCAAGACCGACTTCTACCATGTCTGGACTGGAGGCATGTCCAAGTACCCAGATCACTTTGCCGTTGTTGATGAGAAGCTGCACGCTCAAAGGAGGCGAACGGTCAACCATGTGTACAGTCTCTCGAATATTCTACAGTCGGAACGCCACATCGACGACTGCATAAAGGTGATCATGTCGAAATTCAACGAGCTCGCGAATGGATCTACGCACGTCGATATTGGTGAATGGATGCAATGGTGAGTTTCGAAGTCCTTCGATCGTCTCTTACTGAGTTTGCAGGTATGCCTTTGACGTGATTGGCGAGCTCTACTTTGGTAAGATGTTCGGGTTCATGCAGAACTCCCACGATCACGGTAACTACATCGAGTCTCTCGATAACCTGATACCGCCAATGTGTGTGGCAGCTGTGGTCCATCGTACCTGCGAGGCTTCCTCCTCACCGGGCTTCCAATGGTCAGCGCGAAGGCCAGAAAGGCAATGTCGGCCATCGGACACATCTCGACCGCGGCGAAAGATTGTGTCGGTCGTCGCCTCAGAGGTGAAGACGATGTTGAACGACGGGACATCCTCAACCAGTTGCTGGACATCGTGGCCAGCAAAGGCGAGAAGGACGATTTCCAGGTTCCCGAGGTTGAGCAGGAGGCTTACTCTGGGCTGTGAGTAATGACTGTGGTGCCAACAGATGTCAGACTAACGACCGCACAGATTCGCTGGCTCGGACACCACGGCGATTGCACTTCGTGCCGTCTTGTACTACCTCATGAAGCATCCGGCAGCTTACCATAAGTTGCAGACGGAGCTGGACCGAGCGACCGAAGAGGGTATACTTAGCCCGATCGTACAGTACAACGAGGCTATCAAGTTACCATACCTCTGCGCATGCATCAAAGAAGCAATGCGATTACATCCGAGTGTCGGCTTGACCATGCCGCGGATTGCACCTGTGGGTGGCTTGAGCGTGGGCGGACATACCGTCCCCGAAGGCTATAATGTCGGCATGAATGCTGCGGTAGTCCACAGAGATGTTACGGTCTTCGGACCTGATCCCGACGCATTCCGACCTGAGAGATGGTTGGCTGGCGACGGCGACCTTGATGAAAAGGCGTCTAGCCTGATGGGCCGGTCTCTGCTCTATTTTGGCGCAGGAACTCGGACTTGTATCGGCAAGAATGTATGTCCCACTTCCTTGCTCTGGTTCTACTGTGCCATATACCGAACGCGACTGACAAAATCGCTGCGCAGATCTCATTGAGTGAGTTGCACAAGCTCACACCGCAGATGCTTCGAGAATTCGATCTGCAACTGGTACAACCAGATCTGGTGTGGGAGACCACAAATGCCTGGTTCAATAAGCAGACGGGGATAGTTGTGACCATGAGGAAGCGTGGCCAACAGCACTGACTGGCTTCGAGGCTCGCGGCACAAAGATGACATCTACCTAAGTACTCTCAATTGAGCTAAATGCAACTGTTGAGCACTAAGTCAGAACCCCCCGAATGCTGTCTGCCACGAATGATTCAATGCCACACGCAGTGAGCAGTGAGCGAGCGCTCGTAGCGGCGTGTACATTGTCATATCTCGCACGCGGTATCAAGAAGCCGATAAGGTGAGGAGGAGGACGCGCAATCTTTGAGTGAAAGCCTTTCAGCACGCCAAGACATTTCCGCCCGCCGAGCTAGAAGTCACCACAGCCACACTTACGAACGATCCTTCGTTCTCTATGCTCACCAAGTTGTGTCCGATAGCAGAATCATCTGAGCCACATGCGGCACACTTATCTCCCCGCATTTCGCAAGCGCCTTCCGAAGGCTACAGACTACATTACTCAGACTCAGGCTGTGGCCCCCGGACAGATCATCTTCCGGAACTTTTTTACGCCACTGCTCTATACGCCAGGCACTGATGCATATGATTGTCCACAGCAGGGCTATGGTCTTGGCCCCTGAGTGGCGACGAAGATGCTCGGGGCTCAGATGACAGCGAACATACGATTTTGCCACTGCTGTGCAATGTGCTCTGACACAGTCCTCGATTTCTGCGACTCGCTTTTGAGTGAACTGGGGCACGTAATGTAGGTGGGCAAGCAAAGCTCCGCGGAGGTGTTGGCTTCAAGGTATATGCCGGCGCGGAAAGCGGATTGTGAGTGGTTGCATGCCAACAGGCTATGGTGAAAGGAGTAGTGCACCAACATATGCTCGCACTTTCCGCTTCGGGCCCGAGCCGCGCCGCACCACGGTCTCGAAAGGCCGTCGGGTCCTGGATGTCAGGTCAAGACTATGCAGTCTCACAGTATTGACAATCGCAATGTAAAGGCTCGCCACGGTTCTCGACGTAGACGCATAAATCAACGTGAAAATCAGCGCCGCCAGCGGCATCCGCACAGCGGCGCAATGGTCATTTCCTAGAAGTTCCCTGCCGCTGTCCAATTGTAGACCCGGGACATATCTATACATCGAATCTGATCGCAGGCCCTGGACATGCATCCCAAAAATCAATCTATATACATGAAGCTGCGGTAAGGACTGTAATTTGCTCGCTTGCTGGCTCGAACTATTGCTGAGAGGATTGAGAGGAGGTTCGTGAAACATGTTGGCACATCCTAGAGACGTTGCAGGCGTAAGGAGCGGTGCTTGTGCTCGGAGGTCGGAGGTCGGTGGTCGGCCGATCGCGGTGTGCAAGGACAGGCCTGGCTCACATTGTACTGGTTGACCGTAACAAGTTCAGACCAACAGATCTGCTGTCTGTCATCTCTCGTGTCGGGGAGGGACTTGCCACGTCACAGTCGTTCGCGGCCACGACGATGACTAGTTGTAGTGATCGGATCAGAGGGATCGTTCGTGATTGCGCAGCCGCGGCTGGCCACACCTGCTCGTGGCGGAGTCGCGGGATTGCTGTTGCTTCGACCGGTAGAGCTCCCCAGTCTTCTTGCCTGTAGCCTTCACCGCCGCCTGAAGGAAGAACACTGTGACCACACCAACGCTCAGTCGTCTGCTTCAGGATCGCCCACAATAAGAGCAGTAGCTATCGCGAAGGGTGTCCGCTGGAGTAGCCCGAGTCGCGCGAGTGTCTGCTGCCGCTCATGCCACCACCACCGCTTCCACCGCCTCTGCCGTCGCTATGCCGGTCGCCGTGTCGATCGGAAGACTTGGAGCTGGATTCAGCGCTGCTCTTCTTCTTCGATGAATGGTCGGGACAGGCGTAGCCGACAAGGACGGTCTTCTCCGTAGTATTGTGCCCCCGCTGACCATAGCGTTGGCATGGGTCGACGGAATGTTTGTAGTAGAGGCATCGACATACGGAATATCGTTCCACGATTCTGTAGCACATGGTCGAGATTGATAGGATGCCTTGGGTGATATAGGTGGCTGTCGTGTAGAACTCGTATCCAAGTCGTGATTCCGGGTCATTAGTGATCAGTGATTGCTGATGGTGATGTTGGTGAAGGACAAGATCGTCTCATAGGGCTGAGGGCTTCAATATGAAGTCAACTTCTAGCACTGTGATCGCAGAAAGGACCGGAAAGAGGATAAGGATCGGTCCTAGGCAACGCCGGTGCAGTGCAGTGTAAAGACTGGGATCAATGGTCGTGGCCTGGGTATGTTGGCCAATGAGATGGCGTTACAGATCCAAGAAAAGTGTATGGCAGATTTCGGTATTCCCATGGGAGTCATCATATGTATTGCACTTTTGTGTCCGGTGCAGGTGTAGTTCAGTGAGCTTCGGACAGGTATACCTGATGAATTAGGTAGTGTATACTTCCAGCATTGATTTCATGGTCTGATAGGGTTTGGTCGATAGATCAGTTGAGCCAATCGAATGGTCGTCGTAGACATTTGGACCGCATTGTGACTGGCCTAAGAGTGGCAGGACAAGGGCGGATGAAGGCATCGGACAATTTAGCGTTCCTGAATGATGGGTCGAAAACGTGGCACTGCGATCCGGAGTCAGGCACGTCCTACCGCTGCCAAATAACCTATGGTATTAAAGCGGGTCACTTCAGCCTCAGGATCCCCCGTAGAACACCTTCACTGGCTCAAATTAGTGATTGACCGGGATGGTGATGACATTTGCTGCGATTTTCGCGAGATCCTCTTCTGACCTCACGGGGTTCGAGATACGAGACGCACGACCTCCGATCGGGTTTGTCGGTGGTGAAAGGTACCTGGGCCCTCGTAACAAGGACGATGTGTGTGTTTGGATGTGACTGCAACACCGCGACCAAAGGACTTACGGTGTGATCCGGGAGCATCCGCATTGGCATACGTTGCCGTAACGGCCGCGAGATGAGCTACCGACGGAAGTGCTCAGCGTCAGTCAATACCGTACGAATAGAATGACTCGATCAGAGCTTCGCATTGACTTGGCGGGAGAATGATGAGCAGTGCCGTAGCCATTCCCAGATCATCAGTGGCCGCGATGGTAGTGGAGTAGCAATGGTGTAGACCGTAAGTTCGGTCAACCAGACTTGAAACTCAAATCTATGGTTAGCGTCACGTTTGCTGACCCCAGATTCACAGCAATCGATCTAATTAATAAATGACGCACAGTTGTTTGGCGACCTCAATGGCCGGATCGTAATATCAAAGGAGGGTAAAAGTAAGTGCTAGTAAGCGGGGGCCTTGACGGCAGACGGAGTCGACAAGAGGTGAGGTGTTCAGCTCGTGCTAATGCGGATTAGCTGCCATCCCGTAAGGCTGACAGCGGCGGGAGAATAGGCAGACTGGAAAAGATCCCATAAACAGCTGGAGGTCCCTCAGTTGACCACCTGCCTCTCTTGAATTCCTTCGACTTCTACGCTGTGCTCTTCGTGGTTGCTGCCCTTTCTTTCGCTGTGGCGATCCTGGGCTAAGAGGTGCCTGGGCTGCATTTCGACCGTCGGTGACTTTGGCTGTCACGCTTAGCGCCAGCCGATGCTCAGTGGGGGCCAGAAGAACATGGGCATGTTCCCGTCACTCCGCAAGAACGATTTGGGCAGGAAGCGACGACAATGTCGTGATGAACGAGCAACGAGACTATCTGTGACTGGAGTCGGCCCCCATTTTGCGGATGAAGTGATACTAGGCTCACCACCGAGCGGGTACCTTAGGATTGCGCATTCTATTAATGTCTCGCCATTGCTCCTACGGCTCACTGTACATGTGCAGTATGGTACAACCAGTCCTCTTCGGGATTGGGAACAGGAAAGTTCGGCATCATGACAGAGTCCTCTGCGGCAACCAAATCCGAAGCAACAGCTGATTGCATCTGATGCATGACAGACTGAGGAACGCTGTCGCCTGATGTGTCTGGACCGTTCGTGTGTAGACGTGGGAAGTTGAAAAGGTCAAACACATCGAGGTACTCAAACTCATTGGGCTGCGGGGTGTTTGCGCGCGTTGGATGATATGAGCGCGTGGCGTGATGTGGTTGACGAGAGATCAAGAAGTCAAGGTCATATGCACATCTGAGTCACGGTCAGTATACCTCTCGGATTTTGTTCAAGCCAGGTGAGGCTCACCGTCTCATATCTGCGAGAATCCGGACCGTGGATGGACTCCCACGTCTCCCGTCACTGTTTGTACTCGCCCTTGACTGCTGATACTCACCAAGAACACGATTGAGTATCTCAGCGTACCTTCGTGAAGCATCCCAATACACACCCATCGCAGAGAGAATTGACACAAAGACACCGAGATCGGGGTCGATTTCGTGGTCCATTGTCGAACCATGCACAAGTGTGACTCGTGCGCATACCCACACGCAGAATGCGAAGGATGGACCCATGTGATCGAGGAGACCGCTGACTTGAACATGGTTCGCAAGCTTACGAACACTGTCCACAGCCCGCAAACAACGCTGCATGGCGCTGTAAGATGACGAGAACAAAGGCGAGGTTTGGGACGGATATGCTGCTGACGAATTCAGTCTGATGACAGCCAGGTAATATGCTGCTTGTACATGTATCCAACCACAGTCCTGTCCACGAGAAGGAACTTTGGACTCGACCAAGCGCGTGATGTTGGCATACTCATCTGGTATGTTGAACAACCACGCATTCAATTCGCCATCCAGTCGTCGATATGTGCCTTGCCATTGCTCGATATCTGTCAGTGAGCCGATGTCAACCGGACGCTTGAGGAACCGATGGATGGAAGAAAGTATTCCCAGTACTTCCACCCAAGCTGCAAAGTGGCTGCTGGGGGAGCTCGCAGCTGACACGACTTTGCTGCGCGTCGGCGTGCGAAACGTGCTCGTCTCGACTGCTTGATCCGCAGCGAAGAATGCTTCACGACAGGGCAGGCGGCGATCGACTTCCTTTTCGTCGAGGGCAAACTCGAAAGCTGTTGCAATTGTTGCGTACCTGTCCAGCATATACGCAGACCAGAACAGCCTGCGCCGTTCTTCGTCCTCTATGAAGGACAAGGCTTCCGGAAGGACTGCGGCTCGTAAGGTAGAAATAGATGGATATTTCGAGGCAGTCAAAGTCGTGGTCGTCTCGACTGCAAGTCCAAGCTGAACAACACTACGAGCCAGCAAGGAGATCAGGTTCCACCCAGGCGGACCGTTGGTGTCGCCAGTGACGTCTAATGCAAGAATCGTCAGTGCCTGGAGTGCTCTGACACTCGAGTTCTCCAGAGCGAACAACTGCACCGTGTGTTTAGAGGTTTGATGATACTGCTGTCTAATGTGTGTTGTGAGACGAGGGTCCTGACAGAATCGAAGCGACACTGCAACGAGTGCATGCAGAAGCACATTGTCCGCCTCATCGAGGGCCGCAGACCCAAAGAGTCTGTCGACAGTTGATTTGTGTTCCAATATTGGTAGCCAGCAATTAATATGCTCGAAGAAAAGCGCCACAAGAGTGTATAATAGATCAAATGGCGGTAATGGCGACGAGCGCTCCGCGAAACCCAGTCCATTGGTAGGGACGGGGGAGACGAGCCCATGGCTTTGAGCGGAAGGCGTGTGATAGTTCTGTGACTGGACACTTTGAGAGTCTACAGCTCGTGGCTGGTACGACTCATGCGTAGACAGACGTCGATGAGGTAGCGGATCATTGGGGCCTAGCCTGCTAGGATTGGACCAAGGTTCTCTGATCATACTGATGCCGGCAGGGACGATTGTCCTGACCGAGACGTCATTGACGTGCTCTGATACGTGACGCGAGCACGCGCTCGTGCAGCTGTTTGCAAGATGCAGAGTAAGTTGCTGATTTTGCGCCTGCAATCGCTGCTCGAGCATCTCAAGCCTGGACTCCAGCTCGCGTCCATAACCCGCGCGGAGTCCAGGCTTCCTGCGTTCTTTGTATTCACATATATAGGCATTCCGCTTACACCAGCCACAAGAGGGCTGTCCCCTGTCACAGCGGACTTTCCTTGTCTGGGACAACAGTCAGTGAGCGAAGCCGGCCGAGCGAGCGCCAGAGAGCCATCAGTCCTTGATTGTGCTCGTGCCTGGAGCAGCGAAACCAAAACACTTCATCATGCTCTAAGCTCACGCTTGCAAATCCGATGCAGAGATGTGCTTACCTTGCAGGCCTCACAGGTGACATTCATTGGTCTTTTCCGTTTCTGAGAGCCACTCTGGTCATCGCCGCTGTCAGATGCGGACTCAGCAGACCCAGGAGAGCGTTGCTCGTCGACGACAGATGGCCTGCCATGAGTCCCTGAGCCTAGCCTAGCCATACTTCGCAAAGCAAGCCCATTCGTGACATCGGTGTAATGCTAGACCGAAGTGGAAGATCGCGTTCAAGGAGCTGTTCGCTGCGTACGTAGGCGACGTGCACCGGCTGAGCCAGAAGTCTCGAGCTGTCGCACAAAGTCAGTATCCTCTCAAGTGCCGCCGCACTAGTTTCGCTGTGTCAGAACCCATCGACAAGCATGCTGGTCGGTAGGCAACCTAAGCACCTGGGGAGTGCCACTTCCCGACACGTCTGGCCTTGGCGGCAGTTGCGGCTAATTTGGGCTAAAAGCCGCTCATACTCATCGCTTCCAAACATTGTTGCTAGAGACGTGCAGGACTCTTACAACATCCGCTGTAAGACTCTTTGAGGACTTCTGACAGGCCTGAGGTGCTAATCATGAATGGCGAGCACCTGCTGACACCGCCTGCGTCGGCAGCATCCCCCTCGCCCTCCGCCGCGTCGACCTTGACACGTATCTCGCACAGCCTTCCCGTGCAGCGCAAGCATGCGTTGTTGGCCGGGTCGACGAAAGAGATCAAGTTGATACACTATCTAGACGATCAACTCGAGCGAGTCTACAGAAGACACGAAAAGCGCTTGGTTGCAGGACAGAGGGAAACCGCGCCTCCGTCGAAGCACGACGATGCCCCTGGTTATGAGAGCATGGACGAAGTCATCGAAGACCTTGATCCCCTAGTTGACGTCGTATGGACAAGTCGAACACGTAAGTCTTCGCGCATGTCGCACCAAGCCGAACAGCAGGCTAGATTTTCTAGCGGCAGCGTTGTCGTGGGCACTGCGAGGAATGTTGGTGGGCTGCTTCAGAAACCTTGAGTGATTATACACGTGCATTCTAATATTGAGCTCACACAGCTAGCCTCCAAACTGCGTATCTGTTGTCCATCGCCGGCTACATCTGTGCATATTTTCCAGATTTTGCATTCACGCCACTGGTCTTTCCAGTCTTGTCCAAGATCGACCAGGCATTCGTTGCCCTTCTGTCCACTCCTTCAAGCGATCCCGCTGCAAGCGCAATCACCCGATCTCCAACGCAGACCGACAAAGTACGGATCAAGTCGCTGACGGAAGACACACGAGTCGCAGCAGTCAACGCTGCTATAAAGTCAGGCTGGGAAGCTGATTTGGAGGATTCCGAAGACGAAAGTGAAGTAACCTCCAGCGACTTTCCTCAAGCATATGATGACTTTGCAGTAAGTGCAGGACTCGGAAGATTGTATAAAGGCACAATCGAGCTACTCGGCGATTCACTGGTCCGACCGCAGGTGTCTAGTAGACAGGAAGATTCCCAGGTCGACTCTGCGGCCGTCGTCAACACTAACAACGTCTTTGGACCTGGTGTAGACTGAATGGCACGAAGAACTTGTCCAGACGTCGACTTCATTTCACTATCACAACAGACCGATCAGAAGGACTTCGCACAAGCAGTAACGCATCCTGCACCGGTCTTACGAGGGTTGAAAGGACCGACAGTCAGCTGCGACAGCGCTGTTCTCAACACAGCTTTGTTTCCAAGGCTCTTCGGTCTGCATAGATCGTCACAGCAGCCAGGTTTCCTATTGCTCGCTTCACCGTCTCTTCGGCAAGGTTGCACTTGGACCAATCATTGAGTGACACATTGTGGAGAAACAGTGACTAGGCCGGGAGTGCATGCATCCTCGCCCCGGGAGCTGTCCACCGCCTCGTATTCATGCCCAAGAGCTTGAATAGAGCTCACAAAAAAGTGCCTCTTGAGCTCAGTCTTATAAGGCCTTTACTCTGGCCTACTTTGCTGTCTCTTAATCCTTCACGACTTCAGACGATATGATGCTCTCCACAGCGCTACTATACCAGGTCCTATACCTCCTGGCGCCAGTGTCTGGACTCGCCATTACTCGCGAACCCGAGCAGTCTCTTCTACTACCGAGCACGGCGACTACGACGGCGCTGCTTTCGTCCGAAGCCCTCATCACACATACCTTGATCGCGCCGACGGAAAGACCTGCGACCACGTCTGAGAATGCAATATCAGTCATTACAGAGCCGCCAACTGCAACAAGACTAGATCTTGTGCGCCGGCAACCCTGTTGCTTCGACGAAAGAGGCTTCCGGGTAGACTGCGCAACGTGGACGGGCTATTACTGTGAGTCGACTTGCTTGGTTGGCGATGACGCTGGCTGACCGCCTTCACAGATACTTGGGGACCGCAAGGCAATCCGTACGAGGGTGGTCCACAGTGCGATGGCAACTGGAATGGTGGCAGCGGAAGCGGAAGTGGTGGCAACGGGAACGGAAATGGCAACGGCGATGGCAACGGTAATGGTCAAGTCGCGGTGCTCAATGGCCAAAGCTCGCGTTTGCAAATCAGCTTTGCATTGGGAGCTGTCCTTCTGGTGCTCGCTGCCCTGCTGTAGTGGCCGTCTGGAGACAATTTCAACACAAATATATGTGCAAATGATAATCACAAGCCGACTCGACATCTTCTCGAAGGGATCCAAATGGTCTGCTGGAGTTGTACCTAATGCACTGACATGATACTAATGAGTGTTGACACATCATACGTTGGATGGAGCAGCCTTGGGTGAAGATGAAGCGCGCTCGTTGGCATTGAGCCCATCAAGTCCACGCTATCCGCTTGCTCGGGCGAGCGACGTCAGATTGTCGACGCATCTGCCGAATGGCAAACGAATGACCTGCGATCAGAGTATGGACTACAGACCTACAAAAGGCTCTCAGGCAGCGGTGTCGGTGGCGTATACAACTCATCAGCCAGCATATGTGCCAGATCCACTCTACCGAGGATGAGGTTCCAGGGACCACTTTCACGTTTGTTGGCAGCTCGCCTGGTTATTCCGCCGACTTCTATCGGCATCACAGAGGCACCTCCATCCGTTACCACCATAACAGGCTGCGGGACCTGGGCCGAGTCGCCAGAATGCTGGGCCGAGACCTCTGTGACAGCCGAGGGTGGGACATCTGTGACTTCTTCGATGCTGTCATTACCATCGTCGGAGAGTTTCACAGCTGCTGCGACAACAGTACCATCGACGCCGATCGAGATAGTTTCCGCGGCTTCCTCGACTGGGAAACCCTTTACTGTGCCCGTGGAAGGTAGTGTGTCGCCTACAGGTCCTTCACCATCTATACCGACAGACTCTAAGTCACCACAAAAGCCAACAGCCATCCCGACACCTGACTCTAGCACCACCAGCGCCTGGACAGCGACGAGCGTGCCGCCACGCACTATTGCTCTGGAGACAGCCGTTGCTTCCGAGTCCTCCGCAACGACCGAGGCGTCCACGATCAACCGGGCCAGTTCTTCGGTGGTCACTAGTTCAGAGTCAACGTCCATCGACACCATCACAAGCACAAGCCCGTCATGGCTAGCCACCGTCCAAGGCAAATCTACCTCAGCCGGCTCATCTGGTTCGTTCACAGAATTGCCATGGGTTCCGTCGAATGTAACATACACACCTTCAGCCACCAGGAAGTCAGGGAGAAAGCCCGAGATCCATACTATCACAACGACCGTAACGTCGTCTCTCACAGCAACGGCTAGAAGCTGTCCGCCGACACTCTTCACAAATGGCGTTCCTGTCCCAGGCCCAGTATACAATTGCTCAGGGGCATCAAATTGCGCGGTCTGCACCACGAGTCTAAAGATTACGACGACTCAGACCGTCACTGTGTACTCGGGCAATGTGACGTTGAGCTTGACCTCGCTGCCGACGCAGACGCAGGCTCAGACCCTCGGGAACATAACGACGACTGTGTCATCAGTCGTGGCGAGTCAGAGTGGGTCGGATAGCACACTATCACAAAATGCGCAAAACGCGCATTCAGAGATTGCGAGCACTGCTACGAGCAGCTCGATAGTCCTCACTCAATCTACCACTTCATCACTCAAGGTTACTGGCACGACATCGCCTACCACAGACCCAACACATCTTAGTACACCAATTCCTGTACTGACAACGCAGTCGATGTCAGTTGCTACAGAAGATGCAGCAGAGGTAGCTACAGCGGCAGTCGAAGCCCCAGTTGGTAGTATCGCGGACATCCAAGATGAGCTCCATTGGCTGGCGGTACGGCGAGACGTCGATACAGATGAACACTGGAAGCTGGAAGCGTCTCGAAGTGATGAGCAGGGGCATGTGCATAGCAGGTCGATGAAGACGGTTTGGGATGGTGCCAGGGTTGTTCTGCGGAGAACTGAAGCTGGTGTTCCCTCCTTAGCTGCGACATGGTTCAAAGGCGACGGACTTTGGTGGCTGTTGACGACGATTATTGGCATTCATGTTGTGGCAATTGTATGGTAGCTGGCATGCTACGAGGTGTACGAATGGGCGGACAGGCCTGCATAGACCATCTCAGTCCTTCTTGAACTCCGCATCATCACCATCCCGCCTTGGCTGAAAGTTGAGCGCATTGCCATTGTAGAGCTGCTGATCCCCCCTCCGCCTCTGCTCGTCCGCCCGCTGATCTGCCAGTGTTCGGACCCGCACATTCTGCTGTCCACTCGACTCCCCACGCTGCTGCTCACCACCCTGCTCCGACTGCATCCCTGCCTGCTGCTGCTGCTGTTGCGTCGCCGCAGGACCACCGAATCCGAACAAGCCCCTCCCGATCCCCGCGACCGCACTCCCCACCGCCCCGACCGTCCCACTCACAAGATTGTACCCGCCCTTGACCATCCCCCACCCACCGTCTCCCATATGGTGTCCACCATAACTCTCCACATAACCCCTCACAGGGGCAATGACGAATGTGCAACTGCCCCTGACGCCGAGCTCAGTGAGTGACAGCTCCTCCTCGGCGGCCTCGATCTTCCGGTTGGGCAGGGGCGTGAGGATCAGCTTGAAGTCGTAAGGAATGTTTCGGGTCAGGCTGGAGGGTGCTTCGGGATGGTCTGGGTCTGGTTGGGAATCGAGCCATGGGCGGATGTGCGTTGTGATTGTCGCGGTGGGTGGAAAGGTCGTCGAGAGGGGTGGTCCTGAGAACGTGCGGACTTGAACGCGGACCAGGCCGCTCTGAGGCTTTGAGCTGTTGGTGGTGGTGGGGTTTGCTGTGTTCGAGGCCTTTGAGGTCGGGTCGTCGAAGGGTACGGCGGCGGCGTTGGCAGCGTCATTCTGTTTTTGGACTGCTTCGCGGCGCCGTCGTTCTTCACGATCGGCGCGGATCTGGGCTTTGATGCGTTCGCGCTCGTCGCGGGCTTTTTGCTCGCGCTCTTTCTGGAGGCGGCGGCATTCGGCTTGTTGGGCGCGTTGCGGGGCGGAGAGGGAGTCGTATGATGGCGGTTGTGGTGGTACAGCGGATGGTGTCGTTGATGAGGAGGTGCTGGTGGGTGGCTGGGATGTGCTGGGTTGTTGTGACTGTGGGTATACGGCGTCGTATGCTGGTGGCGTTGAGGTCGATGTAGATGCGCTAGACGTGGTTGCCGAAGAAGACGCCGGAGCCCGTGCCTTCATCTGTGCTTTGATGGCGGCGGCAGGTAGGCGTAACAGCAATCTTTCTCTTGCAGTCTGTGAGAGTTCGGGCTTGCTGCCAGGATTGAGAGATGTTAGACGGCGGACCTCGTCCTTGAAGATGGGTAGTTTGCCGAGGACGGTCAATTGTGCTTCCAGTATTTGCTGTGGTGTCTTCCCTTGCGTCATGAGATCTTCGGTGTATTCGCGGAGGGCTTCATATGCGTTGTTGGGAAGTCGCGGCTGGCCAGCGGAGGAGGGCAGGTCGAGGTACCCAACCGAAGCTGTAGAAGTAGAGGTACTATCTGCGGGCGCTTCTGATGCGGACTGCACAGGCTCTGAGGGAACATGATCCCGAGCAGCATCGCCGACGATGGCACCGATCTGGAAGGTCGACTTGATGACACGCGTGACATCTTCGAGTGAGTCTTTGCCGGCCTGTAGATTGGCTTGTAGCGCTGCATTTCTGATGACCACGAGCGCTGGCACCGACTCGATAGGCGCGATCGGCGTCAGGAAGGCGGCCTCTTGTGAGCCAGCGTCCATCTTGATCGCAACTGCCTGTTCTCTTATGGCGGTTTCAATCGACTCCTCAAACAGTGCAGCCTCCCACTCGGCAGACGTCTCTCCCTCATCGGTCACGAAGCACAGCACCGCCTTCTGGCTCTGCATGGCCAGCGCGATACCGCTCTGGAGGTCTCCTTCGTGAAACATGGTTGTGTATCCAGACCCTACAGCCTAGCAGACAGTGGATGCAAGAGTTGAGAAGGGCCCAGGACTTCAGAGAAGAAGGGTATGTGGTGTCGTGTCGGCGTGGAAACTCGCCGCGATATCAACTGCACGTCATTCACCCCAAATAATTTGAACCTCAACGACTCTACACTTCACTCCCTCACCACCACGAAAGCTCCCCTAGCATGTCTATGTGCGAGCACCGCCTCGTCCGACTGATCCTATCCTCAGCCCGAGCTCCTCGAAAACCACAAACCCCTCACCGCCCGCTTCCTCGCCGCCGTCATGCCTCCGTGATACGCAGCGTCAAACCCGAACACAGCCAAAAGCCCTCCACCGACCGCCCTCCGCGACCTAGCGCCAAAATCGACATCGACGCGCCCCCAAAACTGATCTCCCTCGCCCGCCGCCGCACCACCACTCTCGGCATCCTCACCCTCGCCTCATTCCCCTCACTGCTTTTGGCCTCGGCACCTGGCAGGTCCAGCGCCTGGACTGGAAGACCAAACTGATCGCTCAACTCGAAGACCGGCTGGTGCGCCCACCACTACCACTTCCGCCGCGGATTGATCCCGATGCTGTACATGAGTTCGATTATAGGAGAGTGTATGCCAGGGGGAAGTTTAGGCATGATCAGGAAATGCTGATAGGGCCGCGAATGCATGATGGGAAGGACGGCTTTCAAGTGGTAACACCTCTAGAGCGAGAGGATGGGGGCACAATCTTGGTAAACCGCGGCTGGATAAGTCGCGACAAACAATATCAAAGGGAGCGCGACCCCTCTGCTCTCCCAACCGGAGAAATCACGGTCCAAGGTCTGTTACGCGAGCCGTTGAAGAAGAACATGTTCACGCCCAAGAACAAGCCGGAAGAGGGCAAGTTCTTCTTTCCGGATACGTACGAGATGGCGAGCGTGGTGGGGTGCGAGGCGGTGTTGGTGGAGGAGACGATGAAGGCGGATCTGCTGGAAAGTTATAGGCGGGAGGAGGCGGGCATGCCGATTGGGAGGGCGGCAGAGGTCAATTTGAGGAATAATCATACGCAGTATATTTTTACGTGGTAAGTTTTTCTCCTGGGGAACTGATGGGAGTCATGTGCTCATTAAAGTCTACAGGTACTCGTTATGTGCGGCTACGTCGCTGATGATGTGGATGGTGCTGCGGCGGAAGCCCTCCAACACGGCTAGCAGGGTGAGGCATAGCACAGGCTGGTGAGGCTGTTGTCCATCTCTGGCATCTGGCACTATTCCTCCTCAGGAAGCTCAACCGTTCGCAACACCTCCTCAGGTAACCACTCCTTCGCCAACTTCTCCAGCGCGCCCGGCTTGCTGACTACTCGCTGTCGCCGCATCAACAGCAGCACATCATCGACATCAAGGCGCCGCTTCCGCCGTCCGTGAGTTGAGTACGTCGCCAGATCCTCGCCAACCTGCTCGAAGAACCACTCCGTCGCTTGCTCCAGCGCTTTGGTGTGGTCGGGACCGAACGCTGGCTTCCGCCGCCCATTGCGTACTTGGACCTCGGTGGCGATCTTCTTGATCAAGCCGGTGGGCAGAGCTGGGGCGAGGGTGCCATGCCGGGTCATTTTGACTTTTCGGCGGCGCCGAGTGGTTGTTTCCTGCCGGGAGGACGCGAGTTGAAGCAGTGTCAGGCGGCGTTTGGACGATGGAGAGAGATGGACTGGGTCGGCATCTGCCGCGTTTTCCTCGTCCTCCCAGCCGTCATCTGCTTCGACTGAAAGATCTTGTTGGGCGTGGGCGGCTTCGCGAGCTGTGAAGATATGGTCTTCCGGCATGGCGAGCTGGAAGTCACTATCATCGCCATCGGCGAGCATCAGCTCGTCCTCTCTCAGTCGCGCCGCAGTCGGCTGCTCGCCGGAGATGTCCATCGACTGGCGGATGTCCTGTGTCTCATCCAGCACAGCCGCAGGTAGGCTTTTCCGAAGCAATTCGGTATTCTGCGAGAGTCTGCCTTTCCTCGCGACGCCATTCGAGTCGCGCGCAATCTCTAGCTCGGATCCGAAATCACTCATCCTGATGCTCCCAAAGCTATACCTCGAAAGTCTCCCCGTAGCGTCTTCCGTGAATGCCCTCCTGCCGCGTTCAGTCAACATCGTCGCGTCGACATCTGCCTCCCCGTCCTCCCCATTTGCGGGCATCGAAGCACGTGACCGCATTCGCGCCTGTGCGATCGACTCAAACGTGATCGTCGCGTCTCCCCCCACATCGTCCTCGTCCGGAAGCACAGACGGCGTCGGCGCAGCCCCCAGTAGCTCACTGTCCTCCTCGTCCCCTGCGCCATGATACTCCGGCGGATCTTCATCGAAGCTCTCCTCAATACTCTCGTCAAAGTCAAACGTCATCCGCGGCTTCTTGAACTCCCTCTGATCTTTCTCCTCCTCATCATCAAGCCCGTGATCTGGCCCAACATTCTCCTTGCCCGTGGCAGCATTCGGCGTTTTGGGCTTCTGTTGCTGTTGTCGCGTCGCTGGCGCAGTGATCTTCGCGAACCGCCGCAGCACGCCTCTAGCGGACGACGGGTCGACTTCGTCAGGCGCGAAGCGGCGGATTGTGGAGCGGCGGAGGGAGCGTGTTTTGGTGTTCTGGTGTTGTTGGGCTTGTTGTTGGAGGGCGCGGATTGCGTGTGGGGTGGAGGGTTGGTATGGGGTTCGGTGTCCGGGCGTGTTATTAGCCTGCACGTGAGTCTGAGAGGCGGTAGGTGGGTTGGGAAGGGCGGTCAAGGGGCGTTTGCGGCTCGACATTCTCGAGTGGTGTGGTGCGGATGCTGTCGGAGTGAAGCCTAACACCTAAGAAGAAAGTGTTCGTGGTCGACGCGTGAGTTTGAGAAGTGACGCGTTTGGGGTTTGGAGAACATGGGAGCTCTTGGCAGTAGAATCCGCTCACCTCTTTTAAGCGACTGCATTCCGCAATATCGACCGTGCTATGAGCAGATCGGAACTGCGAGGTTTCGCTCCGGCAAAGTCGTCCTGTGAAGCCGCGGCAGCTTCATCGACAAGCTGTAGGCTGATCCCATGCGATTGTGAGCCGTCACAAGGGAGCAGCGATACTTGCCACCTGTAACCAGATGCTATGTCGCGCCTGCAGAAGCCAATGGCGGCAAGCAGGCATTTGGACAGCCCGCAGACCAACCGTCCGCTGGAAGTCGACAGAAAGCGATGACGTGACGAGGCTGAAAGAGGGACTCATGAAACGCAGGCTCCCCATCCATGCCGATTATCTGAGTCCGACGAATGCCCACGCACTTGATCTCACTTTTGCCGATACTGGGCTACGGCCATCCGGCAAGGTTCTGGGCACCAATTACCTCACTTACTTTCCTCCTGCTACGCGGCAGTCAGAACTTCTAGACGACGGCACAGACTTGTTTCATGCACCGGACTCATCTTTCAAGTACCGACTATGGACTGGTGGCGTGTTCGAAGTCTCGCCTGACAGCAGAAACAGAAGGCTGAGACACCGCGATCATGGACCTCGAAGAGCTGTGCTACTTGAAACCATCAGCGATCTTCGGGTGCGCGGCGATAAGTTCTTCGTAGGCATCGATCGAGTGCCGTGCCTGGGCTTTCCGCAGGACGTAGGAGATCCGGTCACGCCGAAGCACGCTGATTTCAACTCGCAGGTCGGGCTTGATGCTTCTCACAGCTTGACTGCTGCGTTCTTCCAGCTCGATGAGGCAGGCCGGCCGCAACGAAAGCATCTTCAGGACCTGGTCGCCTTCAACAAAGGTCTATTGCCGGTTCTGTATGAAAGACGATGGATCTGTTTCACACGCGAGAGGCCCAAGCTGAACACGAGCCCGGAGTCAACTCCATTGCCAGGGGATGTGTTCCTACGACATTCTCTTACGACCACACCAGCGATGTTGTTTCGCTTTTCCGCACTGACCTTCAATGCCCACGCCATTCACATCGATCCCGAGTACACCAAGCAAGTGTATGGCCTTCCGGACCTCCTAGTCCATGGACCGATGACGCTACATATGCTTCACTGTCACGCCATGCAAGTGGCTGACAACTACAATGCGCTAGGCGCCACCAAGCTCAGGTTGGATAAAATAGCTTACCAGAATATTGCGCCGATTTTTGTGAGAGACACCATCGAAATCGGTTGCACCACGCCAGTGCTCGTCAAAAAACCTGTCCACCGTCTCCGGGCCGAAATGTGGATTGCTAAGCGCGTCGGCACAGGAAGCGACGCAGGAATGGCAAAGTGCGTGAAGGCGGAAGTTCATTTCCACTTCAACGCGACGGCGGCGACGAAAGACGCTTCGCAAGCAGCGGCGCAGGAAGACGTCGATCAGTCCGTTATCATCGACACTCCAGTGCCCGACAGTGATGACTATAATCGGACACAACGGAAAGGAAGCGGAATGAACATCAGAAAAGTTGAGAAAGTACCCAAAATCCCTCTCAGAAAAGGGTGTTGGAGCGATAAAGTAAGATACTACGCGCAAGACTGACGATAGAGGCCGCTTCTACTTCAGCATTTCAAGAAGGTCGATTTCTTGGTTCGCATTTACCAATTGCCAAGGACGGTTCTGAGTCCTACGTGGATTTGGGATCCATGAACGAGCAATATTCTCGTACCCTGGGGGTTTTCGCGAGTTTGAACCAACAGCTGTTGGGAGTAGTAGTGTACGATACTCTACTCCGAAAGGTGCAGCCCTCCGTACCTTGAGCAGCTGTCCGGGGTCAAAGGCGGTCAACATATCACCCACCAGCGACATGTAAGCCACGCAGTGACACATGTACCTCGTTCAAAAGCGGGGCAAAGTATTGTGTTGCTACAAATTGTTCGGATGCCTGCATGGCTGAGGTCGCGCAAATGTTTGTTCTTCGCTGTAAGAAATGTGAGAGTATGAGGTGGCTGTGCTTCAGCCACAGCTCTCATTGACTGCGAAATTGAGAATTAGACGAGTGGTCTAGACGCGAGGCTGGAGATGCCCATCAGCTGGACAGGGGTGTGATCTCGGTTGACGAATTTGCGGCAGAACGTAGGCCAGTCCAAGTTTTTCAGATCGAGTTGGGCGTTGGGTACAGCTGGATCGGAGACTGTGAATGTTTAGAAATTCACATGTCTGGCGGAGATGGCGCTGGTACCGCTGTCGTGCATGTCAATGCCAGCTGAATTCGAGTTGCAACAATCTGGCAAGGGTGATTTCATGATAGAGCAATAGTTCCGCGGGCAGCGTAACGTCTCACAAGGAATGCGAATGACCAGATCTCATAAGAACGAGATGTCCCCCTTGAGCCTGACCTCATGAAATCATCACCGGCAACTGATCTCTTCGGTTTCGTGTTCAAGTCGGCTGGGCAGCGACATTGACATTGCATCCTCGCCTGCAACTATCGGCCAGTTCACGTCATTCTTAGTATCAAGCGGTCGTCTAGTTAAAGGGCTAAGGACTCTGCGGTCCCACCCGTTGCCCGGAACTCACCTTTGACACCAATCACCCGCCCGGAAAACCTTCTCGTTAATCGCAGAGGCTCGAATCCTGGTCAAATATTGACGCCGATCACAGGGCATTTAATTCCACCCTGACGCACCTGCCGCGTCGCCAACTTCTTTTGAAGGGCAGTCGCTACCGTTGCTGCTTCTGTTGTCTATTCACGTTCTCAGGAGCGACGTCGCATCTCAAGCTCATCGACTGTCGTCTTCGCGGACAATATTGCGTTCAAGAGTATCGATCCAGTAATTTGTTTTCCTTACGCATCGGCCGTTGGAACTCAATTTGTTTAAGCAGCGCGTGGATCGCGTCTGCGGCGTAACTGCAAACATGGAGGCCCTCAATGTCTTGCACCACGTCAAGCGACAGGTACGATATTGCGCACACAATACATGCTCAAGTTCGTTAACAGAATAACAGGCTCCAAGTGCCAACGCCGACGATGACCAGAACGTTGGTTCTGCCAACCAGACGTCGCCGTCGCTATCTGGTCTCGTCTCGACGCTGGTACCAGCCCTGCTCATCTTCGTGGTGTGGATGATTGCATTCACAATCCTGCGCCGCAAGTTTCCACGCCGATATGCACCCCGAACATATCTCAACTCTCTGCGTGAGCAAGAGCGTACACCAAACCCGCCCAACAGTCTCTTCGGTTGGCTTCCGTTCATGCAGAAGGTATATGTGTCGCTCGAGGCTGGCATTCAGGTTGCTAATGTGGATTTAGATCCCTGACGAGTTCGTCCTGCAGCACAACTCTCTCGACGGCTACTTTCTCCTGCGGTACATCAAGATCTCGATCGTCATCACATTCGTCGGCTGCCTCATCACATGGCCGACATTGTTCCCGATCAATATCACCGGAGGAGCAGGCCAGAAGCAGCTTAACATTCTGACCTTCAGCAACATCTCAGCAGACACTCAAGTTCAAAAACTGCGGTATCTTGGTCATGTCCTCGTGATGTGGATCTATGTTGGTTTCATCTTCTTTATGGTGACCAGAGAGTACATCTATTTCATCAGTGTACGCCAGGCATACCTACTCTCGCCGCTGTATGCTTCGCGCATCTCCTCTCGCACTGTCCTGTTCCAGTCAGTGCCAACAGAATATGCCAACGAGCACAAAATTCGTCGCATGTTCGGCCAGGAGCTGAAGAACGTATGGGTTGCTTCTGACACCAAGAAGCTCGAGGAAATGACAAAGGATCGTTCCAAGGCCGCCATGAAGCTGGAAGGTGCCGAGACCAAGCTGATCCGACTTGCCAACACTGCACGCATCAAAGCCTCGAAGAAAGGTGGTCAGCAGCCACCACCTCAAGCAGCTGACGATCGGGAAGGGGGTGCCGAATCTGGCGCGGCAGCAGCTCGATGGGTTCCGTCTAAGAAGCGTCCTACGCACCGTTTGAAGCCTATCATCGGCAAGAAGGTCGACACTATCAACTGGGCACGTGATGAAATCGCCCGACTGAATCCGCTTATTGAGCAGGCTCAGAATATCTACCGTGCTGGGGAGCAACGCCGAGAAACGCTGTATTCGTGGAGTTCCACAACCAGACACAGGCTCAAGCTGCTTTCCAGATGGTCACACATCACCAAGCTCTGCATATGGCTCCTCGTCAAGTCGGCATGACACCAGACGAAGTCATCTGGAAGAACCTGGGTATGACATGGAAGACTGCAACGATTCGAAACGTTGTCTCTCTGGCTGCAGCAACTGCTCTCATCATCTTCTGGTCATTCCCTGTGGCTGTTGTCGGCGCGATCTCGCAGATCAGTTACCTAACGACGGTACTGCCCTGCTCGATTTTATCAATTCGTTGCCAAAGGTCATACTCGGAGTCGTCACCAGCTTGCTGCCTTCGGTCATGCTGGCTATCTTGATCTCTCTCGTTCCGGTCTTCTTCCGACTCATGGGCAAGGTGGCTGGCAAGCCGACGCTTTCTGCTGTTGAGCTGCGATGTCACGAGTCCTTCTTCTGGTTCCAGGTTCTCCAGGTGTTCCTGGTGACAACCTTGACTTCTGCTGCCAGCAGTGCGGTTCCAAGCATCATCAAAGATCCTAGCGGCATCCCGAACCTGCTTGCGCAAAGCATCCCACGTGCATCCAACTTCTACGTTTCCTATATCATACTGCAGGGATTGACCTTCGCCGCGGGCACTTTGGTCCAGATCGCAGGCCTTGTCCTCTTTTATGTGCTTGGGAGGCTTCTTGACAGCACACCCCGCAAGATGTATAACAGATGGTACAATTTGGCCAGCCTCGGATGGGGTACGGTGTACCCATTTCAAGAGTAAGTGCTTAATCATCAACGCTTGACGAGATTCTAATGTTGTCACAGAATCCTGATCGTGGTCGCCGTCACGTATGCACCTATTGCGCCCCTCGTCTTGGGTTTCGCGACGATCGGTCTATGTCTCTACTATGTCGCCTATCGATACAATCTGCTGTTCGTGCAGACCTCTATCATCGACACGAAAGGACTGAGTTACGCCAAAGCCCTCAATCATACCCTGGTCGGTTGCTACCTCGGCGTTGTCTGTCTCATCGGATTGACTGCCATTCAATACGCAGCACCAGCTCTGTTCCTGTCCATAATCCTCCTGGTCGTCATGGTTCTCTACCACATGTCGCTGAAGAGTGCCATGGAGCCTCTCATCCACTACCTTCCACGATCTTTGGAGGCGGAGGAAGCAGCACTATTGGCAGGCTTGAACGACGCTAGTGGCATCCAGACTCCGGAGAGCAAGGGACTGACATCGTACGAGAGATCTGTCAACGGCGCCGTCAACCAAAAGCATGGCAAGGTCTCGCTATTCAAACGCTGGCTCCGTCCAGACATCTACTGCAACTACGATGCTATGCGGAAGCTGATACCACACGATTTCGTTGACATCCACTACACTCCCGAGCAAGCACGTGACGCGTTTCAGCATCCCTCCGTCACGGATACGGTTCCGCTGTTGTGGGTTCCGAGGGATGAGATGGGTGTTTCGCGACAAGAATGTCTGCATACCAACAAGGTCACTCCTATGACGGACGAGGGCGCGTACTTCAACGAGAAGGGCAAAATCGTCTGGAACCGTGAGAGTGACGAGCGTCCACCGATTTATGAGGAGAAGGTCTATTACTAGACGAGCGCGAGTAATTGCTTAATGGTCTAGCGATATCGCAAGCGATCGACGTTCGTTCAAGTGTTTTATGATACCCATTACTGGTTGAGAGAATGGACTGGCTGGTAGCAACTTGGCTCAGCAAAAAGGGAAGAACGCAGAGAGATGCCCGAGTCGATGACCGGCAGATGGAGAGCTTACTTTTAGGCAGCTTCGACTGTACGCGTAGAAGCTACTCTATGAGCAGAGCTTGATGATAGCGGTAATTCTAAAGAGCTCAAACATTCTCTGCCATATTTTATGCTGCTGATGCTCACTATGGGTGAGCTGCCCTGCTGTCGCGATCTGCCATGCGCGGGTGACTTACGTGGTAGGTAAGGCTATCTGGAGTGCTCTGTCGGGATGGGGCAAGAGGGGCCTAGGCTGACAGCTATGGTAGTCGGACTGCAGCGTGCATAGTGCCCAGACCGATTGACTGTTACTTACCTAGATACCTGGGAAGGTGTGGAGTTGCACCGGATGACGGCAATATACATCTGTTGAGCCAGGAGTTTGCCTCACTAAACCCCGTGCGATCATTTCATCATTTTATTCTTCTCCGCTCTCCAACCCGGCTTCTCTTTCTTTTCTTTTCCATATAATAGAAAGTTGACGCCAGACGGTAATTTGACTCGACGTCCACACGTCCTCCTATGTTCGCCGAGTTGTATTAGCTGGTCAGAACAAGTTCACACCGCCTTGCCCTCAAGAGCACGAGAAAGGCCCACAAGCCGATGATTCCTCGACTGCCCCGTAGCAACGCCACATCTTAGCTCCCTAAACGTCTGTACTTACCTCGAACGTACTCGACTACGGCCACTTGTTCCTCACGATGGATGCATGAAAGAGCCGTAGTCAGTCGCTTGGTGTCAATGAATATATATCACAACCGATTTGCATCTCGAGACTTCATCCTCACCAGTGATACTCCACGTCCAATATGCCTTACCGGGCAAGATGGAAGACCAACCTCGTCAACGCCTTCCCCGTCCCAGAAGACCGGAAGCCGAAGAAGAAGATACAGACGGGTACTGAAGAAGAGCAGGAAGACGACACGGGTTTCAAGCCCAAAGGGACTTTCCCGCTTCTCTCTCTTCCAGCAGAAGTGCGGACGCAGATCTACAACCTGATCCTCTTCAATGAGACCGACCCGCTCGCCAGCAAGGCGAGTCAGGTGATCGACCAGCGAGAAATTCTCCCGAGCTGCAAGAACTTGGCATTTTTGCTGCTAAGTAAACAAGTCCATTCCGAAACCACACGGCTCCTGTACTCGACCGCTACCTTTCGTCTCTTCCCGATCCAAGACTTCCTCGGCCTCCCCACGCTCGCCGACATTGCACCACACTACCGCACGCACATCACTCGGCTGACGATCACGCTAGGAAGCAGCTGGACAGGACCACCAGCAAGTTGGAAGGTCACCAAGGGTCTTGCACGATACTTGCAAAGGATGAGAGGTGTCCGTGTGTTGAGGGTCTTCGTGACACTCGATCCGACAGGCGACGATTTTGAGAAATACAGGATCAGCTACGACTTCTACACCGATTTCTGTGGCGAGCTGCTGCGAGAGGTGTTGAAGGCGATGCCGAAGGCGCTGGAGATGGTGGAATTGTCGGGATATGAGCATGTTGAGCCGGATGGGCCGCTGGTGAGTCGCTTGGCGAAGGAGGCTATCGCGAAGGAGAAGGTGGTTTTGTATGGTCAAGAGTGCGGGTGGTCCAAGAAGATGGAGAATTTGAAGGGAGACCGGCGGACACTTGTGTTGCGATGAGGCATAAATTCGTGCTGCTTACCGCCACTATTCGCATGAAGCGCGCCAGAGACCCAGCTGGGCACAACGTCCCATCCCAAGCAACCTTGAGTATATCTCTTGTCAACCGGCGCGATTTCACACCACGTCAGACGACTAGCAGCACCAAACGCGGCTCACTACTTGAATTCACTGATAAGGTAGCATCTCACACCGTAAAGGCGATGACGCTTGTACACATCTGGCAATTCTGCTACCTGTCTTCGATATGTACATTCCCTGATGGAGAATCGAGTTACTTGGGCTTGGACGCCTGAACCGCGTCTCACCACGTCTCATCCGATATACTTGAGCCTTATGCCAGACCTTCCCGCTCCCTCTAGAACACAACACCTGTTACCCAAAGCCAGGATGAACGAGGCGCCGCCCGACTACGACTTACGCGCCGGTCTGCCACTGGTCGGCACATTTGTTACACTCTCTGAGGTCACCGAAGCCGACATTCCAGCTCTCTACACAGCATACGGCCTGCCAGCTTCGACGGCTGTGTTCAAGTACCTCCCGGGAGGCCCACCTTCATCGTTTGAAGACTTCCACAGATTCATTGCCTCCAAAATCGGCCTCAAAACCCTCTGCTTCCTTGCTGTTCGAGCCGATCCCAAACATTTATCGTACGGATCATATCCCGAGCCTGACGCCACCACAGCCTCCCACGCCCACAACGTTCCCCTCGGCATTCTACCCCTCTACATGACCGACCAAATTAATGGTTGCCTCGAGGTCGGCGCTATCCTCGGCCCGCAGCTGCAACGTACCCCCGCGTCGACGGAAGCTAATTACCTCAACCTCAAACACGCTTTCGAGACGCTTGGTGCGCACAGAGTGGCGTGGAAGTTTCTTGCGCGGAATGAGAAATCGCGTGGTGCGGCGAAGAGGATGGGGTTTGTGAAGGAGGGGTTAGTGAGGGAGGACAGGAGGTGGGAGGGAGAAAGGGTGGGGCTGGAGCTGTGGGGAATGGTAAAGGGTGAGTGGGAGGGTGCTGTGAAGAGAGGGTTCGAGACGTGGCTTGATAGGGGGAATTTTTGGGAGGATGGGAAGCAGAAGAGGAGTTTGGAGGAGTGCAGGTGATGCGCTGGAAGGGAAGCATTGGTGGGGACGTGGACAAGGCTGTGGCGTGGCCGACGCTTGTGCTGGAAGTGCGCTGATCGGAACCACGAGAGAAGTCTGTGCGGGACAATGTCGGTCCAGCCCTGTCTCAATGTCAATGGACAGTGCATCTCGAGATCACCCATGGTACTGCGAAGCAAAGGTTTTGTCCAGCGCTACCAAGCAGCAAGCATTCAAAAGGTCGACCTATCGCTAATCTGCCAATTTCCCCGCAACCCCAGTTCTTCTACATCACTCCCGCTTTCGGCAGTCGCCCGGTGGTCACTCATCAAACATTTCTGATGCTTTCCTTGTACCGGCTTGGGGTGCACAAAGCAGGCTGGTCCTTGAGTATTGCTCTTGAATCGTTGATTGTGACTGCACCATGTCCGAGATTTTCGAGGCGGCAGCCCTCGAATTCAGAGTCTGCCGTCCACGCTCTACGACGAAGGCGACCGCATCTCAGAGGATTTTACTCAACTATTTGCCTGTCAATCAAGAATATGCACTCCCTCCTGCGAATACCAAGATCCTCGACTTACCGGTCTGCCCGGGATCAGAGACTGGAGTGACGTTCAACTTGTTCAGCGAGATCCAGAACATGTACACGGCTCTGCAGTGAACATCATGCAGACAATGGCTCATTCGCCTGCTGCATCTCCTTGGTTCATACTGGGGCCATGGCTGGTTGCTCGAAGCATCCCAGGTGAGCTGCGTGGCGTCGAGCATATCATACTAATAGAGAATTACTAGACAGGCCTGGTCCAACCCGTCTTCACATGATACCAAGGCTTCAGCTCCTCCTGGTTGCACTGACAGACACAAAATCAGGCTTTTCATGAGATGGCCGCCGCTTTCAGCAAGCATCGCTTGCAAACATGCAGGGGAGTTTGCTTGCTTTTCAGCAAACAATGCCTGGACACATGCAGAAGTCCAGATACTTATACTCACAGGCTGAACACGTGCTATTCTTCTCAACTACACATCTTCTTACGGCGTTGCGAGACACATAGGAGAACGTGGACCGAGCATGGCAGCAACGTCGAACACTGGCTCTGCCAAGCCCTCCCCAGTCTTGATAGGCCTCTATGGAATCCCCGGATGCGGAAATCGTTCATGCTCGCAGCTCTGAAGGAGAGACTTGGCACTGAGCGGTGCTTGTTCTTCGAAGGTTCTGAGATGATTGAGGAACTCGTCGATGGTGGATCCGGTGCGCAGGACGAGATCCGCGAACCTGACATTCAGCTCATTCAAGAGGAGTGCCGCGTTAGAGACCTGCCCGGTATCGTCACAGGCCACTACACTTTTCGATATTCCGGCACCGGCTCTCTGATGACTGCTGGTACATTCAAGGACTTCGACGCTTACTCACACATCTTGTATCTCCACGTCTCCCCCACGACAATCCACGAACGCCGTTATATGGATCTTACTAAGCGACCGGATATCGATCTAGTGCAACTAAGCGACTGGCAACACAAGGAGTACGCCGCGCTGCGTGAACGCTGTGTCGAGGCAAAGATCCCTTTAATGAGCATTCCGGACGAGGTTGCGGGCCCTGAGAACGTCGTCCGTGTCATACAAGATCTTCTGTCCCCAATTCACGAGATGCGACTTGAAGAAGTGGAAGCCTTCATCGAAAGGGAAGTCAGTCCAACGGTCAAAAGTGCGCTGATCTTGGACGCCGACAAAACACTGTCAGAGGCCGACGGCGGAGCTTTAGCCCGCGAGATGATGGGTATCGGAAACAGGAGCTCTCTTCAACAAATCCTCGGCTCGTACGGGTACAATCTTGAAGCGTTCGTCACACTGGCAATGTTGTACTGTCAGAAGACACCTTTCGACTTCAGCACCGGCTGTAATCAAGCGGCGAGAAAAATCAAGCTGTACGGCCCGATAGAAGCTATTCTTCGTCAGGTCGCTCGAGAGTCTTCGTTGCAGATCATCGTCATAACCTGCGGTCTCAAAAAGGTTTGGGAGCGCGTCCTTCAACGCCATGGCTTCCACAGCATTCTCGGCCATGGCCTCGGCAGCATTCCCGTCATTGGCAATGGACAGCTTGATCTTCCAGTGGTGACGCCTCAGACGAAAAGCCTACTGGTCCGACAACTGCAGGAACGCGGCATCTATGTCACAGCTTTCGGAGACAGTCCTCTGGATCTGTCAATGCTCAGCGCTGCGGACAACGCTGTCATAGTGGTTGGTCCCGAGAGCACCCGGAGCAAGACTATGGACAATCCCTTGGCTTACAGCATTCAGGAAGGCAAAGTTCGTGCGCGTCAAGCTCTCATGGGAGATGTGTCGCGTCGCCTCATCAACGGGCCTTTCCAGTTACGGGATTCGGATAAGCCGCCGATCGAAGCTGCAGACATCAGCCTTCCCGTTGTTGACATCTCGAGCGAACAATTCCTCGTCCAAGTCCTTCATTCACGTCGCAACACAGCCGGCGTCTGAGCCTCCAGGTTTCGCTTCTATTGTGCTGCTGAGAAGTATGAGAGTGCGCCTGAGTTCTGAGCACACCGATGCGCAACGCTACCGTATCTGGACATGCCCTCCGACAGGCACACCACGAAGTCGGTTGCGATGGACAGGCCAGCTTGGCGGCGTTGCGAAAATCGGAGAACAACTTCACTAGCACAAGTGGTATTGACACAGGGAACAAATTGTTTGGTACCAAGCAGTTGCCCTGACAAGGGCTCACAGAACTGCTCCACTCGGCAGCCACTACTGCCTCTGCACGTGGAGGACCGGAAGGAACTGTTCGATGATGGCAAGGCTGGCGATGCTGATGATGTTCAATCAGGGGACCCGTGGAGGGTTTGGTGGATGCAGCAGCTGGAAGCAGCAGGAGCAATAGCGACCTTCGTTTGTGAGAGTTGAGAAGCCCGTCGTCTGCTGAGACGCTGTAAAAGATATGATCAGTCTTGAGAACTCCTTGAGAATCGATACATGTTTGTGTATTTCCTGCCATCATCGCTCCCACCTGGTCGGTCCCTTTGCTCCCGTGTTCGATTCATTCCGCCACTCATATAAATTCCCACAAGCCCAACACAGGTAGATGTATTGCCTACCTTTGGTCTCAATAGGCGATGTATTGAAAAGTCCCGTAAATCTGGAGAGGCAATTCTTCCATGTGTCAGCAGCACGGGCTCAATCCAAAGCACCGACACTGATTACGAGTATAAGTACCCAGCGAGCCACATATCAAACCATCACAATCCGAATCCCAAATCCGAGACGGTAGTTAGGGTCCTGCGCTCCGCTGATGTCAAAGAACTGTCGGCGAGTCCGTATCATAGGCTCACAAGACACTCGCGAAATTCGGCTCCTGACTGAACTGCTTCTCGAAGACTGAAAGAATTCCTCGTATTGTTCGGCTGAATCGTGGATGTCGCGATGATTTGCTGTCGAGTCGTATTCGGCGACTTAGCGTCGACTCCCCGCCTATTCCAATACCCACCGGCCTCGACCCTCCAACCCCACGATTGCCCCAGTCCCGACGCTCCAATCTCAATTTTGCCGAAGTTCTGTGTTTCTGTCACTCGCTCGTAGCTTCCGGCGACGTACAAGCCCATGCTATGCATCGGACCGTGGAGTGATCGCGCACGCGCGTCGCGAACCTTGAGACTACCCTCTGGTGAAACGACTGATGAGTCGAGATGGTCACAACCAGCACCGCGGGCGCCACCCGGCATCGTACTCCGGCGGCCAGTCCCTGTCCCAAATGTGGACGTGAGTTCAGCAGAAAGGACTCCCTACAAAGACACCTGAAAGTACATTCCCAAGATCGAGGGCCGCTCCACCGTATTGTGCATGAGAAATTCGTGAGTGAACCTGACGTCTCGAAACATGTCCATATCATCATGATGCTTGGCGAAGACGACCATGGGCTGACGACCTTTACAGAGGGCATGTACTTCATGCCGCCGGTCGAAGGCAAGGTGTACAGGGAACAGTCCATGTGCGAGATGCGAGCAGCTTCAACAGGAATGCACCTACGAAGCTGGCAAAGCTCCGCGCACGAAGCACAAAAGCCAGCTCTCGATCACAACCGATGTCACTGATGTCTTGTCAGAGGAGCCAAGAAAGAGTCCAATGGTCAAAGTCTTGTCTCCAACGGGGTCCTCTCCCTCTGCGAGGACACCGCAGTCGCCGACGCCGCCGGATCTACTGCATACGCACAGCAGCCCAACAATTCTGCGATTAGATGAGTCGACCACTGATCAGACCACTACAGCTCCCACTCCATTCACCGAAAACCTGGCCACAATAGCGACGCCATCATCAACAGTGTTTGGCTCCATGATGGACAGCGACATTAGAGCGGCGCTGTTGAAGGACCGTTCGCAAATGTCACTAGCTCAGTCGCCATATGTGTCGCCACGAACGCGAACGTACACCCTTGATCCGTACTCCTACAAGCTACCGTCGATCTCGGACACACGCTCACCAGTTACACCTTCCTCGACAACCGCAGCGCTTGCAACGTGTCGGTACCCCGTCATGCAGTACTTGGCGCCATTCCTTGACCGTGACTTCGGCTATCACTTAGCTTGCGATCTGCTGGACACTTACTTCTCGAGTGCGTTCTCGAGCCGCCTGCATCCAACATGCCACCATCTTCACAACTTCATCGTCCGACGCTGTGATGTACTCGATCCTTTGCATCCTCGAAAGATTCACCCAGCACTTCTGGCGAGTATGCTCTTTGTCGCCTCTCTTAGCGACAGGGCTCTTGGCCTGTTCAATGGGCCAGAAGAGCGCGACCGGATCTGCAAGTATCTCAGTCTGCTCACGTATCGGTTGCTGCACCCTGCGAGATTGGAGTCGTTACTCAGCCAAGAAGATCTTGGCCTTCCAGCAGCATGTCTGATCACCCTCCCTTGCTACACAGACGAAGATATCCACCGTGCTCTGGATCCTGGAGGCTTAGAAGCACTACCAGTGACCTGGGGTACAGACTACATCATCACGTTTATTCACGTCTCGTCGATTATTTCTGGTAGTGAGAAGAAGGCAGCAAGCATCCGGTGGTGGAACGTAGCATTCAATCTTGCTCGAGACTTGAAGCTGAACAGTGAGGTTGACAACTTTTCAGCCCAGGATGAAGTCGGCAGAATGCATGGCTTGCAGACATGCGGCTGCTCCATGCCTCAAGAGCTAAGTAAGGACACTATGACAGAGGTGCATCGAGAAGAACGACGACGGACGTGGTGGCTACTGTTTCTTATGGACCGTCATCTAGCGCTCTGCTACAACCGACCACTAGCCCTCCTCGAGGCCGAGTGTAAAGATCTGCTGGTTCCACTCGACGATGTTGTATGGCAGTCCGGTGCACAACCTCACAGCCACGGCATCCGCCCCAACGGCCCTCACTGCGTCCTTGCACCTTCTGGAACTGGTCGCAGCAATGGTCCGCCCGTTACTTGCACCGGCTTCGGGCTCTTTCAGTACTTCCTTCCACTCATGACCATCACTGGTCACCTTCTCGAGTTCAACCGCGCAAAGTCTCATCCAGTCCTTCTCTCAGCTAGCGCAGCAATGTGGTCGTCACAAGAACGCCAAATCCTTTCCGAACTGGAGCACTACCAAACGAGTCTTGATGCCATCGCCACGTTGACAGACGATGCGACACAACGGCCCTCTCTCGGGGGCCGCTCGAACTCCTGGCTTCAACAACATCCCACCGCAGGCTCGGTCCGTGAGTCTTCCGAGCGCGCACATATTGCGAAGATCGTATCCGCCTACGCCAGGCATGTCATGTCAGTTCTCCGGATCCTTGTCGGTAGCAAATGGGATCCAGTGCAATTGTTCGAAGACGCAGATTTCTGGACTTCATCAGGCGGCTTCAAGGAAAGCATGAGCCACACCATCACGGCAAGCGAATGTGTCACGCAGATACTGGAGCTCGATCCGGATCTGAGCTTCATGCCATACTTCTTTGGGATCCAGTTGCTGCACGGCAGCTTACTCCTGCTTCTGGTAGCATATCGGTTGCAGGCGGATAGTGGTTCGGTGATACTGACAGCTTGTGAGGCCGTCGTGAGGGCGACTGAAAGCTGTTTCGTAAGTTTTCTGTCCTCAGACTGGAATAAAGTCTTCGTGTAGCTAACTTTGATGAACAGGTGACACTGCCAACAGACTACCAACGGCAATTCCGAAACGTGATGCGGAGCGCGATTGCGCTTGCTAGAGGGCGAGGTGACCGCACGAGAGAGGGCGAGACCGAGAAGCAACTCGCTAGCGTGCTTGCCCGGTACAGATGGTCGAGAAACGGTGGCGGGCTGGCAAGATGAGTTCGTTCTTGCGTACGCCTGAGATCCATTTTGCCAGCATTATCTTATGCTTGTCAGTTCCCTACAAGAGGCCGCTACATCACTTGGCGTCTATCTTGGACGAAGACTACTTGGGACCCAATTGGGAAGTTCCTTGGACCACGTGCGTACCAAGACCATGATCGGCACTCGTTAAAGTCTTGTTCGGTCATTGCGTCAAGCGTGCCGTACGCTTGGCACATGGCATATCAGACGTAATAGCATCGGCACACAGCCCAAGGTCGAACAGCTGTCCCCCTTGGTAAGAGTACCACTACCGCTACGAAACCAGGGCACTTCGAAAGGACGCGTGCCGGGAAGCTCCCGTCCATAAACGTCGTACAACTGCAGAGACATCCAGCATGTCCCTCCTCCTGGCCCTCACGGCGCGACTCATCGCCTGCCTCGCCATTCTACAGTTCACCACCGCCTACATCGTCACTCACAATCTGACCGGCGACATCCCCTCCTCCGCCGTCATGAATTTCGTCTACGCTCCCTTCCCCGTTCTACCCGGTGCCCTCTCCCTAACCGTCTACCAACATTACTCCAGGCCCCTCAACAACAGCATCGATCTCGGCATCTTCTCTCCACTCGGAATCTCCCTATCTCAGCCTTCAACGGCAGCGGCTCTCGCGGCTGGTCCGGTGGGTTTCGCAAGAACTTCACTATTGCCTTGGGCGGGGCGACGCCGGGCTATAATGCTGGGCCACTGGAGGTGGGAGAGTGGAACGTCGTGCTGGGACCGTATGTGGTCGAGGCGGCGGGCGTGGACTGGTCGGTGAATGTGGAAGTGACGTATGCTAAAGCCGAAGGTGATGGGATGGACTGGGAGGGAGTCGAGTATTGGCGGCCTACGCGTACGCGCGGACGGACTATGAAGGCTTCTTAGTTGGACAGAGTAGTGATATGGAGGGAGCGGTGCGAGAGAGCGAAGAGCAATGGCTACGCGGAGACTTCCATATGCATTCTATCTACTCCGACGGGAGGTATCTACCAAGCGAGCAAATGGAGAATGCCGTGAAGAAAGGGCTGGACTTCATCTTTTTCTCAGAGCACAACACAGACAGCGGCAGCAACGAGATCGGTCGCTGGCGGCCAGAGGGAGCTGAAGAGCTGCTGGTTGGTAGAGCTATCGAAGTCACTACAAGGCACGGTCACTGGCAAGCTATTGGACTTGATCGAGGTCAGCAGGTCGAATGGCGGTATACGAATGAGACAGATGGCTTCGCGCAGGCCGCGGATGGCGTGAGGCAGTCTGGAGCGCTCGTCAGCATTAATCATCCCTATGCCAGTTGCTCGCGCTGCGACTGGACGCTAGATTGGGATCATCATGATGCGATCGAGGTATGGAATGGGCGGTGGAGTCCATTGAATGAGCTCGCGGTCCGACGATGGCAGGACGAGTTGGTGGCTGGAAAGAAGACAGTGGCGATTGGCGGAAGTGATGCTCATCACCCGCCAGAACAGAACGGGCTGCCTACGACAGTGGTCAGGACGTCTGTAAAGAGTCAAGCAGGCATTGTCCAAGGTGTTCGTGAAGGCGGAGTGTATCTCGTGGAGGGCCCTGGTATGGAGTTGGAATTCAGTGTGCTGGTTGATGGCATCGAATACGATATCGGTCGTACTGCGCCTACTGGGAGTGGCACGGCAGTGTTGGCCGCCCGTGGCTTCCTCGACGCCATAGCGTGTTTCGTGACAGACACTGGCTATGTCAAAAATCAATCTCTGACCGAGGATCCGGTCAGATATGAGGTTGACGACAGCAGGTTTATTCGGGTCGAGGTCAGGAACTCGAGTGACGTGCTGCTGGGTCTGGCGAATCCTGTATTCTTTGAATGATCAAGCACATGCGCCCTCGCCAAAGACTCAAGCCACGGCAGTACCTCTCCCTCGCTAGTATCATGTCGCCCAGCAAGATTCATTTCTCCTCGTCGCTGCTGCCATGGAGAGAAGGGAAAGCCGCCTTCCGGTTCACACGACCCAGGTGACCAGAGATCAGTCGAATACCAAAGCTAGATCTACAGCAGGCGTGGGAAACATCCTCTTCCTGACACCCTCTGACAGCTCTAGACCTGGTTCTCTGGTTATTGAGTGGACGTATATACCCAAAACAACCGATGTGAGTCTCTGCAACGTGTTTTGATACGCCTCGCCGCTCATATATCGTTGCAAGTGGCTCGGATGATCAACACATTGTATTAGTGTGTCTGTGCCAGGACTCTCCAACATATTTCTGAACGGTCGTGTAATGCTGCAATCCCCCTGAAGCATCGTCCCGGAGTCTGCACCAAGTATCATTGAGGAGGCACAACCGCCAACTAGAAGAAGCATCACAGGGTTTATGTCCAGTAGTAGTTGATGTAGTCAAGGCGCAAATTATTCTTCTAATTGGGTTGTGACTGATGTTTGGTCCTCAAATTCAAACCTAATGATATGGCCAGGGATACTGTTCACCACAACAGCTGATTCACTGGCCAACATACCCTGAAACGACCTTCCTCAGAGGAGAAACAGCATATTATCGAGTATGGTGTGGTAGATTCCACAATTTGAGGTGTCGAGCTGTGCGTTCAAACCCACTGACACATGCACTGGCTGCTCATAAACAACCATGACCATCATGCGTGACTGAAGAGGTAAGAGTCGCGGTGGGCCATCAGGTGCGAAGATGGATGTATAATAGTCTGGAGACCATGGCGTACTGTCAGTTCTGATTTACTTCGTGGTCCAATCTTCGAGATGCCGAGAATTCTTACGAAACAGCTTGAACTGGCACCACGACTCAAGAGAAGCATCTTCAAACTTCTTCGCAATCTGTACTGGGTCATACTGCGGGCTGGTGTATCGGGCTGTAGGCGCAAGAGGCATTTGCTGCTGGTGGATAGTGCGCAGCATGATTTCTGTATCGAGAGGAAGACCATAGTAGTATAAGTGATTCCCATGGAGCCGAACCTTCTCGAGAAGTGTATCAACAGGTCGAACTTTATTAGCTGGCTGATGTTTGTAACGTGTAAGCTGTAGACCATCGGGTAGTAGGTTTGTGCACTGTCCCCAGTATAGTCCGACCAGGGCAGTCCCAGCGATGTCCAGCTTCCGCTCCAGGTCTTTCTGAACCATACTGCATAGTCCAACCTCAAATTGTTGCTGATAGGTTTGCTGGATGAAGCCAAATATCTTGACCGCATATTACACTATGGCATCAAGAGTAGGACAAATTGCTGCTGACTTTATAGCGTCCCTCCAACTGCGCCTCAGGTACAAATTCTGACCAGCATGACAGATGTAGAGTATCGAGAATGCCGAGCCAGCTTGCAAGGCACTGTTCCAGAGGTCTAACTGGCGTCGTACATGATCCGTTGCCAAGGGGGCCTTTGAACTGAGCAAAGCCAATAACTTGTGAAAGTCCCTGAAAGTGAGTGTGTATGTATGAATGCACACCTATCCAACGAGAACACTCTCTGTGGCTATGATGGGTGTACCCGACTTGGCCAGCTCAGCCAGCTCGGCTAAATTTGTTCTGGAGTGTGACAGACCATCGTTGGGCGCTGCAATAGATGCTTCCAGCTCGGCGAGCTAGGATCTATCATGGAGTCTGATAGACCATTGTCCGGCGCTTCAATCGGTGCTGCTGGTTCAGCCAGCTCGGCGAGCCTGGGATCTATTGTGAAATATGACAGCTCATCCTCCGGCACTGGAATCGGTGCTCCTGGCTCGGCTAGTAGCTGCCTTGTCACATGGTAGTAATCATAGGCCTGATCTCAGACAGACGCTTCTTGTCCATAGGTCTTGATTGGCTTCATGTCTGGGTGCTTGATCTTTACTCCGCCAAGGAGCTCGTAGAGCTGATCGTTTGATGTTTCCAATGGCCTGTCGGCATTCTATGCCGACGCATTGGACGCGGTTATTCTGAGCACTCACAGCCATCAGACTTTCTCGTTGAAGCCATACATACGGTGACGATGAAAATGTTTTTTTGAGCTGAATCTGCAGTACTGATGATAATAGTCCGTGCGGAATGTCGAGGCTATCATCGATCCGAGGGAGGAGTCCTTGAGCCATGTTAGTGAGACTCTGCAAAGGTACTGCTGGTGTGGGCTGAGGCAACAAGACTCGGCGGAACTTACGTATTATTGTGGTGGGATGTCCTCCAGGCGTGGTCCCACGCCTCCGTTCCCTATAGAAATGATTGCAAGAAGCGGAATGACAATGTCTCTGGCAGGCTTCGCAGGCATAACCCTCCTCGTCGATCAACATGCTTTGTGCGCTATCACGCCGCGACCGAGGTCTGGTCGATGATGAGAAGATTGCTATTCAGTAGGACTGTACTTCAGTCAAGGCCGGGCGCAACATTTGTTGCAGACCCAATTGCAGACAGGATTGCTGAGAAAGGCTTCGTGATGACTGTGGTCCTCGTGCTGCAAGGCGACCTTGCTTTTGGTCCTCAAGCATCCTACGATGCGTTCAAGACGCCCAGTGTACAGATGCTCTCCTGAACTCCTTGCTTCAAAACAATATCCAAGTACGCATGTCCCAGTTCTGCGATACAAGCCCGAGCTCTTCCATGAATCGTAATCACCCATCCCTCTCCCCACCGCCATCAATGCCCAACCCCTTGCCACTCCCTCCACCAACACTCCCCGTCGCCGCACTCGCACTTCTCTCATCGGCCCGAAACATGATCTCCTGCTCTAATCTGTCGCATCGCTCCGCCATATCGTCTAGTTTGGTCAGGATCTCGTCCGAGATGTTCTTGAACTTCTTGTCTAGGTCACCTAGAAAGTCGTCTATTGCTTCGGCGAGGCGTGTGGAGGTTTCTTCTGCGGACGCGTGGTCCTGTTGTTGTGATGTGGGGGCGTTGTTGGCTGGAGCAGTTTGGGATATTGACATGTTGGGCGGGTTGTGAACGTGCATCAGGCGGAGGATGAGACGGACGAGGAGTCAGGAGCGTGCTAAGTGCTGCGCAAGGTAAGTCCGAGTGTGGCCTCACCATTAGTTTACTTGATGCTGTACACTCGGGGCAGGAAATCGCACGAACAAGTTGCGCGTGAGGAGGAAGTGAGGTCTAAGCGAGGCTGAATGTCAGCCTCGTACAAATCACGCACTTGCTTTGAGCGAAGGGAGAGAGACACTGGCAGAGACGAGCAACAACTCGAATTACTCACGAGGTCATCATTATTCTCATGAATCTTGATAGCTAGAGATCTGTCTTGCCAATCGAGAAATTGGCATCGCTCGAAGTTCGAGAAAAATGGGTGCAGCAGCGGTCACTCAGCATAGCGCGACGACGACGACTTCTTCGAAGGTTTCCGACAACAGAACGTGACTGACTCGTACTAGACTGCTGCGGCAGTTATTAGCCAGAAAGTCGCCCGAGGAGCGCAATTTGGCCGCCTAGATCTCCAGATGATTGGCGCTGGGAGTCCCATGACCCAGGCGTTCTCCTTTCTCCAAAGCCTTGTCCAGGCAACCGAACATGGCTGTATATTGAAGTTGATATACGACAGACGCAGGGGTAAGTCTGCGAAACCATCCCTCGTTTGCCTCGCGAGTCAAGCAAACCTGGGTTGAGGAAGTCCAAGCCGAAGTTATGACTTTACTTCAGTGTTGATATAATCACTGTCGACGTCTATAACTTGGCCTTCTGCAAATCCACAGCATCTCGCTTGGCCCAGTCCCGCATCACCTTTCTCATTATCTTCCCACTTGCTAATTTTGGGACTTCATCGATGAACAGGACGCCTCCCACCAAGGCTTTATGCTTTGCGACCCTGCTCTTGACCCAATTCTGTACGTCCTCCACCGTTGTCTTCCCCTTGTACTCATCTTTGAGCGTCACATAGGCTCTCGGCCACTCATCATGGCCCAAGGTGATACCCACGACGGCGGCATCCGCGACCTGGTCGTTCTCCAAAAGCACCGCTTCCAACTCGGCAGGTGCGACTTGTAGGCCGTTCACTTTGATGAGCTCCTTCTTTCGATCCACGATCCAGAACCAGCCATCTTTCACCAGTGCGATATCACCAGTCTTGAGCCAGCCACCGCTGTCCAGCGTCTCCTTCGATGCCGCCTCATTCCTCCAGTAGCCCAGACATACCTGTGGTCCTCGTACAGAGATCTCTCCTCGATCGCCATCCACAATTTCATTCCCGTCATCGTCGAGCAACCTGCACTCGCTGTTCGGATCCAACAAGCCAACACTACCTGAGTCATCGTACCGGCCTCCTGGCACGTGTATTGCTCCACATGTCACCTCCGTCATGCCCCAGCCCTGCACTACATTCACTTTGAATTTCCTCGACACGGCATTCTGTAGCTCCTTGGATAGAGGCGCTGCTCCGCAGAGGATGTTCTTCAGACTGCTGAGATCGTAATTGCTTGTCTCTGGTCGCTTATCTAGCATGACTAAGATAGGCGGCGCAGCCTGCAGGTGCGTTATTCGGTACTGTTGCATGCTTGCAAGGAAATCTGAGTAGACGAATTTGACCATGATATAGATGGGGTTCAAAAGTTTCGGTGCCATGACGCAGGCGTACAATTGACCTACACTGATCAGTGAAGAGACTCATCAAGAGAAACATTCGAAACCTACCGTAAGCATGGTATAGCGGCAGGAACCCAATCCACCTCTCCTCTGGCCTTGAAGATGCCTCATACGGCTGCTCAGCATCCCTCATCACAATCGTTTGCTCCGAGTTCGCAACGATATTATGGTGTGAGACAACAACACCCTTGGGCAGCCCCGTCGTCCCAGAGGAATAGTTGATCGTGGCCGGCGTCGTCTTCGCATTCGACCTCATCTCATCCCACTTATAACTTTCCGCGTCCGGTACATTGACGGCTCGCCAATCCCTCACGCCATCCCGCGCTTCACACTCCTCATTTGAAAACAGCAGGATTCGCTCCTTACCCAGTCCAACCTTCCCCGCCGCCGCGACCGCCGTTTCCAACAAACTCGGATGCACCAGAATCAATTCGGCCTCTGTATTCCGCATCTGGAATTCGACCTCGTTGATTGTATAGATCGGATTCACACCACTAAACACCCGACCTGCACCCACGATGCCCAGATACGCGACAGGCACGAAGATGTGATTGGGTGTCATGATCAGGACTACCTTGCCTTTGGGCACGCCCAGGACATCAAACATGCTGGCGAGGCGTTTGATCCATTTGAGGCCTTGGCGGGGCGAGAGGCTGTGCTTTGGGTTCTGGGCATCGATCCATATTGGTTTGTCTGAAGGGGTCGTTGTGGGTGGGAAGATGTAGGAGAGGATGTTGCTTTCGGGGATGGCGATGTCGGGAAAGGGGGATTTGTATATCATCTTGGCTCTCCGCCCAACTGCAATACCTTGGAAGACGTCCGTAGTCGTGGACTTACATATGGTTAGAGACCACTTTCGAGGCGTTGAGCTATCTAGTATATCTAAGTTGTGAGCAGGTGGGAAAGCCTCGGCAAAAGTTTTATGGAGGCCCCCATTGGAGTCTGGGCCCCGGTAAACCAAATCCGGTATCCGTGGCAGGATATGCTTTTAAGAGTCTCGACCGGCGCCGATGAGCTTCTCCGAGTCTCGACTCGACAATGTCCCAGTTACCGCCTATAGGTAGCTACTTTGACCTCACCGGCAAGGTCGCGCTGGTGACCGGCGGTCAGTGATGCTCTAGCTTGCCATCTTATATGTACAGAACTGACGCCTCACAGGCTCACGAGGTCTGGGCCTTCACGCGGCAACAGTCTTCCTGCAAGCCGGTTGCCAAACCGTCTTCATCACCGCCCGGAATGCCGCCAATATCAAAGAAGCTACAGCACAACTGAATGCACTACCCGGGATCAAAGGCAAAGCCGTGGGAATCCCAGCCAATGTCTCCCAAGAAAAGGAGATTTTGCAACTACTCGCCCAGGTGAAGGAGATAGAGCCTAAGCTTCACATCTTGGTGGCGAACGCTGGAGCGACATGGGGAGGGCCGTTGGACACGACACCGGACTGGGCGAACCAGAAGGTGCTGGATCTGAATGTGCGGGCGGTGTTTAATATGGTCAAGCTGTACGGCCCCTTCTTGGACAGTACTCTTGAGGTAAGACCTCTAACGCGCCCAAATAGGTTCGCTCCCCTTCTGTCAGCAGCAGGCACACCTACCGACCCAGCACGCATCATCATCGTCTCCTCGACCGCCGGTGTCAACGTCCCACACGTTGGCGACCACGGCACCATTATGTACTCAGCTTCAAAAGCGGCCGCCCACCACCTAGCACGGAACTTCGCCGTCGAGCTTGGGCCTCGGAATATCACGACCAACACTGTTGCTCCGGGTTTCTTCCCTTCGAAGCTAGCCAATGGACTAATTGAGATTCTGGGTGGGGAGGAGGACCTGAAGAAGGCTAATCCGTGTGGGAGGTTAGGTCAGGCAGGGGATATTGCGGGTGTGATGCTGTATCTTGCTTCGCCAATTGCGGCATATGTGTAAGTCACTCGCCCCATACGCGTTGTGACACGAGGATTTCCGTGAGCTGACGTGAACCTTGCTTAGAAACGGAGTGGATATAGAAGTTGATGGTGGTGCGAGACTGAGTGCTGGTCGATTGACAAAGTTGTAGGAATATCCAGGAGGATCAAGAAGTTCTCCCATACAGGCTGTGGCGGAGCCAAGGCGGGTTCTTCGCATGCGAGGGCGATATAGACATATGTAAACTCGCACAGGTGAACGCTGTAAGCCGTTCGAGCATTAGGTGTCCTTATGGGAGCTCTTTCGTGCATTGGGCACAACGAAGCTGTCACCACGACCGTGATCACACATACGATCGCTCCGTTAGACACTCGATGATCATGTGCCCGATAATTCGTGCAATGTTCCCGATCCATGTCTGAGCATTTGAAATTTGCCAAGATCCACATGTAGGATGTAGTTTGCTTTGGGCGGAATCGCGCCTGGGGCAGGTGCCCGGAGGATTCCCCACAGCGCAGCCCAGCACACCTGTAAATTCCGGATATCGTTTTCCCGAACCTCTTTGCCCGACGAGTGATGCCTGCCCTCTCGTAGACGATATGACCGTTTATTACAAGTCGCCGCACATAGGGTCTACTCACCCTCCGGCCCGACGACATCTAGCCTTGTCTTGAACGCAGTCTGCCGCTGAGCGTTAGGAGAGGCCGCGACATGGGTGCATACGGGTATCGGTCTCTCCCGCGCTGAAGGCGAGAAGCACCAATGCTATGGCCGCCAACAGAAACACCAACTGCGGTATGATCTTCAATCTTTGGATGCGCAGCGACTCCGCGTCCGTCACTTCGTCCAGCTGCAGATTCACAGTACCGAGGACGAACCCGCGCACGATGTCCCATTTCAGGCATTCACCATCCCAGGAGTGCCACGGATCGTACTTTTCCAATAGCCTTGGGGTCATTCGGACTCGATATGAACAGTAGTCTGGGAAGAATGTGTGCGACTGCTCTGTGTTGAAGATCCGTCCGTGCAGTCCTCTGAAGTATTTCTTCATCGTGTGGGTCTTCGCATTGATGATCAGATCCTGTTGATTATCTTAAGTCAGCAACGCACATTTAATGCTTCTGCGTACAGCATATCGAAGAGATATCGTCACTCACGTATCGGGCAGACAGACTCAAATTGTAGCGATTTCGCCTGTTCTCTTCTAAGTCCGCTGAAACTCTTACGCGAGCGGTCACGATCCATTCGAGCTCTGGGTACAACTTCACATGCGTGAGCACCACCTGGTTAGAATTGTTGGAACCATCTGGGACCTGCAAGGCGACTGCAGCGAGCGTTTCGTCAGTCTTGCTCAAGAACGAAGCAAGGGTTAGCGTTCCGCCTTCTGAAAACTTGTGCGTTGCGTCGAAGGTCCAGTGTATTCGTTCCAGGCGGCCAAGGTACCCCAGGCTGGGGACAACCTTCATTGGCAGTGGAAACACGACTCTAGTAACATGGATGCGCCACGCCTGTGGAATAAATTGACCGAGTTGTACCGGTGCCTGGACAACAGATGCAAATATACTCGTTCGCAGTAACACTGGCATTGCTTCGTACCGAAACTGCTTGTTGATCGATGCCAGGTCCAGATAGCCGTTATGTCGGAGGACATAGGCTTCATGGAACAGATGCGTCGGTTCACGTGGGAATATTTGGATGATTTTCCTCTCGTTGATTCCCAAGAGCCGGGCTTGTTGGGAAAGGCTGAGTGAGAAGAATGGAGGTCTGCTGAATGTCCCTTCACAAGGTCGTTGCACAAGATCAAGAGCGAACCAAGAACCCGCGAACATTTCTGAATAGATACGATTGCGGACCTCGCCAGGGAGGCCGAAGAATGGAAATGATGATGGTGCTGATGAGTGAGACAGCCGTCCACCTGTTCGAGGCATCGAACGCGCTCTCGCCTTTCGACTGGCAGTACCACCTTGTGCCGTGGATTGCAGCGTCTGCTCTATCAAAGAATGACGGGCTTCGGACGTGACGCCTGTGGCAGTAATTGTAGCCTGCCAAATTGATGGGAATTGCCACAATCCAGGATCATATAATGGCGACATGAGCGCGTGATTCGATGAACAACTCCTCCAAAGCAGTCGAGCGGATTTGCGTTGCTTTCTGAAATCGTAGATCTTTGAACATTGTCAAGGGTTGCCGATTCAGTACTTATAGGTACTCATGCTCGTGGTTGGGCAACGTGTCTTGAACGGATCTTGCCGCGAGGACAAGCGGAGGGCGAACCTACTTAAACGTGCTGGAAGTCTCGTGAAATGGCACCTGCTGTTCTTTCCCTGCCCTAGCGGTGCCATCATCGCTGGCAGTCACTGCCATGCCTATTCACGACACAAGCTCCTGCCTCATATTCGGATCGCTCCTGCCTGGAGAGCACCTACCGCCGATGTTTCTATTATCAAGGAAGGAGGCCGAAACTGAATCTCTATTTACGAGTTGGAACTTGTCCAGAGTAATAGCGTGAGCGGCTTACTCTGGACAAGTTCCAACTCGTAAATAGAGATTCACCTAGACCATTCGACTCGTAGATAGCATTCGCTCTAGTGTCAGATCATAGTCCTGCTCGGTTTCACGTTGGAATTCCAAGCTTTGCTGTTTCCCGTGTGCCGCGTAGAAGAAAATGTTGGGCTTAGGCTCGCATGTTGGCCGACCAATCGTGGCCGGTCAGTGACATCGACGAGCATGATCAGGACGTATCAGAAACGGTTCATGCGGACGATATCGACCACCGCACTTCGGTATTATACATCACAGAGTAGAGGTCAATTATCAAGAGACCAAATGAGCCAGAGCATCAGGCCTCATTCCCGCCCCTGTCGAAGCTAAAAGCCGCCTAACCATCAAAAAGCGTATCGATAAGCGATTTGGAGAACCAAAATTTGAGATCGACTTCGACACTGAGAAAAACTGAGGACGTGATCTGCCCGACAAGCAAGTCCGCTACCCAATCAAACAAACAAGACAGCCGCCAGACCTCACAACCCCAATTGTACACCATGGTGAAGAAGAGCAAGCTCCTAGCAGCGCTAGACGCCCACAAAGGCCGAGACTACGACGCAGAGAAGCGGAAGAAGCAGTTAAAGGCTGGAGAAAAGGCGAAGCAAGAAAAGCTCGCTCGGAAGGCACAGTCCGCCAAGTCAGAGGATGAAGCAGAGCCAATGGCACAGGCAGCAGATATCGCGCTACCGGAGAGCGAAGACGAGGCAGAAGAGGTAGACGATATCACAACAGTCAAGTTTAACGGAGAGCCTACAACACAGACCAACGGTCAAGACGTTGCCAGTGAAGGCGACGATAGCGACCAGGATGGAGACGAGGACCAGGACGACGAAGGAGAAGAAGAAGAAGAAGAAGAAGAAGACGACGATGAGGCAGGAGAAGAGGAAGACATCGCTCTCTCTGACCTCTCCGCATCCGACCGCGAAGACACAGTCCCACACCAACGTATGACCATCAACAATGGCCCCGCCCTCCTCACATCAACCTCACGCATCGCTCTCCTTCGCAACCACCCTCTCAAGGACCGCGCCCCTTTTTCGACGCACAACAGCCTAATCTCTACTCTCCCCTCCACCACCACTTCCGTCCCCGACCCCAACGACGACCTCACTCGGGAATCTGCCTTCTATGCCATAGCGCGCGCGGCTGCCTCCGAAGCCCGTAGCCTTCTCAAAAAGGAAAACATCCCCTTCTCCCGCCCCGCAGACTATTTCGCCGAAATGGTGAAAAGCGAAGAGCACATGGGCCGAATCCACAAGAAGCAGTACGACGAGGCGGCGGATCGCAAGGGAAGAGAGGAGGCGAGAAAGTTGCGGGATGCGAAGAAGTTTGGAAAGCAGGTGCAGGTAGCCAAGGAGCAAGAGCGGGCCAAGTTGAAGAGGGAGACGTTGGACAAGATCAAGGATCTGAAGCGAAGTGAGTTTCCATCATCTTTCTGTGAGATGGCAGCGGCAGTACTAACAGAGCGTGTCTATAGAACGAAAAGGCAACCCCTCAGAGAACACCAAAGAAGACGCCGAAGATGACCTCTTCGACGTTGGCGTAGACGACGACAATAATGACAGCAACAAATCACGCCGAGGAGGTCGCGATCGGAGCAGCAGTCGGGGTGGTGCTGGCGGCGCCTTCAAACGGCAGAAGAAGGACGCCAAATTCGGGTTCGGCGGGAAGAAGCGCTTCTCGAAGAGCGGCGATGCGGAAAGTAGTGCTGATATGCGTGGATTCAGCAGTGCGAGAATGAAGGGCAGGGGTGGTGGTGGTGGGAGGGGAGGTGCAAAGCGGTTAGGGAAGAGTCGGAGAGCGGCTGGACGACCGTGATCAATCAGAATAGACGATGTTGAAGACTGATGAGCCATGATGCAATACGCTGAATCGAGACTTCATCAGTCATTGGCACGGCTCATACAAGAGTTGTAGGGGCTCACATGCTCGATTTTAAGGCAGCACATCCGTGTAGAAAAGGACTACTTCGGTGTGTCATCCGGCTCGGTCTAAGTCCAGAGTATACTTGTCAACCGGCCTGTCGGCAGGGCACCTAATCCATCACTTTTTGGATCTACGACAACGTTGAACCAGCGTTAGTCACAACATGTACAAACCTCTCAAATTAGTATCAAGTCCCGCATATGTACACTTTGAGGCCTGTCTCTTCCGCTCCCTTCTGCCAACTGACAAGCAACCTGCTGGGCGGCTTCATAAATTTCTCAGTCCTGTCCCCCAATGCACCATACTGCACTGTGATCTCCTCTATGTCTTCGAGGCGAAAATTGCCATCGGAGTGCAAGATCTTCTCATTTGCCACTCAAGGAGGATCGTCCTTCCATGGGCCAAGATAATTCCTCTGAGCTGGCATCTTCAAGATTTAGGGTCCTGAGGCCATGAACTCCCATGTAGAATTCGTCTGTCGAGCAACATCGAATGCATTCCAAGGGCCAGAGACCTTGCTATCACTTGAGCAAGACGTTGGATCTTCGTTCGAACTTGGCGATAGGATTGCCCTTTTACTCAATCCGGGACACTGATGGTCGTGCGTTGCAATTGAACGAGCTCCACGCCACGATCACGCCTAATGTGATCACATCGATACCGTTCGTCTCTTGCGATTCCCTGATTGTGGCCACGGGCATCGAGAACTCCCGTTCCAAATCGAGAGCCAACCATCACCAGTTCGCCGCCCTGCCTTGAAAGTCCAGTCCTTGAGCACCAAAAATCTCCTCCTTCATCAACACGCACATCCGTCCTCCTGCACAGGCTTACTCGCGCTCACATCAATACTCTGCATCTGTTGTTGAGGCTGCTCGCCCTCGCCCTCCATCCCCGGCAATGCCTGCGCAATCCTCTTGAAGAGCCCCTTTACATTATGCCCGACCTTCGCACTGGTCTCCACAAAGATCGCCCCGGCCCTCTTCGCCTCCTCCTCCCCTTGCTGCGTCGTGACCTCCCTCCTACTATCGCCCAAATCCGTCTTATTCCCCACGAGCACCACAATCACGTCGTTCCCCCTCTCGCCCCTCACATCATCGATCCATTTTCGTGTTTGCTCAAAGGTCTTTTTCGAGGAGATATCGTAGACGACGACGGCGACGGAGGAGTCGCGGATGTAGGAGGGGATCAAGGAGCGGAAGCGCTCTTGGCCGGCAGTGTCCCAGAGCTGGAGGCGGACGGTGCGGTCCTCGAGGTACATTGTCTTGGAGAGGAAGTCGATGCCGATCGTGGCTTGGTACGTGGTGTCGAAGGAGTCGTACATGAAGCGCGTTATGAGAGAGGTCTTGCCGACTATTTTGGTAGGTTGTCAGAGCACTCGAATGAGAAGGTATGGGTAGGGTGTTCGCTTACCTGATTGTTCGCCGAGAAAGACCAGTCTGTGGGAGCAAGTGTGGTCAGAATGTTGTTCGCGAGCTGGGTATCCGTGGAAACATACTTGAACTTCTTCAGCGGGTTCGAGTAGGACCCTACTGCTTGCGCCATGGTGTATGTGTGGACGCTTTGGCGTCAGATGTGTGATCTGCCCTCGCTGCTCTCTGATCCGTCGACTGTCGGTATTTGCGAACACACAGTAGGCTCGCGAGCAACCAGTCACGCAGGACAGGAGCTGTTGGTCGTGTGGTGGTCTCGTAGGCCTAGAAAAAGGCAGCGGTTAGGCCCCTTCTGATATTTCGTGTCCTCAGAAAACCAGTGGCGTCACTCGGGGATCCCAGGCTCTCCCTCTCTCCGCTGTCGCCGCAATGGTCCCAAGACAGGCAGCACGATTCCGATCGAAGGCGGCTCTCGTTGATGCACTCCAGAATTAAAGCTGACGAGTCAAGGCAAACAAGATCGAACTTTTGGTATGTACAATTGCAAGACCTTGTCGAAACTGAAGAACGGGATGTCGGAAGGTCGTTGAAAGCCGTCAAAGGGTGGCCCGTGGGCATGGATCAATCATGATTTAAGGACGCTTTAGGCTTCTCCTCGGGACGGCCAAGCCGCCAGACCCCTGAAGCATAGCCCAGAAGACGGGGCCTATTGCGCCGCCAAATCTGATTGGGTCGTGCTGAACCGCATTTCTTTTTGTTCCATCTCCAACTCCAAGGAAGCGCAGTTCGGTCAAGTTGATTCCCTCATCGCGAGCTACTGCTACAGTATACTCAGCTCGACGATGCTCCCGCGGTAGCACCCACAATAGAACTATGCGCGCGACACTCGCCCTCTTCAAGCGCTCCGTCTGGAAGGGTACGTGCCTCCCGATTCCCAAGCGCCGCATGAGGCATGCCGTTCATCGTCGAAGACACCATAAACAAGAAGCCCATCCCAACTAACAAACCCACCCAAACAGGACCCAACATCGTCCCCTTCGAGATAAACAATACCATCCCTGCGAACAAACACCCCATAATCCGGACCCAGAAGCGCGCCGCTACCATCACGCCCCAGCTCGTTGGCTACCGGTTCGCCGTACATAACGGCAAGATATACCAGGATGTCTTTGTGACGGAGGAGATGGTGGGGAGGAAGTTGGGGGAGTTCGTGCCGTGAGTATTTCATACATGTATACAGTGGTGACCTGTGTGGATGGAAGAGGTCGTCGGCGAGGGTGTGGTGGCTTGAGGACATTGTGCTGACTTTGTGGCGGATAGGACGAGAAACGCGTTTAGTTACAAGGCGACGAAGAATAAGTGATTGTCTGTGAGCGGAAGCAGAAAATTTCTTGGGTCAACGGGAACGCGATTCCAATGTTCAAGCAGACGGATACGTGACCTGCAGATTAATGGTGAACCTGGGCGGCGCCAGTGTATATTTGTATCAGCTCGTCGTATGTCGATGGCGTCGAATGCGCTGGGAGAGCGCTCCGCCTCAAAGCAAACTGCATCCCAGCAGACTGTGCGCAGTCAATCATGCCAGACTCTCTGTGTTCTTCGTTTCCAATCCTATGTCCCAATCATGATTTAAGTCCTCCGATACCAGGAGGATCTTTTAGGGGTATACCAGTATGCGCCGTCAAATGCGCCGTCGCCATGCAATGTGCTCCCAGTCCCCAGTCTCTGCACAACATCATCCGAACCCACGAACTAGCTCACCGATAGAACTCACTCCTCTTGACATTAACCCCATACTCCTGCACCGCCATCCCCAAATCCTCCATCGTCAACACCGCTTTCGTCCCTCCCGCCCCTCCTCCACCGAAGCCAGCCCTCTGCACACCCAATCCCGTACTCTGGCCCCCCTTCCCGCCACCAGCACCTCCTCCTGTGCCCGCGCCACCACCTGCACCTCCCGCAGGCGCACCGCTACCCATCGCGGCTGTAGCAAGACTATTGGACGTGCCGCCTGCGCGAATGCGGCTGTATTGGTAGGCGTCGGCAGCGATGTCGGCGATGAATTTCTGAGTCGCGAGGCCGAGGAGGCGTGCGAGGGGCAGCGGGGTTGTGTTGGTGGTCGCGCCAGTTGGATCGCTGGGGGAGGGTGGAGGAAGGCCGGCGAGGGTGAGGTAGTGCGCTGTTACTGCGTCCGGTATCTGAGGAAGAAGAGATGTCAGTAGTTGTGCCAGTATTGACAGGTGCAATGGCAGTGGGGAGATGTCAAGCGTACAATCGGCGCATAGTCATCCATCTTGCTCATGAACTCCCGCAGTGTCGCATCTTTGCGATTCTGCTGTGTAGTAGTGGTTGGCTGGGGCGCGGCGTCTGCCATGTCTTGATCTGGATTCGAGGATGCAACACCGTTCGCGGTGGCTGACGTGTTGGCTTGTTGTGTAGTGCCGTCGCCCATGTCAACGTCTGCATCGACGTCTGCGGTACTCGCCTCGACTGTAGGTGCGTCAGGCTCTGGGGCGGTGGGCGACGACATGGCTCCGGAGGCGAATGGGGGCGGTACGACTCGGATGGGATCTTGTGTGACACTATCACGGACAATGACAGCGATAGGGTGGGTGGTCAAGCTGAGAGGCCGATGAGGATTCGCTTGCACTGCACTGCAGGGTGGGTTTCTCCACAGCGGAATGAACTGGTGGATCTGGTTGCCTGGAAAAGGCAGCATACGGGCTTGAAATGAACTTCGCTTAGGCATCAGGTTCTGTGCATGATTTATTATTGATTTTCTAGCGAGGGAGGGCGCTACAGATTCATTCTGACAGGTCTATGCTGTCTGGGCTATCGCTGCCGTTCTACTTCTCGTCTTGCTCGCCTTCGTGCTTCTCCGCCTGCTGCTCCGCCTGCTTCCCTGCGTTCTTGCCTTCCTGCTTCCCTTTCTGCTCCTCTTCCCACCTAGCCTTTTCGATTGCCATGAGCTCTCTATCTGGGTCAACGAGCTCGCCAACAAGATCACCAAAATGCCGCCGCCATCGCTCGAACTGCTCTACTGTGGGTCGAGTAGCAGTAAAGATGATTCCATCTAAGCATCCTCGCCGGAGACTGGGCGCCGTCGAATGGCTGTGGCTGGCCTGCGCGGTGGCTATGACAATGTGAAGCTGGCTGTGCTCGATGACAGCCTGTAGCTGCCGGAGTTCCCATTCTAGATATTTGCTGGCGCCCGTCTGGACGGGTCCTGGATAGCCATTGCATCGATGTATGTGGGGTTTCCTGGAAGTGAAACGCAGGTACTTGAGGTTCGGGAACGTCTTGAGGAGCTCTAGAAGCTCGCGTTGCTGGCACTTCTCACGCTCCATGCGACGATCGTTCATGGGATATTTTCCTGGCATGCAAAACGAATCGAAACCTTCCGTAAGGGTAAGCTGTCGGAGGTGAAGCGCGAAGGACGGAGAACGCAGCGGGAAGTGCCAGGCGATGCTGATCTCGGATGCCTGAACTTCGACCGCTTCGAAGAAGTGTGGGAGAATTTCCTTCCGAAGGGATTTGTTGGTCTGCGCGAGGCTTTTCAAGGTTTCCACTCCCTCACGGATGCTGCTGTCGAGGACTCGAGACGCGTACTTGGGTCTGACCACTAGGTTGAGCATCCCAAGTTCGTGGAATGAGCACCCGCGGTATGGTCGTGCGGGCATATACAACAGCGACTGTCGACAATCTGGCGCCACGTGTGCGAACTTCTGTTGGACAGTAACAATGTCAACTTCGCGCAAACTGGAATATTTGTATGCGTCTGTGTCGGTGTACATATGAAATCGCTCGATCAGACATAATCGAACTACTTCTGACTTCCGAAGGAGGCAAGTATAGACGCTCAGGCGAAGTTCGTTTGGTAAGTCAACAAAGCGAAATGGCTTGGAGTCTGGAGTTGTTGTCGAGCTCATCGTGACGCTGGTTGGACCATGCACCTCCTCATTGCGACCTTTGCTGGAGGCCGGCACTGCGTCTTCTTGTGCTTCGACTTCCTGTGCAGCGCCTCGCTCAACATCCCATTCTGTCAGCTTCTCAACAAATTGCTGCTTCAGTTTCAGGCCCCTGACTGAGACACCTCGCTCGGCGCATGCCTGCTTGAGCGTCGCGATTGTAAGTGTCGCCCAGTCCGTCATACTGCTGGCAAGGTGGTGGACCGCGCGAGGCAGAGTCGTGAAAGATGCGTGCTTGGGACTCTCGGCGCTGAGAGTCGTTGCGAACGCGCGGTAAATTCTCTAGTCTGGTTGGCGATTAGGATAGCGTGGTCCGAAAGCAAGACCGCGAAGAAGTTGTAAAACATTGAGACAGGGAGGCCCGCCTTCGAGGCAGCCATAACCAGGGACGTGAGTCATTGGGCTGTTGTGGCTGACGTCAGAGCAAACGCGTGAATGTGATTTGACTGGTGAAGTCTTTGGTGTGCTGTTTCACGTTGCTAGGCAATATCAATATAGATGGGAAGACCCTATAATGTCAGTCATTGGATCGTCGGAGCAGTGCAAGTGAGAGGCAGAAGGATCCAGTTTGCGTCTTCACGCATCATACTTATACTTCTCGCCCTCACATAGCCTGATATTTGGGGCCCGACCATCAAGCTCTGAGCCGCCAAACAGCACGACAGCAAATATAATTCTACAGCTTGATCATTGTCGGGGTTTGTCTTCCGTAGCAACAACATCAAGTCGCCTCTGCATGACCCTCGCTCCATCTCGCCTTGCCTTCTCGGCTGCCCTCTCGCGATCCTGCTCATCTGCAACCCACTCTTTGACGATCACAGCTGCATGCCGTTTCTCTCGCTCTTCCAACTTCTGTTTTCGTTCTCTCCGCTTCTTGTCGTTCTTGCTCTGATCCGATCTATCACCTTGTTCTAGCTTGAGGAGCTTCTCTTGCTTCGAGCGAGACAGCACCCATGGTTTGGACAGAACTGTTGCGTGAAAGGCAGTACGAGCGGCGATCTTGGCGAGCTCGGCGCTGTGTCAGCTAGAACACTAAGACGTAACAAATTCAATTGCCGTCGCTCCCTGAACATTGAGACAGTGCCCTTCGCCTGGACAACAGAAGAGATCTCCAGTGTCGACAGTATCGATAAGAGCGCCAGTGTTTCAGCCTGTTCTTCCGAAGCCGTTGGGTCCGGGAGCTTTGCAGTCGCAACTATGCCGTCGCGGAGGACCATCGGATTCTGGCCCAGCTGCTTCCGCGGTTTGCGCACCACGATATCGATCGTGTCACCGGAGGAGTCGTCAAGCGTGATCAAAAACATATGCTCGTGGTATTCCTCGATGGCAACAACAACGCCGATGAGCTGGACATATTGGATGGGGTGATTGAGATAGAACAAAGTCGGATGCGAGGTTTGTCCACTCGTGTATGTTTGCGCATGCGAAGGACCTGACTTGAGGACGTTGTGTACTTCGAAGCAGGTCACCTTTACCCACGCGAACCATGTTGGTGATGATCGGTAGCAGTAGGCGGGATAGTATATCAGAGGAGCGGGCGATGGATCCTGGGCGTGGTCGTCATGTCGCGGCGGCATTCATCTCTTACCGAGCCGTGCGACAGTGCAGCGTTGGACTGTCGCTTTCGCGCGTGTTGATCTGTGCAGTGCTCTCGAACCTGAGTGTTTATCGAGTGACGTTGCACCTTTGACAGACGAGCCTCGGGGACATGTGGCTTAACGCCTGGAGCTGCCTCCAAGCTGGAGAAACATGAGTGCCCAGTTAGCGCCGCCTAACATCGGCCACATCCCACCGATTTCGGTTCACTTCCTCCCTTATCAACATCATCATCTGCGGCACGACATCGCCATGGCTACTACGCCCACGAAAGCGTATTGGTTGCAGCGATGCAGATACTAGTGATTCCGCTCCACAGGCGTGCCCTAAGATTGAACGATTCTGGAAGATCTGCTACTTGAAAGTCCTTTTGTCTACCGCTTTTCGATATCATTTTGTCGTGCGGAGGGGCACCTCGGAAGAAACGGCATGCTCAGAGTATATCGACCGTAGTTTTTCTTCTTTTCAACCTCACTCCTGCACAACTCTTGATTTACGACATGCCATCTTGCGCTTATGACATTGCTTGTGTAGATGAGCGGGCACTCGAACGATGTCCAGCACGGCTCTGCCCATGGAGATCTAGAAAGTGAACAATCGGGACGCCTTGACAGCCGCGCCGGAAATGACAACTCGGACACCCGAACTGGCTCAATGAGCACAACAAGAAGCCATCATGCCGAGACCGATGGAACAGAGCAACCGCCGCCACCGCCTCTGGAGCGGGCGCAAACGACTGCCTCGAGCGCCGGTCCTCCGTTCTCAATCTTTACGAAAAAGCAGAAGGCCTTCATCGTTTTTATGGCAGCATGGGCAGGACTCTTCTCCCCCATATCTGGCAGATCTACTTGCCTGCCCTCAATACCCTCGCCAGCGATCTGAACGTCTCCAACACACTCATCAATTTAACGTTGACGTCCTACATGATCTTTCAAGGACTAGCACCAGCTTTCATAGGCGACCTGGCAGACACCATGGGCAGACGACCAGCATACGCCATCTGCTTCGTGATCTACATCGGCGCAAATATCGGCTTAGCCTTGCAGGACAGCTATGCCGCTCTGTTCATTCTTCGGTGCCTGCAGTCTTCCGGCAGCAGTGGCACGATAGCCATGACGTCTGGCGTCGTGTCTGATATAGCCACCGCACAGGAACGAGGCAGCTACATGGGCCTGACCATGCTGGGTTCTCTGCTCGGACCAGCCGTCGGACCCGTCATTGGCGGACTGCTTTCGCAATACCTTGGTTGGCGCTCTATCTTCTGGTTCCTCTGTATCATGGGCGGGGTTTTCTTCGTGGTTTTCGCCATCTTCTTCCCCGAAACGGCGCGATCCCAAGTCGGCAACGGCTCAATCCCGCCTGTGACGTACAGCATGTCCCTGATGAACTACCTCGCGATCCGCAAAGCTCGACGACTGCAACGAGAGACAGAAAAAGATAATGATAACGATACCGTACAATCACGGCCAGAAGACCTCCGTCCACGCCCCAAAGCTCACTTCCCGAATCCACTCTCCTCTCTCGCAATCCTCTACGACAAGCTCAACGCCTGCCTGCTATTCTACAACGCCTTCCTCTTCAGCGCCTTCTACCAAGTCTCCTCCTCCATCCCCTCCCAATTCGCCCAAATCTACCACTTCAACGACCTACACATCGGCCTCTGCTTCCTCCCCTACGGCTGTGGCGCCATCACCGCCGCCCTCATCAACGGCCAAGTCCTCGACCGCAACTTTGCGCGCTGGTGCCGCAACCTCAACGTCACACCCCGCAAGAACCGCCAGATGGACCTCGACAACTTTCCCATCGAGAAAGCCCGCCTCCAAATCGCCATCCCAGCCACCTACGCCACAATCGCACTCATCCTGATCTTCGGGTGGCTGATCGACATCTCTGCGCCCCTCGCCCCAGTGCTCGTAGTGCTGTTCTTCCAGAGCTTGACGATGAGCATGGCGTTCAACGTCGTGAGTACGCTGATTGTGGACTACTATCCCGGGAAGAGTGCGACAGCGACGGCGGCGAATAATTTGACGAGATGTCTGTTGGGTGCGGGCGCCACAGCTGCGATCGTGCCGATGATCAATGCTTGGGGAAGAGGGGTGGCGTTTACGGCGTTAGTGGCATTCTTGGTAGGGACGAGTCCGTTGATGTGGGTGGTGTGGTTCCGGGGGATGAGGTGGCGGCAGGAGCGAAGTAAGAGAGAGGTGGAGAGGGAGAGGGAGAAGGGTAGGAGTAGGGGTGGGACTTTGGAGGCTGGTGGTGCTATCCCGATCGTCGGGAGCACTCCAGAGCAGAGCAGCAGGAGTCGAGAGAAGTTAGACCTGGTTACTTCGAGGCCGCTGGTGTCCGAGGGGCGGCAGTCAACGAGTCGGAGTCATGATTGACAGCCTTCTTAGACTACATGAATCAACGCGATTGTACATACTCTTTCATCTCGGGTATCTCCTCGTGTACGTTGTGACTGATATGAAATGTGTCTTCCTTAAACGCCGTCCGCCCACCAGACTGTAAGGAGACATCTGTCCTGTATAGCGAGTGTTCGCTGACCTCAGCGGTATCTCCTGCCAGCGCCTCCCTGGGTATATACATAAATTTGGGTATCATAATGAGGGAAAGAAACGTAAACATCGTCAGACCTTCCGTGAGGCGATACAACACCCTCCCGACCGTCTCTTCAAATCCATTGTCCTGATCTTGCTGCCTCCAAACCCCATGCTCCACGGCCTCTACTCAAACCCGCTCATCAGGCCTCACACCTTTGCTGAACGGATTGACATTGATCTCATCATCATCATCTTCGTAACTTGGCCGTCTTCCTCCCAATCCATATGCCTTTCCCGGTGCTGCCACACCCGTATCCTTCTGCGCCTCCCGTAGCTCCCAGCTGCCCACCCTCTCGTGGCCTCTTTGGCCTTCCATGGGACTCATAGGCTCATCCGTCTGCTGCACGCTGACTTCCGCACCTGCACCTTTCGGGATAGTCAAATCCCGATCGGACGCTAGCTTTTCTGCGCCTTTGAAACCGCCCAGATCGGATCTCCGACCGCGGTTCACGCGATGGACGCGACATCCCAGAAGGAAGAACAGGATCAAAGCCACCAGCAGCGCTACCACGAGCGCGACAATCGCGCCCACCACGCCCGCGAGCGCAGGACTCAGCTTGCCGCTATGAGATCCACTGTTGTTGTTGGAGGCCGCGCTCTCGGAGAAAGCGGGGCAGAAGATGCTGTACGAGTCGCAGATCGTGCACCACGCGGACACGGAAGGGACGGCGATGCGTTGCATGGCGCTGATGAAGTCTGCAAGCGGGAGATCGGAGATAGACGGGGAGTGTCCAAAAAGTGGGTAAGGAACCAGAGTGGCATCTGAGCCCGTGCCGTTCTGGTAGAGGAAGCGGACGAAGAGTTCAGAGGAGTCGGGCTATATGGGAGGATGCCATGTCAGTCACCTTTGAATATTGATTATGCGTAGCAGAAGACAGGAAAGTGGGAAGAGACGAAAGCTAGTCCGGGGAAGAAACTCACGTATGCACCAAAGTCGCTTCCGCTAGTCAGGGAGAAAAGTTCGAAGACCATACTGGCTCCTTGGGGTGGGATATTGAGGAACTCGGTGTGCTGTTCGACGTTCAGACCCGCCAAGGCTGTGAATGCGATGATGGGTTCGAATGATCCGAAGAGCTGCCTCAAGTCAGTAATGGCCTTTCCTCGAGCCTTCGCACGCGAGATTAGAACGAACCAGAGTCATCTTGTCTTCACTGCCCTGTGTATAGATCGTGTTCTGGAATGCTTGAATGACACGACTTGCCACGCTCCTTCCAGAGATGACACCAACTTGATCGCCCTTTTCCACCCCTGAAGAAGAGGTATTTCCGTTCATGGCGAATACCCAGTTCGTGGCCAGAATCTGTGCTCGCGTGAGATCGGTGAGCGACAGCTCGGACGCTACGGTCTGATTGTGTCTATACATGTATTGCAGATAGTCGTATACGGTCCAGGCATCGAAGTATCCTACATCGCTGTCTTCAATATTTCCAGACAGGATACCGGGGATCAAAGACTGGTAGAAGGGGAGGGTCTGCTGCTGGATAGTCTTATAGTCCTCGCCAGAGAAGTACGATGCGCCAGATTTTGTGTAAGATGGGCAATTGGCCGAGCCGTCCAACCAGATGTGATTCAGGTCCATCTCGCTCACAGTCTGGATTCGCGGGTACTGGTAGCCATTGAGCGGCGACACAGCATTCGAGCCGTCAGCCATGGCTGATTGGCCGACTATGAAGGTGTAGTTGTTGAGCTGCTCTAGCGACGGGTATAGACCCTGCATGAACGCCGAAGCACCGGCGCTGATATACTGCTCATCGCGAGACAAGACTGTAATCTGGTCTGGGTTCAGGTGGTATTGCGAGATGCCGCGGATGCTCGAGTAGAGGTCATCCTCGTTGTCGCCATCGAGAGAGAGAGCATTGATATAGTGCGACCGAAACGTCGCACCAGCATTGTACATCTGGTTTGCGCCATAAGGTGTGAGCTGCGGCGTCACATCTTTCATTGCCATAGGAGTTCGGTCGCCATAGGTCGTGAAGATGAAGGTGCTCAGCACTTGTCGGTCCAAGGCTTGTCCAGCGGTGAGGCAGGCCACAGCCGCCAGGGCAAGTACCTGGAGATGCCTCATCATTCACTGCCTGAGGTCGACTTAGCACTCTATTGGAGTGGTTTTCTGGTGTTTAGTATGACTGAGGGCGACCAGCGCACTTTCTGAGGCTTCACAGAGTATGAAGAGCCGCAGAACAACACGAGGATACTGCGGAAGCTCGTCGTCTTATCAACTCGCATAAGATGCGCGCACAAGCTCGCCTGGTCGAGCTCTCACCTTACCTCTGGTGGGGTGCCGTTAAGCTGGGCACCACTACCCCTCAGGTACAAGAGGTAGTTTCTGCAGACTTACCCTAAAGCAGAGACCTATCTCATGATCAAGGTCATGCAAGGACGGCAGCTCGCGATAAGCTAAAGTCCAAGAGAGCGTGGGAGGTATGGCGGTCAAGTGCGATTCGCTGCTTAGTCGAGGTGTGGCATGGATGTGGAAGAGCTCCAAGAAAGACAGCTTGCAGAAGGTGTCATGGGCTGCATGACTAGCTCGGGATCATAAACGTCTGCTGCTACCTAGGTAAGCAAGCTATAGCATAGCTCGGAACGTGTCATGACGGCATCTGGGCAAGCCCGCTAGAACGTGCTCAACGGCTATAGGAATTGCTTTAGACGGCCGCTGAATTGCGACACTGTTCTTGAGCGATCTTGCTGCACGGCAATGTTGAAGGCGAGGCAGTCTTCGTTGGTGTTGTCCGCGTAATAAGAACATTTGGCAGACGCTGACAGCTACTGCTGGGTCGCAGCTGTAACTGTCATCTTCTTCGCGGTCCAGATATCCGGAAGCCTGTTGTAGTAAGCTTTACCATCGTTCGATTCACCGAACTCTGAATGTTTAGGCATGGTCCGGAAGATGACTAGGAAATGGAGGAGGTTGGGTTCCAAGGTTGTCTTGGGAAGAGCTCGTGGGGGCTGATTGGTGCCCAGGCGAGGCAGACAATGGCATCACCGCATCGAGTCGTTCTTGCCTTCGCAGCCGATGAACAGGTATTCTGGGAAGAACGTCTTGTGGGACGGACTTGCTTGATGTCGTCCTACGTCGCCATCGAAGTCGCTTGTCGTTGCTCGCGGTCATTGGTTTCGTTGATTCATGCCATTGCGACTCGGATCTACCCGTGATCTCAGGTGAGGAACCTTTTCATGTGCCCAGGCCAATTGTAGCATCAGGCAAGTCCAAAATCGTCTACTGCCACGAGTGACAACTTCTTTCCCATCTATATGACATTTTCAACAATGACGATGCAGGAGGCCTCCGCAGTGACGACCTGCTAGAGAATGTACATGTTAACAAGGCGACGGCGTGGTCATCTGTGGGTGACAAATTTTACCGAAATTCTTGGATAATGTGCGCTTCGAAACACATCATACTGGATATCGCATCTTCCATCCTCGTAGCATAGGCAGCCCATTCCCATCATCATGTCGGCGACAGGCCATCAGGATGGCGTATCTGCGAGAAGCACGCCTCAGACTACAGCGACACAGCCGGTCCCGAACCGTCCACCAATTGTACAGGCCACACCGCCGGTGTCAAATCCACCACCCAACACACAACCCACACCACCAGCACGACCAGTGGTAACGCCAGAGCAATTCGCAGAAATCCAAAAGAAGCGCTCTCAAGACATCAAAGAACTCGACACCCTAGGCGGCAAAATACTAGAACTCCTAGGCCAAATGACAACCCAAGACGCCATGAGCCTAGTCGCCGACCTCGCCCTCCTAAAGTCCAATCACGAGCCCTACTCACCCGCACCAGCAGAATACCAACGACTCCAAGAACAATTCGTCCCTCTCCAAAGCAGATTCAGTCCACCCGGGGCTCTCATCTCGATCGCACCACTAAACCTCTCCTCCGCACAGGAGATCCAAGGCTTGCGAAAAGCAAACGAAGCAATCTTCTGCTGCGCCATCTTCGCCGGCGGACTCGGGCAGCGCGTCCTCGACCAAAGCTTCCTCGAGACATTCGTCCCTTTCGGCGGAAGCTATCGGAGATGCAAGCGAATATCTGGCTAGAGCTCAAGACTCGAGCGTTCATCACTGCGATGCAGGGCAAGGTGGCGCCAGCACAAACGATCATGCTCGACTTATTCCCGCCGGACATGGCGGGCAAGATGCTCGCGAGACGTCCAGGCTCGACGGTGCTCTTACCAGGCGAAGAAGTGTTTCTGACAAGTCTCAAGGAAAGGAAAGCGGTGCTGCAGGACCATGTCGACAGGAATGTTGTGGCACAGCTCGATGGACTGTTTCCTTACATCAAGCTGGGTAAGGCAGTGACGAACCATCTGATTGAGACACACGTCAAGCCAGTACAGCCTCCTCGAGAGAGCGCAGCAGCTGTGACTGCACGACTTCGTGCTGAGCAGGGTGTCAAGCAGGAGAATGGGTCATCGACGGCAACGACGACGACAACAGCGATGGGAATCACGGACGATGAGTTCGTCGATATGCTCGACGAAGCGTTCGCAGAAGCTAGATTCCAACCTGCTGTCTCGTCGCGGCCGGCGAACATCCCAGAGCAGCGGCCCCAATCGGAAAAAGAAGACGTGCCGATGAAAAGTGTGGAACAGCAAGATACTCAGCAAGCTGAGGTGCAAGCCTTAAACGTGGAACAGGGAGAAGCTCAACAACAAGATGAGTCGCAAGCTGGGAAGGTGAAACAGGAAGAAGATCTCTAAAGATGTTAGGAAACGTCCTAAAGACTTGCTGCGCATAACCACAGGATAGATAGCGCAAGAAAGAATATCCATGATAAACAGCCCTCACCAATCCTTCGTGATCGCAAGGCGGTCACTGTTTCCATTATGCTCTTCTACAGGTTCTGTGTGTTGCATACAGAATCGGTGTAGACTTCATTCACGTCTAAAGACAACACATTGAAGAATGACTTTCAAGAATCACTTAATTGCAGAAGGACTACCTTGCCCACTGTACAAAAGCTCAAAGGCAGCTTCGAGGTTGCTGCCACGCAAATGGCATCATGGTCGATGGGATAGCACACAACGTAGAAAGGATTCCTCAAGTCCTTTCAAGCTGCGTACAATGCCTGTCGGACCATGGTCCTCTCGATTAATGCGGCCTGTTCGCACTCGTCTATGTCCTTTCGCTGCAGTCCTATTACGCTTCCCTTTGGCTCAATCGTGCCCATCCAAGCCTCGCCTGACCTTTCTGCTTCGCAAAGTCGAAGTGGTGCCGTCGTTGTCGAGATGACCTAGCTGGCGAAATTCGCGCTTAGGTTTATGCATCCACTTCTCCCACATTCGACATCCGTTCGTGAGAACGAATGACCCTCCCCATGCGAACCAAGGCCAAAACGAGGCCCTCATTTGGGCAGACCCCTTGTCGTGCCCTTGGCAGCACGCGATTTGCTCCGCCCCCTCGGAAAACCCATGAAACGGCCGGCCTGATGTTACAAACGCCATCGAAGATACCTCTGTCGATTACCGGTAAGAGTAGTAAAGAATTGTCGGTATCTCCCCGAAAATCTGGTCGAGAAGAAGAAAGGTTGTATGAAGACAATCTATCAGGAACTTCGAAAAATAAATGCCGAACCTCTCTTCAGAAAGGCGATTTTGGACGAGTGGCAGGCCGTCCAAGAAGGCTGGAATCTGGAAGGAGATATGCTAAGATGGACTTTTGATAAGTGCCCACCGGGTATCAATGCAGATGCGTCGTGTCTGTTCCAAAGACTATCCTCCTCCGGCCGTAGGATTTTAATTTATGTCAGATGGCATTAATGTTGTTACATGCGGCGAATCCAAAGTGGAAGTCGTCGCAGTTATTCAGCCTTGGTATCAGGCGATCGAGACCGATCGATTGATGGCTGAGCCTGTTGACTCGGAGGGGAACCGGGGTTTGAGGGCGGTGAGTTTGGAGGTTCGCTCTCAAGAGCTGCAAGTGCACTGAAGATGTTTGTTAGTGGGGTCGTGGTTACGAAGGTGTGGAACTTACCTGAAAGCATTTGTACTCGACTCATCCTTCTTCTCTTCCTTCTTGGTCGCAGGAGGAGTTCCAGTTCGGCTGCTGGCGTTGCTATCGTCACCACGGTTGAACGCGCTTCCAGGACCGAGTCCACGGCGGCCACTGTTTGTGCGAGGACCGAGCAGAGCAGGTCCCATACCGCCAGTGTTGCTAGCATTGCGATTGCTTCGTGAAGCGCCGAGGCGTCGAAGGTCGTCTGTTGCAACTCTGTTGGAGTTATCGGGTGGTGGTACTTGGCCGTATGAAAAGCTTCGAGCGTCGCCGCGACCCATTGGCATGGGACCGCCACGACCACGGTTAGCTTGCTGAGCCAAGCGGGCAGCCTCGTCTTTCTGTGCTTTGAGCTCAGCCTCTTCGTGTATTTGTTGAATGGTCTTGGGGCCTTTCTCGTCGTCCTTGGAAATCCAGCCGTTCTTCCGAAGGTCGATGATGTCCAGAAGCATGAACTTCAAGCGGCTGTTGAGATCAGGCAAGTTCATGATGACCTTGATGCGCTCAAAGTAGACATCCATGCGACCTGCGGCCTTGCTCGAGGGATCGTCTAGTTGACGACCAATTGTGCGAAGCAAGCTCGTCAAACTCTCAATCTCAGCCTCATCAGGAGTACCTTCGTAGTCGACAAGCTTCTTGACACATTCGTGCATGATGCGCTCGGTCAACATGCCGAGCTTGAAAAGCTCTCCAATGAACTTTACCAGACCCAAGCCACGTCTCTTTGCAGCCATAGCAACGTAGTACTCTTCAGAGAGAATTGCGGCTTCTGCATCTTGGCCCTCCTTGGGCTCAGGAATATTGACTTTCCAGCCACGCTCGAACTCTTCTTGACACCGGTTGAGAAGGTATTTGCGGAACAGATTGCCACCAGTGACGATGTTGCCGTTCTTGTCTTTAACGTTCTCGTCCTTGATCTCCGCACTCATGCTCTGCAGTGTCTTGAGACAGAACTTGGCATACATACTGGCCCAGTGCGCCTCATCAGTAGCCTTCTCGAAAGTGAGCTGAATGACTTGTCGCAGAGTGCGACCATCGGACTCCTCCTTCGACTGAGCTGCAATGGCGAGGATCTGGTCGGCGATCCGGTCAAATTTCTCCGGTGTCATCTTGTTGAGAGCGGCTTTGACCTTTCGCTGCACCATTTCGGGGTCCATGTGCGCTTCGCCACCAGGAGCAGGGCCCAAGGACGAACCTTGACCCACGCTACGTGGTTTCCAGCCAGTGGACGATACCTCGAGTGAACCAACGTTCATACCAGCGGTCAGCGGCATACTCTTGTTCTCTTCGGCGACCTGCTTAGCAGATCGGTTGTTGCGCTTGCTTTCGGCACGAGATCCACCACGGCTCTGTCCGACGCGAGGCGATCCTGGTGCCATGGTGTTCGACGGTTGTCGGCCCATTGGGATTCCGCCGCGACCCATGAAAGGATTGCCCATAGGCATGCCGCGACCCATGGGTCCAGCCGCATTGGACATGGCAAAGCGTTGTTCAGAAGTCGTATTTGGCGGCAGTGGCGCTCTGTTGAATGCACCCATAGGCCCGGCGAAGTTGTTCTGCGGTGCTCCTCGCTGCGAGAATGAGCGACCACCCATGCCGCTGCTTGGGGTTTTTGCAGTGCGAGCAGACTGTTCGCCATCTCCCATGACATCTCTGATCCGAGCATCCCAGTCAAGATATGGCTTCTCCTTGAAGATGGGCTGGAATTGTAACAAGAAGGCTTTGTCGTACTTGAAGCCTCGATTGGCGGGAGCGTTCTCATTCAAAGCTGGGTTGGGCGACGCGATCTCGGATGGGTATGTTACCTTTGTGAGATCACTCAGCTTCTTGGCGGACTGCAAGGCCTTGAGAGTAGCGCTCGGCTCAGGTGGCTCAATTGGCTTCTTGGTGTCGAGGGTCAGCTCAGCGGCTTTGCCTCGTTTAGCACCCAAAGCTCGGGCTGGAGGTGGCATCGACACGTCTGACACAGGCGTAGCCGCACCGCTGGGTCCAGATGGGGTGGCCTCGGCGGGCGTGTCAGTGGAGGCTGGAGTCTTGACGCCGCTCTTGAGCTCAGCGAACAACCGCTTGGATTCATCGTCGCTTGGGCCACCGCCGTCACGCTCCTTCTCCCGCTGAGCTTCGAGTGCTTCGGCCTCGCGCTCTTGCTCTCGCATAGTACGTTCATACTGCTCGGCTTCTTCTTTCTCACGCTGAGCCTCGGCTTCCTTCTTGACTGCCTTCTTCTTCTGATACTCGGCCTCTTTGCGAGCTTCTTCAGCTTCGATGGCTGCATACTCTGCCTCGATCGCATCATAGTCGGGTTCGTCAGAGTCTGCAGCGGGTGCCGCAGGTGTAGCCTCCGCTGGAGCTGGTTCCTCCTTGGGGGTATCCTCAGGCTTTGAGACTGGAGCTGTCTCCTGCTCGCTCGCTGCCTGTTCAACAGTCTCGGCTTCCTTTTCAACCTTGTCAGCAGTAGCCTTGGCCTCTTCTGCCTCGACCTTGGCAGCGTCGCTTTGCTCTTGGTGGATCTCGGCCTGTTCCTCGACGACACCTTCCGCCTTTGCTTGTTCCTTCGCCTGCTCGGCTATTCTCTGCTTGACAGCCTCCTGCATAGCACGCTTGCGCTCCTCATCAGTTTTGGCGCTTACACTCTCTGTGCGTGTATGAGCTTGGTCGACAGCGCTTGGTGTGCGACTGGGCGGCGTCGGGTTGGATGGAGTGACAGCCGAAGCGACAGCAGAGCTGGGTGCAGGTGACGCTGGGGCTTTGTCTTTGAAACTTAGGGCTTCGCCAGTATTCGGGTTCTTGATGACAATAGCGACCTTCTTCTTCTCGGGAATGGAGAAGTTGGAGCTCTTTGAAGGTTGTGACATGCTCGGGGTGCGCGAGGTCGACGAAATTGGCATCGATGACGAGGGTAGCGAAGGGGTTTGAGGTTGATGGCCAATGCTGGACCCGGGACGGTCTGGTGCATTAGACATTTGCGAAGAGGCACGAGACATGGTCGGGGCTTGACCCTGGTTGCTGTAAGCTGGCTGCATGTTGGCTCCGTAGCCACCAGGCTGGAACTGCCGAGGAGATGGCTGATTGGGATAGCCATATTGACCTTGCATCATGTTGTGCTGGTAATTCATCTGTATGCTAGGATCGACTTGCATAGGAGGGCCATTCTGCGGTTCATTTGTCAGCTTCTGGCGCAAGGACTCAAAGTTGCCACTTGCAGGGGACAAGTCAGGAAAACGATGCAGATTCAGGCGAGCAACGTTGGCAGGGTGGTTGTCGGAGGCTGGATCATGGCTGTAAACCATTCTGTCCTCGGACGGACTCTTCATGCGGCCACGACCACGACGTGCACCGGGGAAGGAGTCCCCACGGCTGCCACCGCGCGTCTTCCCTGTCTTGCCTCGAGTCGGCTCTGTGGACGGGGAATGTGCAAGGGCATAGGAGAGGGGAATTACTTGAGGGGCTCCATAAAAGTACTGCTGATTTGGCATGCCGTTAGGTTGTTGCATAGGCATGAACATCTGTTGTGGGGTACCGGGCTGGTTGTTCATCATGGCCGGGTTGCTTGGTCTCATGCTGGGCGAGCCTTGGTATCCAGGGACATTGCGAGCACCCTGGTAGGGCATGCCACGACCGTTTGACTGCCCGCGGTAAGAGTTCTGGGGGGAGAAGTGAGGCATCTGTGGCTGCTGATGGTAGCCGCCATTGTTGTAGCCTCCTCTGCCTCGACCGGCAGGGCTCTGGAAATTTCGGGGATTTGGGCCGCTTGGGAGGGAGGGGTTGTTGCCATAGTCGCTCTGCATGGAGTGCGACGATCCACGGCGGTCGTGGCTACCGAATTGGAGGCTAGATACAGATCGAGGTTGGCCCTGAGGAAGGTCAGTACTTGCACACACACAGAACACCGCTGTGAGACATACCGAAGGGTCAGTTTCGCCTGAGCCTGACTGGCCAAAGACCATGCCGTTTTGACCAAAGTTTGAGGGAGGACGAGAGCCACCGCTGGGCTCGCTCGGTTGAGGGATCGGAGATGGGGCGGCATGGGGAGACGAGGCTCTCTGACCCTGGCCAAGTTGATTGACTCCGAGATTGGAGTTGTTGTGCGGTGGCAGAGAGGCATTGCCCATCGCAGGTGAGCTGCCAGCAGTATTGAAGGCTCCGAATTGGACTCCTGGCTTGTTCTGCGGACCGCCGACTGCGCCACCGTTGTAGTTTGCCCCAGAAGGAGTGACCGTCATTGAGGACTTGCGAGAATGGTCCTGGCTACCATTTACAGTAGGAATCGCAGGAACAGTCTGATTGTTGCGACCATTTACGGAATCGCCTTGATTTTGCGCAGGTTGAGCGCTTCCAACTGGTTGTGTGGCCATGTTGGAAGACTCGAATGCATTGAGGACTTGAGACGTCGTTGTGGCGGGCGTCGGTTCAATCTGGCGTGAGGATGCCAAATTATCGACCGAGTACCTTAGAGCTGAAAGAGGCACAATGCTGTCGCAGCAGGGCCGGCTAGCGTTTGCCTTGTGTGTGAATTTTTGTGAAAAAGGTACTCCACGTAGTTAGGCGGCAATTAAGACCTATGCCGGACTGTAGTGAATGAGACGATTTCGGATAGCGATACTCGAAGTTGGCGCAATCAGTCGCACGGCAGTACGAAATGAGCGACTAGATCGAGTGAACGGCAGCCGGTCGTCGTCTGCTTGTGGGAGTAGAGAAGAGCTTCTGGCTGCGGCAGAAGAAGTCTCTACAAGGAGTGGAGATGGTGGACACGGGCAGTTCAGGTTGAGGCGCCTGTCTGTGCCGTGATATTTCTCGGTTGATGTGGTGAAAGACCGTGTAAAGGACTGTGCCTCGAACAAAGGCAGATTACAGCACAATCAACTCCCACTTGACAGTGAGAAAGATGATGACAGTGGTGTGGTGATAGAAGAGAGATGTGGTGAAGTTGGGCGATAGATTATGCGTTTAGAAAGAAATTTTGGCCTCATGAAAAGGGAGATGCGCTAAGAGACGCAGTTCAGGCTCAGGCTCGCCGGAGCAGCAGTCCAAAGCCGGCTCCACTGCCAGATGCCAGGGTCATCGTTAATTGGCTGCCAAGCTTAGTTCTTTTACGGTACTGCTACAGGGAATTGCCAGCAGCCCAGATTTATTAATGATATTATTGTTTCTACTTCTAAGGACTGGTCTTGCCCGTACTGCGAAGTCGCTGCAATCGGAAGGTCCAACTGTCCACTGGCTGAGACGTGGCAGGCGCAGTCTTTCGTCGAGTCGCTGCGGAGTAACACAATGACTGCTACCGAGCCACTCTCTGCTTTACGGCCTGGTCACAGTGACTCACCCAGACGGAAGTTGAGTCCTGAAAGAGGGGCTAACAATAGGTTTACCACGGCTCAAGCACGAGACAAAATATCCAGAGGCCCCTCATGAAAGAATCGGCTGGCATGTGGTAGAGGACTCCCAAGTTGGAGACAAGAGTCATCGATGGTTAAGTCCGCTACAGATGCGGTTCATACGTGACCAACACCGTCATGCAAGATGCAGTCAGACTGTCATCGCCAACCGACAGGCCAATGCAACCATTCGAAAGAAGCCTCAGGCTTTTCTGCGATTCGGCTGTTTGGCTGGTCTGTCAAACGTTTCAAAAACGCTTCCCCGTGGCGGCGGCGATCCACTCAAGAAGATCCGCGGCCATCCTCACCAGCCACAGGCACACTTCCAGCTACCCTTCCAGAAGCAAACATTCAATATTGGTCGAGAACGAAAAGCAATGGCTGCGGAAGACTGTGATATTTAAGCTGCATCTTCCGCGCGATTGCTGTTTCTACCTATCGTCGCGCTTAGATGTATGGATGACGCGTTGGCTGGTCAAGGAGTCGCGCACGTGTGCTTGCTTTTCTCAAGGGATGAAGCGAAGAAGAAATCACGGCTCTCGCAGCCGATTTTTTCTGACCACCCTTCGACTTTCTCCAACCAGGAACCTTGCTCTCCTTATGTCCGAACCACGTGTCGACGCGATTTCGCCTTCGTTTGCGTCCCGATTAAAAGGGTCGTGCCGTTGCTTCATCCGAGTAGTCTGAACTCGAATTGTATGGTGTGATGTCGCATATAGTCAGCATCATTCAATATCCAACCAGCCATCCTCGCGTGGTATCAGACATCATCTATGCACGCCTTTGCTATCTACCAGGGCCAGGAACGCGCTCAAAGTGATTCATATCCACGACATCAACGCTTGGCTTTAGGCTTCTTTGCATTCTTTGCAAACAACTCTTCCGGCGGCTCGTCGGACTCCTTTCGCTTGCTCTTCTTTCCACCGCCGCCATATTTGGCCTCAAGGTTGGCGAGAAAGTTGTCAGACCTGCTCTGGCCACGCTGCTGAATGAGCGCTTTGAGTGCATCCTCGTCGTTGCCCTTTTTCTTGCTGCCATCGCCGAACAACTTGTCTTTGACCCCAAGCTCCTCCGCCAACTCCATCGCCTCGCCTTCCTCTGCCCTGGCTTTCGCAACGCGCTGCTTCCTGCTCGCTTTCGATTCCTTGGTGTATGCCTTGTACGCCTGAACGGTCTTGTCCTTGATTGCCTCGTCGATAATATGCCGAAATCGTTCGTCATCGTCCAGCACGCTGCTGCACATGACTTGTTCGTAGATAGCATCCATATCACCTTCCGCTTCCTCATATGCCTGCAGAATATCATCCCGCTCCTCTTCCGATCCCTGATAATCCTTTTTGATCTTGTCAATCATCGCTCCATCTACCATGGCCGCAGACTGCTCTCGGAAGAAGTCAGTCCAATTGAAGTCATCGTCTTCGAGGTCGAGGGACTCAGAGGTGTTCCCAGTAGTGTCATATCGCTTCCTTCTCCGCTCATCTGACAGAATAGCGTATGCCAGAGCGATTTCCTGGAATTTGAGATGTGCTGCGGCCTTGTCGCTCTCTGCAGCCTTGTCTGGATGATGCTTGAGCGCGGCTTTGCGGTAGGCCGACTTGACATTGTCTGCTGTCGCTGTCTTCTCGAGACCAAGGACCTCGTATGGATTGATTGATGTGGGAGGTTCTTCGAGTTCGATGCTCTCTTCTTCGTCTACCACATTCTTGGCTTTTCGTGCCATGATTGTGACGCTCGTAGGCAAGACCTGTTCTGGGCGGAGTCAACTTTGGTAGGTATGCGTCTACGTCTACGATCGATCAAGAGTCCGTAGCGATTCAAGGAGATTCTTGTGTATATACTGCTCAGTAGTAGGTAATGTTGGAGGCCGTTGGAGAGACGATTTAAACGCGTGAGACCACTTAAAGACGCGTGCCCTAGGGGCTACGTCACAGGCCACCCACAGTAGTCGCCCTGGACTTGGCTCTCAAGTCTGGCTCACTTCAACTTCATGTCCTATCACTTCTCCGTCGATATGTCTCACGGCCAGCACGTCGAGTATCTGCGACACGCTCTGTCGGAAGCTCAGAAATCTCCACCAAAGCCTACAAACTTCCGTGTTGGCTGCGTGCTGGTCTCGTACCGAAAGCCACAGGAGCCCCAGATCCTCTCAACTGGCTACACGTTGGAGCTGGAAGGAAATACACACGCTGAGCAGTGTGCACTGACAAAGATGGACGAAGCGCACCCTCGCGAGGGAGGACTGCCTAATATCTTGACACAAGGCCTGAAGGTCACTCTATATACGACACTAGAGCCCTGTTCAAAGCGTCTGAGTGGGAATACACCTTGTGTCCAAAGGATCATTGATACGCGACAAGGAGATCCTGAGGGCGGTGTCAGAAAGGTCGTCTTTGGTGCTAAGGAGCCCAATACTTTCGTACAAGACAGTCAAAGCTGTCGGCTGCTCACAGAAGCGGGTGTAGAGTGGGAGTATATTCCCGATTTGGAACAGGAGATCCTTGCCGTTGCTATGGAAGGCCACGACAAGAAAGAGTCAAGCGGTGCGATCAACCCTTCCACAGAGTCAAGCTCAGGAGCGCCAGCAGAACAAAGGAAGGAGCCAACGAACAAGGAGGACCAGGTTACCAATATTGACGACATCAGCCTGAGGAACGCAAAAGGCAAGAAGAACAGCCACGCAATCCCATGAAGCGGATGATGGAGCTCTGATCTAATGAAGGGTTTCGTAATTGAGACCATTCCGCTCTCGTGCGTGCTTGCACGAACAAACCATGTTGAACACGGTCTGCGTCCCACGGCATCTATTCATGAAGTACCAAGATTAGCCTGAAGCCACTCGGGCACTTTCGGTGGCTGGTTCCACGCCTCCTGCCAGGATGATCGCCATGCTGAAGCTGACGCTGGCACAGCGTAGATGGCTGTGATGAACGTTGCTGTCTCCTCAGCAGCATCCATACTTACAGTCAGTGTCGGAAGGACTGTTCTGCTGGCTAGTAAGTTGCTGTTAGCATCTTCATCAATGACTTCGCCTTTCCTCTGTCTCGTTCCGAGCTCTCGTATTCCAACAACGCCAACTATCGACACAGCAACTGCTTCTTGGTCGGATTGCTCACGCCCTTCGTTCTCGGCAATACCAATATTCAGCATCCTTCCATCCGCCCTCTTCTCACCAGCCATTGCGAACCCGCCCTCGCTAAGCATCAGCGCCCTCCCAGTCCTGATCCTGTGCATCCTTAGGTGCCAGTTCGGATATCCAGCCGACGGAGGCACCAAAGTCGTCTCCACGAGCACATCCTTCCACGGCTTCCACTCCGATATGAGCACAGGCAACCCTTCCCTCTCCTCAATCCTCACACTCAACGCCACCCTCCTGACCTTCCACGTCTCACCTTCGTCATCCGAAAGAGCAAGCATATTATCCCCTCCGATCGCATTCACGAAATACCCTCCTGTCGGCACACCATACCCGAACGCCGAGCTGTAAGCAAACTTCCCATACTTACTCTCTGCTGCCCTCATCGGGTAGTGGCACTGCTGCCCTGAGCTCAACAAGAAGGTGTGTCCTTTATTGCACAGTATCTGTTTTGGCTCCTTCATCACCACCACATGACCGCCCAGCTGGTCCAATTGCGGGTAAGCCTCCTCCTCCGCCTGCCAGAAGGGATGCTCCTCCGGACACGCCAACGCCACAAAACTCAGCATGAACCAGTACGGCGAGCCCGGCGAATTGTAGTTCTCCGACAGGAACTGGTTTGGGTAGCTGTATCCAATACTGAGCGTGCCCTGTGACGTCAACATGTCTTTCTGCATGGTCCACCAGCGTAGATTCCTGAGCAGGAGGCCCTTGACGACACCCCAAGTGAGCGGCGCAGGCAGTTCGAGATCCGCGTACGCGACTGCCGACCAGAAGCCTGCCATCGCGAAGCGGTAGGTCAGAGAGCGGCCGAAGGTTATTGCTCGACCTGTTCAGCACGCTCAATCAGCATCGAGCGTCAAGGAGGAGGGGAGTGACACTCACCCTGTTCATCAAAATATCGCACGAACCCAACCGCAAACTCCCTCGCCCACCCCCTATACCTCTCCGCCCTCTCCGGATCCACCCCACCCCTAATTTTCACGTAGATCAACTGCAACAGCTGTATTGCAAAGCTCCCAGAGTAGTAATCCATCTGCGTATACCCTTCTGGCCCATCATTACTCCACCCTTGGCCTCTATAGAAGCTCTCCAGCCGGTTCAGATCTCGGCTCATCTGCTCCTCGTCGACCTGCACCACTTCCTCACCATCGTCAGTACCACCACCCGGCCTGCCCTCCCCAGCACACTTCCAAATCGCCAAGTTTGCCATAACACGAAACCACAACCAATTCGTATCCGGCATCCCCTTTCGATTGACACTTCCCAACCACATCACCACATTTCCCCTCTCTTCTCGCGTCAACGGCTCCCAGAACCACTGCGGGCTTACCAGTAATCCCCACGCGAGCGGACACATCTCCACCATGCGCTGGTCGCTGTCCTCGCACCAGCCCCAGAACTCGGGATGGGACGGTTCGGTCCCATTCCGCAGACCCTCCAGCCAGTGTGCGTAGCACGGGAAGAGGTCGCTGTGGGGCGGACTGCCGCCGTTGGCGTCGCTGGTCGGAGTTGGTGCGAGGGTCGGCGTTTCGCACGCCAACAAAGAGCCAACGCCCCACATAGAGCGCGAGAAGCCTTCCAGCTGCGCCGCGGACTCGTCGAAACGGGTGCCAGTGGCACCCAGTCGCAGGCGGGTGGAGTGTGGGGAGAAGAAGGGAAGGAGAGGGTTTAGAAGGGAGAGGCATGCTTGCGCGAAATCTGATCTTGACCGCAGCTGCGAGGGGTCTAGAGCTGTGAAGAATGGCGGCGAAGCGGGATTGAGAGAGGTGTCTGCCATGCTGCTCGCTGTCGCCTATCCTCAACTGGGCGCTGTGAGCAGAAATCAACGTAGGCGGAATTCACGAGACGGAGTAGGTCGCTTTGACCATACAATGTCAGGCAACAGAAGGACGAATATTGATCCTCCGGGAGTCGCGCGCAGCGTAGGAAACGACGCAGTCTCACCTTTGACAAGAAAGCTCTACGTCCTCATCTCGTGCTTTGATGGCCACACGGTCATAGTCTCACGACGTTGCATATCCACAGCTCAATTCAGCCAAATATGTCAAGCGCCGGTGGGGGTAGTTGAGGAGTTGCAAGTGTATTGCGGGGACTACATGTGTGGAGATCTTGACATGTTTGTCAGCTGTTTGGGGGCTTGTGTATTCCCCAAATCAGCGCGGGGGCATACAGGTGTTCAGGTCTTTGCTTGTATCCTCATACGGGACGCACTTGTGGCCACACGGGAATACGCTGTACCGCTGTCGAAGGCATGTCATTATGTCACGGCCACCATGGCTGCGCTTCAGCGGATTGGGACTGATTCTCGCTGCTCTGTGCCTATCGGCAACCTGTAGGTGGCCTTGGAACATATGCAGTGCCGTTCTGGTGTCCTGAAGAATTCTTCTGAGGATCACTCACAACCATGTCCGCTGGTACCGATACAAATGCGGATCAGCCGTCCAGCAGAGCCCAAGTCTGATCGTCGACAGTCGTAAATATGATACCAGTCCCCAGTAGCTCCTCCGCGCCTTTGTATACATCCGCCGTCGGCATGCCAGTCGTCGATGCAATCATCTGGAGATGCAAGCCTTCGTTGGCCTCGGTCGACTTCAACGCCTGGTACACCTTCCGGGCATAGCTGGACATTGACGGCAGGCCGTTTGACGTACCGTCATACCCTTGTTGCCCCCCAGCACCGTTTGTGGCCTTGACCGCGCCTCCCGCACCGGTGGGTGGGCCTCTTGTGAAGTGCAGATGGATGGCGGTGGCCTCGAGCAGGTGATAATTGATCTCGTTATAGTCTGTAATGGGTCGAATGATGTGCGCGCCGACATGTCGCTTGTTGTTGAAGGCCTTGACTCTTCCGTATACTCGGCAATACACATCTTCAGCCAGCTTCGATTTCGATTCGACGTCCATGGGGTCGTCTTGCGCATCGGAGTCGATCCATTGCTTGACTTCGATTATACCGGTGCCGTCGTCGACTTTGTAGGTGATGTTGGTAGTCTGCTTGCTTATGTTCCGTATCTGGCCAACGAATGTGGTCTACTAACATCAGCGGGACGTCGTCTCGCGCTGTTGAGGGTACCCTTACCTGTGTGATTGCATCACCGTCAATCTTGAAATCGGCATCGGGATGTGGTTGTTGTGCATCGAGCAATTGTTTTATTGTGACGGGTCGCACTGTGTCTTTGCCATATCCTTTCTGTACTTGACGTCAATAGCCGCACAACCATTTTCAAGAGATGCATACGCTGCCACCTGCTTGACTGCTGCCGGGCTCGCCTCCCATAAAGCCGCCGCCATCGGCCGCACCGTTCGCTCCGTAGGACGTCGTGTATTGCTGTCCGTAATCTGACATTGTCAGCGCACAGAGTCTCCACCGATAAGCACGTTGACCCACCCATGGCTGTTTGCGATCCGTGTCGTTCTTTGCGTACAGAGGTGTGTAAGGTACTTAGGTACTGTTTGGCAAAGCAGCGATATTTTGCCTGCGCTGCGGGGAAGGCACAACGCGTCGCGTCCGCAATCAATAAATCCAAGTCGGGTCTAGCTCCGAGACCGTCCAGCTTTACCCCTTCTCGGATCACTACAACTCCCCCTCTTACCTCCGCCTTCTTAGAATCAGCTATCTTGTACAAGCTTCATCTGTGGTGCAGATGATGGCTCAAACCCTCTTCGCTCCCCACCTGCCATCAGGCAAAATGAAAGCAGGTCACCTCAGGACCTTCTTCTGGAGTTATTAGGAAGACTGATCACGCGATCCTCGTGCATGTATGAGGTCTAAGCCTATGACCGAGATCACAAGAGGCCTCCCTATCGACTTTAGCCCAAATGGATGGTCAACTAACTAAAGTCCTTGTCACATTACACGACTGGTAACACATGGTTGTAGGTTGCTGTACCTGACGATACTTGGAGGGGTCCCCGCGATTGTGATTTCCTCCTGCCCATGCCAAGAATACCACGGCCATGGTGCACGAGCTGATAGTTCATCAGCCGCACCATCTAGAGACACCGTGACTTGTGTGGTAAAGTCTGCCACGCAATCTGACCAGTGACACCGGTACATCAATACGAAGTCGAACCTTCCAGCGCACCCTTTCCTAGGTTTCCAGTAAAGCGGCTGTTGCTTGGGTGTTATAATGGCGTCGACGTGCGAAAATAAAAGCGACGAGCTGGCGCCACCAAATATAACAATGATCTCTACAGGGTCTTCACTGTGCAGCGCCCGCCGCAACTCAACAAGATCTTGGCAATGTATGCTATGACTTTCGCCGTGGTCGCGGCTATGATCACCTTGGCCTGTACAGCTGCGCCGCCGCGCGATTGCTTTATGGGCACACCGCAGCAGTGCAAGAATGCTCTCTTTGCCGACCAGTCCTGTCGAGGTCTCAACGTAACCACGCGAGATGGCTGGAAGCGTATGGATTGCGACTACGTGCTGTACGACGTACGCGCTCCGACGCCAACGGACAAGTGGCTCATCGTCCATGCGGGCGGCTGCGACAGTTACACTGAAGATGTCGGCGACTTTTTCTCTCAACAAATGGACCTGAATGTTTGGGGACTACGCCCTTGTGGTGGTTACGATGAGAGCGCATGCGCGAGAAACAGTGGCTACGACATCTGCGCTGCCTTGCACGTCTCATTCTTGTTCCCCTCGCTTGATCAGGGTCCGGATGTGATCAGGCCGTAAGTCTCCAGCATACTTCTTCACTTGTCGAGCTGCCGCCGTGTGCTGACCGTCGCATATAGATACGGCAATGGACTTAATGCCCCAGCTCTGGTCGACATCTACCACACGCCCAACACGACCATGCTATTCCTGCACCAGTACGGGTCAAGCAACACTAGCTATAGCTGGTATCCAGCCGACGGGTGCAACTCAGACACAAAACCTTTGTACATGTGTGTCGCTGGTATCGAGAAAGATCACAGTACATATACCGCCAAGTTCGACGCGATCAAGTCACTTCTCGAGGCAGTCAGCAATACGCCGGAACTCCCTTGCAAACTAGAGGTCATCGATGCAATGCCTTACAGTCAAAATCAAACGGCAGATATGCCTTGCACTGGTATTCTGCGTGGGTACAATGACCCCTCAAGAGTGGGCGGCGATGTTGGGCCTGGGACTGCAGTCAACTGGGCATGGGAGATGACCGGAGTTCAGCTAAAAGCCGTGATGCTGGCATCGGAAACTGAGCCGGATGGTCAGTTGGTTCAGGCGTTTGAGAAGGCGATCAGTGTAGCTTTGTGTCAAGACTTCGATTCGGCAGATGGGTGCATCGATCGCGACAAGTGACAAGCTCGTTTGAAGTCGTGAGCCGTTGGACATCCCAGGAGAAGTAACCGAAGTATGCCTTCTTCCCAACAGATCATTGAGAGGCAGCTGCTTCAGAGCCGATCTCGGACAGTGTCTCGATATATAGGTATGAGTGACAAGACAATGCGCGGTACAGTAGCAAGATGCGAAGCAGCGCAGAGCAAAGTGGTATATGACCTTAGTGCTGTGAATCTGGATGGCAAGTGAATGCAGGGTTGGGTACTCAATTCCCGAGGTCAATTGCAGTCTTCCTTCCAATTCTGTAAGTCTCGCTTGGTGACCTTGTACCTTGTAACAAGTCCTGCGTCACACCTGCTGTACCGTAGATAGATCAGCTTCCCTCGAAGCTGTGGCATGGTATTTGCGCTACGTAGTCCGGGGCAGTAAGCGGAGCCGAAGACTTTTGCGTGCGCCGGCCGATGTGAGAGGTGGGGCCAAGGCAGGGCAGACTAGGAGCCGGTATCGATAAGAAAAAAGTCGCCCCAAGTGCCCGAGTCACTGAAGACTGCGATGCTACGACTACCCACAGTCCATAGCAGTGTTAGCCAACATGCGGGCTCGAAGGTCATCTCCGGCGCGGTCGGAGACCGAGGTAGATATTGGGCAGTCTCTGTTCACGAAGAACGGGCGAGGAGCGTCAGCGAGTGACAGTGAGGGCGAGGATGAAGTCACCAACAGCGCCGCTACGCCAAACGATGGCTTGGACTTCATGGCCACCGATACCGATGTCGATGATGACGAGGATGTAATAGCAAAACAGCTGGCGGCGTCACAGCGGAAGGCGACAAACCTAAAGGGCAAGTCGGTGAAGAAAGGCGGAGGCTTCCAAGCGATGGGCTTAAATGCCAACCTGCTCAAAGCCATTACGAGGAAAGGCTTCTCGGTCCCGACTCCGATTCAACGCAAGACAATACCGCTGCTGCTAAACGATAAGGACGTTGTCGGAATGGCGAGGACTGGCTCAGGCAAAACAGCAGCGTTCGTCATACCTATGATTGAGAAACTGAAAGCACACAGTCCCAAAGTGGGCGCCCGAGCGCTAATCATGTCTCCGTCCCGAGAATTGGCGTTGCAGACGTTGTCAGTTGTCAAAGAGCTAGGCAAAGGCACAGATCTGCGTTCTGTGCTGCTCGTGGGCGGCGACAGTCTGGAAGAGCAGTTCTCAGCCATGGCCTCAAATCCAGACATTGTCATTGCTACTCCTGGCCGATTCCTGCATCTGAAAGTCGAAATGAATCTCGATCTGCAAAGCATACGCTATGTTGTCTTCGACGAGGCTGACCGACTGTTCGAGATGGGGTTTGCCGCTCAGCTGACCGAGATTCTGTACGCTTTGCCATCGTCACGTCAGACACTGCTGTTTTCTGCTACATTACCCAAGTCTCTGGTCGAGTTCGCCCGTGCCGGCCTGCAAGAGCCAAGTCTCATCCGCCTCGACGCAGACAGCAAGGTCTCGCCGGATCTGCAAAGTGCCTTCTTCACTGTCAAGTCTTCTGAGAAGGAAGGTGCTCTGTTGCACCTGCTGCAAGACGTCATTGGTGTTCCTACAGGCTCACAATTGCTCTCGACAGATGGCGAGCAGAAAGGGTCCAAGAAGAGGAAGAGATCCGAGAACGAAAGCAGTTCGAAAGGTGTATCCAACCAGCACTCGACCATCGTCTTTGCAGCGACAAAACATCATGTCGAATACCTCGCCAACCTGCTGAAGGCAGCCGGCTATGCCGTATCGTACGTCTACGGCTCACTCGATCAAACAGCACGCAAAGAACAAGTCCAGGCCTTCCGATCACACCAGTCGAACATCCTGGTAGTCACAGATGTGGCCGCCCGAGGCATTGATATCCCTATCCTGGCGAATGTCATCAACTACGACTTCCCATCACAGCCCAAAATCTACGTCCATCGTGTAGGCCGCACAGCGCGAGCAGGCCAGAAAGGCTGGAGCTACAGCTTCGTGCGAGATGCTGACGCTCCATACCTGCTAGATCTCCAACTCTTCCTCGGGCGCAAGCTCATCGTCGGCCGGTCTGCAGGTTCGAATTTCGACCTCGCGACCGACGTCGTGGTCGGCTCACAGCGACGCGATGCCATGCAAGCCCAGACTGAATGGGCAAGTAATACACTAGCATCGGACGTAGATCTAGCCGCACTGCGGACAGTGGCCTCCAAAGGCGAGAAGCTCTACCAGCGCACTCGCAACTCAGCATCGTCCGAAAGCGCCAAGCGAGCAAAGCAGCTAGTCGGCAGCGACTCATGGACCGAATTGCATCCCATGTTTGACAATGACAACGACGGTCTCGAGGCAGCCCGACAAGCCATGCTGGCTCGCGTTGGAGGCTTCAGGCCCCAAGAGTCCATCTTCGAGATCGGTGCTCGACGTGGTGGGCGCAAGAATAATGAGGAAGCAGTCGATGCGATTCGCACTATTCGGCACACGCTGAAAGTGAAGAAGCGGAAGTCCCAGGCAGCGAAAGAATTCGAATCGCAAACTGCTACTAACGAAAACACCCACGACGATCCATCCGAGGGTGACGCGGAGCTCGACCTAACAGGACCAGACATTCTGTCAGAAGCATCCGATTCCGAGCTAGAAGTGACCTTCTCAACTGGCAACAAAAAGTCCAACCCAGATACTCACTCGAACAATACCTTCAAAAGCAGCGAGTACTTCATGTCCTACGCCCCCGAAGGCAACGATCTGGACGAAGAACGTGCCTACGGCGTCCACTCCGGCTCCAACACCAACTTCGTCGAAGCCGCCCGCGGAGCCACGATGGATCTCGCCGGCGATGAAGGAGCCAAAAACTTTGGCGAGGCCCGCAGCGTCATGCGCTGGGACAAGCGGCACAAGAAGTACGTCTCGCGAAACAACGACGAGGATGGATCAAAGGGCAGCAAGTTAGTCCGTGGGGAGTCCGGTGCGAAGATCGCGGCGAGCTTCCGTAGTGGAAGGTTTGATGCCTGGAAGAAGGCGAATAAGATCGGGAGGGCGTTGAGGGTCGGTGAGAAGGAGAGGGAAGGGGTTGGGTCCGTGCAGAGTGGTTCGAGGATGGGCAACAAGCGGTTCAAGCACTCGAAACTGGATGCGCCCAAAGCGGCGGATAAGTTTCGAGATGATTATGAGACGCGCAAGAAGAAGGTTGCTGCTGCGAAGGAGCGGGAGCAGGCAAATACGGGCAACAAGCGGGAGCTGCATTCTGTTGACGACATCCGTAAGGCGAGGAACCTGAAGCAGAAGAGGCAGGAGAAGAATGCGAGGCCGCAGCGGAAGGGGAAGCGATAACAGACGTCAACGACAAGGCGTTGACGCAGGTTCACAGGGCCTGTATGTGGTGCAATGCATGCAGAGACTTCCGCGCCCGACTTGGCGAGCTGTGGTCAACATGTATGTGTCGCGTGCCGCTTCGTAGCTCTGTAAATGCAGGGGAAGCGCTCCATGGTAGTAGTCATTAACGATCACACTGCGGTCGGCTGGGGCTAGTCTCAGGTGACGAACTAGACACGACTACGCCTTTTCATCGCATACTGGCGGTCACTAGCAGAGTACGGGTCAACCAGCTGTCGCAGAAAGGAGATCTGAACAGGGGGATCCGAGTCATCCGACATAGGCGGTGTGCTGACTTGGTATGTTTTGAAATGCTCCATGTCTTGTTTTGGAGCCCTGCAACGAGCACGATTCCCTATAGAGTGACATGGTCAGCTGCTGGGAGTTCGAGATGCCTTGGTCGCGCTACGAACCATTTCATAGAGAGCGTTTGCTGCAAGGCAACCTCGGGAGCGGCATTGGTGCGTGGAGCGTGCTCCAGAGATCATGCTAAGCCTAGTGGCTACGTGGTTGAAACCAAGCCCTTCGACGGGCGGGTCGCGTAGTCAAGGTGTTGCTGTCCGTTGCACGGGCCGACTTGTCGGATCCGAGAACACCTCAAGTTAGCAGCGACATTCCCTCGGGGAAGGAAAAGCTACATGGAGCTTCGTTGGAGCTATGGTTCCTTTTGCTGCATGAGGTCCCACGTAAAGTGGCGCCTCTAGCAGAACAAAGTTGCATGCTTGTGAAGCTCCTTGAAATGGCGTGAAGCATGCTGACGTTCCGTTTCCCGTGGAAGTGAGGACAGCATGCAGTAATCTCTGAGGATGCGAATCTGCTACCTGTGTCCGTGACGAGCGGTGATCAGCAGCATTTCTGCCTTCGTCGTGATGATTGCTTCCATTCTGCAGGCTGAAGATCTCACTAGCAGCTGAAAGCAGGTGTTGTACTGTGCTCCAAGGTTGAAGTCCGTTGAAGGCTTGCAAAAGGGGCACACAGTCAAGGATCCGACAAGCTGGGTCACCACATGGTTCGGAACACGTAGGTTTTGCCTTTGACAGGTCGGTAGGTGCAGGTTCTAGCGCAGGGGAATCGCCGGGGCATTGAATGTTCCTGGCTCAAGTGGCTGCACAAACAAGCCCGTTAGAACCTTGCCTGGAAGATCGGCATCAAGAGTTGCGAACTTGATGAGAGCTCCGAAAATTCTGTCCAAGTTCTAGCACCCTCGGGAAAGTCAACAGCCCAGAGGTCCGTCATTGTGCACCATTTGGGTGCACCTAGCAGCGGGCGAAAGGTCAGAGTCTCCGAGTCGAAGGCTAGTCGTTGTACTTAGCAATGCTGACTGTGTGCGATGCGTTGGGTGACAATAAGAGTGAGGCATTGCTATCAACGATGGTGTGTAGCAAAGGTTGAACAGCAGAGACACCGCCACAGGCACGAGTATGGCGTTGTGGCGGGGCTGGCTGAAGTCGATCAAGCTGACGCGAACACGGTTTTGCTCGTATATTGTGGAGCCATCAACTTTTGTGATATCCGAGGTGATGAGAAGTACGTATGTTTTATCTTGATGTGCAAGCTAGAGACACGCAGTGATATTGTGGTGCTTGCGTAGTGATGTCGTCTCGCAACGGACAATGCTGCGGCAGGAGTCAGAAGTCAGTGAATCCTAGATAGGCAGGAGCCTGCAGCAAACGGCAGGAGGACACCCTCAAAAACCGACGGCTTGAAGTCACGACTTGAAGCTTTTGATGGACTTTGGGGGTAATGGGTCGTTTGCTCCTTCGACAGCTTGAGCAAGCGAAATCTTTACTAGGTCGTCCGACATCCCAGGTCCAACGCAAGCTTCGCGAACGTCAACACACGTCGGACAATGTCCTGGTTGCTTCTGGGCTTGCAGAAGACTCCGTTTACGAGCGTCCTCCTGCAGTAGCTCGGGGATGCTTGTTGGCAGACATGCAGTGTCGGCGGTCAGAATCAAACTTCTCCGTTGGTAGCACCATTACTGCACGGCCTGCGAGCTGTTGCTGTTTGAGGACTTGACCATGAGTCGCCCTAGCGTCCTCAGGTTGGGTGCCGCTGCAATAATGAATGCGCATACTTCTCTGGTCGCAGAGACTTTGCCTTCTGTGAGGTCCGTCTTGCGGCTGCGGGAAGGGGTCGCCAACTGCACGTCTGGCTTAATTTTCAATTGGATGTCATGATCATTCGTGGTCAAATGGCCACAGATCTGCTCGTATCTGCCCGTACGGCTCGTTGGATTTCTACTGACCATACCTAGGTAGATGGCGACCATGCCAATGCGCAGCATACACAGCTGTTGGAAGCCTAGCGCGTTCGCACGTGCCACTCACGTGCGCTCAGGCTGCCAGCAGATCATCCCTTCGCCGCCTCGATGGACGATCGCTTTTGTTCCCCCAGCATGTTGCTGGCAGGCTTTATTAGACTATGCATTATGTGCAGGTAAGGACTCGCTCGAACTTTTACCGCTTGTCCCTTGCGTTCTTTTGATACATGTTGTACATTTCCGCCATCTTCAAAGTGCTCCGAGTTCAAATGCAATGCTGAACGCTACAATTTTCGTGATGTTGTACAGTTCTCAATCGTGTCGCGGACCTAGGATCCCCTGGATGTCCATCTTCGGTCGCTTGGGGTCTGGCTGCCTCGTAGTCCCTGTTCCTCCTCTTGAAGACTCAGGCGGGTATTGCTGCGTGCGCACGTCCGCTGAACCCGCCAGAGACGGATCGACCGAGGGACGATCGCTCGTTGGTCTGATCGGAGGTAACTGAAGACTGGGAGAGCCACCTGCTGATGCTGCTGGGCCGTGCGGCGGAGGCGGAGGATACTGCGTACGTGGGAAAAGAGCTCCTGGGTATCCCGTAGGTGGCGCTGCTCTTAAAGGCTCATTTGAGTAGCCATAATTGGAAGGGTAAGGTGCGATCGCCCTCGCCGATGGACCGGGCGCTGCGTACAGAGGCGGTGCAGGCGCGTATGAGGAGGGTGGGTAGTTTCTCGACTGCACAAATTGACCCATCGCAGTTGCCGTACTTGGGCCAATGGAAGGTGCCGCATACAAGCCATATGGTTGGCCAGGCTGAAACTGAGATCGCGTTGGATCGTACGTTGGATGAGCCTGTAGAGGGCGGAACGAGCGCGGATTACTGCCTCCTGAAGCATAACTCGCCGGATCCGTGGTTTGCATACGTCGTGCCGGGTCTGTGAGCATGGAGGAGTCCAATGACCGACGCATGGATGGGTCTTCTGGTCGCAGAGGCGGTCTGCCTCGCTTCTTGTGAACTACGTCCTCGCACGTATCCTGTGGACTGGTTTAGCACTTGCTTAGTAGGCCGGACGAGCTCCCCTCGACTTACCTCCTTGCCACTTTGTACACATCTCCGACAAGGCCTTGCGTTGTCGCACCGCAAATGCTTCTTCTTGCAATTGATACATGCTGACGCAACGTGAGCTTTGTTCTTACGTGTCGTCCGCGGTGAAATCTGTCCGCTCGAGAACTGCTGGCTCGTCGGGCTGGGAGGTGGCGCCACAACCGTAGGACCCGCCCCGTATGCCATGTGCTGCGGCGGAGGATAAGGTAAGACGGCACTGGGAGCTTGTGTACCTGCGTAGCCAGTATACTCTGCCTGAGGAGGCCGAGGCGTCACATAAGGCGGCGGTAATGGTGGTGGATATGACGTTGCAGCAGACGTCACTGGTGGCAAGGACTCGGATCTCTTTCGACGGCGTCCAGCAATTTGACGAGGACTAGGAGGGTCTTCGGAAGGAGGCGAGCCTGACATTGGAGGCGACGGGAGGGAAGCCCACACGGGCGGCGGCAGTGGTGTCGGCAGCGTGAGATTGGCCTTGACTACTCTTTGGTCGATGCTTGTTCGATGTTCCTTGAAAGAGGGAAAGGAGAGAACGGCCTCGCGTTGCTGTGGACACTGCATGGATTCCAAGATGTCGTCCCAATTGCCAGCGTCAGGTTCTCATAGATCTCACACGATTTGATAGTCGAGACACCTCACGGCCCGATGAGGTACTGAACGTACTCGTCTCGTCGACAAGGCTACCAAAGGCAGACAACGGTACACTACGCGAGTTGCTGAAAAAGTCCGGTGGGTCTAATGATAGGACGTGTGCTGAATGGAATGTGGGATGCAAAATGACAGGCTGAAGAATGATCGGTCCCGAGGAGTCCGTGCTGAGGCTTTCTGGCATTCACGTCAATAGGCTCGTCCCGAACAAAATACCCTGCCCGAGGGGGGTACAGCATAGAGACATACCATATAATATATGCAGAGTGATGTCGGCTGTGTTCACTTCGAAGTTGTGTTGTAATTGCAGAAAAGATCGGGTTGCCCAGTCCACGTCCAAGTAAAGGTCGGAAGATTTCGAAGTCGGACAATAAATCTAAGCGAAAGATTGAAGGCAAAGGACATTACGAGAACGCAAAGAGCATTGAGGCGGAATGACCAGATAGATGAGGGCTGCCTGCTGAAAGTATGGGGCTGGCAGGCGGCACGAGGGAGGAGAATATGTGAGTTGAAGGGTACGGGAAGTTGTTTATGGTGTTGGTGCCCTGGGTCGAGTTGAAGCTTATGCACGTCCGTGACTGCGAGTCATCCGAGGAGTGGACCAGGCTAGCACCGTTAGGAGAGCTGCTGGGCAGAAGGAAAAAGTCAGTCAGGCGTAGATGTGCTGAGGGTGTGAGCGCAAGATCTGTACAAGCAGTCGACTTACGGAAAGTGCCATTGTCTTTCGTGGAAGTGCCTGGTAATCCCCATGTTCGTCGTCATGTCTCCCCGAGGACTGGGACACGGATCTATTGAGGATCGAATTGTCCCATGCCCAATAGCTCCATTATTGTGCTGACTCCATCGGCCAGGTCTGTGATCATGGGAAATCCATGGTAGCTGGAGAGAGACAAGCAGGGGCTGGAGTCTGAAGGCCTGCAAGTCTCGAGTTAGGCTTTGGGGTTGACGGACAGTTCATCCTGGGAAGCTTGGCTAAAAGAAGTCCGTTGCCTTTGATGGCGACATGGGGCTTATGCGCCAACGGCGTGCCACAACTTAGCGATCTAGCAGCCGAGGGGTCCCGACCAGAGCGCGAGGCGCGGTTACAGGGTTTAGCTGCCAACTCGGCTTTGCAGAACCGGCGCTGAAGCTAGAGAAACGGTATCTTAGGGGGCTCATCGAACACATGCGGCTTAAGGGCCAGATGTCTCGGCAGCAGCGCCATGTCTCTAACGAGTCGGCCACACAGAGTTCATGGCTGCCCCAAGCTTTCGGGACCTCTTCGTGAGATTCAATATAGACATCACGAGAGGAGATTTCTATCAGCTTCTGGCCTTCCACACGCGACGTTCAGGACAGCCTTGACGCACGGCCACGTCAGGAACGGGATCGGGATATCTTAAGGTTCGACGTTGTACAGCCAATAGCTTGCAATAGTAGCCAGTGAAGCACAAGACAAGATTATGGATATGGACTTCTTTCAGCGGGACCAGGGTCACCGTCATCGGCAACTGCCATGCGTTGCTGGGCCTCATACTCATCGTGTGGTCGCTACAGGTTGTGCTTTGTGTCTCTAGTACACGTGCTATCTCGTTATCGATGGAGCAACCTCTAGTAACCACATCTAGCGACTCGTCTGGTAGTGGAAGAGAGATGGGCAGAGGTTCTAGAGGAGTCCGGTGAGGTTGTGCTAGCGATGCGCAGCTAGGGAGTAGCTCACAAGCGTTAACCAAATTCTCTCAAAATAAGCGAGCAATGAAGCACTAAAGGCTCAAATTCCGTCAAGACGTAGCCCCATCGCGTCCAGAAAGGGAACGCCGTTAGATCTTTTGAACATCATTCCAACGATCGGCGCCTCCTTCGGGATGGCTCAGAATACTTAAGAAATGACACTTACTGCTGCCGACATCCGTTGTGTAACTCGGCCTCACGAACGGCATCAGAAACCGCTTTCAAGACCTTGAGTTGTGCCCGAAGAAACACACAGTTGGATTGCGGGCATCTAGAAATAGATGGCCTGTGTCACCTGTTTCGGCATAGCATTCGCTAACCAGTCCTGGTCAAATCTTCTTTGGCTGTGTCGAATCTCGGTAACCACAGAGATTCTTCTCAGACATCGTCATGAGGACGATTCTGGCAAGTAGTCTCGGTTGCTTGCTGGGTCCTGCTTACAAGACGTTGAAGATTGGAGTATTCGAGCTCGATCGGATGACTGCATAGTTGATAGTCATTCGACTCGTCACAGTGGCATGCTCGCTACAAGAACAGGTCTGACCAAGCCAAACAGGCCTGTGCCAGGAGCAACATTCATTGGGTGCGCACATCCGCACGAGTGCATGATCAATGGACAGGGTTTGTCGCCTCGCTGACTACCAGGAAGCAAATAACTATGACATGCGGCGTGGATGGCACAAGAATGTTGGAAGTTCTGGTATCCAAATCCTGTCTTGCCAGAACGCAACAAAAGGCCACGATTACAAGCGAAACGAAGCTCTGGAGAACTTCCTTGTGATCTCGTGGCTTCTAAGCGGACTCATGGTCTATGCCACTGCGGAATTAATCGACAAGAGGACCAGCCTCAGGCTCAGGCCCGTCGGAGAAATGTTGTTATTGTAGGTCATTCGGCGATTTTCTGGTGCCTCTCGTGGTCGCAATGATATGCCCAACCATTATTGACTAGTCGAGCGTGCTAGTGACCTAATCCGGCTTCTGCGAGTTGCATTTGGAATGACTTCGTACTCGCTGCCTCCTCCGCTCGCTACGAGAAGCGATGAGATCGGCCAGACGGAATGATGGTGGCCGCTGCACCCAAATTGGTAGCGGCACGGCAGACATCATCATGCACGCCCGGAAGACGTCGGTTGCAAACGACTTCGAGGTTGGATTCGATCTAGACATCACACCACCAAAGCACTGCTAGTCTGCTACGGTTAGGTCATTCATGTACATTGACAAGCGTACATTCCAAGTTCCAAGAGCAGACACGATGGCTTAAATTACCAATTCGTGTAGCCGAAAACATCAGCGTTGAGCACCTGGGGTCCCTGCTAAAACGACCCTGGCTCAATCTAGCTACTACCTCGTGGCACAACGCCTCATTTAAGTCAGATCAAGCCACCCGAAATTGTCGACATTCCTGGTCATCCATGTTCAGCATTCGAAATGGAGATCAAATTACGGGGCAGACGGCCTGTGCTGATTCTTTAATTCTCCTACAGTCGGTGATTTAATTACGGCATCCTTGTGACACGTGAGAATGGATTCGACAGGGTTGTCTTTGATCACACTCGGTCCAGGTCTTCGTCCAACATCTTGTGGCAGTAATCGCGTAAGCTCTGGCAGTGCTATCAGGACATCAAGATCGACTCGAAAATCGACTCGTGCATTGGCCGGGCGCGGATGTCTTTTGGTCCAAATGGTTTTGATATACTTCGAGGTTGAGTTTGGCCGTTACTAGTGTACGCTCACATCGCAAGACTATCCCTGTGGCTGACCTATAGCCAACGGCCCGTGTCCTTATTTGGCCGTTGAATTGCAAAGGCAATCATAACGTCCAGGCGTCCAGTATGCCGACGGCGATTCATGAACTTGCGACCCGAAGTCTGGCGATATTGCTGGCTGCTGGCTTGTAGTGACGTACGCTTGAATAGAGAAAACCGGCGCTGCTGTAATTTGGGTATTGTTACTGCGGTTCTTTGCAGTCTCAATGCTGCCTTCAGATGCCCTTGTCAGCGCGTTTCGTGAGTTGGATAGGGCAGCTCGAGCAGGCACAAGGCAAACAAAGCCCGACGCGGAAACGCCAAGAGGATCTCTTGGCGATTATGCCACTTCCACCTCGACTTTCCAGGCTCACACGGCCCAATTGTTCATGAAGCATACGTGATCCGCGACAAATCTTTGCATGCAGACACGTCGTGCTCGAAGTCGACATCTCGATGAGTATGCGACTGCGATGAACTACATCTAAGTCGACTCGTAAACGCGCTTGAACGCCACGATCTTAGGATTCGAGCGCATTAGTAAGGGTTAGCACGCCAGTCAGATCTGTGCTTCCGCCTCTGTTGAATGCTCATGTTGCTCTGGGTAGCAACCGACAAGAATGGCCACCGCTCTCTTAGCTCAAAGCGATGAGAGCCCCATCACCGCCGCACTACCGCCAAACACAGACTACATCACTTACCTGACAATCCTGGAATATCAATTGAATCCCTCAAATCTTGCCCTCCTCAACAATGTCCTTAAGAAGGACGATGGCACTCTAGCCAAAGAGATCGGTTGGGATCTTCTTCGCTTAGTCCTGCCGATGCTGAACGAAGCGCCTAGCGAAGCAAGAGAGTGCCTGGAACTGATAGCAAAGCAAGGCAATCCGCGTGAAGTCGTCGTTCGTATCGCAGAGGAGCTTGAGAAGTTGGGCCAATCCTTAGACGACGTGGAGTCTGATGACAGCGTTTCAGAAGAAGAGGGTGATGATGGACTGCCAACATTCGCCGGCGAGGCTCCACGGGTGCATCTGGGTCAGATGAAGCTCGACGGCATGCCAGAAGCAGAGAAGATGCCATCTCCGCAGCCTGATGCGATGCCTGAGAGATTCCAGCGTCATGGCAGTGATGATGTCCTCGTCTTCCACGCACTGCTATCAATGCTCAGCGTTGTGCATCCTCGGATCAAGACACAGTATCCCAGCAGGTTTCTTGCAACTTCATTGCCCGCTGCACTATCCGCATACCGGCGCATGCCAATCACCACAGGGACTACAGAAATTGTGCTTCGATGCTTGAACAGTCTTGCAGGCAGACAGCGCCCACCGGTTCCCCTACGACCATCCGCGACTGAGCAGTCACAGACTCAGCATGGCCAGGCGCCGTTGCCAGACCCCGAGGCGCCTCAAGAGGCGCAAGCGGGGACGAATGTCGCTTCTCAGTCCGAGAAGGATATCATAAAACGGCTGTTACAGGCAGTCATGCTTGAAGCGCTGGACGAATACGTGGCATCCCTTCAAGGCGACGGCCTGGCTTCCATGTTGTGGACGAGACGTCTGCGCGAATCAGCCCAACGAAAGACAATTCTCACGGCTCCTGGCAAACCCACCGCCATAGACATCTTCACTATTCCGCCTTTCAACAATCGCGATGTGCTCATGCGAAAATTTGTCTCGCTTTCGGACGTCCTCGAGATCAATGCGGAAGCCCAAATCGAACGCATACTCAATCCGCCCTCGATCAGCGCACAAGACAACGACGCACTCGAAACCGAAAGCGAGGAGCCTTCAGAGTACCCGACATCACCTTCACAAATCCCCTTTCCGACCACTGGCGTCGTCCTCATGCTAGCTGCTAGTCAATTTGCAAGAGACGCTAAGACTGACTCAGCAATTGACTTGCGAGCGATTGCTCAGCTCTTCAATGTTACCACGCCCTTCTCCGACTCCCCTAAGATCCCGAGTCCAGGCATACACGATGCTCTCCACAGCCTGATACTTCGCTCCATCACTTCCCAGCCCTCCGGCATTTCGAGTCTTGGAAGCAATCCCTACATCCGCATCTTGTCCATACTCACGCAGGCATTCACTATAACGCCCGACATCCAGTCTCGCGACGATGCACACTATCTAGCCACGAAACTGTTGCAAATACAGCCTGACTCTGCGCTGCGGCTCACGGCCATCAAGCAGACACTCAAATGCGAAGCTGTCACCCAATTGAGGCCCACTGGAGGGCTTCAGACTGTTCCCCTGGCTACACCGTTCACAGAGGGCGCGCTCAAAGCTGTGGGCATCAACTGGCTCAAGGATGATCTACTGGCTTCGTTACAAGGCGCCGCTGCAACTGCTGACAAGGTAGAGTCTTCGCGACAGCCCTTAGAAGCTAAAATTCTGCAGGAAGACGACACTCTCAAAGCGCTTCTTTTCGGCTCCAACATCCCATCACCTCCCGCGGATGACGCAAAGGACGACTCCGCCGTCTCGAAGATACTTCTTGCTCTGCCATACTACATCGCGCTCCTCAACTTCTGCACGGTCCTTATTTCCCGACTCCCGCCATCAACTGGAGCCGATCTCAAGCCTGATGCAATAGCACTGGTGGAGAAGCTGAAGCCGTGGTGGGTGTACTTTATTGATATACTAGATCGCGGCAAGAAGGCGAGTGATGAGGCGGAAATAGAGGCTGAAGATATCATGACGAGCGCGAGCGACATATATGCGTTTGAGGATGCTGGGCTACGGCTGGAGGGCGTGCTTGTTCCGGCTGCGATAGAGGCTGCCCTTGCTGCGGCCAGTGACTCTTAGATCGATCTAGACAGAGCAGTGGCTCAAGAGGACCAGCGAGGAGGCGTGTTTGAGCTAGATAACGCAAGATCACGCCCCCTCACGAGTCATCATCGGATCGAAGAGCCTCGACGGACTGTGGTAGGCAACGCTAGATAGCCCTCCAGCTGTCGAATATATCTGCCCGACCCGGATAACAAAAGCCCTCCGACGCGACGACTTTGGCCTTCCTTCCCTCGTTTCTTTTGGTCAGTGCCTCAGAACTACAGTAACAACATGTAGAGTAAGTCCCTTCTCCTCAACGTGAGTGTTACGAGACGATCCCTCAAACAACAGCTTATCCGCTCACACGTCGCTGGACACCAGGTCAACCGGTCTTAGCAAAATCCGCATGAAACCGGTTGACAAGGTGTTTCTCACTCGCGACTGCCTTTCCAGTACTGCAAACAAACAGCAACAGCAGGTGCATACTCCGATCGCTCCTTCTGCCACTCTTTTACTGACAACTCCACGAGCGGCAGGTGCCTTCCCATGCACCTTCCAGCGTAGCTGGCCTTGTAAAACGGCTTGGACATGGCTTTACACCAGACCGGATGACCGAGCCGACCAGGCTTGCGCCTTCCTCACCCATCTGCGCGGTAGGCAATAACGGCAGGCGCATACATGAATCGCTCCGTCTGCCGAGCATTCACTGGCAAGACCGCAAGCGAAGGTACCTCCACTCGTACCTTCCACGATTGTTTACCTTGTCAACCGGCTTGAGCAGAGCTGGATCGAGACCGGATGACAAGACCACATCTACCGTACCTTCCTTTCGCGTTTGTCGGACAGGCGCAACGGCAGCAGGAGCAATGATCGATCGCTCTTTCTCATTCGACACACTCTGACCGCGTCATCGATGGCAGGCACCTTATTCAAGCAAGCCCTTTCCGCATTTGCAAGTCTAGTCAACCGGCTCGTACGGAGCTGGATGCAGACCGGATGACAAGATCTCGTCGAAGCCGCTTTTCCCCTGCTCACGGATTCGAGGCAAGCAATGACCGAGCGGATGCGTGGAGGTGACTACGATTCGTATCACTGAGAGTACTTGGCAGATGCACAAGCAGTGGCTGTCCTGCCCAATCCCAGAGCACGGAACATCTTGTCAACCGCCTTGAGCCTGGGCCTCCGTGAGACCGGATGACATGCATCATTGTAGTCGACCGGTTGACCTGCGTGCGGTGCTGCCTCCTACGTCTGTTCCCTGTACACCACGCCCTCGTGCGAGCTCAATTGCCACTGCTGCGGAAGTCATCAGCATGGGGAGGTGGCCGTGCGTCTTCTAGATAGATGCCATCCTTGCCGATGCAGCTGTCGCATTCGAAAGATAGCTGCATGTATATAAATAAGTGTGCCGCAAAGCCATCGCCACGTTGTAGACACACGGATGACATATGCCTTGTACGAGAGAGACACGGAGAGTCGAGAGACGGTATGAGACCTTCGTTCTAAGTTAAAATGTGTTCGCGAATAACATTATCATTTCGAAGTGCTCGCTTGGTCATGTACATCATTCCTTTATGTTTCCCACTCGAACGATGGTCCGCGTTCGATGGCCCCATCTGATACAGGATTCTTTCCATCAGCGCCATCATCCAGCCTATAGCAACGCACCTCCCAAAACCATCGCCCCTGCCATGGCGATACTCCTCCTCGTATTCGGACTCTTCTGTTCGATCCGCAGATTGTCCAACTCACACCAATTACTGATGTTGAGACAACTCAGATACTTGCACCAACTGCACGTATCATGGTACTTATAGAAGTTGTTCAAGAGCACCACGAACCCGACCAGTACCCCAATCAGCGCACCCGCCCTCAACAGCCACCAGCCCCACCAGAGCGGCTTGCGGCTCTTGAAGAATGCAAGCGGTGATTTGCGGAAGGCGGCGTAGTCTGCCATCTTCTCGCGGCGGGCAGCGCGTTGTGAAGGTTTCATGAGGGAGAGGTCTTGATTCTCGTTGGAGGGTGTGCGGTGGTACGGGCCGACTTTTGAGGAGGAGCCAGTGGTGGGTGAGGTTGAGGGGGGGCCGGAGCGTTCGCCCATGCGTTTGCGTAGTGGGGCGGGAGAGTGCAGGATGCAGATGCCCAGGACGAGGCCCATGAGAAACCCGCCGATATGGGCGAAGTTGTCGAGACCGGGAAGGAGGCCTAGGACGAAGGAAACGACAATCTCAGCGATCAACCACATGAGTTCACGCAGCGGCTTGTAGCGCTCCTGCCAGTGGTAGATGAGATCGAGGAGATTAATGGCCAGGATGCCGAAGAGGGCGCCAGATGCACCCGTCGAGGCAGCTGCTTTGCCGGCAAAGTTTGCGCCGAGTACGAAGCCAAAGATGCCAGAGAAGAAGTAGACTAAAGCGAAGCGGATACTGCCAATAAGCTTCTCAATCTCTCGACCCAAAGTGAGCTGCAGGAGCATGTTGAAGGCGATGTGAATAATGCCAGCGTGCAAAAAGATGGGAACGATGAAGCGGAACCACTGGTCGGGATGCTGGTTGTCAAGACCGCCAAAACCGCATAAAGCACTGAGGTCGCAGCTATTGTTCGGATCGTCAGGATCGTTGCTCGTGGAGCTCGGGCAGTGCCACTGGGTCACGGGTGGATTGGCTTCTTGGATATCTTCGTCGCGGCGCATACAGGGCACGAAGCGAGCGCCCATGTTGATCAGCATGTATGGGGAAGGCCCGATCATGGGATTGAAGGAGGGCTTGGTCATGATAGGCGATCCAGTGACGATGGAATTGCGGATGATTTCAACGATGAAGACGGTGAGCTGAGCCATGGTGACGACGTAGACGACCCATGGAATCTTGCCACGAAACCAGCCGTCCTGCTTCTTCTTTCGCTTCCTGTCTTTCCCCGTCGACTCGGTCAGCAGCTGTGCTTCGACACGCCCTTCTGGCGAGGGAGGATGATGCGTGTTTTGGTGGCTGAGATCGGACTGATTGGTGGATATCTTGGAGACGGGGAGTGTATACATCTCTGTTGAGGATTGCTTTGCGGGTTTCTGAGGCAAAGATGACTGCGATGAGCCATAATAGCGAGGATCTGGTGGTGCGTCTTGGCCAAAGGTGTGATTTAATGTTGATTGTGAATGTTGGGCAGAGGCTGCAGGCGTGTAGAATGCTTTGGTGTAAGGTAATGAGGATGGCGGAGGCTTGTTAGGTCTCGACGGCTGAGCGAACGAATTGTAGTAGTCCTGGCTCGCCATCTCGGCGGGGACGTATGTTGTCTTTGTTCTCAACCTGATGCGATAGCCGTCTCCGGCATCAACAGTGAGGCGTGTCTGGCTGAATGACTCTCGACTAAGCGTAAAAAGTGATTGCGAGAGTCGCAGGCAATTAAGCTAGGTATGTAGTTGTGTTTTCGGCGGTCGAGATGAATGATGCGAGGTGGAATGAGACAATTGGGCGCAGGCAATTTGGTTTGATCACTTCAAACACTGTACAAAGAACGGAACGGCAGCCTTCAATTCAAAAGATTGTGGTGTAAGGCAAGGGATGAACGAGCTTCAGACGTAGGTAGTGAAGGTGGAAGAAAGGACCGACGTCAGGCAGAGAAGGAGCGACACTGGAAATTCCAGAAACAAGGAAACATGTAACAGCGACATGAGGATGTCGTTGTCGTTGGATGGGTTTGACCCAAGCGACAGAGGTGGTCGAGGCTCAGACGCTCAAGCGAGGTCCAACCCCTGGAATGTGAAACGCGAATAGCATGAGCGCCCCCAAGTTAGGCCTAGTACGCCCCCGGTTCCTGCGTCTTCCCGAGCCACTAAAATAAGATCTCGAGGGGCAAATCAGATGCAGAAAAGTTTCGTGGATTTAATGATATACTAAGTATCCTCGAGGTATCATTGCCCACCGTCCTAATGTCAATGCAGCTTCCCTTGCAGGGCCATGGATGGCCAAATCACCCTCTGCTTTGGGTCCTCTTGCTGCTTCTTGATGTCTCGGCATCAGCAGGGATTATCTTGAATGATCGTGCGCCTATTCCCGGCCATACAATGCCTCCTGGCCTGGCCCACATCCTGTTGTCTGCTCTAACAATAATGTCATAGTTCATTTGTCAATCGTGTACTCATCTCGAATTCTGTAGAGGCATACCTCGCCAGGCAGTTCGCTGTTCCTTGTCACGGCAAAGCCATCCTCGTCGGTCCGGTAAGTCGTCTCGAAGGGTTCCATCAAGGTAATAATCGCCGCGTGCGGGCCGTGGCGGTGGTCTCTTCACCATGCTCGGGCAGGTCTGCCTCAGTCGTTGTTCCAAGCATCATTCGACTGCATCACAAATCACCCCAACCGGCCTCGAACTTCCCGTCAAGTAGAACACCAGCCTGCACACCGACCCAACAAGCCAACGGCCCAGCCCATGCCACAGCGCCAACCCAATCAATATCGCCAACAACAACACAATCATATTCAGCACCACCCGCTCCCAAGGCTCTAACATATAAAGCCCAAATGTGACCTCATATTGGTAGTACTTTAACCGCAGCTGGTGTGTTACTTTGTCCGGGAGCGATATTCGCGGACGACGCAAGATGGCGGGCTTTTGTTTCGAGGCGAGGGAGTGCAACGTGCTCATACGGGAGGAGATCTGGGAGAAGTAGTCGGCGGATTCGTTGAGCGCGCTTTCGCCGAAGAGTGGGAAGGGCTCGACCAGGAGCGGGGTGGTGACTGCTGAGTTCATGGTGGGTGGGCAGGGTACTAGGTCCGGGGGCGTAGGAGAGGCCCGTTGCTCTGCTGGCTGAATGCTGACGCGCGACTGCGCTGTTTCGCGTCGACAGAGGGCTTGTGAACGCAGGACTTGGTCGTGCTGAAAGAGCTCGGGTGCCCTCGTTGCTATACCTAGTGGTTTGGGGGCCGAATCGTGCAAAATCGTTCGACGCGTAGTTGATGGTAATGGTTCCTAGGTATGGATGTTGACTCAGCTGCAAAAGGCAGCCATAGAGAATGTCGACACGCGACGAAGTGCTTGTTTGTCCAACGATACTGCTGTGCGAGTTCCTTCGTGCTGCTGCACCATACGTGCTCGTGCTAATGAGTCCTATCGGTCCGCAACAACGCCAGTTCCAAGGCAGGCGCAGCTCGTGACCCAGCAGTGGTAACTGCGCTCTTCTCTATTTGCTCGCGACTTGTAGCTACGATTTGATGACATGCAAGAGAACACCAAGGTGCCACGGCGCCGACAAGCCTTATCAATCCACCGTCACTCTCACACTGCCACTTTCCACTCACGGCACGGAATCCCCGGGTATCACTCCTGCCTGATTGGTGATTACGAAAGCGCTCACTGAGCATGGCGCCCCACAAGTGGTAGTCTCCTACTGGTGGATTGGTCTTTTGGTACCTGAATTTCCGTGGCGGTTGGAAAAAATAAGGATCTGGCGTCATCATGACTGCAGATGCTGCACGGCATCGCTATCCAACATTCCGATCGCAGGATCTGATGATGAGCGGCTTGGAAGGATTGCCGGGGCCTGGGATTATTTGGAGGAACTTTTGATCTGAGGGAAGGTGCGACCATATATTTGATCACTGACTCATTCAACCGCTAGGGAGGGCTCTACGCCCATATCACCGTTGGGTCGGGCTCTGGTTTAAAGTCTGATAACCTGCCAAACCGCCGCCATGACTCCAATCATGAATCCTCTCAATGAAATGCTCTACAACTCATCTTTGGTGTCAGGGTCGGTCACAAGGAACTTGGCGAGGATGTTGCTCCGTTTCTGGATGTCGTCAATGCGCTCTGGTGCCACGCCACCCTTCTTGAGGAGACCAGCCAACCGTGTCTGCTCCTTCATCGCATATTCGGGGTTGCCCGTGATCTTCGCAATCGCTTTAAGATAGTAGTCCTTCATAGCCCCCGTAGCACCCGCAGCGGCCTCCTGAATGTCTTTGCTAGCTTGTTCCCAGTTCTTCTTGCCCGCATATTTCGCCAAGATAGTGTCGAAAGCCTCGATAGTGCCCGCGGCTGTCGAGAGGCCGCCTCCTGTGGTGCGGTACGTGCCAGCCTTGGAGTTGACAAAGTCCACCAGAGCGTTCTCGGACCGAGCGCCGCTGTATGTCTCTGGGGTCTTCGAGCCTTTGGGGAAGAATTTGATGGTAGGATAGCCGGAGATGCCCTGGTCCTGAGCGGTTGCTTTAGCGTTCTCAGCCTCGGCGTCGACTTTGGCGATCAGAACAGAGGGCTCCGCAGCGAAGTCGGCAGTCAATTTCTCCCATTCAGGTGCTAGGGTCTTGCAGTCTAAAGATGCCAGATTAGCGTTTGACGCAGCCAGGGAGGGCGCTGAGGGGTGGAAACTTGTACTGCTAACAAATGGGCAGGCTTGAAATGAGCGTCACTCGAGCGTCACTTCGTAGCAACCGAAGCATCGTGGAAATCGGGCCAGGGAGACCGCTGTGGGAGAACTTACGACCACACCAAGGCGCCGTGAACGCCACCAACACGTCCTTATCCCCACCAACCTCCTCCTTGAACATCTTGTCATCCATCATAATCGTACTGCTAGCAGCTTTCTTCGGTGTCTTGGGCTTGAGTCCAGTCTTCTCCGTCACAAACGCCGTTAGGCTCTCCAGATCCCTACCGCCCTTGTAATCCTCGGGCTGCTCAGACTTGCCATCGAACCATTTTAGGGTGGGGAAGCCTGTGACTCCGAACCTCTTGCCCAGCTCCTTGTGATCATCAGCGTCGACATTCGCGATGGTGACTTTGTCCGAGAGGGCGCTGAAGGATGAAGCGAGTTCCTCATACACGGGTGCGAGGTTCTTGCAGTGGCCACACCATGGCGCATAGAACTCGACGAGTGCAGGCTTGTTGCTTTTGAGGACGGTCTTGTCGAATGTCTTGGGATCGAGGACTGTGACGGCGGCGGCTGAGGCGAGTGCCGCAGGCCAGAGGAACGAGAGGAGGCGAACCATGGCCGATGTAATTGAACGATAGGCGGATAGCGACAGGAAGGCCTCTGAGGGGCAACGGTACAAAGGGTGATGAGTTCCTTTACGTATGCACGTAGTCGGTCGGAATAATTATGAGGAGGACTCTGTGAGAGGAGGACTCTGTGAACAAAGGAGAGAGTTTCACTGGATTTCCAAGCACAGATAATAATAAGTCGATCCGCGCCTCCCTCGTTCATTGAGAAGCCAGGTGGTTTCTCCAAAGCCGATCAACGCTTCACGTCATTCGCCGGAAGGCAGGGGCCGAACATGGGCGTGGTTGCCTCAATTGCCTTGTTTCAGATCTACACACGAGTCCACGAAACATCGCACGAGCGATCGTGCTTCGAAGATTCTTGTGAAATTCTGACAGGGCGGCCTTTGCAACGACTTAGGCAAATTGTCATTAACAAGCCGGCATCAAGACTACTGCCGTCTATCTCACTCGAGGCGAAATTCGAGACTTGGCCCGTTCAAATTTCGCAGACGCTGTCTTCCTGCTGTCTGTCAATTTGCTTTCCCTCCAATAGGACATGAGATGACCAAGCGATGACTCTCATGAAGTTGCAATGAAGTGTATTTCTAGCCCCAGGGTAATGTACCGCTGCGTCAAAATTTCAAGAATGCCGATGGTTGTGTTGTTTGGCGTACATCATCGCGTCGTAATATACAATAGTCTGTCTGCTTTTCCAAAATATTATGTACCATAAAGCTGAGAGTAGGCGCTGTGAGCATCAACAAGCACTGCGGATATAATCAGTCCAACTGTAACATGACCGAGCGAAGCATAGAGACTCACTTTGAAGGACCTGCTGCTGCATAGCCCGGCTCTCGCAAGCGCATTGAATGCAAGTGCCATCTCTCATATCGAGGAACACGCTCCACGCCATCTGCTCGCGTTCCAGGTCCGGAAGCGTCGGAGTGCGTATGTCGGCAAGGTGATATTTCCGGCTCACGTTCCGTATGCTCGGGTCGTTCGCTGGAGGTGAGAAAATGAGATATCCCTGATCATCAATACGCATGAAGCGACGCTTCCAGAGCAATGTGTCAGGGAACTGGACGTTCACGTCCCCAATATCGACGACGTGTAATAGACTTTCGTTGTTTGAAGTCACGGTACGGTCGTCGCCTTCCATTCTCTCGTCAATGGTCTCAGGATGCTGCTCGCGATGGAGGTCGACCTCCGATTTGGCTGCTAGATTCTTCTGACTCTTGCGCCCTGTGAGATTGGACACCCTCTTCATCAGTCGGTGCGTCCGCGACCCTCCTTTCTTTTCCTCCGTCAGGGATGAATTATCACTCATCGATCTTGGCATTTTTGCCCTGCTCGACAACGATAGTTTGCTTGATGAATCTGCCGTGTTCAGTCGTGCCGGCTGCGATGCGGATTGTGTCATTGACCGGTACGACGAGAATGAGAAGCGGCCTTTCTCTTTGACTGGACTTCGAGGTGGGTCTGCAGTACGTCCTCTGCTGACGGCTCGACCATCTATGTTCTTCCGTTCGTGCTCGACAATTAGGGGACTTCGATGAAGATTGAGATCCCCTGGCGCTGTCGACGGTGGTAAGTGCTCATCCCGTCGAATGATGCGGGCTGTCACAGACACAGCCTCTCCCTTGGCTGGGGGCGCAAAGGCAGCAGGGTCGCTCGCTGCGGGACCAACGTTTGTTGCAATGGGTCCGACAGGCATGGTTTCGGGTACCTTCTTTGGAGGAGGCTTGTCAGTCGATGCGTTTGGCTTCACAAATGACGAACGCTTCATAAAAGTCTCAAACGCAGACCTCTTTGAGGGTATGTCACGTACAGGTTGTCGGGGCGGACTCGTTGAGTCGCGAGTTGACAGGACCTCCAGCGCCTTAATTCTTTTCGAGATGCCTGTACCCAGTGATGATTTCTTTGTTAGTGGAGCACCCTGCTGTTCATTTGGCATGGGCGGCCAGTTGTTCAAAGCAGATGAGCTACGGCTTCCCAAGGCCTGCGATCTTTCTTGGATGTAGTTTGCGCTCGAGGACCGAGGCTGAAAACCGTTCGTACCGTTGCGATTGCCGTCCCTGAAAATTGCTGGTGCGGACATGACTGGAGTGACCGGCGTTCGTGCGACTATGACTGGCTTTGCCTCCTGGACGGTCGCATTCTCCAATTCATCCATGAAGGACTCGGCATCGGAATCACCTGAGACATCAGCGGAGTTTGTGGTCTGCAATGGCTGAGGTATTGAGAGGCCTTTCTTGACCCTAGACGCCACATTGCTCATACTGAGACGTTTGGGATTCGCGGGCCTCGATGGCGAGTGATCTGAAGGAGACGGAGTCGACTGCGCCGCCGTAGCAGCAACAGGTTTGCGGGGAATCGTATCCTTCGCAGGTGGTCCTGGTGAGGCAGGCGGGACCGGTGATCGAGGTGGCGCAGGAAACGAATCTACTTGGTTGTCCTGAGTCGAATTCGAAATCTCATCATCGCTATCGACCTCTGCTATGGGAGGCGCGGCGAGCCGACTACGATCCTCTCGCTTTTCGGGCTTGACAGCTTTTGGTTTCGGCTTCTCTGATTCATCCGCTTTCGGGGTGATGGAGGAGCTGGTATCGGACGAGAGCGATCCACGTCGATTCTCGGGCTCCTCCCGGCTTGTAAATGAAGATTCTTCAGCTCGCTCCGATGCGAAAGTAGTGGGTGTAGGTGTGCCACCGTTAGAGTCCGGCAGATATCCATTCTGGCCTTGTGGTGAGTGCTCAGCCGGCAGCATCGGACTCAGGGACGACCGCTGAGTTGCGAGCATGTTGCGCTTCCGCATCTGCAGAGCTTTCATCAGCCGGATCTTCTCAGGTGTAGCATTGACGCTCATTTCGGAAGTCATAGACGGGGTTCTCCCAACCACTGATCTGCTTTCTGGACGCTGGAAATGTGGAATATGTGTAGGTGATGGCATCGGCGGATGATTGGTGACAGACTGCGACGATGGAAAGCGTCCCGGTACGCTTTTGGAGGACTGCTGCGAGCTTGGTCGTAACGACATTGGCATCCTTGCACGATCCGTGGCAACTTTGACAGTGTTCGGCAAGCCCGCTGTTGTTCTTGTGCGAACATTGTTGTCGGAGGCTCCTGAAGTGCGAGGTCGCCCTGGCGGCTCTACGTGTGGACGAGGACCAAGTTTCTTTTTCTTCGGCTGCGGTACAAATTGAGCGACCTCACTGCTCCACAGGCTGATGCTTTCCGATTCTCCGGCTGTCAAATGTGGAGAGTGCTTAAGGTCTGGTGCTGTTGTTGACCGCGCAGGCGGCTGATGTGCTACGAACTCCTCGACTGGCAAGGCTTTCGCTGACTGCTGTGGAGCGACATCTTCAGTAGCTGGCGGCGCAGGAAGAGCCTTGTCGAAGTCTGTGCTCACAGGCACAATCGGTGGGAGAATGGGTGGAGAGGCCGAGGTGTATGCTGATGGCTTCTGCTCTCGCGAGGCATCTGACAAGGCGTGCTTCAGTGGCGTCTCTGATCGCGCTCGTGACTCTTGCTCGTCGTGGTCTGTGACGTCGATTTCTGGGGAATTGCGCATGGCAAGAAGGGCCTTTGCGCGCAGTGCGCTTGCCGGGAGATCGTCCAGCATGTCCTCTTGTGGCTGCACTGTTGGCGCCTCTTGTCTGTGAGTTGGTATAGCAACTGGAACATGAGATTGTGTCGCGACTTCTGGTGCAAGTCCATGTGTGGTCTCTTTCTTAGCAATCCCACCTTCCTCCGCATCCTCTGTGATGTCTTTCAGGCGCTCCTTTCGCAAGGATGAAGATGACGATGTTACTGAGCCGATCGAAGGCGCGAGCATAGTGTGCATACCCAGCGCCGAATCGTTCAGCCCGGTGGCGGTTGTGATCTCGAATACTACATCGTGAGGAAAAGCGTCCGGCACTGCCTGAAATTGAATCTTGACGCGCACTTGATGGAAGTCAGTACACACTCATCATCGAGCGAGGCGAAAGTCACTGACCTAGGAGCAGACGAGAAGTGCCGTCTGGCACATATTTCACGATGACTTTCCTCCTCCTATGTTGCACCATGCCGTATAGTGGTGACTTGTCCGGGTAGCTTTCGATGGCATCGCGGGCCTCGCTGACACCACCGGTTCCCCTTTTGTAGACCTCAATCGTGTCCCGGCTACCCTCTGCGTACTTCAACAGGAACCTTGAGTCGGCTGTTAGCAGGAACTCGCGATTCTACGACTAGAAATGCCCATTCAAACTTACCATCCTGTTGGCTCAGCTATCGAAGCCTGGTGGGCTTCGACGACCGCCGGGGTCTCCAAGCCCTCCAAACTCATCGCATGTTACACGAACAGCGAAGGGCTCAGATTGAGGGGACGCAACACATGCTCGAGCGATATCAAAAGAGCGAAGCAACAACAGAAAACGTCCCTTGATGGTGAACTGCGCATCCACTTCACTCCTCTCTACCCGGCAAGCAGCATGGGGGGCTCGTCCATGACCAAAAAGCCAAATTCACGTCCACAGAGGCGCTCGTCCACCGCCAGCGATTGGAGGCAGCATCTCTGAACAAGCTCCGATCTTTGCACCATCACTGATGCAGCTTAGGAGCTTATTACCAGTGAGGGTTTCATCTTTCAGGGGCACGATCGGGCCTGGATTCTGCGCTTCAAAAGGGCTAGTTTGCTCGGCTTACCCCTGTTCTCATTTCCGTTTTTGACTTTTTTGCCCACGATTCGGACAAGAAGAATCACGTCAACTTTCATGAACTGAAGAGCCATGCGGCTAGATACCGAGTGGCCGTCTCATAACATGCCTACCTAGATGCTTGACCTGCGATGTGTGCTACCGGCCGCGAGGCCTGAACGTGCTAGAACATCCATGATACCAGTGCTCATCGGCATATGAAGTAAGTGTCAGATCTTCGAAATTGTCATGCACAGATCCCTTTCAAGATCTACCGAGGATGGCGCATGGACGGGCCAGGTTCCTTGCATCGCTCGTGCGTGCGCTATGTTAGGCCTCAGACAGCGGCAGGTGAGCATCATCTTGTCTCACTAACGACCTGTATGGAACAGCAATGCTTTCGCAGGTGCTGCTGTTCGTGGTGAATGCAGCTATTACTGTTCCGAGTCTTGCGCAAGACGACCCGATGTCCTGCAGGGACTGGGGGCCAGCCACAGCCGCATTGGCGATGGCTCACCCGAGGACTGCCAAGCAGTATCGCATTCCGCCGTGCCCCGCTATCTAATGGTTATCGGACTACACAGCACATAGCACGGAGGACACTTGAATGATACGAGAAGTTAGACAGCAGGGCCGTCCATAAGTAGTTCGATACAGAGTGCGAGAGCGCGATCCAACCACCACGACCACTATCTGTCTGTGTGCTGAACCATTAAGAGACATTTTACCCATAACTTCTACTGACTATTACGAAGGTGGTATCACTATACCATCTGCTAGCTGCGAAGCACAAACAAATAGACAATCCACCAAGTCTGTGCAGTCAATCCGTCCCGAACCACCAAATGGCCTCGACCGCACCCCCAACCCTCCCACCAACATCACAACTCCCTAACCTAGACGCCACTTCTCGCGCCCAAGTCCTCGACCTCCTCTTCGAGCCCAGCACCCAACTACACACCCTGTCCGTCACCGCAATCGCCGAACAGCACTTCGCCAGCTACGCAGACCTGATCGACTTCGTCGGCACCCAGTTCACCACCCTTCTGAACTCAAATCTCGAATCCGACCAGAAATGGCTAATCGACATCCTGGGCGCGCATCCCCGCCTAGGGGAAAAGAAGGTCGACAGCGCAATGAGCCGAGCGGAGCAGGCGGCTATGAAGGCTGCTGAGTCGGCAAAAGGCGCGGGCAGTGGAGGTGACGACGCGGAGATTGCGAGCAAGCTGAAGGCGCTGAATGAGGCGTATGAGGAAGCATTTCCGGGGCTGAAGTACGTCACATTTGTGAATGGGAGACCACGGCCTGTGGTCATGGAGGATATGGAGCGGCGCATTGCGCGAGGGGACGTGAGGCAGGAAAAGGTTGATGCCATCCAGGCTATGTGTGGCATTGCTAAGGACCGGGCTCGGAAACTAGGCGCAGCGTGACAGCCGTGAAAGAAGCCGTCGATTGCGGTACAGGTATGCTCAGTGAAAGCCAAATTCGACTATCGCGCCTTCTTCTGTCGTGCTTAACACTTCGGCAGCTGGCCACAGCCCGACATTGAACGGATCTGCATCGCGGCCTGGATCCCAACCACCTGGACATGCGCCCTTCACTAGTTGCATGTACCTATCCGGGAATTCGATAAGCATAGTTACTCTGTCCGCGGCCTTCAGCAATACCTCCTTCGGTCGCAATTGCCGTCCCATTACGTGGAAGTCTGTTCGGACAGAATATATGAACGCCGCAAATATCGTGCTGAACTGGAAAGCCATGGCAGCCGCACGTTGGTATTCGACCTTGTCTTCGCGGCTCATGCGCATTCTGTACGCCACGATCAGATCGCTCCAGCGTAGCAACAATTTCCTCACGTGCCAGAAGTGGGCATTTGCTGATGTCCAAGCTCCCATGCGGGACGAGTAGCCATGTCGATAGCGGCAGATGCCGAAGAACAGCGCTTGAGCTTGCTGCAAACTCGATAGTACTGGTGGCAGGATTGGCTCGGGTGGTTCGGTCGTCACATTGGAGTCGTCTACGGGTGTGGTGGGTTCCAGGAAGAGCGCGCAGAGACATTCCATTCGCGTAAGCATAACTTGGGCATATCGATCCAGAATATCAGACTTGCTGGGAGTCGGAGAGTCGGCTCGTTCGTAGAGGATGTTCATAGCCATGACCAGATGCTGGCGGGTTGTAAGCACATCTTTCCGCGAGGCAGTTCAGAAGAACTTACATGCAGACCCTGACCCGTCTGTTGTGCGTTGTCGGTCAAGCAGTCGTAGACCATGAACATGGCAGCCAAGAGCACGAGAACTTCAGGGCTGTCCATCGGCTGGTGACTGAATGTCGAAAGTGCTGCGCTATAGTGCTTGGCTTCTAGCAACTCGAGAAAAGCTGTGTCGTCCACGCCGGTGCTCTGTTGTAGTCGTTGCTCGTGTTTGGAAGAGACGGCGATGATCATATGCCGAATGGAGTCCTCCGTGGCTGCACATTGAGGATAGATCACTGTCCACAGATATCGATTGATCGTGGATAGGCTTGACATTCTGGTGTGCTCGCCATAGCCCAGGAAAACGCTTGTGCTCTTCTCTCGAAAGAACTGGAAGGCGCGCTTCTCGTTGTGCTCGGCTGGCGGCAACAATGGCCCTGACGGTTCGAAGAGGACCGCGACAGGAGTCGCGTAGTAGCATTGGCGATTGCCGATGTTGCACTTGCGACAAACAGGTCGTTCTTCGCTGCACTTCACTCTGCGCTTTTTCTAGTACAAACCGTTAGTTTCGATTCACAGACAAATTATAGCTACTCTGCAAGTGTGCAGATGAAAGGGCGGTTGATATCGCTTCTTCAATGATCAGAATGTGGCCGCTGGTCAGCGGCTTTTCAGACAATCAATTCCATGGTCTAGGACAGATTGGCGTGTCATCCGGATTCATGTCAACTCGTCGAGCATAGTGCGAGACTCACACAAGAATTGCATCCAGTGCGAGTCTTGGGGTGCCAGACGCGTGATCGTTTGGCTTGTTTTTCGTCCGAGTTCGCGCCCAGGCTCGAAGATGGAGTCTTGCTTAGAGTGTTTCGGCATGCTGGGGAGACCTCTGCAGTACGTCGTGTGCCACGGGCCATCTGTTTCACGTTCCTGATGCAGTGCTGAAGAAGCGTTCGAGCACCAAAAGCACTTCTCTCCTACGATTGCGGCAGTAATATGTCCTTCATACATCCCGGCCCATCTCGCACCAAACTTGGACGTTCAAGGTCCCGCGCAGGCGCGCCATGGACCATTCCTGACGTCCCGACCTCGTGCTTGGCTATGCTTGAAGCTCGTGTCGGCTGTACGAGCGCTGGGGAAATCATCGTAGAGCGCATTTTTGCCCCGACACGTTTCAGGCAACAGACCGAGCTGAAATGCTCAGTGAGATACTTCTGCTAGGTCTCCATCTCGAATGCTACCTCCTGGGGGGGATCGGATGACGATAGAGTCTAGCTGGTGTGCGAGATCTCTGTCAGGCGTAGAAATTGCAAGTACGTTGCTCATTGCAAGAGACTCAACGCGTGTTATTTACGTCCATGCAGGAGCAACCCACTGCAGGAGGGTGCAGCCCTGTCGGAAAAGATAGCCGCACCCTGGCAACCACTACCGACGTCACTTCTCTTTCCTCTTTCGAACCAGAGTCAACAAATTTAGGAGCAAGCGCTACCGGCGGGGTCTGCCATGGCGCGACTACCTCGAATGCTGCCTGGTCTCATGTCTCGAGTGGAACCGTGAGAAGCGAGCACCGATGAGAGCCCAAATGAAATCGTTTTGATGTATACAGCTCTCCAGTATCGATATCAGCTTGTATTGGACGACTGTATTGACCTGCTGTGCGACGTGATGGCGCCGCCTCGCGGCTTCGCTGGCGACGACAGACCGAGAACGCCCATCACATCATCTGCGTCAACCCCATCGCTGCGGTCGAGGACACCGGTAACAGTCGCAACTCCGCCACCGGAAAGCATGACGCCCGGCGGTAACGTGAAGGTGGTGGTGAGAGTGCGGGACTTCCTACCACGAGGTGAGTCGCACGGCAGTCTGTAGACCGACATGCTGACACGGATCTAGAGCGGGACAGAGGGGCACAATGCCTGATTGAAATGAACCCAGACACACAATCGACGACCTTACTCGTGCCGACCTCGTCAGACCCTGCCAACAGCAAAACTCAGAGCCGCAAGATTGTTGAGGAGAAGAACTTCAATTTCGATCATTCGTTCTGGTCACATTGTAAAGGCGACGAGCACTATGCGACCCAGGAGCATGTCTACAACTCCTTGGGCGAAGAGTTCTTGGACCACAACTTCGAGGGCTACCACACCTGCATCTTCGCATATGGACAGACTGGCTCAGGCAAATCATACACCATGATGGGAAGCCCTGATAACCCTGGTCTAATCCCGCGTACCTGTGAGGATTTGTTCCAGCGGATAGAGGCCAACGAGAGCGCCAACATCAGCTATAGCGTGCGAGTGTCGTATTTCGAAGTTTACAACGAGCACGTTCGCGACCTGTTTCAACCACGAACCGACCCTCCACACTACTTGAAGATCCGAGAGTCGCCAACAGAAGGGCCATATGTCAAAGACCTGACTGAGATGCAAGTCAAGAATTATAGCGAGATCCTGAAATACATGCGCATGGGTGACAGTTCACGTACGGTCGCTTCTACGAAGATGAACGATACCTCATCACGGTCACATGCTGTCTTCACAATTATGCTCAAGCAGATACATCACGACTACCGCACAGACGAGACCACCGAGCGGCTTGCGCGTATCAGACTTGTCGATCTAGCTGGTTCGGAAAGAGCGAAAGCTACTGAGGCTACCGGCCAGCGGCTGCGGGAAGGAGGGAACATCAACAAGTCACTCACAACCCTGGGCAGAGTCATAGCGGCACTAGCAGATCCACGAGCCAGGTGCGAACAAGAAAAGCCCGCGACATAGTCCCATACCGAGACTCGATACTCACATGGCTTCTCAAGGACTCTCTCGGTGGGAACTCGAAGACAGCCATGATTGCCTGCATTGCGCCCTCGGACTACGACGAGACACTCTCAACATTGCGCTATGCTGATCAGGCCAAACGCATCCGCACGAAAGCTGTGGTCAACCAGGACCATGTCTCATCAGCCGAGAAAGATGCTCAGATCGCCGAAATGGCGGAAACGATACGCACATTGCGATGGACTCTGGACCAGCACCAAGGACAGGCGAGCGCACCTCTTGTCCAAGCCATGCAGGACAGCGCCGATGCACAAAACGACAAGATACGAGAATTCACCAACAAATACGAAGGCATGCTGCAAATCATGGAGGAGAAGCTAGCTATTTCCGAATCCAAGGTCCGGCAGCTAGAGGAGGAGAAGGAGGCTCAGGCTATACATCTCAAGCTTGTCCTTGAGGAGCTGAAGAACCCTATCCGTATCAATGTAGACAGGGAAGAGCCGGCCGAGCGAAAACGTGAGAGCAAAGCAAGGAAATCAAGATCCACAACCCCCGATCTGATATGGGAGGACGAGGGATTCCACAGTGAATGCATTGACAGTGAAGATGAGGCTGCTCATGCGCACGATGAAGAGATGCAGGCTGAGATGGAGGCCTTGATCGCTGATCTGGGACTGTTCAAGCGTAGGGTCGCGGATGACCACAACATGTTTGGCATCGCGACCTAAGGGAATCAGGTCAGTCTTTGGGCACGACAGAGGCCAATAGCTTGTCAGCAGCAGCGCATAGAGCAGAAACGACCGAGATGCAAGAAACCCTCGGCCGAGCTCTGCACATAGATCGCCTTATGCAGTAGGATCAGGTTCATCTTGTCGCACGAAAGACTACAGTGCGAGGCTCAACATACCTATCCAGCTGTCAAGCCCTCCAACCCTGCACAAACTCATGCACCCGATCATTCACCACCCCAAAGAACGCGTTGGCCCCATCACTCAGCGTCTGATCCAGAATTCTCAAAGCCTCTTCCTCGCTCACATCCAAATGGAACCTCTCCCTGACCTTCCCTACCGCGCCTCCATACCCACCGCCACCACCCACTGCTCCTGGCTCGCCCGCTGCCGCATTTCTCTGCTGCAATCCCGTCGTCTCCTCCGCCAGCCGCACGTCCTGCACCGAACTCTGCACCATCAAGCTGAACAGGTTCAGCACGAGAGAGGAGTTCTTGCGCAGCGCCGTGTAGGCGGTGAAGCAATACTGGCGGAACTGCTTGTACTGCTCTGTGCTCGTGTTCCCACCCATGCCCTCTAGCATCTCCTTCGCGAGCTTGACCAGCGGGGCGAAGGGTTTCGGGTCCCGTCCTAGAATGAACCCAAAGTCGATGTGAAAGAACTTTCCGTTCGGCTGGAGGAGCAGATTATCGAGATGCCGATCGCCGACGCCTAGGATGTATGTGATGACGCAGTATCCGGCGCAGGACTTGATGTAGTTGTCGAGACACTCTTTCCGGATCCCCAGTGGCGCGTTCGGGTCAGGGTTGTGCTGTTGGAGGTAGGCTGTGACAGAGCCGCGGTAGCGGGTGCTGATGGCCGAGAGCGCGATGGAGGGCGAGATGTACTGCATCGCTCCGGAGATGGGGGAGGTGGCGAGGATGCGGTATGGGGTTAATTTGAGGTCGAGGTTTTCCTTGAGCAGGAGGGAGTCGATCAGGGTGATGATCTGGATCACGAGTTGGTCTTGGCGGAGGTCATCGCCGGTCTTGAAGATTATGGCGTATTTGGAGGGGTGCGCGGGAGTGGGCGTCGCTATCGTTGATGGTGTGGTGGCTGGTGCTACTGGCTGGACTTTGAAGGTGATAAGGAGTGGTGAGAGGGAGGATTTGAAGACGTTGGCTTCTTCAGGGATTATTCCTGTGACGATGTATTCGGGTGCAAGTGGTAGTGGGATGGGTGTGGGTAGTGTTGCCAGGTCGTTCTTCGGATCGGCGAGGAACTTCTTGAGGCGCTCGATCTTGTTGATACGGTTGTCTCGGCCAAATCGGATGTCTTTGGCGATCTTCTGCAGCACGGCGACCATCTCAGCTTGCTTGAGGAGGATCTTGCGTTGCTGTGGGTCGCGAGCTTCTAGCTCCAGCATGAAGTGGTACTCGACACGCGCGAACAATTTGCGATCTGAGGCGTTGGCATCAAGGCCGCGATCGTCGCACTCGACCATCAGGAACCAGTGCAGGAAATTGCCCAGGTTGAAATTACCAGCGGCACGGTCGATGAGAAACTTGGCCAGCGAACTGGAAGAGAGGCCTTCACTGTCAGCTTCGTGAGTCTCGAACTTCAGGGCCTGAACTAGTTGCAGGAGATACAGCTGAAGCTCATTGTCATCGGCTTTCCTGAGCCGGTCGACCGCGTATGCTCTGACAACCGGACTATCCACTGTCGGTCCAAGGAGCTCCAATGCAGCATCGACATCGATCTCAGCCCACTTAGGGATGAGGTCTGTCAGTGCTTGTGCTTCCTTTGGATTGCTCCAATCCGTGGCCTTGACGACCTTTGTAAGCGCTCGCTTATCGCGGCTGAGATGCCGCCGGAATGTCCATAAGACATCCTTCTCTTGTGCACTAAGGTCTTGTGTTGGTCCGTACGCAAGGATATCGTTGAGCTCATCTCTCAGCTTCGCATTGGGCTTCATGTCGGTGTCAGGCTGGGCGTTACGTTCACTTCTCACTAGTCTTCGATGCTTTGTCTCGCAAGGATTTTCACGTTGGAACTGCTCTGGGTCAAAGAATCGAATGACGGGATAGTCTTCATCGTCAAGCGTACCGTTCAGACCTGCAATGCCCGGTCCGAATCTGACTTCTGGCGGCGCCTTTGTCGACGATCCCGAGCCAGGAGCCATGCTCTGAAAATCTCGTATTGAGCGTGGAATGTCGTATTCATGGTCTGCAAATACCACAGGGAAATCCCATCTAGGCAAATCAATATGAAGTGCAAAGCGCTCCTCTGCATCGATCTCATCTTCGGATTCGAATTCGTCGTCAGAATCGACCTTTCCAGGCGCCTTGCCATTTGACAGGTCCATTGCTTTCTGCGCCCGCCTCTTCGCGGCTTTTCTGAGATTGGCTCGTTTACGAGCAGCCTCATCTACGGCCGCGGTCTTCTCGGCGACTTTCTTAAAGACCAGCTGATCAAGCCACTCATTTGACTGGATCTCGCCCATCTCATGCTTCTTGAAAAGCTTCTGTAGCCTGTCCAATTCCGCTTCCTCTGGATTAGCCAACTCAGGTGCTTCGTTTCTTCGTGGCCGTCTTGGTGCAGGAATATGAGGCGTGATCGACGGCGTGCGGCCATCGGCTTCCTTTGTTCGATAGAGCTTACACTTCTGATGACCTCTGCGAAGAGTGCCTTGATCATCGAAGAGCGAGATTGTAGTGCCGCCAAACGGTATACTATGGTCCAGTCGTCCATCCTTGGGGAGTGGGTTTAGGTCCCATACCGTTAGTGCCAGTTGCGCCGACGCAGGCAAGTGCCTGATGCTGACTGGCAGCTCCAGCCATTGGTTCCAACTTCTCTCGCCCTTGAAGAAGGTGTGAGCAGTCTGGGTGGGCACCCCGAGCGGTTTCGAGTCTGCCCAGAGTTGTGCCGTTACATATAATTCCGACAGAGGATTCTGCACCGAACCCACGTACTTAATTTCTGGATGGCGAAGCAGTGTCGACTGTGGGATGACTCTTTGCTTGCCGGTCAGATTTGATCTGCCTGTAAGTCAGTACAGCCTCGCTCTATACATGTCTTTTGCTCGAAGGCCGCACTCCAAGACTCACATCTTCACAAAGACCGGGAAGTCGAGCTGCCGTGAAGTTGCGAAGGAGTATGTATCCATGACGAAACCGACATTCAAATCTCCTCAGGCACTCGGTGCCTCGACTTGCTTGTACAACATCTCACTAGCACACAAGATCAGACAACATCGAATGCAGTGTAGTTCGTAGGGGGGTGGTGGAGTTAACGGGTTTTAGATACGTTGGGGGCAAGAGCCAGGCGTTCTCTCCAATTCACGGCCTGCCCGTAACCCCCAAATTCACCCAGGTGTCAAATCTACAGGGTCCGCCCCAGCCAGAATCTCTCGACGTAACATTCCTGATGTTTCGACGCTCAAGTAAGCCTCATCTCAAACCGAACGACTCAAACAGCGAACAGACAAGAGGCTTTCAGCGTCCGGCCGGACCTCGAGTTCAATTACGAAGGCCTGGTCACGAAAACCACCCAGGACTCGTGTCCACGGCCTGCCCACTAGCTGAGTTCTAGGGGAAACAGAGACCGGCTATCGGCGCGCCGGCTGCCGCTGCAAGGCAAAAATATGTCGATGGCGCCATCGTTCTCCAATGAAATCAAGATGAAATTCGTGACCATCATCGACTCGTTCTCGGTGCCAGTGGAGCAGAGTCTGCTCGAGTCTGCATTGCGGCGAGGATTCCGAGTGCGGAGAGGCGAATGATACATTCGAGAAGGTAAGAAATCGCTGGGTAGGTTCTTTCCTTGTACTCTACGCCTCTAGCTGCTTTCCTTCTCCCTCGCCAGTGGTCCTCTCGTTGTTCTGCAGTACCGTGTGGCGGCTCACAATGGCGAACATCACATCGCCCACAGAGGCTGGTAAGTCACATCATACCACTCTAAATCGACAGCTCGACTGACATAGTGCAGTGGCCAGGGTAGCATATATAGCGAGCGACGTTGTACTATCTGTTCAGTCCTCGTTGAACACGCCCTCAGATTTCGGCCGCCATCTCTCCCGGTTCGCCTCGACTAAGGCGAAGAATCATGCCGGTCTTCTGCCAGAGGTACAGTTCGTTCGCCAGAATGCCGACCCTCTGTTGTCTGCCTACGAGCCTCTTAAAGAGGGCAAGACACTTGCAGCCACGGCTGCGTCCTCAATACTGATCGAGTCGATCCCCCACCTATACAAGCTTGCCCAGTACCCAGTGGTTCTACATGTTGCTTTGAACGCAACCCAGCCAGACTTTTCAGAGATCAGTTCCATACGACAGTGCGGTTTCACATTCCTCCAGTCCGAGACATTGCAAGAAGCACAAGATATCGCCCTGGCGGCGCATGCACTTGCTAGCAGAAGCGGAAAGGGCGTCGTACACTTCTTCGATCCTTCGAATTCGCTCCAGGACAGCCCAATTGCAGCAGAGAGCCGGGAATTGGTTGAGGCCCTGCTTGGCGATGGACGTTCAAGAGCTGTGCACAGTGAAGCCGTGGAGGACGCCTTGTATGTTAAGGACGGAAGGACCGCGACGCTGACAGATTTTGGCCTGCCAAGTGCCAACCGACAACCCGTTTCTCCTCAGACAGCCCTTGCCTCGAATGGCAATACAACCTCGTCCACGAATGGTACCACCGACATCTCCTCGACGATTTCTTCTCGTCGAGACAGCAGCTCAGATGACGCGATGGCTTCTTCTCTTGCTACCACAGTCGAGACTCCCGTGTCGCGGCCGGTCGGTGCCACTGACGTGTTCAATATGGCGACCGAGATATGGACGGTGATAGCTCGGCTTACTGGCCGATCGTATGCCGCCATAGAGTATTCGGGACCTCCGGACACCGAAGCAGCGCTTTTCATTTTCGGCTCTACCGGTGTGTTTGTCGACGTACTTGACAGTGACGACGTGCCTGTCGACCTAAGCAACGTCGGCATCATAACCGCGCGCCTTTATCGACCCTGGCTTGGAAGCACAGTCTTGCTGGATTCGATTCCTTCGAGTATCAAGAAGATCGCCGTGCTTGAACAGATCCGACGGAAGACGACAAAGTGGGGACCGTCTTTCTTGGATCTGCTCTCCAGTCTAAGTCCGGCTGCCGGCGGCAACAGCAATATTCAGCTCGTGCAGTACAGGCTCGGTCGCATCGATGCCACAACAGCCACGCAAGCACTCCGTGGCATCTTCCAGAACCTCGCTCCTGCATCTACCCCACGGAAACACTCGCGAAGACGTGGTCATTCTCAGGCCACAGTCACTGCGATTCAGAACCTCAGCATTGGCAACGAAATTGATCCCGTCATCGACAATACTCCGGTTGAGCAGCCTGGGCTGGAAGATGCATATCTGAAAATTCTGAATCAGCTATTCTCGTCGCGCCTACATGTCGCAAACCAAAAGGGCCGCCAGAATGCAGGAGTCTCTGCCAAGCTGGCTGCCAGCCCTGAGTATGGTTTCGGATCGCTGATAGCGCGTATTGAACACCGCCGCAAATTCCTACAAGAGGCCGAAAATGCTGCTTCTAGCAAAGAATTCATCACAGAGTCGCCTAAGCAATGGCTCTCAAGGTGGGTTCTGAACGCCAACGATCCTTTGAAGGCCAATGAATATGCATCAGAAGTGATCGCTCGGCTCTCCAACGACGGGTCACGCCTGGCTACGTCTCTGCTCGATCACAAGAGCCTTTTCTACAAGGAATCACAATGGCTTATTGGTTCCGATGCCTGGGCCTATGACTTAGGAAACTCTGGTGTGCATCACGTTCTTGCTTCTGGTGCGAATGTCAACATGCTCATCATAGACTCCGAGCCATACTCGGAGCGATCCAAGGCCGACGCTAATCGCAGGAAAAAGGACATCGGCTTGTACGCAATGAATTTTGGTAACGCGTATGTTGCGTCAGTGGCCGTGTACGGCTCCTACACTCAGGTCCTCGAGGCAATGATCGAAGCAGACAGATACGATGGTCCTGCCGTTATCCTGGCTTATCTTCCTTACACTAAGGAAGACGATTCTCCCGTAACTGTTTTGCAGGAGACCAAGAAAGCTATCGACATGGGCTACTGGCCGTTATACCGATGGAACCCAGCCAACGAGGTGAAGGGCGAGCCAACATTCTCGCTCGACTCAGAACGCATCAAGCAGGAGCTTGAAGCCTTCTTACGACGGGACAATCAGCTCACACAGCTCATGAATAGACACCCTCAATTTGCTGCTAACCTTTCCGAGTCATACGGGTCGGAGGTGCGGAAATTACAGAAGCGGAAAGCCAAAGATGCATACGAGACCATGTTGGAAGGACTTTTCGGTGCTCCTCTGACCATTCTATTTGCCTCTGACAACGGCAATGCGGAGGGACTCGCCAAGCGGCTTGGACGACGAGGTAAAGCTCGTGGTCTTAAGACAATGGTCTTTGCGATGGAGGATTTTCCGCTCGAAGATCTGCCTGGAGAAGAAAACGTTGTCCTCATCACGAGCACCGCTGGGCAAGGAGAGTTCCCACAAAACGGACGTGCATTTTGGGAGGCCATCAAAGACGCGAACGATCTGGATCTTTCCAACATTCACTTCTCCGTTTTCGCACTTGGAGATAGCCATTACTGGCCTCGAAAGGAAGATAAGGTGTATTACAACAAGCCAGGCATCGACTTGGACAAGCGCATTCGGACTCTAGGCGGTAAAGAGCTCGTGGTGATCGGAATGGGCGACGATCAGGATCCTGATGGTTTCCAGACCGGGTATCAGGACTGGGAACCGAAGCTGTGGCAAGCGCTCGACGTGGCCAACGTCGAAGGCTTGCCTGAGGAACCGCCGCCGATCACCAACGAGGACATCAAAATTGCCTCCAATTTCCTGCGTGGGACAATTAAGGAGGGACTGGAAGACACTTCGACCGGCGCTATTTCAGCTCCCGATCAGCAATTGACAAAGTTCCACGGTACCTACATGCAAGACGACCGAGATCTGCGCGATGAACGTAAGGCTCAAGGCCTCGAGCCTGCTTACTCGTTCATGATTCGCTGCCGGCTGAATGGTGGTGTTGCTACTCCCGACCAGTGGCTGCAAATGGATGCAATCGCCTCTGGTATGGGTAACGAAACCATGAAGCTCACCACGCGACAGACCTTCCAGTTTCATGGTGTCATCAAATCCAGACTACGTCCTGCCATGCAAGCGATCAACAAGGCATTGATGACAACCATTGCGGCTTGCGGCGACGTCAACCGCAATGTCATGTGTTCCAGTTTGCCAACCCAGTCCGAGTACCATGCACAAGTTCATGCTGTCTCAAAGAAGATCTCCGATCACTTGCTGCCATCGACTACAGCCTACCACGAGATTTGGCTGAAAGACGACAGCACAGGGGAAAAGACACAGGTCGCTGGAGACGCTGTCCAGGATTTTGAGCCTCTGTACGGCCCAACGTACCTGCCACGGAAGTTCAAGATCACGATCGCTATTCCGCCGCACAATGATACCGATGTCTATGCGCATGACATCGGCCTCATCGCCATTCGTGATGAAAAGACCAAGAACCTAAAGGGTTTCAACATCCTAGCTGGCGGTGGCATGGGTGTCACTCACAATAACAAGAAGACCTACCCACGGACCGGGTACATGATGGGGTATGTGCCTGCGGAGGCAGCTCACCTGGTATGCGAGAAGATCATGCTGGTCCAGCGTGACAACGGCGACCGCAAGAACCGAAAGCATGCTCGCCTCAAGTACACTATGGATGACATGGGCAACGAAGTCTACAAATCCAAGGTGCAGGAGTTGCTGGATCCCCTGAACATCAGATTCGAAGCCCCTGCGCCATTCAAATTCATCTCTAATATCGACACCTTCGGCTGGCAGAAAGATGAGAAAGGACTCAATCATTTCACGTTCTTCATTGAGAACGGCCGTGTCGAGGATACTGCTGATTTCGCGATGCGGACCGGTCTTCGAGAACTCGCTAAACTTAACGTCGGCGAATTTAGGCTCACTGGAAATCAGCATGTGATCATTTCGAACGTACAGGACGCGGACAAGCCCCGCGTTGCCGAGCTAATGAAGAAGTACAAACTCGACAATACCCAATTTTCGGGTCTACGTCAGTCGAGTTCGGCATGCGTGGCTTTCCCAACATGTGGCCTCGCAATGGCTGAGTCAGAGCGATATTTGCCGGAGCTCATCACCAAGCTAGAAGGCTGCCTCGAGGAGAACGGACTCGCCCAGGATAGCATCGTGTTCCGCATGACTGGTTGTCCCAATGGTTGTGCTCGCCCTTGGGTTGCAGAGGCGGCCTTCGTAGGCAAGGCCTATGGCGCATAGTAAGCTTGACCCCCTTCCCCGCCATTACTCACATACTGACTTTTGCAGCAACCTCTACTTGGGCGGTGGTTACCATGGTCAACGGCTGAACAAGCTGTACCGAAGTTCGATAATGGAAGAGGAGATTCTTGAGATCATGAAGGATCTGCTCTCAAGATACGCGAAAGAGAGGAATAAGGGTGAGCATTTCGGCGACTGGACCATTCGCGCCGGGATCATCAACGAGACGTTCGAAGGACGCGACTTTCACGAGCGCACAGCCGAAGTTGAGTCAGATGAGGAGTAGGGTCTCATCATACTCTGTGTTTGCATAGCGAGGGCGTAACGTTGTTTCCAACTGTTCTCGATACTTGTCCGCCTGGATTGCAAAAATGTTAATATCTCACAAACGCTCAGGCTCGGCTCAGGCGCACGCTGCCGCCAACCTGTATGGTGACCGTACTCCCCATCCCGCTCGATCCTCAATTGATTCGCCAATGCGTCTGTAGCCGATCTGTCCCTTTCTGTGTCTCTCAACGAGATTCGATGAAGACGCGAGCGGGCATAGATAGAAGAGACGGCGCACACATCGAAGGCTGACGCCAGCGGATGGAAATACAGGAAGTTTCATCTTCGCCTTCGGCAACTATATGCGTTCCACGTGGACGGGTAATCAGGAGCGCTTCGTGACCATCAAATAGAGGCCAGCTTCTTACGCTTTCCAACAGCAACCAGCAGCTTTTCCACAGCCGGGAGTCATATTTCGTACTCGATCTGTTGAGACCTGATGGGGAGACGTGAGGAGGAGGGGAGATCCCAGTTTCGAAAAGATCTTGTCATCCGGTCTCGCGAAAAACATTGCCCAGGCCGGTTGACAAGATGAACATCAGTGGAAGGTACGAGTCAGGCACCTGCCGCTTGTGGCGTCGTCAAGAAGGCTTGATGAGCAGGAAAGAACGATGGTGTGTGCTCCTGCCGCCGTTGCTTGTTTGGAGTTCGGAAGAGGCAATGGAAGAGGAAGGCGCTCATATCAGAGGGTTTCGTCATCCGGCCTGGTGCAGGACGTTCGTCAGACCGGATGAACGGGCATGATGTGAAAGTATTGCGAAAAGCGGGCGCAGGAGCTGCAGTGCTCTTCGCGGAGTTGTCACGCAGCTTGCAAGTCATCAGGATGGACTCCAGGTATGAGCGCTGGTACGGGGTCGGTGTGAAGGCGGTAGTAAATGTGTACCCATGATACCTCGATCTTGTCAACCGGCTTAGCTAAATGGGCCGACCTTGGTCACCCGGTCTTGAGAAGTGCCGCGCGAGGAAGTATTGTCTTCCATATTTTTTTGGCGCCTATTGAAAGTCTTGACTCTTCGGGAGCACTTCGTGAGTCCTTCTCCTGACCAGCACCCATGTTTGCTTCGAGGAGATGGACACCTTTTTCCAACATTTCGCAACCTCGCATCTGATCTGTCCTTGGCGCACGAGCTCCAGTTCGATGGGGTCGGTTCTTTGCAACATAGACTAGGCTTCCGCAACAGGCTTCTCAAAGACCACAACACCGTACCTCAACGATCCCTCCTTATACCCTCTCCTCATCGCGCGGAAACTCTGCAGGAAGCTGAGCCCATCGCGTCCCTGACTGATCGCATACGCCCACAGCGATGGCGAGGAGACTAACGACCAGCTGATGTCCCATGTGGCGGCCACGTGTGGGGAGATGTCGATTGGGTTCTGCAACGTGGCGGTATAGTTGTCCGTAGAGGTAAACGATGTCAAATGGGTCGAGGGTGGAGGGGCTCGCATGAGAGTAAATCCTGCAGCGAGGGCGTGGGCGATGTAGGATTGCACCGAGGGGAGTTCGGGGAGGAGCATGCCGTCTTCGATTTGAGCGACTGTGGAGAGTTGTGCTGGCGTCAATGAGGATGCTGCTGCGTCATCGGCTAAGGTGAAGGACTCAGGCGGTCCGCGGAACCAGTCTGCGATGATCAGACGGCTGGGTTGGGCAGAAGTTGCGGGCTTGAGGAGGTCGAATGCTGATTTGAAGAATAACGCTTTGTTGGGGATGTGGGAGAGTGCTTCTGTGACCCAGACGTGTGTATAGGTTGCTGGAGGTAGGTGTTTGCTCATCTGCTCGGCGTCGAGGTGGAGGAAGCGGACTTGGCCTCCCTCTGAGCCATAGTGCAGAAACGGCGTCGAGGCGAGGGCATCCTGTGATACTGGAGCAGGGGTTTCATCAATGCTTCCATTCATGGTAGATCCCTTGCTGGTGAAATCTCCGTTGCTTGATTGAGGCTCTTCAGCTGCCGCATCTTGACCGGTGATCTTCCTCGCCAGCCCGATCTGTTGCTCGGATATAGTGATTCCGGTCACTGTTGAGCCCCTTCGCTGCGCGAGATATCGACACGTGCCTCCAAGACCACAACCGACATCAAGAACTGTTGCTCCAGATTTTGGGAACTCCGAAAACTCGAGCATAAAATCGATCAGGTTGCCCTGAGCGGCCTCTTTGGTGGTCGCCCCGTTGGTGAAGAGACCATGGTGAATATGCTGTCCCCATAAGCTGTAGTAGTATGTGGATGCCAGGTCATAGTGCTGAGCTATACGGGCCTTGAGAGTGGTGAGAGCCGAGGTATGGGCCTGACTGTAGGGAAGGGGCAGATTGGTTAGTCATGAATGCTTGTGAAGCGCAAAATCAGGTCACAGACACGCAATAAAATGGGATGCCGTACAACTCAGGAGTCTCGTGCTCATCCCCTGGATGGCTTGACGCAAGTTCGCCATCAGTAGTCATCGGGCGTATATCCGGCAGGCGCGGCTGCCAAGTGTGACGCTGCTGCCCAAAATCTGCGGTTGCAGACTGTCAGAGCCGCTGGCAGGGGACAAATCTCTGCTCGACGAGTCCTTTGGTTGTATGAGTGTCATATGAATTCGACACGGATCATTTAGAGGTCTCTCTGCGGTTTCAGAAGGCGTTGGTCATTGCTCGCTTATCATCCAACGGTTAGTGGGTCCGTTTGCATGGCTCGGGCGTGCACGCCTTTTTTCATGTGACGCTTCTCAGAGTGGATTGTTGGGACTTCGGCTCGTCGTCATCATAGCATTCACCGACCTGCTCGAAAGCTCTCTCCGCCAGCCGCGGCATTATCAAGCGACTGCAATTGTTCTCACGAAACAGGTACCGAAGAGGACAAAGGTGGACGTGGCCCAGTACCCCACGAGGTCGCCGGAACTGCCCCGCTGTGGTATGTTCTTTTAACCCGCCAAACAAACGCGCCAGATGGATTACCAGAATGTCCGGAAGTGGACTGAAGGCTCGAATACTTCAAACGGCGTTTCAGAAAAGGCTCGACTCTCCCGAGAGCAGCAGACACTAGCAGAACACGAGGCTCGCCATCCACAGCGACCATTGTCTATGCTCCAGAAGCACGTGCTCTTCTGGGATCGGGATTGCGATGGGATCATATGGCCACATCAGATCTACCAAGGCTTTCGAGAGCTCGGATTCGGGCTCGTATGGTCCATTGGTTCCCTGCTAATACCTTTCTTCTTCTCGTATCCAACGCGACTTGGTCACAGTTGGTTCCCAGATCCCTTCTTTCGCATCTACTTCGACACAGGCAACAAGTCAAAGCACGGTTCAGACAGTGGGATCTATACCTTCGATGGGGACTTCAACGATGACAGATTCAACGAGATGTTCGCATACTTTGATGTTGATGGTGTGGGCGGACTGAGTGCAGAAGAGACGTGGAGACTATGGCAGAAGAACCGCTGCTCATGGGATCCTTTTGGTTGGTGTTTCTCGTGGATGGAATGGTCCACAACCTGGCTGCTTCTTCAAAAAGATGGCCGAGTTTGGCGTGATGACCTCCGAGCTTGTTATGATGGTTCGATCTTCTGGCGAATTTCTTACGAGCGCTCGGAAGGTGAAGGATGGAATCAGGGCTACGGGCCAAGTGATTTTGTGAAAGGGATGTGGAAAGGCAGAACATGGAGGACATGGGAGTTAGATCAGTAAGTGACTTGAGAGTCAGGTGGAGCGGTGAAGCTCATTAGTGAAGTCGCGGATCTCGTCATTGTGAATGTAGTCTCATCAGCAGCGCTTACTGGTCTTGGACATTTCGTGAAGGGTCGCATGCTCCGTAGTGCTTTCCCTCTGATCGAGATTTACAAGGGTAAGAAACATCGTGATATCGAGGTACGCGCCTTCGATTTCGATTTCGCGTGCCTGAATGCCAAGCTTCACAAGTCTCCACCGCGAAGTTGACCATGTGCGCTTCAAACAGCCATCGAGTCTCTCTGCTCAATTCTCATCTTCAGAATGGAGCGATGTCGTTACCGGGTCTGGGGTTATCGGAGCCTGAAGAAGTCGCTCAGTCTGAAGTGACTCAGCATAATCTCGACAAAGAGTCGGAATGGCGCTTCGAAGTGGCCGCAGGAAAATACATCCAGGTCAAAGTACGCTCAAGGAGTGCCTCAACCCTACAAACCAGACGCTGACTTTTGCAGATACTCTCAGGCTCAGCAGAGTTGTTCGGCACTGAGCTCGTCGTCGGCAATGTCTACTCCTTCACCGGCACGAAGGCTGCTATCTACACGTGGGAAGGATGCCGATTCGAGGTCAGCGGAGATGCCGTCCAGAGCGACTACGTCGCACAGGAGACGCCTATGACCGAGTACGTCAACGTCCACTTCGCACTCGACTCGATACGACAGCAAGCGAAAGCAGTCGGCAAGGAGGGACCTAGACTTCTCATCATTGGACCTGAAGGTGCAGGGAAGACGACGTTAGCAAAAGTACTCGCAGGCTATGCTGTTCGGGCGCAGCGGTCGCCTGTGGTGGTCAATCTCAACGTCAAAGAAGGCGTCATGAGTGTCCCTGGCACAATGACCGCAACGGTGTTCAAGTCCATGATCGATGTTGAGGAGGGCTGGGGCACGGCTCCCATGAGTGGTCCCAATGGTGCCATTCCCGTCAAGCTCCCTCTCGTCTATTTCTATGGCAGCGACGACCCCTTCCACAAGGATAGCAAGGTCTACAAGACCCAGGTCTCGCGACTAGCATTGTCAGTGACTGGGCGAATCTCGCAAGACCCTGAGGCTCGGGAGGGCGGCGTGGTAGTCGACACACCCAGTGTATTAGGTAGTTCTGGCGTGCTGAACGCCGACCTCCTTGCGCACGTCGTCTCTGAGTTCTCCATAAACTACATCGCGTGCATCGGCTCTGAAAGGCTGTACTCTGAAGTCAGCCGACGTTATGACAACCAGCCGGTGTCCATGTCCGCGACCAGCAACTCCTGCTCACCAACGATATCCGTGGTCAAGCTCACAAAGTCCGAGGGCTGTGTCGACCGCGACAGCACCTACATGACGGCATTCCGAACAGGCCAGATACGCACGTATTTCTATGGCAACCCAAGACTGTCGAATGGCATAGCCCTGCAACCACGTCAACAGACGATTGACTTCGCTACCTTGACGGTGTGGCAGCGTCTCGGCACATTCGCAGCAGGTGCTCTTGCGGGTTCTTCGAACGCGACTACTGCTCCCGACGACGATGAGTTCCTGCCAGGAGACTTTGCTCCAGACGCGCCAGCAGTCACAAGCAACGGGAGTGCAGTACCTCTACCAGCATCTCAGATCTTTGAGCGGATCACAGCGCCTCAGCCCGCCATGCGAGGCTGTTTGTTCGCCGTTATGAATTGTGCTCCGGAAGCAGAACAGGAGACAATCAGGGACTCTTCGGTCATGGGGTTCCTGTACGTGGTGGATGTGGACGATGCACGAGGCAAGATCAGTCTTCTGAGTCCCGTCGCTGGTCGAGTCCCCGATCGTGCGCTGGTTTGGGCTGGCTGGCCGGAGGGTGTTCTTGGCTTGAAGGACTAGAACCTCCTCATATTAAGGCGGCGACAGGTCCTGAAGGCACTCTTTAGAACGGAGTTGCCATGCTCATATCGCAGTTGGTCACTACTTAACGATTGAGCGACAGCTCGCATGCAAAAACACCGGAACACACACAATTGAATTTTGCCCATCCTCTATGTGCTCGACTGTCTCCTAGCAGACATGCTGCACGCATGGCCAATCATACCTTCGGTAAAGGAATTAGCCCACAACAGCCCGCATAATCTTCAAGCAGTTCTTCACGCCTCTTAAAGCGTTCTCATCCCTCCCTTCACCCTTGGCCCATCTTGCATGAGCGAAATCAATCAGCTTCAGATCATGCACTTTCGGCTCGATGTCCTCATCGTTCTCGTCCTTTGGTCCATCAGCCTCACCTTCATCATCGTCGCCCTCCTCGTCCAGCTTCTTGTCATACTCCAGCGCCTTCGCCAGCGCTTGCTCGTCACCTTCGTACACAAAGAGCAGACTCGCGCTGTACATCCGGCTCTCCGTGTTCTCGAGCACATATTCCACGCTTTCTAGCTCGCGAATAAAGCGCTTCCGTACCTCTTCGCGGTACTTGCTGCCTGTACTAGGCAGGTACGCCTCAAAAGCCTTCGTGACATCGTCCTCGCCCTTGAACTGCCTTCCATAGAATTTGTCGTAGGTTTTGTATCCGTCCTTTTCCTTCACAAATCCATCCTCTTCCGGCCGAAGCTTCTGCGCCTCCGCCTCCGTACCGACATAGACCTTCATGCCCGCGACCCGAAAGCCCAGACTGCCACTTGTAGACGAACTAGCCACTTCATCCAATTTCTGGCGTTTCGCAAGTGGCGCATCGTCATCCCATAGCCGCGCACCGAGCTTGATGTCCAGCACGCATGGCTTAGTGCATCCGCTAGCCGTGTTCTCGAGACAGATCGCTAGACCTGTGCTCAATTTCTTGCCGCCGGATGGTGTCCACTCCTCGCCAGGCGCGAGTGGGATGGCTTGATCTCCGGCAGAGGCAGGACCCTGCTCTTTGCCAGCCGCACTCTCCTCTTTACTGTCCTCCTGACCGGCAGGCACGGTCCCCACACCATCACTCCCGTGCAGCAACTTCGACAAGCCAGCTTGATCAGCAGCGGGACGGAGCGCACCGAGGAAGGTGGGCATGTGCGCATAGAAGTCGGAGTGGGCTGGGTCGCTGGCAGCCGATTCGTAGAAGGCGATCTCGGCTTCGGTGCAAGGTTTCGTTAGGATGGTGCCGGAGGCGTTGGAGGTTAGGCCTTCGCTGTAAGACGTGGATTAGTGGTTGTAGATGGGTTGGAGGCTGGGTAAAGACGTACTGTCCCGCGGCGCCATGCTGGAAGGGTACGGAGTCTTGTTGGTTCGCCATTCGAGATGTTGGTTCGATATGCTAGACAGGTGAGCAGGATTGTGGGAAGAGGAGAAGGGTGTGCGATTATTTCAGGTGGTAACAAGGCAGATAGGCGATCGTTTCAAGTCCGGCGGGTTGGCACTAGCGGAGAACGCATCATCTTTACCTTGGCAGACTTGGTACTGGGTGCCGGTCACGGCTAGCCTGGAGCAAGTGGCCTCATCTAAGAATCTTGAAGTTGAGCATCGAATCTCTGATGGCTCTAGCGAACGTCAATCAAATGCGAGGAAAGGTCAAGCTGATATTGCGACAAGAGTTCAAGATCTGGGCTATGTCATTGTGGATAGACTTTGGCTAGATCGAATGCAGTTAGGACGAGTTGCCCTCCTTTCAGCCTTATTGACGACGACGAGCTCATGTATTGGTCATACATGGATCTTCTGTAATCGTCAAATAACACGAAAACCAGCTTCGGAATCATCGATGCCGATTGAGTCGAAAAGGTGAAAGCAAGGAAATGGGGCATGCCTCAAGATGAAATAAAGCATGTCGCAAGCCAGTGTGAGTGAAGTGTTTGCTACCCAGTCGCGCTTGCACTGGCGGCGGTGACTACTGGCCCGGTCGACCAACTATAAAGGTCACGCCAAAAGTTTTACCTGTGCCTTCAAATGACCCGTCTCTGTACCGCCCATTTCTGCGCCGTGATACGCTCGCCATCACACCTCGAATTTCGCTCGACAGCCAGCCCGCCCTCGAATCTGAATCTCAATAACCTTGCAATCTAAGTCAACTCCTCGAGTAGCTCGCGATGGCGGTCCCCAACTCTCCTGTTGAAGGCGGACGGGAGGGCACACAGTCCAGCAACCACCAGACCCATCCACAATTTAATGGATCTGAGGCTCTCCAACCTGTGCAGCCACCTCACAGCGAGCTCGCCAGCCACAGCCACGAGGACGAGGAGGGAGAGGACGAGGAGGAGCGCGGCGAGGAGATGACAGTCACAAATCAACCCGCCAGCAAGCGCAAGAAAAAGCGCTCGAAGCCCAAAAGCAAGCGTGGTCTGAACGCCCCAACAGGCTATGAGGAGTGGTTCGCAGATCCTCCGGTCACACCCGAAGTCCATGCCGAAGAGCAGGAACTCTATGCACAAGACATACCATTCATCGAACGGATTCTTACAGCGATCCAGAGATTTGAGAGAACACGAAAGCTCACTCCCACTCGTCGAGACATCTTCTACAAGTATCTAGCATACGGAGGGCTAGATGTCAGCCCGAATATGTTCCAAACAGTTGATGAGGTCCAGAAGAAGGAGATGAGCAAGGAAGAACTGGCCGTAGCTCTATCTCAAGTCTCAATCGGAACTGACAAATACGACGTCGGATCTGAGAACGCCCTGTACGAAGTCGACTTCCTCGGATGCGCAAAAGCTTTCCTATCTCGACGAGCAATCGACATCTGGGGTCTCGACACACGAGACAAGACCGTCGAGGTAACAACCACTCTAGAGCGCTTCATGGACTACCTCCTCCAGCATGATGTATGTCAAGAGTACCGAACCGAAGTGCTTGAGACTCGCAACTTCTGCCGCCAAGCTACCGACGAGCTGTGCGCTTGCGCTGAAGCTGGACGTCAACTTCCAGGTGACTTCAACATTGCCTGCTCAACGCTTCTCGAAGGCTCGTACTCTCGCAACTACGATGGCAAGACATACTGGGGTCCTGAGAGGGACGATGAGTGGAACTTCGTTGGCTTCACGCCAGATATCGCATCTCAGATCATGTCCTACGCCATGGCTGGCGCCGCTCCCGAGAATATCTGGGACGAGTATCAAGGACAGCTCACAGACCCTAACGACGGCTTAAGCGTTGTCCAAACGAAGGAATTCGCCGGCTTCGAAATCACCCACATCATCCCACCCAGCAAGGAGTGCCTCAAGATGTACAAGACCGACTGCAAAGACTACCGTCCCGTTGGCGTAGTCCGCGCCATCCCCTGGACCGACCCAGCTGGCCCACCTGAAGATCTCACCCCCGACGAGCGCGCACAAATCGAAGCCCAGCAGTCCACGGCGAAGAATACAGAGCATGAAGAGTATGTCTTCCTCATCGAGCAGAACATCCAACATAACATGCGTGTCGGTATGAAGCTGCAGGCAACTCTACACAAGGTCAGCTGTGGCATCTGGTTCTTCGATGACTTCCAAAAAGTCTTCCCGCATTTCGATACATTCATTGCCAACGACCTCATGACCGACTACCAGACGCCGGTTTGGTTGAAGGGAAGCGTGCCGTATGAGGAAGAACGAGAACGGGAGCGGCTTCTGGAAGCCGAGAAAGCGGAACCGGAGGCGGAGCCAGATGCGAAGCCGGAGCAGGAACGCGAGCACGACAATGGTCACGATGACAGCACAAATGGTGACGCGGAGCATCTCTAGAGACGCAGAATGAGCATGCGCCAACATTGTTTTGAGGCTTGAGACGGCGGCAATGTTGGGATTGAATGCTGAGCGACAGCCAGCTAGCAGGGGACGTATCCCTCGGGCTTGGTCTTGCCAAGAGCTCCTGACGACACCCTGAAGCGACGACCTCGGGAAACTGCCTCAATCTTTCATGGCTCCTTCCAAAGTTAGAGCATCTTTGCAATTCTCCACCAGGTCAAGAGAGAAACGCATAGCAACAATGGGCAAAGCGCCTCCGAGGCAGAACGTATGAACATCAAAAATGCCTCTTGCAGAAAAGTGGCCTACAAAAATCGTGCCACAGCTTGACCAAAACCCAATCAATCTTCCAAGATTGTCATTGCAAGAACCGCTTTAGCGGCCGCTCAAATCACGACCAAGACGCCCGAATCAAGTAAAGTCCCTCCATGCATGTCCTGTATTGCTTTTGAGGCTGCCCTTTCTCCTGTGTTGGCAGAATAAGAATCCCATTACTACACGACAGTGCCCTCCCTAGCTCAATGATCCCATCGGTCTGTGACCTGAACCGAGAAAGGCCTCATCTCACGCAGTGCTCATCTCCTGGTCGGATCGTGCTTGCGCTATTCGTGCTGCTCCATCCCGCCCTTCCCCTCTTAGATATTCGTATCGTTTCTGTGGCAGTCGTCTTAAGTGTCACATGTTGCAGATCTTCAACTTCGAGGCTCTGACGAAGTCCATCATGCTGACAACAGCCGACTCCCGGGCCATCAGAGGCTTCAGAAGCCGCACGTCCAGCAGCCAGCGTCCCGTCAATGCTTCCCCAGCTCCAGTCGCGCTGCCAGCCAAACGTCTGCTCCTGTACAGCAGACAAAGACAGCGACCTGGTCGCGGTGGAGTCGATCGTCGCCTCACAGTATTGCTCGGCGGGAAGATCCTGCTCCTCTTTGATTGTCTCAAACACACCGGAATGAGAAGCGCTGCGTTCCTAATTCAGCCGACTCAAGACCTTCCTACCAAGCAACAGCACACTCTTCTTTTTTGTCCCTCCCGTCTCGGTCTCGCCTTCTCGATCACCGTTGTCCTCCGGTGCAATACTCTCGCTCCCTCTCCTGGATCTAACACCATCACCATCTGCGGCACCAGGAATGGAAAGGCTGTGACCCAGGTTGCCAAATCTCACTCGGCCCTTCACTGTTTCTCCGGCATTGCTGAGATGTCGACCCAGTGTATCCTTGAGCAGAGATTTGCCCATTGATGCTGCAACACTAGGTGAACGGTTGTTGCTGCTACCAATTGCGGTGTGAGGTCGTATTGTACCAGAAGAGTCTTCACGATCACGTCCAGATGCCGCAGAGGCCTTCCTCATAGAGGACGGGAGGGGCGACGCGGTTCCGGACGCATGGTTCCCGTTCAGTGGCGTGGACGTGCCAGATGGTAAATTGCTGTGAGACCAGCTACCTGATCTGAGGAGACTGCTTGAAGGCGGTCCGAGTGGGAGCGGAGGGCCATGGTGGTGATGGTGATGATGATTTCCACCGTTGGGCGTGCTGGTACCGTTTGTTCCCGCAGGTGAATCGGTCTGGAATGACATGCGCGGCGAGTCCTCTGTCTCTCCAAAGGAGTAGATGCTGGCGGATTCGGAAGTCCCAGAATTGTTCGTGTCGACATTCCGTAAATTGTCCGAGTTGGGTATTAGCGTGCTGTGATTAGCCATTTCTCGAAGCCGCTCCTGAGTCTTCTTGTTGGGTCTGTGATGGGAAAACTTGTTCCCGATGATGGCACCCGTGTGCGATATCAGTGCACGAATGACATCTTTCTTCAGCCGCAGCGCGAGATCGAGATTCGACCACGTCTTGTTTGTATACTCAAGTGTGGGCATGCGGAAGACAAAGTCGTGCAAATCTTCCAGATTCCTCTCACCCTTGCCCTTATATGACAGGCAGACAACGAACGAATCAAGCTTAACGTGTGCCAAAGTCATGTAGTTCGATGCACGAGACAGCATTTGTGAGACATCGTCGGTCGGCTTTGGTGTTGATTTGGTGGATTTGCTTGTGCTCGGGCGGCGGTCGCCGCTCCCACTACGATGAAGATGCCAGCGAGAAGAATTCTCGGGTTTGGCAAGATTGGAGAGGGACGCAGAAGAGCCCACTCTGTTCTGGCTGAATGCTGATCGCAGTGATGAACCCGATGTCTTCCGTATCGGGGTCGGAGGTGTCTGTGAGATCGTTGGATGCGAGCCTGTGGAGTCGAGTCTTTTGAAGAGGCGATGTGCATGTTCAGTGGCTAAGCCAAGACCGTGGTTTTTCTCCTTGTCCTTCTTTTGCGTGTTGAGTCGCCTCTCAGACCGTTGCAGGTTATAAGTCGGCTGCAAGCGCCTGCCCATTGCTCCTGGTGAGTTCGTTCGATGCAATTCAGTATCAGTGGGTCGAAGGTTGTATTCGGGCATTAGAGTACGGCGAGCTTGCTCGCCTTCCGAATCTTCTCCATCTTCAAGCGGTCCCATGTTCTTGACGTTAAGGGGAGAGAAGTTGCCGCTCTCGAAGGCGTTTGATCCAATACCCGGAAATATGTACTCAAACAGACGCTTACCAAGTTCTCGCTCCAGTTGTACCTTAATCGGATGCATTGTGACCTGGAATTCTTCCAAGACAGGTATGCCCGCAATGGCCTCAAGCATATACCAGTGCACCTGCAACATCTTCTCTTGTTCAAAGACACTACCGCGTTTGTGCGCGTCATCGTGATAAGGGCCGATGATCTCCGGGTAGAGGGCTGTCGGAAGCAAATTCCAACCGCGAAGCTGCTGAATCTCCATGGCATTGTGATTTGAGCCATCACTGTTATCAATCCGCTCGTAAACGGCACGGCCGAGCTGGAATTCAAGCAATGGTTCATTCTTGTCGCGCATAAGATGCCACACGATCTCTGAGGCGCTGAGATACCACCTGAGGAAAGCATTTGAATCAGTGTCTTTGCGATCCTCGTTCCGTTGCTGCGATGTGTTTATGGCCTTCATGATGAAGAACAGCTCATCTTCACATGACGCCAGATCCTTCTCGAGGTTGATGCGATCCTCCCAGCCTTGTTTATCCAGATACTTAGCATTGACTTGGAAATGTAATTTGAGCTCTTCGAGTTGTCGTATGCGGTCTTGCAGGCGCTCAGCCATCTCCGGGGTGCCCCGAAGGTCACTGAAATCTGATGCGAGCATAATCTTCTCCAAGCGCTCACTGCGAGTCTTTTCGAGCGGCTCACTGTAGAGCAAGAGATCGAGAACGATGATGTACATGGTGTAATACTGATGGGAATCACAGCTTGCTCGAATGCGAGGAAAGTCGACCCACAGCTGATCCATTCTGCTCTCGGTGCCCAGCGACCTGTTAACATGGTCCGTTTTGCTGCCACCAACCTCTTCATTGTATTTCAGTCGCAGAGGGTTGTATTTGTCGTATTGAAGACGGGCCGAAGTCTTTTGAATGACTCTCTGAAAGCCAAAGGGGTCTAGATGGAAGTCAAACATCGCTTCAAGCGATACCCATGGTGGCCAATCTGATCCTGGCGGGCTGCCATATCGATTTCCACTGTATAGATGCAGATACTTCGCGAGACGCTTCTGGTTTGTGACGAAGAATTGGGCGCCATCCATGTCCAATGCGAATCGTCGCTGCACCAAACCACTCACATCGTCGGACATGCGTGCTTTGTCCATGATTGCCACAATCTTCAATTGCATTCCCTTCGCCGATACCAAAACCACAGATTTCGTGTTCTTCTCGCTTTGTAGCTGTATCTGTGGCGCGATCATCCGGAGATGATAGCTGTTCATGGGTTGGAAATGTTCCGCGATTCCTTCATTGACCTCAGGCGTTGCGGCACCAGTATCCGGGACGTTGTCCACATCCTGGATGTCATCGTCGTTAGCGTTGACAAATTTCTTGCCAACTTTGAGCAGCTGAGCTATGCGATCTTGTATGACATCCTCCTCGTCTTTTTCTTCTGTCGGAGAGACAACAACTGGTTGGCTGGGCATGCTATATCCGCTGCGTCTGCGTTTCTCTTGTTTAGATTTGGATTGCTCTTCAACGATATCAAGGATGAATTTCACAGCCCTTCTGGACATGTAGTACACAAAACCTCTTCGCTGGCTGACCTGGTGGCTGTAACGAAGGATAGTGTTGCGCAAGGAGTTGTTCCATTTCAGCTGAATGTTGTGAATGATGAATCGGTTGTTAAAATCGCTCGCGAATTCATCGTGAGAGGCTGAGAACAAACCGTCGATATCGATATGGGTGCCATCTTGTACGTTAGGCGACGAGTCTGCAACGCTACCTTGAGAGGCTCGATGTGAAGAGTCGGTATCAGCGTCACTCCTTTCACCTGGATGCGCATGCCTACTCAAACGCTTCAGGCCATGCTCGAGGAACTTTTGTTTACTTTCGAGCTCAGCTTTCTGCTGATTGAGCGACTCGTGAGCCTCTTTCAGGCTAGCATCGTGATCGCCATCTCGAATGACGCGGAGCTCTTGCTCGCCTAAGAGGTGATCGTGCTGCTTGATCTTGTCGTTGATGTCTGACAATCGATCCTCAATTAGCTTCATTTGAACTCTGCGAGGATCATTACGTCCAGACATGACACAGAAATGGCTGTCCTCGTCTCCGAAGGGACTTAGACGCGACTCGTCGCCTTGAATGGAATGTTCATGCTGTGTTTGTCGGAAATAAGTGAACCTCGGAGTGAAAGCCAAAGGTAAAATCCTCGTCTGAGGATTGGACTCAGCGGGCAAGATCCAATCCAATTCGACGAAGTCATCCATATCAATCCAACTGAAGTCGTGGTCCGGAATCTCAAACTGACTCATATCGATGTTCGGGGCCTTCTCCTGATACGCGCTGAGGAGGTCCGCTGTAGCCTTTTGCAGATCCTCGGCAGTGGTGCCAGCAATATTAGCCGAAAGCGCCCTCAGGTCTGCTCGTACGAATCGAGCTCAGCCTTGTTGATCTTCATGCCACTTGTGCGCATTTGTTTGCCTTTGGCTTTCGATAGTGTGTCAAAATATTCTCGCCTTTGGTGAAGATCTAGCATGAAGCTGTCCATACGGATTTTGAGACCTGTAGCGGAGACGACATCCTCCTGATAGTCTTCGGCGTCCTTGTGCTTGTAGACATGTGCAAGAAATAGAGGTGATAGCAGCAGGCCATACTTGATGGTTGCCAGATGACGGCCGAATTTCTTGCTCGACTTCTCAGGCCCGCGCCACAGGGGACCTTGGCGAATCGGCAAAGACATAACGCCATGGAATAATGACCACCAATTGAAGAAGTGAGAAAAGAATCGAGGTGTCAGATGGACACTATTGTAACTGTCAGAAGCGGGAATGGTATCCGAGGCCCATTCCCTATCAAACGGGGCAGCCACAGCGACCGAGAGATGTATGTGCTGGCTCCTGAAGCCCTCGAAAGCATCGTATTTTGCCAGATCTAGATTGTGTGCTTGCTTTGGATTTTTGAGAACAATGTCGTAATGGGGTCGGAAGTCAGAAGTTCGAGTGCCATCGTCCAGATCACGTTCATAGACCAGACCTGCCGTCCATTGGACATTGCCGGAGAGCTTCATGATCACTTTCTGGAAAATTGCTGCGTTTCTCGCTCCTCCTCCTGAACTCATGCTGTCGCTTTCACTCTCAGCCCTGGCTTCGACAGAGTGACGCGCCTCATGGCTGTAGTCAGGTATTGCCAAGACATACTCGCCGCTACGGACTGTCATGAACTTCCGAGGATCATCGCCCGAATGTACAAGCCACTGCACGTCGTTCCTCCAGCACATCACGAAACCGGCGCCATATCCAGTCACGACGTAGGGATCCCTAGAGCCTTTCAATCGTAGCTGGACGTCGCCGTCGCCTTTCCAGTTCACAGTAAGCCTAGAATGGAAGTTCAGTCGGATCTTGTCCCAGAATCCTACTCGATCCGAAGGATCAATTTCCGGCTTTGTAAAACTCTCGATGATCATCATCATGTCTTGGATGACGGGCTGATAGGACGTTCCCCACGAGATAGTGGTCGGTAAGCTTGTGTTGATATCAATGACAGGCTTCGAATATGTTTTCGTTGGCGACACTGTGCGACGCACATCGAGAGAGAATCCTGGCACTTCCGTTCCATCTTCGCTACGCTGACCTTTCGGAACGACGTCGACTTTTACATGTCGAATCGATTCCTCATCGCGAAATTCTTCTGCGATCACGAAATCCGAGCGGACTGACCAGCTCGCCAGCCGAGGTGGCTGCCCCGGCCGGATCGCAGGAATGTGCAGAAGATTTAGTGGGTAGTCTCGAAGCATCACTCTTGCTTCGCCCATGTCCAATGAAAGATGCATGGGGATCAAGAGAGAGTACTGCATGTCGTAAGGCATGCCCTTCCCCACTTCGTGCATGAAAGTGGGAAGATCTTGCAATGGGAACGATGGCTTGTCGACCACCAGATGGAGATCACTGATCACGAACATCAGGAGACCTGGTCGGAATGGTATGTCGAGTATCTGCTCGCGCTCGTCTTCATGATGAGGTGCGGCGTCGGCCCCAGTAAACATTTTTCGCACGTTCTTAACAGTGTTCTTCTGGGCGAGAATCATCCAGTCGATACGTCGCTTCCATGTCCTAGCATTGTGCTCCTGCAGTTTCTGCCATGCTTCGTCGGGCCCTACTTTACTGGTTCCGGTGACAGCACAAGTACCATCTCTGTCATACCTGATTCTGTTCTGGGATCGACCTCTACGCCCTCGGGAGGTGGATCGGGCTCTGGGTGCTCTGTCGTCAAAGGAGTCAGCGCTACGCCTTCGGTGCGGCGTAGAGGAAGCGCTGCCTTCTGATGTCCGGGGTCTGCTTCTAGAAGCAGCCCTATAGCGTGAGGTGCCGCGACCAAATTTCTCTTCATTGAGTTTTCTTAACTTCAGCTTGTAAGCAGCTTCTCGAGCGAGTCGCTGTTTCTGCTCCACGCGACCGATATGGTATATCATGCCAAGCTTCCATTCGAATGGATCGTCTTCCAGCTCGAACAAGAAGGCGCGGGCCCGGACCGAAACGCGAGGTACCTTTACCGGTGATTTTGGGTCTTTGTGGAGTATGTACTCGTTAGTGCGGGTCTTGAAGCGGTGCTGTAACTGCTCAATGGACTTGAAAGTGTTGACAAAGTTGTCAAACACTAGGTACATCCGCAGTGAGTGAGGACAGCACAGCCTGATGAAATCAGCTGCCACGTCGATCGAATGGTCCTCCACAAAGCCCTGACTGGTCTTCTTCTTTGAGTGGCGCAAATCGGCCCGTAAGTTGCTTAGAGTCACGATGCGTGCCCACGCCTTCTTGATGTAAGGTGACTCGGCATGCAAACGAACCAGATCTGATCTGAAGAAGGGTGCAGACCATCTGTGTCGACCAGAGGTCAGGTTATACGCTTGCAGCATCATTGGCGGATCATGAGGCATGTTCAGCTTCACCTGAACGTAGTTCACCTTGACATCGATAGTTGTGAGCTCAATCTGTCCACCAGAGGAGAATCGACTGTGAGGCGCATCCAGCTCACTAGCCTGCGTCGAAGGCGCTGCGTTCTGTTGGGCACCAGGAGACCCTACGAAAGCATCCTGCACAGCGGACGCGGCTATACCAATGGAGTAAAAGCGGTAAAGCGAAAATTCCAGCAGCACTGATCTGACCGCTGAGTGCAGATGGAAGATGGGACTCTGGAGATCCCGAGAGGTACTACAGGCAACTTCAAATCGCGGAATTGATAAGAATGCATCCGGCTCCCATCGATCCTGACTTTCAATGATGAAGCCTTCGAGTTGACGGCCATGGACTGTCAAACGTCGACCATCCGTCGGATCGCTTGAACGAGCTCCACGAGACGGTGAGGTCGGGGGCGAGAGATGATGTATGTTGGAGAAAGTCTCCTCTGCGCGGACCGATGTGCTCGCTTTCCTTTTGCTCACGGGGCTCTTTGCAGATTCCGCCTGTTGAGAGCGATAATCAATCGCCCACGACTCTAGTTCGAAAGCAATTCCACGGGTTTGTGTGGATATTGTTCTGTCAATGCCTGCGGTTTCCATGCTGCAATTCGAGCCTTCGAAATGGAATTCGAGGAGCCAAGATGGCAAACGTCTCAAGAAAGCGGAATGAGATCCTTTGGGTCGAGGGCCGAGTTTTGTTGGCTTGGTGGTGCGTCGGAAGTGCCGTACAATGTTGTAGATGCCTTTTATCACCTCCTCCCGGACCATCAAGATTGAGAAGTCCTTCAAGTTGGCCGAAACAGTAACGAGCACTTCAGTCGACGCAGAGATATTGACCTTGACTTCAAGGAGATCCGTCACCACGAGGTTATGCTTCTGACCGGACGCAGACTGATAGTACAGCTGGTGTGACACGAGTCTGTAGTTGGCTGCTAGCGAGTACAAGAGCTCCCCAGCGGCTGAATGCGAGGACTCCACATCGAGGGTCAGCGAAGATATGGCGGATATAATCATGTCGAAGTCGCCCTGATGCGCGTACTGAGGGTCAGCCACGGGGAGCACGAAACGGACAACAGGCTCGTGCACCGAGAACTTGATGCTTGCTTTTGGCAAGAGCTTGGACACAAGACGGTGCCGGTTCTGAACAGTAGTAGGACTTTCCGAAGACTGCGCAGGAAGCAGAGTGAGCAACCGAATGATGTGCTGAGGCACCAGATCAACAGATGGAGAAGTAACCACCAGATTGGCGAAGAGAATGTTCTGGTTTCGTTCCGAGATGTCTTGCTCTTGGGCTAATGTCATTGTCTTGGAGGGCAGAGTTGTCCGAATCGTTGTTGTCGCCATAGGTACGTACATGAGCTTGTGAGACTTGCTTTCGTCCTCGTCTATGGTCACCGATAATGATACAGCGGCAAGAAGTGCCTGGTGGGCGACGTCATCCCGCGCAAAATACATCCGATGAGCTGGAGTATTATTCTGCAATCGATGCAGGTCGATGCCCAATTCGTGAGTGACGAGATTTGCCATGAGGGGAAGGTTCGCCTGCCGCAGAGATTCGAGCTCTTTCGAAATACGAATGAAACTCAAGCCGACCTGGATTTCTTGGACTCCTCGCAAGATCGAACCAAAAAACTCCTTCGAATCTGCGACCGTCTGCACGATGGAAGCTTCGCGACTTCCAGGGTTATCTAGCTCGTGCACCACATCCTCAAGGGAGATCTCGTGGACCGGACTCGTAGGACTGGTAGGGCTCGCAGGGCTTGTTGAAGATCGTCTCAGGGCCGAGAAAGCTCTCGCTTCTTCTTTGGCTCGCGCGCGCAGACGCTGATTCCGACGTTGAAACTGTAGGATGTCATCGACGGGAATGTAGAGGCGTCCAGCCTTGAGAGCAATGGAAGTGTCCCGCAAGCCTTCCTTGTCATGGTAGATGAGACCATGAATGTTGATAGTCATGCCGTCCAAGACCTCGACTGGCTCATTTGCACCGACTCCCAGCAAAACACTCCGGAAAGTGAAGATCCATTCTGCAGGTCTCTGCTCACCCAAGGGGTCCTTCTTGTGCCGGAAGAGTCGAGTCCTGTCAAGAAGCTTGCGCCTAGTATGTACCGCTGCTGTGAAGCCTGTTACATGCACCTGGCCCGCTCCAACGACTTCGAACACCGTGTCGTCCGCGCGGATATCGACCATTCGCAGCCATTTGATTTCGCGGTGCAACCGCTTGATGCGCTCTTTGGTCTGCGTAAGCTTCTGCCATAGTTGTGACCTGTCCTTGTGCGTCTTCGATTTGGGTGTCTTCTTCTCTTGGGCCTGCGGAGTTCTCGGACGAAACGAGAGGAAGCCACCGGACTTGGATGAAGGACTGTCGACGGCTGATGGATCGAGCGAGATCTTCAGTTCGGTGAAGACCAGACTCAGCCAGGTTGGCTGCGCGAATGTTGGGCGGTGTAGACTCAATCCCAGACCGCGCAGGTCGACCCTGATGCCTTCCCGTGGCGAAAACGAGATATGTCGCAGACTAAAGTAGCCTATGCGTTGCACAGATATGCCTGTCGCGATCCTGATGACGGCAAGCAAGACAAACGACGACAGGTATGCGAGGAACAGGAAGCCAGCGACCTTTGTTCCATTGATCAAGGCCATTGCTGGCTGGCGGGTCTGTTCTCAACGCACGGCGGCGAGGAGGAGAGGGCGAGCCCACGGTGGGCTCATCTTTTGGGAGATGTCTGACCGTCGCACATGGCACTCGTTCATGTGCTCTGATCAGCTATGGTACGAGACTTGCGACCGTGTCTCGAGGCAGTCGGATTGGTCTCAGTTGTGAAATGCAATCACTCGACAAAGAGAATAGCGCTAGCTCGACACGTTAATCCGAGCGCGATCTAAGCAGAGCAAGGTTGTCGCATTCCAAGATGAGAACCAGCACACAGAGCTACCGTGAGATATCGAGGACCGCGAGGAAGGCACGAAGAAGTATCTTGCCACAGAGATGTGAGGAAGCTCTTTGCAACCAAAACTGATAACAACCTTGGAAGGATGCGGGCGGATCGCAGGCGCCGCACGGTCTGTGCATTCACAAGTTCAAGGTTGCGAATGACACCCGCAGTCAAAGTTTAGGTGGGGTCTGCAGGCGGAAAGCCGTAAACCAAGATCCGGAGCTCGATCGTATATTATTCCAACCAGTGATACTGTACTGTGCTTCCTTCTTATTGCTACGCTCTCACTCAGCATGCCCCAGGTTTGTAGTCATGCATGTTTTCCGCCGTTCTATCTCGTTGCCCTAATGTGTACACATGAACCCTGCCCCCCTAGGAAGTCTGTCGTCATAGTATGAGATCAAGATCAAGATCAAGATCATGCATCCACGGTTCTTCTGATGCAGTACAGCAGTATGGGGACCCGGCCCAGATCCTCGCTTACTCGCACACTCGCAGATCATCCGGTGGTCGACCGAAGGGGCTCTCGAATGCGAATTGCAGCAGATCTTGCACGTCTGGTCATCCATTGACCATTTTGACCATGTCTGCCTTTTCCGGCCGAGTCCTCCTCGCGAATTGCTGTCACTCTTGACTGTCCACTAACTCACGCCCACATGCTGCGGCAACAAGCCGATATGCGTCGGAGGCTGTCATGTCCAAGGGAGGTACGTCAATGGACAGGAGAGACTGTGTGCGGCAGATGTTATTCCATGTGTCGAATCTCGATCATGGGGTCAAGTCGTAAGCTGACTTTTTTGACTTTGCAATGAACCAATCTGCGACTCAAGCGACGAGATCTCGGCATCAATTTTCGCGATGCGTTCGTTGAGAATGCCTTCATATTCGTCATCTGGCATGGATCTCAAAGGTATGAAGCGGCTGTTCGCCATGCGTTCCAAAAACGGCGTCCTGTCTGGCGTCCGGCTATACCTGTTATACAGCGTATCGTAGCCTAACTGGGAGACTGCACTGATGGTGCCTATCAAAGCAGCTGTTCTGAAGCGGGTCGATTGTTCTAATCTTAGTTTTAGCATCTGCGTCACGGCCGACGAGCTTCACTTACGCCAAGTGCTGGCCAGGAGACCAGAGAGAGCACCAGCCGTTCCACTTGCCAGAGTCCGAACAGAGCGTTTGTCCCTGTACTCGGGTGGGCAGGCAGCTAGCAGACAGCTCCGCGCCACTGTTCATCGATAAGTCCATGGGCAATGCAGCCAGTTCGTGACTATGACGGTTACATACATATAATGCTGGCCCCGTAGTATGCACTCTGAACTGTTACCGCCCCCGTGAAAGCCACAGGCCGAGGAGAATTGAGTAGTCCATAAGCACTGCCTCCGACAAGACCAATAGCACCTAGTTCACAGTCATTGGCAATAAGAACATATGATGGGATTTCCACACTTACCAGTCCCAAGCCCGGTGGCAATGGCAGGTAGGAGGAAGGAGCGAGCGTATAGGTCGAGCTTCGTTGCCTCCATTGCTTTGTCGGTGGCCGTCACTGCCATCTCAGACGCATTCACCTCTTCTTGGCAGTAGAGACTGCGTGATCATCACGACATCACATCAGAATGTATCTAGTTTGGTGTGGTGAAGGCAGCAAAGAGATGAAAAGGCGATCAGAGGCCGCCGGGACTCGGACTATGTGAAGTCTCAAACGGGTTAGGGCAAGAAATCTACGACCCGAATTGCCTTGTGCGTGCGCCCATCACTTGTCGATTTTCTGCCACTACTTCAGACTCGCCTGTGAGTCTAATCTGCCAATCGTCTCACCTTTACCTTGTCCAAGTCGGTCGCTCAGCCGACCGTTGGAACTATCTTAGCTCTTTCTCGCGATCGAATGAAGCCTTCTACTCGCGGGCGTGGGTAGGCGGCTGAACGAGAAAATCGTCGCAATCATGGGTAAGCCTGGCCATCGACCCTCGCCGACCGCATCGTGCGCCAACGAAGAGCAAAGCTAATTTGATGTGCAGCGCCGAAGAACAAAGGCCAGAAGTTGAAACTAGGTGAATTCCTCGAGAACCAGGGTACGATAGCCAAATAATTCATCGGGTGCACGGCCGGACTGACGGGAACAGATTATGGCTCGTGGGCAGATGAGATGGAGGACATGCCTCTGCCATGTAGGTCTTTCCAGCCAAGCTACGTGTGTCTGTACTAAGGTCAAAGCAGCCGCAGACTCACGTCCATCCTATACCACCGAACGACGCGGCTTCAGCTCCACGACGGGTGGCTTTGGCAGCAGTACTGGCGGCGGCTTCGAACGCAGCTTCTCAGGCATGTCTATGGTCAACGCTCGTCCGCCAAATTTCACACTGACTTCCTCAGAACGCCGAACAGACGGTTACTCCGTGCGCGAGCAACTTCCCCTTCCGAGCGCGCCTCCCTTCACTGCTCACCTCGCCAATCTATCGTTCGAGGCGAACGAAGACAATGTCAAGAACTTCTTCCAGGATTGCGAGGTCAAAGAGGTGCGCATCGTCCGCGACAAGATGGACGACAAACCTAAGGGGTTTGGATACGTCACGTTCGAAACCCTGGATGGCCTCAAGACTGCTTTGTCGCTCAGTGGTGGCAACATTGACGGCAGAAATGTCCGTGTCAGTGTAGCGGAACCTCGTAAGCCTCTGATTCCTCTCCGTTGACAGAAGGCTGACACTTCGAAGCCAAACAAGGTCTTGACCCTGCAAGGGATCTCAGCGACTGGTCTCGGAAAGGGCCTCTGCCCGATCTACCTAACAACCAACGCCGAGTCTCTGACAGGCCAGCTTTTAATCGTTTCGATGACAACAGATCGGATGCTGGCAGCGATCGTGGTAGCCGACGTGGTTTCGAACCCGCTGGTGACGGGAAAGTCCGCGACTTCTCGAATTGGGAGCGCAGAGGACCCCTCCCTGGTCCACCCCAAGGCACATCTTTGCGTGACGGAGGCAGACAACCGAGCAAGAATGGCCCCGACTTTCGCCATGGATCACCGTCATGGGGCGAGGGACGCTCACAGGATGGCTCTAGGCTCCAAGGCGTGAGTTCGACAAGCCCGTCATCGAAAGGCAGCCCACAGCCCCCGAGTTGGACAACGAGTGGAGATCTAAGATGAGACCGGATCCTCCAGCCAAATCTCCTACACCCGAAACTAGCGCGCCCCCTCCCCCGACCAGGCGTTGGTCCAGGCGGCCGGCCGCGACTCAATCTACAGAAGCGGACAGTGTCTGAGGCGGACCCCGCAGCGAGCCCATCTGCTGGCACAGATTCCAAGGCCAGTCCCTTCGGAGCCGCTAGACCTGTGGACACCGCAACGAAGGAGCGAGCAATTGAAGAGAAGCGCCAAGTGGCTATTCGAGAGCGTAAGGAAGCTGAGGATAAACTCAAGGCAGAGAAAGCAGAGGAGAAGAGGCTGGCGAAGGAGAAGACTGATGCTGAAAAGCCGGAATCTCCAAAGCTCACGAAAACAGCCTCGAAAGGTGAGCTTGAAGAAGAAGAGAAGCACGAGAAGCCAGCTGGCCCAAAGTTTGATATTCTTCGCAGAGAATCTACCAACGACATGATTGCCGAGGATGAACAGGAAGAAGCCGTCGGACCAGAGGTTGACAGAGAGGTCAAGCCGAAGGAAATTGTCGTTCCAGCCAGCCAGGCCAACGGCGGGTCATGGAGAAAGGCTGGTCCAAAGTCTCCCGCTCCTGAAACACCAACCACAGCAGAAAATCTAGAGGAGGACGGCTGGAGCACCGTCTCGAAGCCGAACAAACAGCGCAACAATCGCCGTGGGGCTCCGCGAGCAATCGCTTCATGAACAATCACGCGACCTCACGACTCTCGTGGAGACCTGATCGAGCTTCGATTGTACAGTAGGAAGAACGAGACAGTGGCGATGTTGCGCAGCAAGACAGCCAATTCATCTCCAGTCGAGTTGGTCGTCAAACTCAGCTCCCTTTCGATCTGAGCCAGTCAGGGCGCGAGCAAAAGCAGAATTTATTTTGAAGGCGTCGGGTGTGCCTCACTGATGAAGGACGAAATATGGCTGGTAGATCACGTCCGAGATCGATTATTCGTGCGCAGCTTTTCTATTTTGCTGTATCTCGATTCGCTCTCAAAACATCAATAGACTGGCTGAGATAATTTTTCAAGTTTGCACGTGTACTTTACGTTCGTTTTGTGTGTTCCTGCTGAGGTAGGTCGGTGAACCACTGGCGTCAGTCTGCGCTGCCAGTGCGTGCTGATCGATCCTGCCAAAACTATGGTTGTGCTCTTGCTCCTGCTCTGTTCGTCGCGGCTGCCATGGCTCCTGCTCAACTCCCACTTAGCTCCTTCCGTGGCTTCAAGTTCTCGTGATCTTCTTTCGCTCTGCTCAACACCACACACTCACCGTACTGCATCCTCCGTAAAGAGATCTATCCTTCTTCCGTCCTGCATGCGAGACGTACTTATCTTCCTTCGCCCTCCTATAATCACACGATCGCGCGACTCCTTCCTGCCATTGGGTCCTACGATCGCGGGTGATCCAGCTCCTGCTTCCTGCCATCGAAAGCATGTAATATCATACTCATGCTGCAAGGCACATGTAGAACGTGAAGCAGAGCTATAGCCTGGAGTGATCCTGGGCCCTCGCCCGAAGTCCGACCTAGACACCGGTTCCAAACCTCGCAGCACCTACCTGACCCGACATAAGCCTCTGCTCCCAGTACGAGTTGTCCGTTGCACGCACCCGAGGAGGTCTCTGTGTCCCTGACGCTTTGACTGAGGGGAGGCCGCGATACATATCTAAATATGATACCTCCTCTCGTGGTCATAAGCCGTCTGTTGATGCAGCCTGTATGAGTGTCTGTTCAGACATGTGTCCGCACACAGCCGCTGTGTGAGCCGAGTAGAGGTCGAAAAGAGCATGCTTGACATGTCGCTAGTTGTACGGTCTCGAGTAGTAGGTTCGGTGGAAGTCAGGCCGAAGGCAAGACAGAGTCATCCCCAGGTTGCCTTCACCTTGTCCAAATGTCATGCCAAGACTTTTCTGGGTTGTCTCGATGTTTGTGACTCTGCGCCCCACATCACCTTGCCTCGAATTTACACACAAATTGAGCACAAGAATTGAGCATCGAGCGAGCAGACCACAAGCACGACTTTTTCGAGTATCGCAATGACGCCTGTTGAGTTAAAGTCATGGAGAAGAGCTTGGACGACCTGATCGAGTTCTTGCTTGAAGAGTTAGCGCTTTGTTCTCTGGGTAAGAATTCCTGCACTGATCATCGCGAGCGACACCTGTGCATATTGCAAAAAGTCCCCACCGAGAAGGCGCCGTTCGACCCCAGCCGTATGGTTCATCGGTCTTCCTGTATGCCATTCGCGCAGCACACTGAACGTCCTTCCTGCTATTCATGGGCCATTTTGCTATTCTCATCGTCGACGATTCGTGCTGATCACGTGAGTCATAGGTGCGAGTGTCTCGGACCTCATCGACGCCATCGATTCATTCTACGCCAAAACCAGGCACGAAGATGTATCACCCCAGGTCATTGACGACAATTTCGTCTGTAGTGTCTATGAGTGGTTGTCATCTCACCGAGACATCACAATCGGTCAAGCAAATCAACAGACCGGCGTTTCGCTACACAGCTTGATTGCAACGGGCGTCCCCCTCAAGGAGCAATCTGCTCGACTGCCACGCATATTTGTCAACGATGACAGAGTCTATTGGGCAATCTGCGGCCATGAACCAGATGAGAAGCGGGTGTCCCGGTCCGAATATAGCCTGTTACTACATATCGCAGCAGCTCGGTCGGACGGCATTCTGCAAGGTGAGCTCTCTCGAGTGGCAGGCCAGGACAAGCGCTCCGTGTCGCAGTGGACAGACTCACTATGTGCAAAAGGCTATATCATCAAAGAGACAGAGATGCTGCAAGGTCATCCGACATGTCGCCTAACGCTACGTCGGTTCGCATCGCCGACACAAATAGCCGCAGCGTCGCAGCGAGATCTAACCCCTGATGCGCACTTTGAAGATCTTACTGTCCAAAGTGTTGTTGAGAGAGTCATTGCCGTATTTGCGACAGAAAAGCTTGTCGATGCTGGCGAGCTTGCTACCACTGTGGGCACACCGGGCGAGGATGGCCAGAAAGCATTGATGAGGATACTCCGAACTTTTGTACGATCAGGGTACCTGAAGAAGGTCAAAGCTGCGCTTGGGGTCTTCGCTCATACCGGAGAACCGAGAACCTGTTATCAACGCTTACGGGATTTCGAAGAGAATGACCTGAGTGGCTTTGCCGACAGCCCGACGCCACTTGAAAAGACGATCGCCGAGATTTCGGATAAGCAGGAGGCGCGATACCCTCCAGATATAGAGGAGACCAACGAACACAACGCCGCACAATGGAACCAAACGGACGAGGCTTCACGGCAACGTCCTGGATCACACAACGCATCAACAATGGACGAATTCGGATTTCCCCTCCTTGACAGCAACGAGTTGCTGCATGACGGTGGTGCCTCGCTGTCTGTCAGTGCTCAGACCGCCAGAGCAGAGGATCTTGGCACTGCTGAGGAGTCAGTTGACGAGCCTCAACCTAAGCGCCAGAAGCGGAGACACAACACCGATGATGACCCTGCTTTCAAGCCACGAAAAGAGCCCTCGCGTAAGACGCAGCGCACATACAAGCGTCCCGAGACAACCGTCATTGGCCGACCAAGGAAGTTTCTACAAGGTACAGAGAAATTTTGGCAGCATCACTTCTGGCATGCACGACTGGAGGCGGAAGGAGGCTTCGCTCCTGAAGCTGGACGGCGTGGCGGAACCGCAAGTCATCCAGCTGGCACTGCACTATTCCAAAGCCGGCCGGATCGCTTCGACGAAGTGCTCCTCCTAGCTAAGCAAGCTGGTCTACCTCTACCACGAGAGAGCAACGACATCTCTGAAGGTTGGGTACGTAGGACACGGGAGGTATTGGAACGGAAACAATCCGGCGCCTATGTCACACCTGTTGGCATGCATCTGTCTCGCGTTCTACACAAGGCGCAGGTCATGGTGGTGAAATCGAGGAAGCTTGGTACTCTAGACCTCAGTGACCAGCCACAGAAGGTCTACGCATACCGCTTCTTGGCTTCGAGCGCTGCGCACAGCTATCAGAACTGGCGGAGGTTCCCTGCCACTCACGCAGCGACAGAGAAAGACAAGCGACCTATGCCGCGCAAGCTTGATATCGAATATCCTCCCGACATCCTTGCAGCTCTGAAGTCTCAAGAAGCCAGTACTTTAGACCTTGGCGACCGACCACCCAAAGTCTATGCATATCGTTTCCTAACTTCCAGCGCTGCGCACAGCTATCAGAATTGGCAGTGGTCCGCCGCCGCTCACAAACCGCCAAAGAAAGGCAAGCGACCCGTGCAGCGCAAGCTCGACGTCGAATATCCACCCGACCTGCTTGCAGCCTTCGGCAAGGTGCCGAGAGCCGGAGTCTTCTTTGAGCTCGTGAAGGAGCCATCTACCCCTCGAACGACAGAGCCTGTGCGTCCGACTATTAGTAAGGAGCAGTACGACATGCTCATGGACGAAACAGAAGTAGACAGTGATGTTGAGCAGCGTCTGAAAAAGAAGCCCGTGAAGGCCAAACGTGTGAAGTCCACGCCTGGTGCAAAAGCCCGTGCCAAGTGGCAATCGGCAACTGTCACGGCGCTAGTTACTCCCGTGAAGGCTGTGAGTAGGGAGCAGCCTGCGCAAAAAGTAGGCACCGGAAAGGATGCAGAACACGTGCCATTCGATGTCAACGACGATGATGAATGGAGGTCCGATCGATTGCCTAATACTGTCTCGCCATCGCAGCCACATTCGCAAGCCAGCAATGCCGTCGAACAGCAATCCCACGTTCGAAATCCTCGTGCGTCACAATCGCATCGATTTGTCGAGCAAGTCATCCATAGGTCGTCCTTGCTTGAGTCTCGAAGGCCATCAAGCGCAGGCGCCCGACACAAAAAGCGGCGGAGTCGATGGAAGCTAGCAAAAGTTCGTCCACTGGATCTCCAGCAGTCAGCATCGATGGATCACCTCACGAAGTCGGAGAAGCCAACGATCGACAGGAACATGTCCCAGGCGATCAGCGTACTTTGGCTCCCGTGACAGTGATCGAGACCGAGCAGAGTGGCAAAGACCTGGAAGTCGACGAACCCCATGAACGCCTCTTCGCAATTGGGACACCAGCCGAGCGCACTCGGAATGCCAACGACGAGTCAACCTCAGCAGGCGGAGGGAATGATGGCCACGACGGACAGTCTGCAGAGTTTGCTGCAGCTCCTGAGACGCATTCGACGTCCCTTCTGAGACCCCTGGCCCCTCGCACCGGTCCTTATCAGCCTCCCACGACCCCTCCTCTGATCCTGACACCTCCTGCTAGTGATACAGCACTCGAGCACAAGCGTGATTCGTCGCATTCGCACGACTCAGAAGCAAGTTCAGAAGGGCCGCCAAAGAAATTCCGGAAGCCAGGCACACGCTCGCAGATTGACGATGTCAAGGAAATTATCATAGAGCTTCTAAGGTTGAACGATTCAGTGGGACCGGGCTGTCATGTCACCATCAGACGTTCATCTGGTGCAATGTGGATGCAGCGTGGATTCGCAGGTCTACCAAATCTAACCACGGCGAAGCGTGCTATGGATCGACTAGTGGGAGCTGGAGAGGTCAAAAAGCACACCTTCTCGTACCGTGATCAAAGTGGTGCCACATTGACCAAACATGTTCTTTACCTTCCGACTGTACCGCTGGCTGATACCCGGATCGAAGGCCTCAAAGCAGCAATGTCTCAAGTAGGTAAACAATACTACTTCCCAGATGTATGGACCGATTTCGAAGAGAGGTCAACGAATAAGATTATTCGTGGCTCTGATGATATCTTCGGCACAGATGATGATGTAGAGGATCAACCAGATCCTCCCAATGCGGCGCCGAGAAAGCGACGTCGGCGCACAAGCTCTTCGCGAAGCCGAGGTGGATGGGACGAAGATGCCTCTGATTCCGGAGATTCGATCGTGAGATCCCGGCGTCCTGTCTTGAAGAAGTTGAAAGCCGGTCCAGCCACATCATACGTGACTCTGAAGCTCAGGGGTCCTGCGCAGTCATCGAACCACACAGGCATACCAACAAGCCGAGAGTCCAGCGTCGGTTCATCTTCAGCGAGTGTGGACAGCACTGTACACCCAAACAACTCTTTCCTTACGCTAAAGGTCGGTCCACGACTCGCGAGTCTGCCACAAGTACAGGAATACAATGCAAAGCTCGAGCTTCCGGATCACCTGAGGTCGCCTGTTAGGCCTATCGCGATTCCTGAAAGCCCCAAGCGGCGCCGTGCTCCGAGGCGGAAGACCGAAGATCTCAGGAAGGATGTCTTCAGGAAGGTGGACTTACCGGACTCTTTGTCCGAGTTATTGCGTGAGCAGGGCGACGCCCAAATAACATCAGAACATGACCCGCCGCTGGATCAAACAGCAGCATTCTTCCGGACTGTTGGCCTGGTGGCAAAATGGGAAAATAGGCTGGCCGACAAGCTGACCACAAGCAAAGTGCCATGGTGTTTCATTAACCATACCTGTACCATTGAAGACAGTCCTTCGAGTCCTCCGGCCTCATGGATCCTGCTGCGGCCAACCTCTGATGAGAAGCTTGCGGAGCAACCAACATTGATCTTCGACTCATGGCCCCCTTTCGCTCAACAAAGACTGCGACTCGGTCTCTCATTGGGCTTGGACTCTTCAGAAGCCGCAATTCTGGAGACTGACGGCCGTGTAACTCGTCAAGCGACCGGCTCACTCAAGAGGAAGCGTACATTCGACTTCTACGAGCATGATATTGCGCCGCTGAGTAAAAAGAGATCCCGGAAAGACGTGGATGCGGATCCGGATGCGGATGTGGACGTCGACTTCGAGTCCGAGCCAGAAGCACCGCGCGAGAAGCGCCCATACAATCGCAAGCCACGAACGGCCGATGAGATTGAGGCGCAGTATGCTACGCTTCTATCCAAAACATCGACCCAAGACATTGATCGCATCGGTGCATCTGTCACACTGGTCAGCGTCCTCGCAGGTGGCAGGCAGCAGACCATCGAATGGAAACTAGTCGATCGGCTCAACCCTGGTTCACAGCTCTCATGGATCAAGCCGCGCTGGACAGCCATTCAGCACCTTCACGCCGACGGCTTGTCGACGCTTGCCACCAATCTGCGTTCCAGGTACCTCGAGGCTGTCGAGGATGGAAGCGCTCCATTGATTGACCCATCAAACCTTGCTGAGAGTGATTGGGAGGATTTGTTTGAGTGGATGCAGTCGACACTGTCCAGTTTCGTCATAGAGAATGCTCTACCGTCAACCAAGGCCGGCTTGGAGGAAGAGTATGGGCTGACTTTCGATGAGCCAGCGCCCATGAGTACAGCGACAGTGCCTAGCCACAGTCTGCGCAACTACGAGCGCGAAGAGCTTGTCAGTGGCGTCTCGTTTAGCACACAGAAGCAACAGTCCCAGCCCACCGTCGACATAGTAGCTCAGGCCCGCTCAATGCTCCTCTCCTCACTCGTGGCAGCGGCAAAGTCCAACAGTGCTGAATTGCGCTCAAACGTAATAACAACGCTGTCATCCCTCTCAGCCGATGAGAACGCCCGCGAACAAGCCGTGGCTTCAGCACTGGTTCAGCTCCAAGCCGACCGCCTTGTGGGCAAAGCCGACAGCACTGTCAAACGCAGTCCGACCCTCATCGAGAAGCGAGAGTTCACATACATTTTGACCACCAGATTCTCGGAGCAACTGGGTCAGAAACGCGCCTATGTCAATCTCGACCTCCTCAACGACGCAACGGCATACAAACTCGACGTTCTGGATTCAGCCTTCCTTGACCATAATGGGCAAGGCTCCCCCACTGCGCCCACTCCACCCCCAACATTGAACATCCCAAATCAAGCAAACACCTCCAACGGCCAAATGCTTGCCCTCCTCAACCTTGCACACGCGGGCATGCTTTCCATACGCCCCGGAAAGGCTCTATGAAGTCACGCTATGGCGTTAGTTGGGAGAAAGTCGGCTATCAGACGCGACAGATTGATCAGGCGGATTTGGGCTTCGATGTGGAGATCGTGCCGACAGCTACATACCAGCATGGCTTTCCGACCAGCATCTCTGCCGTACAGGAGCTGTCAGAGTCGGGCGACCTCCAGCCGCCGATCGAGGGCAGCAGCGAGACTCACTGGCCCGTATGGCGCGACATGCTCACGGGCGGGCTGGACCGCAATCTGTGGGACAAGGTGCTTTCAGCGGTTGTAGGCATCGTGCACCTCCGACCCGGGGCACCGAGCACGGAGATTCAAAGTCTGCTCGGCGGCTTTCTGACCGACTGGGAGGTCGATTTGGTGTTGGGATGGGCTTTGAAGTGTGGCTTCGTGAGGAAAACAGTTGCAGTCAATGGTGAGGATTGGACTGGGCGAAGACAGGACGGATGGCAAACGGAGATGTTTTGGTGGTGGTGCTGCTTTCGCCGGGACATGTGATGACTTTTGCGGCTGGCAGCTTTGCATGATGGTATGGGAGACTCAGACCCAAGTAGCGGTTGTGTGTAAATTAGTTAATTCCCCTGGTAACGGATGTACAGAAGCATCTGCTACAGCAGGACTAATCCAATGATGTCCCTCCAGTCATCGTAACATGATTTTCGGGAATTCTCCGATGGCGCTGATGGAAGTCTACGGCTCTAGCAGCAAGATATCTTTGGAACGAAACCTTTTGGAAAGCCTCTCCCATCATCGACGTCCATGGGACCTTGGCGCGCCAAGACTGGTTTCACCTGGACAGTCATCCTCTCAACACCTCAAGTCGATGTGCGTACTATCAACCTAGGTGCGAGCATCCTCGGGATTGCAGCACGGGACCGTGATTCTCTCTCTCTGTTGCAGCTTCTCGGTCCTCTCACATTCGGCTTTGGACGAAATGGTCCTTTCGCCCCCTGATCGCGCCTCAACTCCAGCACCGCAGCATGCCTTATCCTTCACCGCGATGTGGGGAGCCTCTGCTGATACTCGCGGCCTAGCTGGACAGCGTCTTGCCCACACACTTTGTACATGTTGCGGAGATATCCATGTCCTTATCTCTCCAGGTTTTCACTTACCAAAGTTTGGAGAGCGCTCCTTCCTCATCCAGAGTGTCGGGGCGGGATTGCCTACAATTGCCAAGCCGCTGCCCAGGCGATAACGACCAACGTGCAGCTTTGATGTCGGTCCAATGTTGGCCAAGCCCATCCCAGCCTCTCTCGAGCCGCACCAAATGATCATTCAGGTACTCATACATTATGCTAAGCCGATTTTTGCACTGTAAACTCCAAACTCGGTCGGAGAAGTTCCCTGACGAAAGAACTCTGCCACGTGGGATGATGAGTTGGTATAAAAGGAAGGTCTTTGCACAGGTAAGCCATCCCAAGTCCGAGCAGAGGTGACTTGTTGGAGGGCAACATGGCTTTCTACAGATTGCTGTTCAGTGTCGCGGCCGTCGTCTCTGGAGTCCACGCCTTACCTGTTGCTCGCAACGATGAGGTCCAACGTCTATCCTCGGTTGGCTATGGGGACATGGTCTTCGATCTGGGCGGGACGCCATATCTTGCAGTCACTACAATTCCTTCTGCACAGACGACGGGATGGACTGGGTCGGGACACGTTCCTATGGCTGTTATCAAGACCGACTCGTGCTCGCCTACTGCGGAGGAACTTACGGCACTGGTTACCCAGTACCTGAGCTCGGATGATGTCTTGTCGGAGTCTTTCCTGCAGGCCATCTACGTTGCGACCACATGCTCTTCTGGCGCGACATTAGAGAGCTCGGCCGTCTCTGGTCTCATGTCGATGGGTTGCAGCACGATTCTGGCAAGTCCTAGCTTCGCTGCTTCCGGTGCGATGAGTGTCGAAGGTCTCGACCAGCTTGAGCCAGGTCCTTATGTGGCGAGCCTTACTGCAAGTGGCGCGGGACTGTCAATGGTCTACCGACTGTACGAGGACAGATACCGGACATTCATTTTTGGAGCATACCCAAGTCCAAATGATGAGAGCACATACATGCCTTTCCCTGTCAACGTGGCCAAATATCAGGATCCTCTGATTCCGGTACCGTCCAAGATCTACAGCTGGTCCGATCCTCGACCTTTTGCCGGACTTCGTGTCTCTATAAAGGATCTGTACGACATCAAAGGCTTGCAGAGCGCGGGCGGCAGCCGCGCATGGGCTTCTATCACGCCAGTCGCAAACGCAAGTGCAGTGGCCATCCAACGTATCATTGATCTTGGGGGTCATCTCGTGGGCAAGCAGAAGACCGCACAATTTGCCTCCGGCGCAGACCCCTGGGACTGGTATGATGTCCAATACCCTTTCAACCCTAGAGGCGACGAGTGGCTCACTTGCTCTGCTTCGTCGTCCGGCGGAGGCTGCTCGATAGCCGCTTACGATTGGCTGGATCATGCCATTGGAAGTGACACTGGCTCCAGTGTGCGCAGGCCAGCAGCAGTATCAGGCACGTACGGCAACAGACCCAGCAGGGTATGATCTCACTGCAAGGGGTACAACCCCTAGGCGCAGCACAAGACACAGCCGGTGTCTTCGCCAGAGATCCCCACGCATTCGCATACTTCGCAAAGCACTGGTACACCCCCTCCCTTCACCAAGACTCCTCGATCAATGGTCTCGAAGCACTCAACGTGCCCAGCGAATCACCACTCCCACGCACCCTCATCTACACACCCGAATATCTCCCCACTCGCAATCCAGCCGCCGACACCCTCGTTCAGTCCTTCATCACAAATTTAACCACGCTCGTCGGTCTCACAAAACAAACCGTCAACCTCACCGCTACGATCCTGGACTCCGATATTCAAGCCGTGAGGAACACTTCCTACCGCAACAACGCCTCCAGCCTCCTAAATCAATACACCCAGTGGACCGAAGTCGGCCGACCACTTGTCGACTTCTGGGCCGAGAACTACGATGGCCGCTTCCCTCCCATCGACCCGGCGCGTCGCCCAGGCTGGATCGCCCGAACCCAGGACAACACCACCTCCGAGATGTACACGCAAGCGCTCGCCATCAAGCGCTCCTTCAGCGAGTAGATGAACAATGACATCCTGGGGCTTGGCTATAGCTCCGCCTCCCCTGCCAACACCACGACGGCAGAGAAGTGCGCCAATTCTGGCCTCTGGCTGTACGACATTGGCACGGGCGGCTTACCGTCTTACAGAGAAGAAGATCTCATCGTCGGCAACTTGGCTACTGGGGCAGCGACGTACCTGAACTATACTCCCCCCTACACAATAACGTCTGGGGTGAATTTCTGCAGCTTTGCGGGCTGTGCGGACTTTACGGTGCCGATCGGGCAGGTTGAGTATTTCAGTAACGTTACGCAGGTAATGGAGATGGTGCCCGTGACGTTGAGTTTGGTTATGCGTAGGGGTTGTGATTGGAGTTTGTTCGCGCTCATCGAAGCCCTGGCGGAGAAGGGAGGGTTGAGAGCTGTCAAGACCGGGCGGGAGGCTTTCTGATGTCCGACGCCCACGATCACCGAGATAATCGTTGACGGACGACGGGCAGTCCCGAGTCCCGACGACTTCGCCCATAGCTGCTCAGCGCATCAGAAAAGTATGGACTCGTCGCAGCTTGCCCAGGTCTTTCTCGCCTTGACGCTCAGCATAAGAGCGTACGGCCGAGGAGCCTGAAAAATCGCTGCAGGAGTAAAGACATGGCGGACGTATTGCACTCCCAGAGGGTGCTAGATAATGGCTGCGGCCGCGATGGTCCTCGACGGGAGGCCAATCTGGGCCCGTGATTACCGCTGGCCCCCTGCTACAGTAGCAACGCCCACGACATTATACGATGACGTCACATAAGCAGTCAGCGGGAACAAGGTCTGAAACCTGGTCCCAAGACATTTCTCGGCGGCGTCAATCTTCAATCTGCTTGCCACGATTGACCCAATGTCCACGCAATCACAGAAAGTACTGCATGACTTCTAGCAGTCGCCTTCGAGCCCGGTTATTGATGGGCACCTGTACATTTGTACAGTGGTTGCTGCAGTGCCTTGATGGCATAGGTTCACATGTCTCATGACAGATTTGACCCCAACCACAGGTACGGCTTCGTCTTCAACGATATCCGCCCCAACGGGACAGCACGGAGACCAGGTTAGTGCCTCGTGTGCTCGGAAAACAAGACCTGCTTCAACGGCCTTCCAGCTTCTGCTTTACACGAATTCATGCCATCAACCTGTCGCCCACGCTGCCGGCCACGCTGCCGGCTTCCAAGATTGGGTTTAGCAAAATTTGCCTTGTTGACGAGCCGACGACTCCAAGCCTCTTAGCCCTTCTGGTCGACGCGTATCCTCGCTTGTTTGCCTTGCGCGTGCCACGAAGCCACGAGGATAGTGTGACGTAGGACGAAAATCATGGTAATCTGCCCGCTGTGCCCTGCCGCAGCGAAGCAAACAGATGTTCTGGGACCAGTCACTAGTGTGCTAAACAGCCGAGACAGCAAGATGCGCAACACAGCCTGGGCATTTACCCACGGTTTGTACACAGACGTCAACAGAGCACCAGGTTGTGGCCCAGATACAAAACCTGCTTCGTTCTTTGGTCCTGGGGATGATCTGGTTTCTCTTCTCTTCATCTGTACATTGATATCTCCTCCTACGCTCCGACCGCAATCGAAGACCCCTCGGTCGACCCTTATCCATTTACCTCTATCACACACGACGGCCCCCCTCTGAACCACAGCCACCTAAGCAGCGATGCCTGTCATTTCCCGCCTCGTGTCCATCCCCCTCCGCATCGGGGAGCTCGCCTTCGCCGGAGTGGTTGCTGGTATCATCGGCCACTTCCTGGATCATCACTCATGGTCTGACAACTGGCCCAAAGCTCGCCTGATCTACACACTGGTCATCGCTGCCCTCTCCATGCTCTTCGGCTTGTTCTGGCTGATCCCATTCTCTGGCGGCTTCTTTACTTGGGGAGTCGACATCTTCCTCAGTCTAGCATGGTTTGCGGCATTCGCACTGATGTATCTGTTCACGAGGGACACCTGTAACTCGAGAGCCTTCGACTGGAATGGGATCACAAGCGGAGGTACATGCAATCGCTGGCGCGCGGTTCAGGCGTTTGCTTTCCTCTCAGCTGTCTTCTGGCTGGTGAGCGCCGTTGTTGGGATCTGGTTTACGCACCGCGAACGGAAGGGCAGACTCGATCACTACGAGACCAAGTGAGTCCCCTGACTTGGCCTTCACATGCTTGATTGTGTACTGATGATGAGCAGGCCCCGTCGTCGCGGTCTCTTTGGGCGATCCCGTGTGTAAGCGATCGAAGTTATTCTCAAGCAGCTGATCGCCTCGAAGTCCACCCTGAACCACAATGATTATGTCCGGCGTACTTTCTGGGTCGAGTCGATGAACACCGTGCAGCTAGCGGAGCCGCAGACAACAGGCGACAACCACTCTCGAAGGACTTATGACGGCGTTGATGGATTCTCTATCAGGGTGAAGCAGGCTTGAATACTGCCCACATCAATAATGACGCTACATGCGAAGTCGTAATACAATTATGTTCAGGATTGCAACTGCTACACTGGGCTTTTGGCCTACTGTAGCTTGCCAGCCTCCTGCTGACGGACGAAATGCTACTGACCGACGATGTACAAACAAAGAGGCTAGTCGCTAGGATACCTATATCACCCACCCAATTATGAGAAGTCGCGCTGAATTACATGATCGTCTGAGATTCCAGTTCCTGCCCGCTGTGCGTTGCGAGAGCAGCTGCTTCCTCTCTTGCTGGCTTGGCGAGACCTTCCTGCAGCCCAGTGGTTTCTCGTGCCCGGAAGACTGCCAGAGCGTCTGCTCCTTCCATTGCACCTCATTTCCCACCACTCTTGCCACACTTGCCCAACATTTGCTCAAAAGCCTCACTGATCTCGCCCCTCTTATCCGACCAGAGTCCCTCCCCGCTCTTTCCGTCCAAGCCCATATCCCGCCCTTGACTCGCAATCACAGTACCCTGTCGCCCAGCAAAAGCTAGCTCGACACCCTTCTCAACAACATCCATCCTCACGCCGCCTAGAACCTCTCTCAATTGCGCATTCGACTTCCCTCCTCCGTGACCTCCGTATGAGACCACCATTGCGGGCTTGCCCTTCCACTCGTTGTACAGATAGTCGATCGCGTTCTTTAGAACAGCTGGATAGCCCCAGTTGTACTGTGGGGTGACGAAGACAAAGGCATCGAAGGAAGAGATCACGGCGCACCAGGCGCGGGTATGTTCGTGAACGTACTTTGCTGGGTCGTCGATTTGAGAAGGGACGGCAGGCTCATCGTGGAAGGGGAGAGGGTGGTCCAGCAGATCGAGGGTGTGTAGCTCGTATGGCTTGGCAGCAGTCGATGGGCTAAGCGTCGATATGGTGTCGAGGGTGAACTTGGCGATTTGTGGACAAGCTCGTGGCTTTCGGGTTGTGCTGACGATTACAGCGATGCGGATAGGTGAGGCGATCGAATTTCCCGTTGTTGCAGCTGCCATCTTAGTTGTGGTGAAAATGTGCGGTGTTTGCGTGAAGGTTACTACCAAGTCGATGATTCAAGCTTGGAACAGTTTCGGTGGATATACGCGTCTTCGTCGATATTTTGTTTCGGTCTTGGTGTAGGGATCCAACATCTTCGAACCTGAGGGGGCAGACAATTTATATCTTGCTCTCACACGCTATCTCTGGTGCCATGTTGTAGCCTACACGTTGTCGATCTCGTAGAACGCCCCTAGGGCTCCACGGACCGGACCCGAGCTTCGGGTCGATAGGCGTGTACGTACCTACAGACGCTCCGAAGATAACAGCTGCCTCACCGCCGCCAAAGACGTGATGAGAACAACAGTCGCAGGGTCGCGATGCGGACCGTCATCGGCTAGACTTCAACATGTGCGTCAAATGGCATGATGTACAGGGGTTCTAAACAAGTCAAGATCGCGAAGCTTCGGCCGAGGAGCTTCGCTGTTATCTCGCCTCGTACTTCCAGGGACTCAAGCCAATGGCACCCCGGTCTGCGTACGTATGCTTTTTGACAGCCCCCACCAGTAGCCGCCTCTAACGTTCTTTTGCAGATCCCTCCTGCACAGCACATGCATTGCTACCGCTTCAGCGTACAGTCGCGGTCCAGAAGCCGAAGAGACATGAAGTCCGTGCCTTACAAATGGCCCATCATCAACGCATTGCAGCGCTCACCAGGCTGCAAGAATCCCTGCTTCTGCGGCAGTTCGAGCAGCGCATTAGCATTAGCCAGACTGCCAACACGACTGCTTCGTTGCATGCCTGTACTTCTCGCGATCAACTTGCCACTCTGATGATCAACTGAAACCACTACCCGATGGTATTCCACTCGAGCAGGATCGCATTTGATTTTGTCGCTCACTGAAACAGGCACGACTTCCAGCCCATTGCCTTCCAATCCATTCATCTTCTGCAGACAGGGCAGCAAAAAGAGATTCGCCGTCACGATCGCACTCGCCGGATTGCCAGGGAGGCCAAATAGCAGTCGCTCGGCCCTTGCGCCGTCCTTGCTCTCCTTGAACGGAACGCTTGCGAATGTAGTTGGCTTGCCAGGCTTCATCGAAACTCGTCCGAAGACGACTTCGCCACCCAGCTTGCGTTCCACAGTCGGCTTCAGCAGGTCAAGCTCGCCCATGCTGACGCCGCCCGTGGTGATAATAACGTCCACATCGCTTGAGCGCAACGCGTCGCGAAGTGCGGTCTCTAAGGCGTCTGCTGGGGTGTCTCGTGCTATTCCCAGGTCGACTACCTCGGAGCATAAGTTCCAACCGCGAATCAACGAGAGAAGGGATGGTCTATTCGAGTCACGGATCTGACCGCCACTGAGTGGCGCCGAGGTATCGGAAATGTCAGTCACCTCGTCGCCAGTTGACATGACACCTACGCGTGGACGGCGGTAGACTGGGACAGATGTGATGCCGCCCGCTGCAAGTAGACCTATTTCGCCACCAATGGCGCTGATTCGTGTGCCCTTGCGCAATATCAATGAGTCCTTTGGTATGTCTGAGCCAGGTTCTCGGATGTTCTCTCCCGCCTCAAGATCTGAGGTCAAAATCGTAACGGTAGCTTCCTCTATTCCATCTGCAGTCGCACTTGCGATTGTTGTGTCCTCGACCATGACGACAGCATTAGCATTCTCTGGAAGCGGTGCGCCTGTCGTAATTCTTGCGATCGTCTTAGCTTCCAGTGGTGGTGGCATTGATGAGGCCTGCGCATGCGATACGGACGCAACTGGGAATGTCCCCTTTAGCGATGACGAAGGTTCCGGTATCCTGACTGCGTAGCCGTCCACAATGCTAGCCCGATAAGCTGGGACCGCTTCCAGAGCTTTGATGTCCTCAGCCACCACGGCACCTGTTAAGGACGGGCTCATAGGCAAGTTTTCAGCAATAGCAGCAGGCGTACGAGCCAAGACCGCGGCAACAGCATCTGCGACGCTCAGCATCGGATACGGTGATGATCGGGCACGGGCAGTTGCGCCTAGGCGTAGGTCGTTTGACTGGGGACGCTCTGCTGGGGACGTATGCGCTTTCGGAACCTTATGGCCACCATGACCTCCGTGGTGATGGTGATGATGGTGGTGATCGTGATTATGAGAATCGTCGGCTTTGGGGACGTCCGATCCGAGTCCGGCATCCTGTTCAAGCTTCTTCACACCTCCTACATGGGCGGTCCTCGAATCCTCGCCTGCGGCTTGCATACATGCATGAGGCAGGAGCTTCAACACCGCTTGTAGATTCTCCTTGGCACCTTTCGGCGAGCCAGGTAGGGTGAGAATAACAGTCTTGTTCCGAACACCAGCAACAGGCCTGGACATCATTGCAAAGGGCGTGACCTCAAAAGATGTCCGTAGCATAGCATGGACAAGCCCAGGAGCTTTCCGGTGCAATAGTGGCTCAATAGCTTCCGGAGTCCAGTCCTTCTTCGCGAAGCCAGTTCCTCCCGTGGTGACCACGAGATTCATGTATGCGTCACCATATGTGTCTGTCCAGCTCCGTACGGTGCGTTGGATATGTGCAATATCGTCTGGTACGATCTCCACCGTGGGCTCATCCCACTTGCCTGCTCCATCTTCAGCGAACGTCGCTTTCAAGATGCTGCCACTTTTGTCAGTTGACGCATCCGCCGCAGCCGTGTCTGATACGATGAGTACCGCTGTCCTGAGCGCTGAACCCATGTCGCATGATAGCCGCGCTGACTGTAGCTAAGCAGATGACTGCAGCGGATGTTCTTGAGATGCTCCAAGGAGTACTGTCGGTAGGTGATTGAAAAAGTCAAGTCAGGTACTTTGGATGCAGTGACGAAAGACTGTAACTAGCCTGTTCAGGGTTCAAAGTTCCAAGGTTCGAGCCCCAAGTTCAAGCCTAAGCCCAATGGGTAGCCCGCCCGGGCGCAGAGAATTGTCTAGGGATGCCAGTGTTCACGAGCCTATCGATTCCTCCACTTCCGCTGGCTCACTCATGGCAGGTGTTCTGCTCTTTGATTGAAATTGTACAACATATGTGAGGTTGGACTAGGAGTACGGACAGACTCTATCTACGTCCCTATGGACCACCATCTTATTGACATACACTCAGCCACCGTGTCGGCGTTCAATCGTGTCCACGACCGGAATGACTATCTGGGTGTATCGTACACTCGAATCTATTTCTGTGCGCATTGAAGGTGTTTTAAGGTGTCGAGGAGCGATCGAGTACCAATTCTAGAAAGCTCACTAATGGCCACCTCCACTGCCTAGCACGGTACCGGAATTGTCTGCACATGAGAACGCACCACCTGAGACTGGTCAGTATTTCGTACTTCTGCAGGTAACAACGAAACTCACCAATAGTGCCATTTGCGTAGGCATCGACGATGGCCTTGATCGTCCCGTATGTACCACCGACAAAGATCAAGGCTCCAATCGCCATAAGCAGAATATGTGCCCCATATATGAGCTTCTGTACGATTGTACCACGCTTATATTCCGAATGATCCCACATCCAGATCCATGCCGGTACCATCAAAGCCAATGGGGCGAAGCAGAAGCTGCCCGTAATAGCAATCAGATAGTTGAAAATCGGGATTGCCTGGGCCAGCAAGAAGGCTAGACTAGCCAGGCCAAATGTGCAGGTCAGCCAGGTCGCCCAATGAACTAGAGAGTTCGATTGCAGGTGCTTCGAGTTTCGCAGTATTCTGACGAAAAGGTATTTGGCTGCAACGTGGCAGTAGAAGGCGCCAGAGATAAGTAGACCCAGTAGACCGACACCGTAGCACACTTTCTTGATTGTGCCGCCTGCTGATCCGAGTGCTGGTGCCGTGATGTAGACGCCACACCAAGCATATATGACGCTTGCAAAGGTGAGGTACGATGCCGTGACGAAAAACATGCACAAGTACAGTGCTTTGTTGAACTCGCTTGGTCGTCGCATCTCGGCTATGACTGGGATGAAAGCAGACGTTCCTGCAGACGATACGAAGATCGTGGTAGTCGCGACCATGCCTGCAGCTGTAGACATATTATGAGAAAGTCGACTTGCGAAAACTTCAAAGAGCCTTACCAAATGTAGGGGCCACTCCCCAGGTAACATAGTCAAGATCGATGGGGCCTTCCTTTGGCGCGGCCGCAGGTCGATCGACCTGCGTCACCGCCACAACCAGGATGAACACTGCAGAGTAGATACTGATAAACCCAACCCAGCCGAGCCATCCAATGTTTCTGTTGCACACGTCAGAATGAACACGAACTGGGCAGAACCAGAGTGGGAAGACTGATGTCTGGCCCGTTTGATCTTCATGGATATACGCACTGGAACGTCCGGACTGATGCCATGGTGGCCACAATGATCATGCTGACAAAATTGAACCAGACAGTACAGGCACCATGCTCACTCAAAGCGTTGAACGCAACGCCACTGCCATTTATGCCTGAGCCTGAGCACAACACCCACGCAATGATATAGAGACCGCCAAACAGTTCTCGGACAATGGGGCCGCCCACGATGCCGATCATATCCGCGATAGAATGGCAGGATGGGTGCTTATTGCGAAAATCGCCCTGGATTTTACCGACATAGCAATTGACACATCCGACCGCAATCAGTACGAGAGCACCACCAGCGGCGCCAAGTGTGTGCATGGCAGGCGGAACGGACAGCACACCGGTGGCGAAGAGAATCTTGAGAAACACAATCGCGGCTCGTGGCCAAGTAACCGTGCGGAAGTCGACACCATCTTCTGTAATTTGGAACACTTCCTGTTCACCTTTGATGGGCTCCGGCGACTCACTCCCTCTCGTAGGAGCGGGAGTGATATCCATTTTCTCGTTCTCGTGTTTGGCGTCCATGTTGAAGTTGTTCGAGGATGGTCTGACGCTGGCCCCTGGAGGGGACCAAGCTCGCCTTGTATACTATCTGACAGAGAGGGTAGGCACCGATCGGTCGATCCTCAACCACTCACCGAGATAAGCCAAAAGATAAGAGCATCAACCAGATTGTAGCGCGAGTCAGTGCCAAAGGCTTGTGGTGCTTCGGTTCCCCGCAAAATAGGTGGAGGGCGTTTGTTCTTTGGTGAGATTGGTGATGACGAAGCTTGGCCTTCTCAGGAAAATGCCGAGAGATACGAGCACAGTACGCGAAACACGCTTTGCCGATTGCATAGTGCAGGCCGATCGGGCATCGCGGCCTTTCTAGTTCCACCAAAGATAACAGCTTTATGCAGCAAAAGCACGTGGTATAAGCTCTGGGGAGTTCGTGATCAGCAATCTGGGCCACAGTCTATAGTTGTTTCCAAGCGTCCGGGCCCCCAGCAGCCGTCTCCCATGCATAAGCGACCTTCAAAACGGTCACCTCGTCCCACCACTTACCAATGATTTGTAGACTGACCGGCAATTTAGTGCCGGAGCCTTTGAGCGGCCCCTCTTCGATATCCAACATGCCGATAGGCATTGCAAGAGCAGGATGTCCAGTTTGATTGAAAGGCGCAGTATTTCCCGTCAGACCGATCTGTTTCTGAAGCTGCAGTATTGGGTTTCCAGTGACACCTGCATCACCCAAATCAGGGTGCGATTTCGCCAAAAATGGAAGCGTAGGAGTTATCAAAACATCAAAAGTCTTTTGCTGCTTCAATCGCTCAAGGTTCGCCTCAGTCACAAACGTTGAAATCGCCGACCAGTCTCCAAGAACGGCATCGTAGCCATGTCGAGCTTTGAGGGACAGATTCGTTGCCTTCCCGTGGATGCCGGGGAAGTTTTGCAAGTCTTGTGCATATACCCCGTTCAGATAGATATTCTTGGTTGATGGAATTGCATTGTTCCACTTGTCCTGTGTCATCGGCCAGAGTTTTTGGTTGAGCTCGTTGAGTTGATAGCCTCTCCGACCACCAAAAGCGCCAGTTTTATTCAAATAACCGCCCAGCTTGGAGATGCCGGTCCAGACTGCACCAGCGGTGCTGTGTGTGGGAACGGAAACCTCTTCAACAGTCGCGCCCAGACTCTTGAATCGGTCGGCAGCCGCAAGAAAAGTGGTCTTCACCCTCGGATCCAATGCCGGTGTATTGAGCCCCTCAGTGAGGATGCCTATGCGCATCCCTGACAGATCTCTCGGATCTGGGTATTGTTGCAGGATTTCATGATATGCAGGTATCTGTTCAGGAGCAGGTGCGCCGTACGAGCGGTCGTCAACGAAGTCTGTACCAGCAATGGCTTTTAGTAATCTCGCATTACTTAGGACATCCCTTGTCATCGGGCCCATATGATCGTTCGTAGGCTCATTGCTGCCAGCGCCCGTCCATGGCACCATACCGAATGTTGGTTTGAAGCCGACAATCCCGCACCAAGCGGCGGGAACTCGTATCGAGCCACCCTGATCTGCTCCGATCGCGTAGTCACAGCCCCCAAGGTCTGGACCAAGGGAGACCAGAACTGCTGACCCTGACGAGGAGCCGCCAGATGCGTAGCCTTGGGCGTACGGATTGTGCACGACGCCTGTCGCGGCTGTGTGGGAGGTCGCTGAGTGGCACAGGTTCTCACAGACAGATTTCCCCGTAATAATAGCACCGTGCTTGAGCATTCGAGTAACGATGGTGGCATCAATTGACGGCGTGTAATCGGAGAAAAAGTTAGTTCCCAACAGCAGAGGTAGACCTCCAACAGCAATGCAGTCTTTGAGTGCAACGGTCTTTCCGTACAGCAGGCTTGATGGGTCGGGCTTGCTGTCCCGAATGTCGCATTTCCAGGCCCATGCGCCATGGGAGTTCTCGTCGGGTGATGGAAAATGAACGTTCTTCCGCTCGAAGCGGTCATGGTCAACCTCTGGCGTATAGTCCTCGGCCGCCATCAACTTCGCCATAGAGTCATGGTAGACTGCCAAGAGATTGACATACTCGGCCTTCTCAGCATCCTTAATAGTCACTCCCAGAATCTCGCAAGCCCGGTCAAGGTCTTTGACAGTGACTGGATTGTTGCTGGAAACGTCCAGCGAAAATACTGACATCTTCGTGCTCTGCGTAAGTGTAGCAAGCTGTGCTTCTCAAGTGCTCTTGTGCAGCCGCTGCAAGGCACGTAGCAAGCCCAACTCCCGCCGATCTACAAATACGGTTCGGCATCCGCTCACTGTTGCGCCATTGATAGGCCATCGTTGGAGATATTCGTTGACTGCTTGCTTGAGAATGGGGACTTTGGTGAGCATGCACATGACGTTTAGGGTCGCCCTTGGCACAGAGCTTCCAAGGTTTTCGGCGATTGCCGGAAGTGAGTTAGATTCTGTTTGTGTCCATACGTACAGGCAATGTATGGATACCGAGAAGGCAGCGATGACAATCCTAGCATGACAGTCTTCGACATGAGATAGCTGGCATTGATCAACATCTCCACAAGACTCATCGACGAGCATTCCATACTAGGCACAATCGACAATTGACCGCAGGCGCAGTCGATAAGGACACCTAGGTACTGACAGGTAACATGGTCAACTTCGATACCAAGTATGACATACCTCGCGACCTTGAGGGTATGGTTTTCGTCACACTCAGGGTCGAGAAAAGCTGACGACGTATAGGCTTTGGCGAGGACCCGATAGATCCCCAGTGGCCGAACGGGACACGCATCGCAGTGTCGTTCGTGCTCAACTATGAGTGAGTATCGCCTACAGTCTAAACTCAGCTTCTAATGACTTCAGAGAGGGAGCGGAGCGTACCTATCACAATGGTGATGGCCATTCAGAGCCATACTTGTGGGAGAAAGGTGCGTCTGGCGGTCACAAGGAAGGCGCACCCTACGTCAACCAGGAATCGGAGTATGAGTACGGAAGCCGCGTTGGCGGGTGGCGACTTCTTCGTCTCTTCAAGGAATTTGGATGGCAGTGGACCACCTACGCTGTGGCCCAAGCGATGCAAGTGAATCCCAAATTTGCGAAGGCGTGCGTGAGAGACGGCCATGAAATTGCAACCCATGGTCTGCGATGGCTCGACATCTGGGACTATGATCTCCAGCAGGAGAAGGACTACATCATCCAGTCTCTGAAAGTTCTGAAGGATGTGACGGGCGAGTGGCCAGTCGGAGCATACTATGGCCGAGGCACACCTAACACAAAAGCCCTCTTTCCAGAAGCCTTTAAAGAAGCCGGGACAGAAATGCTGTGGAACAGTGAAGCATACAATGACGACGTACCTTACTGGGTGGACTTGCCAGCCGAGAAAGACTTGCCTGATGATCAGAAGAAGGGAATGCTAATTGTGCCCTATAACTACGATTGCAACGGTTTGTGCACAGGACGCTCGCAACGACAGATGCTGACTTTGGCAGACGGGAAATTTCACATGAGTCCTGGAAATGGCGGAACTGCAGCGTGGGAGGCGTATCTGAAGTCAACGTTCGATATGCTCTATCGAGAAGGTGGTAGAATGATGAATATTCCGCTACACAGTCGGATTGCTGGTAAGCCAGGCCGTTCTGAAGCCCTTCGAAATTTCATGAAATATATTCAGCAGCACGAAGGCGTGTGGGTGGCCACTAGACGAGATATTGCGAAGCATTTCAAGGAGAAATATCCATACAAGCCAGGGCATCGAGCATAAGGCCGATAGTTGCGATAGGTAGCCAGTCCATGCCGTCGCGATGTATATTTTGTAATGACAAAAAGTGCCAGACCCATGGGTTTCCCATGACTGCCCTGGTGAATCTTCGAGCCTGGGGTGTTGTTTCTTTCCCCTACTAAAAAATCTACATTTGCTCGCCCAGATACATGTATACCTGAATACCATCAAACGATGCTACGCGGCTGGCTTGGCTGGCGCTGCTCGATTGGAGAATAACCAACTGCGTTGCCTCCGGCATCGATAAAGTGCTTTATGTCGATTTACCCCTAAACTCGCACTGATCTCGGTGCCGCTATCAACAATAAGTCAGGCAGATATAATGGCTGCCATCCAGCAAGAGCCGTCTGCAGCGCCAACGACAGCCAACGCACCTGCAGATGCTGTGGTGGATCCTCATGCGAAGTCGACGGATGATGGAACCAGGAATGGAAGCCAGGCGGATGAGAAGACGAGGTCCGAATCTGCATTATTCACGCCTCTCAGCATCTCAAATGGTCGCATCGAGCTCGCGCATCGCATCATCATGGCACCCATGACCAGGAACCGGGGAGTACCACTCTACTTGACAAGACCCAACCGTGCGTGGGCCCACGACGAGCTCGGAGCTCTCTACTATGGACAGCGTGCGACTCCTGGTGGCCTCATTATTACCGAAGGCATCTATCCCACTGTGGAAGCTTCGGCGTCGCCTTGCGTGCCTGGCCTCTTCGATGACAAGCAAGTTCCCGGGTGGACGGCCGTGGTCAATGCTGTTCATGGGAAGGGAGGATACATCTTCGCGCAGCTCTGGCATGCAGGGAGGACATGTCTTCCGCATTTCACAGGCAAGCCAGCCATGAGCTCAAGCTCAACGCCGCTTGACGGCGATCAAGAGGCTAGATATCCACCGCCCGATGATGATAGTGGCTCTCCGGGCACTGGACAACGAGTAAAGTTGAGAGACTTTCCACCTCAGGAGATGACCTACAGCGACATCAAGCGCACGATTGACGCATACGTTAGCACGGCCAAGCGGGCAATGGACCAGTGCGGCTTCGATGGCATCGAGATACACGGCGGCAACGGTTATCTCCTTGAGCAGTTCCTGAGTACAAACGTCAACAAACGAACAGACGAGTACGGCGGCACAATTGAAGGCTATTGCCGCTTCCCGGTCGAGCTCATGACCGCACTTGCTGATGCTATCGGAGGCGAGAACGTCGCGATACGGTTGTCCCCGTTCGGCCTCTTCAACCAGTCATACGGCGAGCAAAGACCGGAGATCTGGTCTTATCTCTGCCGGGCACTCAAGCAGAAAATTTCAAATATGTCCTATATCCACTTCATTGAGCCTAGGTTCGAGCAGATAATCGACACGACCTCGAAAGACTCGTATCTGAAGTCTCTCGGTGGGAACATCAGCATCAAGCCCTTTCAAGAGATCATGGGCAGCACGCCTTTCGTTGTATCCGGAGGCTACAATGACACCAACATCTGGGGAGTTATTGAGTCCGGGAACGCGGATGCCATAAGTATCGGCCGATACTTCACAAGCAATCCAGACCTGGTAGCTCGATTGCGCGAAGGCAAAGAGCTGCGAAAATATGATCGCGACCGCTTCTACTGGATTGATGAGCCTAGAGAAAGGGGATATACAGACTTCGAACCGTTCTCATAGAATTGTCATTACAATATACAAGCACTCTCTGGACCTCCAGCGACTTGCATTGCGAGATCGAATACCCTTTTAGGAAATCACCGAGCTGGCATTCATGCGTTATCAGCCACGGAAGACTATCTGCGGAGATGTCCCGTCATATCATATGCTTTGGTGTCTTTGCCGTATCGTTGGGGTCCTGTGGAACTACGCTTGGAGATAGCATGCATGAATGTTCCGAGCACGATATCGTATCTGCTGCATCTGATAGCACGAACTCCCGAGGTCGCTGAGTACCCGACGTGCGATCCAGAACACCGAGAACGCTCACAGCGAACATACAACCGGGAAGCTTCCAGACCGGCGGTGAGCCAACAGTACGGCTCAGGTGATTAGTCCAGTCCCGTAAGCTCACCCACGGGCCAGGCAGTGATCGTTGAGTTCGGCTCAGCGAAGCAGGGTGTGCCAGTCTGCAAGTTGACCGCTCGAGGCCTGCGGCAGACATCATTTCGGGTATCAAGCGTCCGACAACATCTGGCTCAACTTGCCATCAGCTAGATCACATCGGATCCGGAACCACAAAACCTCGCTCCAGCACACGCTCTTCGGTGAACAGGCAATCGGCCTGAGCACAGAATGGCGACACCAGGTCCCAGACCATTCGAAATCTCCACCGACCACTACGATTTCCCTCGCGACCTCACTGGCTATGGCCCCAACCCACCACCAGCACCATGGCCCAATAATGCCGCTCTAGCACTGTCCTTCGTCATCAACTATGAAGAAGGCGGCGAGAACTGCGTCTTGCACGGCGACCCGACCTCTGAAGCAGCTCTCTGGGAATCAGCTGCACGCTATCCACCTCGCCAGCAAGCTCGTGCGGTCAACGTTGAGAGCGATTACGAGTATGGTTCGAGGGTAGGTGTTTGGAGGATCATGAAGCTTTTCGAGAAGCACGGCTTCAAGTGGACGGTGTATGCGGTTGGTATGGCTGCGGAGAAGAATCCGGAGGTGGTCAAGCGGACTTTGGCTGGTGGTTCGGAGATTGCGAGTCATTGCTACAGGTGGGTGAACTACGAGGACTGGGACCCAGTTCGGGAGAAGGAGACGATTGTGAAGGGAATCGAGAGTCTGAAGGCGTTGTCCGGGCAAGTACCGAAGGGCTGGTATTATGGGAGGCTGAGCAGTCAGAGTCGGGCACTGGTATGGGATGTCTATGATGAGATGGGCGAGGAGCTGGTGTGGCAGAGTGACAGCTACAGTGACGACATCCCATACTGGGTGGATGTTCCAAGAGAGCTGGACATGATCAAGAAGGGTGAGAGGAAGAAAGAGGATGCTAAGGGAATGTTGATGGTTTGTCCTTCCGCCCATCTTGTGACTTGGGTACTGACTGCTTCCAGGTCCCGTACACCTACGATGTTAATGACTTCAAGTTTCACACTCCGACGGGCTGGGGTGGTCCTGGCGACTTTTTCCACCATATGAAGAATGCCTTCGATGTGCTCTACGAAGAAGGTCGAGAAGGCACCCCAAAGATGATGACGGTCGGACTTCATTGCCGGATCATCGGAAAGCCAGGTCGGTTCCGGGAGCTGCAGCGATTCTGTGAGTATGTGGCGAGCAAAGAAGGGGTCTGGGTAACGACAAGGGAAGAGATCGCGAAGGTGTGGCGCGAGAAGAGACCATACAAGATCGGAGAATTATGATAAATAGCGGCTATGTCGTTGCAATCTCAGCATTCAGCTGAACGTCCTTACTTTATTGTCCGGCGAAAAGATCGTCAGCGTCCTACCAGCGTCGACGGGCCCAATATCTATGCTGTCTGTCGAGATCGAACCCTCCGTGACGACCAGTCCAACACCGCCAGAGGTATATTCGTCGTCATAAGCGCGCAGCTCGAGATCACCAATACGGCACGCGAGGTTTCCACCTTCAGCCTTGATCGCAATCTCGTATTTGGCGTCGAGCGACCAATCCAAAGCTTTTGTCGCAAGCTCCTTCCGCGCCTCATCTCGTGCTTTCACCAAGGCGACTTTTCCCACTCGCAGGAACATCAAGCCATACCATCGATTCAACCCCCGAACGCGTACGGCGACACCGGAAGAAGCTCCCAGATTGACCGTGAAGTTGTGGGCGGTCACCTGATAATCTGTCCATTCCCGGGTACCGTGACTGATAATGCCCTCTCCCTCGGACTGTGCAAGGAAGAACGAGGGCCCCATAGCTGAGTGAAATTTGTCGACCGACGAAACGAATGATCTTTCCCAGAAACTAGTGTCCCCAGTGTACTCAGTAGCCCCTAGATCTTCATTGCTGGCAGGCGGGCGTTGTATCCTCAACTGTGGTGTACCGCTCCATGACAAGCTGAACAGCCTGACTTCGCCATGGGTATCCACGCCAGAGGAGGAGACTGCAATCCCGACCTGCTGTATGGGCATGTTCTGTAGTGAGGCCGGTATGGTCCAACTCAGATCTGTTTGCTCAAGATCCTTGAGCGTTGAATGATCACCGTCCAAGATGATGAGACGACCACTCTGATCGTATGCTTTGACTCGAATGCATGCCTTCAAAGAATCAATGCTGCCCGTAGACTGTACCTTGGCGATGATCGTCTGACCAGGATAGACAAGAGGGCAAGCGGACAGTTCGTAATGTCTGCTCACGCTCAAAACGTCCTTGGGCGTGAATGTGTCGGACGCCAGGTCTATGGCTTCATCACTGCTGCCAGTCTCTTGGATGGAGATCACAAGGGCTGCACGACCGTTCGTTTGAGCCCAACTCAGCTGTGCTTTCTCGGCCGAGTTTCCACGAAGCTGAAACCCTTGTACACTGTGAGGTAGCGTGAAATGGAATTGCTCTTTCGGCATGTCAAGTGGCTTCTGGCACGCGAGTCGCATACCCAGGCTCGCGAGGTCGTAAGTGATTCGCGCAGCGTTGTTGATAGAGTAGCCACCGTCCGTACTTGATATGATGACCCGGTCAGCTATTGGTCCTCGCCAGTCGAGCTTGCTTGGCTTGCTAAGGTGGCTCGGAGAGTCAGCTCTTGTTGCTGGGGCGCCTAGCCATCCAGGCCCAGCATAATTCCTACTAGACATCCCAAGTTGCCTGAGTTGCAGTCGGTGTCCCAGCCACTAGTGTTGATGATGTGCATCGCCAGATCAAAGTCATGGCCGCCGTACAGTAATGCCATTATCATGATACCGTGGTTTGGCATCACATGACAGATACCTGAGTATTTGTGGTAGCCGTGGTAGTCATCTATTTTCTGGCGAGTCTTGTGCCAGTCATTGTCTTGCTTGGTCCAGGAACGTATTTCCGTTATGAGCCGAGCTATAGCACAACCCGATGGTACGAAGGATAGCCCTGTGTCCAGAAGGTGGTCGACGTCCTTCGAGACAAAAGCCTCTGCTTCCATAGCCGCCCATAACACAGCAGCGTGAACTGCCTCGCCATCGTGACTTACTCTGGCCGCTGCCGTTGCCAGACGTGCAGCCAGTCCGGCATTGCCGGGAGCGATGAGCCCAAACCCGTCGATGAAGATCTGAGCGCCGATCTGCTCAGCTACCGTAAGGCCGTTGACCTTAATTGAGCCACTTTCTGGCGCTGGAATGCCTTTCTTTTTGAGATTGAGGTAGGCCGTATGTTCTGTGCTGATCCCGTTGCCACCCCACCAGAAGACGTTCCTCTTCTCGATCACGTTGTTCAGCCACGTCTTACCCACATCAGCAGGCGAAATGTCCAAGCCGTGTTCCTCTAGCGCTCTCACGAACGTGAAGGTTCCTGATATGTCATCGTCGATAACAACACAGGGCAAACCAAACTTCTCATGCACGTAGTAGTGGATGGGTCCAAGTCGGTCTAGAATCTGATGGTACGTCCAATTCTCAAACGTCTTCCGACGAGTACACCAATGATTTTGCCTAGAACTCCGGCATAGACTCTTTCCAGATAGTCGTCTGGAATAGCGCCCATTTCGCTTGCTTGTGCATCGATCTAGCAGCAGATACTTCGATGAGCAGATGCAGCGAATCTTTGAATTACCTTATCATTTCGCACGAGCTCGAAAACCACAGACCAAATGGAAGTTTTGCTATTGAATGGTTGTTGTTGCATCGACGTGGGCTAGTCAGGCTCTTCAAGTGGAGTACTTCACGTGGCCGACTTGCTTCGCGCCTACCCACCCTGTACAAGTAATGGACAAAGGAGGGAAGCCGGCAGAAGGAGCAAGTCGGTATGGAATCTCAGAGGACGTTGCCTAGTGGGCAAGGTTCGAAATGCAATGTTCAAAGGATCTTTCTCGGGATTGATATATCTGAAAGTGGGCGGAAGGTGATTGGAACCCGGCGGGTCGTCCTGCAAGCTCCACTTCGTGGACGCATCGTTGCTTCACCAATCCTAAGATATCAGGCCTGTCCATCATAGATTTTAGGTCCGGAAGGGCGCTGGAGACCTGGTGTTCTGTCGCTTATCACGTCGGTGAGTCTGAGATGGGCCTCACTTGGTCGTTGAACTGTACGAAAGATATGTCAAGAGATCCCCCACCAAGGAGGGTGCTGTGAAGTTTACAGTGACTCCGAGTTGGAAAGGACACCCGGCTCTTGCTCCATAGCTCGGCGGGCTTCTTCCGACACGCCTAAAAGCTTCCCATTCCAATCCCTTTCCTTTCATTGATCATCATACTCTCCACCAACCCCCATTCTTGATAGACTGCGGGGAGATAACGATGGCTTCTAGATTCCAGGGTCCCAAAGCATATGGCAGTGCCCACCTTGTCGAGTATACATGTATATGTTGTCGCCACGCGAGTCGCTCTCCGCTCTCGACCTGGAAGCCAGTCTACGATCCTCAGGAGCCCTTCGACCAAGTCAGCCGGAGGCAATAACAACAACAACAGCACCATGTTGTTCAGCAAAGTACCACGCTCATGCCGAGGAACCGAATGGCACTGACAGTATGCCTGATCCTGGTGTCAGTCATCGACTCAGTCCTCGTTGGTTACAATAGCAGTCTTATGGGATCGTTGAACGTGATGCCGTCATACTCGAGATACTTCAGCTTGACCACTGCGACCAAGTCCCTCAATACCGCAATTTCTTACACTGGAGGTGCCTTCATCAGCTTGTTCGCTGGCTTCATCGTCGAATGGAGGGGAAGAAAGGAGTCCATTCTCTGGGCTGCCACTGGTGCCGGTATTGGAGGCATCATCCAAGGGTCGGCGCAGAACATCGGCATGTTCATTGCTGGACGACTGTAAGTTCTTCCCGAAGTTGTCGGGAGGCCTTTTGCTGATCTGCTATTCACAGGATTGTTGGCATGGGCATGGGTCTGGCTCAGACAGCTGCTCCAACTCTTGTGGCAGAAACACTGGACAAACAACACCGTGCTTTCGCTCTTGGGCTGTATTACGCCTGCTGGGGCGTTGGCACCTTGGTTGCCTCCGGAGTCTGTTACGGCACCCAGCATATCGACGGTACGGCCGCATGGAGAATTCCATCTCTCCTCCAAGCAGCCCCAGCCATAGCGGCTGTGCTCATCCTGTTCTTCGTGCCTGAGTCACCGCGTTGGTTGATTAGCCATGACCGTCACGACGAGGCTCTTGAGGTCCTGAAAGTCGTCAATGGCACAGACGAGGACGGAGTCCAGGTTCAGTATCGTGAGATCGTGGACACAATTGCTCTGGAGAAAAGCTTCAACAAGAGTATTCCGCAGGCCCTGAGCGCGAAGCCCAACCGTCGACGATTGCTCATCACTTCTACTTTTTCGATCATTGTGATGTTGCCAGGCACGAACATCGTCACCTTCTATTTCGGCGATATGCTGGCGGGCGCCGGTATCGACAGCCTGATACCCAGCTCCAGATCAATATCATCCTTACGTCCTGGACACTTGTCATCGCGCTTGCTGCTTCATGGTGGGCGGACAAGTTCAGCAGAAAGATGCTCTGTACGTCGTCTTTGGTCGGCCAGATCGTTACGCTGTTCCTACTCGGAGGCTTCACCAAACTCTGGGGACTGTCAACCAACACCAGTGGTATATATGCCACCATAGCGATGATCTTCCTCTACAACGCAACGTACGCGTGGGGCATCACGCCTCTTACTGTGCTGGTGAGTTCCTTAAACTCCGAGACGTCTATCGACATTCATAGGCGCTCGGATGGCTACCGCGAAACCACCTGAGCTCTCAACTGACCAACGTATAGTACCCGCCCGAAGTCCTGTCTTACGAGATCCGCTCGATAGGAATGTCAATCTACACTTTGACAACAAAGCTGTGCGGTCTGCTTGCTGCAATGGCGATTCCATACGGTCTCAACGCCCTAGGCTACCAATTCTACTTCGTCAACGCCAGCTTTGACGTTCTGATGGTCATATTTGTGCTCTTTGTCTGGGTTGAGACCCGGGGCTTGACCCTTGAAGAGGTCGACAAGCTGTTCGACAGCGAGAAGCGTGAAACCGTCATTGAGCATGTCAAGGAAGAAGTGGGCGTGAATCTGGACCGGGCAGAGGACAAGACTGCCACCGTCACTGAAGCCAGACTCTAGTGCACAGCCTGCAAAGGCATGAGCAAAGGAATACTGCCAAAGCGGGCTTCACTAATCCCTCAACCTCAACTTTGGCCCGAAGTCAGGGCGGAACGTAATCCACGTTCATGACTGTACATAGCACCGCAGGCCGCACTATCGTGTTACAGATCTCAGAAATGTAAATGCTCGGCCGACGAGTCACGGCCTTGCTTCGTTCATTCGGGGCTAGGTTCCAAGCTTTGAGCCACGAATGATGTAAGCCGAGGTGCCTCTGTGTGATGACAAACCGATAAAAAGTGGTAGCTCGTTTGCAACACTCCAGTTTGAGGCAACGAGTCATATGATCTAGCACGAATCAAGAATGCTAACCGCCTGCCCAGGAAGCCTCACAGACGGCTTCAAGTTGAGTAAAGAACGAAGGGCAAACTCTCCGGCTTGCAAATCGTAGACAGCCCAAGCAGTCGCAGCTGCCATGTGGCGCTCAATGCGTTCAGATATAGTCTGCGGCGATCGTCGTCGCAAGCTTCCAGAACAAGTACCACAACTTGCGAATAAGTCAACCCAATCATGTCGACAGCATTGATCATTGGCGCCGGTGAGCGCGTAGGACAATCAGTTGCTGATAAGTTCGCGAAAGCCGGTTACAAGATTGCCGTGGCCTCGCGCTCCAACAAAGTCAAGGGCGACGGCTACAAATTCTTCCCGTTCGATGCGACCAAACCTGAGACCACAGCCGACCTATTCTCAAAGGTCCGCAAGGACGTTGGAATCCCAAGCGTGGTGGTCTACAATGGTGCGCAACAAGCCCACCCAGACGCAATGAATTCATTCTAACCACGTGCTCCAGCATACGGCGCCCGCTTCGGCACCGTTCGAAACCCCTTGGACCTGCCGATCGACGACTTCAACGCCGACATGGCCGTCAACGCGGCCAGTCCGTTCGCCAGTGTCGTAGAAGCCGTCAAGGGCTTCAAGGAGCTGAAGGCCGAAGGGAAGCTCGGAAAGAGTGGAGCGACGTTCATCTTCACGGGCAACATGCTGAATGACACGGCTGGGCCAAACTTCATGACTTTTGGCATGGGAAAATCTGCTGCTGCATTCCTGATCAAGTCTCTGGCGTTGGTGGATTTCGCAGATGAGCCATTCAAGTGAGTTCCTTCATCTCCTTGCCTACTAAGTTCAGAGACTGCCTGTTCTTCAGCTGCCTCGAGATTCCAGAATACTGACATGACGACCTCGGTAGATTCTACTACGGCGACCAAAGACATGCGGACGGGGAGCCGTTCTATACCGGTCTCAGCGGCCCAGCCCACGCAGATGCTTACTTTGAACTCGCACAGAAGCCGGAGCAAGGACCCTGGCAGTATACATTTGTCGAGGGTGCAGGATACAAGAAATTCCCGAAACCAGAGACTCTACGCAAGCCGCAGTGAGAGGCAAGATATCCGAGGAGGTGTGTAGAATAGAGAAAAGCTATCGCAGCAGCGCAAGAATCTCAATGAGCTGATCAAGAGTGGGAAGGGAAACAGAAACAGAATACTGAGCAACGCAAACGAGAGATTATTTCAGCAAAAGCACAGGCAGTGAATTTCCTAAAGAGAAAGATGCAAAGCCTCTTTAATAACGGCGCGTCGCGTGTCGAGTACGAACGGAAGATATATCCGTTCGCCAATACTACCATGATCTCGACCTAGAACCAGACCTCACCGTACTCCCACAAGCTCACTACCGCCCTACTCGCATCTCCCCACCATGGCCCCAAGCAACCCAACAACCGCACCCCTCCTCTCCCTCCTTCCCTCATACAACCTCACAACCCTCCCGCCACGCCTGACAGCCCTCGCCGCCTCCCTCCTCACCCAGTCCCGCCAGCGTGCCCCACAACTCAAGCCCGAAGAGGAGATTGCGCGTCCGTACGCCTGTGCCGAAATCGCGGTCGATCGGTTGCGGGAGGCGCTGCGGCTGCCGCCGAAGAAGACTGGGAAGGCTAGAGGAGGAGGGGGGCCGCCATGCAAGCCGGCTGTGTACAGAAAGTTACTTGGGTTTTTGGAAGGTGTGCTCGAGCGGGAGGTCGTCACGCCGAAAAGCACGAGCAAGCGCAAGCGGGCTGTGATTGTTGTGGAGCCGAGCGCAAATGGCGAGGGTGATAATGACGAAGGCGAAGAGGTCGCAACACCAAGCAAGCGTGCGAAAACGAGCACTACAGCAGCAACCGCCACGCCCACCAAAGTCCGCACACCTATCTCTAAACCCACACTCAGTGCCAGCAAACCTACCTCGTCGTTCAGCGGCCGCATCTCAACTTATAAGCCCACGATACCGCACGCCGAAGCACCAGCCCATATAATGCCCACAATCCGTAAACTCACGAAACACTACAATACCTCCCCTATGGCGCCACACATCTACACTGGCGTATGCGTTCTCCTCCGCCTTGCCAATATCTGGCCTCCCTCCCCCAACACCGAAGACGTCCTACGCGAAGACTTCCACGCCTCAACCACAGCGCTCGTCGTGGCGCTATACCTCCTAGTCCTGACACGAATGCAAAAGGGCCAGTTGAAGACCAAGACGTTCAATGCTGTGTGCGCGCACGCCGTCGAGTCATTAGGGTCATCTGACAAAGGCGTGCCGCTCAAAGAGAGTATGATTTCGGACTGGATCAGAAGGCTAATCGTGAGGGCTGGGCCAAGGGACAGGACTGGTGGGATAGTGTGCCTGAAGCCACGTTGAACGTTGGTGTGAATGGAATGGGTGGTGCGGATGGTGACGACATCGAGATGGAGGCGGACGATGAGGAAGATCTTGTGATGCTGAGCGACAACGAAGCAGAAGTAGAGGAGGTCGCGGCAGTGGGAGTCACGAAACGAAAAATAGAGGTCGGTCTGGAGGTGGAAGATCCGGAAGACGTGCTCTTGCCTGGCCTGGGGACAATGATGCAAGACGCTTTGGATTGGAACAGCGAGGACAGGAAACGTGCTTTTGAGAGTTGGAAGAAGGGCATAATGAAGCGTCTGGAAAACATGGGCTCGAATGCTGCCGCCAACCGGGCGTCGGCAGGTAAGAAGAAGGCAACACCGAGTAGAAGGGCGAACGCAGTTGTTGCACACTGAGCGGTAGTATCGAGCTCGACTCGCTTCACTGCGTGATCTGATTATGGGAAAAGTGCTTGTGTGCCGCTTCTACGCTACTGTACATGTGCGAATGGGTATCATAGACTTTTCCCGGAACGCCCTGTAACGACGGATACTACGCCACCTCATTATCGATCGCATGTGCCTGTAACGTCGCCATTCGGGAGGCCGGACATTATGTTTTCGCGATAGCCTTCGGTGGCCCCGTCCTCTTCCTTGTGGCTGAGACGACAGAGTCTAGCATGAGCTCGGAAATGAGTAACTCCATCACGCTCTCGAGATCAGCTCCAACCCAGACAGGGCACCTTCTCGGGTGATCGGAGAGGAGTGTTGCACATTCCAAGACTGTAGCGCCCTTCCCGCGGCTGCTGTCATCTTGCGGTCTCTTTACCGACTTTCCATGGTCGACTTGTGCGCTGAGGACTGCAGGTTCAATGATTGAGGTAGTGGCCACGTCCACCTCTGCTGCCACCACGACCCCGACCCCGACCAAAGCCACCTCCGCGCCCGCGCCCACCGTGACCGCCACGGCCTCTGCCACGACCTCTGCCTCGACCACCCCAGCCGCCTCGATCTTCAGAAGGTTTAGGCCCAGCAAGCATTCTGGCATCTCTCTCCTCTTCGCTGATGTCAAAAGGATTGTCAATGCCAATGAGCTTGCAGAAGGCACTGGTTTGTGGGTTGGTCACTTCTCGTGGCATTTCTCCTTCCTCGACATGGATCTCGGAGTCATAGACAGGCGCGGTAACCTCGAAATTCTCGGGCACCTCGAGTTTGCCTTCGCTGACGATGTGCTCAAAGACCCATTTGCGCTCCTCGAGTATACGCTGATCGTAGTAGGTATCGCCGCGGTGATAAGGAGTTGGATCCTCTCGTTTGCCGCTGAGCTGCAATTCAGGTGCGAACACTCGAAGGATTGCAAGCCATTCTGGATCGTATCGGAGCTTGACCGGTCGCTCGATGGCAGTGACCTCATTAAGTTTTGCCGTGGCGGCTAGAGGCTCGACTTCCAGCAGCTCCAGGAAATGACGACCAGGGAGACATTTGTCGAGCGCAAGGAAATGGGTGGTCTTGTTTGTGATCTCTTCGGGAAATGGTAGGTCGGGAGACTTGTCAACCTCGACAGGCTTTTGGAAGATCTTAGATATGTTTTCGAGCTCCGCTTGGATGTCGTCAGGTACGGCTGGAGCATCGATGATCACGGCGTCCTCGTCGGCAGTATTCGCATTTGTGTAATCAGTCAAAACGAATTCAGCAGCTTCTGGCCGAAGAGCTGATTCTGTGCTCGGACGGGGCGAGGTATGACCATTCTGCTGCTGCGGCACAAATTCCTTGGCTGAAGCATCGAGTGAGGATCTTGTGCTATCTGCAGACGACTTACGAGCGACGGGATTGCTCGGTCCAGTCGAGCCAGTGATTGGAGCTCCGCCATCCTCACTAAGGTCAGACTTCCTGGACTGCGCTTGCATACCGAGTGTTGGGAAAGGGCTGCCTGATCTTGGAGGTGGCTTGACGATTGTGTCGTCTTCGTCACTCATGTCCAGATCGATTTCATCTGGGTTCTTGGCCATAGCGATCGGTGCGGCCTTCAGCAGTTTCCCGGTCGAGTCATCGTCGGAAAGTTCAAGATCGAGCTCATCAGGGTTCTTCGCCACAGGCGCCTTTTGCGGCTGCACTGGCAGCTGCTCCGACGTAGAATTCTCCAATGCCATGTCTCGTGGCCATCTTGCGTCCAGAGCTTCGAATCGTGGAGATCGGGGACCGGGAGGAGGTTGCTCTGGAGACCCGGACGGCTCTCTAGATCGTTTTGCAGGTCGCGAAACGCAGCCGCCGTCGAGCTGTGGGATTCCTTCTGTTGTCGGCATCGGCTTTTCAACCACATTGACGTCTCTGTTAAGATCGTCGTTGACCGTGACTTGTTTGAATGTTTCGTTGAAGGTGTACGATGGTCCGGCCTCCCCTCCGTTCTTTTCTCGTTCTTTTCGCCGCTCTTGTTGTTCTGCCAGGTATTGCTTATGCTCTTCGGCATCTGCGACCTTAGCAGACTCCTGAAAATCGTGCCAGCCAGAGAGCTGCTCTTTATGGCGGCCCTGAGGGATGAGTTTTCCATCCTTGGTCCGGATGCCTTCGGGATCGTTGTGGTTGTAGGTGGCCTCATACCGGATATGAAGGTGAGCAGAAAACCAGTGCTTTGGTCTCAACCGGTCCAACACCATCTTGGCTGCAGTGTTACCTAGCTTCGCATTCTCAGCATCGTACTGAAATCTATCTTTCTTCTTGAACAGCCACCTCCAGTTTCCAGACCATTCGATGGTTTGCGGCCAGTCATGCGACATTCCGATATCGACTTGCGAACGAATTGCCAAGAGTTTTCGCACGTCAAGTTCTCTGACATGGTAGATGCCATACATCTCCTCGTTGTTGTAGGGCAGTCGCTCATAGTGTGGTCGGCGGAAGTCATAGCCTTTCCAGATGCCGGACATGCCAGCGACACGAAGGTTGCCGATCTGAAGGACGTTTGCTGCACCCATGTAGTAGATGTTGGGGGCGACCCAGCCGCCATAGAAGAGTTCGAATAGATGGTTTGATGCTTCATGGTTACCGCCGATGAATATGGTCAGAACAGGCGCAACTCTGGCTCCGCTGTAGTACTCGTGGAAGTCGGCCATTTCGCGATATTTGGCGGGCATAGCTGTAACATTGAGATCGTGCTTATTGCGAACAGCCTGCGGCAAGTTAGCCGACGCCAACCCACCTCAACAGCGAACAGACCTGGAAGTCACCTCCAATGATGAGTACATCGACTCCGTCCCATCCTTTCTCTGCACATTTCTGGTCGAGTGCTTCGTAGATGGCGTTGAGCGTGCCATGTCCCTTCCAATGTCAGTCCTAGCACCAGAATAATTGCTTGCAACTTACGCAGCCTTCTACAGCCACTCTCATCATGGTGTCTTGAGCCTCAGCCACTTTGACTGAGATTTCGTGAGCCTCGGCCATTTTCAGTCGCTGCTATGTCGAGACCCTGCCGCCGTAGGCACCACACAGCCTTGTCGATGTGGTCTCGCAATCAGCCTCCGACCCCGTGCTGCCACTCCGAGTGCCAAAGTCAGGCGCATAGAATGAGCATGCAGCTCGTACTCACTGGGATGCGCGACAGTCAAAGTACAAAGGTCGTGTGTCAGACGGGCACTCGTAGGATATGGTGTAAACTTGTCGAAGGCTTCGACTTTGAGATGGAGATGCTTGGCATCAAAAGTTTATACAACCCGTGCTTTTTCTTCACTGTCTTTCCCGTGACGCATAGATCTATCAGCTGGCAGAAGCATACCTAGATCACATGGCCCCCAATCCAGCTCCGTACATCCTCCCCGAATGTTGGCGATGGACGTGGCACGATCGAAGTTCCTAGCGGAAGCATCACAGCAGCTGTTCGCGACCGGGTCCACGACATCTGCCCACTTGTCAGCTGAGCGTAATGCGCTCCAGTCTGGTCTACAGAACAGCAATAAAGGCACGGATTTCACGAGATGCAGGCCGTGCGGCACCATCTGGGTCCCTGGCCTGTCTATGGAATTGAAGACGACGCGTCCGGCCGCACAGGGGAAGCGATCTAAGCCTGGAGTCTCAAGCACCGCAACTACCATCACGACCGCCACTTGCAACGCGTGTGGAAGAAGTACTCGACACGTGCAATTGCATAAAGGCAAAACACGTTCTACTCGTCAGACTGAGCAGGCAGCAAGTGCGATTCCACGAATGGCGCCTGATCATGCTACCACGGTACAAGAGGTCACCGAGCAAAGCGCGACTGGACTGCGGCGATTCACGCCCTCGGAGCCCAAATTGAGCAGCAAGCAAAGAGCCAAGGCACGAAAGGACCGCTCTGGTCTGCAAGCACTTCTGAAAGGAAGCAAAGAAGGCAATTCATCTGCGCCAAAACTCAGCTTCATGTCGTTAATGAAGCAATGACACTCTGGCACATGCAATTTGCAGGGCTCTGGGATTCTTCCAGCAAACAAGCTTCAGTATAAGGTTTAGCTCCCGTAGTGGGAATTTGCCCCACGGTGCGTCATTCTTTGCATTTCTCAAAATCTTTTGGACCAATTCGAGAACATTCGCATCTGCGACTGGACTTGGTGCGAAAGCGCAATCTGGATGCTGAGAGCGTCAGTACAAGTAGCAATACTGTTACGATCCGTCAAAGACCCATTTCATACAGTTGGCACACGAAAATGGCCACAGAAGACGTGGTCCACGCCGACCCGAACGATGTTGGTTTGTACGAGATTGAGTCACTCTGCATGAGTTGCGAAGAGAATGTGAGTAACCCATACGAACAAGACAGCAAGGATACTGACTACTCTAGGGCATGACTCGCATACTACCCATCAAGATCCCATTCTTCAAAGACATCCTCCTCGAATCCTTTAGCTGCGAGCACTGCGGCTTCTCCAATAACACAGTCAAGAGCGCGGGCGAAATACAAGCAAAAGGCTCAAGATACACCTTCAAGCTACAACAACCAGCAGACTTTCAACGGCAGATTGTGCGCAACGACACAGGCATCTTCCGAATAGAGAACATCGACCTCGAAATGCCGCCAGGCCCCGGACAATTCACCAACCTAGAGGGCCTCTTCACCAAAATCCAGACAGACCTCCAACACGACCAGCCCATACGGCTCGCAACACAAAAAGAACTCCACGACGCCCTCGAAGTAATAATAGACAAACTCAAAGCCATGCTCGCCGGTACAGCCTTTCCCATAACCGTCACTATCGACGATCCCTCAGGCAATTCTTTTATTGCCCCCTCTACCGACGACACGCACGGCCAATACGCGCGCCACGACTACATCCGCACGCACGCCCAAAATATCCAACTCGGGCTCGCCACCGACGACGACAACGGCGAAGCCGACCAGATCACCGACGCCATGGCCGGTGTCAACGTCGTCGACGCCGAAATCTACGAACTCCCCACCACCTGCCCCGCCTGCACGAAACCCTGTACCATTAACGCGAAACGCACCAACATCCCACACTTCAAAGAAGTCATCATCATGGCCACCGTCTGCGACGAATGCGGCTATCGCACTTCCGACGTCAAGACCGGCGGCGCAGTTCCGGAGAAGGGCAAGCGCATCACCCTGCAAGTCCGCACACTTGTCGACCTCTCCCGCGACATCCTCAAATCCGAGACTGCGGCGCTCAAATCCACCGCGCTGGGGCTGGAAGTGCAGCCTGGCACACTAGGCGGACGCTTCACCACCGTCGAGGGCCTCCTGGCGCAGGTCCGCGAGCAGCTGCACGGGCAGATCTTCGACACAGATGGCGACCTGGCTGGCGGCGATTCGATGGCCTCAGAGACGCGACAGCAGTGGGATGGCTTTTTCGACAAGTTAGATCGTGCTATGAAAGCGGAGGTTGAGTTCGATGTCACGTTGGAGGACCCTTTGGCGAATAGTTTTGTGCAGAAGAATGTTGACGGGGATGAGAAGGATCCACAGATACAGGTGGAGGAGTATGAGCGGACGGACGAGGAAAATGAGGAGTTGGGCCTAAACGATATGAACGTGGAGGGTTACGAGAGTGGGCATGAGAGGGAGCAGGTAGAGGAACGGGAAGCAGAGAGGGAGAGGGAAGCAGAGGCGGCATCGACGAATGGTCATGCCGAAGACGATGCGGCGGCGACAGCAACGACAACGGCTGATGGTCGAGCATAGTGAATCGAAGAAGTCAGGCTCGTGACATGGTCCAGAATTGGCTGCCAATCTGACCGAGCAGATTTGTCAACCGGCGTAGAATAAGACTTCTCGCCAAAACTCTGCTCGTGATCACATATATGCGCCGTACAATGCTGGCTTGACGTGCCGCTACCCAACGAATTGTCAGGTCATCCGGTCTTCTCAGTTGACCTGATGCGGGACACTGACAAAATTACTCTCAAAGTAGATAAATTTCTACCTGAACACGTTCCTTAATCTACATGCGCGTCTCGATCAAGCCATCGTCCGTGGCTGTCATCCCTCCAAAGCCCGTAAGATGCTGTTCGTCCTGCATGTAGGATTCTCCCGCGCCGGATGCGATCTACCACACTGACTCTGCTAGATCGAATTCACTAGCCTTGATACCGGAACCTCGTAGCCTCCAGCCTGCCCAGCCCTTCTCTGGGTGCCACATTCCGCCGTCTGTAGCTATTGGTGAAGTCCTGCAGCAGCATTCGCACCTTCCTTGCCTCGTTCTGCTGCAATTTCTGAGAGATGCCCTGCATGAGCTTGTTAGCCTCAGCAGGCTTCAGTGTCCCAGCCGGTAACAGCTGCAATGTATTTGCGACCCATTGAGCAGCACCTTGAGGGATCAGATTGAACAGCGCCAGAAGAATCGCAGAAGCATCGGGATAGACATCTTCCGGGAAGGAGAACATCATGCCGGTCATGATTCGCTGCACCATCTCTAGACCTGTCGTCGCTAGAATCCGCTTGACTGAGTTCTGGACTTCCGGCGGCGAGTGCGGCCGTCCATTCAGGGACGAAATAGGTGGTGTGTCGTAGCCGAAATCGAGCATGTCGCGTAAAAAGTGCAGAGCAGCGAGTATGGGCTCCATGGACTGTAACGCGAGTGCTGAGAGGGAGGCTTTGACCATCGGCTCAGCCAGATCGGAGGTCAGGGTCTTGATCGGGTAGTATCGTATCGCATCTGACGCAAGCCTGAAGAAGTCCTCGATCATATCTGGCAATTCGACGGTGTCCAGATCTGATAAGATCCGGAAGAAGACTGTGGCTTGTTGCGAAAAGAAGTCGAAGACGCTGTCGCTAGTCCTCTGGTCCACAAATTCGGCGCCTTGGGAGAATTCTCGTATCACGGCATCGGTAGCCCACAAGAAGCAGCCTTGCTTTGATGCCGCATAGCCCTCCGCAATGGCAGTCGCCAATTCAGGCAATAAAGGCGCCATACCTGTACGGTATGAGATCACCATATTTCTCCAGCACTTGCAAACTCGCTCGAGTATGGGTATCGATTTCGTGAAATGTTTCGAGATGTCCGCCAGCACAGGCAGCAGCTCTCGGCAGTACTTGACTGCTGGATTCTCCTGGTCAGGAGAAACGTAAGGTTGGACGTATTGGATGAATGTGGTGATCAGACCAAGATAGTCAGCCACTACCTTCTCGCCCTCGTCGTCCTTGGCTTGCTCCGCGTGCGAGACAATCCTGTTCATGACGGGATCGCAGAACAGCTTGAGGCTGCTGTATATTTTCGCAGTAGGCTGAACGGCGACCACGGCGGCAACACCTTCGGTGATCTCTTCCTGACTCGTGGCCTTGAGCTTGTCGAGGACACTGTCGTAGAATTGTTGGAGCTTCTCCACATGGTCACCTAGCAGCTTCGCGCAGTCGGTTCCAAGGAATCGCATGGCCAGTGCAGCGGCTTGCACAACTTCTGGAGACTTATTGTTGAAGCCAGAAATGACATAGTTCAGCTGTGCTTCCAACACTTCAGGGTTTTGCGCAGTCCATTCGGTGTAGCGAGCCAGAGCCATGATGGCCTGAAATTTCAGCTTTTCGTGGTCCGGGACTGTGGTTAGCAACGGGATAACTTGTGGAAGGACAGTGCTTTCCTCCGAAGAGACCATGCCGCCCATGGCTCGAAGCGCGAAGAGTGGTGCTTCTAGCTGTTGCCAATACGGCACCTTAGTCTCTGTGGCTTGCGCACCATACTTCTGACCCCAGCCTTGAATGAGAGCAAAAGTCTTTCGCAAGCACTCTGGAGCGCCGATTGCTTCGCAACAATCTTTCAGGACATCGCCCATGGTGTGTCTGAACTCCCTGAACTTGTCTTCCTGTTCTCTATCACCGTCAAAAAGGTCTGCCTCGTCACCATCTTCTGGTGTCGGGAACTCAAGGTGTTTGATCATAACATCGACCAACTCTGAATATAGGTCGGCCAGTGTAGCTCTTGCCTCCACGTACTTGTCGAGGGTGATGTATTGCTTCAGTTCAAACCAGAAGTTGAATGTGATTGCAATGGCTTCGCGATCCTGATCCACCTTACAGCAGGCGAGGATGGCCTCGACCAATGGCCGGAATTGCGCGGGCATTCGGGCGATGAGAACAACCCAAGCTTCGCCGGCTTCTGCGAACAGACGAGTAATACCTTTCATGAGGTCATTGTCGTCTGCAGCACTTGCAATCTTGGGTGTCATTGCCATGATTTTCGGGAACAGAGCAGTAATTATGGCCTTGGACTCGTCGACGTCCCTAGTGTCTTTGTAGATGGTGCAGAGACAGTCGACAGCCGCGTCGAATGACCTCGGATCATCGATGGCTGCAATCGTCTTGTCGAGTAACGGCGAGTTCACCACGTCCAAGACTTGTATTTCTCTGAGCCACGAAGCCAGACATTCGTAGAGTCGTGGATTTGTTGCAGCAGTGGCTAGTAAAGTCAGCTTGATGAACAGTCTGCCGAAGGGGTGGCTTACCGGATGATTGAGCATATGAGACTAGTAGGCTAAGTACTTGACTGGCATTGTCTTCCAACAGCTCTTTGGTCCTGTCGATGAGCTCCTCTTCCTATTAAGTGGTGGATTAGACTGGAACGAGTTGTGGCTGGGTCGCTGAGGGACTTCGCATGAGATGCTGAGTGGTCGGACATACTGAAAGGTTGACTTTTCGGCCTTCTGTGACCTCTTCTGGAAGAATGCGAAGGAAATCAAGCATGGCATCGCCGCCCTCGTTGCTAGCACCAACGGCCGAACCGACTGTACTCAAGACATCTTTCCAGGTTAGCATCTGCACGGCCATGCTGGCAATGCAGACACACAGCTGAGTCCTTATTGGTCGCGGTCCCGAGACATAGAGCTGCAACAACTGAATAACCTGATCTCGGAGCTGCGGTAGCGCCTCTTGTGACAATTGATGTAGGTCGTATGTGATCTAGCATTGTCAGACATGTTCTCAGGAATGTGCAGACGTATGCGATCTTACCTTTCCTTTCAGTGTAGTCGCGGCAAACAGTCGCGCTTCGACGGAAGTCGAGGAGTCTTGTAGGATGGAGCATGTCGATGTCCATGCTTGAGGCTGTTCGTCGGTCAGATCAGTACATCATATCTTCCGCCGCAGCACGCACAGATTTCTGAAAGGTCTCGAGATATTGATGCGCCACTTCCTTTTCTTTGCCCTGAACATTGCTCTGCATGGTGTTGAGGGCGGCGACGATGGAGGCGACGCCATCGGAGGCAGCTTTGGCCGCCATGTTGCCTCCGATGGTAGATCGAGTAGAGGGGAGGAGGGGTTGTATCAGCCTGTGGCGGCGGACAAAGCAGTGTCTGGAACCATTCGTTTACGGATTCCGTTGTTCCGAGGGCGTCCTCCCGAGCTTGAGTACTTCTTGAATGCGTCTGAATTGCGAGGGAGCCTTGGGATGTGTGTCGAATTCTATAAGGGTTGCGCTGAGGTCGCAATGTGCAAAATGATCTGAGAAGGCGGCGGGCAGGTGGGCTCCACTTGCACTTCCCCAAAGTTCAAGTTGAGATTCTTCAGGTTCTCAAGTTCATCAACACCGCACCATCGCACTTTCCTACATGCCTGCGATCCTTGTGAAGTGCGATCCACCAATATCGACGAGCATATAGATCACCCGATACCATTCGAATTACCGACAAGTCATGGACCGACGAGGCGGCGGTGCGGCGCGCAAAACACTTCTTGCGCCTATTCACTTCATATTCAGCCTTCTTCAAAAGCGCAACACAGTGTCAATATGGCTATATGAGAATCTTCTCACCCGCATAGAGGGCAAAATCAGGGTGAGAACGGCCTGACTGATCTTCTAACGGCACGCTGACTTTAGTGTAGGGTTTCGATGAGTTCATGAACCTAGTCGTGGACGATGCAGTGGAGGTCCAAATCGCGACAAAAGACGCGCCCGAGAAGAGGAGAAAGCTGGGACAGATATTGCTCAAGGGCGACAACGTGTCATTAATTCATGCGCTGGACTAGGGGTGGGTTTGTTGAACAAAAGCTGTCTACGACTACGGAACGTCACTGGGTATACCTGCGGGCTGCAAAAGAGCTACATTGGCGCTATTATCCGATCTACCAACCAGTCGTTGTCATCGACAGGAATACTGTCAGTCTCAGGGAGTAGCTGAGGCGCTAAGGCCAAGCCGACTGTCGCCAGAACTGTCAGCTAAGGAGCAAGCACAGGGGGACAAATGGCACCGACCAAGAAGTGGCATCTGTGAGCCACATCGAGTCGCGGCAGAGCTGTATCGCTCGAGGTAGCGGTCGTAGAAGCCTCTGCCGTGCCCCAGGCGCCGGCGTTCATGATCGAAAGCGACCGAAGGCACGAAGATGAGGTCTAATTGCAGAGAGGCACTGTCGGATTCAAGGCCATAGCCTCCGAGCGCGTTCTGGCGGAGTGGTACTGAGTCATCGCTCAAAGTTGGTATACCCCAAGCATCCGGCTTCAGAGAGTCAAGATCAGACTCGCTACGCAACCTGAGCATATCCATGACCTTGTCTCTGCCTTCCGGCACAGCTACTTCGTAGATGTACGGCACAAAGACCTCCTTGCCAGCCTTCAGTGCATCTCGAACAACGTCAGTCGTCGAGACCTCCTTTCCGGGCATGGACAGGAAGACTGAGATGGCACCTGCCGTCTGATACTCTTTCAGAGCAAGCACTTGCCGTGTGACAGATTGAGCTACCGCGAGATCAGCTTCGACGTCCTACCTGAGCTCGACCCACGAACATTGCTCTTGAATTTCTCCCGTTGATAGCTTCGCCACTTTCGCTCTTATAGCCTTGCGAAGCTGAGTCTTCTCCTGTCGAAGCGTGCCCGTCGCCATCTGTCGAGCCCGTACGATGATCCCGCCGCTGCGACGCATGTAAGCTCGCACTGGCTGGCGGACGAGAGATGCTAGCATTTCATTTCATGATCGATGTCACGAAGTCGCAGTTACGAATACCGGCTTCATTCAAGGGCGTCAACGTTGTAAAGTTGCGACAATGCGGACTGGAAGACCTGTGACCTATACCTAGGTACCGAGTCCGGTCCTTATAGGGTCGAAGGTGACCTCGGGAGGTGCCAGTGAGGTGGGATGATATGCGGCACGAATTGCTTCAGGGGTCCCCTGGTGGGTCAACAGCGGATCTGAGCCCCGGAGCCCGACCACTCAACAGCACGATGTACCTGAATGTACAACTCTCCCCTTAGCAACACCGCATTCATTCCACCGCCATACAATCCAACCGCGATCACTCTCTTTCACACCTAACGGTCGCATCTCTAGGCATTTCTCAGCAGGCTGAGCCTCTCTGCGACTCATCGCTCTGCTGCGCAGAGCGTTGGCAACGACGACACGTTCTCCTTCCACATTCCCAACACATAACTACCCACCATGTTACCATCAATACACAACCTAGCGCTCCTGTCGCTGAGCCTCTACTCCTCTGTCTACGCGCAATACCCAGACGAACTAGTAGGTACATGGGTCTCAAAATCCCGCTCAGTCGTAACGGGCCCGGATTTCTACGACCCCGTCGCCGACAAACTCATCGAGCCCAAACACGCGGGCATCGCCTACTCCTTCACCTCAGACGGCTTCTTCGAGCAATCCTTCTACCGCTCCATCTCGAATCCGACAACCCCAAACTGCCCCTCCGCCATGATGCAATGGCAACACGGCTACTACTCCCTCCCGGGCAATGGCAGCATAGTTCTCGAACCCATCCCCTCCGACGGCCGCCAACTGCTCTCCACCCCTTGCACCTACGACAAAGCTGTCTACACACGCTTCGACCAGCCCATCCTCCTCAAATCCTACGAGCGCGTCACCGACGCCTTCCACAACGTTCCCCGTCTGAACCTGTTCTTGTTCGACGGTTCACCAGAGCAGCCGCTGTATTTGGCATACAACCCGCCGCAGATGCTGCCGACGCAGACACTGAACCCGACGGCGGCGGCGAGTCAGCCGACGAGTCGGGTTAAGAGAGATGAGGATCGGGAATTTCATGAGCGGTGGACGAAGAAGATCGTCAAGGGGGAGAATTTTGACCATGGGGACAGTGATGGTTTGTTGTTGAAGCCCCGGCCGATGCGTTGGGATCCAGATCGCTGGTGGTGGGCGGGCTTTGGGTTTCTCGCGATTGGGACTGTAATGTATATGTTACCGACGAAGTTGTAAATCTTGGAAGAAGCGTTTGGAATGTTGGAAAATGGATTTGGGGTGTTGACATGGCAAACATGGCGGGCGTTGTGGGCGTCTGGGTTCATTTCAGGGCACGCAGAGGGTGTCAGAACAGAGAGCACTGGCGAAGCAGTGTAGCACAGTCAGGCGATATAGATGGAATAGCCAATTGACGCTTCCAGAACATCATCTCTCACTTCAGTACTTTCAGCACAGTCTCCTAGGAGACACCAGCCCTGGAGTCGATGTCCCGGGCACTGTTCAGGATTCGATGCAACCGCAGCCACCCAGCAGAGAAAGAACACCCAGAATAAGGAATTCTCGCCTCCAACTTCAAAAAGCCGCACTCGAGAGAGGAGGGCGGAGCACGAGCCGTCTCGTATTCTGATGGCTCGAAATCAGGACAAGGTCATGGGCCGGGGTATCAAGCACTGGATACAGTGGGTGTGTGGTTACACAGCAGGAGCTGAGGAGCGCCATCTGGCATTTGATGCCCCCACGTCCCGAGGCACGGCAAGAGCTTGTGTAGAAGATGGCATATGACATATGATTGATGTGCCCTGACGGCATCCTGACGGCATAACAATGACATGGGCACACAACCTATGCAGCCGTGCAATCAGCAGTATTCGAGATTGCCGAGCTGAGATATCAAGTCCCGAGGTCGTGAGGAATTTCTATAAGTCGCCCGTGGACAGCGCCCTCCCTGGCTGGAAAGTCCACGACGAAGTTTTCCTAAGAGCTAAAGCCCGAGTGAGGACCATCTAAAGTCACCTACTCAACCAGCGGACTAAAATCAGACCTCCAGTGCCCTCCCTGACCCGAGAAAAGATGGAGAGCCTTACGTGGTAAGAGCGCCAAATACTTGTGCAGTCGCATGTTCGTAGCCAGACTGCTTGCTGTATATTGTCTAGTAATTCAACCTGACGCCTGGCTTCGCCAGCTCTTCCGCATTTGGCGTCTTGATGAGCCTCCCATTCACCTTCCTGCAAGCCCCAGAAATGAAAAGTTAGCTGGAGGGTTCTCGTTGGACGCGTGCTGACTATTTGGTTTTGGTCCCCGGGTTGCCAACTGAGCGCCCGTCGACTTTCCTTAACTTGAGCTTGTCAATATCGATGCCCTTGAGCGTGCGGACGTTGATGGCGCGGTTGTCCTGGAAGAAGTTGGGATCGTTGCTATTGGAGACGGATCAGTCATACGGTTGGTTGGGGTAGGTCTTGAATCAATGAACGTTGCCTCTGCTCACCTCTTGGCCCCAATAGCCGTCCCACAATTCCCGCAGAAAGAATGTTTGACCCGCTCCATGCCGAACTTGTATTCGGTCATCTCCTGGAAGCCAGAGAGCCAAGTAATGTTGGTCTCAAGGGGATAGATCATCAGATAGCCGTTGATGTGGCAGATAGAGCTTGATTCAAGTTAGCGTTGAACCCGGCGTCCGTCAGGAGGGAACAATCGATGACGCACAGTTGCAAGCTGTGACTGGGCCGTCCTCTATTGGTGGAGAGACTTTGATGGTGTACTTCACATGGCCACAGTGGCAGCCACCTTCATATTCGTGGGAGCGTGGTTGGGTAGCGATGTCGGCGTGTCTGCAGACATGTCGAACGCGCGCTCTGTGTTGTCGAAGTCGAAGACCGCTTGATCTCGATGCCGTTTGACCTTCAGGGCTGCTTTATAGACCTAGAGTCCGCCTGGAGCAGCCGATCTCAACAATTTCGAGATTCGCCGTTATGATTGAGTATCAGTCGGCACGGACGAGACAAATACGCCCGTTCAAGATCCTTCTTGGCCCCTGAAAGCTATGCTAACAATCAAGAGGTACGACGTACGTCTCGTAGCCTCGTGTGACTGAGTGTGACTTGAGCTTGATGCGTGTTCGCCAAGGCAACGAGGCAGTCAGGCAGTCGTATATCGTGATCGATCTGGTGTTTCTGTTGGGGTCAGTATGCTGCATTCCATGCCAGCTACCGAATACGTGTACACTTTGTGGGGAAATTTGAGGGACGTCGGAGCAGACTCTGGAGTACGCCGGTGGTCAAGGGTGAAGAACAGGCGATTGGTCTAGACTTTGACCTGTGGGGCGCAGGTAGGCGCCCAGAGTCGTCTGCATTTCGCACTGGCAGTCACGACCACGCTGTTCTTTCATAATTGAAGTTGCATCATCGTTGAGCAGGCAGCCTGTCCGTCACCACGATCTGTACCTGCTGACCAGGTGAATGTAAGCCAACTGCATCCCGGGGCGGGCTGCACGTAAATATGCTGAATGCTGACCGCCGAGAGCCGTCGGTTGACGAGGCGTTCGTGACACGAGAATTCCCCCAAACCATAAATTGTTCATGACGGAATCGACACGATCTGACAGCTATATTGAGTCATGGATAGGGCAACTTAACACGAGATCAGTAACTCATGTTGACCAGATGCAGCGCATGAGTGCTAAACAGCAGGAGGATTCTTGTGATTGCGTGAGGCTAGATCAGCACGCATTGCAAACCTGTTCCCCTCTTTGCTGGGGTACATTAGCGAGGCGCGGCTGCGCGTGGCCATGGAACTTCTATGCACATTGCTACAAATTGTCGAGGACTTTATGGACCAAGCAGACCTTTGCGGGTTCAGCTTGGGGCCGATCCCGATGGCGGCAGTGGCCGAAGGGCAAATCATGGCGCGTTCGTGGTAGGGAATGAAAAATTTGAAGTGAAGCAGATGATCCTGATCTTCGTGAGCCGGGGGAATATGAGCTAGGCACGACTTTCCGAGGCCACCCGCCACGATCACGCACGACTTTGCAAAGCTCGCTGCTCGATGCGGTAAGTAGAGACGACCGGCTTGTGTCTGTCCAAGTTGTTCTGAGGGGTGAGGCCTGATGTGTAGATGCTATTTCACCATGATTAATGTACTTTGCAGACCTCACAATCGAGACGGGAGATTGCTGTAAAGGTCCCTGCCGAAGGCTGAAATATATCCATGTACAGCCGGCAGCCACACTTGCGCCGTGCCAACTGCAGGACGAGAAACAGGTCTACTCCGTAGAAAACATAGCGTTAGGCGGCACGCCGTGCTAAGGAAGGCTTAAGCACCGATGGAGGTTGGAACGACGTGCTCTTAGGGTTCATTGCCGCATAAAGTGTGGAGTCGGCTGTGGCCGAAGCCCGTGTTGAAGCCTGCACAGTGGCTCGAGTGGCAGGCGCGAAATTCTGATGATAGGAGAGTGCCCCAGTCATCGCATCTCGCATCCTGCCAGTCTCTTTGCAGTGACCTTCACGCCTTGTTCGACACCACACCCCATCCCCGCTACAGCTCGCGATTCGCTCTGATCAGACCATCCCACGCATCTCCTCGCCTGCACCATGCGAGTCTGACGAGCACCCTGACCCTTCTCCATTCTCCGCTTAGAGGCGCATACCTTGCGACTGACACTACTGGACTTCCTCTACCACTCACAAGTCCAGTCGACCTCGTCCGCAGTCACTTGCTCGTACCTTGTATCGACTCCTGTCGTGTGCTAAAATATCCGGGAAACTTGCGACCCCGATCTCGAGTCCTCGTCAATCGACTTCGACTGCACATCACTGCCTGGTTCATTGAAATCCCTCTCCATGACTCAAGCACGAGGCTCAGGGCGATGATCCGCAGAAGCAATTCCCACGTCCCCTTCGAGAAGCGCCACTCCAGCCAGGCTCGCCAGGTCACCTGGACGTTCGAGCTTTTCCTGGTGTACCTGCATAAGCAAGAATAGCGACAAGTCCATTCCGCGATCCTGGACTGAGCCCTGGGTACCTTCGTGCAGACCGTCGAGACGTTTCATCAGACGAACCCACTTTGAGCCATCGAGAGGGCTGCTACCTCTTAGAAAAACTCTGCGTGCATAACGAGCTGAGCTAGCAGCCTTTTGGTGGAGGGCCGGTCCTTGCAAATCGCGAATTCCTGGTTGCGAATTGGGCGCACGCAGCGCCGTCCTGCACTTCCCCGGATCCAATACCCAGCTGTCAACTACCAGCTCTGTGGGTACACCACTCATTTGAAGTTCTCCGAGGGTTAGACAGATCGAGGAGTTGGCGGCTGTCGAAGGATCTGCCAAACACTATCACTACGAACTACTGCCTGACGTACCCCACCTGGGCACTCATCATCCCCTTTCTCCTCCCGTGATCAGCTGTTGTAGTTTATATACCGCATGCCATGGCTGAAATGGAGGAGTCTCCGAAAGAGGCCGCCTCGAGCAAGGCCCGGAAGAGCCCCGAAGACACGAAGATGATGCTGGACACGCCCACGTCTGAGCCTCCAAAGAAGCGACGAAGAGTGGTGAAGCCTAATGCGGAGAAGAAATTCGAATGCAAACATGAGGGATGTGGCAAAAGCTACTCGCGAGCCGAGCATTTGTATCGGCATCAGCTCAACCGTAAGTCGTGCAGTGTGTTGCATTGTCACTGGTACTGATCGAAACAGATACCCCGAAGAACATATACCGATGTGACTACCCTGATTGCAACCGCTACTTCGTTCGACAGGATCTGTGTATCAGGCACCGAGAAAGGCACACCACCCACGGTTCCCAGCTGCACAAGCGTGATACATTCGCTCAGTCTACGAACCAACAAAGTCAAGCTCAGAGCGCGCAGCAACAGTCACCGTCACAACCCTACAAACAGCCTGAGTTGTTCGCAAAACCATCCCATGAGCCTGGTCCTCCTTCGAGAAACAACTCCTACCACCAAGAGACGTCATATCCTCCCCCACAAGGGCAGCACCCTCCAGGTGCCAACCCTTCGGCTTCGCCTTCCACAGCAACGACAGACCCTCGATTACTCCCACACACACCGGCACTCTCTCATTCGCGAGAGAGTGGGCACGTCAGGACAGGCAGCATGGGCAGCAATCCTTTGAGTCCAGATCAAAAACATGACATGAACAATTGGGGCGCTGCCCCTCGGAGGCCAAGTTACGGCTCAGGTCACGGTTCCAATGGGCACTTGCCTTTCACTGCGAACGATGCCAGGTACACAGGAGGGACGATGATACCACCTTCACCTAGCCGAGGCTACTCTGGGATGTCTTCCTCGAGCATGAACCAGGGCTGGCAACAGCCCGTGCGGCAGAATTCAGAGCACCAGCTCGAGAACCGCACTCTACCCAATGGCATGATGCATGTCAGCGGAGGTTATGCTATCCAAGACTTTCAGAGGAATGATCTTGCCCGAGTGCAAGAGGCTGCATTCGCCGCGGCTGTCACACAGGGCCTGCAAAACACCCGCAGTGATCAATACCCATACGGCACCCTGAACCCAATGACCACAATGGACCTTGGCGGGCCAGCATATAATTACCCCACCTTCGGCGGCGAAGAGTACGGACAGGCCGCCTATGGTCTCGCTGATGAGTTCACAGCTTGGTTGTTCAACGATGCCAATACTGGGGCGCAGGACTTCTCACCGTCCACCTTCATGCCAAATTACCTCGATCCTTCACTAGGGCCTGCACAGGGTCCGACATTCCAGCAAAGCCCCACGTCAAGCGACAACGTGAAATCGACAGTAAGCCATCCGATGAGTGTGACCAGTATTCTCGACAACACCGACCGAAGCCAGTATATCATGTCAGAAGAGAAGAGACAGGAATTGTTGGCTTTGATGAAGAATCAATTCATCGAACGACCACACGATGCAGTCAAGAAACGTAAGGAGTCTGTCTTTGAAGGCGATGTGGACAGCGAAGGCCACATTCTGAGCTTAAGGATGATGCATACCTACATCGGCTCATACTGGTACCACCAACACGCTCAGCTTCCCATATTGCACAAGCCAACTTTCTCTGCCGACAAGACGCCGAATTTGCTATTACTAGCAGTCATTGCTATTGGCGCTGCGACTCTCGACAAGGCATATGGCACTTCGTTGACGGATTCTGCTGCTGAGTTCGCCAACTTCATTCTCTGGCACCTCAGGTGGGAGATTGTCCGTGACGCAGATTTCCGGCCACCTGCGAAGCTTTGGGTGTTCCAAGCACTGCTACTGGTCGAAGTTTATGAAAAGATGTATTCGACAAGAGCACTTCACGAACGAGCTCACATCCATCACGATTCAACTTTGACGCTAATGAGACGTGGCAGCTCCTTGCTGGGTCGCTCTGCATCAGACACACCGCCAAGTGGCCGCGACGAGAAGGGCGGCATGGTGAACGGCTCCGGCAGCAATTCCGAAGAGTCGTGGCACAGGTGGATCCAGACTGAAGCGACTAGAAGGGCTGCATTTGGAGCATTTGTACTTGACTCGATCCATGCGACCATGTTCGGCCACGCTGCTAAAATGGTCGCCCACGAAATGCGCCTGCCACTTCCCTGCGACGAGGGACTGTGGACGGCAGCTTCGCCAAGTGAGGCCGCACGTGTCCAGACTGCCCTCCACAGCAACGGCGTCAAGCCGACGATGTTCTTGGAGGCCTTAAAGAAGACACTAAACGGTCAAAGAGTGCGCACGAACTCATTCGGCCGCACCATCATCATGGCCGGTCTGCTTTCTGTCTCTTGGCACATGACCCAGCGCGACCTTCAAATATCCTCTCTCGGCGCACGCACTGCGAACTCCTTCGGTGGCCTCGACAAATGGAAGTCAGTCCTCCTGCGAGCCTTCGACAACTGGAAGCGTGACTTCGACGAAGCCCTCGCCGAGTCAGCCCCTGCACCTTCCTCGTCACCCACCATTCGTCACACCGTCCCTCACAACACCTCCGCCCACAGCTTCCTCCGCCCGATCGACGATGAGAACATCTTCGAATCACGCACTGTCCTCCACCACCTCGCACACATCGCTGCCCATGTCGACGTCGTCGACTGCCAAGTCTTTGCCGGCGCCAACCGCCTCCTCGGCCGCTCCGTCACGCCCAAAGACTACGACATTATCCGGCAAAAGATCGAACGCTGGGCCTCCAAAGCTTCAGCGCGCGACGCAGCGTTCTATGCGCTCAAGTTCATCGCCCAAGTCATCGTCCCACCCTCGGAAGTGACGCAAGACGGCGTCCTGGACAGCCGGCACTACGGCCATGCCAGCCCGATCCTGCCGCAGGCTTTCGAACAGAACCAGTATATTGCGCGCGACGACTTCTTGCTGAATCGGCCGTGGGTGTTGTATATCTCGGCGCTGGTGGTGTGGTGCTATGGATTTGCGCTGGACGGGCCGATTGTGCCGACGCCGCAAGCGGAGGATTATGATACTTATGAGAAACGCGAGAGGGATATGATGGGCTACTTAGGCCGGGTAGCCGGGGTGCGCGCGCCGGATGACCTAGAAGGCGTGGAGGGGAAGAACCGCTGTTTGGGACTGCTGATGATTCTGAAGGATAGTTTTGGGTCGACGCGGTGGGAGCTGACCCACGAAGCCGCAGGCCTTCTGGGCAACGCTTGCCTCAAACTGCGCGGGATCGAGGACGGGGAAGGCGAAGCACTGGTTGGTGAGATTGGTGGAAAAGAAGGTTGGGAGCCGCTGAGAGAGGACACGGCAGCGGGAGGTGGGAAGACGGGAAGTGCGAATGCGGGCGTACATTCTGGGACGGCGGGTGGGATCAAGAGGGAGAGAGGGGATGGTGGGACGGGAAGGAAGGAAGGGTTGGGATGGGATGTGTTGTTGGAGGCGAGAAAGGGGGATGTCACTGTTGCGAATGCTGCGGTGGTGCGGTGACATGGTTCAAGAGGAGGAGATTTTCGACTTTTTCGAGTCGATGAGTGAGCACGGTATTGGGAAGCAGAAAACTTGCATAAGGCCTAGCAAAGGTCCTGCACATATTACTGTATCTAGGTGACGAAGTTTTGATGTATATGAAGGGCTACGAGATGTAATTATGGGAAACAAAGGTCTAAAAGATGGAATGGGCGGGGACGAAAATTCCGATAGCGATGAAACACCAGCATGAGCACAGCATTACATAACATTTTCCAGCACCCTATTTCCTACGAGCTTGCTTGTTCACTCTGTAGCTGAACGAAAGCGTTGAGTTGGGGTATCTCACTCCATTTGGGATTCCTGGCTAGATCCCATGCTTCATAGCAACCAGACCTACAGCGCCGCGGGCTTCTCATCATGCACGACCAACCTCTCCGCACGTCCAATCAACTCCTCATAAACTGTCCACGCCAGCGCACTGCTAACCGCCTTCCGCCCCATCCGCAATCCCAATCCATCAAAAAACGCCTTCACCCCGTCCTCCGCCAGCATCAGCCGCGTCGCTTTGACCATATTCCCGTATTTATGCGGGAGGAGCTGCAGGCGGGTCTTGACTGCATCGAAGGGGTTGGTGATTGTGGTGGCGGTCACGCCGGCGAAGACGCCTGAGGCGGCGTTGATGGCTGGGTTGGAGAGCTGGAGCGTTGGCGTGCTGAGGCCGAGATCTAGGCCTGCGCCGCCGGTGCTCGTGGATGTGTGCCTCGAGGAGCCAAATGTGCTTGACAAGTAGGTCTTCGACGCTTCGTAGAAGACGACGTACAGCCCCGCGTAAGGCGCATCGCGGACAGCGGTGGCGCCGAAGCCGGTGAAGAAGCCGCGCAGGCCTTCGCTGCGGTAGATGTGGGAGGAAGCGGAGAGGAGGGATTTGTAGTTGTACATGTCTGACTCGTAGCGGACTTTTATTACTGTTACCGGCATGAGGACCATGCCGGCGAAGACGCGGGCCGAGGCGCCGGTGAAGAGATTTTGCGTTGAGGAGAGTTTCGGGAGGACGCTGCTGGAGGTTGTTGTTGCGCCGGTGGTGAGGGCAGTGTTATTTGCGACGAGTTGGCGCATGGTGGAAAGAGTGGTGAAATACAGCGCGGAGCCGAAGCCTGTTCGGAGCGCAGAAGGGACAGTGCCCCGCCATAGTGAAGTTATGGGGTGTGGTCCGGAGAGGATGGAGCGGAGAACGGGCAGGAGGGAGGTGCTTCGAGATTGTTGTACACGGGTCTTGAGGAGGTCGGCGGGTTGCAAGAGGACGGCGGAGGATACGCCGCTACCTAGGCCGGCGAGAAAGTGGAAGGTCGGATGGGCTTTCTTGGTCGATCTGGCTTTCGTGGCGGCGCCATCCGACATAGCAGTAGTGGGCTTGAAGCCTCAGCTTGGTCTGGATGGGTGGCTGCGGCGAGGTGGTATATGTGACGGTGCTGGCGGCTGCGGTAGCATCGTGTGCAGGGCTCACGGCCTGTTCATAGTCAACATTGACGGACCACCGACGGATGCCACATGCACAGTGTGGAAAGCGAATACGGATCAGGTGCAGGACAGGTCAGGGAATTAAGGACTTCGCGAAGATGAAGCGGATATAAAAATGTCGATGAAGTCATTTCATTGGGGAATCATCCTTGCCCAGTTACAAAAGCATCCGGGCACAACCGCTGCTCTCGACTGGCGCGTCCAAACAATGAAGCAAATGGCTCGTCTGGTGCGTGAGCAGTAATTCAATCAACTAATGCGATATTAGAAGGACCCTCGTGAATGCACTGGCGGGTGACTGCGAAAGGAACCGAACTTGCTCAAGGGTACGGCGTGCAGAAGGAGCGGATACGCAACCGCCACGGTTGCCTTTTTTGCCTCGTTGATATCGAGAATTCGTCCTCGAGTCTTCGACATTTGCTACTGAAGATGAGGACGAGGGATCGGAATCACGGCTTCTCGCTATCACAATCATGACTCTACTACAGAGGTTTGTACTGAATGCTACTTGCCTGGGTTTCCACTGATCATCTCAAAGCATCAAGCCGTTCTGGCCAATCTTACTGACTTTCGTGCTTCCCCGAGCCATCGGCTACGCTCGAGCGTTCAGAGTGGCATATCGGACGCGACCACAACCACGGCCACTTCCAGCAAAAGCGAGGGTCTCTGTTTCGCTCCTGATCGGCGCAATATGTTTGTTCATAGTCGCAGCAGGCTCGACACTTGGGACTGCTCGGGTCAACATCTTTCTACTCACGAATTCGAGACTGGCCAGTTCCACAGACGTGCTCTTCAACCGCCTCGCGACCATGAGACAGGGCCAAGCACTCACTGGGCTTGACGAGCAGCTCCGAGAAAGACTCACCAGCAACACCATGCGGAAGTTGTATCTACGTTTTGGGCCAACGACGATTGTTGACTGCCCTTTCTGCATACCTTCAGATCCCTCCACATACCTACTTTACCACTTTCCGCGGAACGTGGTGCAACCACATCTCCTGAACGTCGGTATACTCGGACTGGCGACATCTGCGACAGTATCAGGAATTGATGCAAGCACCTGGCGATTCTACACGCTAGTTGGGGCCCTCCTCATTGCAGCATTTGATGCTTGGTATACGAGCACTTATGATCCAGTCATTGACGCGAACATGCCCAGTCCTGCAGGCCTCTTCTGGGTGCTCGCAGTGCTCCGGCCACTCACACTATGTGGCTACGATGCTGTCGTGGCCTTCGTCATCTATGCTTCTGCAACGAATCGATTCTTGCTCTTCTCCGGCCCAGCCAGAGATCCCAAGATCGTTCAGCAGCAGATCACAGATCAGATCAACAAGAGCGGCATGGCGATGTCGACAGCAGCAACCAAGATGCGAGCAACAAATCTGGCTCGCAATGCCGTGGTCAGAAACACAGATCTGAGGCAGTCGGAAGATCAGTACTGGCAAAGGATTGCTGAGCACGAAGGGCCACAGGATCTGCGCTCCGGTGTCTTCGAAGACGAAGAAGTGCAAGCGGCGCTTGCTCGAGCCTACGGGAGTGGTTCGGTTCAGGTGGACAAGATCCGGAAAGAGGCAGATGCTTTCGTCCGGGGCGTTACGCAGAGCTTAGAGACCCCGGTGCAACATGCTCCGTCGCAATGATAGAAGGCTTCGTTTTAGCAGGCCCAAGTCAGCAGCCTATGCATTGTTATGTGGACTTCTTCCATCTATCTCCGGCTCCATCGCAGCAGGTGCTTTTCCAACGCCGGTCGCTAAGTCTGAATATGCTGGGTACCGTAGCCTTTGATGTTCTCCGAGTCGGAAGCAATGATTTTCGCAGGCTATCTTGCTCGACGAGCGCATCCGCGGCATGGTCGACGGTGTGTACGGTGCTATTTCTTCTTCGGCGCAGCTCCGCCCTCTTTTGCTTTCGCCTCAGCTGTAACAGCAGGTCAGACCAGATCAGTGCATGTGGGCGCATATGGAACATAGATCGTTTTTTCACTGATACAATGACAAAAGGGTCCTGCGCCTTCTCGGCACGTCGTACCTACCTTTGGCTTGTTTCTCGCGCATTATTGCGGCCTGAGCCTCCTTTGTTCTCGCAAACTCGGTACCACTCTGGGTGTTCTTGCTCTTCGCAGCCCCTTGCGCCGCCAGATTCTTCTCTCTTGCCTTTTCCCGCTGATTTCCGCGAGTCATTTTGCGGTGTGTAACGCTTCTGATTCGAACTGTTCCACGATGTACTCGATTTGATATTCAAGGACAGCAGAATGCGATTCCTTGGGGCAAGTGCGGTGCACGTTTGATAGTACTTGTACTTTCTAAGATTTGGTGGGAGCGGTCAGGCTGCGGCAAGGCTGAAGCTCCGATGTTTAGCCGAAGATCCGCGCTTTCACAGAACGCCGGCCCATGTTCTTTCACACGATCACGTATAACACATCCAGAGATGCCTTCGCAACTGTATCAGCACGATGCTCGCCGGAGAACATGTCACTATGAAGCATTGTCGCAGCTCGAATCCCGCCCCGGACAGTGTTCCGCAGCCGCGCTTAAACGCGTCCGTGAGTAGGGTCTTCGACGTGTTTCAGGTTCGACACGTTCAGTTGGCAGGACAATCTGGACCACTCGATCACTGCCGGGGTCGCCTTGTTGAAGACGACTCTAATCTGACAGACAGCAGTGCAGTGCGCCGATCCCAACATTGACTGCACATGTGGCAAAAGTCAAGCTTCGCACCTCGATTCTGATTCTCATCCTCTAAGCCTGTCTGAAACATCGACCGCAAGACCGTCTGGACGTCCAATGGCACAGCACGAATTCGCTGGTACCTGTTCATCCCACAACGCTTCTCAGAACGCGGTCTGACACTGTGGTCTGGCCGTCCTCGAGCGCCGATCTGATGAGCTTGAGCGGCCGAGATCAGTCTTTCACCCAAGCTTGTCATAATTGGCCAGGTAGGCCGTTTGCCTCAAGTTCTTGCCTGTCCGAACATTGTCTCTGTTGGACTTCTATTCAACAAAGCCTTTGCACAGGCACGCGACTGCCCATTGAACTGCCCGTTGTTGGTGATTGTTTCTATTCATTGTTTTCAAACTATTCATTGTAACTTCAGACAACGAAATCCTTCTTGTCTTAAATATCCCTTTCATGCCCAACTGTCTCCGACTTGACCACGAAACGCGCTTCCTTGATTCCACACCTACACCACTACAGAAGACTTCGAGTTGACCTCGTCTCTGCAAAGTACAGCGACACATAATCTCCATCAACCTATCTACTCAACCATTACATGTGGCTTCTAGTCGCTAAACTCGCCATGCGCTTCTTCGGTACCCGAGGTGGCGGCGGCAAGGCCAATGTCGCAGGCGCTGGCTATATCGTGCTCGGAACCGTCCGAGTCATGAACATCATCTCCCTCCTCACAGTCATCGGCGGCTCAGGCGTCTTGCTGGTCAAGACCTTCTCCATCGAAGGCTTCAGCTTCTTCGCTGCGCTCAGCCATGTGCTGCGCATCCTGGTCTCGGTCTTCCTCATAATTTCCGAACTCAACCTCTTCAAAGCATACTTCAGCCGCAACTGGCCACTCTTCAGTGCCCGGCACGGCTTCGTCATGCTCGGTCTGATGCAGCTGTTTCTCGGCATCACCATCTTCAGCGAGCTGTCCCACCGAGAAGCTCGCCAGGCAAAGCTCACGATGCCTTTCTGGCGTCTCACTCTCGCTGCTGGCATTCTCATGACTATCATGTCCGTCATCAACATACTCTGCTCCTACATCTTCCGCGACAACCGAGCTGGTGTCACAGCGCGAATGGTCCGGATGCACGGCGCAGCAGCGGCGAGCAAGAACCAGCACTACGATGAGGAGTCGACCATGGCCTCACCACACCCCAACCGCGCCACACGCTATCGCGAATTCTTCCTTGGTCGGTCTAAGAAGAACAACGGCGAGAACCGCTCCAGCCTTCCAGACTACGAGAGCACGCCGAGACGAGGCATGAATATCTCCAGCCCGATTAGCCCGGCCGCAAGCAGCAAGTACAGCCACTATCACGCTAGTGATGGTCCAATCAGTCCAGAGGCTGCGATCCATCCTGCAGAGCGGCACGGCAATATGATCTAATCTGACCACTGCTGCGCGCAGGCTTAAGGTCGGATAGAAGAGTAGGCGTTGCAGGAGTTGACGGATAACGAAAAAGATACCACAGTCATTTAGTACAGAATTTTCATGGGAGAAGTCGGACCTTCCTAACACGCAATTCTGTCGATAATCTATCTTCGACTGAGGGCGGCCTCAATAGCAAAGTACACATAATCACAGATCATCCAGGTTCTACATCATTTTCCCTATTTACATGCAATCCTGATCTATATGCCCAGTTCTTTTCCCGCCTGTGACGTTCACTCGGAGGCCGCCTAGCTGAGAGCTCTTGTCAGTGCTCCCCTTCTGTAGCTTGTCAACAACTTCCCCATCGCGTCTGCGGTCCGCGTAACTCAAGCCATGTAAGCCTGTAGCTGTGATGTACTCCAGCACCATCACTGACTTAGCTCCTAGTTCTTCGGGCCTGATCTTCTCATGACTCTTGCTGCCACCTCGCGAATCAAAAAGTTGCATGCAACCTGGAACAGAAGTATTTCCATTATTTTTCAACAAAAATGAACTTCTATTCCATGGTGGGCAGAATGATGTTGCTGTCCAGCCCATCAATCAATACATCCTTCATCGTCTGTGCTGACTTGACCCGGATGTCGATGAAGCTGCCCGGGCTGTAGAATGCGGTGTGGCAGGTGATCACCATTCCTATATCACCCAAATTCGTCAGCCCTTACGGTCTTCTCACCTCATCTGCTCACCTGGAGGGAACTTTAGGCAGAATACTCACGACCACTCAACCACTCCTCCTTCCTCCTATACGCCTGTATCAGACTATGCGCCGGCTCCGGAATCGGCTCTTGAGGCAATACATCCAGCCCCGCACCACTCAATATATCCTCCTTCAGCGCCCTCTCCACGCCATCCAAATCCGCACACTCTCCCCTAGCCGTATTCACCAATATGGATCCCTTGGGCATCAACTTCAACAAGTCCCAGCCCACCAAGCCCCTGGTCTCCCTCGTACACGGGCAGTGGATACTCAACACAGTCGACCGCCGGAACAGCTCCTTGATGTCCTTCGTCCGCTCCAACCCCAAGGACTTGTCGGTGCCGTTGGGCTTGTAGGGATCGTAGAAGAGCACATTCCAGCCGAACGCTTTGGCGCGGAGTGCAGCGGCGGTGCCGATGCGGCCGAGGCCGAGGACGCCGAAGGTCGTGTTCTGGATGCGGGCGACGAGGGGAGAGTCGATGTACATGAAGGGGGCGACGTTGGGTTCGCGTTGGGCGTCGTTGTGGAGGAGGATGCCTCGGCGGAGGGAGAGGGTCAGGGCGAGGGCGTGGTCGGCGATTTCGGCTGTGCCGTAATCTTTTCGTGGGTGTTGGTGTTAGATTGTGGCGAGAGGGGTGCCTGGTGTTTGGGTATGGACAAGAAAGGGCGTGGGGCATGCTTACCGGGCACGTTGCAAACAATGACCCCACGTTCAGCCAGGGCTACGCGGTCGAGGCGGTCATAGCCTACTCCCATACGCACGAAGCTGAATATATCGTCAATGCTGATGGAAATTGAAAGGCAAGGCTGTGAACATACACCTTCAGGTTAGGGAAGAGAGCAAGATCATCTCTCGTAAATGACATCTTGAGGACCATGATGCCATTGACTCGGTCTCTGAGTGCCTTGTCCATGTCTGTCCATGGTCGCATGTCGTTCACTCCTGTGGGCCATAGATCTGATTGGATGTATTCGACTTCATAGTCGTGTGTTGGGTCTTCTCGGAACAGCTTCTGCTCAACGACATCGTCCTATGAATGAATCGGTGGGTAAGTGAAGGATCCAGACAGCAGCAACAACTGTGATCTCTTGTCTTCCCCCATACTGACACCATCATAGCCACGGCAACAGCGACTGATCTGGACTTACGGGGTACAAGCCATCTGCTTGGACAATGACAAAGTTCGGCTTCGACATTGCGGATTTCCAATGCACACCCTCTGTTGCTGCTACAGTCTACCGAACCCAACCTGTCGGACACGTGTGGTCTTTGCGAATACGTCTGATACGGTGAAAGTCAAGGCCCGGTATGCACGCTTGGTATTTTGGTGGGTATATGCAACTCCAAGACTTTTCGTCACCACCCAGTGAATCTACAGATCAGAACCCGGACCGAGAATTGCGCGAACCGGACCGTCACATTGATGGAACTTATATAGAAGAGAATACTTGGCCAAGATTCGCACGCAGCGCAGTAGAAATGGTTGTCTTGTGGTGTACTCCTGCCGAGAACCGGCGAGCGGCATCGTCGGCGTGGGATCCGAGGCTCAAGTTTGGGGGAAGTTGGGGTTGCTTCGCTGCCGACGGTGGGGGCTGCCATGGGCGCCTTGTGCTTCAATATTAGGTTATTAGCCATTGCCAGAGGGACACTAGACGAGGCATTTTCATGTCTATTCAGATGTTAAATTGTCTGACAAGTCTAGGAGGCCTGAGGACTGTTGTTGAGCACCAGGAAGGAGCGTGACATGTTGAGCGTGATGTATTCTAAGGTTGCCAACATACTAGGCCTGCGAAACGCCTCTATTGCGCAGCAGGCAACTTTCTTGATGGTTGCCTTGGAACTTCCACACTCGTTCACATTGACATTGTGCTTGTGCTGCATTTGAAGCCAAGTCATGGTGATGCTGCTGTGCGTCACGTCCGCTCTTTTGAATCTGCCGACGCGTCCGACTTTGCTGTGAGGATTTCAGCGACCACTCCGTTGCGTTCGTGCTTTCAATCTACATCATTCAGTGATTGCCATGGCTGACACTATCCGAATCCTTGTCGCCACCGACAACCATGTCGGCGCTCACGAACGCGATCCGAACCGCGGCGATGATTCCTGGAAGACCTTCCACGAAATCATGGAGCTGGCCAAGGATCGAGAAGTCGATATGGTCCTCTTAGCAGGCGACCTCTTTCACGAGAACAAGCCATCACGAAAGTCCCTGTACAACGTCATGAGATCGCTACGGATGAATTGCTTAGGAGCTAGACCGTGCGAGATAGAGATCCTCAGCGATGGCTCGCAAGCATTCGACGCGACCTTCGACTACGCTAACTACGAAGATCCAGACATCAATGTCAGCATTCCCGTCTTCTCCATCCACGGAAACCACGATGACCCAACTGGAGACGGCCACTTCGCAGCACTCGATCTTCTTGCAGTGTCTGGTCTAATCAACTACTTCGGACGAGCTCACGAGTCAGATAGTATTGAGGTCAGACCAGTTCTGCTGCAAAAAGGAAGCACGAAACTCGCCTTGTATGGACTGTCCAATGTCAGGGATGAAAGACTACATCGTACGTTCAAGGATGGCAAAGTCACATTCTACCAAGCTGGAGCCCAGCAGAGCGATTGGTTCAATCTCATTTGTGTACACCAGAACCACCATCCACGAACCGACACGAACTGGTTGCCAGAGAACTTCCTCCCGGAATTCCTGGACCTCGTCATCTGGGGCCACGAACATGATTGTGATATTGAGCCTACTGTCAATCCAGAGATGAACTTCAAAGTCATGCAACCAGGATCAAGTGTTGCCACCTCCCTTGTGCCCGGAGAAGCAATCCCGAAATACGTATCTATCATTTCCATCACAGGCCGGGAACTGAAGACGGAGCCTATTCGTCTGACCACAGTTCGCCCTTTCGTCTACAAAGACATTGTACTCGCACAAGACAAAGTAGCTGTACGAATTAGCAATGATGACGACCATCGCACTAAGCTCACCGCCCATCTGATCGAGATTGTCGAAGGGATGATCAAAGAAGCAAAAGAGCAGTGGAAAGAGTCACAGGCAGAAGCCGGCCTAGAGTCATCCCAGACTGAACCACCTCTACCTCTTATTCGTCTGCGAGTCGAGTACACGGCACCCAATGGCCTTGCCAAGTTTGAGGTCGAGAACCCACAACGCTTCAGCAACCGCTTCCAGGGCAAAGTCGCCAACACCAACGACGTCATCCAATTCCATATCAAAAAGCGGACTGTTGCGACAGACCGCGCCGCCAAAGACGCCAAACGTGACGAAGAGATCATGGCGCGCATGGCTCTGGACAATATCCGCGTGGAGCAGCTGGTCAAGGAGTTCCTCGCTGCACAATCCCTCAAGATCCTACCACAGAAGCCCTTTGGGAACGCAGTCAATGACTACGTCGAGAAGGACGACAGAGGTGCACTAGACGACTTTGTTGCCACGAGTCTCACAAAGCAGATTAGCGAGTTAGGGAAGTTTCGCGAAGAAGTTGATGATTCTGACGAGGGAGATGATATTGTGGCGCAGATACAGCAGGTCAAGGACGAGATCGAAAAGCAATACGCCACGCAGCTGGACAAGGTGCGCAACAAGAAGCGGTTCAAGCCTGCGCCGCTAGGCTGGGACTCGGATGAGGATGGACCTTGGGTTGATCAGCCTGCTGCGGTCATACATGAGTCGAAAGGAGGGAGTGTAGATCAGTCAGACGAGTCCGACGAAGATGGCACCCCAGCGCCACGTGCTGCCACTCGAGGTCGGGGACGTGGTCGAGGTGCGAGAGGAGGACGATCAGCCGCCGCCGCTACAACTCGAGGTCGTGGTGGCGCAACAGCACGAGGCAAAGCAGCCACCGCTGCGAAGGCCACGAAGACCACCAAGTCACGCAGCCGGCGCCAAGTAAGCGATGACGACGATGACGAGGATGAGGATGAAGACGTACCTATGCTCGATAATGATGATGACGACGAAGAAGACGAAGTTGCAGCACAAGACGAAGAGTCTGACTCCCAAGCCATGTTTTTCCCTTCGAATGGCCGCAAGACTACACAATCGTCCAATGGTACTACTGCGTCACGGAAAGCAGCCGCAACGACCACGAAGAAAGCTGCGCCAGCCAAAGCTACCAGGAAGACGCCGGCGAGGACTGCAGCTAAGGCTTCGACTGGCACAGGTAGGCAGGGAACCCTGAACTTTAGCGCAAGTCAGGCGAGTGTTCTCGGCACAAGGAGTGCTACGGGCAAGAAGGGGAGCAGGGATGATGTAGAGAGTATTGAAGATGACAGTGACGGGTTCGAGGAGATGCCGAGTCAGCCTTTCAAGGGACGGAGACGTTAGTCCAGACAAACGAAATGTCTGGGGATGTATCAAAAGATCGTCGAAGATGTCGGTACAGTGAAGCGAGAAGCTCCGGTGCGAGCTCGAGTGTATCAAAAATTCACGAATTTCGAAACAATAATTTAAAATGACCATTTCTATGAGGTTCCAGCGATTGGAGAAGTTGAATCTCAAATCTGAACTCTGGGACTGGAGTCCAGGCTTGAAGTTCGGTCTCGCAACGCGGGCTTGAGGCTCTAGTATCAAGACCAGCAGTCACGTTCAGAGGTGTATTTCGGGACTGAATGCCACACAAGTGGGACAGTCAATCAAGCCGCAAAATATCTCGAGCGCGACAGGTCGGATATCAAAGAGATTCGAGTTTGACGTGAAGACACTCGTTCTCACGAGAGACGCATTTATGCATTACTATCGTCTTCCATCAGTAATAGACAGCAGCATCAGAGCACGCCCAGCTATCCACACTCGTCGCATTTCCACCCAAATACTCAGCGACCCCAGGCCATCTACACACCGGCCGCTCAAACGCGATCCCACTACTCGGGCTGTCACCCACGAACTTTGTCCCAACAACGGATTCTGGAGCAGGTGCGGTGCCTTCCACCCACTCCACTAGGGACCAGATCATGGAGTGATCAGCATCCGTGGACGCAGGTAGTACACCACCCTGTCCAGCTCCATCAACAACCCATGCCCCCGGACCACCAGAGCAGTGACCCATGCCTGGAATGGTGAATAAGCGATAGAAGTCCTCAACTTGTCCACCGCGTCCAGCATCAGAGTAGTAAGCGACGAGCTGATCGTACCAAAGCGCTGCGTTGTACACAGGTATGAGGGGGTCAGAGTAGCCATGGTAATGAATCACTTTGCCACCCCTGCCCTGAAAGGCTGTCATGGCGGCTGGATCCACAGCATTCGCCCCACCGGGGTTGATCTCATCGGCGAGGGTCACCGTGGCAGGTGGAATGGTACTCCAGTCCCAGGCGCTATCGTTCACGACCGCGTAGCCGTAGAATATTGGTCCGAACTGTGGGACGGGCTGGTTCATAATGAAGGAAAAGCTTGCTTCGCCGCTGTATGAGATGCCAGGATTGATCAGCTCGCCGGCGTCTGTGAGCCAGGGTCTGTACATGCGCTTGAGATTCTCGATTTGGGCGCCGTTCATGCAACTCGTTGAGTTTGTGCCTGGCTGGCCGCAGAGAAGGACTTCCGGCTGGAAATTGCACCGCGCCGGATTCATGATGATATTGTCTTTGACGCCATCTATGCTGTCGCACTGCTGGAGGACCGCTGCTGCGATGACTGGCCACAGACTTGCTGGAATGAAGGCGGGATTTGAGCCATTCTGTGGGTACTGTTGCAATGCGACGTACGTCTGCCAGGCGGCCGTATGTGTCTGCCATGGGATGGCGGAGCTGACCAAGACGCCGTCGAAGTCTTCGGGATACCTTTGCGCGGCATTAAGACCTTGCCGTCCGCCAGTCGAGCACCCTGCGTAGTATGAATGCTCGGCGGCATCACCATAGTAGAGCTCCACAATTTCCTTCGCAGCAAGCGTACTGATGTGCAATGCACGATGACCCCAGTCCGTCGCCGCAGCAGGAACACTCAGCCAGCTCCCATTCCCTGACGTAGACTGATGTCCAGTATCTGTGCTCATAGCCGCAAAGCCCTTCCGCAGAGACCAGACAAGATCCGGGTAGTTGACGCCGCCTGCGAAGCCTCCATTGCCAACAGACATGAATCGTCCAGTCCAATTTGACGGCAGCCAGACTTCAGCATGAGCGGTGCTGGCATTGGTGGTGGCTACTGTGAAGGCCACTCGGCAGGCGGCTGGTAGATTGGTCTGCCGAGCATTGTACCAGGTTCTGCTGTCTGGCCTGTGAAATTTGATCCAGCGGCGATGTCGACGGCGAGGTCCACGCCGCCAGAGACAGTGGAGAAGGTGGCATTAGCTAGTTGACTGCATAGCGCTGCAGCTTGGCAATGCAAAACGAAGCTGAGGACCAGTCCAAGCACACCGAGAAACATCTTTGCGACTATACCTACGCCATGGCATCATGGCTGCGTGCTCTTGGTCTTGTATTCCCATGCTTCGGCTCTAGATCGGGGCTGTCATCATCGACAGTATCTCATATCTCGTCCAATCTCGTCTAGGCCAGGACACGGCGATAAGACCAGCAGGGCAATGACCGAGGATATCTGGGATCGCTCCTGCCTGTTGTGGTGTACCGGCATCATGTACCTGCGCCGCGTACCTGCGTCCTGAGGCCGGGTGATAATATACCGTACGTTCGTGTTCGCGACATTTTCACACTTGTCAAAGTGATCATGTTTCCGAATATTTACGCACGATGTACTCCCGAGACCGCCGAGGCGGACCCTTAAACGCGTCGATCATCCGGTCTCGTGAAAGACCAAACTACGAAATGTGATGCTCAGCCTATTCAGCACTAAGTCGAGAGTCTAGACGTCAAGGCAAAGCAGTACCAGTAAACGTCTGGCTCTGCACATTCGTTATCGTCATACATGAGCCTGCTTGCAACTCTACAAGCATTTGAGAGAGGCCGGTCATCAATCCTCAGGCTCGTCCTTGATCACAATCATCTCTTCTTCCGATTTGACCCATCGCCCATCATCCGCCCTCATTTCGACCCTCCTACCGTGGGCTCCCATAATTTCCGTTGCTGCAATGACGGTCTCTACGCCCTCGGGCACTCTCTCCTCCTCGCCCTCAGGCAACGCATCGACGTCAATATCGGCCCCAATCAGCGACTTCAAGATCACACCTGCCCCTGCTTTGCTCATGATCACGTTCTTTTCCTTACAACGCTCGTCACAAATACACTCAGTACAGCCTTCCACGCAGTGACACTCGCCCACCCGCAGCACCGCCTTCTGGAGGAGCGTGTCGATGAACTCGAAAGCCTTGGCCGCTATGCCACTGCCCGCTGCACCACCTTTGGCATCGTAGAAGGTGAGTCGAGCTGGTCGCTTCCGCTGTGTGTCTTTCTTGGCGAACTCCTTCAGCGCGTTCTTACACTCCGTGCGCACATCTCCTGGCATTGACACCACAAATTGCGGCATAAGGCTCATGATAGCATGCTCGGCGGCGTGAATCGCAGCAGCCAGGTTCATGCGCTTGGACTTCAGAATCTGTAGAGCAAATTTGGGGACATCGATCCAGAGACCTCTGCTGAAGATAATGATAGGTGGGTTGTCGACTGCCACAGCATCGAGAATACGTCGTCTGGCGTCCAGTTTGAAGAAGCCAAAGACCACAGCATGGACCTTGATGCGCCCGAAATAGGCCTTTGTGAGCGATTGCTGGCTCACGCGTCGCACCTGTTCGGTCTCGATGGGGTCCACGTCGGTAAAGTCTCGCTGCTGAGTCGTCCAGTCGACCTTCACCAGCTGAACTTTGGCGATCTTGCGTTCTGGGCTGAACTCTTTGACCATGTACGTCCGCCCTTGATGCAGGAAGATGCCACCATCGTAGAGCGTGAAGAAAGCACGAGAGGCTTCGACTTCTTCGAGAACAAGATTCTGACCGTGTGTGATGTCAACCACGGCGAAGGAGTCATCTTCAGTGTCTCGAATAGAGACGTGCTTGCTTGGAATTGGCCGGAAACGTGGATGCGTGTGATAGAAGCCATGCTCGTCAGGGTCGCCGAGACGGTCGGCGCAGATCTGAGGAAGTTGGGAGCCCAGGAAGCGAGCGTCTTCGGCAGGGACGATGGGCATCTCATAGGCGGCGCATTGGATGTGACCCTCGACGACAAGCTCGTTCGTGAGATCGACCTGTAGTTCGCAGTTGGGTTTGGTGAAAAGCTCATCAGGATTGGCCATGAAATGCTGGTCGACAGGAAAGCAGTCGCCAACAAGCACGGACAGCGAGTCTCGGTTCCGGCGACCTGCACGGCCGGATTGCTGCCGCAGATTGGCTATGGTGTAAGGAAAACCCATTGTGACGACAGCGTCAAGGGATCCGATGTCGACGCCCAATTCAAGAGCCGTAGTTGCGACAATACCCATCAACTTTCCAGAGAACATTTCTGCCTCTATCCGGCGTCGATCCTGAGCAGAATAGCCACCTCGATAGCCCATTACCAATGCAGCACAATGTGGCCGCTCAATGGAGTTGAAGTATGCTCGGACCGCACCCAACAAGACCTCGCACTGCTTTCGAATGCGGCAGAACGCGATGACACGCACACCACGAAGGATGAGCTCTGACAGCAACCGAGCAGTCTCGTAGAAAGCGTCTCCACGGCCAGATGTTGGATCGCCAGGGTCTTTGTACGGAGTGTTCCAGCATACGAATTCTTTCCGACCGGACGGTGAGCCGTCAAAGTCGATGAGCTTGACATTGTCCAGGCCAAAGATTGTCTTCATATGCTCTTCGGGGTTGCTGACTGTGGCAGAGCAGGAGATGAACTTGACTTTTCGATTTCCAACAGCAGCACAAATCCTTCGAAGGCGTCGCATGATGAAAGCGACATGTGCTCCAAACATGCCGTTGTAGACGTGAAGTTCGTCCACTACGACGTATTTCAGGTTTTGCAAGAACGTTCGCCAACCGCTCTCTTGAGGAAGTATCGTGATATGAAGCATATCAGGATTCGTGAAGATGATGCGTGCTTCGTCACGTATCAGGTTCCGCTCCGCCATGGGCGTGTCACCGTCGAAGGTTTCGACCATAATATCGCCAAGGTTGGGCAGGTAAGTCAGAAGCTCTTTCATCGCTCGGCGCTGGTCCTGAGCTAGAGCTTTGGTGGGGAAGATGTACATTCCTCTACTCCTTGAGTCTTGCTCTAGAGCGTGGAGCATGGGGACTTGATAGATCAGCGACTTGCCAGATGAGGTGCTAGTAGATGTGATAACATGGCGACCGTCATGTAGAGCATTGATAGCTTCAGCTTGGTGGGAGTAGAATTGGGTGATGCTTCGAGTATTGTACAGTGCGTTAACAAGACTCTGGGAAAGTGGGAACTTAAGCTCGCCGTAGATAGCTTCCTGAGCCTCGAAGACTCGATGACCATCAGGCACGATCTGGTGGGTATACCAGTCCATCTCTGTAAGCTCTTGCACGATCTCAGCAATCGACTTCCGGTCTTTTGGGATCGTCTGGGATGGCTTCTGTCCTGGTCGCGGTGACGAAGGCCTACTGATCGCCGGCCTCGGTATGTATTGCTCCTTCAACTCCAGTATCTTCTTGACAGGGTCAGTGTCATCTTCAGCACACTGATTTAAGAAGCCATTAATAGCAGAAGTGATCTTGACATTTCGCTTCTCAATCAGTTTCAGCATCGACTTCTGACTGAAGACTGGCATCTTCAACTCTTCGTTGCGTAGTTTCTGTGTCGCTTTGACCGCCTCACCTGTCTTCGGGTCACGTACTTGTCTCTTGAGATCGCCATCTACGAATTCGAAGAGAAGCAGCTCCTTCGACTCGCCGTTATTGTCTTCGTTCTTCGTACCGAACCAGTCTGCTCGACCGGCACTGATGTCTCCGCCCTCTCCAGCAAGCGTGACAGCGAGCATATCCTCGTCAACGTATGCGAATGTAATTGCCCGAGGCACCAGCGCCTTGACTTGAGCGACATCGGCTTCGATCAGCGGTCTCTTGATGTGGCCCTCTACCGCGGACTTGATGTTGTCCCAGGTGGTCGCGAAATGTTTTCTGGTCGCACAGAAGGTGTGCACTATCGACAAGGCTCGATGCAGGGCAGCTAGGTACTTGAAGTGGTCGGGCCAGGGTATGGTCGACTCTACCAGATCGGTGGAGGAATTTCGCCTCATCGTTGGTGGGCGGTAGCCGCCTGTTGGCAGAACCCTTCTCGCCTTCTTACCGCCATCTTTCGTCTTCGTTGGAACCTTGGTAGTCGTCGTAGCAGGTGCTTCTGGTTGCCCGGTCTCGTTCTCTCCATTCTCGGCGTTCTCAACAGACTCTGCAGCTGCCAGGGCTGGTGTGCGTCTTTTCCGCTTGCGGTTGATGACCTGATTTGACACAGACGCGGCCTGGATTTTGGCCATGCTCGTGTATGCGTCTGGTCGACTGGCCAGCAGTCATGTGTGAGACCAGAGGTCAGATCAAATCCATCGTTAATTTGGCCCTAATAATGCAAGCACGTCGACGTCATTGACACGAACACGCAACAACGCGTAGATCATTTCGCGTATTACTTAAGCACGAACTTCCCAAAGACCGATGTACCGGTCTTACCCCTACCTCGTGTTTTGCGTTCACTTGCAACGCTCAAACAATACGCCAACGATGCGAATCGATCGCGCGGTTGTCGTTGAAACGTTGCATTAGTGAAACTCGCGGACTAACTGGTGGCCTTCATGCTGCTTAGGACGCCTCGACGCAAAGGAGAATAAACTCGATGCACACTCGAAGGCGACAACAGGACCTCAAGCGTCAATAATGCCTGCAAGGATTGTGCAAAGTACGTCTGCCCTGTCGCTCATTCGCAGCGAAGCACCAGCTTCCAGATTTATCGGTGCCTTGACCCAAGCATGCCGCCACGTATCTCACTTATGTGACGCGCGCAGGCAGACCATGCAGACCTGGCCTAGGTCAGACAAGTCGCTGAGATGACAACGCAGCTCTCGCGAGGGGAAAGAACCTCTTCAGGAAAGCGCTGGATTGTCAGGTTTTACTTGTCCCAACCTGCCCTCGTAGGTTTGGTCTTGTGTAGTACGAAGCTTTCGGCACTGGATCTTCCTATTACGCGGAATTCGCTATATCCGCAAAGCCTGATATGATCTGCACCTATATAGCGCTAAGCCAATCTGCTTCAACGCAATTTCGAGCCTGTTGTCGTCAATAACCCAGCCAGACGTTGCAATGTCCACGAGCTTCGGCGCATTGGTAGTGTTCGGCTCTGGCCCGGGCGTTGGTCACGGTATCGCAACGCTGTTTGCGGAGCGCGGATTCGCTAAGATCATCATCTTGTCCAGAGACGCCGATCGCTTAGCGAAGGAAGCAGACAAGCTTCGGTCCCTGGGCAACGGTCCTGAGGTCAAGGACATCGCAATCGACCTAGGCAACCCAGAAAGTGTCGAAGTAATACTCCAAAAGGTGCAGCAAAGTCTCGGAGACACTTTGCTCGAGTGCGTCTTGTACAATGCTGCAAGGACGGGGAAGAGCCATTTCTTTAATTTTCCCTCCGAGAACCTGGAGAACGATCTCAAGGTATGCACGCCTAGTCCCTCGTGAGCCATCGCTGCAACGACACGTGATCCTCTAACAGCCGTCACAACAGATTGCCGTCATCAGCCTCTACAAAGTGGCGCAGTGGGCCATACCTCACATGCTCCAGACAGCGACAACATGTGCACGCAGTCCCGCCCTGCTGGTGACCAGCGGCCTGCTGGCGACACAGCCTGCGCCTGCCATGTTCTCGCTTGCCGTTTGCAAGTCAGGCCAACGCAGTCTCGTCCAGTCTCTGCATAAGGAATTCGAGACTAAAGGGGTGCATGTTGGCTTGATCACCATTGGCGGGAGCGTGTCGGACAGCTCCAAGGTCACGAACGCAAGGAACATCGCGGAGGAGGCGTGGAAGATGTTTGGAGCAGCTAAAGGGCAGGGTCAGTTTGAGGCGTTGATGATGGATCCGGCATATTTGGAGCACGTTCGTAATAGGGAGCGTTGACTTGGAGACAAGCTTGGCTGAATATGCGCGGGTGTCGTGCTGTCACGATACGACTGAACTATATTGGCTAGGAATCTTTTGAACGAGCATACCCAGTTCGCATGCTCGTCCAAATGATTGGCCTCAGGGGCTACCCTGCCTGCAATTGGGCGATGCTTGCCATCGGGTCCGACTTCTAGCTGATCATCCTGTTTCGCAGCAGAAGGCTTTCATTCGCCATTCAGTTGGCCGATCGGCGAATCTGATGTTTTTGACCGTCCACGGCATCACAACTGGAAGCAGATGACAAGGGCTCAATCATACACATACTTACCTGTAGAGAATAAGATACTTAAGTACCTATACCATCAGGCAGTCAAAGTCTTGGCAGATGCTAGCTAAGCGACACCCAGGCGCAGGAGCGCTTGGACAAGGAGTTGCTACGGGGGTTAGGTGATTACGAGCGAGCAAGCTTAGAGCAGCCCCTGTGAGATAGACTGATGGTGAGACATATAGCTCGAGTTTGCCACTGTCCCTCACTTCGGTCTTGATAGCAGTAGAGCATTGTTCATAAGTAGTCAACGGCAACTGCCCGGGAATTCTTCCTCAGACGAGTGCGGGGGATGCCTAGTAGTAGGTAGGAGGTACGCTTGCCAGTGTTTGGCGGCTGATGAATGTCTGCCCTTCCCAATGACATGCTTTTCCATACCTAGTTACGACGAAGCTTGTCATACTCGCAATGACTGCCTCCATCATGCTGGCCCACAGCACGAACTCTCAAGTATCCGCGCCAGCCGCTGAATGCAAGGAACTCTGGGACACCTACTCAATGTGGTATCGCTCTGCTGTCTCATTACAATCACCAATGTAGAATTACCTAGGTATGCATCCACGACTCAGGCGAACTTCACGAGCATGCGAGCAATGCCGCCAATCACGCCGTCGGTGCGACTCTTCATATCCATGTCAGCAGTGTGTGACACTAGGAGTTCACTGCGAGGTTCGAATGAAAGCACGACCAAACCGACAACGACAGCAGCACACTGCGGGGAGCCCAGCGACTGATGGCGGCCTTGATGTCAACCATTCGAACAACTCCAAGCCACAAGACTCAGGATGGGAGCCATCTGTCGGTAGAGCAGTCGAGACAAGGCCCAAGGTCGACGTGTACGAGCTGACCAAGGGCCTCGTTCAAGACGTACTACAGAGACAACATGGTAGCTCTGTCTAGTTCAGCTGAGACGTCGAGCTAATGATCGCAGGCTATAGCTTCGAATGTATGCTGGTCGAGCCGCATTCTTCGGTTCATCAAACGACCCAGAGCTCTGCCCCAACTTCTAGAGCTACGATCGAGCAACTAAACCTACCACTAAGTTTGTCCCACGTCAAGCATTTGTTGGAGCATTTCGACAAGATCATGGGCTGGCCCAATCCTGGACTCGTCGACACTAGGGACCTACTGATGACGGCTCGCGCCTACTTGGCGCTCATGATCGATATTTCAGCCGAAGGGCTATCAACACTACTGAAAACGACACGTTTGCCGATGGACTCCACGGCTTTGTTGTTTGCAGCTCTTGCGCTCGGCGCTGTGGCGAAGGGAGATCTCAACCAAGGCAGATTCTATTTTGACACTTCTCTGGAGATGGCCAAACTTTTCGTCAGTCAGCAGACGCTAGATCTGTGCCTCGCGTACTATCTGCAGCACTTACTCGCCCTCCGATTTGGCACCTCAAGTTATGCGCAGGGAATCATGGCTCATGCATTCCTAGTGGCCCATCATTTGGGAATACAGCGCAATTCGCACGGCAATCCTGGCTTGAGACTCTTTCTCCTCATCTATATGGCAGACCAGTACGGCAAGTGACTATGATTGATGCTTCCCACATTGACGTCGCTGCAGGTACGGTTCGACCCAGCAGAACACCGAGCCTCTAATTCGGGCATCAAGTATTGATGTTCGCACTTTCGAGAACCTGGCCGAAGCCGAGCCTCACCTTCAGACGTTGATTGATCTGGTCACAATAAATGGATATGTCATTGAACACTCTTATCGAAACACTGTTCTTACCGACGATGAGATCAGGGCTCTTGAAGCAAGAATTGGTGAGCTATGCGCTCATCGAAAACGTCCATTACAGTCGGACAGTGGAACTTTCAAGTCAAACTACGACCTGATTGCATATATACACATGATGTGGTACGTGTGCTCGATGAGACGAGTGTCCTTGCTGATCAAATATCCCAGCTGCCGCCTGAAGCTACGGGTGCCTGGCCTCGCTACACAGTCATCGATTATCGCCTCCATCTCCACCTGTGTACACGCGGCACAAGGAGTGCTTGCAGGATATCACCAGCTCTATCGACCAATCTTGAATGTGCTATGTGGCGCACATTCCATGCAACAGAAAAGTCTCCCAGAGCAGCTTGCGACGCCCAACGCAGCATCCCTTGCGGTGACCTGGAGACAGGTTCGGAGAATAATGACTTCTACCTTCGTCATCATCTTCGCATATCAACACGGCGAACTTCTCCACGATGATGCATCACGGTTTGTGGCAATGACGAGATTGCTGCTTGAATACCCCCGGTGGAGGTGGGGTGGCAAGCTTGACGAGCTCATCCAGACACTGCATGACATTTCAAATCTAGCGAACCTGGCAATTGTGAAGCAACTGCGGGCTCTATTGCCAGAGCAGAGTGAGCAATTTCTCCAGCACCTGGCCGCCCGTCAACCTCTTCTACCGAGTGAGACCTCCATCGTGGGTCAGAACGGACAAGACATCCCTTCCAATCACTGGTCTGCAACATGTTGGCCTCCCATATACGACATGCCGTTCGAGTACGACCTACCCGACTTCGGCAACGGCATGCAAGCAGAAGATGTACAGCAACTCTGGAGCAGCATTTGGAATCCTGCCGACGTCTTGTGAACACTTCGTGCTGTGAACCCTCCATGATCTACCTTGTCAGAGACTCGATATCCGTGATCCAGAATGGCGTTCGAGGCACTCCCAAGCGACAGGCCGCCAGGGTACGGACATAATCGAAGCGCTCTACTGAGTTGCCTCAAGCTACAATTTATGGCGCTTTTCTCCCTTCTGCAGCTTGCGAAATTGCTCCTGAGGATAACCTCGCTGAAGCGCTTCCACGCCCCCTAACAGCTCCCGGACAGAATGAGCGTCGTATTCGACCCGCTCAGACCGCAACATGATCTGCTTGGTCGCCAGAACGCTCGCAGAGCTCAGATGCGAGCCGAGCAGTCCCACACAAACTTCATCGTACACTCGCTGCGTGAACTGTTCGGCATCGCCCCCAAGCGCGTCAGCCTCAAAGACACCATTCACAAACCCACTTGCGACCAGTCGATCGATCGAGATCTTCCGCGCCATTAGCAACGCCTCGTTGGCTAGACTCCTTCCCATGCGGTTGACCATGGACTTGGTGGCGGCCCCTTCGACCACGACGCCGATAGAGTTGAACGCCGCGAACAGGTACGTGTGGGGTGCGGCGTAGATGAAGTCTGAGTGGGAAACGAGCGCAGACGCCAGGCCCGCCACGGGACCGTTCAATGCCGTGACGAGGATGTTAGAATGCGAGTAGAACGCTTGTGCCAGGTCGAGGATGTCGGCCATCTCGTGTACGTGGTGGCGTCGGCTGTCGTCGTGGCTGGGACCGTCGCGGGTCTCGTTGATGTCAGCGCCTCTGTGGTTCAGAAAGTGGGCGTCAGTTAATCGGAATATTTTCGGCGACAGTTCACGTCGTGAGCAACAGTTCTGACCTACGAAGAGAAGAAGCGCCCAGTGCCTGTTAGCAGGGTGATGTAGACGTTTTGCTGCTCCGCGGCGGCGCGCATGTGATGGCCTAGCTGAATACGAATGTCTTTCGTCAACGCACCCAGCTTACTGGGGTTATTAATCGTGATGATGGCCACGTGGGCCTTGTATTCAAGCGCGCAGGACATTATCCCGGAGCCAGCAGAGAACGGCTAGAGAAGAAGGGAGAAATATGGCACGCATGGCCAGGGCAATAGCCCCTCTTATACCCATCACTTGCACTCAGCCTCGCGATATCGGATCTACGCGTGATCTCTACAACTCTAGCCTAGAGCGAGTGCTTCTACGAATTCTTTACTACAGCTTAGCACTCCGCTGTTGTGGAAAGCACTGCTCCCGCAGCGCCTTCTTCTGGACCTTGCCCATCGCATTCCTGGGCAACTTCTCCAGCACCCTCAACTTCTGAGGTAGCTTATACGCCGCCAGCTCACTCCGTAGGCACTCCCTGATATTCGCCATCGTCAGCTCCGCGGCTTTGCCCTCCACGGGCACGCAGACGGCTGCCACTGCCTCGCCCCATACCGGGTCCGGCACGCCCACGACTGCGACCTCTTCGACGAACGGCAAATGTAGCAGCGCAGTTTCGATGTCCAGGCCGGAGATCTTGAAACCGCCGGACTTTATAATGTCGGTGCTGGCGCGACCCTGGATGAAATAGGCGCCGGGATGAGTGGCGCGTGTGAGCGCCAGGTCACCTGTGCGCCACCAGCCGTCGGGCGTGATGTCTTTTTCTGCGGCGCCGGGCTTGCGCCAGTATCTACGGGATATTTTTAGTCTGCGGTTGCTTGACGTAGGTGAGTCGTGTGGAACTTACTCTTGCATCTGACCGCCGCTCTGGACTTGTATTTCGCCCATAATGTCTGGGACATCCGTCACATCGCGCCCGTCTGCTGCTATCAGACGGGACCTTACGCCGGGGAGCGGCCAGCCAACACTGCCCTGTGGACGAATGAATGTTTGCTACGCGTTGGAAATGGCATTAATATCTCACCTGGATGCGTCCCCCGTCTGCCAGCCGCTCCGAGTGCGTGATTCCAGTTTCCGTCATGCCGTATCGCTCCAGAAGCAGATATCCCTTTGCGATTCGACTCCAGGCGTCTCGGATAGGAGCTGGCAATGCTGCTGAGCCGCTGATAGCCAATCGAAGCCGGCATGCTGCATTCGTTGCTTTAGTCGCTTTGACGGGATCGTCTTTGTAGTTGCGGTCATAGTGTGCTATCATTCGCACCCAGATGGTCGGCACCGCCATAAAGACGGTGATAGGAGGGCGTGTAGGGTCCATCATTCGACCCCAGATAAGGTTCTCGTTGAATTTGGCTACGAATTCGACGGTCGCGCCCGTCCACAACGGCAGCAGCAATGACAAAAGCAGACCGTGCCCGTGATGGAGTGGAAGCGTATGGAGGATGCGGTCCTCGGAAGTCATCTGCCACGCTTCCGCTAAGGAGTCGAAGAGGAATGCATAAGACTTTCCTGTGTGAACCACCCCCTAATTGAGGAGATGGTGAGCTTGCTGAGATGTGAATGAGGCTTCACCTGATGGCGCTTACCTTAGGAGGCCCCGTCGTGCCAGAGGTATATATTATGATGCCCGGATTCTCATCCGCCAGGCCAAGTTTCGTGAAGTCCAACGTCTACAGACCAGGTCAATGTGGCTCCTTCAATACAGCTTCCGGAGGGCCCTGACCGTTTGTGGCACTGCTTCCGCTGGGATTTGTGATATGTCAATACACGTCCGGCCAGCCATGAGCGGCTGGATTTTGCTCCTGAAACTCGAATGATAGATGATAAAGTCCTGGTCGGAATCGTTCACTGTGTGTGCCATCTCCAGCGGCGGATGACTTGAACATATCGGCACTGGTGGTGATTGGTCAGTATAGCGTTTTCAAAGCATCAGAAGGTGTATGCCGCTCTCGTACCAACAATTGCGCCGACGCTCCACACGGACAGCAATGCAGCGACGAAGTCCAAACCCGGCGGCGCAAGCAGACCAATTCGGGCACCAAAGAGCTCTTTATTGTTGTGTTCGGCGGCGGTTATGAAGCGTTCGCGGAAGACGGTTAGCCGTGTGAGAAGGTGCGAGTACGTGTGGTTTCTAGGTGGGCGAGACGCGTCGATGGGGTCGACCACGGCTACACGGTCGGTGGCGGCATAGGACACCAGTTTGCGGAAGTATGATGCCATTGCGTGTACTGCAAAGATCGGTCATGGAGAGGACGTTAATGGGCTGAGCTGAATGAATCGTACAGCAGCAGCATCGAGGAGCTTTATCTTGCAGTATTTGTTGTCGAGACCCGAGTGCTGCCACCGAGGCTACCCAGGCCGCTTCCTGGGGTCAGGGTGTCCAAGGAAGTAAGTGAGGTTGACACTTTTGGGTACATGTTGAGGGGGAGCTGCAGGCGCCAGGGAGCAGGAGTTCCGACCATGGAGACCTGGGTTGAAGCATCGAGCGCATACTCGGCAATGAACGGTGCCCCTGAGACATGCGCTGAAGATTCGCGGTGGCACAAATTTGCCAGTGCCGAAGTGCTGGAGGTACGGGTTGGAGGATATAGAGGAGGAAGCGGATATCCCAGCAGACGTATATCCGTATATCCGCACATCCACACGATCCCACCACCAGCGCCGCCGCCACTGAGCGTCCAGACGAGGATGTGGACAAATCGTGGAGTATGCGCTGAACTCTTTCTCCTCGTCCACTGTTCTCGACCAGTCACTGTCTCCGCATCGCAGAGCTGTGAGCAAGCCCATCAATGCCAAGCATCCGCCTCTCCACGGAACGAAAAGAGTAGACCAAGGTACCCCGTGTTCGCCAGCATCCACAATCGGGGTATAGACCATCCAACGATGGATACTCCTGATATTATAGCACAACGAGACCTACGCTCTGGTAGTGATTATAGCTATAAAGTCAGCCTCGATCCTAGTCCTCTGCGATCAATGTCTTCGATCTCGTGTCAACCTCCCAATCAGTGGTTGGCAGTCAATCATTTTCAAGCTCATCCCAAGCCATGGCAGTATCCGATGAGAAGACGACGATGACAACCACTTTGGAAGCAGCGGCAACCTCGCGTGACATCAAAGGTGGTAGCTTCTCTCCTGCCGCCTCCACCGTCGAACACGCAGAGGGAGGCACAGCCAAAGACACAGCCAAATGGGTCGAGAACGGCCTAGTCGAGCGCGAAGCTCGTTTCATGGCCACGGTCTCCGAGAAAGAGTCCAGTCGCATCTATCGAAAGGTAGACCTTCGTGTCATTCCGATGCTCACCGCGTTGTATTTGATCGCACATCTTGATAGAGCCAATCTTGGTGAGTTGATGCCGTGTTGATCCAGGAGGAAAAGCTTATCATGTATGCAGGAAATGCAAAACTCGAAGGCCTCGAGAAGGATCTCGGTATGGTCGGCAACGACTATAACATCGCCGTGTCAGTCTTCTTCATTCGTAAGGATGCTTCCTTCCCGACTTACCTACCAATCTGAGATCATATAGCCTACATCCTTTTCGAGCTGCCGAGCAACATGGTCCTCGCCCGGTTCAAGCGTCCATCGCTCTATCTGAGCATACTCGTCACCGGATGGGGCGTCTCCGTGCTTGGCTCGGGTTTCACAGACAGCTTCGCCGGCCTTTGCGTCTGCCGCTGTCTTGTTGGCGTCTTCGAGGCAGGTTTCCTCCCTGCGGCTTTCTGGTTGATATCCCAGTGGTACCCGCCCTACCGAGCACAGTCTCGGACAGGCATTTTCTACTTCGCTGCCGCTACCTCTGGTGCATTCTCGGGGCTCCTCGCTGCGGCCATCGCTCAAGTACGTATACCTATCAACCTGGGCCGGGCGAGACATCGGTCTTCCCGCTTCAGGTTCTTTCCGACACTTGTTTTGTCTGACGGGTGCAATAGATGGACGGCCTCGCCGGCAAGGAGGGCTGGCGGTGGATTTTCATTATCGAAGGATGCCTCAGCGTCCTCCTTGGACTAGGAGCGTATTTCCTCTTGCCTGATACCCCAGCGCTGTCAACTAGCTGGCTCGCTCCCGAGGAGATCCGCTACCTGGAGCTGGTCTTCCGCGCAACCAGGGGCAGGAACGCTGCCACTGGAACAGGACAGGAAAAGCCGAAGAAGAAGGTCAATTGGAAGGCTCTGCGTGCCATGTTGACGGACAAGAACCTCTATCTGCAAAGTATGATTGCAGCTGGATCATCGCTTCCGAACAACGGTGTAAGTCTTCTCTCGCTCGCCCACACAGTGACGATCTAATGTGCACAGATGAAATACACGCTTCCGCAGATCGTGAAGAACATGGGCTATACGTCAACCAAGGCTCAGCTTCTGTCGGTGCCACCGTTCATGGCTGCTGGTCTGATGACGATTGTATCGTCGTTCTGGGTCGACAAGCGGCGGTCCAAGAAGTTGCCACTCATTCTACTCTGTCAGTGCATGCTGTTAGTTGGTTTCTCGGTTCTCTTCGCACTCGCTCCTCATATCAAGGACCATATTGCCGTCTGCTATACCTTCGTGGTCATCGCGTGCATGGGCATATATCCAATCGTGAGTATCATCTCTCCATTACCCTGGGGTCCAGTCCTCACATGACTTGTAGGTACCAGCAGCGTCGACTTGGTGCATCAATAACCTCGCCGGCCCCGAAAAACGAGTGGCGAGCATCGGTTTCTTCACCACACTTGCCAACCTCGGAGGCTTCCTCGGGAGCTGGGTCTTTCTCAATACCGAAAGTCCGGCCTACCCGACCGGCTTCGGCACGTGCCTCTCGTTTGCCGCCGTCGGGATCATCTGCTCCCTCACCGTGGAGTGGACGTACAAGCGGCACAACAAGAAGTGGAGAGCTTTTCGCGTGAGGAGATTGAGCAGATGTACACGGCCGAGCAATTGGAAGAGATGGGCGACCGCAGTCCATTGTTCAAGTACATTCTGTAGGCAGACAGCGATTGCTTCATGCGGTGGTCAATAGCATGTGGCCCCACCGCTCTTGCGTACGGGAAACGGAGTCGGAGTTCGCAGTGCAGGAGTTGAGAATCGCGAGGCCTGGACTGGACAGATAGATAGACAAGCAGTTCAGCTGTCCATGCCTGCGTAAGCGTCCCAATGCCGCGCGGTGCCAGTGCTTCTCTCCGCTTTATCCCTGCTTGCTCTTCGCTCCTCACCCATGACCCTGAGCCGCTCGATCTTGTCATTCGCCGAAACAAGCACGGCGTGCAGGCCCGTGTGATCATCTGGTCCAGCTGTATCGAAGGAGTACTCCTGATCAAAGCCTGGGAAGACTGGACTCGACGATCCCATCGGCACCAGAAGACCATTTTCGTAGCAGATCGGCGTCACACCCATCTGTGGCAGTGGCGCAAGCGTCCTCAGATAACCCAAACCCGTCTGCTCCTCAATCGTCAGCGGAGGCAGCGGTGCACTCGTTTCATCACAAGCATCATGCGCGGTCGCAAAGCGCGATGTCTTGAAGTATTTCAAGATGCCCATTGCGGTGCCGCACAGGCTCGGGCTCAACAGCCACCCGTCCTCCACGGACACTTCTCCCCTAAAGCGTTTCAGCAACATGCTCTGGATGGCCAGCGCGGTAGAATAGCCAGTCGTGTAATCATTGATGACCATTCCTGGCGGCCACTGCGGCCGGCCATCGCCCACACCCTCACCGCACAGCGCCATCATGCCGCTCGACGCCGATCCCTGCATGTCAAAGCCTGGCGTATGCGCCCATGGGCCAGTAGTACCGTACACGCGGATATGCGACACGATCATGGCAGGGTTGAGGGCGAAAATGTCCACGTCGTCGAAACCGAATTTCGCAATCGCGCCAGGGCGGAATGAGTCGATCCACACGTGCGCTTCCTGCACTAGAGTGCGGAGCCGCGCACGGTCGGAGTTATTGTTGAGGTTGAGGCGGGTTGAGGCGGTGCCCAAATTGGCATAGGTGTAGACGAATTGGTGCTCGAAGCCGTGCGTGAACATGATTTGCAGGACGGAGGCGCCGTGCTCGGCCAAGGTGCGACCTGCCGAGGGGCCAGCGATGGCGTGGGTGAGGCAGAGGACCTTGATTCCTGAGAGGGGCCGGCGAGGTTCGGTAGGGAGGGCCGACCAAGGCGAGAAGGGGGCGTTACCCCCGGTGGGAAGCCGTCGTGACGGTACCCAAGGAAGTTTCGAGAGGACTTGACCCTGTGGATGGGCAGTCCACGAGCTTTCGGTTTGGCAGATGGCCATCGGCATGCCTGCGCTGAGTGCGAGGTCTTCGAGATCTACAAGAATCATCAGTACCAAACACACTCGAATATTTTGCCATGAGCGGAGTGTTCGTTGCATCTTACCAGTCGAGAACCACTGCTTGACCTTTTCTCTCACATCATGCTCCGCCATCGAACACCCCAGCAATGCAGTCCACTTGTAAGCCAGGTCCACGTACACAGCGCTCAGCACGGCATACTTTCCGTCTCTGGTCTCGAAGATGTTGTTGATGAACGGATTTCCTGCCACGACATCCATAGTGATCTCTTGCCCGTTGATCGTTGGAGTCATTCCGATCCCAGGGTCTATATAGTTGTGGCCTCTCCGTAGGTCAGCTGTGATAGTCTGTCGTGGTCCGCCACGGGCCTCGAGAATCTCAGCCGCGGCGACAGCATTGGCGAGAGCGGGTATGCATCCCACAAGGGTGAGGTTCAGATTTTGGCTGTGCGTCGTGTTGGGATGGGGAATATCACCTTCGAATCGAACATTGGAGCTCGCGGCACCTTCTTGCTTGCTGACGTCGAACTCTTGCAGGATGTCTTCAAGGGTCTGGTAAGCTGCTTCGTGAGTTGACCGCAGCAAAGGGTATCCTTTGACGAGCGTATTCACGTGCATTTTTCACACGGGTGTATACCTGCTAGGAAATTCACATGGTGGCTTCCTCTTGTCGAGCCTGAATCCAACCATCATATATAGCATCATGATACTGTACGTATGCTCGGATGATGTGGATGGAAGAAGCCAAGGAGCCATACTTTGGGAGATCTCTGCGGATATACGGTTGTAGTGCTCGGGCACCTGCCGGTAAGGGCCTCATTTAGATATTTGAGAATGATGGTCTGCAAAGACCACACGGCGCCGAGTGTGCTGTCCCCACTAATCTTCAACGTACGCGTGTCGCTCGCCAATGGCATACATTAGATGAATGCCCACGATCTGGCATTGTGCGACGGTGTTCGCGGCCAGGGTCCAAATTTTCGAAAGCCTTAGATGCGAAGAGATGTTCAAGGAGGGACCTGTCTGGATACAGGATGGATGAGAAGACTCAGCCGAACCAGCAATGCTGGATCGTCGCTGATCACCTGGCATGATAAAGGGTAAAGGGTAGACGTTACCATGCAGCATGTTAGTACAGTCCTCATGGGTGATGTCGATTAGGCAGTTTTGGTAGACTTTTCTAGCCCGCAGCCCATTCCAGCAGGTCACAATGTTCAGGGCGACCCCGACCCTTTTTCCGAGGTCGTCATCATGCTGGATCATCAAGTAGACGACTTCATCTTATTACCTCTGGTGACTCTATGCTCGAGAGCGAGATAAGATGAGGCTGTAGGCTCGTTCCCAGCCATACGCCAGTCGCGCTGGCCAGAGATGTCCTAGCTAAAGCAAAGCAGCAGCAAGAAGACGCCTGAGCTCAGTATGAGAATACGCAAGCTGTCTGCCTCATGATTGCTGTATGATGTCTGATCGCGGCGACTCTCAGATTCAAGCTGTTGGCGCTTGAGCCTGTCCAGACGACTTCAGACGCAGCAAGTGCTACATGTGATCTGGATCGTTGTAAGATCCCATTGCACGACTAATTCTGCAGAGCGAACACCAGCCGCACCAAACTTTGCGATGACAGCTTCGCTAACAACGGATGAGCATACTTGAGAGAACACGTGGTCACACAAGTCGAGGTGCAGCATTTATCTGGTCTGAATCAGGGGATAGACACGTTGAATACCTAGCTCAAGTTTGCGCAGCTTTAGAGTCATGGTACTAAGTACTTAAGTAGGTTCTCGCGGAACGAGCCTCAGCTCCCGTCACTTGGGGGATCTGTCTAAAATGTGAGTCACCAATATGACTCCAAGTATGCCAGCGTAAGGCAGAAAGCGCCAAGACTCTCTTCGACACCGATGCATAGGATCCGTGAGGCTCCTGCCAAACCTCACTAACATTGCTTTGAGCAGTTACTTCCCACGCTCCACCTCGTACGAAGCGGACTCGGATCTCCCTCATACTTCTGCCCCAGCCAAAAATTAAATTCCAGACAGCAGATGACCACCTGACCAGAAGCGAGCTACACAGAGAGCCTGCATTTCTCGTCGTCACTATGTCTGAGGCATCAGATAATGGGTCTGATACGACCAGTTCTACTCGTGGCGAGGAAGCAGCCCCTTTGCAGGGGAGTTTGACGTCGAATCAGCAGGAGGACCTCGACCAGCTGTATCACCCGCTCTACGCTGACTTCACGCTGAAATGCGGCGATTTGAAGTTAGATGTCCAGCGCTCGGTCCTTTCGCGCCAGTCTGACTACTTCCAGACACTCCTGGCTGGGAAGCATTGGGCTGTATGTAACCCATATTGCGCCTCCTGCGTCATTGACCGATCATGCACAGGAGAATTACACCCAATGCATCAATCTCAACGATCACGAACCCGCGCTACTTGAGCAAGCGCTGCGGTTTTTCTATGCAAGAACATACGACGCCGTGCAGCAACCCAAAACACAGACCTTGTACTTCAACTTTCGAATGGCCAGCCTGGCAGACTCCATCATGGCATACAAGCTCCGAGAAGCTGCTCTCGCTTATTGCTGGGAACGGCTGGCTCACGATCTGATCAGCGTGGAAGAAATGGCCAAAGTGGTGCCCCTTGTCTTTGAAGACAAACGAGCAGATGATTGTGAGATGCGTACCAAGTTAATCAACTACTGTGTGCACCATCGGGACAGACTCTTTTCTATGGTCGATGAGGCGTCGGACGCCGGCGTTGACTCCGGTGACTTGAGGGCAACGACTACCACAACTATGAACCCCTTCTCGAGGGCGGCACCCGATGCAAATCGAGACCAGAGCCAACACCCTCCGAAGAAGCGAAGAAAGGTCTCAACCAGAGACGGTAGTCCAGACGGTGTTCATATCACGGACGACATTGTTCGTGCGCAAGAAGTCGCTCTGCGGCGGGCAAATGTACAGTCCATCTACGACATTCTGGAGCAAGAAGAGCCTGTCGCGCTCGCCATTGCGCAGTCTGAAGCTGAGAACATGAGAGTGCTGCGAGAACAACTGGCTTCGTCCATTAGTGAGCGCACAGTGCTTGAGGAGAAACTGATTGTGGCGACAACCAAACTTGAGAGTGTCAAGGAGGCCACGTCTAAGGACGAGATCGAGGCAGCAAGAGTGCTGCGCTTGATCAGGAAGCACACCATCTGCCGGAATGACAACTGCCGAAGAACGGCGTTTGCCATCGACATGAAGCAGGATGGGTCCATTGCAGGCTTGAGATGTGTTTCTTGCAATGCGAAGCACCGTCGCACTGACTAGTCTTGTTTGCGCAGTAATAAAGGAATCTGCAGCTTTCCGATGAATCGACACCACAGCCTACAAGTTCAATCTAGTATGGCTGATAGCCTTGGCCGCCAGTCGAAGATCAGGCTATATCAAGCAGGTCCTTTGGTGTATCTATGGTGGGCAATGGATCTTGCAGTCAAGGCATGGGCACACCGTGTTTGAGTTCAATATGGATGCATAATAGCTGGTTACCAACGCCATCCGCAACCCAGATCGAGGTAGCCTGGGACGGCAGACTTCGTCTTTGTCTTAGGTATCCAGATAGCTAGCACTTGCCAGAATCAGAATGACTTGCCTTTGCCCCGACCTGTACCATCACAATTACCATGTGCCAACTTGGCAGGCTGTTCGGGCATAAATTGAGCGTTTACCGTAGCGGGTCAGTTGAACCTCAAGATTTCGAGTCAGGGCGGGCTCTGAGGGCTGGGACTGTTTTCAAGATCGAGCAAGGAAATTGGGATGAGCCGCACTTGAGACTCAAAACGCAGAATCAGCCCATCATCAATTTGCCTGCCAGGGAGGTCGCTGTGGAACTTGGCGTGAGGTGTGTTAAGGATAGAAAAAACGCTCACCTTGTCCAACAGCTTGCTTGAATGTAAGTAAGTGTTAGGCCTTGGCGTTAGGCAACGACCCTGATGACTCTATGTTGCCCGTTTGCTTTCACTTTCAACTTTCACTTCCACTCAGGCACTTTCAGAATCTTACCGTCCTTGTTTCTCCAGAAAATGTTCTTTGCCGCCCACTCCCTCTGACGATCATTTCCCATAGTTGAAGCATCCTGAGTGCGGCGTACTGACACCTTCTATTCCTCTGGCTGTGCACCCGACCAGCACGTGCCAGACGTTTTGGCAGATTGAGTGCAGCCACAATGAGTTACAACTCGATCACCACCATTCAGCATGGACCGCCAGCCCTCACACCAAGATTCCGACTCCTCGATTTGGCGCCCGAGATACGTCTGATGGTGCTGAAAGAACTATTCCAACCCATTCGTCTCGAGCTCCAGGATCGCAATTGTCAATGCCACGACGCCGAAGGCCGCCTGATGACCGTTGAACAAATCCGACAACAAGTCCCCAGTGTGCTTCTCGTCAACAAACTCATCTACTCCGAAGCAATCGGTCTGTACAAAGCGTGGCCAGTGTCTCTAGTCACGTACGACATTCTACCGAACGACGCGCTCACCCGAGTCATCGCCAAAGGATTTCAGAGAGTTACTCAGATGTTCGTCGACGAAGAGACAGTCATCCTCCCCGAGCGCACTCTGCTACCAGCTCTGCAAGAAGTCATCATCCACCTCTGCTGGGACGACGAATACGGCACTGCAGACAACCTCGATTTTGGCGTGACTAAGGAGAACCTGCTCGAGAATATCCTGAAGAGATTCGACGCAACCAACATCGCCCATGCCATCAAACAGGCCAAGGAGGAAGGAGATCTGCCATACCGCTTGCTGACCGAGACGGAGTACATGTTGTGCTGTGAGCATGATCATTGTGATCCTGTATGGTGGCAGGTAAGTCCTGGTCCTGCACCAACTCATGTTGTGTCGGATATGAGCATGATGGCTGACATGTGACAGGAGATTCGTGTTGACGTTGAGACTCGTGACTTTTTGTACGTCGGTAACACCGATCCCACCGAACACGAACCCGGCTGTCCTGGTACTCCTGAAGATGGTGACGACGAGAACGGAGAAGGGGCTGAACCCGCGAACGTGGAAGACGGAGGGGTTTCGGTCGCTGTGGAGGGCGATGAGAACAAGGAGAATGTCGAGGCCATCGCTGTGTAAGATTCCGGCAAAGGGGGCTGCTCCTTCAACGGGAAGGGCGCTAAGGAATGCTACGACTCCGATGATAGTGATACCCAACATGATACAAAGCAAGGCGTTAAGGAATGGTCGTCAACAGGGAGGACTCTGTGCACCCACATGAATACAGAATGCACATAAAGCACAGATAGTCCAGCTTCATGCAGCTTGCTTTGACAGACACAGCGCCCTCCCTGGCCAGAAGTTCCAACTTGTTCCCTGCCTATTGACTGACGCTCAAGTGAGGCTCCTCTGAAAAACCGACTGCTGGATCAGCCACCGTAATCAGACCTACAGAGTCCTCCCTGGCCGATAAATTCACCATGCATCTTGCTAAATCTTTCCTGTGAACTGACGCTCAAGTGAGCCTCATCCGTTTAACCCCTGGGAGGCCTTCACGATGTCTAACTTCCTTCGCAACCTCGTCCGAGGCCGCCAAACCCCCAGAACCACGATCACAAAGCCAATAACAGCCATGTCGATCGAAGAGCTACTTGACGCAACCGGCAGTGTGGTTCTGGGCGATGGGGTCTTGATGACTCTTCAGGCACTGCTGACATGACGCACACCTTCGACATCAGCAAGTACCTCTCCATCTGCAACGTCAATGCTCCTTTCCACCAGGCCAAACAGCTCGAAATCGACGGCAGGCAACGCGTGACCAGCAAATTCGAATTCAATTTTGTTATCGTGAGGATGTCATCAACAATGGACTTCTGATGCTGTACGCACAGTCAAAAGCTAATATCTTATCCATGCACAACCATCCTGGTGCCCTCTGTTTCCTGTCATCGCTCACTTCAAGCGCGCCCAATATTTGAATTGCCCACTATGGTGAAAAGAAAGTCCGCCATTCTCCCGATGAATCCTTCTCCCTACAAGTCAACAATCCGCTGCCACCGGTCCCTCGCCTCCTGCTCCATCCTCGCCTTCGCATCCAGATCCACCTCCTCGACCAGCGTACCTTGCTCGATCGCTTTGGACCTATGCTTCTGGTACAGGTGAACCTTGATCGCCATAGCGGCGTGGAGTGCGTAGAGTAGCGCGCTCACGAGTTGCAAGGCAACGTTGATGTCCCAGATCGTGCGGGTCGAAAGTGTGGGGCATTCGTTCTTGTGGAGTGAGGAATCATCGGTGATTGACGACTTGGTGAAGCAGGATGAGGCGAGGTAGGTTATGGAAGAGGCGAAATAGATTAGGGAGAGGGGAATCGAGAACTATATTCCGGTCGTTGTGTCAGAGCTGATTGTACATACCTAATGCTTGTGCATTTGTTTTCGCTTCCTTGACGTATAGCAGTTACGAAGGGACTTACACATATTGCCATCTTAGGCACGTTCGACCGCGCGAGTATATGCAGATGAGCCGAAGGAACAGCGTTGAAGAAGGACAGTCCCGGCACAATCAGTGTCTGTATCACACTGCCACTTTACCAACAAGTCAGCTTTGGCATTGACCTTCTGCATCACGATGCGACTCACAATGTCAAATCGTTGTTCTTAGACACTACAACCAGCACGCCGAGCACGATTTGGACGATACTCAGAACCAGCAATGTCATGACGACGTAGGCGGCATAGCCGGTCCATCTCGCGGCATCCGACCACCGCTTGTCGCCTTTCATCGAGGCATCTGTGAAGTCGAACCATCGTCCTAGCGCCATGTTGTGCCTTGTGTGTTCTCAGTGAGGTGGTATAGTTGGAAGTGGCGTAGTGTGCGGCGTCTGTGAAGGCAGCAGTGTGCCCATCGCTATCACCGACGTCGACATTTCGGATTTACCGTATCTTGGAGATCGGTCAGTATCTATTCGGCAATGATCAGTGCAAGGGTGGGATCGTGCGAGAGCCTCAACGCGGGGGTGGCATTTGCAGTGCCGTCTCAGCCGGCGACACGGGGGCCCCATGGGGGCCGTCATGCGTCATTGTGTCGAAGTTGCCTTGTTCAAACCGCATTCCTTCTTCGCAGCCTCAACTCGCGGCAAACGATCGGGACTGCTATATAAAGCATACAAGCCGTACCGCTTCCACGTGTATTATGCTTCTTCACTTCTGAGGTCCTTTCCTGCATTTTAGCCTCAATGCCCTTGAGCCTCACGCCCGGAGAGTCGAAACAGACTTTTGTGCGGAGAACAGCCTCCGCTCTGCCATGACGTCCACCACGAGCTGTTCGAATCTTTTTACTGGCTATGTGCAGCGGTGACACTTGAGAATGGTACACCGACCTTCCCATTTCGGCATGTATTTGATGTCGACCGTGGTCGGTCAACTGCCGTGAAGTGAGGAGTACGGCACCGGCGCCACACGATGCTGTGGTACATCATGGCCTCATCGGAAGCTCTTGAGAGCTTACGGAGCTCAACTCGAGCTTCTGCCACTCATCATCAGAATCAACAAGATGTTTTTGATCAGCCTACTCACCGTCGCATGTCTAGCTACTATCTGCTCTGGGAGACCAGCCGCGAGCAGTAACATAGCTTCACTTTACCCACGACAATCAAGCTCAAGCAATAGCAGCCTTGATGTCGATCTTGGCTATAGTGTCTACCAAGGCGTCAATAACGCAACTTCACAGCTCAACAATTGGAGAGGTGTCCGCTTCGCTGCTCCGCCGACTGGGCAGCTCCGATGGCAGCTACCACAAGCTCCAACATCCAACCGAAGCTCACCCATCGATGCTAGTCAGTACGCACCGACGTGCTACCAGAGTGGAAACTCAGCTGGTGGTGCTATCAGACCTGGTAATCAGTCTCTGGCTGCCGAAGACTGCTTATTCCTGAATGTATGGTCTCCAGCTGCTGCGTCAGAGCCTTTGCCAGTATTCGTCTGGATACATGGGGGCGGCTATGGGGCCGGCAGCGGTCGCCAGGATATGACACCCTTCATCAATGCCAACAATAACTCCCTGGTCGCGGTCACTATTCAATATCGGCTTGGCGCTTTTGGTTTCTTGAGCTCTGATGAGGTCAACAGAAATGGCATACCCAATGCTGGACTCTACGATCAGACATTTGGTACGTGGCCCCTTTGTCCTGAGTCGGGCGAGATGAAAGTCTCCTGATTCTGGTTCTCTCTAACATGCATTCATTTTAACACGTGAGACAGCTTTAGAATGGGTGCAGTCATACATTCACCTCTTCGGTGGAGATCCGACGCGCGTGACCATCGGCGGCGAGTCCGCTGGCGGTGGCTCAGTCATGTTGCAAGATATGGCTTACGGTGGTACGCTCGGCAACAAACTCTTCACCAACACTTTTTCTGCCTCGCCCTATCTGCCTATGCAATACGGCTATGCGGATTGGGTGCCAAGTCAAGCATATTACGCTTTCGCCACTGCAGTCGGGTGCGCGCCAAACGATCCATACAATGGCCACGGACAGACTATTTTCCAGTGTCTTACCAGTGCGGACAGCGCACTCCTGGCCAATGCATCAGCAACCGTCTCACAAGAAGGAGTTTATGGTACATGGGGCTTCCTTCCTGTCACCGACGGGCGGCTCGTTCAAGATCTTCCTAGCAGACAGCTCCTGGAGAAGAAAGTGAACGGTCAGAACGCGCTTGTGGGCAATAATGCCAATGAAGGCCCTGCGTTCGTTGCGCAAAACATCACAACCGAGGAAGACCTAGTAGCATTCCTCCGCTACACGTTCCCTCTCTTCAGCGATAGTGACATCCAGCGTGTGCTGTTGTACTATCCCAGCAGCAATGATAGCGACTCCGAATCTGATCCCGTCTTCGCGACTGAAGGCGAATCCGGGCCTACAGCTGTCAACCAGTCAAGCGTGGCCACTGGCCAACAGCAGCGTGCAGACAACATATATGCCGAGACGACCTTCGTATGTCCCAGTTATTGGCAGGCTGAAGCTTATTCGGACCCAGCTCGCAACAAATCTGGTTACAAGTACCAATTCTCGGTTCCTCCTGCAACTCATGGCGCGGACGTGGCTGCGTACTTCAGCCCGCCTGGTGGGGTCATTGGTGCAGACTTATCCCAGGCATTCAAGCAGATACTGGGCAACTTCGTGATACAGAACAATCCGTCGATTCCGGCAGCCGTAGCAAATGGTGCAAATGCGACTATAAGCACAAATGCGGTCAGCAGCTGGCCACCATTCAGCATCGCACAGCCATATCAGATTGATCTCAACCAGACTGGAGGTAGCCCCATCAACGTTCCTGTGCCAGGTAATCGCAATATCACGGTCAACAGTGGCATGTCGGCACAGAACAATATCACGCTAGTCAATGCGTATACCTGGGAAGGGGGAAGAGGACAGAGATGCGATTTCTGGAGGAGCGTTGGCGCTATTGTGCCTGAGTAAAGCAAGCATGAGATGGGACCTCAGCAGCAACGAAGCTTTCCAGTAGCAGGAAACCTGCATAACTTGATGCCTTGGGGTTTATCTTTTTGCTCTGTCCAATACTGTTAATGCATATCGCAGATACCTAGACTGAGGCCACTGCCTGAGCAGCAGCCAATCACACCTGTCAACTCTATACGCCGGCTGACATAATTGCGGCCGCAATAGGCAGGCAGTGACATCCGGGCGCCCTTCGGAGTGCTTGGCTGATGATCACGATCAGCGACTGAACCACGTCGTACTCGTTCACGAACCAGGAAACATGTCGATATAAAAAGATATCTGTATCAGCCTGTCCTGCGTCGAGTGTCAGCTGCCTCGACACCACCTAGGATCGCCAGCCCTCTTTTCCAAACCATGACGGCCATACCAACGAGCACAGCACGCATAACCTGCCTCTGCGGCGCCATATCTGAACCAGGCAGCAAGCTCGTCCAACAAACCTTTCCCATCAAAGAGGAGCTCTGCCACTGCAACCCGTGCCGGCAAACTACTGGTGCTCTTGCTCCTGCGTTTGCGAACTTCAAGGTTCATCCTACACAGGAGACGCTTGATAAATGCGACGTATACGAAAGCTCAACGAAAGTTCGACGGTCAGTACCTCCTGACTGCACGTATGCTGCAAGACCACCACATTTATTTGCCAACTTTGAATTACTCACACAATCATGACAGACTATTCTGCAAGACCTGCGGCACGAAGGTCTTCGTTGCCATATCCAATGATCAAGGTCAGATAGACCACTACAGTGCCCTTGCTGGCTGTATCGAGCGCAATCCTCAACAGGTCAAGGAAGGAGACCAATGGACAAAAGACGTCATCGAGGTCATGCATCACGCTTTCCTCTCTGACACTAACGACGGTGGACTTGCGGGACACCTGCTCAAGGTTGACGGCAACACGCCCAAGTTCTACGAAACGGATGACGAGAATGCTGAGCTATCGATCTCAGTCGTCGAAGCCATGATCGCGAAGTCGAGAGCAGTACCAACGCCTCCCATCGATGCACAGCTCACGGCAGAATGCAGATGTGGCGGCGTCGATCTTCGTATCCTTCGGGCGGACTTTGCCGAGCGGGACAAGGACATCAAAGAGCATTACTCCTATCCAATTGATAAGTACGTAGCTGGTTTGTGCGCTTGTCGGTCTTGCCGTCTGCATTTCGGGACCAGTCTCGTGCCTTGGGCTTACATACCTGTTGGCAATCTCAATGTCGCGTCGACTGGCAGAAAAGTTGTGTTTGGACATGCAGCGCTCGAGCCTGGCTCGAATCCAGGCACGACGCTGAAGCATAGTGAGACGTCAAAGGGAGTGATCAGATCGTGGTGCGGGTCGTGTGGAGCCAGTGTCTTCTTCTGGAGCGCGGAAAGGAAAGGTCGGGAAGAGGTCGTAGACATTTCAGTGGGCATAATTCGGGCGGAGAGTGGTGTTATGGCGAGGGAATGGCTCGAATGGAGGGATTTGTTGAGTTATGACCATGAGGGTACCGACCAGGCTTTGGTGCGGCAGGTCAAGCAGAGCATTGAGGCGGAAGCTAAGGAGTGATCGACTGCTCAGGGTGAAAGAGACCAGATCGGCTGCATGCTCTTGGTTATGTTGCGACTTTCATATCGGTGGATTGTGCAGTCTATGTTGCTTCATCCTCGATCTCCAGGTTGCCGACCTTGAACTTCTGGCCCTTCTTATCTGCATAATTCATGTGGTTATGGTAATCCTTGACACGCTCACGCACATACTCGAGGCCCCGGACCGGCTTAGCATTCTCCTGGTCCTCCGGGATGAGGCCCATCCGCTTCAGCAATGGGCTCGGTGCAGGTTTTATGTCGGTGTCGTCGCCTGGCCTCACGAAGTAGAAGAGCCCAAGCCGGTGAATCTCGTCCTGGTCAGGCGGCGGCCGCACCACTCGATGCGTGGTAGACTTGAGATACCCAGCTGACCAAAAGTCGATCGTATCGCCGACGTTGCAGACTATGCCTGGTCGACTGGCGTACGTATTTCCAGTCGCCGTTTGGCGTCTTCAATTGCAAGCCAGCTACGTCCTGGCTCCACAGCAGAGTCAAGGAGCCGAAGTCAGTGCTGTGAATCTCGTTAGCCATGCCTCGGGAAAGGAGTCCAAGCTTGAAGACAGATTCGCAGGTCGAGTGAGAGCACTTCTTTGTTGCCCAAGACATATGCTCAAGGCAATATGCAGAGTAGAGCTCATTTCAGGATACAGGTTTGGTCACGGGAGAGCCACTCACTGGGCACGCGACCAAGTGTTCTGTACTTTCTGGTCGTCTTCGACTGATCGCGGATGGTACACCATATATCGCAGGTGGTCGTCGCTGGGGTCATCGTATCGGTGCCTGGACGAGAAGTAGTCCTCGGGTAGTTCAAGGATGATAGCAAAGAGGGTGAAGATGCGGTCAGCAATGCCAATGGCCTTTCGCGAGAAGGCCTCTATCTCATCGCGGTATTGCTCGAAGAATGAATGAAATGGCTCGTTGGCATTGTTCGGGATGAACTTTGGTATGTTGAAGGATTCCTCAATATTCAGCACTTCAGTGCCCATGATGCGCTTCTCATGCGCGCGTCGATAACCGAAATAATTCCCTGCCGCGAAGTCGCATCTATACTCCGGCTTGTTCTTCTCCTCAAGCGAGAGCTCGAAGAACGCCTGGGCAATATCGTACTGTCGGTCTACTTCCGCCTGGTCAAGGCCGGTGTTAATAACGCTGAAGAAGCCCGTCGTGTGGACTGCGTTGCGAAGCTGCTTTGCCAGTCGATGTTTGCCATCGGGCTGTTCGTAAATTGACAGATCAATGATGCTATTTCTGCCCATTCTAGAGGGTACTTTGTCTTGTGTGGTCGCTGCCAGGTCGGTAAAGGCCGTGAGTCTTGCAGGACCGCTGATGGCATGCTGGGCTGAGAGACACAATGGTGAAGGAGCGACGGAATGGCTTTAACATCAACCGAGAGACGAGCTGGATAATAACACTCACTTAAATCTGTACTGATACCGCACGATCGCCGCTCATACATACTGTGTTGTGCGCTCCGGAGGCGGGGATCGGATGACGTGCTCGCGCTCACCTTTCAAGTGTGGTAGTAGATCATTGAGTTCCTTGTGCCCTAGGCATTGGACGTCCGCAATCGGTCCAGGCTCGGGTGGCTCGTCGCCCGAGCTTTAAGACATGCCTCAACTATGCAGCGGTCTACAGCTCCGGTGTTTGTGCTTTGCGCAATTCCGGGCATATAGGAGCGGGAGACTGGCTACAGAGCGTTAACGTCTAGGGACAAGCACATGTTTTTTTGAATTCATAGCCATGAGAAGTCGTGAAGGCCAGCCTTCCCCCGTGGCCGAGCGCTTCCAAACAAAATAGAAGACATCTCGAACCATGTAGCTCAGAAAGGCGTCGTCGAGTAGTAAGGATGGTAGCCCAAGCTTGCCAAGAATCCGCCCCCAAAGGCCCCTGGAGTGTTGGAGACCCCCGCTTCTCTCACGTCTCTTGGAGAAATTTTTTGATGCCAACGGCATTTTATCTCGGAAACATCGAAGGCAAGCCACCTGATCATGTCCATTGGTCGGACGGTCCATCATGAAGCTCGATACCAAGGCTCTCCGATACTTGTCCCCCACTGACTGGCGAGTCCTCACTGGCGTCGAGACCGGAAGCCGTAACCACGAAGTCGTTCCCACCCCACTCATCTCGTCCCTCTCCAAGACCGCCGCAGGTGACACCCAACGCAGCATATCACTACTCGCAAAAGCCAATCTCATTGCTAAAGTCAAGAACACAAAGTACGACGGCTATCGGTTGACTTACGGCGGGCTGGACTACCTCGCGCTGCACTCACTGCAGAAGAGCAATGTGGCCTACAGCGTAGGCAACCAGATCGGCGTAGGGAAAGAGAGCGATATTTTCGTGGTCAGTGACGAGAAGGGCCAGCAGAGGGTGCTCAAGATCCATCGACTCGGGCGGGTCAGCTTCAGGAAGGGTGTCAGGAACAAGCGGGACTATGCGCGGACACGACAGCAGAAGGAGCGCGGGGCGGGCAGCTGGATGTACATGAGCAGACTGGCGGCGATGAAGGAACATGCGTTCATGTCAGCGCTATATGATGCGGGCGTTAGTGTGCCGATGCCGCTGGGGCAGAACAGGCATCAGATTGTGATGAGTCTGGTTGATGGGTTTCCGTTGAGGCAGGTCAAGGACGTGCCGGACCCAGCGGGGCTGTATGCTGAGCTGTTGGAAATTGTGGTGCAGCTGGCAGTATTGGGGCTGATCCACGGTGACTTCAATGAGTTCAACATCATGATAAGGGAGGATGTGGATGAGGGTGAATCTGTGAAACTGGTGCCCGTGCTGATCGACTTTCCTCAAATGGTCAGTGTGGATCATGCAGATGCGGAGATGTACTTCGATCGAGATGTCCAATGCATCAAGCGGTTCTTCGACCGGCGGTTTGGTTTTGTCAGCGACGAGCCTGGACCTTTCTTCGAGGATGTCAAGAAGAATGTTGGCACCGCGGAGGCTGGTCGGCTTGATGTGCAGGTCGAGGCGTCTGGCTTCTCAAGGAAGATGGCGAAGGATCTGGAGGTCTATATGAGAGAGCATGGCGTGGACGGTGATGCCAAATCCGGCGGTGATCACAACACCGACTCCGATAGCGACCAGAGTGGGGACGACGAAGATGATGTCCAGGAAGAAGTTGAGGATCACGCCTCACTCATGCGAAATGGAGTGTCTGTGACCTGATGAAACTGCGCCGTCAGGTCACTTACTCACTAGGGGTGGACTGATCCGACAACCCCAAGCACGCACTCATTCATCGCCGAACCACCTGCCAGGCTCATCTGTCAGCATCAACAATGACTGCGTCAATGTCAGCGGAAACATCGACACAATGTTCGCACTGCGGGGCAAGCTGTGATCGGCGCCTGAGATCGTCACCCGTCGGAGAATTCCAGGCGGGCCAGACGCTAAACCCACGCGAGAGTGTCAGACTGTGATAGTATGAACGTTCCAGTGAGTCGAAGCGACGACGTTGCGATGGCGACGACTCGTTCAAGGACAGTGTGTTCCATGATTCCATCAGAAAATCGGGATCGAAGACCAGGAAGGTGGTGTGGTATGCATATACATGGGGCTCAAGCGGGCTTCCGCCCGTTGACGGACTGTGCATTAGCCACTACTCACACAGGGTCCGGTGTATGCAATGCACGTGGAAGCGAGACAGGCCTAAGCAAGCTCGCAAGCTGGTTTCAGCGGGGCAGATCATATCACAACTGGTCATGCTTGCTGATTCTCTCGGTGCAGGAGGCAGGTTTTGACGCGCGAAGATCGACGTATTGGCAGATCGAGACTTTCAGATACAGCATTCGGGGATGGAAGCCGCCAAGAAAAGGCCACGTTCGGGGGACTCTGCCAGAAAGCATCCACCACGAATCCACGATTGTGAAACCAAAGTCTATCGCGACAGGGCTGAGAATCTGCCAGAGTCTCAAGAGATTACATTGCGGCATACGGAAGAGAGTTGAAGTCTGTGCTGGCCTTCGACCGCAATAGGGAGACGACGAGGGGTAGAGACACGTGATGTGCGTTGACAGTGTGAAAGCCGTCAATTTTGAAACAATTATCGGTTGACTTATATGCTGGATCATGTAGCTAAAGTACCCGAAGCGGCTTGTGTGGCAGCAGCAGCCTCCCACGTTGAGCTGCATCGCTGTAGAAACGTCTCGAAAAATGACTGTTCGAGGTGCAGCGCTCGAGCTTGTACTGCACTGGTGTCCTCTAGAAGAATCAAAGGACGTCTGAAGAAGGTCAAGCGCAAGGAGATTTTATTCTGTTCGGTGTTCCCCTGCATTGGCGTGCTGCTAAACCCATGTGCTTGTCAACGGGAGATTGCATCCCCCACCTCCAAGACCCGGCCCTCCAACCGTACTGAGCATGGCCTGTACCAGAAGATCACGACTGCTAAAGAGCCCTTGAATTGAGTTCGAGTGCGCAGCTGAAAGAACAGTATCTCCTTTCTTCTCGAGGCAAACCTCAGCTCTCAGCGCAACTCCAATATTGCGACTTTCTCATCAACAACTGTCTTCAATTGTCGCATTCACTTGACTGAACCAACCGTCGCTTTCTTTTGGTTGCTACAGAGACTAATCGTCAAGCGAGCCAAGACTCGTTCGCGCTTCCCCTTTTCGACGATCAAATACATCCGAGTTCCTCTACCGACGCGCGCCTGGATTGCAAAACGCCCCCTTTCCTGACACTCGCTATTCGATAATGTACACCATCAGATCAACCAGAACGCGGCCATAATATCCAGCTATCTCGATAGCCCTTGCATCTTCGAGAATCCACCCCTTGCGGGTGTCGCAACCATGATTGCCTCACCTCCGGGCTCACCTGACGCGGCTCATGCCCGATCACGGCCGCAGTCGATGTACGGGCCCGTGTCGCCAGATGTCAACCACACAAAATCCCGGCCACAGAGCGCCATGATGCGCCCGCCGCGAAGTAATAGTCGATTGAGCCAGAGCAATAGGCAGAACAGCAGCAGGATGTCTGACGAAGACGGAAAGACCTCTGTCAAAGTCGGTAAGTTGTACTTGTGCTTCTTCTGCACGTGGTCAAGGCCTGCTCAGGAATGCTAACAAACCTTCCGCAGTGGTGCGAGTTAGACCTCCACTTGGTCCCTCGGATCCTGGCTTCGACCTCATCCCCCAGCGATTCCAGCGTTCGATGGTACAAGTGACCGCTCCGACAAGTTTAGGTGTCGATTCTCCTCAGGGCCGCAAGCTCTTCATATTCGATCGCGTCTTTGGCGAAGAAACGACACAGAAAGGAGTCTGGGACTATTTACAGGATAGCGTCGAGTCGTTCCTTCAAGGCTACAATGTCTCCATACTCGCATATGGCCAATCCGGCTCGGGCAAAAGTCATACTATGGGCACATCCGGCCCTCAGGAGCAACGCGATCCCAGCAGAACCGGTGTCATCCCTCGAGCGGCGCAGCTCATGTTTGAGAACCTCGGTGGAAGCCGGCCACCGCACAGCAGACAAAACTCCGGACTGACGGGCATCAGAGCCCCGAATCGGTACTCTGTCAGCAGCATGAATCAAGTGCTGGCGCCCAAGAAGGCTGAAGCAGACCAGGATTGGGAAATGACCGTGACATATGTCGAAATCTACAACGAACAGCCGCGCGATCTTCTTCTGCCAGAAGCCACACCTCTCTATGAGCGACCAAATGTACAGATCAGGGAAGATCCACGAGGCCGCATATTTGTCGAAGGGCTGAAGTCAGTCAAAGTCAGCACTATCGACGAGCTCATGGGTGTATTGAACCATGGATCGACCATCCGACAGACCGATGCCACAGCGATCAATGCTCGATCTTCGCGCTCCCACGCTGTATTCACCATCAACCTGCGCCGGAGCAAGCCTAGTGGTCCAACACCGTTGAAAGACAAACGCATGTCGATGCCCGTCGATGCAATCGCCTCGGCCGAAGCAGCAATGATGACCGTGGAAAGCAAGCTACATTTTGTAGATCTGGCGGGCAGTGAACGTCTCAAAAACACCCAAGCGACGGGAGACCGCGCAAAGGAAGGCATCTCTATCAATGCTGGACTGGCCAGTCTTGGAAAGGTCATCTCGCAACTGTCGTCGAGACCTTCTGGAACTCATGTGTCGTACAGAGATTCGAAGCTCACCCGTATGCTCCAAGATTCACTCGGTGGCAATGCAATCACCTACATGATTGCTTGCGTCACGCCGGCCGAGTTTCATCTCAGCGAGACTCTCAACACGGTTCAATATGCGCAAAGAGCACGAAATATTCAGTCAAAGCCAAAGATCCAGCAGATCAACGACGACGCTGACAAGCAAGCAGTCATCGATCGTCTACGAACTGAAGTCGCTTTCTTGCGACAGCAGATTCGGAGTGCAGAAGGTGGTGAACGGCGCCCAGCTGCGCTAGAACGTTCGGATCGTCCTAACGAGCGCGAAGCTGATCTGCAGAATCAACTGCTTGATGTACAGGAGAGCTACACTACACTTAGCCAACGACATGCTAAATTGGTCTCCGAACTAGCCAAGAACGGCGAAGACCCCGCTGAGATCAATGCGGCCGTGGGCGAAAGTGCAGTGTCTCGGTTGAAGCGATCGCAGGCACAACAGCAACAGATCGAACAAATGGTCCTGGAGTACGAGAAGACAATCCAAACTCTGGAAGCAAACTTGTCGAATACCCGCTCACATTTGTCATCAACGGAGAGCAGTCTCCTCGAACGAGAAACCAAATGTGCCTACATCGAGACCGTCAATCAGCAACTCAATACTCGTGTTCAAAAGCTGATGGATCGAGAAGGTAACATGGATCAATATGTCCACGATCTGGAAGCACGCTTGGCAGACACCAGTTCCGGCAACGAGAGAAATGACGCCATCCTCGCTGATCTTCGTAAAGAAATGGCTCGAGTCCGAGAAAGCGAAGCCAATGGAGAAGACTACATTTGCACCCTGGAGGAGCGCCTCGCGGAGGCTGATCAGGATATGGAGATCATGCAACGAGAAGTCGAGCGATTGGAGCAGCTCGTTGAGCGCCAGCGAAGTCTTGGTAAACTCGACAACCTGATCTACGAGCTTGATCACATCCAGCGCAAGGACGGCAGCCCATCTGGAGCAAAGAGTGGCGCTGTGAAAGTCAATGGTACTGCCCAGCGGATCGATGAAGTGGCCGCTGAAGTCCAGCTACCGGCCGATGGCGACGATGACCTGCAGGAAAATGACGAGTCTGAGCTTCCTGACGATGGAGAAGCAGACGAACCATCGAGGCGTCAGTCAGATATTGAAGGGCTGAAGCAGCTCGAGAAGACGGAAAGATTGTCACCCCCGCGTTCACGTCAGGCCGACCAGCCATTGTCAAGTCCTGCTCAGGAGAAATTCGTTGCCGACAAGTTCGAATCGTTGAGCCACGAGCTCTTCGACCTGCGAATCGAGCACGAGACCACCGTAAATCAGCTGGAGCTAATGTCCGCGAAGTACCAAGAAGCACTGCGGGCGCTTGCTGAGATGCAACAAGATCGGATGGACGAAGCGCGGCATCCAGAAAAGGCTATTGATCACAGTCCGATGCCCGACACCCATCCCGAGACTTTTTTAGAGGACGCGAGAACGCAGGAGAACTCGCACGAAGAACACTTGTCATCCTCGCGTTCGCTATCCTCGGAATTGTCCTTGGCTGGGGAGTCACAGTCGTCGACAGATACAGACATCACGCCAATCTCCAAGCAGCAGATCTCTGGCGAGGTCGCCGCGCGTGAGATCGAGCGGCTCCAGACCCTTCTCGTGGAACACGAGCGTGAGAGGGATGCTGTTGCCGAGCAATACAATTTGCTTGCTACCGAGCACAAGGACACCTTGTCAACCGTCGAGAAGCTGAAGCACCAGGTGAACAACGTCATTCGACCGGTCTCGCCTAGTCCCAATAGCATGGCGCCTGGCATGCTCAGACGGATGACTTCGCAGGCCAATACCTCGGTTGATCGTGGTCAGCGATCAATTGTTGCGCTGCGGACTACTCTTGCTGAAGAGTTCGACGGCAAGCCTGATCAATTGGAGTCTCTCGAGGTCCACCTGTCAGCCGCAACCCATGAACTGCAAGCGCGTAAGGATCGCATTGATGCGGTAGAGGCCGAGCTCAAGACCGCAAAGAAAGAGATGGAGATGAAGAGCACAATCATCTCTGGCCTGACTCGTGAGCGCAATAGCATGAAAGCTGGATCTCCTGTGGATCTCTCAATGGTGTCTCAGATGCGAGACCAACTGATCCAGAAGGAGACCGAGCTGAAATCGCTGCATGAGAGCTATTACAGACGCGAGCAGGAACTCCAGAGCGAAATTACACACCTTAGCAGTGATCGTTCTCGACAGCCATCACCTTCGAAGCAGGAGGTGTCGCCAGAGACGCAAGAGCGGATCCAGAACCTCGAGAGTCAGCTCAAGGAGCTCACCGACAAGCACGACTCGGCGAGACAGCTTGCTGATGAGTCCACTCGCCAACTTGCGGTCACGAAATCGGAGTTGAGTACGGCGTTGTCTAACGTCGAGTCCATCAAGGCTTCGCAGCGATCGGCGGATGGTTCTTCTCCGGAACCCGATGTCGCTGCTGCTGCTTTCAAGCAAGAGCGCCAAAACTACGAGCGGCTCATCGATGAGCTCAAGAGCTCACTTGATACCCAGCAAAAGCTTAGTGATACACAGAAAGAGAAGATTGTTGAGTTGGTCGAGCTCCACGGTCAGGTTTCGAAGGATGCAACTGCTCTTGGGCACCAGCTCAGAGCCCGGGAGCAGCTAGTCGCGGCTACCAAATTGCGCATCGAAGGTCTCGACAAGGAGCTCAAGGAAGCCAAGACGCTGTCGAGTTTCACAAGCACGGATTGAAGTCGTTACACGAATCTCACACCAACGAGATGGAAGAGATGAAGCTGTCCCACGCTGGCCAGCTCGCCTCATACGACGACCAGATTGCAGAGCTGACTGCGAAGCACGAGAAGTTGACTCAGTCCCACGACCGACAAGCCTCGAATGCTCTCAACCCAGATGTCCTGCTTCGTGAGGCCCAGAGAGCGCTTGGACATCCGACGACCATGGATATGTTGATCGGTCATATTCAAGACCTTCGTGAGGAGAAGGATGCAATCAGTGAAGCCGTCAAGCGGCATCATGCGACCAACCAGGAATTGGAGCGACAGATCCAAGGCCGCCAGAACCTAGAAGAGCTCGAGACAGAAGTCGAGACGCTGACGAACAAGATGAACACCTACCAAGAGACGATTCGCAACCTGGCCAACGAGGTCGGCAACCATGAGGAATCCCTGCGCGAGAAGAACGCCTTGGTCAAGAAGCACGAGACCACGATCGAGGGCAAGAACCATCTCATCGAGGAACTCGAGCAACAGCTCCAGAATAGCTTCGACCAACATCACAACCGCGTTTCGGTCATCCAAGCTGCGGGCAACCAAGCCTTGGTCGAAGCTCAACAGCGGATAGCTCTCTTGGAGCAGGACCTTGGCGAGACGCAACGCGGCTCATTCAACGGCTCCGACCAAGGCTCGCGCACGCATACAATGAAGTCGCAACGACCTCAGTCACCCCCTACATTCGACAGCCAGAACCGCACGAACTCGCTGTCTTCGAATCTCCGCAAGTCAGCGTCCATTGCGTCGTTGCCATCACCGCCTCCCGCCATCCCACTCCCGCCGCTTCCGTCCCTCCCAGCCATCCAATCCGGCGTACCCACCAGCAATCCGTCGCCACCACAGTCCCGGCATACTTCGAAGGAGGTCATACCCTCCGTCAACGCGAACAGCACTCCGCCAACAGCCAACAAGGACCGCGACTCCGCTGCCCATCTCGAGAAACTCAAGCGTCAGTCCACCCTCATCGAAGAGCAGGAATCACGCATTCGCACCATTGAGAAGCATTTGCATGCTGAGAAGCAACTCACAGCGACACTCGAGGAAGCGCTTGTCGATCTCGAAACACAGTCTAACAAACTGCGTGCCGACGCGGAAGGGTGGAAGAAGAAGGCGTGGTCGATGGAGGAGGAAGTCGCCGGACTCAAGAAGGCGAGCAAGACCGAGCGGCTGAGCGTACAGGCTGTGGAGGAGGAAGTGAAGAAGCGAAGAGAGGCAGAGGCTGCGAGGGCGCAGCTGGAGGAGAGGATGAGACTGCTGCAGGGGCAGACGGGCGTTGGAGGAAGAGATGCTCAGGGAAAGAAGAAGAGGAAAGGTGGAGGGTTGAACTGCTTCTAGTTGAAGCGAGAAGGCGTTGGATGACTTATTAGCACGGCTGCTGCCAGGTTTCCTTTTTGTCACACTACCCTTGGGGGCTGTTTGGACGGCGGCAACGATTCCATTGATTTCATTTGGGTAATGAGATTCTGGGAAACGCCTCCACGGAGACCACGTTTGGTGCTATGGCGATCACGGCGCTACGAAGCCCAGAGCACACATTTGAGCAGACGGACTTCCGCAAAACACTGGGAGCAATCGATGGTGAGGCAAAGCGTCGCACAAGGAGAACATGTACCAAACATCATAGCACCTGCCTACGCAGCAGTTTTCCTGTACAGTAAATACCACAGAAAGATCAAGGCTCAGCCGGTCTCAGTTCGACAATCTGCTGCCGAGAACATAATTGAGAGACGATGATAGTGAACAGGATACAAATGTGCCTGAAGACGTCTGTTATTAAAATCTGTTTAAACACCATACGTACCACTGTGACGCGAAAAACCCGAGCCACATAAGATTCAACTCGCACACACTCTGCTGATGCTGCTTCCATATAGCCGCTGCCGCTACTGCCACCGCTGGTATAAGCTCCTCATCCAGCTTGAATCCAAACTAATCTGTCAACTGGTCCGAGTTGAGGCCGCGCACTATCCAGCCTCATGTAGAATCCCCTGTCAAATGTTATGGCTTGTAGACTTGAGCCTGCTTACAGGGTTCAGAACAAAACGGCATCGCACTTGTCCCGCTCGACGGTCAAGCGCGCTCCGATCAGCTCATCATCCTTGGACGCTTTGAACCATACTCCAACAACCATGCACATGGCGACGTTCTTGTCAAGTACGTCGATCCTATTCTGGGCAATCATGCATTCATAGCATGTGGCGCCTCCTCTGTGTATGACAGTGTCAATACACACAGTCAGCCAGTCCTCCCTAAATAGCATTGTCTTCCTGGTCATATCACGCTCGTCCATTGGAGGCCCTCCATTGCGGTTTTGCCATTCTTCTTTCTCCTGCAAACCTTGATATATCTTGTGGTTGACCATGCCGATGCAATCAGAGGTGCCCGTGGCTGAAGAGGACTGCTTCACGACAAGACCCAGGCCGTGCTTGCGAGCGATGTCCGTGCGCACTCCTAGAAAGTCGCACATAAGAGAGTACACTACCTTTTCATGATCAATGTTCGGAAAGTCACCCCACACGTTCACCGTATGCATACCATGCAGCGAAGCTCGAAATATCGCCTTCTCGTGCGCGGGAGATGGCCACTTGACTCCGTTGACGGCACTGTAGGGGATTCCGCCACGGATGACACTGGTAGCCCATGCCGAGAGGGCATCTTGTGTGACACGACTGAAATTGTAGTGCGCAATTGCCGCCGCGCGCCGCACGAAAAGGTATGCACGAGCTGTACTTGTCGGATCTCCATCAGGGAATGCCTTGGAGTACGTAGTCGCGTGTAACATTCGGGAGGTTGGTACTTCTGGCTGTGGCGTGAGTTGGAGCATTATCAGTTTGGCGGGCGTACGTGTATGAAATGATGCTGTGTGCAAGCTGCCATAGACATCCCGCATTACAGTAATGTCCTCAGGAGCAGGCAAGAACAACGATGGTGTACAACGTGCCGAGTTATTCTTGCTGTCTATTTGGAACAGACCACGGGGCGTGGTCGACTTGACCAACTCGTCTAGACCGGTTTCGTACTGCACCAGCACATCGTCTAGAAGTGCGGCCGTGGACATCGTAGAGGCGTTGACCGGTATGCGGTAGTACTTGGATGATAGGAAGACAGCTGTGATGAAGTCATTTGTCACACTAGCCACATGATTGCTGTCCATGTCGCTGAAGTGCACCAGCTTCCCGATCTCGTGCGGTCCTCTATTGAGCTTCTCACCAAGGAGGCAGCGGGCAATCAGGTAAAATTGTTGGTCCATTTGAGCCTCGCTGGCGTCTAGGTCTTTTCACTGAAGAAACGACCAGATTGACAGCATTGCATGCCACTGACCTGCTTCGAGGTGGTCGCGCATGATCGACCAGGCGGCCTCTTCTCGCAAATCCCCATACGTGGCGGCATTTTGACGACTTTGCTCGTACAGCCACCGGCACCATGGTCCCATGTACTGATGCTGAGTCGGCGACAATTTCCTTGTCCTGACACTCCACTCGTGCTCCGTTGCCTGTGTGCAAAGCTCGGTTGGGAGGCGTGCACAGTAACGGAAGGATATGGCGCGTGCGTACACGATCTCTTGCTTAGTCCACAGACGATAGAAGTAGGAGGAGCGGGAAATCGCGTTGACGCAAATCTCCAAACGTCGCCAGAGCTGGAAGTCGCCGTTCTTCGGATCTGTAATGTCTTTCGCCTTGTCGCCGGCCTCATACGCCTCAAAGGCAGCCTTCAAACAATTACACGGCGCTTAAGGCTGCACTGCGATGACTTCAAAAGCGCGATAGATGTTTGGTATGTTCTGCAAATGGATTGGAATGAGTTCCGGATCCTGGGGTATAGACAGTTGATCAAACCACAAAGCGCCATGTTCGATGCTCAGGTCGACGAATGCTTTGGACAGATCTGCGACAGACCATTCTCCTCCGAACGTCAATTCAAGTGGCTGAGTGGTCCCATCTTGGTCAGGTTCGTGATGTCCAAAGAGATGAGCGAAGCGATCAAAGTCTCCTATTCCGTAAGAGATCGCCGCTGCATTTCCAGGGTGCAGGCTGACATGCTTTTGTTTGACCTGTATATGCTTGCTGCCGTACTGAGCATCACCACATTCGCACCAGGAGAAGGTGCTGACAGGCACGGAAGTCAGTCGTGCCTTGGTCTCCTCTGCGAAGTGTGGCACTTGTTGAGTCGACATCGGTCCTTGTTGAGTGGCATTTTCTCGCTGTGTACATCTGCGCACCTAGAGGCTTGAGAGAGCCAGGCACGCCGCTCACTGAGCTGGCCCTACTTGATCGAGGGTAGAGCACAGGTGAGTGGTGCGATGATCAGCAGAAGAGGAGAAAGCAGACCTCGACATCCGGAATCTAGCCATTCCGAATGAGTGACCCAGATCGCAAGGCTGACTAGGAGGAAAGGACGACCGGTCAAGAAACCACCAAAGGACCGCCAACTGGGCATCGACTTGAGTGGGCCCTCGTCAAGTCATCCGGTCTCGTTCATATCGGGTAAGTCATATCATCCGGTCTTCCCAGTGTCTCATACTTTCGTAGGAACTTCCAAGGTTAAGGCACTTTTCAAATGCTACCTCGCGCGTCAAAAGGCGAAGTTGTCGTTAGAATCAACGCTAGGTGTTCTCCCTACGGTGTTATTCCCGTCTACTATGATTCATAACTTTCCAGCACACTCATTGACAATATATTTGAGATCGGCAGGTAGCAGGTATTACTTTTGGAGATGAGAGACGGTAAGACATCGCATTCTGGATTGGATGTATTATAAACAGAGTATTGTTTGAGACTGGCTTTCAAAGCGTCCACCATTCTTCCTGACAGCCTGCTACGTACGGTCACTTCCACAATCACCCTCCTTCAGACATAGTCATACACACAGTCGCTACAACCAGATCAGGACATTGGCAGAACTCGCGCTACCAGTCACACATCTCGAAGCAGGCTCTCACATCATCCGTGTTCGGGCTTTGCTCTGAACCAGAAGGCGGCCTGTCATGGCCGATCGGGACAGCCTCGTGGTGGGACTGGCGCAGATCGCGCCCGTCTGGCTCGACCGGACAGCTACATTGGCCAAGGTTGAGCAATGGATTACTCAGGCGGCGGAGGCTGGCTGTAATTCGTTGTCTTCGGCGAGGCGCTGGTACCGGGCTACCCATTCTGGATCGAGCACACGGATGGTGCCCGCTTCGAATCTGCGCTCCAGAAGGACATCCACGCCCACTACCTCGACCAAGCCGTGCAGGTGGAGGCGGGACACCTCGACAGCGTTCGCGCCACCGCCGCGCGTCTGGGCATCGCAGTCATGCTCGGTATTATTGAGCGCCCAGCTGACCGTGGCGGGCACAGCGTCTACTGCTCACGCGTCCACATCGGTGATGACGGTCGAATCGGCTCGGTACATCGCAAACTGCTGCCGACCTACGAGGAACGTTTGAGTTGGGCACCCGGCGATGGCCACGGGCTGCGGGTGCATCAAGTCGGACCTTTCACCGTGGGCGGATTGAATTGCTTTGAGAACTGGATGCCGTTGTCTCGTGCGGCTCTCTATGCGCAGGGCGAGGACTTGCACGTGGCACTCTGGCCTGGCAATGGACGCAACACCGAGCCTACGACACGCTTCCTGGCGCGGGAAGGCCGCAGCTACGTCTTGGCCGTCTCCGGTCTGATGCGGCGGGAGGATGTGCCATCAGATAGCCCGGCAGCGGCTATGTTGGAAGGGGATTGCCCTGCGATGCTGGCGGATGGAGGCTCTTGCATCGCTGGACCGGACGGCGAGTGGGTAGTGGAGCCGACCACGGGCAAGGAGGAGTTGCTGGTCGCCACGCTTGATCACCGCACGGTAAGGCGAGAGCGCCAGAATTTCGACTTGGCGGGCCACTACGCCCGCCCCGACGTGACCAGGCTGGTGGTGGATCGCCGTCGCCAGGGTTTGGCAGCCTTTCAGGATGAATCACCAGAGGCTTAGCCGGTATCGCTTGCTGTAGGACCCGGCCAAGAAATCAGCTCAGTAATATTGTCTACTGCTCGTGCCCGCTCTTCCCTCTGGGTGTCAGCTTGACCCAGAAATTAGTATGCAGCATTGCGAGAGCCCCCTTCTCCTTCCACGGCTTGTCCGGATTCAGTAGCTCCACGTCAAAGCGCCTGAACAATTCTATCGGCATCTTCATGATCTCCATCGTCGCTAGATTTCTGCCTGTGCACTTGTACACACCATCGGCAAAGAAACCATCTCCGAGATCGCGCATTCTCCTTCGATGCTCGTCCTGCTCGTCCGTCCACCGCTCGGGCCGGAAGAGATCGTAGTCGTCGCCCCAGTACAAAGCGTTCCGAGCGATAGCCCAGTGTTGAAGACCGACATCTGTGCCACCAGGAATGAAGTATCCTTCGATAGTCGCACCCTTGGCAGGCGCTTCGCGGAAGAAAGGGAGGGCGGAAGCTGGAAGTAAGCGAAGTGCTTCCTTCCGAATGGCTTCGATGTAAGGAACGTGACGTAGAATTTCTGCGTGAGTAGGAGGCACAGACAGGAGGCCCGCCTGATCGGCGTTATCGATCTGCGACATCAGCTTGTTGTACACGCGTGGGTTCGCAACGGTGCGAAGAATCATTGACCGCAATGTGCTAGCTGTCGTATCGGATCCAGCCAGCACAGGTGCCATCGCTTCCTCACCAATACGCGCCTGCGAAAGCGTGTTGCCGTCTTTGTCGCGATGCTCAATCATCCACTGAATTATGTCGGTTTTGGTCGGGTCTGGATTGTCGAACCTATCCTTCACGGAGTTGGTCGCGATGCCTTGTATGGCACCTATCCCAGACTTTGCTGTTGGTTTTGGGGACAATGTAGGCCACCACAACGGATGATTGATCAGTATCGGTATGCTTGGATAGAGGCCTGCGAAAGCGGCTGCAAGAAGCAGCTTGTGTAATGATTGAATCTGCCCGCCAACATCGAATCCGCTCTTAACAAAATGCATGTTTCTCGACAGAGCCACATCCATGACAGCATCCCAACCGAAATACTGACACCCTACATCGTTGGTCAGTACGTTTCCAAAATCGAGTACGATGAAGGGCGGAGCGATATGAAGCCGACCCACAACTCGCTGTCACCCACTGAAGGGCATTCTACTTACATGGCGCGAGGTCGATAGCCGCATTTGTCCTGCGTGAGAACTGTTCCATCAAAGCGAGTACATGTCCATCTACCTTCGCTTCTGACTTCAAGATCTGGGAAAGCGTGTAAGCACCCATGATTTTGGACTTCTCTACTCGGTGTTCCTTTGATGTCAGAGTGCCACCGTGATTTGGAACGTGAGGGTTCTGCTGGAATGCTTTCCAATATCTCGACTTGTCCCAGCCATAGTAGTCGCCGATTGTGTCAGGGGAGGTGAAAATGATCCGATTGGGACCGATACGCACAATAGGGCCGTACTTGCGGTGCAGATCGACGATGACCCAGTGCTGCTGCGGGTTGAAGTGTACGCTCAAGAACCACAACCCGGTCATCGATGCAAGCCATGGTCCTGGAATGTTCCTGAGTGGATGAAGGTAACGGCGATAAACAGCGCGGCCGATGAAGAAGACCAACAGCAGTCCGAACCAGTGTCGGAAAGCCAGGCCAAGGGCGTCCGTCACATGGTGAGCGATAGCCATCGTCCGCGCTCGAAGATCTAGGCACCAGACGCTTCGGTGTATAAGTCTCAACACCTTCTCACCGCGTCTGATGACCTGACGTGTTGTGATACTACCACATCTGAAGGAGTTAGTCAATCCACCTGCAGATTTTGTCGAGGACATTCATGACGGAAATTAGCATCCTGACTGCGGTGAGCATGAGCACGTCTACAAGGCAGCTGGCTTCGGCTGTGGATGATTATTGGCAAGAGGACTGTCAGGCGTGCTCTGGAAGGAGCTGTGACGCTCCGTCGCCCCCATGCAGATATCCATTAGGCCAACAACGTGGCACCAACAGACGGCGCGACATGAGTACTCAGATCAGATCGATCGATTTTTGAAGTTACTTGGACATGAGGTGAACTTGAAATGCTAAGATATACTTAGGCATGGAGAAAATGAATCGTCAGCTGCTGAGGTGCAGTCCGACCCCAGAGATCTGACGTGCTGGGGTAGCGGGGTAGCACTTCAGATCAAACCATTATCACGTATATGTGATCAGTAAGTGGAAGTGCCTTATACCAAGATAGCCATTTCTGCTTAGGCCACGCAGGGAATCTCTCGTTTTGAAGATGTTGCGCTGTCAGTGATGCTGCTGTCGTTGCGAACCTTGGAAGCCGAGTTGATCGCGTTATGTCCTCATTCTATGCCGAGGCAGTACCTGGCGACTTCGCCCGATTTCTGGGGCTGCAACTTGAAGTTTACGACTCCTTCCCTTAGCTACCCGCGGGTACGAGCTTACCTGTCGACGTACCCCGGATCGTGATCTGACGATGCAGCAATGCAGCGCCGTGTGTACGGAGCAGGCAACTCGTCATGCACCCCAGAGATATGCACTCCAGCAACCCCTCTTGGATAGAGGTGCATTTCCCGATGATCAGGGACGTTTGGTGTATCCACCACCGCACACGAGAGAAAACCGGAACACCTCCGACCAGAAGATTCCGAAGACTATAACGATACGACGGCTTTCGAAGTCTTTAATTTCTTGGCTATACTGCATCCTCCTGCTCTTCGGAAGCATCGCGAACTGGAAGCTGACGCACTTCGCGACTGGCGGTGTTGGACATCGAGGGTAGAACCTTTCGAGCACTCACCTAGACGCAAAGATTGCACCCTACTGCGCCGTTGATTTTGATCTCAGCTTGAAAACGTGCCAGGTGGGGCTGTGGGAAAACGCCTACCCGGACCAGCGGCGTAAGCTCGATGCATTGGCGGATGTGGACACGCTTTGGAAAGTCTGTTAGCAGAGAGTTGCAGCCTCGGTCCTGAGGTCCGAACGTGGATCCAGCTGGTCGGCACCAAAGCAAAGTCTGCTCGAGACGAGTTCACGATGATAGTCCGGGACGGCCTTCGTGTGTGTGTCTTTGCCCTCGGTCCATCGTGACTCAAGTCCATCACCCAGTCGCTGATCATCGCTTGATCCCTCACTGCTGGGATCGCTGCAGTACGACGATGTGTTTTCCTGGACACTCGTGGGAGCCGATGGACATCACAGTCTGTCATGTCAGCAATGTACGCATCCTAAAGCGAAAAGTGTGCACAGAGCGACGAGGCCGGCACCACCGGTCGCAGTACCGTCTCGACTTACCGCAATAGCAGTACAGACGATTTTGCTTTTCTCGGGCAAACCTAGATGAGTGATAGACGAAAATTGACAACATGTCGTCAGTGGGTCAGAAGTATACTTTTCACCAGCCCTTTGAATTGTGGTGCAAACTCGGCCAAAGGTATTGATGGAGTCGGCGACTCATCTCAGCCCTTGACAATACCACATGGCAGCGATCATCTGCTAACGGTCACCGAGACAGTGCCGCGCAGTGGGTGAAAGGGTCGTTCATGTCTGTTCTAGACACTCGTGCGACTGTAGCACACAGGATGTCAAGAACATGAAGTAAGACCTGATTGTTGACGATGCGACGGTAGCACAAATCTATCACAACGCACCAAAAATAATGACGATGCACGACGTACAGTCAGAGCCCGACTAAATGATTGATGACTCAGGCCACAACGGCTGCGAAATAATCCCTTGGGTGCTTCGTATCGAAGGTGCCGCGCCCGCAGGGTTTCCTGGGGAAAGCCTTTTACCCCGATGCCTGCTGATGAGCGGCATGAAGTCATTTCGTTGGCGGTTTAGGCCTTGCTGCCTGGAGCCGGCAGGAATCGTTCTATTCCCTGATTTGTACGCATAGCGCGATGCTTCCTTTACATCGGCTGTGCCAGTAAGGCGACGAGCGTCGGAAGCGCAGAACGTCTTAGGCAGAAGGAATGGGAACAAATGACACCTCTGGTCTGGGCTGTGTCGCAGCGTCGGGCCAGAACATCCGATGTTTGGTCCAAGCACCGCAGAATCCAAAGACACAAATTGCAACAATGTCACAAGTGTCTCGGCCCTGACCTAGTGTTTGGATTGCAGGCGCACTTCATCAGAAACACAAACCAGACGCCGACATTGCAATATCATCGCTGTGACTCGTCGCACGGTTCATCGTCGGATTTCGAAGCGACACCACAGAGCATGCCTCGGCGACGTCTCTTGACTTTAACCGGAGGAGGCGGACTTTAACCGACGAGTTCCGAAAGCAGCTGGCAGCTGTCATTCCTGATCGGATCCCCCACGGTGAGCATCTCGACCCCTGTCAGCCTCAAGTTGTTCGCGGCGCGCCCGTCACAGGCGCCATCCGCGACCAGCGCGCGCTGAGCCCACGCCCACGGGTCTCTGTCGACCGCCTGTTATATTCTCCCCCGTGCCCGCTTTGGGCATTATCCTGCATTCCCAGTTACTTGAGTGGCTCAGCGTTGTTCCAGGCGGTCAACATCACTCTCCAATCGTAATTGTCACGCGTTACTAGTCATCAGCTAGGAGAAATCGAGTTGTCGGTCCAGATTTCTTTGTCAGATAATATCAGCGCCTGCTGCCGTTGGACCTCCGGCGTCCTCTATGCTCTCTCTCTATCACATACAACATCACAGCATCAACTTCAACTTCGAAGCGAGGGAGAACCCCCTGCACCCGGAAGGTGATCCCGCAAGCCTCTGAAACTGACCTTGTCACCTTGGGTCCGAGAAAGACTCGACCTAAAAACGCCAACGACGCCTCCCCGGCGGCCGTGTGGATCATTTGTAAACCCACCCAGCCGGGAGTCTTTTCGCATTCTGGGTCAAGTGGACCGACGGGTGGTAACCTTGGCAGATCTGGGTGTCAAAGCCAGTCCCACATCCGTCTGGCCACCCCTGTCGTCCATCTTTGGCATTATTTTCGCCATCTTCCGAGAGTACTCCAGCTCGAATACAACCGTACCAAGAAAAAGGAAGAAGGGGGCAATTCACCCACATCCACCCTTCCGTTCTATATCATCCATCTCGGACCCCTACACCGCCCTCACACAACACAAGCAACCTTTGTAGCATACCTCGACACAATTGCATATTCCAATCTCACCATTGCAATAGAAGTTGAGAAGTTACCCGGTCGGCTATTACTCCCGCATATCCCACTATACGCCAGACGCGATCAGATCACCGATCTCGAATTTGCCGGCAGACAAACGCGTTCATAACCGATCAGCAAACACAAACAAGAGTTTACTACGACATATTTCCGTCCTCACAAACACAAACAACCTGCCCGACACTTCGCCGCTCGTACCAACAATACATATACATGAATATATCCACCCAACAACCACTACCACTCTGACCACCACAATGTCGAAGTACAATAGACCACCATTCTTCACATCACCCTATTCGAACATCTCACCACCCGCAACTTCCTTCGACATGGCGCGTTCTTCATCACGCGACTCGACCTCAAGTGCACCTTCCTTCTCGTGCGCGTACTCATCGCTGGCCGTCTCGCAGCCATTGTCGCGATCCTCATCAACAGCCTCCACCTATATGCCAACATCAGCACCCACAAGCGCGCCTATGCGCCGCTCAAGCTCCTCGTCTAGTAGTCAAACTACCTGGCTCGCATCACCATATCGGTCATGTCTCAACTCGACATCGACAGAGGCCAACAGCTACTTGTCAGACGACGATCTTCTGTCTCTGAACATCCCAGTGGAGACCATCCCCAGCCCCATGCAACCAAAGCGCATCGCAGACATGAACATCGAGGAGCAAATCGCACATCTTCGCAACCTTCAACAGCAAGAAGATGCGCAAGAACGACAGAGGCGAGACTCTCAGAAGCGCAAGCAAGTCCGCTTCGCTCAGACGACTGAGAAGCCCCGTCGACCACAGCTCAAGCAACGCAGCACTACAGTACGGAGTGGCTTGTCTGGCCTCAACGGACATCATTGATGGCTTATTATTTCGACAAACCCACGGCAGCTGTACAACACGACATGCATACACATCACGACTGCATTTTTAATTCTTATTTTACGATACCCTTTCACCGCCCACAGAGGCTTTCTTCACAAGTACATGATCACAGTGGGAGAGAGACATGGGAGGCAACAGGCCTCGAGCGAGAGGCAAGGCACCACAGTGTGCGACGCAGACGCGTGGCAGTGCTTGGAACAAGTTGCCACCCGTCGTTGAACAAACGAGTGGCGACAGTATCCAAATACTGTGCGATTTCAGGTACATAGCCTCGATAGCAGAGCAAATCAAGTTATCGCCACCCAAAACTGTCTTGGTAATATGACTCTTACATGTTGCAACTGTTGTATACCTCTATTCTTTGTATACCCCAGATGTTTATCCTCGTTCGTCTTTGCCTCCCGTCCTTCACCAGTGGCCAATGACTCGGCTACGCCGATCCAGTCACGACGCACATGCGCATCTACCTGTAACGGTCATCCTCTTTCCCATGTCCCCAATTCGCAATGTTGCTATCCCATTCTTCTGCACTCTCAACAGCAACGTATGGAGCAGTGCAACATGGTGGAAATCAGCAACCACAGTCTCGGCGTTTCTCGGCCACGTTCACCGCTCTCGTGGTGGTCGCAAAACTTCAAAGTTTCTGCCATGTGAAATTTTGCATGTGTGTGGTTACTTCCCCACTTCGAATCTCATTCACCGAGCACCACCGAGGTTGCAGTTCTCGCTTTGTTTTGAGAATCATCCTGTGCTTGTGCTTGCTTACTACGGTAACAGTTCCCCACTGCAGGTTGTTACAACGCTCTACAGAATTTCAGCTGCTCGTTGTTGCAACGCAACGGTGCTGAGCATGTGCGCTCGGCGAAGCCTGGTGGGCAAGGTTATCGGCCCTTCTTAGAAACCCACGGCTGCCTGAGAACTGCCCCTCGTAGAATGGGGGCAGAGGTGTGGCTGAAGAGCGTGCGGCTTACAGGTGTCGAAAAACTGCCTTCAAGCCAGGCTCCCAGCGCACATGGCATTATTGCACGCATCACACAGTTGGCTGAGACAATACTTGAATGGTGCATAATGAAGTCAAAGTATCGACGTCAACGATAGTTCATGTCCTATGAGACGCGAGTAACTCAACGCGATCGCGATGAGCTGCCTCGCATGGCATACAAAGCTGCCCCAGCACTTTTGTTGGAATTCGTGGCCCGTTGTTGGCCTTCTGACTATTTGCGCGACGAAGCAGACGCACCGGCTTCGAAGGTTACCTGTTGTCAGTCCTCTGAGTCAAGTGTCTCGAGTAGTCGGGGTATAATTGCCAGCAACGCCCATATTCAGCCGATGAAAGAGGCTCTTTGACTCCCGTTTCATTACCTCGCCTCGGTCTACGAAAATGCGTATAGCAAACAATTGGCTGTACATACAGTACGTAGACGTTGTTGCCTATACACCGCCCTCACAGTCGTTCGTGCGCAGCCGCCCGAAGACAATGAGCGCGCTGTTGATTGGGCAGTCGTACGGGCGATGTTGGGCACCAAGAACTGCATCCTTAGGCGGTCAACTGAGGCTAAACTTCTGGAGAGCATAGCACCGCAAGGGGACATCTTCGTGACTTTTGCTTCTGCTTTCCTTGCTTTTGCCAATTTACCAACAGTCGCCCGGTTGAGTGTCAGCCGGACGAGGAGCGTGATGCGGCAGCGTCTTGTGAACAACGGGTCATGCACACCTCGTTGTTCAAATGACCTACCTTACCCCACGTTTGAGATCTCGAACTGCATCCATCCATGCACTGTGGCTGTCGTTTCTTTGTCGCTCGTGGGATCTGATTATGTGTTTGGCAGATGATTAAGACCTTTGCACCGGATAAATGTTGTCTTCAATAATCAAGCAAACAGATCCCGCGAAGCCGAGCATGCCGTTTCAAAGACTTCGTGATGATGGAAACACATCGCATAGTGGTCGCTTGGCAGCTTCACAAAGGGGAAGTGCAAGTTCGCTGCTCACTACCAGTATGGGCACGTTAGTCATGCCCGCTTCGTTTTTGATCTGCAAGAGCGACCTTCCGGCGGCCGGTGAAGTGACTCTTGTGGTCGTTGCTGACGGTCATAGCCGGCACGGTGTATCCTTCGGAAGTCTCCGGTGTGTACCTGATGGGCAAGAACAGCCCACGTTCCTCCCGTACAACTCGCCTTTGTCATCCAAACATGACCATGATCGTTAAGCCTGCTTGACCGAGGTCCGTCGTTCCGAGAACTCTTCTCGACAACATGCTGTATCGTTGCTTACCCCGAGGGTCGTAACTTCGTAAGCCTCTCCTTCGACACGAAAATGCTTCGAAGCGATGCAAGTTGGGGTAATTGCAAGAAGAAGCCCTGCATGCGGCAGGCGTGGAGGCGATCGCCTGCAACATCCACGTGTCGCCCCACGCGCTTTGGGGACATACCCCATTCGTAAGTCCTGTTTTCGTCTCTACCTAGGTACTCGTCAACGCGTTCGTGCCAGGCATGTACCATGATGGCCGATTCGAGCTTCCCTCGTGGCGCTGGGTAAGAACTCTGGGTCAAATGTGAGCCTCGACTTATGCCTCTGATGGCACTCGAGACATTCAACTCGATATAGCCGAGCAATTTAGCCGTAAAGGCGGGTCATTGTACACATGGCTGCTGGAGTTGTCAGCACTTTAATGGGTCACAACTCCTCATCGGCGGGATAACGGCGTCGGTTCCATCAAAGTCTTCATTCCCGAATGCCTCGGACCCAGGCCGACAGTCAACCGCTGGGGCTTCGCCGCTCGAGTAGCCGACTGCCACCCCGGAGACCCATTTGCTGGTACCGAAATTGCTACGACTTTGGAGCAAGCATGGAGACACGGGGTGACGGGGCACGCCGGGAGTACGTCTTAGGCGCTTAGCACGAGACGGGTCGAGGACCAGAAGCCCTGGCAGATTGTTTTCGAGAAACATCTTGGCCCGTAGTAGTGGCTCTTCCGACGTTCCAAGCGCCTGCAATAAATCATTAATGTCTTGGAGTGCGGCGATATCATTCCGGGTTGACATGCCACAATAGTGAAGAAGGTGCAGTGCATTCGAGTCTCGGTGGACCTGTAGATTAAGGGAAAGAGCGCTCGATGTCGCAGCTGCCACATGCCAGCGTAACAGGTTGTGACAATACTTCTACGCCGGCAAAGCTGCGGCAGCATTCCGTGTTCTGGGGAAGCAACGACGCGTTGACTCAGTCGCGTCGCCCTCGCGTTCAGCCACGGGGAAGCCAAGTGCCGTTGATATCATCTTTCGCTTAAACGATATCAGCCATGGCGATAGCAGCAGCCGAAACGTGGTAGGCTGGTAGCCAGACAAAGGAGCAAGCACTTCTGTGGCTTGCATTCCGTGTTTCTGGAACAACAACTTCCAAAGATCAGGCTGATTTTACATTATTGCTCTGAATTCGAGACGCCGTAGCCAGCAGAGACTCGGAGGCATGATGCATCAGATGTTCAGCTTAGGACACTCTTGAGAGCCTCAACTTCAGGAACAGCGATGGCACACCGCGTCGGCTGCAGCTTGAAACACGCTGGTAACATAGGCGAGCCGTTGCGTCAATCGCTGTCAATGTTGGGGACCGGACCGAGAAAGTGAAAGGGGGTGAATCTCGAAATTCAAGGTTGTTTTCTTGCCGAAAACCTTACAGCGCCGCCCCTTGCTTCCCCGGGGCGCCAAACCACGGAAGGGGCTTCCCGCAGGGCCGCAGGCCCGCAGCTCTAAATTTCTGGAGGCGCCTGCTAAAAGTTGAATCTGTTGAACCTTGCTTCTGATCACCTCGACCGCCGACGTCGTGAGGACTGACATGTCGAAGATAGACGCAAGCAGGACTCGGATGCATCGTGTTCTGGCCATACCTTCGGAGTATAGCCCTCACTGCCGCAGTTGACAGGTCGCAAGTATGCCCACGACTGGTAAGTAAGGTCGATGCCGATCCGGCGCGTGCCTTCGGGCAACATGCGCAACACGCCCTTGTAACCTCATCCGGCCACTTCACAGACTCATAATAGTGACTCTCGCACGGCGACAAGCAAAGCATCACAGCATGTAGGAAATGCCTTGGGGTTTACACACAAAGCTCCTGCACGCGACGTTGTACATTCAACACCGGCACTGAACGCCGTTTCAAGCACTCAAGTGTCGTGCTGAGAGCTGTCAAGGCCATGCGTGCCTACTGTACTGGCCGAGCTTGATGAAATTTATGTTCGGATCAGCAACGCGCCACAGGCTGGGGCCGATCATGATTCCCTCCAGCATACTAGGCGCGTGTTACTCCAGGTTGAGAGCAGTCGCCCAGAGACACAATATGCGAATGCATCTGAATCCGGCGGAAGAATTTGGTGCAAGTGCAAGGAATAATTGCAACAGCTGCGAGGGCATCGAAGGGCATTCGCCTGGGTTCTACGCGTCAGAGGCGAGATCGCTAAGCATGCGTTTCGTTGAGCGCCATAAAGACGGGCTCGATCTGCGAATCGAAGTTGAGCAGACTCCATGGTAGTAAGAGTGCCTATCTGACGAGCCACGTCTCTGTGGACATTCAGCAAATGTTGCTGTCTTGAGTCCCAGGTTACAGCCCCTGACAGTACACGCTAACAGCGGAAAGGCCCGTGGCTATGATGTCACGCGTCCGCCCCATAGTAGGATGCTCGACGACGAGGTTGTTGCTGTTCTGTCTTCACCACAGCCGCCATCGACCATTCCAGTCTTTTGCTTTGACGTACGAGAGCATTTCAGTCGGGCATGTACGACGCTTGGGGAGCTCAAACTTCTGTATATTACCAGATCTTTACGTCAGAATGGCTTTTCGCAACGAAACACCTCGAGATGAGATACTTAGCGGCACTTCGGTGACTGATGCCTTCAAGGGCATCTTCCGCGTCAATGGAGGGTGGGGGAATGTATCGGGGCCGGGCCTTCTGTATGTCCGCCAGTATCACTTTGACCTGCACAAGGCATGATGTTGAGTGTCTGCAGGATGACTCGCGTAATTTTGTCAGGGACGACGACAGCAGTGGCCATGGGCTTGGGCCTTTCCGTGCTCTCGGCGACAGTTTACAGTACTGCAGGGCTCCCGTTCGTGCTGTTCTCATGTGTCGGATTCTGTGTCGGCGCTGTAGGTTGGTATAGAGACGCTATGGCGAAGTCAATCTTGGCACTGGAGCGGTACCCTCTGCTTTTGCGGCTCCATCTACATGCGAACTTCCCTTCGGAGCGCTTTGACTCGTGGAGTGTGGCGAGGATGAACTCAGCCTTCCGACGAGAGACTTTTCCTCACTGGAGGCTGACGAGCATGCTCGTGGCTAGCTGGATGACAGCCACACCAGCGCTAGACGTAAGTGGCAGCGCTTGGTCTTTATGTTGCTGACGCGCTGCAGAGGATCATGGAACAGGAAGAAGAAGCGATAGTTGCGGCAGAGGTCGAGCGACATTCCTGGAAAGAGCCAGCGCACCAGACTGAAAAGGAGCTCTCGTAACCGCGGGAAAGGCACCCAAGTACAATATTGAGCATATAAGCACAAACTGTGTCGTCAAAGCAAGCTTTGCGCCGGCGGCAACTCAACAGTGTCGCTTCTTCGGGTCGCAGAACGGTCGCAGCAACTGCAGAAGATCAGCGTGGTCGCAGTTTGTGTCACCCATCTGGCGCACTGCAGATGAGCATGTATCTTGTATACTCGTGCACGTTCCATGTTGTTCATGCAGCTTTGCGAGACACGAAAGTCGCTCCGAGAGCGGTGGGAGAAGTTGTCAATCAGACCAGAAGTACAATATGCAGTCATGCTGTCTGGCAAAGAGACATGTCGGATGGTGGAGATGTTCAATGCAAGGCTGCGTGCGGGCACCAACGCAAGTCATTTCCGAGAGCAAGAATTATCTGCTTCTAGGCTCGCTCCGGCGCTTCATGCATTGCGCTTGCAGTCTGCGCTTGATGCGTCGCACTGCAGTATGGTCATCAATTTTGTGCACTAGATCTCGCATCAGACCTCTCTAGCCAAAATGGAGGCGACGCATTACGGTCATGATGAACACTGAACGTGATAGCGATGTTCGACGTTCGAGATATCAATAGTGATGCACCAGACCCAAGCACGAGATCTTCCAAGCCATTGTGGTGGATTGATGGACCGTTAAATGCTACCGCCAGCGAACGTGAAGCTGCAAGAGCCCAATGCCGGCCCAAAGATAGCCGCCGAAGTCAGCGGATCGGCCAGCATTAAAGCAAATTCTGGCCTAGCCCTCAAATCCATGGGCGTTGCTTGGGGGCGTTGTCTCTTTCTACTGGCTGTTGGAGGTGACGGGCTTGCAGCTGTGGATCTCGAATTTAGCACAATTGGGCCAATCAATTCGGGCCTCGTTCGACATCGTGCCTGGATTTCTTTTCTCGACTTCATCCTACATACATTTGCACCACAAAGTCATCTGCATCACACAGCCTCGAGCCCAACTGCTCGCTTCATGGATTGCTATCACTGGATGGACCCTGATCTTGCAGAGCGGGGCCATGCGATCACTTTCCGAGGGACCTTGCTAACCAGTAGAGCTGCAGACATGCCTTCTCTCGACCTTCAGTGGTACCTCCGTCTTGATCATTTGCTTCTCAGTCATGGTCCGTCCCTGTTTGATGCTTCCATACACTGCCTATTTGCCCCTTCAGCCTCACCGCGCGTCGTCAGGTTGCCATTGTTAGACGTCTCACCAGCTTCAACAAGCGTGTTATTGAGCGACCCCGCAAAGCATCACATGGTACCTCGAAGGCTTGCGGACTGAGCACGAGATCGGGGTATCGACGGTTGTACCTGGATCCTGCGGTTCGCATTTCATCTACGGCGTCTGCTGTTTTGCCTGAGCGATATACATTCGGTGTCCACCACAACCCATAAGCGCCCGACCCGTACTTGCGCCTAAACCACGCATCACGAATCCAGCGCTTTGGTCTGGTACACCCTCTTCTCCTTTCTTCGGCCCGTGCCAATGTTTCTCGACGCCATCCCCTGATAAGGTTTGCCAACTGGTCCTGGGCCAAAAGAACTAGCTTTAATCGACCGCAGGCCTGACCTCGAGTCTTTCGGTCACTCCCCCATGGCAAGTGGTGGGCTGTCTAGACAACGATCGACCTCTGACCGGCGAAAGGACCTCATGGTCTCAACCTTCCCGCGAGGTACTCCCTCTGCGCCGAACGCAACCTTCGAACCATGCGCGTCGACTGAGTCGATCTTCCTGTATGCCCAGGGCTCCGATGTCGTCTGCCTGCACCACGACTCGCTTTCGGTCGAGCGTCGCTTTCAAAAGCACACTGATAGGATTCAGCTGATCGCAGTGGACAATGTCAGCGAGACTGGGGCAGGAAGGCTGGTGGTCACATACGATACCCAACAGACCGCAATTGTCTGGGACTTGTTCACGGGCGATCAGATCTCACGTTTCGCGTCCTACGAGCCATTAAAAGTCGCTGCGTGGATGCGGAATGGCAACATTGCCTTCGGTCTGTATATACCATGATTTGTGCGATTCGCGACTGACATTCACAGGAAATGGAAAAGGTGAAGTCATTTTGTTCGAGCCATCGACAAGCGAGCACGTCTCCGCGAGGACTATCTTTGATCCCATCACGGCTATTGCACCGGCCTCTGACTGCAAGAACTATGCGATCGGGTACAATAACGGTTCTATACTTCTGGCAGCGCTTCAGCCCTCGTTCACTATTCTCCACACTTTGACCACCTCCCGTGCTCCATCGCCAATCACATCCCTGTCTTGGCATGCTTCATCTTCGAAGCAAAAGTCTGACATGCTCGCAACGCAAACAGCGGATGGAGATCTCAGAGTTTGGAGTGTATCAAAGCCTCCTACAACCGAACTGCCCAGGGTCATTCGAGTGCTCAAACGGCCTGAACCAAATTTCTTGCCCGGGAGAACTTGGCTAGCATGGTCTCGAAACGGCCGCATTATACAGTATTCTGAGGACGAGACGTGGTCTTGGGACGTACGTACCAAACACGTTACGTATGATACGTTACCAGTATTGCACGGCATTCGTGGGATCGCAGCATACGGCCCGAATGCTACTCTGTTTTCGCTGGGTCCCGACTTCACAGTTCGGCAGTATGATGCTGAGCAGTGTCGAATAACTGCTAATATCCGCCATGCCCCAAGCAATATTTTGCCCACTCCACCCGAGGACAATCAACTAGGCTGGACGACTTCCGGCAGTGAAGACTCTTCTGGACACTCGCCAATTGCACAGTCTAAACGAGCTATGGTAGACCGAAGCCGTGTTCTGAGTCCTCAGTCGTATAACAGCAACGCAGTCTCGCTACAATCACGAGCTTCAAAGCACTCAATACCATCACGCAGGGATGTCGTGTCACCGGGACAGCAAAGTGAGATGACCGGCACTACCTTTAGTGTTGGTGCTGCGCCGTCGTATATCCATGATTATTCGAAGTCGCCCCAATCGTCGCGGACTCAGCCAAAGAAGTCTTCGAGACTCCGACAGCAGGTCATTCTAAGCCCCCAAGAGCGACCTGTGGATGATCTGTTTCCGTTCACAAGGGCAAGACTCGATGAAGTGCCCTACAAACCGCCACGGAAATTGAGCGACTCTGAAATGACGCCGGACAATTTGCGCCGTCAAATGCTCCAAGTAGTTTTCGGTTGGGCAGAGGACATCCAAGACATGATACGAGACGAGATGAGCAGGCATGCTCCAGACAGCCAACATGCCATTTTTCTCTCCAGGTGGCTTGACGAGGACGACGAGTATCTATCTGAAGTCATGGGCAGCACCAGTGTCCTTTCAAGCATGGATTGGATGCTTCTTGCTCTCGGCGCTATCGATCACTCAGCAACAGCAAGAAGAATTACCCAAGTCTTCATCGAGAAAATGCTGAGCAGAGGCGATGTACATGCAGCCGCGACGATGCTTCTGGCCCTCGGTAATCATTCAGATGCGATTGAAGTATATGTGTCCCGCAGTCAATTTATGGAAGCAGTAATCTTGACCTGTCTGGTGACTCCCTCCGATTGGCAAAGACAATCTCATCTAGTCCGGAAGTGGGGAGAACACGTCGTTGGCAACTCCCAGCAGCAGTTTGCAAGAAGATGTTTCTCCTGTTCTGGTGACGAGCCGACCGAGCCATGGACTTCGCCATCGGTGGCACAAATGTCAAGTCAAAATCTGTCGAGCCAGAACTTGAGCCATGCCTTGGCATACATCCCAGAGAACCCCATCTCGGAGGAAGTGCCGAGAGACTTCGAGAACATCTATGCGCGGAACTTGGACAGACGTCGTGGGCTGGATGCTCCTACTCCTGTTGCGATGCCGGCTCCACCAACTCCATTCAGAGCGGCGCTTTCTCAGAACACTCGCGTTACACCGCAGACCTCGGCCTTGAAGCTTGTGACGGACTTTGGTGCTTCAGAGGTTCCGCAGGAGTATCGGTTCCCAGGCCTGAAGTCCGCCGACTACACTCCCACGGCCGGTGCTACCGTGACACCGATCGCTGAGTCGGCCATCGACAGATCGGCATTGTCGCCTGGCGGCGCTGGCAGTTATCGGCAGAACAACATTCGAAGTCTGAACGCGGCCATGTCAGCTCGTGGAGTTTCGACAAATCACAAACACCGCCTGCCGTCAATCGGGGAGACTCCAATTGATGTTGAAGGTCCCTCCTTCAAGCGATCGCCTCCCCCGCCCCTTCCGAACAACCAATTAGCGACTCCAGCTGACTCGAGCTCGGAACGTGGACAAGATTCGGGCGAAAATGAAAGGAGCAATGGGCCGGACCAAGAATCAAATCGAGTTGACGATAGCATGGTCGAGGTCCCGCCTCCTGATCGCGGACTCCTGTTATTGACACCAGCCCGCTACGAGCCGACTACCCAAAATGCGGAGAAGCCGACGCCTCAGACGGCAGTGCGCCCACGTGCAGGCTTGGAATTTCCACACGCGAATTTGCGACCTGACTCTAGGCAGAGTGATCTGGAGGAGCTCTCCAACATGGACCAATTCCGACCGCGTACTGGCTCCAAGAGCCGAAAGCCTGATGGATTGTCCATCAATCTGGCTCCCACTGTGAGCGAGTATTCCGCGACGCGGCCTCCAACAGGCCAAACCTTTACCACAACACAGATCGATACCGATAGCGAGCTGACGAGTCCACTCCGGACCGGAGACACGCTCGACAGTCGTGGCAAGAGTGCTACTGCCAGCCTCAGCGGACGCAATATCGACCACTATATCAGCAGTCTAGAGCAAGCTCATTATTACAGCAAACACTCGAGATCCAGGGAGACTTCAGCGAGCAAGATGACGGGAAGTCGTGGTACCACTCGTCGTGGCTCTGATGCACAGGATCATAGGACGCCAAACCCGGCGAAGAAGTCGCCATCATCTCCAATTCCAATGTCACCGGAGGACCTTCGCATGTACACCCAAAGCGTTGACAGTATGACTACGTCATATACGTCGAGTGCTCCCGGTGGTAACCGGATTGGCACTCCTGCAAGTCGTTCTCGTCTGGGCAAACATCAGATTCGTGCAAACAACGATGACTCAAGGCGTAAGAGATCTCATTCAGCCAAGGCAAGAGGAGAGCAAAGGCATGCCAGCCAGATGGGCGCAGTCGTAGTAAGACTCGGAAAGAACGTGGCGGCGCACCGAGGTCTCCATCCTCGCCACTCCCAATGGTACCATCCGAAGAGGATAGAAAACAGCCAAACGACCCGTCACTTCGTTTCGTGAACGCAGACCGGTCTCATCGCTCTCGAGACGGCAGCCGGCAAAGAGAAGCCTCGACCGAGCCGCGCCGGAAACAGCACAGGTCACGAAGCCGTCAAGCCGACGAGCCCGAAGGCCATCTATCGAGGAGAAGCAGCACTAGCACCCGTGACAGAAGACATCGAAAAGACAAAACCTCTGATGTGACTGCCGAGAGCCATCCAAACGTCAATGGATACATGTACGATTCTCTGACAGGTGAAAGCTCGACAAATTTGTCCCTCGACGCAGAAGTTCAATCCGCCAGCTCCAACAACCGCGAACCACGAAGCAGACGTCGTGAGCTCGCCAAAGAACTCGCAGCAGCTGAGCTCGAGGCTCGCAGACTTTCGCTCGCACGTCGACCTTCTGCGCCAAACATACCATTCCCGGGGCAAGGAGCACATGGCAAGTCGGCGTCTGAGAGTCACGCGCCGCCACTGTATCGCCACCATACTGACGACGGATTCACTCGCGTTCAGGGCGAATCAAGACTGCGGAGACCATCAACTCCTCGAGCCATGCAAGTCGATCCTGCAACGCTGAATGAGGCTAGGATCGACGACTTGCCAGAAGTACTTCCTAGTAGCACGTACCAGACACCGAAGATTGGTCACTCCAAGCCCAGCTCCCGTCCTGGGACAAGCCACTCTGGGCGAGGTCACGCGCGAACTGCTTCGAAGGAACAGGAGGAGATCAGAACAGCCCAAGAAATTGCAGCTGCTCTGGGTCAGCTGCCTCGTCACCCCGCCTTCAACGCAGGCGTCGCGCGTTCTCGCTCGAATTCTCGAACCCGCGATCGTGACTATCCTCGGCGCGATACTTCGCTTCCACGCGGTGTCTCCCGAGAGCCTCTGCACAAATCACCGCCACTGCACGAAGAACCGCCACTGATCATCGACACCCGCACTGCCAACAGCGGCCCACCCATGGTTCTACCGGAACTCCAGCACTTGGTCTCACCGCCACCACCTCCGCCTCCGCCGCCTGCTCCGCCGAAGGACAGGCCTCAGCTTGCAATACGAACTAATACTAGTGAAATTGCATCGAGAACACCCTTACCACCATCCGCCAATCCGCGCACCGACGATGGAGTCGTAGCTGGTCCTTCCACCCTGACCGTGTCCGGCCTCAACGGCGTCCCACGTCCCGCCAGCGCCACTGCCGCAGGGCCCGCATACGGTCATCGCCGCGGCCGTAGCGGCAACCTGGGCAGTGAAAGCCAATTGAATGGCAAGATCAAGAATCTGTTTGGCAAAATGCGTACGCCTAGTCAGGGCAGAGGTGATAATGCTAGGAGCCCACCGCAGCCGCAGTGGCAGGGCGGGAACGTCAACGGTGAAGCGGATTCGTCGCCGTATGAGACGAACACGGGTCTGGGGTATTCGGATCGGAACTTGGCCGCACAGGTGCAGTGAATGGTGCTGGATTGTCTGGGCGGCCTGGCATTGAGGCCTCTCAGTGTTAGCTCAGTAAGTGTTGGCAAGTGAGCGCGTCCTATTGTATACCACGAGAACGATCATGGTGCGAGATCTGACTTGATTGGAAGCTGTTGTGGAGTAGCATTGCTAAACGATACCTACTGCTATAAGGTCCTCACATCAATGGCAGAATACATAGCAGCTGTTGTAATCACTTTGCTCATTGCAAATATATAAGTGCAGCGTCTTGCCGTCCAATCTATCTACCGGCATCAATTGTCTTCCTCGGCCTCCCCTGCAGTGGTGGTTTGTCCTTTGCAGGCGATGCTGAACGGCCAGGCAGTATGCCGGCTCTGCACGCTTGACCTTACTTACAGTGACGTGATGACTCAGGCAATATTGGACATGACGACAATCACAGATACTTCAGTGGGCTTCGACCATGCTGGAAAACAGTCGTCACGACTCACGACTGCTAAACGGCGACGGCCAATTCACCACAGCCGGACAGCTCGGAATTGTCACTCGAGATTTCCGAGATCAACAGGAACCCGTGGGCGCAACACCTACATGGAGGGGCATCAACTCGCAGGTTAGAAGCCAAAACCCCCAACCAGAACACCTCGCCCGCGAGCTGATTTGCTGCCCACAGACCAAGGCGGGGGCTTCCTGCCTTCCTAGGTAGAATTGCACCGGACATACATCCGACTTTTCGCCTTCCAACCTTCGTTGTCACTACAAACGACGTCATCTGCGTTAGAGCCGCATCGCGATGCAAGCGCGTTCGAGGTTTGATTCGAGCTGAGATCAATGACACGCTGCGGAAGAATAGCCCGGATGTACTTGTCACGGACCAGACGGTAAGGGAGGCGATGCATCATGCGAAAGGTTGAGAGTTGCTGTTGAATGCCATCTCGTGTCAAACGCGTGCCCCTCTATTGACTCCAAGACGATCGTCACCGTCGGATATATTTTTCTGGCTGTTTTATTTCTGTCTTGTGTGTCTGCTTCTTTTGTCCTACGAGCATACTACCGCACAATATAACACAGTAAATCAATCAAGATGGGCTATCCAGACAAATTCCAGGGTTTCATGATCAATGATCACAACAAGTGGACTGACTGTACGTTTGAGAAGTCCACCATTGGGAGACGACACTAACAACCACCAAAAGTCAGGAAAGAAGAGGTGAGGCGGACCGCAACACCACTGCGGCCCAACTAACTTCAAACCAGTTCAAACCAAAAGTCTTCGGCGACAACGACGTCGACATCAAGATCGAGTGCTGCGGCGTTTGCGGCTCCGATGTCCACACCATCAACGGTGGTTGGGGTGGCTCGCCACTCCCGATCTGCGTTGGTCACGAAATTGTTGGCAAGGCCATCAAGGTCGGCTCCAAAGTCAAGACTGTCAAGGAAGGAGACCGTGTTGGCGTCGGCGCACAGATCTGGGCTTGCTTGAAGTGCCCTCAATGCAAGAGCGACAACGAGAACTATTGCCCGCATCAGGTTGGTACGTAGCGACAAGCCCATCAGAGATCATGAGACTGGGTGCTGACCTCGAAATAGACACCTTCGGCGCACCGTACCCCAAGGAGGTCGACCCGGACGAGACGATCACACAGGGCGGGTATGCCTCGCACATTCGGGCACACGAGTACTTCGTGTTTCCCATACCGGACGAGATCGCTTCCACAGACGCAGCGCCAATGATGTGTGCCGGTCTCACAGTCTGGTCGCCGCTCTCGAGAGCGAAAGTCGGGAAAGGCTCAAAAGTAGCCGTCGTCGGTATGGGCGGGCTCGGCCACTTCGCCGTGCTATGGGCTGCTGCGCTCGGGGCCGAAGTCACAGTATTGTCGCACTCCGAACACAAAAAAGATGATGCTATGAAGCTCGGTGCAAAGGAATTCGTCCTCACCAACAAGGACGGCTGGGAGGAGCCACTGGCATTCAAGTTCGACTTTGTCCTGAACAGTGCTGATATGACGCACACTTTCGACATCAGCAAGTACCTCTCGATCTGCAACGTCAATGCTCCGTTCCACCAGGTCGGTCTGCCAGACGAGGCACTGCCGCAGTTCAAGGCGCAGAGCTTCATGTCGAATGGTTCATCGATCGGCGCGTCTCACATCGGGTCACGGCCCGAGATGTTGGCTATGTTGAAGTTTGCGGCGGAGAAGAAGCTCAAGCCTATTGTTGAGACGCTTCCTATCGGTGAGAAGGGTTGTGCGGAGGCTGTGGAGCGCGTGTCCAAGAACAAGGTTCAGTACCGGTTCAGTAAGTGGTTTGATGCTGAAAGTGGTCTGCATTTGCTAACATGCGTACAGCTCTCACAGACTTCGACAAGGCGTTTGACGCTTAAACAATGGCCCGAAGACCAGTCCTCGACCCATGACCGCGAAGGCATTCTATAGAATTCCGCGAGAGTACTGAACGCTGTCGAGAGCGGACATCAAACACACTTTTCAGTTTGCTTGTACTACCACGTCCTCTTGTCCATTTATGTCTTACTTGAGTTTCAAGTGAAGTCTCCTTTGACCCGTTGTACTGATGTGCTGTGTAGCTGCCTCTGCTGTGCATAGCAGTCAAAGCCAGCTTGTCGTTTTTCAATGAGGCAGCAGTTAATCTACCGTCACTGCAAGGACGTCCTTTGGGGTTGATCGGTGGACCGAAGGCCCTTGGAAGTGAAGACCGGTATTGCGCATAGAAGGCACTCAACGTGGATGCCAAGACAATAGTCTCAGACTACTTGATATTCTTTGCCTTCTAATCTGTCCTTACTTGCAAGTATCTTCTCGAGATCGACACCTTTTCTGCCGCTACACGAAGTACTTCCTTGATCGTTTCAACCAGCCTCGACTCGAATCCTGAATTTGGCCTGCATCACACTGTACACGATCGAGCGGTTTCATATCCGCACTAAACGCGCATGACTTCCATAGCTACGATGACTGCCAGCATTTGCGTCTCTTCTGCCTCAACGCCCAGTCCGACAGGTCTTCCGGAGGAGGTGCGCCTGATGATATGGAAGCTGGTCGTGCCAAGCCGCATGTCCAGCTGCGCTCGCACCATCTGGACTGACGCCTATCGGGTGCCCCGCGTGTGGCATCAGTGGCACACGGAGGATCGACCATGGAAGCACGCGTTGCTATCTCTCATGCTCATCAACAAGCAAACCAAGCAGGACATCGATGGCTCTGTGAGCAAGATCCAACCCACACTGGTCTTCTGCAATCACCATCACGCAAGACGATTCTTCTTCCCCTCCATTGGCTCGGTGATGCCACGATCGGACGTGGGTGTTCCTGATGTGTATGTGACTCACACGATACACCGCTTCAACGGCGTCCTCCAGGTTGAGAGCGATAGCGTCGAAGAGCAGAAGACCTTGTTGCACCGCGCCATCAAGAGTATGCTTGAGTCCGGATATGGATTACACAATGTACCCGAATCGGACCTGGAAACCACGTTCCTGCTCGAGTATGAACGTCGGCTCTCTGCTGAACACGATCCGGACTGCAGGAATGCTTTGGAATCCGACTTACAAGAACTCAGCCTGGGAACATGGAGGTCAGAGAAAAAGTATGAGACGAAGCACATCCATTGCACCAAAATTTTCAAGTGCGTTGCGACTGGAAGAGTCTTGAGCCGGGTGTCTTCGGCGAGAGTCTGACGATAGCAGAGCGAGGAGGGCAAGACCAGTGGCAGGCGACGAGCTCGATTGTGCATAGCGTCGGGCTCGAACGCGCGAAGGGGGTCGACGACACTCTCTGCCGCGCCGTTTCACTCTTACATGGCTGGCTGCACGTATCAGTGTTGCTTACACTGTACGATCCTAGCGCATGTATCGGAAATTTGAGGATCAAAGGGGTGTACAAAGGGCACACCAACTGCCTGATGGAAACGACAGGCTTTCCTGAGACCACCAGTAATGTAGGCCGCGCACGCCAAGTTCACCAATCATATTCCTAATCAATCGGCAGCAAACCCTATCAGAAGATCCATGAAGATCATGTGTGGCATTCAGTCATGAGCATACATAGCCGAGACCATACCGATTCATCGGCAGAGCTGAAGGGATGGAAGAAGATGACACTGACTCCCACTCACAGCCATTTCCTACACTCATGCGAACCCTGCATCAAACTCCTCGCCAACCTCAACCCCAGCCTGCCTCTCGGCCCAAGCCTCCCTCTCTTCATCGCTCCCCATCACCATCCCCTCCCCCTCCTCCTCCCCCCTCTTCACACCCAGCCCAACGACCTGCCCCGGCATCCAACAACGCATACTTTTCGGCCCATACTTCTTGTACAACGTCTTCTCAAACCCCATCGTCTTCCACTTATCGTGCTTATCATCCATATTATCAAACCCCCAATCATTATCCTTCGTCACCAACAACGCACTATCAAACCAAATCCTCTGCCTATCCTTCCCCGGCGCCACATTCGGATCCAGAATATAATTCCTACACCAATCATCAAAAAACAACTCACACTGCAACCCCTTACTTCCCCAAATCCCCATCATCGGACTATTATCCATCCCGAAGTTATAGCACTGACTCATCTTCCCCTTATCCGGCACCACATTCGTGTAATTCCGACATCTGCCCCAATCTGGCTGCGGCGGATTGCTCCAGCGGGCGCCGCTTTGACTGGGCGCGAGCCCATTGTATGCGTCGTTTTGGAAGGTGGTGCGCCAGTCGCAGAAGCGGACAATGTTGGGGGAGTTGGGTTTGATGGCGTCGCGCGAGATGCGGCGCGAGTCGTACTCGGAGCTGTCGTAGAGGATGTTGATGTCGTTTTTGGCGATCCAGTCTTTGATCCAGGCGTCGCTGATGGCGTTGGTTTGGGAGTAGTTCACGCCGCCGGAGGTCACTGCGAAGCTGGTGGTGGTGAGGGTCAGGAGGAGGAGGATGAGGTTTGGGATGGCAGCGGTAGGAGTTTGGGGACGCATGGTTGAGTGCGAACTGGAGGATCTCCTCTGGCTTCGGGTGAGGGGAGGGGTGTTTGACCGGCTTGTGCTACGCCGACGCATGTATTGACAGACATCACCTACCTGACTTGCATTCTGTAGACTTTATGTTCGTTTTCCTGAACAAAGAAGGCAACCTTCGAATTTCGATTGTTGCTACGGGCTGATGTGTTAGCTTACAAGGCCCATTGTTCCAAAGCGCACGGACCGTCTTATTGATGGTCGCCTCTCATCCAATCAGCAAGACAACGTTATCCAAAAGCGACCATGCGAACGCGACACCCACGCAGAGGCTTGCCCAATCTCCCCTGCCGCATCAAATGTACTTCATACAATGAAGGGTGCGCGTGGCGTCTGGCCTTACCCCCGGCATCTGACCCTTGATCCAGAGTAAGACTTTTTGCCAAAGGCACTTAGATCCCAGGTGACAAGACTCATCACAGCCGCGTATGAGCCAGTAATGACCTCTCCGCGCCGAGCCTTCTAGCAACTTCCCAAACTCGATGTCGACAGATCCCAAACCACAGCTATGTAGAGCTGAGAATACATCGAGCCAGACCGAATCCACGACTTCAACACGCGTCATTTTGAGGCGTCTCAACGTTGGAGATACAGCTCGCAAGAGGGTGACGATCTGGGATTGTGTGAACTTGAAGCCTTGCAGATCCAACAACTGAAGACGAGCAAAGTTCATGGTCTCGATGCCCGTCGGTAACGGCAGCTGGTACCGGCAAACATTCGTGTTGAGAGTCAATTCTTTTATGGCTGTGGCTCCTCTGAGAATTGGCGAGACTGAACGTGATAACTCCGCCAATGGATTGTTCATGACGAAGCCGTCCCTATGATAAAGCTTTAGGACGAAGGTCTCCAGCGATGCCAGGTTGATCCCGTGCCACGGAGCCATCGGACCGGTTTGAGAGCTGCCGCCGAGGCCTGGAAGAGTTATACCATGCAAGTTCAGCTTGACTGGTCTCGACGAATGCTGGAGGAATGCCCGGACTGCAGCTCCTGCATAGGCTGCGAACTGTCTGTCAGTGGCCTCGTCATGGCGCGAGAATGGGATCGCACGTGCTTCACGAAGCATCGTGCAATTTTGGGGTTGGCGTCCGCCACTAGATATTTGGAGCCTGAGGCGCGAGTGCAACTGAGCTCACTCAGCCGAGGGAACTGACTGAATGCGGCTTCAAGTCTCGATTGAAACGCAAGCTCGCCAATTTGCAGTATTTCTTCCTCCTTGATGCGAGCCGCTTCATACGCTCGATAGAATGGTGATCGGAGTTTGTGCATGGATTTTGTTGCTTTGGAAGGCGCATTTGCATAGTCTTGTAAGTAGATGTCTGTCATGGCCTTCCCATCTGTCGGACAGGCATCGGGTCTGAACCATCTATCCTCGTGTGAAAACCATCCTCCGTGGTAGTACTCGCCCCTGCTTTGTGCTTTCCACTCGTTAAAAGTACGCTGCACAAACACCTGCTGCAATTCGATAGACACGCTCGTGACATGGTTGCGCAAGTCGCACCGACTGATGTTCTCCAAGAACTCGAGACTGTCGATGCGGGTATCGAGGTAGATGCGCGAGAATAGATATGGCTCTGTAATCAGCTTGAGCTTCTTGGTGCACAGTCTCAAGGAAGCGAGAGTGTCATCGTCGTTCTTATCGTGAAGCGCCTTGCAAATGCCGTCCAGTATTTCCTCTGGGAAGCCTCTGTACTCGTCGTTGAACGTTGAAGCCGCCATAGTGGTGAGATCCCAGCAGGAGCAGGTTGCCGCCGTGGTGACAAGCTCACACAAATGAAAGTGCGTTACCGTTGGTTGTAAAGGAGTGCCAAGACGCCAGTGCTGTTGCCTACCACAACGTGAAGTGAAGGTGCAACTGAAGTTGTGAGACTTCTGGCAGGTGCAGCACACCACTTGATCCGTTGTTGCCATATATCTATAGTACTGAAGTTGCCGCTCTGTGTTCCAGAGCCGAGAGGTCCAGATATGGAAGTGAGGTCTCGAGCTCCTTCTCTACATAGCCTCGCCGACGACGCGTGTCCGTTTCGCTCGACTCGATTGTTACGAGCCCGACCAAGGAGTATTGCTGCTGGAAGCCCTCATCCAGCTCACTGGTGATATTGATGACGAGAGGCGAGTCGCGCCTCTGCTGCCGGCGGATCCTGATGGTTGCGAAAGCCGTGTTCAAGCCATTAGACGCCATACCTTGGTGCTGAAACAGATGTATTGGAAGCTCTAGCTGTAGCTGCCGCCCACGCCTCCATGACTCTATCTTTCTATCGGTCCAGGACTAGGCGCGTCTAGGCATCGATGGTCCTGTCTTATGGTGTCGAGCCATCCCTAAACCTCACATGATGGCCTGTGGGCGCCCAAGGTTCGATGATGAGCAGATAAGCTGCCGGATGCAGTCTACTACACGGGAACTTGTCCCTCCATAGGCACGGCGGATGCTACTTGCATGTTATACAATATTGTTTGGAATTTGCGACAACTCAGTATGGTGCAAACTGCTGGTCAACGGACCTTTCGTGGTCTTCACAAACCCAGACAGCAGCCTTGTTGCGCTTGCCGTGGATCAAGGATCGGCTATGTGCCTTGGAAGCAACGTCGGTCACTCCACGTCGCGTCAGAGTGATCCGGGTCAGGTCATTGCAGGACCAAGAGCATGAGCAAAGGAAGCAAGGCAATTCGCGACGTTGCTTCCAAGCTTTCTATAGTACGAAACCAGTCTACCAGTACCTTCCTATTAGGGACTTCTATCGGTCCATCCTGTGGCCTTCAAGCACAAAATTCTGTCTCTACAATGCATTAATGTTTTCCCAGTATGCAAAAGACGTGTGAAGGGCCCTACTCGTGTTTCCCCGCTTTTGACACAGGGGACGCTTGGGGGTGTCGAGGGGAGCTTGGGGACGAGAGATCGATGGTTTATATGGTGCTGCCGCATTCGGATAGCTGAGTAGGGCATTTTTGCATCCGGCGCTGTGCGTCGAACTCGAGATCATTACAGCACACCCGGAAGAGGACAGCTCACAGAGGCTACCCTCACTCGCTTGAGATCGCTTGAAGCAAAAGCAGAGAGAGCAACACGATCGGGTGTCAGAGATGAGGGGCAAACATGTTGACGGCGGAACACAGGTATAGAAGCTGGTCGAGACCGCCAGTGCAAAGAAGATGGAGGTTCAGAAGGTGATGGCGTCCAAAGGGGCTACAGGAGGTGGGTGGAGTGCTAGCTTGGACGAGATCAAAGATATCGCATTCGAGAGATTGTTCGATGTTTGTGCTTCGGTCGAGAAGGAGGAAGAGTTATGGGATACGAGTGATTATTTGCTGGTCGAGGACGAGAACTCATAGGATAACTCTGCTCTCATTGTTATTCCTTTCCATAGTTCATTTGAGCGCATGAGGGCCACTCTCAGTCGCTTCTGAAGTCTTCAAGCCTTCTGCAGAAAGCAGTCCTCCTAGAAGCTGCAAGTAATGTCCCCTCGCCGTGCCCACACCAGACTCGAGCTCTTCCGCGAGCGTCGATTCCGTCACGGGTCGAAACCGCTAGACGCGCAGTGGTCTATCTCGACCGCGTAGCGATGCAGAGAGTCGTGCCACATCTCTCCAAGCTCCTATCCAACTTCCCCGATTCGCTTCAGGCCCGCTACGCTTCGCGAAAGACCAGCAAGAATGGACTCTCTTTATGCTTCGAGATGGCTTCATCAAGGAAATCTACCGACGGAGCCGCGCCATCAGGAATCTTGACAAGAGCAATCTAGCATGACAGTCAGCCTGACCCAGCATCTAAACGCTCAGACGAGATTGTCTTACCACGGACTTCCGCGCCTCATCCACCATGGTGACATTGACGTTCGTGCTAGAACGCAGGCCTTGGATGGCGTCACGCGAGACCATCCAGTAGTCTTTCCAGAACTGATACATCATGTCATGGTATCTCTTCGGGTCATCGAAGCTTGGCAGAAAGGCCTTGCACAAATTTTGGAGCCGGGTCTGCGCATCTCCGCGGAAGATCCTAAGATGGTCCGCTATAGGAAAGCAAACCGTCCGTCGTTCAAGGTGGTAAAGGTGTGCTGCTTTCTGCTGCTCCGATGGCAGGTGACGCAAACCTATAGTGATCGCCTTCAAGGTGTCTGCAATATCGAAAGGCCCGAATGCGACGGTTCTTAGGTTTGGCAGTCCTGTGACATCGACCTCCTTGACGGGGCGTATGAAAGATGAGGCTCCGTAGTCCTTGATGCGTACGCACTTGAGGTGGGACGTCAGCAACGAAGGACATAGCGGCGCCAACTCTAAGGCTCGCGGCGCCAACGCTAAGGCTCCAGACTCGCGTTGTTGACCTCGCTCGACATGAAGGATAGCATATTCGATGAGAATCGGGGTGACCATGGCTTTGAAGACAGACGATACCAGCCGCAGATTAGGTGCCCACGGCTCGTTCCACTGGCGAGGACTCTCGGCCCAAGATTGATCTTGTCCTCCTGAATCTGGTCCTCCTAGATCGTACGGTAGTCGACCGACTCCGACGACGAAGTAGATTTCTTCTCCGACAAAGACGGCCTCGAAGATGTGCTTCAACATCTCGTTTGGCATGTCAAGTAGCTCGATTTTCTTCTTCGCAGGCGCTTTGATGGCGGTCGCGGTGGAGCACTCTTTGGCCTTCGACTGAAGTTCGATGGCTGCGATGTAGTCAAGGGCCGAATCCAGCGACTTGAGGTCGTCCATGATTATTGTCTCGCGGTGTTCTCAGATCCCGAGCACCAAGTGTTGAGCGCGAATCGTCCAAATTCAACTTCTGCATCGGTCAGTAGACTGTAGAAACGAGATGAAGTAGACTGCTTACGTTCTGCCTGCAACGATTACCACGAAGCACAGGTGTGGAGGTATCTGCACGGTGAGTTTGAGGTAGCAAGAGATTGAATGCTGGTCGTTTGAGAGAGTGCAATATCGACGTAGAAAGAATTGCGCCGTGCGATGCCAAGAGCTCAAGTCAGGTCATCTAAATGTGATCTCAGTTGCCATGGTTATATATTCTTGATTGTAGATTCTGTTTCAAATCCGCACATAAAACGCCATGTCTTCAGAAACCGGTAGCCTCACCGACTGAGTTCACTGAGGGTTGCGACAGAAGAGGAGGATGTGTTAGATAGTGCCTGAGGCGTGTGCGGGTTTGAACCTCGTGGGACTCTGGATGGAGGGGCAGAGATCGTTATTCAGGCTAACGGTCGATGAAGCCTCATCCGATCCAGGAGTCGATTATGTTATTGCTTTTTGCGAAGACTGCAGACATCTAACTGTGGCTGTTCGCTTCGTGGGTGAGGCGGACTTCTTGCGCTTTTTCCGTTTGCGACAGGCCTGAATCTCGTGGCGTGTGTCACGGCTGGTGACAGGGTGAACCTCAGCTGACAGACACCTGACTCCCAGTGTTGAGCTGGAGCGAGTGACGTTCCGACTCAAAGCACTTCGACGCGAGTGTCATGTTACCTGCCTCAGTGAACAGGGGACGTCAACGAACCAGCACACCACGGCATAGCTCCCACAGATGCAGCATGAGAACGACCTGTGCGCTGCCAACACTTTAGCTCCTTCAACGGCCTCACCCTACAGTAAAGCAGCCAGCAATCATGTTGCAATACTTCGTGAGCCGTCGCAAGCCTCCATTGTCAGCTTGACTCGTCTTTCACCCCGTGCTCCACCAGATTACATCCGGCTGGGAGCTTCAGAGCAACCTAATTCATCAGCTGTATCCTTCAGCGAGACCACATCGCTTCTGGTGGTGATCAACTTGAATCCAGCCATGGAATGCAATGACCAAGACGCAGCGTCGGGCATCACAGCATGGCATGACGCCCAAGGAGGCCAGCTTCTACGGCAAAACCATCAATTGCTGAATAATTATAGGACTATGGTGAAGACAACAGTATTGCCAACTACTATACGCTGCCGCCGAATGTAGATACACTGATGAAGAAGAAAGATGGAAGGCCCGATCAGGCGAAGGAAGGAAACTCGGAGTCTCGATCACATAGGATACGTCATACCAAAAAGGCAACCACCGTTGGTCTCTCCACTTAGCCCTGAAAGCCTGGTTGCCTTGAGCCTTGATCCGTCCTACAAGACTTGATGGCTTCCTCCTTCAGGCCTCCCATCCTCTATCGCCCCATTTAGAGCAAGTCTCTGTAGAACATTGACAGCGCTGTTGCCGCTTCGCACAATAAAAGTAGCAGCAACACCAAGAAACCTGACGACATGAAATTTCTATTGTAGCCAAATGGAAGATGACACGGCACTAGGGAAGTACGAATGCAGATAAACTTAGCGTGTCGAGTTGATGCTCGACACGCTTCCTTTGACTACTCAGCTATTACTCTACTACGAGGGCTTCCACTACGACCATTCATTTAGCCATGGAACTTAAACACAGTCCACTCCTCGATCACGCTGCCCCTACGACAGTGCTTACGACGGTGGCCGCGCTCCTCGCGCTCCCTCTCCCGACGACCACGTTCAATGTCCTCCTCCCTCTGTTTCTCCTTCCGCTTCTTCTCCTCCTTGATATTATTCAACAAGATCCGCTCCTTCAACCCACTCACGTACGGATGCTCGTAGTCCTTCCCACGTGCAATCCAGTCTTCATGCTCCCGCTGCATCTGCCGGCACTTCCACCCGCCTGTGCCGTCATTACAAAGCTCGCACACCTGATCGGTGCGCAGAGCGACGTCATGAGGAGTGACTTGCAGACCGGCATGCCAGAGGTTGTTGAGTAGCTAATTGGAATCTGGGTGCCGGGGAATCATGCTGATACGGTCGTGTTGGGGGACGTTGACGGGCAGGCGGGTGTCGGCGGAGCGAAGTGCTGCTAGATTGTGTGGAGGGTCGACGTAGGAGGCGCGTCGGGCTGGGCGGGTGCGGACTGAGGCGTGTTGATCTGGCTGCGCAACGAGAGCGCCGGCTCGGCTGGGGTGGTAGCTTGGCGTGGCGTATGTCTTGAGTTGAGCACCATTGTGAGCAACAACGGAGCCACGTCGTGTACTTCGAGGCTGCTGAGCCTGATCATAGGGCACGAGAGCTCGACTGTCGCCATGGTGAGTGGCACCGCCATGGTTGGCAGGAGGATCGGCGTCGTTGAAGTTGACTCGCTTCACCACGTCGGCAAGTTGGCCGGCGTTGGCTTCTGCGCGAGACATGGTTGTGCGCTGAGTTACATGACGTTGCGGTTGTTGTAGGTGGTCGTAGTGGTGTTGCTGTGGTGGATAGGCGCTGCCGCTGCGGTTGGGGCGGGCTCTCGTGTGTTGTGACGGAGCATAGCTGGGAGCTGCTGCCTCTTGATAGCGCTGATGTTGTTGCTGCGGTGAGTAGACACTGCCGCCTGCGCGAGAGACGAGCTCTGGAGTGATGGTAAGACTCGTGCTGGGAATCATGGGTAGAGCGTTGAGGAGCTCGTGAGACCGAGTCGCTCGGTCTCAAGGTGCTGCGGCTCGAAGCATAAGTATCAGCGTGAGATGGTCGAGCCGTATTGCATCCCTGCGGAGCCCGCCTCGGAGCATATTGCGATGACGACGTACCATGATACTCTCTTCGACGTATACTCTCATATCTCTGGGAAGGAGCATGGCTTGAAGCATGATGATGAGACCACGACGTACCATAATGGGTATCTCGCTGAGCGTCCTCAAGAGGAGAAGCTCGCGTTGGGGGCGGCGTCGGTTTCAGGACCATCTTTGCGTATACGGAGGGTATCGTTAGATATGACGGGCTTGCAAGTACCAAGGTATCGTGCGAGATGCAGGGCGCAACTCGATCTCGACCGAGCCTTTCGAGGGCATTTATGGCTTCGCCGGAGAGCATGCTGCTGGAGGTGAAGCTAGTGGCTTTGTCATTGAGCATGAGGAGTGCTTTGTCGTATTGTTTGGATAGCTTTCTGTTCGAGTCCTTGTCAGTAATATTGTCAGTTCGCAGTAAGAGGCCTTGTCTGTGACGAGACAAGGCGTTTGTTGTGGACGTGCGGCACCTGCCCTTTCGACTTCAAGTTCCTGCCTCAGATCCACGACCAATCTGGCGTTTGTGTTGTCATACAATGAGTCACGTGGGTCACAACAGAGTCCCGAGGGAAGGTGCTCGACGGCAAGGAAGGAAATGGTGGGACGAGTGCGGTGACACGGGGGGACTTGCATGACCCAGGAGCAGAGTCGCGAGAATAAATTATCTGGCCATCAGAAGCCCTCTGAGGCACAATCCGATGTGGCCCGAGCAAATATCACCGTTCATCCCATCGTCTCAATCCGAGCCTGTGGTACGGGAGCATATGAACGTTTCAACCTCAGACCTTTGTAGTCTTACAGATTCTCGTGTCAATGCCATGACCCCATCCATGAAATCGACAGTCATTGCCATAATAGCAGCCTGCCTCTCCAGGTTTGCTTTGTGGGCAGCGATGGCCATAGATGCATTCCGGATCTTCGCAGTCAGTCTGGAAGTAACACGGCGTCATTCTTGCAACCTCTCGCAGAGTCTTTCGCTCGGAATTCGAGATGGGATAGTCGTGACGATGCGTGCAGTGGCTCGAAGTGCAATTTTGGTCTTGAAGGTAGTATGCATTGCACAACTTGATCTTTTTGACACGCTGGATTTCATAATTCGGAATCGTGTCGTCAGTCTTGTCAATTCGCTGACCCAGTCTGTTGGTGAAGATACTCTTGGTCGACGTCTTGTTCTCGCTGGGCTTGCGTTGGGTCTGAACAGGTTTCGCGATCGTGGTGGGTGGTGCTGGAATGTTTGGAGTGATGGTAGGCACTGGAGCTGCGGCCTTGGCAGTAACAGTGGCCCAGTTCATCGAAGGTGTGCTTGCGGCGGAGTTATTGCCACTCGTTCTGTTCGACTCGACTTTCGCAAGGACTGGGAGTATCACATTGGTCGGGACTGCTGGTGGTACCAATTTGGTTGAGCGGAAAAGACCTTCGAATTTGACGCTTCTGAAGTTTGGCTGCAAGGCTGCCATACCTTTGCTGAATGGTACAGCTTCCAGCAAGATGAGACGGTCAGACTCGTGTGACACGTCCTCGACCAGCTTTGCATAACTGTCGTTGTGCGAACAGGCCAAGATAACTGCTTGACAGTGGCAGTCATCAAAGCAGTCGCGCAAATTCACATCGAGTTTGTCTGCAGCGGCGCCTTCTTTCGGGCCAACATCGACCAGATCGAACAACGGTTGTTGACTGTTAAAGCCCCGGAGGAAGTCGCCGAACAGATCCAGGCGACTGATTTCCTTGCACTTGACGAGCGTTTCTGCAAGGCTGGATGTGTTGGCGAAGATCTTGACTTTTATCTTGTACGAATCGAGGTGGGACAAATTGGTAGACGCATAGTCCAAAATGGATGCATGCAGTTGATCAGCTGCCTCTTTGCCGCCTCGTTCGCCGTCGTTAATGAGTTCGCTGGAGAAGATGGTTCCGTCGCCGTCAATCAGAGCCGTGACAAAGGCATGACGATCCTGTGGAGTGTTGGCATGAGTACGAATCACCGCAGGGCATGACCTACCATGATGGCCTTCTGAACTTGGAGTTGCTCTTCAAGAGCCTCTGATTTGTCTTCCGCATCTTGCAGTGCTTGATTATTTCTTGCGAGTTTGACCTGGCGTAGTTCGCTCTGGGTGTTTTCCAATTGCATGAGCAAATCCTATCATCGTAGTCAGTTGGTTTGATCACACCGCTGATTGGAGGAGACGCACATCGATCAATTGATTTCTCTCATATTCCTGCTGCTTGAGTCGCTTATGGCGTTCACGGTATGTTGTCTGCACAGGAGTTGACTGCTGCAAGAAGCCTCCAATCGGCAGTCCAGGTGGCAGGCCATTTCTGACCGAGCCATTTCTCGAAGTGAAGTCAGGGCTGCTGTTTAGCAGAGGATGCTGCTCGAGCGTAGGCGAGAATGGGTCGTAACGAGCCATGAAGGGCATCGGTGAGACTTCATGCGCTTTGAGTGAGTGATGGATGGGAGACGAGGCGTCAGAGCGTTCAGAGATAGAGAGCGACACAATAAATAGGACAATCTCAGAAGATCGCAGAAAGACCTCGAGCAGAATAGGAAGAGTGATGTAAATTCTGGGTTGATATGTCTTTGTTGAATGGGCGTCACTAGCATTAGCTGTCAAGTCACGCAGCCTGTACGTCTCTCACTGGCTTTTACACTCTCACCTGGATATTTATGACCTGAACGATCAAGGTACACACGCCTGCACATTCAACCATAAATTTAATTGGGTCCTTCCCCAGAACGCGCCTCAGGCGCCTACTATAGCAGTCACGCTAATGCACCTTTAGGCGCCTTGAAAGTCAATCTCAGATGCCACCGCCAAGGCTGAAGCTGCCACTTTGGAGACAAAGTTCCGCCGGAGAGCTTCCGCTGGCTCTCCTGCCACAGAATATTGAGAATGCGACGTCAACGAGGATCGCATTGCTCGGTCTTCCTTTCCTAGCACCTATCTTCCTTCCTTCCCCCTTGTCCACAACCCTCTCCACCTCATCACCTTCCCTCTATCTTTTGGTAGCATCCCTCCTTCGACTCATACACCATGGGTCGTTTCCTAGATCTCGCCCTCCTGCTGTTCGGGCTCCAGTCCACCTCGATCCTTGCTCAAGCAGGCGTACGTCTCGACCACGTAGAGCCCAACACCGCTCCATGATACTGACAATAGCTATAGCTCGACCCAGATGAGCCTGTGGTTCCCGCACAGAGCCCAACGCTCTCAGTGGCCGTGTCCGCAAGCTTTCCCGATGCTGAAATCTTCGGCATCAAGCTAGTCAACGGCAAACCAACCGACGCCCTAGTCTCCTTCGCCAACCAAGAGCCCGAGCCCGTCGTCGTCCAGTTCATCGGCGGCAGCCTCTGGACACCCGACTTCGACCCTCAGGGCTCTCGCATTGTGCGCAATTTGACCACCAAGCAATATGCCGTTGAGATCCCCGCCGGCGAGAAGCAGTCGTTGCCCTTTCGAATCCAGACCAACATGCACCCTCAAGAGCTGCGTTTGAATATTGCTGCTGTCGTCGCCTCTGGCGATACTTTCTTCACCATGCAAGCCTATAATGGAACTGTTGCTGTGGTAGACCCAGACTCCAGTTTCTTCGATCCCCAAATGCAAGCCCTCCACCTTTTCCACACTGTAACATGACCTCTAACGCTCATCCAGGATCTTCCTCTACTTCTTCCTCCTCGCCTGCGCCATTGGCGTCGCCTACGCCTTCTATCACATCTGGGTCGTCCCTTACTTCCCCCAACTCCAAACCAAGAAACGATCCGGCGGCGGCAAACGCGCCGTCAAGCCAGCCGAACCCGTCGACGTCCCCACCGACGGCCCCGCAGTTGGCGTCAGCACCGGCGCATCCTCGAAAGCTACGCCGAGGAATGGATCCCCGCGCACCATCTTCAGCGCCCTGAAGCGCGTCGGGTCAAGAGCGGTGGTCCCAGGCCCAAGAGCCGGGGAAAGCCAACGGCCGAGTAGGTCTCACCGTATGCTGGGCGAGCATTGGTCATGGAGCCGGTGAGGACGCCCGAGGCGATGCAGCACAAGGAGAGAACCGCGTACATCCGTCATGCTGGTGAAGCGGAATGGCGCGAGCATGTGCAACCAAGCGGGCATCAACATTCCCACAGTCACGATAGCGAGCAGGAAGGCCAGGCTAGACGTGGCAGGCGAGTGCTGTCGTCCAGCCGATCGCATTGAGCCGGCTGCCCTTATACTCTCGAGGCGTCTCCAGCAATCGAAATGTTCGAGCCGACCCAGACCAAGAACCCGATCGCGGCAAGCATGTCATTGAAAGCAGGCGGATAGACAAAACACCAAAAGCTCGTCATCAATGTACAAGCAATGGCCTTTTAGGCGGAAGGACTGTACAGCGACATAAAAATTGTAGCATTAGCTTAGCAACCTCGCAAATCGCTTTTGGACATCGGGCGATGTAGGGGACAGTAGAACTAGTGGCAAGTTCAGCTAGAATCATCAGCACAATTGTCGCTTCGTATAGTCCACAGTATTGATCGTACAGGTCCATCTGAGTAACGCTGGACAAGCGAAGCATCACGCTGCCTTGCGGTCCACGGTGAGGCTTGTCGAGACTGGCTCTCAGTCACCTATAACCTCATCCTCTCCCTCCCCCTCCCCATCATCCCCATCATCGCCATCCCTCTCACGCATCTCCTCCTCTAGCCGATCAGCCTCTTCCTCCTCGACAATCTCTCGTTGTAGCGCATCATGGCCGTCTTCCACGTCGTCGATGTCGACGATCTCGTCCTCTTCGAGTTCCATTGGCTCGGGCGTGACTTTCTCCCTCGACTTCTGCTGCGTAGCTTTAGACTTGGACTTATCCTTAGCTGCAGTCTTCTTGTCCTTCTTCTCGTCTAAGAATTTGACCACCTCAGCATAGCTCTTCCCTAGCTTTGTGCGGTTGAGCTGTATCGCCTCCTTGACCCCCACTGCCACTTTGTTTCCGATGACTCCGCCCAGCAAGGCGAGCACGATCTTACTGCTCACCTCGCACAACTTTTGTTCGGCAATGAGGGCACGTTGCTTCTTTGCTTCTTTGCCACCGCCTTCCTGGATGGACGGCTCAGCGTCTTCGTCATCGGCACCGGAGCTGGAGTCCGCATCAGAGTCCTCTTCTTCGTCGTCAGAGGCGTCCGGCGGCCGCTCGATCTCCGCTTGCGTAGCTTCTCGTTCATCGTCGTCGCCATCGACATCAGTCGTGCCAGCCCGACTGCCGCCCCTCCGGCTCTTGGGATTCTTGTGCTCGAGAATCTTTCTGCTCGTCTTCCTTGCAAAGCTCTTCTCTAACCGCTCATGCGTTGCCATAACCTCAGTGAGCAGCTCATCTGGTATCGGCACCGTGAGTGCAGCGATCGTCAACGCGGGCTCATCATCCAGCTCTCCTTTGCTTGCCTTTGGCTGCCGGTGCTTGAGGGTTGCGAAGAGTGTGTAGATGTCCAGCAAAGTATGGATTGCAGCAACTCTCAACTGATCTAGCGGTGAGCGACTGGTGATGATAGGCGTGAGGACCTCGACGAAGTTATTGCGCTTTGTGCCGATATCAACTAAGTTGGCAACAGTGAGGGTGCGTTCGTCTTTGTTCTCGATCGCACGAATCAGCCCGACAACTTTCCAGCGGAAGTATAGGCTCAGCGTCGTAGCAACAGCAGCGCACAGCTGGTCTTCTTCCGCAGCGAAGCGGTCGTGGCCTGTCATGGCGTGGGAATTGTCGCCGCGCTCGATCAGTCTGATGAGAAGATCGAACAGCGTGCCTTCGATCGCTGGTGGCGCGGGTGCAGCTTTCTTGCCTTTCTTTGCTGCTGCGGCTTTGGGTGGGGCGAAGCTCTGCTCGATGATGTCTGTACAGTCGACCACGCCGGCGAGATTACTAATTCGGATGCAGAGATTGACCAGCTCCCGGATGACCGTCAGGTCAAGTGTGCCGCGACTGCCAACGTCTTTACCTTGTAGCAGGCCCTGCATATTGGCAATTGTCTCCTCCCAGATTCCGCGGATTTGGTGTCTGTCGCTTCCTGGCTCTGCTCGAAGCTCCGGGCAGCTCTGAAAGCTCGCGAGGCTTCAGCGAGGACTTTGACGTCCGAATGCGTCATGAACTGCTTATTGATGTCCTCCAGCAGATTTGAGTACGTTGCCTCTCCACCTTGTAGGTCGCTGATCAGGTCGGCATCCAGGAGTTGCTCCAGGCGCAGTATTGAGGTCGCGGCGTCGGTTGTGCTTCCATAGCGAGAGAGTAATTGAGGGATGAAGGTAGAGAGGTTGTGTGCCACGGTTTCTTGCTTGGTTTTGATGTTATCTTTGGCAGCGTGGGTTCTGCCTTTCTTATCTTTTGCGAGTTCGAGCAGGGTGCTGAGGTACATCTTGACCGAGAAGTAGAGGACATCGAGGAGAATCGTTTCTTCGTTGTTGGCGAGCTTGTACTTGCCCTGAACTGCTGTGGCCACATCGTCACTCTCAGGATCTGCGGTTATCGATGAGTGATCGTAGAGGAGATAGCCGGCTAAGGATTCCCACTCCTCGAGTTCTTTCATGTGGGTGTAGATCGCTTGTGTTGCCAGCATATAGCGCGACTCTGCGTTATCTGTGCTGGCAAGGGTACGCACGTTGTTCTCTGTGCTGTTCGCGGATTCGGAACGTGCATCGTAGTCCTTGAGCGTTTCAGCCAGGCACTTGAATTTGATCCAATTCTGGTTCGGTGCCATCTGATCGTCGCCGTCGTCAGCTGAAGGCAGAGCGTCATTGTACTGCTCTTCATCCCAGTCCTCGGTCGCGTCTTTGTACAGGTCCTCGATATTGGACACAAAAAACTTGCCTACAGTCTTCCTGACTCGTGGCTCAGCGTCAAATATCAGCCGGCCGATCGTGTCGATATCCTCTGGCTCCAGAAGGTCGTAATTCCGTAGCCTGTCCAGCAGCTCAATACTCTCGACACGTACACCCACGTCGGCATCTCGTGCTCCCATCTCGACCATCCGCGGTCGGAACCGATCTGTGAAAGCTCGCAGTGCAGTCACATTTCTCTTGTTCCCATATAGTTGCTTGACCTGTCGTATCACTTCTAGTCTCGTAGGTGAGTTTGGATCTGACATTACCCAGCCAAGGTAGCGCAGATATTGTCCTTCCAAAAACATTTTGCGATACTTGGAGATCCAGCCTCCCAGTGCTGCGACGCACTCTACGCGGATCTTCTCGTCGACATCTCGATATCTGTGAACATAGACTGTGTCAAAAGCGTCGCGCAGGGAAGCATCGACGAGCTCAAGCCTCTTCTCGTCTGTCTTGATGCTCTCCTGGAGCGAGGCGATTCGAGTTTTGTTCGAAGCTTTTTTCTTGCTCTTCTGCTCAGCATCCAGTTGGGTCTTCGTAGTGGCCATGCTCTGCAGGATCTCACTTGCGACGCTGCATAAAGCAGTGCTCATTGACAAGGATATCACGGTTGCTGTATGTCTGAAAGGGCGGTATTTCGCACCTGACATCGTGCCGACCCAGACGTGAATGTTGTCGTAGACTTCTGGTTGGTCATACAGTATGCCGGAGATGTGCAGGCTCTTGATGAGTGCATCGAAGAACTCGACGAGCACGGTCTTGAACTCGACATACTGTTTCGCCTTTGAGATGAGCGGGTACTCGGCACCCGCTTTGTCGTTGTAGTGTTCCTCCAGCACATCGCCGAGCTTGCCGGGCACATTGTCGATATCCTCAATGTCGGCCGAGGTGATCTCAACATCACATTCGACGCACTTGAGGACAAAGTTGACCAGATCTCGTATCGCAGCAACGCTGTCTGCCGCTATCGTCGCGATCCATTGATTGGCAACATCCTCTGCAGTCTGACCCTTTCCGAAGACTTCGGCGTATAGCCTTCTTTGTGGGCTTGACTCTGTCGTGCGCGGGCATTCTGTAACTTTTGTGCCTTGTTGGCTGGTTTGCTGGGTACATTGGCTGACCGGATGGCTAATGTTGCGCCCGATTTGGCAGCAGTCTTCGCTCGTTTGGGTGCAGGCTTCGCAGCAGCTGGGCGTTTCTTCTGCTCTCTTCTTTTTGCCCTGATCTCTTCTTCGGCAGGCTCAGACTCGTCACTGTCTTCGTCGGACTCGTCGGCATCTGAGTCTTGGATGTCGTCGTGGTTGACGCGCTTTCGCTTGGTCGCTGAACCATTCTGTAGCAGACTACCGGCGTGCTCTTCGTCAGCAAATACTGCTGGCGCGCGCGATACGCGACCTGACTTCCGACGTGACGAATCTGCTGTGCCATTCGGAAGAGACGAGTCTATCTCCATTGCGACGATCTCTCAAATGAGCCGTAGATTGAACGATGCTGAGGAAGTCGCAGGGAAGGAAGGCGGGGAGATCTTCCACTAAACGCGACGAGAACCGGCAATAGCCTCACTCACAGATCCAGTGACTGTCGCACTTGCTGATAATAACTTTCTGCGCGCATGCCAGGATCAAATCGCGGCGATGATGAGGAAGGAACGCGTCGAGGTGGGGTCACTTCGACTTGGTCTTGGCGCGTTGCAAAGCTTCCGGAACTCTGCACTTGCACTGGCACTTGTCAACGAGCACTCGCGACTTTCAACATGTAGGTTTCGATCTTCGCTGCAGCATTCAGGTACTAGCAAGACGTGCTTGCCTGGAAGACCTGGCCGGATCGGCTCGATCGCGTGTCGGAGCCTTTCCATGTCATGCAGGCGGCATCGTTGCTGATTTGGTGAGCGATGAATGATGGCTCTACTACCATCTCCGTACAGCAAAGTTGAGCGACTGCCCGCAGGCGAAGGCACCATTTACCTCACGCAGCACGGTCTGCAGACCGTCAGCTTCCAGTACCCACTCAAGCTCATTGCTCCAGACCGCCATATCTCGCTTGATGACGAGCACGTGACGGTGCTGTTCTTGCTAACGTATGGCGGAGGCCTTGTTGGCGGCGACAAAATCAACCTCAAGGCCGAGCTGGCAGATGGCACTCGTCTGAGCTTGCTGACCCAAGGCAGCACAAAGATTTTCAAATCGCCAAATCGCCAGGTGGTAAGTGGTCAAGTCCTGGACGTCAAGATCGGCGCCGGTGCAGCGCTATGCTATCTCCCAGACCCCAATCAACCCTTCGCCGAGAGCGTCTACGAACAGAAGCAGACTTTCTATGTGGACAAGACTGGCAAGAGCAATCTCCTCATGCTAGACTGGGTCAGCGAGGGCCGGCGGGCAAGAGGCGAGAGTTGGACGCTTTGGAGCTGGAAAGGGAGGAACGAGGTGAGAGTATTCGATGAGAAGGGAAAAGGCAGGCTGCTTCTCAGAGATGCTCTGCAGCTCTCGGAGGGACATGTTGAAGGTGTCGGGTTGCAGCAGAAGACCGACTCGCTTGGTATCTACGGAACGCTGATCATCTATGGTCACATGTTCTCTCAACTCGGCACGTTCTTCATGGACAACTTCAGGGGCCTTCCCCGCATCGGCGCGAAGAACTGGTCCGAGTCTACCAAGTCGAACGAGGCCGCCGCCAGCGGTCCGCAGCACCAGGACGTTTTATGGACTGCAGCCAATGTCAGAGGATTCGTCCTCGTCAAATTTGGCTCAAAGGACATCGATCGCGCCCGACTCTGGCTGGGAGGTCTCCTGAAGCAGGAAGGCACAGTCGAGAAGCACTTCGGCCATCAGGCGCTGCTCTGCTTGCGATGAAATTGCAAACAGAAGTTGCTCATTTCCCAAGCGTGAGGAACAATCGGTCACCAATATCACCCAAGCCGGGATTGATCATTCCCTTGTCCGTCAAAGACTGGTCGACACCGCCCATCCAGATCTCCACCCCTTCTGGCCACTCCTCAGCAGCACGAATGACACCTTCCGTTGCGCCCAGTATGCCAATCATTATTATGCGGTCCACGCCCCATTCGCGTAATGTCTGGATGGCTGCAGCAGCTGTTCCTCCTGTTGCGATGACCGGATCGACTATGATGGCGAGCTTGGCAACAGCGTCTCGCGACTGTGGAAGGTTGTTGTAGTACTCGACGGGCTGCAAAGAGATCTTCTCGCGAAACAGGCCAAGGTGGTGTACTGAGACCGGAAAAGGGAGGATGGTCTGCAGAGCTGTCATGTGTTAGTGGCGACGCTTCGGACCGGGAGATGCTGCACTTACCATCTAGCATGCCCAGGCCAGACCTGAGGATCGGGACAATGGTAATCTTCTGAGGCGAAATGGTCTCAAAGTCATATTGGAACCCTATGGGCGACTCGTCCTGCGCAACTGATCAGTGCTGTTCGAAGTTCTGGATAGTCGCGACTACGTACAGCGCCAGCTGAAACGACTTCTAAGCTTGCCAATGCCTGGGTTCCCAGTATCAGGGATACTTCATGGACGAGGTCTTTTGTTTCGCGAGCATTCGCCGACTTCGATCGGAGCTGCGACAGCTTCGCCCTTAGGCATGGGTGCTTTGATATGTTGACGTTGGAAGGGAGGTTCGACATTCTGCTGAACTTGGTGGAAAGCGGCAGAGGTCGCGATAAGCCCGACACCCAAGAACAAAAGAAAGAGAAGCCCGAGCTACGACTGTGTGGTCCTTTGTCCTGATTTCTTGTCAAACCAAAAGCGCAAACACGTCCAACAATTTGCACGGCACGCCGTCGGACTATCGCGCTGCAGTGGTGGTCTAGTGGGGCATCATGCCCCCCTCATGCGATAAGCGGCGGGCTCAGCTCGGGCGGAAAGCCCACGCGCAGGAGCGCGTGTCCGACGAGCCAAGCTTGTTGACATGCTCAATACCTGCTGCTGGTGGCATTGTTCACAAGTTCCTGACTTCGTTGTGGTAGCCCAAGGAAAGTACATATACAAAAACTTTCAGGATTCGAACTTGCACACCAAAAGCCCGCAGACGCAACGAGATCAACCGAGTATCGTTGTGCCGCATTTCCGATCGACGTCATGGCTGCAATACCGATGCAGACTTTCTTCTAAGAATGTATTTATCCATTGTTTCCTCGTCAAGCTGTACGCTCCTCTCATGGCTGCAGCCTCTGCAGCACGCAGTCTCATCGCGATATTGCTCGTGTAGCCCGTGAAATGACCAAACCACACCATACGAGGACCGACCAGGAGCTCACAGAACTTGATGCGCCTCGCCCAGCACACGAGGAGGCAGCCTTTAATCAATTCGAAGGTCGAGACGCCAACAACTCCGACAACGATGTCTCAGAGACCTTCGACAGCTCGTCACTTGATGACCAGCAACGGCGAGCAGAGCAGGCGTCTTCTGACGAGGCCGCGGGGGCACAGAAACCAGAACAGCAAGAGAATGAGACATTCAATCCGAGATTGACAAATTTATACACGATATCATGGCTGATATTCTTCTCGTTCTGGGGGACACTGGCACGTCTAGGAGTCGAGGCGATCACACTATACCCCAATTCACCGTTCACCTCACGAGTCTTGTGGGCCAATTTGGGCGGTTCCTTCTTCATCGGGTTCCTGACGGAGGACCGCAAGCTATTCCAGCAGGAATGGGGTTCGTCAGGACCAACAAAAGACCATGCTGCACACGTCAAAGTCAAGAAGACCATACCACTGTACATTGGACTTGCGACGGGATTCTGCGGCTGCTTCACGTCGTTCTCTTCCTTCATGAAGGATTCCTTCCTCGCCATGGCGAATGGTCTCGACTCTGCGAGCCCAACGACACCGTATGAAAGTGCCGGCGCCATAGCATCCCGCAACGGCGGCTACTCATTTCTGGCCTTGCTCGCAATCCTCATCGTTGAGCCATCAGTGTCAATCAGTGCACTGAAAGCAGGAGCTCATTTCGCGCTGTTGCTGGAACCCGTCACGCCAACATTGCCATTCAGGTTCTTCCGAAAGGCTATTGATCCATTGGCCGTCGTCCTTGCGTTTGGCTGCTGGTTTGCAGCTGTCCTGATGTCTATTTGGCCAGCTGGCGACAAGACGCATTGGCGATTTCGTGCTACATTCCCATTGATCTTCTCACCACTGGGGTGCTTGTCACGATATTACCTGTCCAAATATCTGAACGCACGCATCCCCTCGTTCCCACTGGGCACGTTCGTAGCCAACATAGCTGGCACAATCGTGCTGGGAATGGCATGGGATTTGCAGCACGCAACAGGAATAGGAGCGTCACCGGGAGCAAGCATCAACGGGTGTGCGATACTCGAGGGCATCATAGAGGGATTCTGTGGGTGCTTGACGACGGTCAGTACATGGGTGTTAGAATTAGACGCCCTCCGGCGAAGACACGCGTGGCTCTATGGGCTGTGCAGTGCGTCAGTCGGGCTGGCATTCTTGATCGTTATTATGGGCTCCATGGCTTGGACGGTTGGGTTTGCGAGCCCAGCGTGTAGCTGACGAGGCAGGAGCGATTGAGGAAGTACTGCAGACCGTATTTGTAGTCTCGCAATTCAGGCTTGTCACTTGCAAACAGACAGTGCATCAGCAACGGATGATCACCTTTGATGTACCTTGCATGCGTTGCAAATCTTCCTTGTCCTTTATCGTGGATACGCTCAGAGGGCAATCTCCCACACGAACGGGCATGTGCGTGCCCACGAAGCTTGTCCATCGCGCGGCGAAATTAATACCAGTATTTATGCCTATCGATTGTGCTCCTCGGCCTCAGACGCCGCCAGACGACGCGTTCCTGGTAAAGGTCAATACAGCTGCCGTACCAATTACACCTCAGCTCTCCAGTCGGATTTTTGATTCAGGGGAACAGGAACAGCGGACCCGTCCAGCCTGGAACACGATCGGCGCCAGGCGAGGAAGCTCCCCGACCAGAGCCCCTTCTCGGTCTTCCTGAGCGTGCAATTGACTCCCTCTTCATTCTTCCACATATCGCCAGCCTTCCAAAGCTTCAGCTCGTCGTCGTCGTCAACTATAGTCGCTCCTTATTATCGTCGCAACAGGGTCCCTCACCACCAGTCTTCGTCGACTCAATTCCGTCAGCAGCACGTACCGAATTCAGGAGCCCGAGAGACCCTGATTCGTACCTGCATCTCAGCCCGGACGCGTGCAAGGCGGTTGCCCCGAGAGACAAAGAAAAGAACAACCACAGATCCACGCTGGACGCTGACGCTGGCCATCATCCAACCACGCGACTTATCGATTGCATCTCTACACGATTGTGAATGTTCGTTTGTCAATAACGAAAGATGAGAAGGAAATTCTAGAATATCCAGCACGAACGCAAAGGCCTGTACATTCGTCGAACATTCTCTCCGGCCACTGCACAGACCCCTATCCTTCCAAGAACATTTATTTTCTACGACGACCGACAGCTCGTCGTCCTCAACACATATTATGCCACAACGAATACTCCTCCTCGCATACCTCTGCGCCATATCACACGCCTTCGTACAGAACCCTGGCGCCGAACCCTTAGACCAATACCCGTGGGCAGAGCATACGCCAACAAACGCTGAAATAACACCCCTTCAAACATCCACACCAGCGGAAGCGCCTTCAATATCAACCATACCCTCTATGACCACAATACCAATCTCGATACCCACTCCAGACCTCTCAGACCTCGCCTCAGACACCGAACTATCCCTCCCTCTCCGCGATCAACTCCGCCGCCTCTTCCGCCGACAAGGCGGCGCACCCGTACAAAACCCAGCCGTCGCCCAGCCACCAGCCGCCGCAGTAACGCAGGTATCCCCTGTCACAGTGCTCTCACTGATGGACAAGAAGGGCCAGCTGTTAGCTGTGCCGTATACACAGACGTTCGCACCGGTGCCAGATCAGTGGCCGAGTCCGAGTGCTGGTACGGTGGGGATGGGGACGATACAAGGGGAGATTGGGCAAGTGAGAACAAAGAGCAAGAGGGACGAGATGGATGTGCAGACTGTGATGGTGCCAGTTGGAAGCTGGACGGCTCCCCCAGAGCCAACCAACACGATGGGATTGGTGCTGAAGGATGGTGTTGTCGAAGTGCTGCCTTCGCGGGCAGTACCGTCGAGACGGAAGCTCGTGCAGCGGGGGACTTGAAGTCGATGGGTTGGGCTGGCTTCGATGCCGATATTGAAGAAGACTCGAAGCTCTCCAAAAGGACTACTATCGGGCCTGCTTACGCTTGCAGAAGTCTGTCCTTCGCGATACAAGACACACTGCATTCGATAGCACAACGTCTCACCGACCCCAAGAGGACATCCAAATGGTGAAATGCAAGCTTCTGGAAAGCCTCAACGCTCCTATACACGAACCTTGACAGTCGCTGATGACGCTCTTCTCGGTTTGCGAGCGCTTCTCGGATCTTGGGATAAAACCCTGAAGGCGTTTTGTGAGACTGCTCGAAGCGCCACCGTGCAATCAAGCAAGCTCAAAGACGATGTACATCAGCGATGTATACAACGTGATGAGCCGTGTCACCAATCATAAGAGCAGCGCAAGACAGCAACCACGGCCGTTGTACAGGGGCTCTGCCGCGTCAGCAACGGGTACTCTGGCGTTGCTGGAGCCGCCTGATCGAAAGACACTGGTCTTCCAGCCACAAGCGGCTTCCGGAGTCGTCTTGTGACGCGGTGGTGCGAAGGACGGAAAGCGCATGACTCTGGGAGAGGAAAAACAAACGAAAAGTAACATGTCAGGACCCAAGAATTGAGCATGAGGGTGGCTATGTGGATGTACCTTCCGTGCATGAGAATGAGCATATGTACTGTATGTCCGTATACAAAGCAATGACGAAGATCAATGAGAATCATTGCAATACTTTTGATCAAAGTGGGCCAGGCCAATTCTTGCTCAAGCCGCGAGGCCAATCTGTCGTGATCTAAACCGTTGCTGATGTGAAATGTCTATGCCGTTCTGTGTCGGTCCCTACTATCCATATGCAACGGTACCAAGGCAGCCACGTATCCGCGTCCCTTTGCTCACAAGTGCCGGCCGAGTTGTGCCTTCCGAGATGTGCAGTGCTCGCTCGTGCTGCTGCTGCTAATGCAACGGAGCTGCCTTGCCAAGTCTTCTCGCTCCTACTGAGTGTCCCCAGCCGGGCCCAACAGCAGTTGGAAGGCAGGTCTTCAGTCATAAATTTTGCCCCAGTCCGGCACAACCACCATCTTGCCCTTGATCTGCCCCAGAGCATACACCTTCCCCTTATGCCTTGACGACTGAGGATTCATGCGCTGCCTCTCCTCCCACTTGGCCTGATCGTCGTTCTCCGGTCGGGCCTCACCAGCAGCCCCATCCTCGGCATCTACTTCTGGATTTGCATCATTCAGCACGCCCCCAGAATCAACAAGAAGCCCTTCACTCGCGAAGTCAGTGTTGACACCCATCCGTCCGGTCATGCTCACGCCGCCCCAATCAATGCTCACTTTGCCGGAAGCATGCACGCGCAACTTCCCCACCACACCTTGCGGCAACTGCGCTGCTGGATCAGGCGGGAGCAAGTCCGGCGCCGTTATATATCCCTGTTGCTTAATACGTGTTTGGTTCGCGGTCTGTCGGGCTAGGAGTGTGGCACGGGACATGTCGCCTGCGGTGCCGGGCTCGGATTTGATTTGGACTTCTGGGGGGTTGGGTTTGGTTTCTGTTGCCTCAGTGGCAACAGTGGCGTCTTTATCAGCCTCCTCAGCTGCTGCAGCTTCGGCAACAGGGTCAAGCAGTAAAGGTGTGATGGGTGGGAACTGCATTAGGAAGAGTTGGCCTCTCTGCTGCTGCGTGTCGGGATCGGGGAGCTTGGCTTTGCCTTTTCCCTTGGCCGACACACCGTAGGCGTGGTTAGTGCTGTCCGGAATCAACAAGTCGATCAACCTCGCCGTGTCCTCCGCCACACGTAAGCGCTCAGCGCGTTCCTCGGGCGTTTCGGAGGCGTATGCTTTTGCATCGCGGGCGAGGGAGCGTTTTGGGGTAGCAGAAGAGAGTGTGCGTTTTTTGAGCTCTGGGCTTGTTGAAAGATCTTTGTATGGATTGAGAGTGCTGCGTTGACGCTCGTGGCCTGTGACGGTGACTTGTGCGGGACTATCGACGTCCATGGCGTCGGAGTCGTCTCCTACTAGAATTGCGGTGAACTCACGCTTGTTGCGCGATGGTTTCTGCTCGGAGGCGGCTCGTTGGTGTGAAGCTGCGCTGCTTGCGCCGTTGGTCTGGTGAGGAGCGCGAAGTGGTCGTAGCCCTCCTCCTCCTCCACCGGGTCTTCGTGGTTTGGTTTTAGACTCGATCGTGCCTGTGCGCTGCTTGCCTTTTGACGTGATGATGTCGTCTTCCTCCTCATCGTCCTCGCCGGTCTGGTCCATGGTGTTGGCTTCGCCTTCGGCCTCATCCTCACTGCTGATCCAGATACGCTCGATATCGCGCCTCACCTCGTCTGGGTCCTCATCCTCTTCGATCGTGATTGTCTCTGGCTCGTAAGCTTTTTGCTGTAGCGCAGCCGTGACCAGTTCGTCTTCCTCCGCGTCGGCCTCTGGCTTGCCACTCTGACTGCCCGCCACGGCTGTCTTATTGCCCTTGCATTTTGCTGTAGCCGCACTCCCTCCCGCATCCTCAATCTTCTGCGCGGCTTCACCAGAGAGCCACTCCTCCTGGCCAACCCCCAATGCCCTTCTCTCGGCCGCGGTAGCCCTTCTATTCACCGCACCCCCAGCACTCCCGCCGAACACCCCTCCCCCACTGCCATCACTGCGAATATGCGTTGCCTCCCTGCCCACCGCCCCACCACGTCCGCCTGCACCGCCTCGTGCGCCACGTCCTGTGCCTGTCCCTCTACGAGCAGGTCCTGTGTTTGCGGTGTGTGGGGTGCCGGTGGTGGTAGAGGAGGAGGCGGCATTATTGCGTCTCGCGGCACGAGCAGCTTCGTCGGCGGCGTATTTCTCGCGCTCCGCTTTGGTTTTGCGGGTTATGCTCCCGCGAGGGGCGGCGCGGGTGGAAGCGCGTGAAGCGGCAGGCGTTGAGCGGGCGGATGTGTTGGTTGTCGATGGTTGGTCGGAGCCTGGTGGGGAGGACATGGCTATGGTTTGAGGGGAGATCAGAAACTGGGAAGCCAGGTGAACGGGACTGGAGGTATGAGCATTTGTCCCAGCGGGACTCAAGGCGCAATTATATTTTTGTTGCAAGTGGTGCGATGGGCCTCATGACTGGCAACGAAGGGCTCTCCTTCGGGTCATGTTCGAGAAAGTACCGACAAATTCGCAATCGAGAATTGTTTCGAGTCGTAGAATTGACAGATATGCCATGGCTTCATGCAACGTTCGTGAAAGGGTGGGTGACCATCAGGAACGCCGGTTGACTGCGGGCAGCAAATCGACGTCTGCAACTTTTTTGGAAGTTGGAGAAATTCGTTCTGAGAAGTGATTGGCAGCAGATCGATAGTGGAGCCGAGCAGCCTTGTTGCCTCGTAAGGCTGCACCACAAATCAGAGTCACCTGCATTTGAGCTGAAGCTGAGGTGAGTCGAACGTGTAGCTGGCACATTCACGCTCTGTCATGATGGTGGCTGAAATTTCATTGTAACCTATGGCTTTTCTGGACATAACAAAATCATCTGTGGTACAATTGTCTCGAGCCGATCAAGGGGGAAAGAACTGGACACATTTCGTCCTTCGAGAACATCCATAGCATAGCAAGTCCGTGCCCTTCCCGCAGTGCAACCGACATTGCCCTTAATCCACGTACTCCCATGAACGCCATCGAGTATCGTGATCCCGTCGTCCTGCTAAAATCGAGTCGGCGAAAACCTCACCGCTTCCTTTTCTTATCCTTTTGACCATCCACCATCATGCCAGCACCAGTCATCATCGGCGGCAGCATCAGCGACTCCTCCGAAATGACCTCACCATTGGCGCCCCTCTTGACCGGTACGCCCATATGCCTGCCAAAGCGACCCCGGCGTCCATTGCCTTCATCCTCACTGACACATCCCTCAACACCGATGCCAGCATCTTTGCAACGCTGGCAAGGCCGTTGTCGATCACAACCCTTCTTGCTCTTGCGACAGCGTTGGCAGCGTGGCTTAGTCGATAGATCCTCCTCATCCGCACCAAAGCGCGGTAAGTCTGACGAAGCCGAGGAAGCCTTGCGAGGCGCCGGCATAGATCCTGCGATGTTTGGCTTGGATGGTTTGCTTGACGAAAGTGGTCGCGGCTTGGTCTTGTGCTTGTTATGGGACGATTCTGTGCGAAGATGCGACGGACCATCATGCATCTTTGTCTTGATCTTTTTTGTCTTCGGCGCGCCCTCGTACTCGTCGAGTTCTTCACTTTTAATGTCGCTCTTGGCATGTCCGTTCTCGTAGTCAGCGTCGTCATCGTCGAGGAATGTCTTGCGGTATTTCGGCAGACCGCCTTCATCGTCACTGTAATCATCGCTGTCGCTGGTGGCACCGGTGACGATGCCGCGTCGGCTGCGCCGCTGAAGGTTTCGTCTACGGTAGAATTGGATGCTCTGCCGTGCGAGTTGTTGGACGCATCACCGAGAGCTATCAGAGTGCGTGCCACGTCCTCATCGGATATGCAGCTGGCAACCGTGGGATCAGGTGTAGGAAGCACCCTTCCACCTGGATAGCCAGGTCTTCCGTTCTGGGGCGTTGTTTGTGCTCTGTCACGGAGGCGATGATGATGTTGTCCGTTGAGGGCTCCTCGAGCTGGGTACGAGTCACTAGAGCCATTGGACATTCTTGGCCCATAGCTCTGTGGTGACAACATTGGTGGAGCTTGTGTATACAGTCTTTGCGCAGGTGCTTGGAAGGGCGATGGGCCCTCCTGTGGCAGCGATCGCCGTTGTGGTGAAATTGAGGACTGGGAGGCTGGGATGGGCACTTGAGGCGGGACGAACAGTGGTAAAGTCTACACAGGTCAGTACGTTCCGAGAGGATGGACTCCTAAAAGACTCACAGAGCTGTCAAAGATGGTCTGTCCACGTCGACCATCTTGCAGAACGTTGGCGGTGCTGATCTCTGAGCTCGCTAGCATATCGCTCTTAGCTCGACGGGAACCCGAAGCAGAGCTGCGCGCATCACTATCGCTGTAGCCATTGTCGTCGCTGTAATGCCCGGATGCACTAGATCCTCGACTGACAGCTGAGAAGGACCCTGGCTTTTGCTGTGATGCGCTGCGTCTGCCACGTGCTCCTGGAGGACTAACAGACCGCTTTCTGGCCAATCGTGATGACGATCGGGAAGGAGAATGAGACTGTTCTCGCATGTGTGGTGGCAGCATTTGAAACGGCTCCCCGAGACTCGGGCGCCGCTGCGACTCGGGGTCAGCAGTAGCACCGTAATGGTTTGCGCTGTACGGTGTCCCATTGTGGGAGCCAGGCACAGTCCTGACATAGACTGTGGTATTGTGTCGCAGGTTCTCATATGAGGGAATAAGTATATTACCCTGAGAGTCCTGGAAAATGACGCCATGACCGTCGTAGATACCATGGAAACTCTTGACGGTAGCAATCATTGACTCTGTGGTATCGTGCGCATTGACAAGGACCCTCATAGGGATGCGCGCTCTTGTTTTGGAGCTGTCGTCGAGGAGCAGCTCGAAGGCAATGGACTTCCCTGGCTGCTTCATGGCTTTTGTTTCTCCTTTCGGAGTCAGGAGCTCTGATACTTCCATTGCAAGTGGGCGTGTTTGCTTCCTGTGCTGTGTCTCTGTGGGACTACACAAGGCGTGGTTGCTAATGAAGTAGCCCCGGGACCGGCGATGGTGACGGTAATAGCGACGGCGAGGATGTTACCAATGACGTTCGCAGTCCTCGTACAGACCCTGCAGAGTGTGTAGATTAGCAATGAAGTTCGTTGGAGGTATGTGAGGTGAGAGTAGATCGATTGTGGCAGAGGTAGATCAGCTGCGCCCTCCACTCGAGGGAGACCGTTGTGACCCTTCGAAGCGGCAGTGATGGGACGGCAGATGGACTCACTTTTCCTGGAAAAGGTGATCAAGTGGATCGCCAACGATGGCACTGCTGCTGCGGCTATCGAGATGCAGTGAATGAGACCTTGATGGCTCACGGTAGCAAGATCCGGCAGAACCGTTCACAGGGCTGTTCTCGATTAGAAAGCGATCGAACGATTGCTGTTCCACTGGTTTCAGCGACTAAGTTGCAGAAAGAGTAGCAGTTGACGACCACACTGGAATCGTCAAAGTGCCATAGCCCAAGAAAATTGGCTTCAGGACGATATCAATGAGTGATGGTGAGGGAGAAGAGGAGGTGAGGTACGGGAAGGTGGTGAGGCGGACCTGGCTGAGGCTTGAAACGGAGACCCACAAAAGGCCAGCGGTCCAACTCAGCAGCGAGCGAGAGGAACGTGGGTCCGAGCAACGAAACAAATACTCGTTCATACACTTGGTGATCGTGCATGAAGACGTCTACGGGTGGTAGCTACTGCTTCGAGCCCAAATGGCGCCAACTACGGGAGATTCGTAGCATATCATCGAGCTTCATCTACGGACGCCAACGGCTGTGCTACCCAGATGAACGCCTCCAAAACGTAACGTGGTGTCAACCCGAGACCGTCACAAGATTCGGTCATTATTTGTTCCCACCGCGGACGGTGGAGAGCACCACCAGCCCTTGCTGGCGTCAATGAAACCCATAAAGTGAGGACTTGCGGCCAGAACGACGCAAAACCTTGTGGGAAGAAGGAAACAGCAGATCGAGGACAGGCAGGCGCATAAACTAGTTGACGAGCGATCTGCTTAGCCAAGATGGAAAGCGAACCCCTCTTCGTTCAATTTATGCGGCAGCGGAAAGATGCGCCTCGACTGCTGGCTTGCCGTTGGCCGGACCACTGTCGCAGGAGGTTGGCGAGCGATTAGCAAGCCGTCGAATCCGAGCCGAGCATATAAAGTCAGCGATGAGCTGGCTGCAGCGAGAGGAGCAAGCGCTAGGCGGGCTCGTGCTTCCGACAGGAGAGCGGCATGAATGAAAACTGATGTGGCATGCTTGTGATGGCCCGATTCGCACGCTTTCAAGATGTTCCAGGGTCACCGCCAGACCTGAACCCCACAAAATTGGACTCGAGGTCCAACGCGGCGCTTTCTTTGTGTCAAGGTCAAGCTCGTCATTCATCCCATTGGTATTCGCGATCCTGCCTTTCCCGTGCGATTGCCTCGGCCACGATAATAACGAAGAAATCTATGCCCAGCATGCAAGGTGCGGGAGTAGTGGCTCATACATGTACAGTAGCTCTCAAAAACTGTGACGCTGCGCCCCCAATCAGACAACCTTGGCAGAAAGGAACATACGGGTCGCCCAACAGCGCAAGTGAGCAAATGCCAAACGCGATGCGGCAATCTCGTTCATCTGAGATGACTCCAAGAGCACGCTGGATTGTTTTCAGCTATGTATTCGCAAAGAACATCAGCTCCTGTTGGGTGGTGGCCGGACATCTGACTGCGCAAGTGCAAGCCAATCGTGGGATGACGGCGCTGCAAATACGAACACTTTTGCTTCGCTGTTAAAGCTTGAGACGGGCCGGGGCTCTGATCAATTTGATTGCGTTTCATTCCGATCCCTATTGCGGTGATGAGCGTGCGCACACCCCAATATTTTTAGAACGTTGCCGCCGGTAGCGACCCCTCCTTATGCTTTGTTTCTTGCGACAACGAATATGGTCGAGTATGTCAGCTGCTGTCGCTTTTCGAGCCAGCCATCATTTTGACCCGTCAGAGGACCATGACGAGTGACCTCCTGTGCCTGCTGATGCGGAATCCTCGGCTTTCCGAGACCACAGATGATTGGCGCATATGCCAGGATTCACGTCAACCTACCGATATGAGGTCGCGATGTGTCGGCCGCTACGCCAGAGTGGTCGCGACATGGCCACTTTGCTACAAGCTCAATAGCTGTTTCTGAGACAACTTTGACCGCTGACAATTGCGTGGTCTAGCGGCGACGACAAGAGCTGCAACAATGCGCAAAGTGGCCGCGCTCAGTCGCATATGCAAGTGCTTACCCTCGAAGGCCGCTTTGACCTCCAGCGACGGCAGCGCATTGCATTGCGACGATGTTCATGTCGATGGCCGTTCTCGAGGACCTCTTTCTCAGATCACGTGAAATCGTGTATTTCGACGTGTCTTCGGCTATCCTAACCGAGAACTCATCGAAGTTCGACGAGATGTCAACTATCGACGCGTCGAGCCACGACGTCCGGTCGTCGTTCGCCGTGGCTGCTCGCATAGCATGATAGCACCTATGTAAGAGCAGCTCTGGCTTTTTCGAAGCGACATGGTGTCGGTTTGGTAGATTAAACAACGAATGTGAACTTTTGGCGAAATCTGAATCTCGCGTTTGCGAATAAAGTTGGAGGTGCCAAGGCAGGGCAACGACTGATGTCATTATCACGTGATGTATCCGAGAGCTCGAATGTTCGATCTCCGATTGGCCCCCGTTTGTTTACCATTGATCTGTGGAGCTTCTTCCGATCTGGTTTCTATTCAGGTGCCGGCATTCAAGCAGGTGTCAACTCGTCGCTCCGGTGATACCTTTTGCTTTTTGACTGCAGACATAGAGTCAACATCGATACTGGTCGTGTCAACACTCGACATTTGCAACTCGATGCCCTTCACGGTCTGATCCAGTCGCCTTTTTGCTTGCGACGCGTTCTCTTCCAAATATTCGCTTATTTTCCCCTTTACCTTGATGCTGTGAATTCAGCAGTCGCAGGGACTTCAACTTCCTGCCTCGGCGCGCTCCTCGTGCAGATTGACGGTCAATACTGATCAGTCACCATGGACGCAAAGGTAAGTCCAGCAGGCGCAGCTGCCTTTCCGTCACTCCAACGTCCGCGAGTGGCCGAGTAGCTCGGCTGCCTCATAGAAATAGCTTCACCAGACATCTAACATTCAACAGCCACAGCGACCCCTTCGCGCGGTGCGTGTGCGAACCGATGAAAACCTCCCTCCTCTCGACCATGTTGTAGGCAAGACCATCCACCAACGCAATAAGTCCAGTCCTGCATTATCAATGGCGGCCAATATGCAGAAGGCTGGTACAAAGCGTGCGGCCTTTGGTGATCTCAGTAATGTCTCTCAGCAAGTCAGACCTAGCAAGGATGACTCTTCGCTGCCCACCAAGCCGGCTTCTCAACTTCAGTCAAAACCGGTCCTACCCTTGTCGCAACAACCTCTTCACAAGCCGGCGCAACGACCAATGTCCGTCTCGAATCTTCGAGGTCTGATCACTGGCAACCCAAGTGCCTCTCACCCGGTCTCGATCGATACTGTGGCACTACAACAAGGAAGCAGCCAGCCTGCCAACTCAAGAAAGGTCTTGACCAAACGAAATACGACAGTCTTCAAGGACGCCGTCGTCCCTCTAGCGACTGTCCAAGAGCAAGACGTCAGCCAGAAGCCTCTACCTCCTACATCACAACACGACTCTGCAAGTAATCTCCAAGGTATTTCACTGCCAGAGATTCTGCCGGAGACCCTACTCCCAGCACCTGGTCAACAAAGCTGTATCAGCAAGGATCCCGTCAAGGAACCGGCGCATCCTCTATCCGACTCTAGCTTGCCTGGCATTGAGGCCGTATCTCTCGCATCGGAACAGATCTCAGCTCCCCTGGACTACGGCGAGGCTGCAGTGGATCCCATCAAGCGTGAGATTGCGCAGTCGACTGGTGATGCCGTCCAACATCTTCCAGCCACCAATAACGCTAGCTTGGCACAACCAGCAAAGAACCACCCCACCTCTTTTCCCTCGACCAAAGTCTCCATCGCCTCGATACCTTTACCACCATTTGAGCCAAAGTCGTTCAGCTATCCTGCCGTTACCGAGGTCGAAGAATGCTGGGAAGAAGAGGAGACACCAGTGGAAGAAGAAGGATACGTGACTGCGCGATCATTCCGATCCAAAGGCGAGAACACTACTGGTGGTGCCACTACAATTATCTTCCCTCATGTCAACCAGCGCATCCGGAAAGAAATTAAGGCTGCCACTGAGCTTGTAGAAGCAACCCGCAACCCCGAAGAGGTCGACGATGAGATGTACGATACAAGCATGGTCGCCGAGTATGGCGACGAGATCTTCGAGTACATGAGAGAGATGGAAGTCAAGATGCTACCAAATGCACACTACATGGACAACCAGCATGAAATCCAGTGGTCCATGCGCTCAGTGCTCATGGACTGGCTCATACAGGTTCATCACCGGTTCAACTTGCTACCTGAGACGTTGTTCCTCACTGTCAACTACATCGACCGGTTCCTGTCCTGCAAGATCGTGTCTCTCGGGAAGCTGCAGCTTGTCGGAGCCACGGCCATCTTCATCGCCTCAAAATACGAAGAAATCAATTGCCCGTCCATCCAAGAGATTGTATACATGGTCGACAATGGGTACAGTGTGGATGAACTGCTCAAGGCCGAACGCTTCATGCTCACCATGCTTCATTTCGAACTCGGCTGGCCTGGTCCCATGAGCTTCTTGCGCAGAATCAGCAAAGCGGACGATTATGATCTTGAGACCCGCACTCTCGCGAAATACTTCCTGGAAGTCACCATCATGGACGAGAGATTTATCGGTAGCCCTCCAAGCTTCACTGCGGCTGCATCACACTGTCTGGCAAGATTGATGCTGCGCAAAGGGGATTGGGTAAGTCGAAGCTGTCTATTCAACAAAGGCTAAGTGAACTAATGCTTTTACAGACTGCTCATCATGTCCATTACTCCGGCTACACCTTCAGTCAGCTCCGGCCTCTGCTGAGTCTCTTGATCGAATGCTGCGTGGCACCTCGCTCCCATCATGCTGCCGTGTTCAACAAGTACTGCGACAAACGATTCAAGCGAGCTGCATCATTCGTCGAAGTCGAGATGAGCAAAGGTTTTGCGCTGCACGAGGTTGCACAACCAAAGATTATGCCTCCACCCATTATGCAAAAGTTCTATGATTCTGTATCATACTTCCCAGGCTGAAGAATATGATCAGCAACTCAGTTGAGTCGGGATCCGGCATCAATTGAGACGAAATATTTTATGAAGACATCGGCCAACTGCAAAATCTGCGACAGCTGGGACTCGATAAAGAGACGAGCAGCAGGCATGGAAGGTCGATGCTATGAAATCACGAACACATGGTAGTGTGCATAGCTCAACTAATAGCACAATGCAGGCGGCATGTGCGCGATGTGGAGATTTCTCAGCGTTCGAGGACGCCATTGTCACTTGAGACATAGGCTGTAGGACCATGATAGAATGGTCTCTTCCTCATGACAGGGAGGACATCAAAGGTCCCTCGTCATGGACATGGCATAGTCGTCGAGGCCAAAAAGTTTTGGAACATACAACCAGAAGCATACCGCGCCACGGTTCCTTCCAGGACTGTGGCAGGGGTAGCCGGCCATGCGCGACGGTCTGCATAGACATTCTAGAATCATGAAGAGAACTTACCAAAAGCCACTGCCTTCTTCCACACTCTCCAATCGCGCTGCATCGCTTCCTTCTGGCTCTGCCCTCCCAAGTGATGTGAGCAGATCAATGGCCAAGTTAACTTGATTGAAAGGATGCTCTATATCACGTGACCGACCCGAAAATCTCAGGCTGATCGTCTTTTGAAGTATCTTAGACCCGTCCAATGCCACATCACCTGAACATCTATTTCGATTCGCGTCCGGAACCGGGTGACGCAGATCAGTACTTCTCTACATGAGGAGGGCACCTACTGAGCACTGTGCAGCGCAAGGCGTAACCATGGCATCATGCATTGCCTCTCTCACACTGGTCCGCTGAATAGTTAGTGGAAGTGGTGACAACATACGTGGTCTAAAAACGCCTCAGACTCGTGCTATACTGTGTGTTCTGCCCAGCATGGCTCCCAGAAAAGGTCACGGCAAGGAATCTTCCGCGAAGACTTCCGCCGCTCCTGCAGGAGGCGACAACATCGTCTTCACGAATGCAAAAGGCGATGTACGTATTCGTGGCCCGAAATCGCAAAAGCCGAACGATGAGCCTGCTGCTCCCAAGGTAGATGTCAAGAAGGTAATCGGAGGGGCGTCATGGACCGGGAAGCTGCCGGTGAATCTGCTCTCGGAGCACTGCCAGCGAGAGAAGTGGAACAGGCCCGATTACTCAATGCGATCTGTTCAGGTCGGAGAAGAGAAAATGCATAGATCGACCGTGAGACTGTCCAAGACAGATCCGAAGACTAAGGAGACCACGACTTTGCCATACTTCGAATTGCCTTCATCGCAGCAGGAGCATGCGAATGAGCCAACTCCGCTGGAGGCCAGGCATTTCGCTGCAACTTACGCACTGTATCGAGTGGCTAGCATGAAGCAGATTCACATGGCTTTGCCACCAAAATACCGCGACTTCTGGAAAGGTCTCTTCGCAGAATTGAAGAAGGAGGATGTCAAGGAAGGCAGAGGTACGAGCACCATTGCGCATTTCCACATTACATCGTCCAATTGCCCCAAGCCCGTTACGAATTTCTTCCTCGAAGCAAGCAAATTGCTGATGCGACAGGCTAGGATGGATTTCGTGAAGTCATTTGCTATCGAACAGACCTGTCCCAAGATGTTGTATCGTTCAATTGCTGACACGTTTACAGGCTGGAAGTATGAAGCAGACCCCTTCGCTGCTGAAGCCAAGCGTAGAGAGATACATGCCGCCATGGACAAACGGAAACAAGATCAGGAGAAGAAGGCAGCTCTACAAGCTGCATCTGTAGCGAATGGGACCGATCCACAGGTGCCGAACAAGGCATTCGCAAGAGCACCTCGAATCGAGCTTGGCGAGGTGCTTCGATCGGAGCTTGAAGATGTCGTCAGACTGAATACGACATGGAACAAGAACAAGGCCGTACTCAGCAATTCAGAGAAGATCAAGTCCGAGACAGATCTGATCAAATCTGGATTTCGACCTACACACGTCCGTGAAGCCTTGACCTACGTTGGTAGCCACGAAGAGGCTATCGAATGGCTGCTGATCCACGTGCCTGAAGATGACCTGCCGAAATGGGCGATGCCTACGAATTACTCGGCTGGCGTCACGCTGGCAAGCAGCAATCCTACGAGAGAGGCTAAACTCAAGCGGCTTTCTCGGGCGGGCTACTCGACGAGCGACTGCGCAATGGCATTGCGACAGAACAATGATAACGAGACTGAAGCATTGGAAGCGCTACAGACTGCCCTGGTTCCCTCCAGGAGCACAGATTCCGCAGACTCCGACCTTGATCTGGACATCTGGGAGCAAGAGCTTGCGACGCTCGAAGCCATTCATGGCGAAGCGTACACGTCCTCTGACCCCTCGTCCTGTGCAATCACCATACAATTCCCAGGCGCTGTGGCGGCGACCTTGAGCTTTCATCAACCACGCGAAGGGTACCCTGAGCGTGCTGTGCCGCTGTTGGTGATAGACATGCAAGTTCCTGCTTATGTGCGGCTCAGTGTCTTACGACAAGCCCTTGACTATGCTTGGGAGAATCTGCTGGGCGATCAGATGATCTATGGAATTATCGAGTGGCTCCAGGCGCATGTCAACGAGGTTGTCGCCGATCCTGGTCGGCTGGTCGATATCGAGATTGCGTCTGGAGACCTGAATCTGTCCAACGTAGCGGCACAAGCAAGATCGTCGATCAAGGGGAAGGCTTCCGCACGAACGGCACCAGACAGGACGAAGCCGAAAGATTCCAGGTCAAACGAACAGCTGAAGCAGGCCTGGGAGGAGCGGCAGAGCTCTTCAAATCAGCAACAGATGCTGAAAGCACGACAGTCACTACCCGCCTGGCAGAAGAGACATGATGTCGTCGAGGCGATCAAGAGCAAGCAAGTCACTCTTATCACCGGAGAGACAGGTTCGGGAAAGTCTACACAGAGTCTCCAATTCGTCCTTGACGATGCTATTCAGTCAGGAAAAGGCAAGTCTTGCTCTATGATCTGCACTCAACCCCGACGAGTGGCAGCCTTGTCGTTGTCGGACCGAGTAAGCGCGGAAAGATGTTCGCCTGAAGGCGATGAAGTTGGCTACATCATCAGGGGCGCATCAAGAACGTCTCCACGCACAAAGATCACGTTCATGACCACTGGTGTGCTTCTCCGGCGTCTCCAGCAGTCCAACAGCACTCAGTCAGCGTTGGAAGGCATCAGTCATGTCTTTGTCGACGAAGTGCACGAGCGATCGCTGGATACAGACTTCTTGCTGGCATTGCTGAAGGATACCATGAGGACTACAAAGTTGAAGATTGTTCTCATGAGCGCCACTGTCGACGCCGACGTATTCAGTAACTACTTCGGCGGCCCCACCAAAGTGGCTCGGATTCACATCGAGGGACGCACCTTTCCTGTTCAAGACGTCTATCTCGACCACATCCTGGCTATGACAGGCCATGTTGGCACCGACGAAGATGAAGACGACTATGGCCGATCCGTGGGAAAAGCTATCCAAAGCCTCGGAAGTGGCATCAATTACGACCTCATCGCTGCCCTGGTCACTGAGATAGATGGTCAGCTCGGGAAGGATCCGGGAGCGATCCTCATCTTCTTGCCTGGAACTCTGGAGATTGATCGCTGCTTACGTGCTGTCAGCCGACTACCTAATGCTCACGCCCTCCCTTTGCATGCTTCACTAATGCCGACGGAACAGAAGCGTGTCTTCCCAGCAGCGCCGAGAGGTATGCGTAAGATTATCTGCGCGACCAATGTGGCCGAAACATCTATCACAATCTCCGACATTGTTGCCGTCATCGACACCGGTCGAGTCAAGGAGACATCATACGATATATCGTCCAATGTCGTACGGCTACAGGATGTCTGGGCATCAAAGGCCCAATGCAAGCAACGCCGTGGCAGAGCTGGCAGAGTACAGGCTGGCACAGACTACAAGCTCTATACACAGAGCATCGAGACCTCAATGAGACAGGCATCAGAACCCGAAATGCAACGCGTGCCGCTCGAGCAGCTTTGCTTGAATGTCAAGGCCACGGCACCCGAAGCAGACACTGCAGCTTTCCTCAAAACAGTCATATCACCACCGGACAGCGCAGCTGTCTCTAAAGCACTGAGGATGCTTCACCGGATGGGTGCTCTGGAGGAGAATCGTCTGACGGGTCTGGGCACATACATGTCGATGTTGCCAACGGACTTGCGTTGCGCGAAGCTCATCATCTACGGCACGATTTTCTCGTGCCTCGAAAGTACACTTACCATCGCCTCAATTCTGACGGTCAAATCGCCCTTCGTATCGCCACGTGACAAGCGTGAAGAAGCGAATGCGGCACGAGCAACGTTCTCAACTTCAGATGGCGACCTCAGCCTGGAGCTCGGTGCTTTCAACGCATGGAAAACTAAGCTCGGCAACACGCCGAGCCGTGAGATCAGCAACTGGTGCTCGTCAAACTTCCTTTCGCAGCAGACGCTGCGCGACATTGATTCCACACGCATACAGCTCATGGAGGCACTCAAGGAAGCTGACTTGGTCCCCGCGCACTACAACTCGCGCAATGGTTCCGCTACCGAGGATGCTGCCTTGAACGCCAACCTCGAGAATCGCCCGCTGCTTCGGGCTCTGATCGCAGGCGCGCTCTCTCCTAATATCGCGGAAATCAAATTCCCCGAAAAGAAGTTCATGGCCAGCATGACCGGCGCGAAGGAGCTTGACCCGGAAGCAAGGACTATCAAATTCTTCACCGAGACCAGCAATGACGACGACGACCACTCATCGACGTCCACAGCCAGCACTCCCAGTACTTCGACCAACGCCAAGCCAACCCAGACAGCCAAGTTCTCTAGCGAGCGCGTCTTCATCCATCCCTCCTCCTCCCTCTTCACCATCACCTCCTTCCCCACACACTCCCACTACCTGTCCTACTTCACCAAACTCGCCACCTCGAAGACCTTCATCCGCGATCTCACGCCCCTGAACGCGTATAGCCTGCTGCTCTTCGGCGGGAAGATTGAAGTCGATCCCACGGGTGCCGGGATCACGGTGGATGGGTGGTTGAGGATGCGGGGATGGGCGAGGATCGGTGTTTTGGTGAGACGGTTGAGGGGGGTGCTGGATGAAGAGTTGAGGAGGCGGGTTGATGGGGGAGGGGATGGGGATGGGGATGATAAGGGGAGGTGGGCGAGGGTATTGGGGGTGGTTAGAAGGTTGGTTGAGTTGAATGGACAGGATCGTTAGGGGTAATGATGGAGGGGATCGTTGAGAGAGAAGTGAGGAGCAGCGGTCACCCGGCCCGGACTCAAAGCATTGTCAGATGGGGGCAGGACAACTAATTCTTGGTCATCCGGTGTCATGCAGGACTCCACGTCATCCGGCGTTCTCATGAGACCGATTCGCCCTCAATCCGAATCCAGCCCTTAACTGGTCTGTGGTGAGGCAGGTGCGAATGGCGGTGCTTGGTCGCTCCTGCTGTAAGGTGCGGCTGGTGAGGCAGCTGCGACAGCCTTCAATCGTTGCCCTTGCCGCAGGAAGCACTTGGTGAGGCAGGTGCGACTGTCGTCAACCGGTCGGACGAAAGATGCGACGTGGTTGTCAGCCGGCCTGGCAGACGCCTGGTGCGAGCGGTGCTGCAAGGTCGTGCTCTGGAGTTCTCCGTGGCCTAAACATCACACGAGTGATGGAAGTGCCTTCTGGGTTACCTCGTCGACCCAGCCGTAGTTGATGCAGCGGTGAAGCAGAAGTTTTCCAAACGATAGCCACCTCAGATGAAAGTCTCGGCCTTTCATGAGTCCGTGATCTCGTGAAGGAAACTTGCTATATTCTGACATATCAAGTGAGATGCAAGACGACGCGGGTAGCGTCTGCTCAAGAACGATTCATTGGTGCTGCTTTTCTCCCTTCGCCTTTCGCACCCCTTTCACAGTTACCGGCAGCTACATGAAGCGACATCGTAGCTTCAAATCGCCTCGACTCGATTGCGCCACAACACCCTCCTCAGCACTGCACAAGACCGCCCAGTCTGGATTGCGCCACAACGCCCTCCCCAGAACAGCGCAAGACCGATCAATCTCGCCCTCACATCCAGCAGCCAAAGGAACGGCATCGAGATGACGGCCAATTCGATTCCCAGCCTGTTGGGCCTACCGGAGGAATTGCGGATGATGATTTGGACTTTAGTCGTGCCAGAACGCATGGTAAAGTGCTTTCGCATCACGTCTCACATCATTCGTACCGGTTCCTTCTACGGCAACGGCACACTCTGGTGCACTGGTGGCAGTTGCTCGTCGCAAACCCCGGACCATCTGGGACATCAAGGCCTACGACAATGGGCCAATCCATTACTACCTCTTATTCTCATCAACAAGCAGATGAAGCAGGAGATCAACAGCTTATCCATCAAGCTTATGCCCACCCTGGTGTTCTGTAGTCAACCACACGCATGGTCGTTCTTCTTTCGGTTCAACAAATTGGCACTACCAGCTGACATGGGTGCGCCTTCCGCGTACAAGATCCGCAAAGATATCCGTTTCGACAGCATATATCACCACAATGGCGAGACGGTTGAAATGGTCAAAGCTCGTGTTGACCGCGCCCTGGAGATCACACTTGAGGAGAAGTTCGGGATACAAGACATCCCATCGTCGGAACGGGAGGTCACTTACTTGGCGGAGCATGAGCGTCGCTTCTCCTGGGAACCCCTGCAATGCATGGGTACTGTGGGGTCCGACTTACGGAGACTGGGAGAGGGATCATGGAGGGTCGAGAAGAAGTTTCGGACGAAGCACTGTCTTTGCGATCGAGACGAATGCTCTGCGGAGGATCGCAACCCTTGAGCTGGAAGCCCTTGACGAGCTTACAGTTTGACCTTCCCGCTCTGTATACTTTCCCAGTCCCTAGATCCATAGGGCATGTACTCGTCTCGACCTGGTGGCAACCAATATAACAGATCCGTCGTCTCACCAGCGTGTATCTTAGCGACGTCGATGCCCTCTGCTTTCAGCCGTCCCTTCTGCATCTTATTTGTACCCGTGTATTCCATCTCTTTCATTATTCGCAGAAACAGCGGCACCGCATACCTGGGCAGATTTTCCAAAGCGTGCTTTGCTAGCGCCTTCATGTCTAGGACCGCACCATCTGCCGGCACCACGCTGCGCAGCCCGCCCGTCCATCCGCGTTTGGGACCATGACTCCGTATACATTGGCCTCTGCGATCTGCTCGAATCTCCCAAGCACATCCGCCACCTCATTCGTACTCACATTCTCACTCCTCCATCTAAACGTATCGCCCAGCCTGTCTACAAAGAACAACCTCCCCTCCTCATCCTGCCTCATCAAATCTCCAGACCTAAACCAACAATCCCCCTCCTCAAACAGCCCCCTCACCCGCCTCTTCAACCCCGCCTCCTCATTCCCAAAATACTTCGCAAAGGCCTGCCCCTCCATCGCCTTCTCAACCCTATACACCGTCTCCCCCACCTCCCCATCCCTCGCCTCCACGCCCCACCCATCCTTCCCCCTCAATATCTCCTCCGTGTCAGCATCAATCCTCACTCTCTTCTCCCTCGCCCCGTTCCACCACCGCCACAACCTTCCCCTCACCGCAATCGCGTTCCGCCCAAATGGCCCGCGATTTTCGTTCCAGCACGTCGCAAACCCGTCCGTCGCGCCATAGATTTCGTTGATACACTCGACCCCGAACCGCTGCCGGAAGGCTCCCACACGTCCGGCCGAATCCCATTGCCCCACACCATCTGCACGTTGTGCTCTCTATCCCGCGGGCTCGGTGGGGCGTTGAGCACATACCGAATCAACTCGCCGACATGCTGCACGATCTGCGCTTTGCTTGAGCGTATCTCCGGCCAGAAGGTGGCGTGGCTGAACTTGGGCGACAGCACGACGGTGGACCCGGCGTAGATGGAGGGGATGGTGCAGAGATTGTGGCCGGAGACGTGGTAGAGGGGGAGGCACGTGTACATGCGGACACCGGGCCGGAGGTGGAGGTAGTTGGAGACGCTGGAGGCGGAGGCGAGTTCGCGCGCGTAGGGCAGCTTGACGGCTTTGGGGAGGCCGGTGGTGCCGGAGGTGTAGATTAGGCAGGGCGATGGCGGTGGGGGCGATGGAGGAATGGAGATGGGAGGGGATCGGGGTAGTGGTCTGGGGGATGGTGGAGGTCAGCGTTGGGGAGTAATAGACGGTGCGGACGTTATGGGTGGTGAGGTCGGCTTCGCATGGGGAAACGAGGTGCTGGATTTTGGTGTCGGCCAGAAGGATGCGTGCGTGGCAGATCTTTACGCAGTGTACCAGCGGCGTGGCGGTGAGGTTGCTGTTGATGTAGGAGGCGGCGGCGCCAATGCTGCTTAGTGCGAGGATGAACATGACGTATTGGGGGCTGTTGGGACCATCGACGGCAACAATCTCGCCTTTTTGGATGCCGAGGTCGTTGAGCAGCCAGTTGCCGACGAGTTGGACTTCGTCGTAGAATTGCTTGTACGTCCACTCGCGGCCTTCGAAGATGAGGAAGATATTGTTGCTATTGGCGCCCAGGGCATGTGCTTCAAAGTAGTGGTAGATAAGTCCTCGGCCTTGGGAGAACTCCTGAGCCACAAAGTCGCCAGATTTGCGCAGATTGAGTGAAGCTGAGCCTGTCTTCAAGTCGTTGCGGATCAGGTATTTGGCATCGAGATAAGCTGCTGTGGCAAGACCGCCAGCAATGGTGGCGGCAGTTTGCATGACTGTAGGTAAATCAGGACGGGGCTTGTCATAGTGAACATATATGCCGGACTGGCAGACGTACTTGCCATGCTTTACAACTTGGTCATCGAGGTTTCTGAGGAATGCTACCAACGGTCCATGGCCAGCACTGGTCACCACCACAGTAAAACAGACTGTGGTATACCGAATGTTATTTGTATAAGCAAGTGAAGTAGCATACGGCCGAAGGTGTGTCAGATACCTCGGTCTATTTGTAGTCCTTATAGACGCCGGTTGACAGGCTGATCTGCACAAGACCGGGTGACCAGCGAAATGGCTTATCTGTCACCGGTTGACGGCTTTCTGCTGATGAGACCGGATGACAAGCACGACCAGGACTACCTGTTTCAACGTCGAAGTTTACTGAGGCATGGAATGCCGAGACATTGATACAAGTCGGTGTTCAACAGACAGAATGTATCTGAGGGTAGAGTTATGCTATTTTCCGAACCAAAGAGCAGAGACCAACGATTTTGCATGCGAATAATTGCCATCAAAAATGCAGCAGCTCGGAATGCTCGGAATATGGTCCCGAACAGATCCTATCTTCCCCATACCATACCACCACGTTGGACCTCCAGCTATATCTCAATAGCCCTCCCTCTGCACACCCGCCAATTCACAAATCAACACCGTCCCCCTCACGCGGCGTCCAAACACTCGCCTCTCCCTTTGCCATATAGTCAAAGCTCTCCTGGCTGGCACTTGTGTTGGGCGGACTAGGCGTCGCATTCTCGCTCTCCGTCCCTACTGCTGCCACTCCGGTCTCAATGGTCCGCCCTTGGAGCAAGCCTTCGATCTTGGGCTGGGCCCGAGGCAGTGAGGACGTGTCATCGCCGCCCTCGACTTGCCCTTCCCAGAGGACTGCATCACCGTAGCCTTTACCCAGCTTGCTTGTGCGCAGTACCCTCTCCGCTCGCGGCGGCTCAGCACTTTCCTTGTCCTCCTCGAGCACACAAAGATTCCTGACGTGCCATTCTCCCAGGAACATTCCATCTGGGTCTACTTCTCTCCTCACTCTGAGCCAGTAATCCATTTCCCGTCCGTACATCGTCCTAATCTCCTCCTTCGTCGTCCAACTGAAGTTCTTCGCCCAGTGCGGCTTCCCGCCCAGATCGCGCATTAGCCACTCGAACGCCTCGTAGTATCTCTTCCAGCACGGCGGATCCTTCCCGTACGGCCGGTATAGAGTTGCGTTGAGGTACAGCGTCGGCTCATCCCTGGCCAGCGGCGAGAGGTAAGGGGTGACACCCCCGTTCGCACGCGCGAGGACATCCGAGGCGGGCTGCGCGTTTGAGACGCGTACTTCGATCGGGCAGTGCACGTACAGATTCTTGGCGCTGAAGGGGATATTCGCTGTGCGGGTGTCTCCGTTGATCCACGCGCCCAAGCGAGTGATGGCTTCGGGGCCCTTGGAGAGTGGCAGGGCCCATTCGTTGACGAATTGCGAATAAAGACAGTCCATCTTTAGGCCGTTGCGGGCGGGCTCGACGGCGGACATGGAGAAGTTGCCCGGCTTGAAGCCGTATTGCATGCCGAAGATGAGCCATTCGACCCATGGGAGGATCGGGGGAGCGTAGTGGGCGAGGTAGAGGAGGTTGTGGTAGAGGTAGTAACCGAACTTGCCGCCGTAGAAGGTTGTGTTCGGGGGCCGGAGTGGGCCAGTGGTGTGGGATGCGGACCAGATCACGGCACGGGATGAGTAGGGCATCCACCAGACGCGGGTGTATTCTTGTTGGGTCCAGAGATCTTTGGACCAGTTGGCGATGATAGAGGATAGGGGGTGCAGGGTTTGGGTCCAGGCGATGTTGAAGTCCGGGATGACTTGCATGGTGATTTCGACGATGATGCCCAGGGAGCCGAGGGAGACGAGGGCAGCGCGGAAGAGGTCCGGGTTTTTGTCCGGGGTGCAGGTGATGAGTTGGGAATTTGCGAGCAGGAGGGTGAGGGAGGTGACTGATGAGGAGAGGAGGCCGTGGGAGAGCGAGGAACCATGTGTGCCGGTGGCGATGGAGCCGGCGACGGATTGCACATCGATGCTGCCGAGGTTGGGAGGGTGAGTTTGTGTTCGGCGAGGGACAGGTTGAGGTCACAGAGCGAGATTCCGGCTTCGAAGCGGACCAGGCCTGAGAGCTGGACGTCGAGGATGCGGTTCAATTTGTCGAGGTTGATCAGCCATGATGAGGTGCAAGTTATGTCGGAGGGTGAGTGCCCGTAGCCGGTCACACATATCCTCTTGCGAAGGCGACGAGCAAGGGTGACTATCTTCTGGAGCTCCCCAACGCTGGAAGGCTGAAAGAAGTACTCTGGCTTGGAGAAGAACGTCTGAGCCATGTGTGGTGCAAATATGATGCGCGCGGCGTGAAGGGCACTTTACTGTCCAAACGAGCCAGTTCCTTTTCAAGTTTGGCGTCGTAGGAAGGAGCCGAGGTCACACCCTGGTTCGGCGTTGGATCAGGCAGATTCGGTGCCGCCCAGTCTGCCATACTGGCGGTCGCTGGGTCGCAGCTTCCGTGCAGAGCGCGTATCAATCTATGCGACACGAAATGATAGATGCACGGAGGAAAGGAAACAGGAATTCAAAATAGTTTGTAGATGACGCTAATATAAAATGAAGCGGAGAATAGGGAGAGTATTACATAAGCCATTCCATCGTTCTGATTCGTCATTTCGCTCGTAAGGTCTGGCCAGCCTAGACCGCAGCTCTTTTGTTCTCTTTCTCTTTCCTCATCATTTCTGCCAGTATCCTACGACCAGACTTTCTTTCGCTCTTCGGCAGCAGCCAGGGATACAGGACCGTTCTGGCGTATTTCTGCCACGTCACGTCTGACCATGAGTAAGACGCGTCGTACCACTTTGGTCTCTCTTCTCCCGCTGCCGTTGACTCGATCACGAGTTCTTTGACAGGACCAACAAGGCTGTCTGGGGTCTTCAATCTGCTGTCGCTATCGTCAGCATAGGCCCATCTGGTGAACAAACGAACCTCGGGTCTCATGCCGTACAGAACAGCATTGGCATGCGAGTAGCGAATTCCTCCACGGCCATGACTGATCAATCTTGGCAGGTTCAATAGCTCGATGCATTGGAGCTTACCGAATGCTCGAGACGTCGGCAGAACCCGCAGAAAGTCCTTTGGCTCGTCGTTAGTAGTCGCAACAACGCAAAGCTGATCGACTTTGTCTCTCGCTGCAGGAGGTATGCACTTATACCAGTCAGGATCCTTCATGTGATCTAGCCTCATGACCAGTGCGAAGGGCTTGACGACCTCGAAAAGCTCCTCGGTCGCTTCTGGGTCTTCTTTCATGGCCCAGTTCGGTAGACGGAGTGCGAAATTCGAACGAGTTTGTCCATATAGCTCTTCCTTCGATCTGGCATTCTTGATCAGTCTGTTTGGAATCAATGTTAGCGGGTTGATCACTGGACATTTTTGGTTATGTCTCTTCTTACGCCATTCTTGTAGGTTCATTAGTCGGGTATGGGCAGGAATGTCCGGATCTCTGAGTGCTTCTGGCAAGCCAGGTGAGTCTGGTATCCTCAGCGACTCATATTCCAGCTTCTTGCCTTTCAAGTTTCTAGGTTCATTGTCGTCGGCCATGATGTCGTCGATGATTTTGAGAGGACTGTGCGTGAAAAACGCAGACGAGCCTGGAGCCTTTATCCGCATGCTTTCTCTTTCAAAACGAGATACAGTCAACAAAGAAATCATTGTCTCTGTGACAATGCAACATGCAACTTGAATTACATGAACAAAGAGTAAATGTGTCAGCTGACCGACGCCGGCCGCTGCCACCTGTGACTGGAATGCTTCTGCAGACCAAATTGCAGTTGTCGGACCCATGGAATGGAAGTTTTGCTAGAGACGGCTCTGTGTATAAGAACGACTTTCGCTGTGAATTTGGTATAAGAGACCATTGATACCTTCGTTGAGCATTCCGAGGCCGTCTGAGGTAAAGTAGCTGCAATAACCTGGATCGAAAACGTCGCCGGGAAGACTCTGTGCCTGGGATATGGAATCTCACAGCTGGTTACACTGGAGAGATCACCAACATAGCTGTGACCTTTTGTGAAAGACCATGCCAGCACAGCTACAGGGGGCTCACAGGGCCAGCTGTGGTAGAGAACAGGTAAGAGGAAGAAAAGAGGGAGTGACTTAAGCGTCACTGGTACCTCAGTACCTCAGGCAACACTAAACGCCAAGACTAAGTCAACGCACATAACTGCTTTGAAACGGCAGCGTGTTTTTTCATGCACTCTCTCTATCCGGGCGCACTCTGACCAGCTTCTCATACGTCCAAGACGCCGGCAGATTTGAATCTTCTTCTCCCGCTCTCATGGATTCCACAGACAACGTCGATAGCGTGGCCGCGCAAGTCGAGGCTCTCGCGATCAGCGCCAACATCACTCCCAGAACCCTCCTCGGTATGCCGAAAGAGATCCAGCAGCGAATCTTCGAGCTGTTGCTCGAAGAGGAAAACCCCACGCTCGGCATCACAATCGCCCAAGATCTCGTCGACGGGGAGTACTCTGGAAGAGTCAGCAAAGAGATCGAGTATGCGACTCCATGGATTCCTCAGCTAAGACTCGTCTCGTCCTCCATCAATGCCCTCGCATCACCGATCATCGCCGCTCGCGCTTCCATCAGATTTACGCGCGGGAGCTCCAAGAGGAACTGGGAGGAGCGGCTTCCGTTGCTGCATCTTGCGCGGTACGTCCCGGGATACCTGCTAGCTAGAGTCAGAACGATCGCTATACTGGAGCACAACGCCTATTACTATATGCGGCCGCTGGATGCGGTAGATGCCAGCGGCTTTCCGAAGCTGGAATACGTGGAACTGGGCCCATACGATCCTGCATACACGATGGTGTCGGTTCTGGCGGAGATGGAAGATGACACCACGCGTGTCAAGATTGCCAGAGTCCTCAATATCATACAACGACTCGCACCTGGGCACAATGCTCTCTTTTTGGCCCTGAATGTCGGCATTTACGGCTCTCCAGACCAAGTACTCCGACGCTTTTTCAAAGCAACGTTGCTGCCGATGTTCGAAGGCCGGCTGAAGGATTATGCCGACCTCATGCGCATCATGAGAGCGAAGGTCTGGGAATTGCAGCACGACAGCGTTCAGGGCCTAACGTCAACGACGAGACTTGCTTTGTGTATTAAAGATCTTGCAAGTAGAACGGATGTAAGTGGGAGCTTTGCTTTCCGTTTCGCTCCGCCTGGTATACAACTTGCTGACCTAAACAACAGACGGCACGCTATGAGCGCGTCGGATATGGTCCTGCCAGATTGGGTATCAAGAACGAGACGTGGGGAGAGCATAAGAACAACGAGCTCCTCGAAGTCCTCCGGGTGTAGGAAACATGTCGTTTGTGGAAATCAGAACATGCATCATGAAGGAAGGCAATCAGGCAACCAGGCGACAGGCATCGTGACGTGATTGGGCGAAAGCTTGGTATGGGACGGACATCTTCTTGAGAACAATTGAATAACTTCTCAAACCAGGTTCATTTCCATTTCACCCTGTCAAATTGTAGACTTGCTTTCAACGCCTTCAGGCGGGCTCTGCGCAACATTTAGAGATACTAGAAACGAATGACGGGCTGCAAGTAGCCGAGTCTCTATGATTTCGTCAATCTCGGTCGTGCCTTCCCCTTGCTCTGGAAGATGGCGAAGCAGTCACTTGAAGCTACATGAACCGTATTCATGATACCGCTGCATCACTACGCAGACTCCATGCCCAAGTTCTCGAGTGAGCAAAATTCGTCTCAGGTGAGTCGCGCGTCCGTTGTCTGTCCCCATGGAAACGCCAAGACCCGATTTCGGTTGCACTTCAACGATATGCAATCTGTTTGCCTGCCCTGCGGGAAGGAAGTTATCTTTGTGACCGCAAGCTCCCTCCTCATCTCTCTACGCTCAGCGTAGCGAATGGTTCAAGACTATGGCGGACTCGCAGAAGTCTGTTGTCGACAACGCCGCTGAGTCGGTCGCGGCTATCGACATCAATCCATCTGCGACAACCGTGACGGCGACTGTCGACATTCCCGACTCTGCACAAGATCCCGGCATCGAGAACAACAAGTACAACCAGAAGTGCAAGCACATCGAGCAAAGCCACACCGAGACAACATCGTCATCCGATTTGAAAGCTGTAGATGCCGCAGAATCGTCAACGGAATCTCTTACCAAGTCGACCCTTACCAAGCCAGGAGATCTTAGTGTCTTCCCCGACGAGATAATCGAGTCAATCTTCGAGGCCCTGCTGGGAAATTCCACTCTGCACGTCGTGTGCTTCGACCCAGTTGAAAGCGAAGATTTCAGTCCATCGAAACACATTGAGTCTAGAGACTGGGATCCGGCGTGGGTACCTGGCCTGCGACTCGTGTGCAAGTATTTCAAGGATGTCGCGACACCAGTCATCGCCAGACGCACGGACCTGACCGTCATCCGTCGAGTGTACCCAGAAACAGAGCTCCCCTATACTCCGCTGACGCCCCTGCCACTAGCCCAACTCTGTCCCGGGTACATTTCTGCGCGAACCCCGATGATCTCCATTGTGGAGGAGCAGGCGATGAATCACTTAATGCCAACAGGTTCAATTGACGTTGATGGGTTCCAAAACTTAAAGGTCATAAGGTTCGGACCGTATGATCAGATGAAGGCACTCAACACCGCTGTACGACAGATGCAAGACTGCCTGGCTGGTCAGGCAATGCGCGACTTTGCTGAAAAGCTCGTGACTTCCATCCAAGGGGCGAGTCCTGCTTGGTTGACAGCCTTCATCGCCAGAGAAGGTCCCCTGAATGCCATCAAGAAGATCATCCGCAATGTCTTCCTGCCCGGATTCGCGCGTGAAGAACACTACAAGGCGTTTATGAAGCAACTCGTCACAACCTTCTGGGCCATCAGAGGCGACAAAGTTGTGGGTGCGGGACCGGACGTCAATTTTATCGTCGAATTTCGAACATTCGCTGAAGTGGTAAGCCTTTTTAGCATGTGCCCTCTTTGAACTGGCTAATCAATTTTGCAGACTGGCATGGCTATCATACGGGGCGATTTTGTTGGCGTTGAAACATGCAAGCCCTGGGTCAATCACAAGGATACCAAGTTCCTGGACATGTTCCGCTCTTAGAGAGCTCGTCATCGAGTACAGCATCACTGAGTATGTACCCCGCTGGCTCACGCTTTCTCGAACAACGCTGACGAAGCACTAGATACTGCCGTTGGGGACACCCGATGAATAGGCCAAGGCAGGAAATCTGCGACGAAGCGAACTCGTTCCTACCGCAGGGAATCATGCTCAACAAAGCTCGTTGAGCGCTTGCCTGCCACTAGAAAGGCTTCTTCCAGGCTAGTAACTGCGTCACATCATCGATTAGACGCTTGTCATGGAAGGGGATGTATTGTGGTTGCATGCAGAAGGACGTGGATGGATCCGAGCCACAACACGGCGACCAAGACGCCTCGATGGTTAACATCCGCCTTCACATGCACCCCCTCAGCTCATTGATGAACGCTGGGCCAACGAGCGCAGATAGCAAACGAAATCAATTCATCTCGACAATGAGTTCGTCTCTACTGCCGTGAAACATTGGGAGCGTAACGTCGAAGGACGAGTTCCTGGACGCCTTCATGCTTGGGCCTGGGTTCGCATCTGTTTGTGAAGGCATCACTTTCCCGCGTGGGTAGCTATTCACACAGTGAGAATTCCAATCGAAGTCCGAGAACGCCATCGCTTGCCCTATTCTCTGTATAACCCATACCTTGAAAGCCATGACTACATACATAACATCTCGAATCCCCTTCAGCTTCATCAAGGCAGCTCACTAAACTCCCCAGTCCCCTGCTTCCTCCTCCCACCCACCGCACCAAACCCACCATCCAGCTCCGGCCTATACTCGCTCACCCGCCCCCCATCCATCTCCCCCCTCGGCTGTGCCTGATGCCTATACGGCTCTTTCGAGTCGTTCCTGTAGTACGCGCTGCTCCCCGCCATTTCGCTCACTCTGTTATTACTGCTGTCATTGAACGGACCTGAGGCTGAGGAACTCTGGAGACGAGCATTCCGCCGTTTCCGCCAGATGAACCACCACAGTGCCGCTAACGCGGCGATGGCGACGATGGCGGCGCCGACTGCGATTCCTGCTATTGCGCCTGTTGATATTGATGATGAAGCAGTATTGCTGACAGTATTGTCGTTGCCGGAATCTGCGCTTGAGCTGGAACCGGCGCCATCCGCGCTACTAGTCTGCGCCGCCCCGGGACTATCCACCGTATTACTCGGCAGTGTCGCCGTCTTGCTCACCCCTCCACCGCTCGTCGTCGTGTCAGCATCTGCCGCACTGGTGGTAATATCAAATAAGCTCAAATCGCGTTCCTGGTATTCAACGGAGATGGGCTGCGCCCACATGGTGATCTCGCTGCCGGAGACGGGGATGGCGGAGTCGTTGCCGCGGGCGGAGACGGTGGTCGTGCCGGAGAATTGGGAGAGGCAGCCGGCGAAGAGGACGGAGGAGGAGCCGAAGAAGTTTATGGAGGAGTAGGTTGAGCCGTAGGAGAAGGATCTGGGGATTTGTGTTAGTCTTGTGGGAGTACACGACGAATTACGGGATGGTGAGTATGGTATAGGATGGTGTGAGTCGTTACAGATCTGGGTGTGGCTTACGAAGGACAACATATCGCAGTCGTAGTCCCATCTGCTTGGAACTGGCCCGGCGTCGCATAGCCTTCGGGACACCAGCCGGGACTGTATACTTGTATCGAGCTCGGTGCGCGACCGTAGCCGCCAAAGTCTTCGGGCCAGCAGTCTATGTCAAAATCTGAGGGCTCGATGTTTTGCATGAGCAGGCCGCCCGGTACTGAGTTGTAGAATTCATCTTCGAAGGTCCAGGAGCTCAGGCAGTTCGCGGGAGGTGTGAACACTGCTGACATGGACGTTATCGTTTCTGTGAAGAGGCTCGCCATGGTGTCAAGTGCCGGGCTAGCCGCCGGAGGGGTACGCGCTGGATTTTGTGGACGGTTTTGGTGCTTGTCGAGGCTGCTGATGATGCGACGAGAGGTACAAAGGAAAGCAAAGACCGCAGGAGAGACCTACCGAGTTCCAGAGCGGGCCGCTCGTTACACACGAACACACTTACGGAGTAGTAGGAGACGTTAGGGCGACCAGGGCTAAAGAAAGCGACATCCATGGCCAAACTTTACCTGTCCATACCGTAGAGTGGTTCGTCAGCGGCAGGCAATCGGAGCAATTCATCATCGTCCTTGTGGAAGCCACGGCGCAGGAGCCTTGGTCACGCTGTTTGGAATTTGTTGCAACATTGCCTTCATGTACCGAAGGTCGTCAAATGGGAAGAGTCCTGAAGATTGACGAACAAGAAGCGAGGCAGTTGAAGGAAGCTTCGTACGGCCAAGAGTGCGATTCATTGGACAGGAGCGTTAACGCCCCTGAGGTTCTGCACCCCTAGCGCAATGCCTCGCGGCTTGATTAAACCTCAAACTTCAGGCCTGACTGCCCGTTGAAATTGCGATAGTGGTCTTCGAGACTTCGATGTTTCTCGCAGGCTTTCGCAGTCGAAAGTCGCGCAGGAAGGCGTCTCTGTCAACAACGCGTACAGCTCTTCGATAGGTATACATGCCTATCGTGGCGAAATGACAATCGGACGCTCGATATTGTGAGGCCACAAGATGCGCTGAGCCACAGGCGATGTGATCTGAAACGTCCGGGTCCACATCGCGAGCTCCCGTGTTCTCGTATGGCGCCTTCTTGCCCAGAATAATGGCCCTGTATATGTTTTGATTGATCTGGGACGTCACGGCCACTTTTGTACAAGTCCAAGTTCGAAATTGGACAGCTGAGCAGCTGCTGTGGCTCATTCGTGTGACAACGGGCAAAGGCTCTTGCTGGTGGCCGTGTAGGTAAGCAGGCATAACAGCAGCTCAAGAGGGACGAGATCGTCAATTTCTACAGCTAGCCTCTGGAGAAGCTGCGAGACATCCATCACAAAAGGAAACAGCGATCGATAAGAGTACAACAGGGCAGCGTCCCTCGATGCCTAAGTGACAATGGAAGTCTCGACCTAGACACGTGTGCAACTGTCAGTATTCGTGGTACAAAATGCTGTTCCAATAGGTGGATGGTATCGTTTGCTTCCGCTCTGTCACTTCCATTTCAAGCAGCGTCCTCCAATAACCAAATCAACTTTCGAATATGGCTGAAATTGAAAATTGACATTCGCAGCAGTAATCACGATTCAACAGTCCATGCGCTCTCACAAGCCATGTCCAACCAGTAATTTTGCCATCACTACAGCCCTCGCTTCAAGCAGCAGCTCCCTTCCAAGCAGCCCGGAAGTTATTCAAGCCAGCCATGAGACCGCAGAAGCCCACAATGCCCTGGTTCATCCCAGTCAAACCACCTTCAACACTGTAATGAATTGCCACAGGCAGCCAAGCCGTGCAAGTCTGTAGATCCGCCCACCACTTGGCATCAAACTGCTCTTCCTCCTCTCGGCTGACGCGCTCTCTAGTCTTGCGCTCGCGCATCAAGGTGGCATCGCGCCACAGGCGGAAGAAGTCGGTGGCAACACCGACGAGCCATGAGCGGCAAGCCCACTTCATCACATTGGCTGCGCCGCCTGCGCCTCCTAGGCGTGCGACAAGGGTTGGCTGGAGAACGCCCTTGTTGGTGAGCTGGAGGATGTTCTCGGTGGCTTGGAAGCCAATGTAGCCCAGGCACTGGACGAGGAGAATCTTGTGCTTGAGTGGGTCACCGCCCTTCTGGAGGAGGAGTGACTTCAGGAGCACATAGAGCGAAAGGAGGCCTGTAAGGCGGAGGGTGGTGCGGAAGTCAGCCACCATCAGCCCGAGAGGCAGAAGTGGAGATGGAGTCGGCGCGAGGGCCTTAGGTGGCAGCTTGACATCGCGACCAAGGATCTTGGACAGACGTGCGATGAGTGTTGCGCGTGAGGGTGCCTGGGCGTGGAGGTATGCGAGGAGGTAGAGGGAATAGTTGAGGGATGACAGCGACGCAGAAAAGCCAGCCGTAGTCTTGATGGTCCTGTTCTGCTTGTTAGCAAGCAAGTCATGTCTGTTGAGTCCAGGTACCTACCTTGTCAATTGCAGGATCAGTGCATCGATCTTGCCGAGCGTGCTCTTAACATCCGTGGGAAGTTTCTGCAGACCTCTGTGCTGGTCAGGATCGATAGGTCCTGCCTTCTCTGCGTATCCCTGGCTTGGAGGTTGAGCCGGATCGGCCTGCGAAGGGGCTTTGTTGTCGCTCATCTTCTGCCGAGGGTGTTGTGCACGGTGCGGTGAGTCAGGTATAGGAGGCGGAGGGCTTCGTTGTGGCGTAAGGAGTGGCCGGGAGTGTGCTATAAGGATGACAAGATATCACGGTCTCCTCAGGAGGTCAGATCGAGCAGAACGCCTTCCTTCTCGTGTCGTCGTCTCATCTCACTTCTCTTCCCCACACTCAAGCAAGCTTTCGGGCAATGATTTGTCGATTGCCTCGGCTATAGGGATCTCGCTTAGCCTGCCCGATTCGATCGCGCGGCTGTGCATGCGAGCAAGTACGTCACCCTACAGTTTGTTTCTTCTCTCCCCAGCAACTACAAAGTACCACGCCATCATCATCCACATAATCTTAGCAACGCTCAGAAGTACTCTCTATCGTCACAGTATATCGTCCTTTATCTCAAATAATGTCCTGCGGCGATCTCTTCCTCGGCCTCCTGGCCATCATCTTCCCCCCTCTTGCAGTGTGGGTGAAGCGGGGCCTCTGCTCAGCTGACTCACTGATCAACATCCTCCTCTGCCTGCTCGGATTCATTCCAGGTCTTCTTCACGCCTGGTACATCATCGCCAAATTCCCAGAAGAAGAGCACGACTACGAACGAGTGCCCGACGCCGAGAACCAGCGAGTCACCTACTACTACATCAATCAACAACCTGGCCCTCGTCGTGACTATGGTACGCAGGGAGGCCAACGACAGCCTGCTCCCAAGCCAAATTCCTCAGCGCCACGAGTTCCACAGCACTCGAGACCCGAGCCCGCTGGCCCAAGCGTTGGTGCTGGCTCGGATGAGGCAGGTGCTCCTCCCAGCTACAGCGATGTGGTGAAAGGAGACAATAAGGTGCAGAATCAGAACTAGGCGTCTGTGTCTGGACGAACCGAGCCTCAGCAGACACCCTCCGACTACTTCACGACACATCGGGAGGACTCTGAATTGGGAGAATTTGAACCGGGAGACTTTGAACCGGGAGACTCTGAACCGGGAGACTCTGAACCGGGAGACTCTGAACCGGGAGCCTCTGAACCTGAGGACTTTGAACGAGAGCTATTTGAACGGGACCCACGTGCAGGGACATGGAGGGTCGCCACGCGGTGGCGAACTGGTGAAACCGTATGGGCACTCCAGGTCATCCGCCCCCACATGCACCAGATAGGCACAAGCCCGGCTCAGCTACCTCGAACGACCTTCACCGTTCCTGCTCCGGGATCCGTAGAAGAGTGGTTGGAACAGTTTGAGCACTACCAATGAGCAAATATGAGGTTGGACTGCATGTACGATGCCAGAGCTGTATAATATGGTTGAGATGGGTTGATCAGCAAGTTGACTGGGCACGCTGGAATCAGCTTTACGAGTTGTATGGGATTCGCAATCGTTAAGGGAGCATTGATAGCCACAGCTGGCTGTCTGGAGCAGCATGTAATAGCAAAAGGCCACTACAGTGGCGAGAATGATATTCAATCGCTGAACTCCTTTATTCTACAGAACTGTCCTACCGATGAGGCCATGTCCAAGTGCAACAAGTTCATGTGTGTCGACACGTGCGAAGCAAACAGATAGTAGGAAACTAGACGTACGGTGCACTATCTCGTTGATCTAGACAGGTCAACGACGCCGAGGACAAGCTCGCGCATGACCATCGAAACGACCTTGTCGCCTACTGACAGGCATTCGGTTCAGCGCATAGACCCTATCACAGCATCATTATCGCCAATCAGACAAGAAGGCCTCCTTGCCTTTTCGGCAATAAGTGGCTTCTATCCAGTCCGCTGGCAAAAATTGACACCTTTCCACGTTTTCTGAAGTGTGAAACGTGCACGTGGAAAAGTGTCATTTTTGTGCTTCGGACCCGATAGAAGCTGAGGTTTTCTCCGGATAGGGAAGGTGACCTTCTCGTTCGGCCTGGAGATCTCGCTGTTGCTTGGCTCGACAGGTCCGCTGAATTGGGGCAACGGCGAGGTCATCTTGGCACATTCTCAACCAGGCCGAACCAAGATCCAGGTAGATGACCAAGGGATATGGAAATTGTCAAGGCCCTTCCTCAATCTACTTAGACCTTCGCACCAATCCCCAACCGCTTCTTCGTGCCCGCAATAATAGCCTGCTCATCATAGATATAGTTAACACTCTCCTGCGCAACTACTTTCTTCGCCCACTCATCGAACTTAGGAGTCTGGCTCTCGAACCCCTCCAATACAGACCCCGGCAACAATCCATTCCCCGCGAAACTATACAACCTCGCCACAAACGGCGCAGTCAACGCCTCCGCCAACGTGATCTTCCCACTTCCCCCGAAGAACGGCGCTGCATCTTGCAACAGCGGCTCGATCTCCTTCTTCAACTTGGCGAGGTAGTCCTTGACGAGGCTTCGCGCTCCTCGCCGTCGGGGGCCTTGATGATGGGGAGGTACAAGGGGTTGATCTTGTCGAACCAGGTGTCTACGAAGAAATTGATGCGGGCGCGTTTGAATGCTGCATCTGCGTCGCCGGTGTTGGGGACGAGGTGAGATGGGTATGCGTCGGCGAGGAAGCGGGATACGACGCTTGATTCGGTGAGGATTTGGTTGTTGTATTTTATGGAGGGGACCAGGCCGCGCTGTGGGTTGTTAATTTGGGGAGGGTGGATGTGCTGTGGGTGGTAGGGCGTACTGGGTTGACTTCTAGGTACCAGGGCTCACGGGGCTTGTCGAGGTCGATGATGACTTCGTCGTATGGGAGGCCGAGTTCTTTGATTACGATGTGTGCTCGGTGGGCCCAGGGGCAGCGGTGGTTGGTGTAAAGCGTGATGGCAGGTCCGGTTGAGCCCATGATTGCGGTAGACTTACAGTACAAGAGATAGTAATGCGATCTGACTCGTATGATATGTACGTGATGTCTTGTTGAGTGTCTGTGCACGGGTTTATATCCTACCTTATTGGGATCATCGATGAAGACGTCTTGCTTAGAAATCAACGGACCAATCGCAACGGATGAACACAGTGTTTCGAGGTTGCGTGCTCTATGTTCCGGGTTGCGAGTACCTAAGACTATCCCATACGGTGCGGGGTCGAGGTTGAGTTGGGCCTCCAAGGAAGATGCAAAGAGCCTGAATACGAACTCGCATCGTCACAAGAAAGGAGTCGCCGCTCGCTGCTTATGATCTAAGAAAAGCCAAAAAGAGAATAAGAAGCTCTGAGGAAAGTTGAGAAGACATCGAAAGAACTCAAGGTATTTTGAATGTTTTGAATTTGTTTTATCCATGAAGTAGCTATCAAGCTAAGTAATTAGTCTATCTATACGAGCCTGTAATGCTCTTTTGATAGTCACACATTAAGTAATGTTAATCTTGAACATAAGATCCATGCACATCTCAAGCCGTCAATCGCGTGAAGCATTCCAAAACTCATTGCTCGCGTTCCAATCCATGACTGTTCCTCCTCGACCTGTCCTGTTATGTCCAGTAGTCCCACAAATGCCACTATACGCCGATGTTGATAAGTATGCCAAAGCCTAGATCAAGGAAAAGATGGTCGGAATGCTTATAGCATGGCAACAGCAGCGAGAATAGCGCCGAAGACAGCAACAACCTTGCTCGATGAAGTGGTGGCAGCGGCACCAGTGAAGGGAGCGGGCTGAGTCGAGGTAGCGGAGGGCTTGACGCTGGATGATGAGGAAGATGGCTTGACAGTTGTGACATCGTTCCAGCCGCTGCTGCTGACGGTGGTAGGGGACACAGGCTTCGGGGTGGTGGTGGTGACGATTGAGACTGGGACCCAACCGGTGGCGGAAGTGGTTGTGACTGGTGCGACTGGTGTCTCGGACCAGACGTAGTTGGACCAAGCTGCGGTGGTTGTGGTGGTGACAGGGGCGACCGGGGTTTCTGACCAGACATAGTTGGACCAGGCGGCAGTGGTTGTTGTCGTGGTTGCGGGTGCTACTGGGGTCTCCGACCAGACGTAGTTGGACCAAGCGGCGGTGGTCGTGGTTGTCTTGGATGTGGGAGCAACAGGTGTCTCAGACCAGACATAGTTGGACCAAGCCGCTGTGGTAGTGGTGGTTGTGGCAGGGGCGACGGGCGTTTCTGACCAGACATAGTTGGACCAGGCGGCAGTTGTGGTCGTAGTGGTCACCGGTGCGACAGGAGTCTCCGACCAAACGTAATTTGACCAAGCAGCGGTGGTTGTGGTAGTGGTAGTAGCAGGCGCAACTGGAGTCTCGGACCAAACATAGTTCGACCAGGCAGCCGTTGTTGTGGTGGTTGTCTTGGAAGTAGGAGCAACAGGAGTCTCTGACCAAGCATCAGCCCATGTCTGAGCGTACGTCTGCGAGGTGGTCGTGGTCGTTGTTGTCTTGGAGGTAGGTGCAACAGGAGTCTCGGACCAGACGTAGTTCTTGGTGGTCGTAGTGGAGGTGGTGGCGGGTGCAACAGGTGTTTCCGACCAGACGTAGTTGGCAGTGGTGGTGGTTGTGGTGATGGGAGCAACGCTCGATGAGGTGACGTCTTCCCATTTGCTCTGCTGGGTGGTGGTTGTGGTGGCAGTGGTAGGCGCAACGCTTGAGCTGCTTACATCTTCCCAGTGAGCCTGGGTTGTTGTGGTAGTAGCGGTGGTAGGAGCAACAGTCGAGCTGGAAACATCTTCCCACTGAGTCGCCTGAGTTGTGGTGGTGGTCGATGTGGTGGTCGCAGTTGTTGGTGCCACAGGAGCGGCTCCCCACTGGTGACCACCTTGGCCATAGCCACCCCAGCCCTGAGGAGCTGCGAGAACAGCAGGCGCAAGCGCCGCAGCAATAGCGAAAGATTGCATCTTGAGTTGGTAGAAGCGAGGGTTGGTTGATGAAAAGATTGGATAAGAGGTAGCAGGTAGAAGTGCTTGGTAAAGCTCTTGTGTCTGCTGGGACTCTTTGCTTCTGTTGGGAGTTTGGATGATGGAGGACGAGAACACAACTCACCATTCACGAAGCAGATCTATATACCCGTCTGATGCTGTGCGAGTGTGACAATAGCATTGTGGCAGGGAGACGAATTAGACGAGAGACTTTCCCCGCCATTCTGCTGAAAAGCCAAATCATTCAGGATACAAGGCCATTAGTCGAATGGCAGGTCGTCCACAACCAAGACATACGTGATTGTACCACAGTGAGGTAGGGTTCGTTGCCGTGTGTGTTCTCCAAAAAGCCGGGAGCTGCAGCAAGAAATCAGGTGGCAGTGATTTTAGCGACCCCGCCAAGCTTTGCTTCGGCCAATGAAACCGACTGAAATCTCGGCTCGCTCGGCTACCAAGGCAACCTCCCGAAATTTCTTTGCCGCCTAGGCTTCTTTTGACAATAGCCTTGTTCGCAGCGACGCTAGCAGTGTATACAAGGTGGCTGGTCCTTTGTCTGATTACCTGTTCGATCGAGCGCAACCGGATGACTGTTACTTCATCGACCCAGCCGCACTTCCAGTCAGCTTGTGCGACCAATCGAGAGGTCGCTTGTATAGTGGCTTGGTCACTAGCGCAAGACCTGCCTTCTGTTCTTCGATCTCGTTATTACATGGCTTCAGGGCGTGCAGCTGAGAAGCCGGTCCAGATTTGCCCTGCCACCTGCAACTAGGGGTTTTGCACACGAGAGGCGCAAAATTACAACCTGAGACGAACTATAGACCCTCTGGGCCAGCTTTCGTGCAAGCATGTTGTACTTCTGGTCACCGATCGAGGATCGCTTGTAAGCGAATGGCGGGATTGCACGGCTTGCCGTGCCAGCCCCGATTGTTCACTGTGTGCACGCCCACGAGACGGAGAATTCCATTGGACCTCAAGACGCAGATTGCTCGAAGGGCGATTTGTAGAGAGTCGTATAGGTGGGGTTCCTCTCAAATGGACAAAAGAAAAGTGGTAAGCCTGGGTGGGATTTTGTAGGTGAGCTCTGCTCTGGGTGAAACTCTTCTCATCTGTAGCAGATGGAATTCACCTCCTCTTCGTGCCGCAGCTGTACAAGATCAGCATACATTCCGCTCGATGGCATTGTTGTCGACATCGTTTTATCGCGATGCCCAACCGCGCTCAGTCGACGCGCGTGGTGTGCCTTCTACTCGGGTGAAGATGGAGAAGCTTTGCGCCTCACACAAAGCGTGCGGCCGTTCGCAGCGCAGCTTGAGACTGTGATAGCACCGGTGCTTTTCATTTCTGAAACTTTGCGCAGCATGCAGCGTTTGCCTAGGTGGTTCTCAGACCGGATCATTGACAAACGGCATCTATGTTGGCAAGGTCCAGGGGGCCCTCAGGCGAACCTTTGGCCTGCATGAGCTCCGTCATCCGCGATGAGAGAGGCATGCTGCAGCCTTCGAAACAACTATAGTGTCCCAGGTCATGAGCGGTGCTCGATTGGCTTGTGAACGTGGTTCCTTTGATAACGAATTGTACTACATACTTAAGTACACAGTAGTGATGAATTGGATGAGTCCGTAGGGCTCATCACTCCGACGGCGCCTCGGGCCGTGTACAGAGCTTGGCACGGAGCCACGCGCCGATGACGCCATGATCCAAGGCCGCAGCACTGGTCTCGCGTCTATTTGGTAGCAGCTACAGGCGCAGTTCATGTTTCAGGGCTTCTTCGTTTAAGGGTCATTGCCTGAGACTCTTCCATAGCAAACATGTCATAATATCGACATGAGCTCGTTTACTGCGCCGGGTTGTCTGCCAGTATGAGTCCTTCATCTCCTCCGGCTGCGGGGAATATCCGCTCGCTCGACTTCGATGCCAACCACAGTGTGCGGTCACGAGAGAGCCAACGGAGCTTGCTGGACGATGATGTTGACTTCATGGACGAGGTGGCTACTGGTATAATTGAGCGCGACCGCAAGAGAATGCGCACGGAAGTCTTGCGCATCGTGAGCTTCACATGCGCGGTACTGAGCTGGTAAGATACAGCAGCAGAGACATAAGTTCGAGACTGATAGCAGCAGCCTCTGCGCCGGTTCCATTACATCGTACTCGCTGTATGCGAACCGCTTCCTGACAGACCTACACTACACTCAATATCGCATCAACATCGTGTCCATCACAGCCGAGCTGGGGTTGTACTTGTTGGTGCCGGGCTGGGGCTACATCTGCGATCGATTTTCACCACCGCCGCTATCGCTACTTGCATCGCTGTTGTTCGGATCGGGGTATTTGCTGGCCGCCTATAGCTACAGATCTGGACCGCCACAAGATGCAGGAGGGGATGGATGGCCGTTCGGTGTCATGGTCCTTGCATTCTTTTTTATTGGCGCAGGCACCAGTTGCATGTACCTGTCTGCGGTCGCAACGTGCGCAAAGAACTTCGCCGAGTCCAAATACCGAGGCTTCATGCTAGCCGTTCCGATTGCTGCATTTGGACTAAGTGGCATGTGGCAAAGCCAGGTTGGGGCGCAGCTGCTAGCAGAGACACACGAGGATGGCAGTAAGGGCGACTTGAACGTCTTCCGCTACTTCGTATTCCTCGCTGGATTACTTTTCGCCGTGGGCATAGTAGGCTTTCTTGGGCTGCGCATCGTCGACGAAGAGTCACTGATCGACCATGGCGTGGATCAGATGGAGCGCAGTGGGCTTCTGGACGAGTCTGAGTTCTTCCGCGAGTCAAGACGGGCTTCACGTGCTCGGCAGATCTACGGGACTGTCGAGCCTGATGGTTCCGAGACGGAGGACGATGAAGAGGCGGGGGAAATCTCCCTTTCGGAATCGCAAGTACTGCGCAAGCAAGAGGAAGATGAGCGACTCAAGGAGAAGAAGGTGTGGCTTCTCAATCACGCGACACACGCATTTCTTACGGATCGAACAATGTGGCTGCTTGCGGCTGGTTTCTTCCTGCTCACGGGACCTGGGGAAGCATACATCAACAATCTGGGAACTATCATACCAACTTTGACACCACGAAAGTATTTCGACGTGGCCAATCCGCCAGCCGGCCACGCTGCAACGCATGTCAGCATAATTGCTCTCACGTCGACAATCGCAAGGCTGTTCACAGGATCGTTGTCCGACCTTTTTGCGCCACCTTCGAATCCAGAATACCCTCCGTCAGCGCGATTTACGTTGTCGCGCCTGGCACTGCTTCTGCCGTCGGCTGGCATTCAGCTCTTGGCGTTCGTCGTTCTTGGTTTGCCATTCTTAGTGCTACAGACACCGTCATTATTCCTGCTTTCCTCAGCTCTGCTTGGGACAGGTTATGGCGCGTCATTCTCACTCGTCCCAATCATAATTAGCGTTGTCTGGGGTGCAGAAAACTTTGCTACGAATTGGGGCATCGTTGCCATGATGCCAGCAGGCGGCGCTGCGATATGGAGCATTGTATACAGTGTGGGCTACTCAAAAGCTAGCGGTGATAGCAATGAGTGTCGAGGCTACAACTGCTTTGGGGCATGGACTTGGGGTTGTGTCGCGAGTACCGCGATCGCCATAGTTCTACTGTCCTTCGCATGGCGGACTTGGAGGAGGCGAGCGGTAGCTGTCTAGTCCACAGCCTGTCTGCGCAATATTCAATTGCACTGATAGCTGCCTATGAATGGTACCACAGTTTGAGCTTATCCGGCATCCGATTGCCAGCCGGCTCGTGTGTCCAGGATGCTTCCGCATTGTGGTTCATGGGAAGAGATTTTGCCCTGCGTACACTCGCAAGGCATATCAGCCGTACGCGACCGTTAATTTTGCACCGTCACGAGGCCTCAACGCAGAGTGCATGTTGATGGAAGTTTTTGCGAACGATAGCCTCAGCTCAGTGCGTCTCGGCCCCGTGGCTCGCCGAAGGTGCCTTGTCACGTGATACAGCACCCAAATAGCAGACTCTGGCCAATCGCACACGCTCGCTGACCACACCGGAGCTGGAATTCTGGGCGCGGTTTCCGCAAGGGTTACCGCTTTGGGTCGCTGTATGCGATGGCGCAGCACTTTCGCAACAGCCACAAATGATGGTGTTCAAGTATGTCTGAGGTTCACTGTGCGATCACAAGGTGATTCTCAGTCTATAAGACATCGCCTTGTTCGCTGTGATGTGGTGAGTCTCCATCATCACCATCATCAACGACAATTACCACAATAACAACTTGAGAGCCTCTGAACCACTACATCGAGCGAAAATCATTTCCGATCGCTTGGACCAGTCGCTGTATACCACCAGTTCACATCACTATATCTGCGAGATCTCGTCAGCCACTCACATCATGCAATTCCACCTCTTTACCACCATCTGCAAATCTGCATTCATCCCAAAGGACGTCTCAAGTCCGAGCCAAATCGAGCTTAAGCCAGCTCAGAGGCACTCCAGCAGCCGCACAAGTCTTTCATCGATGGACGCTGAGGGTCGGCAAGCGGTGTTGGATCTCAAGAATTTGAGGGCGAAGAGCTACAATTGATCTTCTCAGTTGTCTGTGGGTTGAAACCATGGATTCCGTTTGAGCGTCGGGCGCTTGGGGCAGCATAGGCTGGGATGTCTTGCATGGGCAAGGGTCCAATTTTCATCATTTTCTCGGAGCGCTGCGTTGGGCGGTAACATTTGCGGCATAGTGCGAGCATGTATGAACAAGGATCAATGTTGCAGCAAGCAAAGGATTGAGTACCATTTGCCTCTCTCTGTAAAGCGTAGAGATCCGAGTACGATGTCTTGAGGATGGTTGGCACGAGATTCGAAAGGTCGACTGGTACGATGTCCTAGCCTACAGAGTCCTCCCAGAGCAGCGGCCATGGGCCTTTCACCTACCAATTGCTTGTTTTGTCAGCGACTCAGAAAGGGGAAGCTCACCGGCAGCAAAAGTGATTGTTTGAGAATACGTCTGACAGACGAAGCTCGCTATCTTGGGTGTCCATGGCAAGTGAATGAGCAAGCAGAGCATTTTTGAGCTGCCCAACTCCTCAGGCGGAAGCCATCGAGCTGATCCGCGTGGTCAAGGCAACAAGGTAGGTTTGTTTGCTAGCCTTGGCATCAATGCAGCCTTCCATTGAAACATCAGCGACTTCACTTGCCTGACTTGCCCCACTTTCAATCTCATAAAAGTCCTCTCTGCTTCTCCCTGCACCCTTCTCTCTTCCTACCACGCACTCGTCCATTAGGCAAGGCAATCTAATTGAGACTTGTGCAACACAACACGCAACAAGATCCATCATGAAGGACGGTTGGTCGTGTGCTGCGGTTGGCAGCGATGTGGTCATCCAAGGTCCAGATAACGAACAGAACTTGGCTATTTCATTCCATCGCACGATCCGAGTGCCAGACACCAAGAGCGAATACGACCTCCCACCAAGTCTTGGCAAGTTTCCGCTAGTCCAGGCCAGCGACTATGCCCACAAGCTTCCGGTCGACATGGCCAAGAAAGGCGGTCTTCTGATGCCGATGTATCGTGAGTATTTCAAGTACGTGTGTTGTTGCGTGAGAAGCTAACACCAGCGTAGAGCGCGAGGCTATGTGGATCAATTTCACTGCTCCAAGCAAATTTGCCATCAAGATCTTCGTCGGCGGCGTCAACGTCGTGTCTGGAAACCCTGCCGGCTCGGCCCCAATGCCTACAGCTGAGACTGATGACAAAGATCTTCGATCGCGTCTGCAAGACTATGTTGTGGTTCCTGCTCAGGATTGGATTGATGGTGTAGCCTGCAGCGGTGGGTATGTCAAGCAGTTCGTGGCGATGAGAATGGGCGATGGCTATTCGATTGAGGCGCAATTGACGGGCGAGGAGACATTTGGTGGGATCCAGTTCGAAGTGACACCAGAGACCGTTCCAATCCTCCCCGAGCCAGGTGTGCCCTATAACATCCAGGTCAAGACCCTCACAGGCAGAACCATCTCGCTGAGCAACGTGTTCACAACAACCACTATACTCGAGGTCATGCAAATGATTCAGGATCAAGAAGGCATTCCACCAGACCAACAACGACTCATCTTCCGAGCCAGACAGCTCGAGCAAAAGCGCACACTGGGAGCATGCAAGATTGGTGCAGACGCTATTGTTCGTCTAGTATTGAGACTTCGTGGAGGTGGCCATGGCCCGGTGCCGATGGCTCTTGCTGCCGGCGGTAAGATCAAGCAGTCCATCAGCCCTGATTACTCCGAGGCCAAGGACTGGGACGTGGAGAACACCATGACCTTCAACGTCCAGATCCTCAGCACTCCGGCATTCGAGGCTATCACGGGACGAAAGGCTCCACCAACTCCTATCACTGCGGAGACATATCATCGCCACGGGTTTCCATTCTTCAAATTGTACGAAGAGCAGTCTCAAGTGTTCGGCAACTTCGGTGCAGTCAAGTCAGTTGCTGAGATTGATGGTGTCAAAGAGATGGACTTGACATTCGTCCAGAAAGTCATCGGAAGTACTCCTGATGGTGAAGACAAGGGGCCCAATCAAGACAGTGGTACTGATGGTTCTTACACCGTGGTTGGTGACGCGCCCAAAATCGATGCCGAGATCAATTAGTCCGAGAACATCAATGGCTCTGGCCAGAAGACTCAGGGCTCCACTGGTCATGATGCTGTTGGCAAAGGTCGTCTTGCTTCCATTCTCAATCCCGCCGGCCCGTTTGCTCCAGGCTTCCGTCACATCAGTATCCTGGTCAAGGAGTGGCTCGCTGGTCAGAAGTCCAAGAGTCAAGAGTAGGCCTAGCCGATATCAACAACCTGACACTCAAAGAGGCCACGGCCGGGCTGTCGACGCAAGTTGTACGAGGTTGGCAGGCGCGCGAATCGAGCGGATGCCAGGAAACCCAAAATCGAAGGCTCAGAGGCAGACCAAGGTCACCACATGAGCTGTATTGAGAACCATGCTGGCGAAGAGCTTCTAGCGAGGCCAGCGAGCGATATCAGACGGTCCACAGCCGAAGATGACCTGCTGCATAGACTGGGAAACCCATCTCAAACCATCACAACTTCGCCTTCCCCTGCTTCTCTTTCTCCCTCTCCATCTCCCCCCTCGCCTTGTCCGCTCCCTCCCTAGCCTCCTCTCCCATTACCTTCTCATACCCCCTTCTCATCTCCAGCGGCATTCCCTCCTTCAGCGGCCTCCCCAACACGCCCGGCCCAGTCTGCTCCACCCAAATGTGGCTACTGCCACCCACCGCCTTCACACTTTCCTCCCCCTCCTTAAACACCCCCACCTCATACATCACACTTGTCTTCCCCAACTTCACCACCCTTAACCCACACTCGACTACATCCGGATACGACAGACTACCGAAGTAGTCAAAGTATGTATTTGCAATGATGGCAGCTTGTGGGTGTCGCAAGGTGGTGTAGCCGCATTCGCGAATGAGGTACTCGTTGATGATGGAGTCTGCGAGGACGCCGTAGTAGGGATTGTTGACGTGGGCGAAGACGTCGTTGTCGGACCAGCGCAGGCGGTAGGTGCGGTGATAGAAGTAGTCGGAGCGGAGGCGGGTGCGTTTGGCGGGGAGGGAGAGGGAGAGGGGCGGCATTTCGGGGAGAGGGCCAGGCACAGCAGTACGGCAGGAGATGGGTGTAGTGTCACGAGTACATAAGCATTGTGCCAAACGAGAGCAACAACGTGGGCCAGCAGTCAGGAATCGTACAGAAGTTATCTTCGAGATACTAGTATGAACCGATAGGTAGATTGTGTCACAGCTGTCGAATTTCCCGAGAATTGTACAGCCGAGGTTGCCTTTAAGCTTCGTTCACTGCCTGAGATTCCACTTTGTAGGACTTTTCTGAGCTCCGTCCTGCTTCCCTTGACTCGAAGACACCTGGGCAAGCCGAAAATGGCCAGCGATGCTTACTGCGATAGCCGATCCTGGCCATTAATCGGGGCTCTTGCCAGTCCTTATAAGACAGGAATAGACCATGCGATTCCTGAGACGCGTTGTCCATGGCCGCGTCCCGTGCTCTGTTTCGCTCAACACATTGAGTCTGCTCGTGAGAACGTTCCGGGGCGACCACCGTACAATTCCCCATGACCTCAGGAGTAGGAATGCAATCGACACGACATGCCGAAACACTGGCCATAAAGACCGTTACATGTCAGCTGGAACGAATTCCGCTGCGTTGGGTAGCTTCTTCCGCTCGCCCTCAGGACTAGGCAACCTGTCGACTAGTGTACATGGCCCAGAATTGCCCGATTGAGACGTCTGCCGGCACCAGTATCGAACATGGACGAGCAAGGGAGGTTACTGAACGACTCTTGCCATTGAGATGTTGTCTAAATACAGACAAACTGTTAATGTAAGCTGACGGAGTTGGCAGTGCGTATGCGTGCGGAATGTGAACAGTGAGTATCATATGGCAAGAAGCCATGGGTCGAAGCATATCACCCTCGACATGCAGTCAGGTTGTCGATTGCAACGTGGCATGGAATTATTCCATACTGTCCGGGGAATAATGAACTATAGAAAGTATAAATCCGACCTACCCCTCAAAGTCACAAACTCATACCCAGAGCGTGCCCACACAAACACGTTTGTCATTCGTGTCACGACTATAGGCGAGTTGCAGAAGCAGTCCAGATGTCCCCAGGTCGACTGATTCAACAGGATGAGTATGACTTCATCATCTGGTAAGTCCTGCAGTACAGCACTCTGACGAAGTACTGATCGCCCGATAGCGGAGGAGGCACATCAGGATGTGTGGTCGCTGGCCGTCTAGCCGAGTATTTCTCAGATGCCAGAATACTGCTCATTGAAGCCGGTGCACACAACAAAGACCTGGAGAACGTGCATATGGTGGGCGGCTGGTCCAAGAACTTTGACACAGAGAATGACTGGAATCTCGTGTCGAAGCCCATGAAGGGCGTCGATGGCCGCCAGGTCAAGCTCAGTAGAGGTCGGTTCCTTGGAGGTAGCTCGGGAGTCAATGGGACGCTCGTGGTAAAGGGCACTAAGCAAGATTATGATGACTGGGAGTACGTTGTACTTTTATAAAGAGACATGGGTCCGAACTAACAGTTCTGATAGCCTACCGGGTTGGTCGGGGGATGAAATGTTCGAGTACATGCGAAGAGTGAGTGGCTCGCCTCCTGAGTTGGCGATAGACTAATACGACGCGCAGGCAGAGAAATTCAACGACAAGGATTGGTTTCACCCAGACCCAAAGACTCCTCACGGGTCGAAGGGCTATTTGAATACAGAGCCTCACGATCTTGCGCCTATTTCAAAACTTATGTTGCAATCCATGGAGTCACAGGGCCTGCCAATGATACCCGATCTCTGCTCGAATGGAAATTGCGCCCATGGCTGCGGTCATGCTGCTCGAACACACCATAAAGGCGTTCGAAGCACCGGCGCGGACTTCGTCACGAACAAAAATCACCGCGAAAACATCGAAATTCTGACAGACGCAACAGTCGACAAGATCAACTTCGACACTACTGATGGATCAAAGCCACGTGCAGTGAGTGTTAGCCTTGCTGTTGCCGGCTCGAACAAGCGCACTGTCCATGCCAGCAAAGAGATCATCATCTCGGGCGGCGCTTATTGCACTCCAGCTGTCCTTATGCGCAGTGGTATCGGACCTCGATTTGAGCTTCTGAATCACAACATTCCGCTTCTCGTCGACTCGCCTGGCGTAGGTCAGAATCTACTTGACCACTTGATCACGTTTGCATTCTACGAGGTCAACCAGTCAAATCTGACTAACGATCATCTGGTATATCATTCACCGGAAGCTGCCCTCAACGCGTATGAGCTCTACAAGTCGACCAAGACGGGAGTGCTCTCCACCTTCCCTTTTGGCGCCTTCGGCTTTGCACGTCTCGATGACAGACTTGCTTCATCACAACTCTGGCAAGCTGCTACTCGAAGAGCTCCTGCTGGCCGGGACGCTATGGCTCTCACCCCCTCACAGCCGCACATCGAGTTCTTCACCACCGAATTGTATGGAGGCCCCAAGCAATACGTCGACTTTCCGATCAACCAGCAGCATGCGTTCGCCATGATCACCGAGCTTTTCTCGCCGCGGAGCAAAGGGACCGTGACGCTCGCCTCGGCGGATCCCGCCGAGAACCCCATCATCGATCACAACTATCTGGCGGATCCGCTTGATCTGCTTGTCATGACCGAGGGCTTACAACTAGGCAACGAAATAGTGACTCGCGGCTCGGGAACTCGCGACCTGATCAAAGGCTCGTGGCCTCCCAGCTCAAAGCATCATACTTACACCGAGCGGTCGCAATGGGAAGATTACGCTAGGCAGCATGCGACAACGTGCTACCACGCTGCAGGGACCGCGAAGATGGGCAAGGACGGTGACCCGATGGCAGTTTTGGACCATACTTGAAGGTCAGAGGAGTGGAAGGACTGCGGGTGGCAGACTGCTCCGTGATGCCAACACTGCATAGCGGACACACGCAGATGCCAGCATATGGAATCGGAGAACGGGCTGCGGAATTGATTGCTGCGACGTGGAAGGCTCAAAGCGACAAGAGTCGGATATCGCGATAGTAATGCTTCGGGTGGACTGGCGAAAACGAGGCTTGCTTCGTTCACTTGCTGCTGTTACATTTCGATGCCTACTTGACTCCTACTACTGCCCTGCTGATCCCTTACCGTCATCTATATCAGCAGACAGCCTTGGCCTACCAAGTCTTACCTCTGAGGCCTTGTTCAGAGGTTGAAGCTCACTATGAAGCTTCCGGAATAGCGACTCATGCTGCCGCGATAATTGGCTCCCTCGGGCTCGACCTCAGAATCTCCGTGCCCTCAAGGGTGTCTCCAATTCGGCCTCCCTCATCCCAAAGTGCAGCCAGAACAGATCGCGTTCCGGTCCAAGGTTTTCGGGAGTGCATCACCGCGTAATTCTGTTCGCATCTTAGACTATGACTGAGCATTCTGCGTACGGAACTTACGTCAAGGAGAACGACATCGCCTTTCTGCCAGTCTACATCAACTTGCAAGGACTCGGCAATGCTCAGAGAGAGTTCAAGATATTTCGTTTCGATGGCTTCACCATTTCCGTACAGTGGCAATGGGTGATAGCCGCCATCGTCTCCGAGATATGGAGGTTCAGTCGCACCATGATGCCTGCTTCGCCCGTAGGCGGACGTTAAGTTCCCGAACCAAGTCGTGAAGCCTGTATCAAGGTGTTTGCGAAGGACTGCTCGAGGTCAGTGTGCAATTCTGTCCTGCCACCACGGAAGCCTTACTTGGCACGATGTGTGTAACGCTTAGACTGCCATCGTCGTGCCACACGAAGCGATTGCTATGCCGCCTCACTTCTCTCTCCACCTTCGTCCGGATGGTGGCTTCGTCATCACTGGATGTGGTTTCTTGTCCATATGCTGCAAATACCGTAGCTCCAACAGTGCTGACAACTTCTTTCCTGCTATATCGGTACGTATACTGTACGCCATGCTTACTAAGTTTGTTCAAGAATTCTGGTGCCTCTTCCTCGAGTTTCTTGATCAGGCCGATGCTAGAGGTTATTGGCGTTGCACCACACGTCTGTGGCACTTCTAGTGCGCAGAAAGTAAGCCAGGCCGGGTTGATCGTGCTCCATCCGTATTCGTTGTGCGGCCATATTGGTAGCTCGGGCGGGCCTTCGTTCGCAGTCTTCACGTTCTTGGCCAACACCGTTCGTAACGGTGGCCGACCCACTTCTTCGTGGGCAGCAAGCCCGAATGCATGAGCGACCAGGCTGTACTCGAGTGGTGTAGTGATTGGCAAACCACGGATCAATGCAGCACCGCCATGAGCTTTGAGTAGCTCGGCGAGTTTCCCGGACTCTCTAAGAGCTCTTATGCTCTGGATTGCTTCATCTACCGTTAAATGGACGCCGGGCTTGGTCTGCAGAGCGAGTGGGAAATTGTTCGATTCGTGATAGCCAAAGTTGATGGTGTCTTGCTGTCCATCAAAGGTAAACTCCTCCAACAGTCCCAGACCATCTAATGCCATTTTGAAGTGTCGCAGCGACCATGCGTATGTGCGCGTTTATACATGCTGTCCCACTCGTGTTATACGTATAAGATCCAATCCGATGACCGGCCAGGTCTTCGCTTCTGCAAGGCATCACAGATGCGACGGACGCCCCACATTGCCCAGCTACCCATGTCCATGCTTGTAAGACGCAATACTATCCACAAATGTTGTGATTGATAGAGAAATCCCCTAGGCACCTTCTTCTCAATCACGCAAGACGTCAAGCAACGAGAGTGGAGTCCTTTGTCGCTAGTCCTCGTGCCGTTCCGCCAATCAGGCAGGGCGAGACAAACAGTACTTAACAGCATACCAACTTACTTGGTAAGTACCTAAGTAGGTGTCCATATTGTCGGAGCCAACCTCAGGCGTGGACTGGACCGGTCTGCTCTGGCTTGTCGGCGTTGCCCCGGCCATTGGACGTCTTGGCATACATCCTCAACAGGTCTACTACGATGTCAGTCCGGCACATGATAATACATGGGACACAGTGGGCACACTGTCGCAGCCTAAAGTGTGCGCCATATCCTCGGGCTCAACAGTCCTGAGACTCAAATGGCTGGGCAGCGTGAGCACGCAAGCCCGGTATCGCATCCGCTCGAAAGATTAAATCAATGGTCAAAACTGGCTCGAAAGCTCAGTCCAATGGTCAAATCCTGCACAAAGTCCTCTCAGAAGTGCAAAGGGTGAATCTGGACAGATCCATAGAAGCAGTTTGGAACTGTGCTTTTGTCGTGCCGTCCTGCTCGAAACGCTCCTATCGATCAGCTCCAGAGGGCGACAACTTCGATGGCATCAATTAAAGACTCCAAGGCTTTGCCAGAGACGGTCTCTGATCCAATAGCATCCTCTGATACCTCTGTCGATGACGACCAGCAGGCCAGCGACACAGAGAATCGCCAAGACACGCACAAGCGGCAGCATTGGCGATATGGTGTTCTCTTCCAAGCCACTGTCGTCGGCCTCTGCGCATTTGCTGCACCTGGGCTATGGAATGCCATGCAGTCGGTTGGCGCGGGAGGACAGCAAACACCTTTCCTCGTCATGGCGGGCAACGCCGTCCTTTTCTCGCTGATGACCATCACCTGTCTTACCTCATCTGTCCTGATCAATCGCATCGGTCTTCGATGGACGATGTGCCTAGGGACGACAGGCTACGCCTTGTATTCTGCAGCACTATATCAGAACAATCGCTATGGCACACAATGGTTCATCTATGTCGGCAGTGCTGCTTGTGGTATAACAGCGGGGTGGTTCTGGGCAGCAGAAGGCAGTATCATGCTTTCATATCCTCGTGCAGCATCCAGAGGTCGGTATTTGGCCTACTGGCTGGCCTATCGGAACTCCGGAGCAATCCTCGGCGGAGCAATCAACCTGGGATTCAATGCCACTGGTTCACGACTTGGGAAACTTGACTGGAGGACGTACATCGTCTTCGTGGTTTTGCGTTTGTTTCCGTACCATGGCTGCAATGTAGTGCTGACGGTATCTAGAATGCCTCGGACCTGGTGTCGCTCTCTTGCTCGCGCCCGCGAAGAAGGTACAGAGATCTGATGGTACCCGACCCAAACAGCTCGAAACTCTGCCGGACGCGGTTGAGCTGAAGGCGACTTTCAGACTGATGCTGCGGAAAGAGTTTCTGCTGATGTGCGTAGCTCTTCCCAGTCTATTGGACTTCTGTTGACTTTTTGCAGCATTCCCTACCTCTGTTATGTGACATGGTCGCTTCCATATATCGGCTCTTACATGACATTGTACTTTAGTGTCCGCTCCCGAGCTCTTGCCTCTCTCATCACTGCTGTCGCTCAGGTTCTTTCGACTTTCGTTATGGGCACCTTTCTTGACTGGAAGAGGCTGTCCATTAATCAACGCGCCAAATACGGATTCCTCGGCATGATGACTCTAAGTGGCGGCATTTGGGTTTGGGCAATTGTCATTCAGCATAAATACCAGTCCAAGAAACCAGCCTTGGACTGGGTTGACGATGGTTTCGGTGAAGGTTGGGCGCTCTACGTCTTCCAGCAGATTGAATTCGCTCTGACCTACAACTTCGGCTATTGGCTGATTGGCTGGCTTGCGAAGGCACCAGTTGAAGTCATTCGGTATGCGGCTGTGGCACGAGGTGTTGAGGCTGCGGGCCAGTGTATCGCTTCGGGCATCAGCTCAACCAAAACTCCGGTATGTGTTCACAATGGCTTGGCTGTGGACGCTGCCTCTGACTGCCCCTCTAGCCCATCGTGTCTGCTGGCATTATCCTGGCTTTATGGGGCGTGGCCTTCGTTCCTGCATACTTTGTTGTGCGCAACGTTGGTGTAGTCCATGTTGGTGCGGAGGGGTTCCCAGTGCAGCGCGGAGACAATGATTCCGGCTCTGACACTCCACATCGTGAAGTGAAGATGTGAGCTGAAGAGCGTGAGGCGGGGAGTTGAGTGACTGACGACAGAAAGTGGTCGAGTGCAGGCCATGTGCTGGATGCCTTTGCCGTATTGGAAAAGATGCTGTGGGGATGGTTCGCCCATATGTTGGCGCATAGTTATGCGCCACGCTCAGCTCATAGCAGCCGGGTGCGACCATCTCATGGTGTGTTTCGTATCAAGATGATGCAATGCTAGGTACTGCACCTGCTCCTTTTCGGTGCTCATTCGCCTTCCTGCTCCCACCCTGCCCCTGCCAGCAGAATCCCTGCGCAAACCATTGCTTGGCGCAGCATCTGATCAGCAGATGGCCTTAGCCGACAATTGAGGTCTTTCGCCGTTGCAAACTCACTGTGAAGCTTCTTTGATGTATTGACCCTACCTAGGTAGGATTTCTTCAGGGGGCTTGCTTACATGAAATCTTACTACTCGGCCGCACCTCCGCATCCCGATCCTTGTGTCCCTCAGGTCGGTGCGTGGAATATTCGATTCGCCCATAAGCTATCGCCGCCTGAAAACACCTTCGAGTGAGCCAATCGAAGCATGACATCTTGCGGAGGGATGAGCTTGGCTCGAAGTCGGGACAGCATACGATAGTCGGCTAGCACTTTGGAGCGCCATTCCGACTACGTGGTGCTCGAAGGAGCAACTCCATCGGCCAAGATCAATTGCACGCCCTATCGACGACCGCTTACCACTGCCTGGCCAGGACGAAGATTGCTAGTGAAGGTCGATAAGTGGACATCAAGTTATGCTCTCGTAGCTCGGCGAGTTTGTCCATGGAGTCCGGGCGATCTTGGCACGCCCCAGATTGACAGTGGGTCTGAGGTGACCGAGGTTAAGACAGGCCCCGAGTATATCCGCCTCAAGGACTAGCAAGGTAGGTATACACTAACGTCAGCATGGTACCCGTGTCGCTATATAGAGCTTGTCTGTATGCCAGATTCGCCTTCTCGTGCAGGTCTCTCGCTCCGACGACACTGGGCCCTTAGAGGCCAACATCATAGAGAGCGCAAACACCATCCGCTAACATGCCGTACAAGTCACCATACCCCGACCTGGAGATACCAAAATGCAACGTCCTCTCATTTGTGTTCCCAGAGGGCGAAAAGCCGTCGAACAAGCCACTATGGATCGACGCCGCCAATCCGGACCACTCGTTGAGTCCGGCACAAATGCTTTCCTGGGTCAAGCGCTTTGCGGTTGGCCTCGATAACCTGCAGATACCGAAGGAGAAGGCGATCATGGTGTTTACACCCAATCACCTCTATGTTCCCATCGTATATCTCGCCAGCGGCGGCTCCGGCCGCATCTTCACGGGCGCCAATCCGACATATACTGTGAACGAAGTAGCTCATCAGATGGGCGCCATCGAAGCAGCTCTTCTCTTCGTTCATCCGGATTTGCTCCAGACCGCGGTCAAGGCAGCGAAACAGGCCAACTTCCCACTTTCTCACGTCTACCAATTCTCTGAGACTGAACAGCCCACGACCTCAGATGGCATCAAGGACTGGCGGAGCATGCTAGCGTCCCCTGCCGCCTCCAAGGCCTGGCAATGGGAACCTCTTTCCGGCGATGCGTCAGTCAAGACAGTCTGCTGCGTCAATTTCTCCTCTGGCACGACCGGCCTGCCGAAAGGCGTCATGATCTCCCACCACAACCTCATCGCCAACTCAACCCAATCTATCTACAATAAATACTCCGGTACGCCCTATTCCATCAACAAGCCAGACCCCAACGAGCGCTGGCTCGCCATGCTGCCGCTCTACCACGCCTACTCCCAGCTCTGGACGATCAACATTGCCACCAAACTCAACGTCACATGCTACTTAATGGGCAAGTTCGTCTTCGAGGACTACCTACGGTATATCGAGAAGTACAAGATCACGCATATGCAGACTGTGCCACCTGTGATCGTCCAGATCAGCAAGCGTACTGAGCTGACTAAGAAGTACGACCTTACCTCAGTGAAACATATCATGTGTGGCGCCGCGCCACTGAAGAGCGAGATGCAGAACGATGTCAAACGCAAGCTTGGGTGCGTGATAGCGCAGGGCTGGGGTATGACTGAGACGACCTGTGTTGGGATGATCGTCCCGGGAATGGTCTACGACGACACCGGTAGCATTGGATATTTGATTCCGAACACGGAAGCGAAGCTCATCGACGAGGAGGGGAAGGAAGTCACAGGTGATGGCGCTAGAGGAGAGCTGCTGCTCAGGGGTCCACAGATCATGATCGGCTACTGGCGGAATGCGCAAGCGACGAAGGATTCAATTGATGCCCAGGGGTGGTTCCGATCAGGGGACGTAGCTCTTCTCGAGGACGGCAAGCAGGGCCAGAAGTGGTGGATCGTGGACCGGATGAAGGAACTGATCAAGGTCAAGGGTCTCCAGGTAGCGCCGGCAGAGCTGGAGGGTGTGCTGACAGAGCACCCGGACATTGCTGATGCGGCTGTGTGTGGTATCTCGGTAGACGACGATGAGGCGCCTCGTGGGTATGTTGTACTGCAGAGTGGTGCGAAGGTGTCGGAAGAAGATATACAGAAGTTTGTGGCGGACAAGGTCGCGAGGCATAAGCGGTTGACAGGAGGCGTGAAATTTGTCGATGAGGTGCCGAAGAACCCGTCAGGCAAGATAATGCGCAAGATCATGAGGGAGTGGGCGAAGAGGGATGCTGCAGAGGTTTCTGACAAGCTCAAAGCCAGGATATAATGACGCCGTCTTGATGTCCTCGAAGCTTGGGTTTTCCATGAGCCATACGTGCTGTTGACGAGGTCTCGATCTGCATTATCGCAGGAATCATTTGCTCGAGGCAGCAGTCCACGCATTAGCTTCAGTGCTGCGTCTTCTCCATGGTGATCGCTGGCTTCGATTGTGCTTACCTATCAGCCTTCGTGAGCGTTGAACTAGTGACGAAGAGGGAATACTGGAACTCAGGAAGAACGCGTTGCCTTACGCCTTGTGGGTTCTGGTGGAGCAGCGGGCGCCAAGCTCGCCGATGACCTCCACTGGGCCAGGGGTGGTGTGTGCCTTTTCGGACTCCCAGCAACCTCACAGCGCAGTACGCATCCCAGAGAACCATTTCGGACAGCTTCGCTCCTCGTATGCGGGCTTGCGAGACAGAACGCATAACGCGCGGATGTACGAGTCATGCACGGGGCGTCGGGACAATGGCGTTGGCCTAGACCTCCCCCTCCCATTCGAGCTCCTCCTGACAAGAGCTAAATTTCCCCGCAATGTCCTGCGAGCCTAGGTTCGATGGGATCAATACACCTTAGTCAGGCGACCATCCAGCACGCTGCCGTCCCCTGTCTCCCTGGATACGTTGATATTGCAAATATCGGGGCCGACCATTGACAGACCTTAGACCTTCCCATCGTTCACTCTTGTCCGAGACCCCAATTCGGCACATACCCATCATTGCTAGTATACCTGTTCCACGATGCCTCCCACAGGACCAGTTGACCTCAAGAAGGAAGTGAACTTCGCTTCTCTCAAGGACCGCAATGTCCTCATTACCGGCGGCGTGTCTGGGTTGGGGAAGACCATGGTGAAGATGTTCGCACGGCATGGCGCCAACATTGTCGTTGGCGATGTTCAAGACAACCTGGGAGCTGCACTTGAGAAAGAGCTGGGTGGTGATGCGAAGTATGTGCTTCTCGTTGTAAAGGTCTCTACTAAGCCTCTAGGATCAAATATGTCCACGTCGACGTGACATCTTTCGAATCACAAGTTGCCATGCTTCGTCAGGCTCTGGAGTTCTTCCCACGGAATGAAGTCGATATCTTCGTCCCTTGCGCTGGCGTGCTTGGCGCCCCAACGAACGTAGCTCCGGCTGATCCAAGTGAGCTGGCCAATTTGAAGTCTCCGCCAGCCGACATGAATGGTCGTATCATTAGTGTCAACCTAACAGGTGTCTTTAATGGGGTGATGCTTGTCGCGAGATATGGTTTCGGCTTGCACAAGAACCCCAAGCCTGAGCCGACCAAGAGCGTCGTGCTTATAGCTTCGCTCGCAGGGTATTGTGGTGCAGAGGCTCCGTCGAATACACGACAACCAAGTATGGCGTTCGTGGACTTCTCCGTGGACTTCGCAAACAGCTCGCTGGGATGAATGTCAGGCTCAACGCCGTAGCACCATTCTACGTGGAGACGCCAATGACAGAGCAGGCGGTGCCGGTGTTGAAGCAACTTGGCATTCCCATCGCCTCTACTGAGCACGTCACAGAAGCTGTGGCACGACTGTCAACGGACGAAAACGCTTACGGTGAGTGTCCCAATATTGTTTACGCACGATGCTGATGGGTAGGTCGTTCTATCTTTGTTATGCCAGAGGGCCTGTCAGATGGTGGTGACGATGCCGCGGGTGGCGAGGGAGGGCAGTCCTTCTCAACGAAAGCCTTTGGGGAGCATTGGGCGGTGCTCGTAAATGGACCAATGTCGGACAGTATCGTAGCCTAGAAGGTATTTACGGAGCGGATGATATCCATGATTCGGACTATCGATTTGCGGCCCATCACAGCTAATGATCTGTTCGGCTCCTTTTACGTTGAACCATGCGCTTAACTTCACTAGAGCTCCACTAAGGTGACTGGAATTCCATGATCTGACTCTACAGAGCGAGTGATCTGACGCAGCGAAGCGAATGATCTGACGCAAGAGAGCGAGTAATCTGACGCAACAGAGAGAGTGACTTGCCGCAGCGCACAAACTAATTAGCTGTCGCAGAGAGCCTCATTAGACGCGACGGTAAGGACTCGGGGAAGGGCACAAAATCTGCCGCACGATCGTGGTCGCTGTGAATTCAGGTGAAGGGTTACCTGGGTGCCACTTGGCAAAATCGAATCGAGAAACCTGAACTTTGACAATTCTTGTCAAACTTCAACACAACACTGTCGTCGAGTACGTACAACTAAACCTCTTCATTTGGCTGCTTTGACCGATGGCCTTCCGTTGGCAGCCGTACGGAAAGCGAGCTGCATTTCTTGATTCGCCGCTGTGTGGTGGCTTCAAGCCAAGGTATGTTCGACGACCTCAAAAATTTAGCCAGTGTTGCTCGAAGCAAGCCAGGACCTGTTTCCGATTGACTGACCAGAATCAGGCCTCCTTTCCACTACTTGCCCAGACCAGAACCTGCAGCGCCGTCATCACGGAAGAATCTCCTCCAGCTACCGATCGAAATCCGGCTCCGCATCTATGAGCAATTATTCTCCGATGACAGTCTCCTACTCATCGGCAGAAATTCTCTTGAGGAGTATTCACCACCGATTACTCTGTATGGTCCATCTGCGCCCAAGTTCCCTTTTCCGCTGGGCCCCGACGACGCGTATAACAACTTGACCTCCGCCTTACCGGTGTTCGTCAACATCTACCACTCTGGCAACCTTCCAGCGCTCCTTCAAGTCTGCCACCAGATACGCGACGAGGCATTGCCATGCTTCTCTAAGGCGACAACTGTTGCGGTCCTCCCGCCAAGGGACACATCACGTCTCTCCGCGATCCGCCTAGTCCCTCGCCATTACCTCAACCATACCACGTGTGTCATTCTCGGCCACGACTGCAAGGTCAGCGAGCCGACGTTCTACGGCGATGACTTCAGATATTCGGTCCAAGATGCCATCGACCATAGTTGGTTTCCAAATCTGCAGGACTTGCGCATTGTGATTGGACAGCTGCATCGTTGTGACTTGCGTCCCTTCGATACACTGAAGTCTGAGGCAAAGTGGTGCCTGGAGCAGATGCCATCCATCGGTGTGTTCTACTGCAAGCTTTCTGCGATGGGACGGAAACTGCTGCCGAGGCTCTTTCTGCATGCTATCTACCCGCAACGGCTGCTGCAGGGACCGGCCATGGAGGTCCGCCCCTACGGCTTCGTTCTGGACCTGATCAATGCCAATTCCATGGCATTGAGATTCGTATGAGTTCGATGTGTTGGCGTGGCAGATCGTCATCCGGCCACAGAATTATCTGCAAGGCGGTCTAAGTAACTCCAGGTACAGGTCATGTTGGATTAGCGGTGGCATGTGGGCACGACGTTAGGATACGGGAAACAATAGATCCAGAAGTCGACCACGCTTCTGTGGGGTACATGTGCTGCCTCTGTTTCGATGGAGCAGAATTGTATTATCAGCCAAAGTTTTCTAGGCCGTCCGCGCTGACGGACTCAGCAGACGTACACAATGTATTTCCATAGCATGATACGCATCGAAACGGACATGCAGTGGATTTTGCGTAGACACAGTTCAAGGTTGATCAGCAGTGACAGCTGCAGTGTACATGAAGTTTCTGCAGGGGATGCATATATACGCAACTTTAGCGATTCCTTACGGTTTGCTTCTCTTTGGTACACCTGCAGCCCAATGTTTCAGAATCGACTGTATTGAACAGCACGACATGCCTCCGAGTCACTCGCAGTGCTGTTCTAGAATCTGAAAGCGGACGTTGTCAAATACATAGACGATGGAAGGTACTCATGGGTCTTGCTCGATCCTAGTCTCGACGCATCAATATCGAAATGCCAGACGGCACAAGCATTCGCTGTCACCATCGAATAAAGACAACATCAGCGACCTCCAGGCCCTGTCCCGTCTAGGCAAGTTCCCATCGCGCCTAGAGACCTACTGCCATTGGCTCTTCCTCACGCTAGGCAATTGGGTGGGTGTGAAGTAAAATATCCGCGATGAGGGTAGCAATCGCCTACGCCCATGCTTGCACCGAATCTGCCGCACGTGTGCCGTACTTCATTGGGTATGTCAACCATATCTGCCGTGTAAGAGCATCACACCGGTCAACACCATAGTCTGTGCCTTCTGGAAGGATACCATCGGCGGCAAAGGTATCGCGGCCCCCAACGTTCGATACCATACCTTACCATTCGTACCACGACCGGTCAAGGAACACGATATCCGTAGACCTGTTGGTAACCGAGCCAGCCTCGCAGCAAATTGACAGGTTTGGTGGGATTTGACAGCTGTGAACGCCTGCAACGAGCCGTGACCCGTCACTTTTCGTAGCTATCGTCCATGATTGAGGGAAGAATTGGCCCATTGGGCTTCCGACAGATCTGTCAGATGCAGGTCTCGTTGTGTTCGCAGCGGCGTTCGCCTAAGCGACATGCAGGCGATGCATGGGAGACTCCGCCATGTGGTTCACGTGCAGTTTGTGAGGTAGTTTGTTTGCTTCTGCGCGTCTGAGCGTCTCGTCGGATTATCATCGACGAGACCTGCGGGACGATTGCGGTGCTGTGTCGAGCTTGAGGCTCGACCCTTGCTGGCACACTGAGGATCTCACAGTGCTCTACACAACTAGTCGAGCAAGATGATGGCAATTGGTGTGTAGGACAGAGCATGCTTGGGCGCTTAAGTAGGGCATGGGGAACTTACAGCCATGCAAGTACACGCCGATCGTCGAAACTCTCACAATCCTCTAAAACAATAGTTATGCCATGCATCTGCGCACCTGCCTACTAGGTACCTCACGTCTCTTGGAAGTCCGCTTCAAATGTAAAGACGTGTATAGACAACTTGCTCTGGCGATGGCTGGAATACCTAGCTCAAGCAGCTATCGAGCATGTGAGGTCATCATCAAGTTGCTATCGATGTGCTTCAAGCCGAACCAGAGCCTGTTTGGGGAGGAAGAGGGGAACGCCTTTGCGTAGTCATCACATTTAGGCGCCGCGGCACACGCCATCAGGCATGAGTTGGACCCGCCACGATCCGGGGCAAACGACGTCCTTGCTGTTGACGCTGCTTAGCTCCTTTGTGATGCGGACTTGTGGTGTGCCTGCGGTGCCGCTCGTCTGTTCGATGGGCGCTGTGCTATGGCGAGCAGTGACCCAGGCAGATCTGACGGCGCACCACACTGTGGGCGATGGCAGTGCAGTGCCTGGCTCAAGGCCAGAGCGCGAGAAGTAAGTCAAGCACGATGCAGTATAGCACGACTAAGAGGAAGGTATTCCAGGTTGTTTGTTGGTAGGTATATTACAGATTACCATCATGTGCATGAAGGTCTAGCTACTTCCTCCCAGCGCACGTACTCCTGCCGGTCAATGACAGACGCATATCGTGCTCGATCCGTAGTCCAGTCCTTGCGGACACATTGTATTCTCTCCCGACATCACCATCAAGTGATGAACCTGCAACGCAAAAGTAAAAACCACCCAGTAAACTTGGTGATACAGGGGTATCTCTGCAGCAAAAAGACTCGATAATGAGACCGTCCATAATAGTGTTCGCCTCAGTAGTGACCGTTCTATCGTGGTTTGCCGGAACTTTTGCCATCCGAGAATGTTACATGAAGTGAATGGAGAAACGATCCTTGACGCCGTGCTGAAATCGACCCGATATGATACATCCGCTGAGTGAAAGTCGCGAAAAGATTGATGTTGTCGATTTCCCAGCGGCGTGCCCGAGCTGGCGCCTGATAGTCGCCTCCTCCACGCGTATCCTCATTGTCGAATAATCAGATCAAGCAGTAATTCCGTGTGCGATGCCAGGATCGACGATGTCGCCGCCTGACTCCCAAAACATAAAGAAATCCGAGGTGGCAAATGATGCATCGCCACCATAATGACTCACGGCGATCCGCGTACGAGGCTGACGCCTGAATCAAGCGAGGGATGGGCGGCGAAGAATTTCTTCGCAATTTGCATCGAACCGATGGTTCCAGGTGCGCATACTCTGCATGAGTCGCTCAGTCGAATCCAGGTAACGATTCTTGTTGAACATGGAATCGACAAACTCGGTTCCAGCATTGCGCCCCATCTTCTTGCTACCCTCTCGCTTGGCAGCCTTCAGCATGTAGTACTCGCACTCCTTGAGCAGGGCCTTGAACTTGTCCCAGAGTCGATCGGCACTCTCAAGGAAATCGGTGATGAGTTCGCGAGAGTCCGCGGAGCGAATGCGAGGTAGACACTCATCGGCACGCTTCATCTTTCCAGCGAGCTTAATGAGGAGCAACCACATCTCGCCGGCTACATCGGCAAATGGGTGAGACGCAGTGTATCGAAATACCGTCCAATCGTATATCCATTTGCCAAGAGAATTGGCGTCGAAGACAGACCCAAGAAGGATGATCGGAAGCTCAGTCGGATCCCAGTTCTTGATGGAATACCCAGGAGGTATGCCAGCGCGAGCTGCGTCGTCATCCGTTGCCACTGGAGCTGTGTAACTTGGCTTGGACTTGTGAGTCGGCTTGGTGGTTGTTGACGCCCTTCTGGTCTTGGTACTGGTGCGACGAGGTGCTTCTGAATAAACCTTTTCCTGTTGGTGGTAAACATACTCATCAGCAGCTGCCTTCGCCGAACTTTTTGTTGGAGTTCGATGTGTTACTCGCGGCTCAGTGTAGTACCCAGAACCACCATTTCGATAGATGGGCTGTGTCTGCTGGCTCTTTGTGCGTGTATGGTATTTGGTGTTTGCGAAATCATATCGACGTCGAGTGCCGTCATTGTCGGTACTCACATATACATTCTTTCGCGGAGTAGCGTAGTCTTGCGACTCGTACCACGGCGGAGATCCACCAGCAGGGCTGTAATAACCACCCTCGCGTGGTGAATAGCTGGTACGACGGACATGACCAGATCGCTTCGGTGTCTGGTCGTAGGCCGCGTGGTACACATACTCGTTGGAGCTGTATGGCGACTCTGGGTCGTAGAATTTGGTGTAGTGGGTCGGAGGTACGCCGTAGTGGTACGCCATCTTGGTCTTCCTCTTCAATCTTTCAGTCTCTTCACCTCAACTTCACGCCCTTCCTCCCTTCCGAAACCCTTCTGGTTCCCCTCGATCGCGGTAGGATTCTGTGTGGTGTGAGATAGCTATGCGCCTAGGCGAAGTAGTTGTGGGGATTGACGTGTTTGCGCAGCTTCTCATAGTATCGCGTTTCGAGGAATGTGGATAGTTCTAGGTAAACTGAGCTTTCCAATACTCAGTTTGAACAGCAATTGGGCTGGTAGTTGTTTGAACGTGTCGTGTAAACGCAAAGATGCGATAGAGTGACTCGAAAGGTCGTACGACGTGAAAAGTGCTCTCTTTTGTTTGATGAGCACAAATTTGTTGATGGAATTCTGAACAGACTCCACCAATGTGGCCTGGGGGTCGAAGAATTGGCGTCAATTTGGTGACTCTTTCGCGACGATCGGTCGAAACAAGAGTCGTCGGATGAGGATATCCAAACCTCCGCGACGCCTTTGTACCGTTGAGCTTGCCTTAGAATGTCCTAGAACCTACTCGACAACTCGAGAAGGCGGAGGAGTGGTCGAAGGGCAATTTCGGGAGACGAGCCCGCGATCCCAGGAAATGAGATTGGATTTTAGTGATGTTGAGACGAGGCTCTGAGAGCGACGAAGGGGTATAAAGGGGTGGACTGCAGCTGTCTGCTGAAGTGGGAAGCCCCTGGGCTGTCAGATTTGTCTAGCGAGAAGTTCTGCTTGACGAGTGGCTGACCCACGATCATGCACTGTTGCAACCTTGATGAAGCGCTAGCCAGTCATCACCTTCTAGCGGCCTCCACGGACTGACAGGGGTGCCCGACCACCGTATTGAATCGGGTATGCGTATTGTCAGGACCGAGTCCCGTAACAAATGGTGAGGAGTCGATGAGAAGGTGGGTGGTTGGGAAGTTAAGTAGTCTTGTCGATTGGGGTGGCGACAAGGCTCGTCGATGCCTGATTAAATGTGCTGCCTAGCATTTATATCGCTTTGTCGCGACAAGAAACACAGCCACACATTATTCGTGATCAACACGTGCGATCGAAGATGAGAGCGAGTGCTCGTAAAAGAAACCTCGATTGATTGTGTAAGAAATGCGCGCACCGACGACATCGCGCGAACTTGCCAGAAGGATTCCCTTTGGAGCGAGAAATCCTCGCCTGAGGTCACGTGCACAGCGAACATACCAGTAATCAGCCATACCACTCTTTCGGCGTTTGTCTGGGCGGAGGTAAGTTCTAGGTCGAAGGCCGGACGATGCGAATGGGCGCCGAGGGTTCTCCTCCCGTGGTCCTGTGTGAAATCGTGTGTAACGGCCCAAAAATATTTTACAGATGCAGTGGCAGCGCTGAGAGTCGCCGAACTGAACCTCAGGCTGCATAGGTGCTCAAGCCTAATTCGATGGCTCTGGTTATTCAGCTGCAAGGCCGTCGACATCTTATTCAGTGGATGACAACGTCTGCATATCATGGCTGAATATTCTATCAGGATGAAGCGACTGGTCCTCATCCTCTCATTCTGCAGCTACTCGGCACAGATGATGTCAATGCTATTATTATGGCAATGCGAATGCACGATCGTGACTCGAGCGCAGGGTAAGATTTCCAGTCCAACCACCACATTTTACCATATCCTGGAGGCGATAGACGGCTCCAGGGCTCGTTAAGCCCGGTCTCAGTGCCTAGACAGCTTGCCAACCCTCGAAGATCATTGGTGCCCTCGCACTTGACACTCATAAGACCAGGCAAGCGAGGCTCTTCTTCCCAGCCTCCAACCCTGCTTTCAAGTAGGCGTCCCTGCTTGCCTAGGCTACAAGGCAACGAGGCCCCGCTACCGTCGAAAATGAAACCACTGGATGTTTGCTGTCCCGGTCAATATGATAGATCTGGCCAACTCGTCGGCCGTTTGGCTATGCGGTCGAGGGTTTGCAGTAAGTCACATCTGACAGGTCTCTTGTGTGACGCTTGGGTAGGTACTTGACTGATCTGCGGCCCGGTAAGCAAATGTCCTCGACATTTGGGTCATTGTGCTACAAGAGCCAGCTGTGATCACAAGCTGAGCGGATCAGGGCTTTGGTTCGTGCGACATTCGACAAACCGTCTGCGCCGAGTGTCGCGAGATCTTGCCTATTTCGCGCATGTTACCGTCTCTATTCTGAGATGGTGTATCGCAGTCGATTGCTACTATTTGGTCCTTCGAGCTTTCGCGCGCCGAGTTCCAGCGTCCCAAGATCCTTCGCAACCACAACACTGGAGTATGGTCACATTCAATACCTTACCTAGGTACAGGTCACTCACCGCTGTTGCAATGCTGTCTAGGTACCTGAACTCGTGGGTTCTCAGCAACATATCTCAGGTTGCCACCTCATCGGGGCGTCTTGGCACATTGGGCAGCAACGAATGGTCACTGACCATACGCACATGGCCGCCTCATTCTTGCATGTTTGAGGGCTTCAGACACCTATTATGACTGCTGTACGTTCGCTAGGCTGCAAGGCGGGTCTCGTGCCGTTCCGCATGCTTATCGCAGCTCGAAGCGACTTTTGGGCACAAACATAGGAATCCAGATGGTACAACGTCCACAGGCTGAGTACTCTCATGGACGTTCTCTGGGGAGCAAACCTTGGACGGGGCTGGCAACGCTACTCATCACAAGCCTGCTAGGCCATAATGAGAACGACTGCTCCTGGCCTGATCGTCTGCTATTGGCGTGGTCTGTCGAGCACACGAGCAGCCTACCTACGCTTCCAGACAGAGCGCACGTGCTCACCCACTGTACGAGGCAGCGCAGTCTACTCTTTGTCTATCAGGTGAGGTTTTGATTTTCTTTCCCCGTCTTGACAGATATGCAACTCGGGAAATAGCAGGCTGGTATTCTGAGGAGGATGTATCGGCAATCGCGCTGCTGCGCGCCAGGGCAGGTCATGCAAACGGGACACTGCCGGAGGTGTGCTGGTCGATTCGTCAAATGTTTGCAATCGGCTTGGGTCACAAACAGAAGATACAAAGACGGCTGCGATGGCTGGGGCTCGTGGGCTCGGCGGCGGGACGGAGGGAATTCGTAGAACTGATGCTTGCCAAGCCAACATCCGACATCTGGTAGGTATATGGGCAACATGACATTCATCTGGCCCCGTCCTCTTGTAGTCGGTGGGAGGTTCAATTCATTCTGATGATGGACCCGGTGACTATGACGCAAATGCAAATTTCCATAGACGTGTCCGAGTCTCTTATACCGATGATGGAATCCTTGTCACGGTCGTACTCAAGTTGCCAAATGTAGCACCTACTCTTTCGGATTACTGGCTGACACTAGGGTCTATATGCTCACCTTCAGCAAAAGTACTTGAGGTTCTTCTTCCCGACGAAGTTGTTGGAATTGGAGACAGCGCTGTTGGAATCGACTTGCACTTTACTCAACTGTCCTCCAACCTGCCGACAAATCACATGCAACTCGTCCGCTCCATCTGCATTCATTACCATTATGCGAGGAGCCAATGCCCTCCGATGGCGATGAACGATGACAGGAATGACAACGGCAAGCCTGTTGTTTCATTCATGAAGCGCTGCTCGACCTGATGCAGGCATCGACGATTGCACCACAAAGGCTCGCGCTGTCATACACCACTGAGAAAACGACCCTCTGCGCCCATGATCACTCGGTATAGCTAGCGACGCTCACAGCGCGTGTCCATAAGCACTGCCTCCCTCGGTCTTTCCAAAGCGCGTGGAACCCGGCTCAGACTCAACAGCTAAGGCAATGCCCAGACATGTCTCCGAGAACAAGTTGGAGTGCACTGCGAATGTTCAAAGCCAGAAAGCTCACATACGCCAAGCCTGGATAAAAGACGAGGATGTCTTCCACCGATACCCTATTTACCAGGATCGAGCATCCGTTGTGGATCGAAGACCGCTGGAACGCTCTGCTCTTATCTGCGGAGCTCGCGACCACAATCGTATGCACTTTCGATAAGTTCATTCGGTCTTACACGTTTCTGGTGCATCTCTATGCATGGAAGACTGAACACGTTTCTAGAAGATTTCTGGAATGCTATGGCGAAGAACGTGCACCTTGGCCCTGCAGAGCGACTGTTGAGCAACAGCGGTACCTGATAACGGAACTCAAAGGGACGGGAGAACGTTTTGTCGCAGGGCCTCGGTAGCCAATATGGAGAGGGAGCGCCCCCTAAGCGAACACCTCATGGGCATCGTGCATCGGAAATCCTCACTTACCCCAAGAATTCTGTCATGCACCGCCTATCAAAAGCGCGGCATTGACCGGGTTCCTGGTGAGGCGAGGCCCGTTTCAATGCAACCGTCCTTCGCTCCGGGCTTGCTATGGCGCCTATTGGATGGACAGCGCCTTTGCCACGATGATCAGCAAGTGATTGCCTGCAGCATGCTCCATCGCAGAGATCTTGACTACCCAGAACTCCCCATGCCCGACCGGGTGTGAGCTACTGCCCGAACCCAAAGATAGGTCTGGCGGTCTGCCACCTGTGTTCGAGTTCACTCCCAACAGCACCTGCCCCCCGACGAGGCATGTGCCTGATTCAGTATCGTCGAGGTCTTCCTACACGTTTTCACGTTCGTTAGGAGGGAAGTGACAGCGACGTCACGTATCTGACCACGATAGCCCCCACCCCGACGCCCTCACGGCTGGCTGCATCACTTCCCCACACATTCGCTCACAAAGTTCATTGCGCAACTTCGAACCTCAGAAGTGCTGCAGGTGCGGTCGTAGCTCCTCGACCATTGTGTCTGCTATTCAGCGACGCGATGTCTGCGGTGGCGACAATGAAAGCAGCCGCTTCGGTTCCGGCAGACGGACCTGCACCGCGGAAGAGGAGGAAGCGAGCAGCCCCGGCAGGCGCTGCTAACGATTGCTTCACGTGCTCGAGTAGAAGTGTCAAATGCGACCGCAGAAGACCTTACTGCTCGCAGTGTCTGAACGATGGAAAAGACTGTGCTGGATACAAGACGCAGCTCACATGGGGCAACGGCGTTGCGTCAAGAGGGAAGCTGCGAGGCTTGTCGCTGCCGGTTGCGGCAGGAGCGAAGAAGGCAGGCGTTGCGTCGAAATCACGGCACCGCCCTTCTGCAAGCCTCAACTCCATCAACACAGCCATAACGGAACCGGTTTTGTCTATACCAAGCCCAGCATCGTCGCGGAGTACGACCAGTGCAGCAAACGAAACGCGCAGCATATCACCACCAATTATTTCACCGTTGCCGCGGGCTTGGGAGCCGGTCATGGGGCCGCAGCAATTCGCGTCAGCCACTACTCAACGCCGATGGTCTACAGAAGCTCCTCCGAGGTTCACTTTTCCAACAACCCAAGTGGTCGGATCGCCAGTTGACTCGACGTCGCTATATCCATCACACACGCACGACAGAGTTGGGTCGATGAGTGCGGTCTATCCTTCTCCAGCACCCGACGGTAGTATGTACGCGCAGCCAGCTACAAATGCCTCCATGTATACTGAAGGTAACGCATATGCGCGCCCGCAGCCTCTGAGCATCCCAATTCCGCAAAGTTCTATTTCTACTTCTGCCCCATTCACGCCCTTCGACACTGTATTCAACCAAAAGCAGAACGCAATTTTGGCGCAATTAGATCAGTCACTTGGTAACAGCCAGGAATACTCAGGCACCTCATATACTACGTCTCATAGGCTACAGCACGCAGCATCGACAGTGGACCAAGTTGGGACACTTGGGAGCTTGCCGGAACCGGCTCTGGATTACGACGGCGACGAAGATATCGAGGAATTGCAACGTCCAGGACTGAATCAGGTGATGGGGACCCAGGACTCGACCTTGAACTATGGACTTGGACTACAATTTCCGATGGCTCTTACAAGCCCATACCATGATATTGGATCAACGCCTCGGCTGAAGTATCTCATAAACTACTATGCAGAGGTGATCTCTCCAGTCATTGTTGCCTTTGACAGCTCGAGCAATCCTTTCCGTACCCACGTCCTTCACCTAGCCACCGAATCTGATGCTCTACAACATGCCATTGGTGCCCTGGCAGCCTCAAATTTGCGTCAAAGGAAAATGACCGGCGTACTGTCGACATGTAAGACAGACCCAGCACGAAGATCGTCGATCGCGCACCTCAATCTCTCAACCGCGGATGAGTCGCTGTTGTGGGACTTGCAGCAGGCAATGCACGAGGAAACACGGCTGAAGAATCATGCGGTCGCCCTGTTGAATCAGCAGCTGTCGCATCCCGGGATGAGATTGCAAGACTCGGCACTGGCCGTGCTCCTGATTCTATGCCTCTTTCACATGTGCGACACCGGCGTGGCAAAGTTCTCTACTCAGTTCCAGGGCGTAAAGAAGCTGCTAGCACTGAGAAAGACATCAGGTATTGCGGATACCGAGGAGGCACGATTCTGCAGGAAAATGTTTGCCTGGTGGGATGGTGTGACCAGCAGTGTCAATGAGCGCGAGGCCTTGTTTAGCAGATCCCTCCAATCACCTCCGACGTCACCTACGGATATTTTCAATAGCGAACTTGACAGCGATGATGGCTCGACCTCTTTCGAAATGTTAGCTGGTATCGATACAGGACTATTCCGCATTGTTTCGAGGCTGGGGCGGCTCAACATGCTTGCTCAAGGCAGCAATGTCGAAAAAGGAGAGGATATCGTAGCTCGGCCACCTACGACGATGGGGCAGCTGACTTCACAGCAAGCGTTTGGACAAGTATTCTCCGACGACAATAGTTGGCTTCCCTTCCCGCCACCGCATCTTCAGAATCCACAATATCCCATGACCGACGCACGCTCCGAACTGTTCCACCGGGAGCTCTCCGAGACGCTCCATCTTCTGTCCCACTGGACACCTTCGCCTCATCCAACTCCGAACCTCACGCCTTCCCAACAAGCCGACTTGCACAACCTTTCACTCACATTCTATCATGCTACACATCTCTATCTCGTGCGTTTACAGCAGCCTAATTTGCCTTCAGCCTCGCCACAGATCCATAGCATTGTGCAAGCTGCACTGTCGGAGATGGAGAAGGTCAAAGCAGACGTATACCTGCTCTGGCCGCTGTTCATTGCAGGAAGCGAGTGCGTTGGCGAGATGGAGCGAGCGAGGATCAGGCGCCGTGTTGCAGAGATACAAGGAGATAGTGGATTTGTGAACAACGGTGTTGCGGTAGGCATCCTGGAACGAGTATGGGCGACCATGGACGGCGAAGGTGAGCTTGGTGTGGTCAAGCAGGAGGTGAGCAACGGCAGTGGCGTAAATACCACGCCCTGCGGCTTTAGGTGGTCACGTACCATGAAGGATGCTGTTGGTGCTGGGACGGGAGAGTACATTGTGGTGTGAGCAACTGATAGGGCATCTGGGCTCGCAAGCATGGGCTGCGAGCGTCCGGAGAAGCAGTAAAGCATTCGGTGGCACACAAACTATGAAACAAAAGCGGTCTGAGACATTCAGACGAAGCATACGCTGGTGCAAATGACATCAACTTGGGGGGATGCCACAAGGAGACGCTCGATTAGGCGCGACATGTTCATGACGACGGGAGATGATGAAATATGATAGACGACAGCGACACGCAGCGAATATGAATGGAAATGAACATACGAAGAACTCCAGACGTGGACAGTGTGTGCCGCATCCATTTCATACTCAACTCGTTCCCCTTTGATTCGTTTAGTATGCACATCTTAATCTCCTTGCACGGATCAACACGAGTCACGTCTCCATTGTTCGAAGCAAAAGTCAATGGAGGAGCACTATTAAGTAATCGTTCAAACTGTGTTCGCTCAGAAATCCCTACGATAGCCAGAGAAGGTAAGTAGTAAATATACAGATATAGAACGAAACAGCCCTACAAGAGCCTCTGCCACACCTTGAAGCACCTACATTACCGTGCATCTCGGAGCCGCCTGCTCAATTCTCCGCCTGAGCGTGGCTAGCTTTTGCTTTTCCTCCGAGATCTGCAACTTGAGTTCGTTCTTCTTCTCCTCGTTCTCGACATGCTGCTTGAGCATCTTGACCTCACCCTTTAGCTTCTCTATCTGTACAGCTCTCTCGTCATGTTGCTTCTGCCAGGTCTTGTAGTCTATGCCGCTGTTCAATTCTAGCCGTTTCTCAAGTGCTTTGTGATCCTTTCTCAGGCTTTCCTTGTCTTCTTTGGCCTGCTGCACTATCGCCTGGTACTCATTTCTCGTCTTGAGAAGTTCGGCTTGCCAAGCTTTGTCGTGCTCTCTCACAGCAGACTGCAGATTCCTTTCCAGTCTCTCAAGCTTGGCCTCGTAAACCTCTGTCAGCTTGGCGAGCTCGCTGCGCATTTCCTGGCCTGCACCAGTTTCGTATAGCGTCTTGCCCTGCTCCATCTCGGTCTGGATGGCGAGTGGCTTCAGGTCTGAATTCAGGTATCTTTGCTCGATCAGATACTGGATGATTTCGCGGCCAGAGACTTCGTTCCTGTCCTGTCTGAATACCTTACTTCCGTTAGCGATCATAGAGCCCCAGTAGTCCTTTGTCGTCGTCAAGTCGGACTCATGGCGTTTCGCTGTGGTCCTGTCGGTGATGCCCCACATTGTCGTCGCCAGTACCACTTGGGACATGGCCTTGGCTCCGCACAGCTTTTTGAAGGACCGGAGATTCTTCATAGAACTACCACTCATCCGATTATCGGAGATCTTGTGGAGGTACAGGATTCCGGTGAGCAACAAGTTCCCTCCTTTCATCTTGCTCAACCAACCGGCAACATCCTGAAGGATCTCGGTGTCACTCCTATAGGTATCATCGAAGCCAGGCGTGTCGACCAGATAGAATGTTCCAATATGTGAATCGTAGCACTTGAAGATATCGACTCTGCCCGTGCCTAAGAGCCACATCAGCAAAGCAGCATCATGTTGATGCATGACGACTCACACGATTCGAGGGTGTTGCCGACGATAGACTTCTCCTCGCTAAAGAGATTGATGAACGTGCTCTTGCCTGAGCCTGTCAGGCCCATGACCGCAATAATCACATCTTCTGGTCTGATCACACGGCGAGTCAGCTCAGATCGAGGAGTTGGAGCGGATGATGCACTCGAAGATCTTACCTGAGGTTAAGAGAATCGGCGCTGCTTCTAGATTGGCCTCTGTGAGGACTCTGAATCATGCTGGTGATCGCTGCTGACCCTCACGAAGAAACTCTCGCGATGTATGATGTATCTATGGCTGACTTTCGGGCTTGAAGGCGAACTTCCTGGTGTTGCTGAAGCGACCGAAGTTGCTAGAAGTACAGAGGGAGTGGAGGAGACAACGACTGCCTGAGAAGGGGACATTATCCTGTCTTAGGCTGGAGCGTCCGTCCAAATTCTGCAAGAGAACAGGCCGATCAGTAGATGCGCTGTGGGCGACCTAGCGACGCGGCTCATGGTGCAAAAGGTCCGGGGCGCTCCTAGCAATCGGAACCATCGAGTGGCTCGTCTATTCTGACCGGTCGTGCTCTCGTATTGCTGCGGCTGAGGCAGCTCGAATAGTGCGAACTGACGTGCGTCTCAACAGCTGTAATTGGTCAAAACAACTAAAGCGGCAAGACACAGGCGCGTGGTGCAGCTCATGATTAAAGCATGGAAGCATGGATGCTAGCGGTCCTCTGCCAGCACTCAGAAGTTCCCTTGACCTTCTCTGGCGTCCCAAAGGACCCGAACTTGGTGGATGGGAGACTGACTTCTGGCCAGCAATTCCACGATATACACAACACCGTGCGTCACCCAGTTACCGTAACTTCTTAAGCACGAGACAATCCCTCAGACCAACTTCCTGCGGCTAATGCCATAGGCACATGCTCCTCGTTCCCGCCCTGCGCTCAAGACGTCCAGTCCAAGCAGATCTCCTACTAGCTCGACGGCGCCAGAAGTATGCTGTTGTCGAGCGAACATGCCTTCAGACAGATTCATTGCCGTCATGGGCATGACTGGTGCAGGGAAAAGCACCTTCATTCAGCAGGTCACTGGTCGTGATGATGTTGTTGTGGGCCACACGTTGGCGTCAAGTAAGCGAACCCGTAATGTACTTGTGTAATATAACTGACTACCGACGAACAGCGACGGAAGAAGTTGTCCCATACAAGTTCACTTGCGGCGAATATGCCACGACTCTGATCGATACTCCTGGATTCGACGATTCGCGCTTCAATGATGATATCATCGTCGACAAGATCCTGAAATGGCTTCGTGACTCAGCGAGCCGGAAGGAGCGACTGAATGGTATAATTTACGTCCACCGCATCACCGATAATCGTCTCCAAGGGTCCGCCAGGTCTAGCATGAATATGTTCCGTCAGCTGTGTGGTCCAGACTTTTTCAGTAAGGTTGTGCTTGCTACAAGCTTTTGGAATGCCATCGATCGCAAATTAGGCAAACGCCGTGAGCAAGAACTGACGGCAAACGACGATTTCTGGGGTCTTCTTCACAAACAAGGCTCATCGACCTGCAGGATCGGTCTGGATCTGGAGGCTGACCGTGCCTGGTGCTGCGTCTGTCCACACAGCAAAAGGCATTGGTACATGCGCAAAAGCAGATGCAAGCAGGACTTGTGCCTAGCCGGACAAGTGCCGCGACGTCTGTTTGCGCCGATCAACAACAGCTGGCTGCATCCTTCACCGACAAGCTTGAACGATTGCGAGTAAGCTCAATGCAAGCCGCGCAGCTTCGTGCAGAAAATCGACGGCAGCAGCTTGACGCCGAGAAAGTTGCTTTAAGGCAGCAGAGGCAGCGCTGGAGCGGCGAAAAGCAGAAGCTGGAGGAATACACCAAGGAGTTGCGAGCCGCCCTGGCGAGACAGGAGCTGCGCGAAGAAAAAGCTAAGAAGGCTGAATCTCGACTGCAAACTCTTCGGAAGCAGAAAAGGGACCTTGAAAGGCAGAAGACACAAGTCCAGCCCGTTGCTGCTGTGCGTAAATCCTGTAGCCGACAATACCTGAGGAAGGTGCAGTGCGACAAGTGCAAATGCCGCTTCAAGGTCAAGTATCGGTCCTTCTATCATTGTTGCCAGTGCTCTTCAGAGGGCGAGCGAGATAATTACGATCATTGCCGCAAGTGCGGTCCGCAATGCAAGGATGCTCGTCATGGAGAGATGGAGCTCCAGGGTTGTTAGAATGTATCGAACAATAATAGCTGCATTGATTCTGCACGTGCCGGGTCTCAACAAGTATTAGTCCAGGGGTCTCTGAAAGTCGTTCGAGCCGTAGGTCCAGGCAGTCACATCATCGACTTCTAGTCGGAGTTATAGTATCGTGAGAAGAGCCGATGGATCAGGCCCAAAGGGGATCCTTTATCCAAAAGTCTCTGTTGATGCTGTTGATCCTCGCGCCGAAGGCGATTCCTCAGTCTCTCGAGCGCTTCCAACTCCTCGCATTGCTGCAATGTGTCCGTCAATCTGCTCTTTTCGAGCATCAAATCGTCCAGCACTTTCTTTGACTGCCGATCTTGGGCCAATAGGTCTGCCAAAGTCGGATCGTTTGCAGCTTCCTGGCGCTCTTGCCGCGCAATAGTCTCCATGAACTCGGGATTCTTGGCCCTGGTCAATGCTGACGCACTGGTGCGCAACGACCTCATGCTGCTGACTATATCATGTAAGCGGGACCGCAGAGTATCGCGCTCATCGAGGAGCACGAGCTCAACGCTCTTGTCATCTTCGGCTCGTGCGGATTCAATCTCCTGCTCGATCTGGCTCAGCTCTTTCTCCCATTTTGTATGCAAATGCTCGAAGTCGCTCTTGAGGAACGATCCAGCCAAGGTTTCATCGAGTTGCATCCCACGCGCCATTTCTTGTTGCAGTCGGGTGTAGAAACCGCGCGAGGATAGTGAATCCCACTCAATGATCTTGCGGGCGGACTCCTTTGACCCGTCGTGCTTGACATGCTTGCTGCCCTTTCCAATGAAATCCTTCCAGAAGCGCGGTTCAGACTCTAATTGACTGCATCGTTGTTCGGCGAGCTCTTGCTCAGCCGGACTTGTGAGCAATTGCCACATTGTGGTCACAAAAGTGACATGTCTATAAGCTGATGGGCCTACGATACTTCGCAGTAGCTCTAAATTCTTCCGTGCAGAGCCTGTCATCCGTAGATCTGTGATACGATGAAGATACAACAGACCTGCGAGCCTAACGCCACGCTGATGCATGCTGTGCAGGAACGCAGCGATACCTCTGAGGACATCCGCGTCGCCACGAGACGTGTCGTCGAAACCAGGAGTGTCTATCAGATAAGCGTGCCGCTGACTTTGTAGATGCATGGGGTAGACCTCGGGGTCAGTGGTGCAAGAAGTCAGCGAGTGGCCAACCCTGACATCGCGATCAGACACAAGGTTGATGAAAGAGCTCTTCCCGCTGCCCGTCATTCCCATGACAAGAACAACGATGTCATCCTCACGAGCATCCGCTATGCGAGGCTGGCGAGCTGTGGGAGGCTTGTCTTCGGTGCCAGCTGTTATGTACTGTACGTGCTGCTGTCTGCGGTGGTCCCCAATATGCCTCTGCTCAGGTGGAGGAGCAGTTGCGGCTCGCCTTGTCGATGGTGCTGCCGATGCCCAATGCGAGATTTGAGGCTTGATGTCTCTCGGCATTGAATGCACGGTCACAATCTCTTCTGGGCGGATGGGCGATATGTGATGCCGTAAGCCAGATCGGCCTGCGCGACCGTCATTGTCGGACTCCCGACGTTGAAGCTGGCGACTGACGATGTAATGCTCATTGTGGTCCCCAGGCTGAGTCATCTTTGGTTGTCGGGTCATGCCTCCTAAAACACATCAGAAGTTTGGCTGCGGAAGACACGCAAGAGACAGAGACTCTTCGCATGTACAGGGAGGAGGTCACTATACATCGCTGGGCAGCGATGTTTCCAGGGCGTCGAAACAGAGTGTAGATCAGGGCTCAAGGTTGACCACTGTGTGACAGGAAGTGCTAAGAATTCTTGCCGCTTTTACGATATCGTCGTCGTGCATGATGCACAGACGCCATCGATCCTGCGAGCCCCTCTTTGGTTGCCTTGTTGCAGCATCTTACGTGGCGGCTTGCGATGTATTGGATAACGATGGATAGTGGTGGCCGAGGACTGATGAAAGCCGCCTAAAGTTCCAGCTTGACGCCAGGGTGACCTTTGGTACTTTTATTTGCACTGCAGCCGCGCACAAAAAGTCTCTCGCGTCATTGTGAGCGGCTTGCTCGGCAGTCCGTCAGCGCAAAGGTCTCGGGAATAACAAGTGACTGCTGTAGAGCTTCTAAACGGGAGTGGCAGATGCAAATGTCTGGAATTCATGTTCACAATGTACCACTGTAGTAAGCTGGGAACTCGTGCGGTCATCGTCATTGCCAAAGTCTACTTGGGTATGCAAGCCTTCTTGCCTTGTCGGTCCGAGCTAGATTGCACATCTGATCTGCGCCCTAGGCAGTCGCGCCTGGCGCAAGTTGCCAGTGCTTGACAGACAACTGCCTCCACCCCACAATGCGGTCGACTTTCGAGTCACACTGCTAGTGAAGAGCTCAATGGTCTGAAAGAGCTGTTCATAAGCAGCTATTCTGGCGCCTGGCATGGTCTGAGACATGGATTCGCTCCTCTGTGCTCGATGATTGCCGAGCTTCATCGGCGACCGACAGGCACAGGTTAATAATGCTAGAGCACGGTCATCCACGGGGAAACAATCATTTGGGACAAGGACTCAGGTATATTCCGTGCATAGACGCGTGGTTCGACGCACTGGCGGCAAAACCCAGGAAATGCTCGACGTAGCTATTATCCCACTCGAACTGTGCCCACATAGTCTCCTTGCAGACGACGAGTTGCGGGTCTTGCCGCTGGCGTGTGATTCGGCTGCCCCGGGTCCTCAGATGTTGCACTAGCCATCGTCATGCCACCATCCTCTCGTTACTTGTCTCTGTTCTCAGGGTCCAAGGTGCAAGCCAGCTCTTCATCGGGTCTGCCGAGTTTTTGTCATTAACATTGAACCGAAGCTACTGCAGTGGTACACGACAACAATGTTGAGCCAGATGCGTCATTGTTGATTTGTGTGACATCGTAAGGGCCTGAGGCTTGATCTCACTGCCCTCGCGCGAAATCGTGTCCGGCTGGTCGATAACTGACCACCGCAAGGCGCTTTGATGAAACCTCGGCTTTCTGTCTGGTGCATTCACGGACCAGCGTGCCTGAAACCGCGATCAGCTGCGCAGTGTGAAGCACCGTTGTAGAACGTGTCCACCAGGTTTTGCTGGTGAGGACCGCATTGAACATTTCTCATCATGTTGTCGGTAGGGCTTCTGCACCGTGTCGTTGAGATTAAAACCTCATTACCATAGGTGCCCGAAATCACGTCTCACACGCCCCCGCCACTCCTCCCAACCGCAACACTCTTGTCCTTCGCTGATATCCCACCATTCTGACCCTGCTGTTGCGCCGCCAAAATCCAGTTCCGCCGCCCTTCCTCCTCGATCATCCTCTTCTCCTCCAATCGCTGTAATCTCTGGCGCTTGAGTGCGATGTAGCTGATCACGGGCGCGACGACCAGCGAGACGAGGAAGAGCTTGCGGCCCGAAGAGAGGGGCTTAGGGGTCGGGGTGGGTATTGAGGACATCTGTTGTGGTGTGTGGTAGATGAAGGGATGACTGGCCCTGGCGGGGTGGTGGTTGGTGTGCTGTAGGATGCGTGGAAGCTTGTGGGGTCGACGTGTGCCGGGGAACCGGGAGCAGTGCAAATGATGCGGATGTAGAGCTGCCAAACTGTTCCTAGAGATGCTGCGCTGATCCGCGAGAGGCTCTGGCAGGCAAAGTAGTTGGTAAAGGTGTGCTGTCTTCAGAGTAATGAGCTGTAGAGCGCCGGTTGACAAGATTGCTTCCGTCGACGAAAAGTGTGGGGAAACGCGCTAGGACCTTCAGGCAGTGAATGGCAGCTAGAGACACAGACACGGGCTTCGTGAGCAAGCCGCGAAGTCGTCAACTACATATGTTATGTCTAGTATAACGACTAGAGTCTGCTCTCTATCAACGGCTCCTCTCTCGTTTTCTCCTTCTCTGCTACCGTCTCCTCGAATCTCTTGACAACGTCGTGCTCTGTGAGCCACAGTGTGCTGGCCCTTCCCAGCATCCTCGCACGTACTTCCTCGTCATTACGCGCGGGCGGTGCATCTTTGCTTGCTAATACGCCCCTTAGCAGCCTATCAGTATGCGGTCGCCGTGTTGCTTCATACAGGTCCAACGCCCTTTTAAGCTGCACACCGGACGGCTTGATGTGCTGTAAATCAGGCAGTGTGTGCGCTAGCGCGAGGTACAGCGCGTACGAGTCATCGAGAGCCAAGGAGCCTCCTGTCGCGTGTGCGCCGCCATGCGCATGGGCAGCATCGCCGACCAGCGTCACTCGAGACCCAAAAACCCAAGTCGGTAGATGCTGGCCTGCGTAATTGGGGTAGCGTCGAACGGCTGGTGTCGCCTGAGTGATAGCCTTGACGATTGGGTTCCAGTCGCCAAAAAGCTCGCGGAAGAGCTCGATAGAGCCCTCATCGTTCCAGGTGTTGATGGCATTGTCTGCTGGGTTCTTCGAGCTGATCGGAACATCCTTGGGATCATATTGTCCAACAGCGGTGAACTGATTTCTGCCCAACCTCGAAGCGAAGAACTGCTTGTTGGGTCCCCACCAGTGAGTCGAGTCTTCCGACAGACCCGGAATATCCTTGACCAGAGATGCATCGAAGCACGCCCGCAAAGCTGTGCGGTTGGTATAACTCAGCTCAAATTTCTGATTGAAGGCCTTGCGGACTTTGGAATTGATGCCATCGGCGCCAATGAGCAGATCTCCCTTCACGTTCGTGCCATCTTCGAACGAGAGAATCACGCCATCGCTAACGACTTCAGCATTTCGGACTTTCTTATTCAGGTGAATCAACTCTCGAGGGACATGTTCCAGAAGAGCCTCATGCAGATGTGCTCGGTGGAACCTGGCCGTTTGGTGCAATCGATTTGGGACATCCAAGAAGTGGTCTTCAGTAACTACCTCATTGGTCTTCCAGTGTCTGTATATCATAGGTATGCCAGATGGTCCTCGGTAGGCCACATCGTCCACAAGCGCGTTAAGGACGCCGAGCCGCTCCAATGTTCGCATTCCCTACTTCGTCAGTACGGCCTCCCGTCTCTAGAGGAACTTACATTAGGACTGAGTGCAATGCTCGCACCGATTTCTTTCAACTCGGAGTACCGCTCGTATAGTTCGACGTCGACATAAGGCAGCTGGCGTAACGCGATCGCTGTAGCCAAGCCCGCAATGCCCGCGCCAGCAATAATCACCTTGAGGCGACCTTCAGCCATTGTGATGGCCTTTCCCTACCAACAGCGAGTCGAAGATTGATATATTCACAGCAGCATGCATGAGGTATAGTACTGATTAAGCGATCCATCTGAATGCCCTTGTCCGACTTACGGCGACTTTGCGGCCGATGGGCATGCCCGTGTCTTCCCGTTTTGGCGAGCACGCAAGATGCGTCCATATGGCGTGAACATACCACTACCTCCAAAATGGTCCGGATTTACTCATCTTCTGCTCTTCACAGAATAGCTCATAGCGAAGAAGTCCTATCAGCATGTGGTGTCTAGATACGACTCCGCTGCATGAGCTCGACCACGCGGCGTTGCAAGGCACGAAAGATAAGCACCGTGGCTGCATATGCCTGTGCAGCTTGCGATGGAAGCAAGCTTTATGGCATTGCTTACCATGGCGACATAAGGGGTGTCTTTTGCGTGAGGCCGATCGGTGCCTGTACCGAGAGACACCGAGAGAGCGGATGGCCGACATAAGAGTACAGTTCCCTGGCATACCTCCCAACGTCCAACCGTACTCACAGGCAGTCTTATCCAATCGCAGTCAAGATGGGCAAGTCAGAGCTCGGCGGCTTCGCTGCCACTGATCATTCGCCTTCATTGGAACAGACCATCCCAGACAACGCACCCGTCTTGCCGCAGAAGTATGCCGACGAAAGCTACAAACTGTTCAGCAAGGTCCAGGTGAACGATCCCACCCCAGAAGAGGCGCGCATCATCCGCAATAAATGCTTGTGGAGGATTCTGCCCTTCCTGTGCATCGGCTACCATTTGATGTATGTCGATAAGCAGACTGTAAGTTGACCTGTCTCTCGTGCGATGATACCTGACTGACATGAGCACAGCTTGGCAGTTCAGCGATCCTGGGCATATTGCAGGATGCTCATCTCAATGCCAATCAGTACAACTGGTTGAGTTCGATCTTTTACTTTGGCTATGGTCAGTCCCAATTTCTCGAATGGCTGCCTGCCACGCCAGCTCAGGTGGCCTCCATTGTTGTGACTGTCACTATCGAAGCATGAGGCTGACCACTTGATCTAGTATGTTGACCCTCTCTTTGTCTGCCCGGCCACGTCAGACCTCGGGTTCTTGCTGATACATCTCACCTCTACTTGTGCATCATCTTTGATATGCTGATCAACTTCCAGCTACTTGCGGAGTGGCCGCAGAACAGAGCTTTGCAGCATTTCCCGGTAGGAAAATGGCTTGCAAGCATGCTTGTCGCGTGGTATGCGACGCAGATTTTCTTCACACCAGTGTGTCGCTGACATTGATCAGGGGAGGAATCACTCTGCTGCACATCCCATGCAACAGCTTCGCGTCACTCTTTGTCGTTAGGTTCTTCCTGGGATGCTGTGAAGCCTGTATTGTTCCAGCTTTTTTACTAACTATGTCGATGTTCTTCACCTACCGGGAACAGTCTATCATGATGCCGATCATGTGGGCTGCTGGCAATAGTAGCCCGATCACTTCAGGCTTGCTCTCGTACGGAGTCCTTTGGATCAAAACAGGCGACTTTGCAACCTGGAAGTGGTTCATGCGTACGTTCATCCACCACGATGTCCTTTAGACTGCAGACTGACATATAAGTCATCACTGGGGGCATTACGATCATCTTCGGCGTTTTTGTTTGGTTTCTCTTCCCAGACAATCCGCTCAATGCCAAGTTCTTGACTCTCGAACAACGCGCCCAGGCTGTCCTTCGGATCAAGGAGAATCATTCGGGTATCGAGCAGAAGTTCTTCAAGCGCTACCAATTCGTCGAAGCGCTCAAAGACCCCAAGAGCTGGCTCTACTTCTTTCATGCGTGGTCGCAGGAGATGGCCAATGGTATCACCAACCAGTACTCTCTGATCATCAAGTCTTTCGGATTCACAGTGCTGCAGACAACTCTCCTGGGATGCGTCACTGGACTAACAGCGCTGGGCTTCCTTTCATTAGCAGCACTGATCATGTGGAGGACTCACAACTCTCGCGCCTGGCTATCCGTCGTAGCATATATCCCGTGCGTCATATCCTGCGGCCTCTTAATAGGACTACCCTGGTCCAATCGTTGGGGCCTTGTCTCCGCCATCTGGATGCGTTCCTCGACGGGCATACCCTATGCGGTAGTCATGGTCTGGGCAGCCAACAACTCCGCTGGGCACACCAAGAAGACCACTGTCATCGCAATGTACCACATCGGCTACGGCCTCGGCAACATCCTGTCGCCACAACTCTTCCAGCCTCATTGGAAGCCGCGGTACATTCAAACATGGTGGATCATCCTCTGGGTATGTGTTACTTCGACTCGCCGTCCTCTGTCTTTCCACTTCCCCCTACTGATTCAGTTCTTGCTTAGATCGCGGTCATCTTGCCCATGGGCATCATCACAGTCTTGTATTTTTACCTTGTTCGCGAGAATAAGCGTCGTGACGTTCTTGCTGCGTCAGGTCGTGTCACGGAAGGCGGCGTGGTCGAAGAGACCACCGCGCACGGCGATAAAGTCGCGCACGCGGTTGATAGCAATCAGCTGGACCTGACAGATCGAGAGAACTTGACATTGTAAGTTGTTCCTCTGACCACAAGCTTTACCACTGGCAATGCATACATGCTGACGAAGACGTGCTTTAGCCGATACGTGTTGTGACCAAGCCCTATCTGACCGGGACAGATGCCCGTATTTGCTGTTCAGCAGCTGCATTGGTTGCTCTTTCTGGGACAACGGCACTTCTTGTGGCGGCAGCCTGCCAAATGTGGGCAACCGCTCTGTCTTACGTCCGTCCGCTGGGAGCGAGTCGTGCCTTCCTCGAAATTTATGGATTGCAGGCTAGAGCATTAATCACCTGTGAACGTTGAGCAATCTACAAGACAAATGAAGTCAATGGTAGTTTTGCTGTTATGGAGCTCTGAGTCTAGAACTGCCGTCCAGAACCTGAAATGGAGATCGCCGTCGTTATCAACAACCAATCTTCGTCTAGCTTTTCGCCGAGGTCGAATATGATAGACCCTTCGCGGAGTCAGGGACCACGGTCCGAAGTCACTTGACGGTGTACGGTCCGCACTATCTCTACAATTCGTTGATTACTAGGCTATACGGGTCACATATCTGCAAGATAACAAGAGTCTGAACGAGATAGCGGAATCTGGCTCGCATGCCATGTGGTAGGTACATATCCACGTTGCTCATCCATCAGGACCACGTTTTCCCCACGATCCAATATCCCAGGATCTATCACTACTCAGGCACTTGCCACTCAACCACAGCCAAGATGTCCACACCCACCAAGCACGAAGACACCATCTCGGCTACCCGAGATGTCTCGCTCGCCGACGATGACATGCCCACCACTAAAGAGGCCATCCTCGAATCCCACGAGGTCTTCCAAAAAGTCAGCGAGGGCGTCGACTTCCGCACCGTGAGCTGGCAGCGCGCCACCGTCATCTTCATCAAGATCCAATTCGCCATGAGCATCCTCGCTGTCCCAGGCGCACTCGCCGCCCTCGGTGCAGTTGGCGGCGCGCTCTCGATCGTCGGGTGGCAGTCGCTCAACACCTACACGTCGGTCATCCTGGGCGACTTCCGCAACCGACACCCCGAATGCCACACATTGGCCGATATGTGCGGCATGCTCTTCGGGCGCATTGGGCGCGAATTTGTCGGAGTGCAGATTCTCGTCGCGCAGGTCCTCATCACAGCCGCCGGCATCGTCTCTTGCTCAACAGCCTTCAACGCCCTCTCCGAGCACGGCGCTTGCAGTGTCGTCTTCAGCTTCGTCTCCGCCGCACTCATCACCTGCTTCTCCTCAGTCCGCACGTTCTCTCGCCTCGGCTGGCTCACCTGGTTCGGTTTCGCAACCTTCTTTATCGCCGTCTTCATCTTCGTCGTCGCAATCACCCAACAAGACCGCCCCGCCGCGGCACCCCCTGCTCCCGAACCATTCGAATTGGGCTGGGCTGCAATCAACTACCCTACGTTCGTGGTCGGCATGACCGCTAGCGCCAACATCTTCCTCTGCGGTAGCGGCAGCTCGATGTACCTTCCCGTGGTGTCCGAGATGCGCAATGCGAAGCGCGACTACCGCAAGGCCGCGATTCTGACTGGTATCATGAACGGTGTGCTCTACTTAACGTTCTCCCTGGTGATCTACCGCTACTGCGGCATCTGGCTCGCTACGCCCGCTTTCGGGAGTGCCGGACAGCTGTTCAAGAAGATCTGCTATGGCATCGCCCTGCCTGGGTTGGTCATCGGGGTGGGAATCTACCAGCACGTCGCGGCGAAATTGGTCTTTGTGCGGATCCTGCGCAACACCCGACATCTACAGCAGAACACGATGGTGCATTGGGGCAGTTGGTTAAGTATCAATCTAGTGTTGGGCGCGCTGGGCTTCATCGTGGCAGAAGCTGTACCGATACTGAATTTCTTGCTCGGCCTGGCGGGATCTCTGTGCTTTGCACCGTTCAGTCTGGTATATCCGGCGTTACTGTTTATGTACGACTACAAAATGTACAGGCAAGGGTCAGGAAAGCAGAAGGGGCAATACTATGCGCACGGGTTGATTGTGGCTCTGGGCCTGTTTGTTGTGGTTGCTGGAACGTACGGCGTTGCTGTCAGCATTCGTGATGCTTTCCGCAGTGGGTTGATCACGAAGGTGTTCAACTGTGCTGACAACTCCGGCACCATCTCATGAGCCAAGGTCAGCTGCCGAGCACGTCAATAGCACCTACAGCATTGCATATAATTGCAAGCACCCTCCAAATGCTGAACACCGTGGCCATACTGCTTCTTGTGTCGCTTCCCGGCTCCGCTGATCGAAGCGCATGTAACGATTGAGTGGTCTGAGAATCTAGGCAACGTTCCCAATGCCTCCGCGCCACCCATGTACATACCGACTTGCCGTGCTCTGCGTATGAGAAGAACAGTTAGCGACTGTTTTGCCTTATGTGATGCATTTGTCCTGCAGTAGGAGGTGAACACAGGAAGGAAGCGAAATGATTTCTGTTTCGGGAGAAGAGATAAGGGACCGCCATAACCGGCATTGGAGCAAGCGGAAAGGCTAAGAGACAAGCTGGGAGGCTGCTTGGCATGCATATGAGGTAGGTTAGTACGCCAGCACTGGAGCAGTCGATGTTTGGTTGCCCAGAGCAGGAAGTATCCGGGCAGTAGGAAGCGATCCGTTATCAGCTCGGGGGGATATTCTGTATATTCTGTGTATATTGCTCTCAGCCATCGTGATATAGCCATAGTGGATGGCACATATTCGCGGCGGGTGCAAGATGCCGCTCAATAAGCAGAGTCCGAGAAATATGCGTTCAGGCACCGTCCTCCACAAGTCCAAAACCAGCAACGGGCGATTTGTCTGAGCTTGGCGCCGGAAGACGCTTACTTGAACGGGTTGATAGTTGATCCACGACGTTGGATCGACCCACGCCGCTCATCGTCCTTGATATGGCGCTTGATTCCAATGAGCTGTCCCATCTCCAGCCAGAAGCCACTCGGAGGGCTAAGGAACGACTCCTCGTACGCATCCACAATTGGCCTCTCCCAGACCAAGTCTACCTCAGAAGGCTTGAGCTTCTTCGTGCGCTTGACCAGCTTCCAGCCGATGTACATGATCGGTGCGAGGATCTGCATGGTATAGTTCTGGAAGAATGATTCCACGCTCCAGGCTGGAAGGCGCCGTAGCCGTAGAAGATACAGATCACGATCTCCACGACGATGACAACGTATGCGCAGCCAGGCTGGAACCATGCGTAGTATGGCAGGGTTCTCCGGTCAAGTCCTTGAACTTGACATGCTTTGTGGAAGTTGAGGTAGGTCAATGCGATGACAAAGTAATTTATCAGAGCGCCGGCTGTAATCAAACTGACGAGCCATGTAATCACGACGGATGAGTTGTCGGAAACTTGGAGGAACGACAGGAATGGGAAGGCCATGACCACAGCGAAGGCATAGAGCGGCACTCCATTTCTGGTGGTCTTCCTGAAGATCTTTGGTGCATGCCCTTCGAGAGCCATGCTGTATAGCGACCGCGTGGCGCAAAAGGTATAGGTGTTGCCAGCTGAGAATATGGAAGTGATCAAGAGCGCGTTGACAACCGAGGGAAGGGTGCTGATTCCCAAGTTGGACATGGCAATCACGTATGGAGAGGCCGCTGCCGTGCCGCCACCGCCAGCCGTACCAAGGAACACACCTTGAAGCTGTGGGTCGTTATAAGGTACAACGATACCTACACAAAGAGCTCCGAGGATGAAGAAGAGGCCAAAGCGCCAGTACACGGTCTTGAATGCAGTCTTGACATAGACACGTGGTCGCTTGACCTCTGCTGCTGCCATCGCAATGTACTCGGGACCGACCTAGAGCACCGGTCAGTGTGAGGTCTACGTCGAACAGGATCAGATGGAGTAGGAGGTCTCCCCAGACCGGGCAAACAGAGTACGTACGACTGTGAAGGAGGCAGACCAGAGGGCAGACAAGAAGCCTTCGAAGCGAGCTAGCGAGCCCGTCGAGCTCTTTGCCGAGTTCTCAGCGAAAGCCCCAGGGTTCTTCCAATAGCGGAATCCGTATGCGTCATTGTCGGGGTTTCCTCCGACCATTGTGATGAAGGTGAAAAAGAACAGCATAAAGATCAGTATGACCTTGCCACCTGACAGCCAGAATTCGGCTTCACCAAATGCGCGGACAGCTAGGACGTTGATGGCACTGTATAGTGTTAGTAATGATTCACGTCAAGTTTCGCCAGCCACGGAGCAGCGGACTAGAACGCTGATCCCACTCTGCCGAGAGGAGCCACTGGGAAAGGGTCGTACCCGTAGAGTATGATGCATGCAATACACACAGCCCAGACCGGGATGTCATCTCTCCAGAAGCTTAGAACCAGGCCGATGGCGGTGATCTCAAAAGGTATAAGCAGTGCCTCGTAGATGAAGAAATTCCACCCAACCATGAACCCGAGCGCATCGTCGTACCAGTGTCTAGCAAGTCGAATGAAGCCACCAGAGACAGGTTGGAGGATGATCATTTCGGAGACACAGTTATTGACGCAGGCAACGACTATCGAATACAAAGCATAGGCGATGAACAAGCTGCCTGGACCGCCAGCAGCCAGACCATTGCCAATGCTGACGAAGAGCGCCGTGCCGATGGAGCCACCGATGGCCAACAGTTGAATCTGACGATTCGAGAGACGGCGATGGAGGTTGTCAGCATTGTCAGTCACGACGCCGCGTTGCACGTCATGTGGTGAGTCGCTTGTGCGTAGAGGTGAGTCGCCGGCGGCATAGTTGGCCTCCTTGTCGGCCGCTTCATTGTATTTCGTTGCCATCTTGGGCGACAGTTGGCCTGTCAAAATCAAAAGGACTGGAGAGGGAGCAGAAAGCAAGGAAAGGAAGCCGCAGCTCAATCGGGTGGAAACCAACGTATCTTAAGCTCCCGTCACTGGCAGTCTGGTCTAGCGGCCCATCAAGATGGACGAGATTGTGTGCTAGTGCTGATCGGGGAAGAACATGACAAGCGACGCTTGTCCTGAAGCTAGCCGAGCCTTTGGGGGACTTTGAGGTATTCATGAGGGAAAATTTGGCGGGAAACGGAGTCGTTCCCTTATCGAACCAAGAAAATAGCAAACACAATTGGTTGTGTGAGGAACAGATGACGGCAGCGCTGAGCTCAACAAGAGAACCATAGACCCCGCTCGATTTCAGGGCTGGAGAGCTAAGTCAAGGCGAAATGATGAGGCGCCGAGGGCTCGGCATGGAGTGGAGAGGGGCGGCCAAGGACGCGGCATTGCGTTGAATGGACGATCGAGCCTTTCATGAGACGGGATACTTCCTGACCAGTGCGACACGCGCGGAACTGGCTGGATGTGCATTGGAAGACAGCTGTGGTTGCTTTGCTTGGTCGAGATCGCGTGTGTCGCGTGCCTTAGCACGCATCACTGGGAGATAGCCAAATGTGCAACAGGAACCGATAGGGCACTGTTCGATCGAGCTCCGACACGATGCTCGACTACTTAGTACTAGCCAGCCGAGTCAATACAGCGAGATAATACAAGTCCGGAAAGCGCATGCCTAGACGAGGAGGTTCCTGCACGATGAATCGCAGTGAGTGGTGAGACTGGCAGACGCGAAAGAGCAAGAGCCACGCGATCGCGGCGTTTCTTGGCACAGCCGCTCGAGTGGGGCCATCTGCTTTTCGTCGCCCGCGGCCCGCGAAGTGGCGGTCGTCTTTTCCATATCCCTACCATGATGTGACAAACGGAAACCTCATCCACAGGCAGAAAATCTGTCAGCATCCGGTCTGACGTCCGTCTGGCAGAGAGCTCGACCGCAGACTACACCGGCGCCCTCCGCTGAGAATCCACGAAGCCTCCATGTGCGTCAAACACAACAATTCACTGTGATGGCCAATTCGAAGTACGAGTATGTAAGAGACTTCGAGCAAAACGAAGTGCTTCTGCGGAACGCCTGGATCGTTGTCCGCGTCGACGGTCGCGGCTTCCACAAGCTGTCAGATCACTACCACTTTGCGAAACCGAATGATCGAAGGGCACTCGATCTCATGAATGCTGCAGCGTCTCACGTCGTGCGCACCATGCCTGATCTCTGTTTTGCTTACGGCGTTAGTGACGAATTCTCTTTCGTCTTTGACCGCAACACTGTCATGTTTGACAGACGAAAGGACAAGCTAGTGAGTACCATCGTCTCAACCTTCACCGCCGCCTACGTGCATCTCTGGCCGAAGCATTTTCGGTCCGGTAACGGCGATCAACCATCAGAGATACGTGATGCAGAACTTGACCTGCTTCACCTCCCGACATTCGATGGACGAGCTGTTGTTTACCCTAGCACAGCTAATCTCCGTGACTACCTTTCGTGGCGTCAAGTAGACTGCCACATCAACAATCTTTACAACACAACCTTCTGGACATTGGTCGAACGTGCAGGACATGGGCAGAGGGAAGCAGAAGAGCTGCTGAAAGGGACGGTCTCGTCTGATAAGAATGAGATACTGTTCACCAAATTTGGCATCAATTATAACAACGAGCCTGAAATCTACCGAAAAGGTAGCTGCATATACCGCGACTACGATGTCGGCGAGCCTTCAACACAGGGCACGACCGGCAGCGATGGTAACAGCACATATGTAGCGTTAGACGAGTTGCAGTCGTCCGCGATCCCGGAGCATCTGTCCAAGACACAACAAGAAAAGCAGCGCAAAGCAAAACTGAAGGCTCGAGTGGTCACTGCGCACCTTGATATTATCCAAGATGACTTCTGGAAGCAGCGACCATGGATACTGAGCGGAAAGCCTCCACGAGGCTGATGTATCTCGCCAGTCTCTGCCTCATCCAGTCACTGAAAGCGCCGAGGAGGGCGCCCATGTTATTGCGGTCTGTATTGCTTGATTGGTGCATGTCTAGCGGAGAAGCTCCCCAGCGAACACCCCTCGTTATCGCGCCAACGCTTGGTGGCAAGCCAAACAGCAACGACCGCAAGCTGATTCGCGAAAGACGTGCTTTCAGAAGCCCTGAGTGATGGGAGCTCGTGTTCCTGAGACGCTGGGGGAGCGGGATCGAACCTTTAGCAAACACCTCGCGCTTCGGTGCTGGTCCCTGTAAACTGTGGACAGGACTCTTCTGATGCCTGATTCCCCCAGGTCTTGCGGGCTTTGAGACTGCTTGGAATGGAAGCGTCAGGTGGCTTTCCAGTCCGAGTGGTGCAGAGCGAGAGGACTCGTGCTGGCGTGCTGTCAAATTGACCCAGTCCTTGTTTCTGACAAACTCGGTCTCAAGAGCGCGGTACTGCCACAGCCGACATCACAATAGCTTCCAATATCGGTTCGATCGATGTCCTGACCGAAGCTGGTCCACATTGACATCTTAGCATCTTGATTGTCCTCAAGATACTAGATACACTGTCTGTGTCTGCTGAGTTCGCGTGGCCATGCAATGAAGCGTAACATGTTCGAAGTTTCCAAGGCAGGCACGGGCGCATTTAGCTTTCTGGAACACCTAGGCATATCAAAATTTGGAGTGCCTTCCGAGTTCGATTTATTGTTGCGTGGTAGCCTCTGGCTTCATCGGTGTCGCCTTTGACCGCTTGAATACTATGTTCGCGAGCTGGGTCTGCTGGCCCGTAGCTTGCACCAGATCTACACCCGTCGAGGAGATATCTCGGCTTGCTTCTGCTAGCGCCTGCTGATTAACCATGATGACCCCAAAACAAGTTCGGCGCTCGGCTAAGTTCGCAGTCGCTGGAGGCCGCCCCGGAAAATGTCGCTCATTTGTGGGGCCCATCTCGACTTGTCTTCACCTCATCTCTTGACTAACAAATCCATCGTCATCAAAGACTGACGACGACATATACCTCAAAAGGCGAAGGAACCTTGTCATCTACTGGAGCGGCGACCGCTACGCTGTCCGCCAAACTAATCACTGACTCGTGAGCTCCTGCGGACGCCTTTCCGCCTGGGCACGACCCAGCAGTCTAGGGGATCAAACTCCTGCTTACTGTACGCCTCGGCTATCTCAAGGATGACCCGATCCAGCTCATAGCCCCATGGATACTTCAGAAACCAAGCCCAAAGCTCAACGTCGTGATTGCAAAGATGTCCGAGCGGAGCGGAAACGGGAGCTCGACCGTCTGGCGCAGCGGGCGACCCGGGAGAGGACCAAGAACCGGATTGCTTTCTTGGAGCAGAAATTGGCCAGTCTGGAATCGTGCGACCAGGAGTCGACTATTGGTCAACTCACAAAGACGATTGATGACCTTCGAAAGGACAACATGAGATTGCAAGCCGCTATGCTAAAAATGAGATTCGCCATCAGTGAAGCGCTAGATGGCACTGAAAACCTTGCTCCAGCATCTACCACGCCACAATGTGCTTGTGGGAAGCCCAGTTGCTCGTGCAAGGTCATCAAGACGCAAAGCACGACCAGTGACACGCCGTCAGCCGACGAAGACGTTGTCGAAATGGCATCACACAACGAGGTGCATGTTCCCGTCGCCGGTGCAGTTCTTGGAATGTGGCCTAGTGCCAACAACACGGCCACGATCGAGGAGTTCCTCGGCTTCCAACCCAACAGCATAATCCCTCCAGACTTCGCGCAGCCACAATCAAATCCCAATCTCCTCGTGTCGCCCTGGCCCGGTATCATCCCCACGCCGAAACACTCCAACATGTCATCGCCATCACCTTACAACTTCATACATCCCTCACCACACTCTCGCCTAGCCATCGCCGGCGATGTCGAAAAATGGCACGTCTCCAATGGCGCGCTCACAACCGCCATGTCCGCCGTCCGCAACCACCTCGCCACCAACGACACCCTCGACCTCCACGTCCCCTTCCGCGCCGGCCTTTGGGGCTGGGACTCAATCCCCGCCTCCGAACAATCCCATCCAGTCTGGAGCGCTCTTCGCGCCGTCGACCAGAAAGTCTTCGGAACATGGGAGTCCAGAGCCGCCCGTATCGCGGTCATGTACAACTGCCAAACCCTACTCGCCTACCGCGAGTCTCCCACCAAGGACAACCTCGCCCGCGTACCCAAATACCTCCTACCACGACCCTCACAACAACGCATCCAACACCCTGCGGTAATCGACTACCTCTGCTGGCCCGGCCTGCGCGACCGACTCGTCTTCGAGCACGAGAAATACACCGCCACGGGTGAATTCTCTGCCGCATTCGTGAAATACGCGCATTTCGACTGGCCGTACACAGACGACGAGATCTTGCTGCCGGATGTCGCTACGGGTGAGTGGCGGGTGAGCGAACGGTTCCTAGAGAAGTGTTATGACTACCGGGCGTGGACTATGCTGCCGGGGTTCTTCGAGCTGTATCCGGAGATGGTGCATGACATTGCTATGTGGGAGGGTGAGGTGGTGAGTAGGCCGATCAAGCCGCCCAAGCCTGGGGATTTGGGTCATGGTCATGGTGATGGTGGCATGGTCGGCGGTGATGCTGAGGCTAACATGTCCTGGCATCCAGTTGGTCAATGAATGGAAGCGGTCCTGAAATGCGGCATGGGTCGGCGACTATGGTGTGATTTGCTTCTTCGCAGCCGAGCTTGGTATGGTATGACATGTCGCTCAGAAGTCGGCAGGACTAGTGAGGAGCCTTGCGGTCTGACATGAGGAGCTCGACATGGGCTCGGTCGTCAGGTGATGTGAACAGTGAGGAAGGACCGACAACACTTCTAGCAGATAGGTCCTGAGCGACCTGACGCGGGTGCTATGTGGCCTCGAATCATGCAGCAAGGCCACGGTCCTTCGTACTGTGCCAGTACAGCCCGACCCAAGGAACACAATGCGGTAACCAGACTCTTAATCAACACCGTAGTGGCACGGGCACCCGCGCGATGATGGTTACTTCTGGACGGGCTGTGGAGAATGCAGGGTGGTCACGATGGTCCAGGGACTGGTTCTCGACGCAGAGAGGGGGGCGCTGGAATTCTCGATATTCTCAGACATGTCGGCGGCCGTGTAGTGTAGTCATTGTGAGTTGGGAACAAGAGCAGGAAAAGCACAGGGGGCATTGGGGTGTCTTATTGCACATAACGTTATATTTCTATCTTTCTAGACGAGACACCCGCCCTGCATGGTTGCTATCGAGTCAGTCGGAGCCTTGTCAACGTCCAGCCCTCGTATCACACATATTGCAGAGGTAGTTCCCTTTCTGCATCTGGTAGTCGGCATGGCCGAAGCCAGCCATACTGCCTGTAGGAGATAAGCGGAGACATAGTTCCGCCGATATTCAGTTGGAGAGTGTTCACGACTCGAGAAAAAAAGTCGACAATGATAGTCTTGCGAAAACAGTCTACACTAACAACACCGTACACACTTCCTCCAAGAGTTCTCATTATTACTACCACAGAAGCCCGGTCATATCTGCTCTCCACCCCAGAACCTCGAGAGCGCGACAAATTCCGGCCACACCACAAACTCAGTCCAGCGCTCACCGAGGCCGTGTCCGTATCAATGCCAACAACACCCTGATCTGACCTTCAGGTCGCATCCGCCATGCCAGGCATCAACGCCTCAGCCCTCCTCCTCTCCCAAGGCTGGGCCGGCCCCGGCCACGCGCTCGGCCCCTCCCAACCATACCGCCAGCACGGCACCCGGGGCCTTGCATACGACCCATCCTCCGTAACACGCACCACGAGCAGCGGCCTGCTGAAACCGCTGCTTGTCTCGAAGAAGGATGGCAATAAAGGCCTCGGTCGCAAAGCGCATGAGCCGGCGAGGGGAAATGAGTGGTGGCTGAAGGGGTTTGAGAGTGCGTTGAGCTCTGTCGGAGAAAGCAGGGAGGCAGCGGGACGAGCACGCCTACTGGGACGAATGGAACCGAGGGAAAGCGAGTACAACAGGACGACCTACAACGCAAAGTGAACCTCCAGATGGGCCGCTTCGGCGGACTATACAGCTACTTCCTGCCTGGCGGGTCTACAGGTGGCACGCTGGGGAAACAACAAAAAGAGTCTGTCCCTTATGAGCCGAGCACCAAGATCAGCGAATGGGGTCGGAATAAGCGGAAATCCGATGTCCTCGACGACGACGATGCCATCGAGCAGGAGCAAGACGAAGCCATCAAGAAATCCAAGAAGCACAAGACGACAACGACAGCGCAGTCCCAATTCGCCGAAGTAGCCACATTCCTCTCCGCCCGCGACGCCGAACACGAGCAAAAGCGGCAGCGGAAAGAGGACAGGCGGAAAGCGAAAGCCATGCGTGACAGCCAGGCGTTTGGTATGGTTGGAGAATTCCTAGCCGTCAAAGAGGCCGCAAACCGTGGCTCGGAACTGGAGAAGGAGATGAGACGGAAGGCGAGGGAGGAGCGGAGGCACAGGAAGGAGGAGAAGCGGAAACGGCGGTCACGGGCGGGAGCCGTGGAGGATTCTGCTGGGTCGAAATCGGCATCTCCTGCTGAGTCCGAGGACGGGTTGGAGGTGAGAGCGGCAGAGGAAGCCAAGTCCGATCGTCGCAAGGAAAGGAGCATTCGAATAGTAAAGACTTCCTCTGGTGATGAGCGGCCTGAGACACGCGAGGAGCGGAAAGCGCGAAGGGCGTTGAGGAAGGAGAAGAAGCAGAAGGCTCGATAATGCGTGTGGGGTTTGCATTGCAACATGGGCGGCCTGTACGACTTCAATGAACATAGCATGATACCCAGGTAGTAGATACATAATCGAGGACTGTGGTCATGATGTTTGCATTTGTCATTCTCGTCTGTAGATCATGAATATGCTATGCTGCTGAACTCTCTTTCCATTCATCAATCTTCCTCGCTGCAGACTTCTCACGGTGTCTGCAGCCATCCTGTTTAGCATCGTCCCAGGTCTTCGAGGGTCCTGAGCGTCAATGCTCCATGGCACAGCACAGATTGTCTCAGTAATCGGACCGACCGGTGACTTTCCACAGCTGTTGGATCGAGTAAAGAAGATTTGGGCGACTAAGCCTGAAGCCCGCCTGAGTCATCCGCAACAAATAGTGTCTAGACGCCGAACGTCTGATGTCCATTGTATAGCTTCGAATTGCTTGGCCTTGGTCCGCTCTTGAGGTCGCATATGTGGGTACCTGTTGAAGCGTGCCGAATCGATCGCCGCCCAAAGGGTTATTCCTCCACATTGGCTGTCCGAGCTCGCGGACGCGCAGTCGTTGAGCCTGAAATACTGTAGTCGCCTATCAGCCTTGCCCGCCGGTCCCCTCGTCACCATCAGCGTCGCCATTCGCCCCATTCGCTGTCCCGTTGTAGTCATCAGCCGTCCCATTCATCTCCCTCACCTCCTCAACCGTCATCCCATTCTCCTTCGCCAACCGTTCCTCCTCCTTCTTCTGCCGTAACCTCTCCGTCTCCTTCCTCATCGCCTCCAAATTCCACACATCATTATTGTCGTCATCATCATCGCTATCATCATCACTCCCAGTTCCCTTCCACCCACCGGCCTCAAACATCGCTCTACCCGTCGCTTCCTTCGCCTCCATCGCTTGCTTCTCGGCCGCTTTCTTGTCGAGGCGGCCTTGCTTCCACTTTGCGAACGTCTCGGGCGTGACGGGCGTGAGGGTGCCGGTGAGTTTGTGCCGTTCTGACTCGAGGAAGTCTTCGAGCGTGAGCGTCGCGAGTGGGGAGTTGAGCATTTCGGCTTTCTCAAGGGCGCGTTGCTCTTTTGTCTTTATCACGAATCTGTGCATACATCGTTAGCAAAGTTCTTGCCAGCGTTTGAAGGAAGCTGAACAGGAAGGAAAATGACATACCCCGGCGGCAGCTTATGCTGATACATACACTTATCCCCCCCATTCGGACACGTCCAAAACCACCCATACTTCCCCTCCTCAATCGCCTGTATGAAAAACTTGCACACCTTATCCGTCGTCGTCTTGGGATTCCCATGCTTGCTCAACACCACCTTCCGCAACTTCTCCTCATCCCACTCCTCCATCCGATCCTTCTCCTTCTCCTCCCTCTCCTTTTCCCGATCATCCTGATACAGATCTTTCTTCTGCCCCTTCCGCGCCACCTCGGGGTCATGGCTGAATTTACACTTCCTCCCCTTCTCGCACGTGCCCTTCTTGAAGAACTCGCATAGGACGGTCTTGGGGTCGACGCCGAACGGTACTTTCTGCGCTTGGACGGGTTTGAAGAGTTCCGCGGCTTCAGCTTGCGCTTTTTCTGCGGCGAGCTTGTCTTTGGCGCGCTGTTCCTTTTCGGCTTCTTTGCGCTTTTCTTCGGGGGTTTTGTTCGATTTGGCTTGGGCTTGTAGTTGGGAGATTTGTTTTTTTGCGGCGCCGCCTTTTTTGTTCTTCATGCCGAAGGTCTTGTCGTCGACTGTGGCTTTCTTTTTGGGTGGGCCATCTTGGGCTTTTTTGGGTGGCATGTTGGGCAGCGGTTTAGGGTGGTGGTGGCGGGCCACGTGCCTATAGTCTGGGGTGTCTGGTCTGGTTTGTGACTGCTTATGACGACGGTGTAACGAGTGCAGGCACGTCTGGATGTCACCTGAACCTCCCGCAGATGTACGTGCGCTCTTGTCGAACGACCGATATTTGCAGAACAGACTCGGTGCAGTGGGTTGTCACCAGGTGTGGGGTTAAGATTTTGGAGAGAGACATCAGTTTCGTCATTTGCTAGCTGTCATTTGAAAATCGCCTCATTTCTACATGGTCCTAGATTCTGCCTCTTTCTGCCCATCTCTATCCTTCCTTTTGCAAGTGGCGCCGCAAGCCAGTAGATCGCCATGCAGCTGAATCGATGCGCGCCATGGGTGCAAACTCGCAATGACCGGTTCCAGGTTTGTTCCATAGTCCGTTCCTATGTTCTGTCCTTGCGGATGCATCCCGAGGTCTGCACCGAAGAGTTGGCTACCTTATCCAGAGCCCGTAATCATGCTGTCTCTCGCATCAACGTCACCTGAGCGTTACTGCCCAAATCTCGTACTTGAGTTGTCCCTGCCAGGCAGAATTCTGTCCCATAGTTCCTCAGGTACAACCCACTGTACTTAAGTGCTCGTGGATGCAGCGTTAGACCACTGGTCTGATGCTATACGCCACAGTCAGTCGTTTGCGCAGGTTGAGTCCGGGATTGACGCCATGCGAGCGGATGACTGCTCCTGCGAGTCGATTGCGTTACTGGTGCGCGGCGCATTGGCCTGAGGGCGTGAAGTGTTCTGCATCGGACAAGCAGCGTGGGACCGCATGTGTTGTCCATATTTGGCAGCACTGGATGAGCGTGGTTCAAAGGCACTGGATCGCCGGCATACGCATGCAGTGAATTTCTCCGCAATCAGGACCGCTAGTGTGTGGAAATGTCGTTGTTGACAGGCTCGGTCTGTTTCTCAAGGTGGTTCCGCTGCATTCGGCTTGTCGTTCTCCTCAATGTCAACCATCGGTACGCGCGAGTAGATGCCTTCTTGTGTGCCAGCACTCCTTCGCCAGAGATAAGCACATATCAAGCCGAGGCTGCAAATAAGTGCAATGACTGCAATAAGCAGAGGGGTCCTGAGGATGGTTAGATCTCCCATCAATGACACGTGGTGGCAACTTACGGATGTAGATACGCATGGCGCGTGAGTCCATCAGTGCCGTCAAACACGCCAACGGACTCCTCAATAGACGAAATCACCTGCACCCGACCAGGATCACAAGCTTTACTAGGATCTAAAGTCGCCGAAACATTGCTAAGTCGCAACCGCTGCTGCAATTGCAAAGGCGCCTCGACAAATGTGGCCTTCAACCCGGAATGTGCGTGCCATTCCATATGGCAATGAAGCAGCCAAACACCAGGATTATCAGCTCGGAACCTGAACGCCACCCAACCATGACCATTGACATTGATGGTGTCCCGCCTCATCGGCGCACGTCCCTCCGGTGTGGTCTCAACCAAGCCTTTCGTTCGTTTCGTGACTTGGAAATTATGTCCGTGGAGGTGGAGCGGGTGCTTCCACATATGCTTGTTGTTCATTGTGACTTCGATGATTTGCCCATGCTCCATCACAAAAGTTTGAGTCGACCGCTCAAAGCTCTTGGGGTCTGTAGCCTCCGGTCCTGTTGCCAGAGCTGCGAACAGGGAGGGCAGTGTTGGCGTTCTGTAGCTGATCGTGTTGAACAGCCAATGTATGATCCCGTCTTCTTGTGTTTTCATGTCGATGTCGATGGCAAGTGTACGATCGACGGGCTCAAGCAGAGGCTGCTTGTCCAAGGGCTCGAGTGCCATGTCATCCAGAGCATAAGCAGATTCCTTGTCCTCCAAGACATCCGGGTCTGGAAAGTCGGCCTCCGTATCGTATGTTAGCCAGGCCACAGCATCCAGATTCTTTGGCCACGGAACATGGCTGGAGAATGATCCTGTGTCCATTCGTGACACTATTGGGAAATTCGCAGTGGCGTCCTCCTTAGCTTCGTCTTCAGCAAGAAGCTATACCGTTGGCCTGCGGCTATGTAGATCATGCCAGCATCTTGGGGTTCTGTATACACGCCGTCGATTTCGAGACAGTCATAGCATGGTTCTGAATCCAGAAGTACTGACCAACGAAACCACCGATGTTGGCAAGGCGAACGAGATATGTTCGCTCCGGCACGACCTCAAACTTGGCTCCAACCGTGTCGTTGATAAGGTTCGAGTCTGGCGTGATATCTCTCATCCTGTTATCAGGCTGGTCGAACTTCAACAGCAGATCTGGCATCTGACCATGGTACCAATCAGAGATTGAGATGACAATCTCTTGATCGTACTGCGCTTTGTACGGATCCTCCGGATCACTGATAACCATCATGCCTCGGAGACCATCGGGGTACTGCGACTTCTCATGAGAATGATACCAGTATGTCCCGGCTTGGTCTGCTTTGAAGTTGTACACAAAGCTTGATCCGGGAGGAACTGCACACTGGCTGACATAGCTCGTTCCATCCATCTGGCTGGTTCCGTTCATGAACATTCCATGGAAGTGGAGCGACGTAGACTGATTGCCTAGCAGATTGTGCACCTGGACTTGTATATGGTCACCGACCTCTGCTTCTATTGTCGGTGGAGGCCATTGGCCGTTCACTCCAATGACCGGTCGCTCGACTTGCCCATCGGGTGATGCCCGTACCCATTCAATATTGAAGTCATAGTTCACTTGGGCGGCACAGGCGCAAGGAAGCAGAAACGACAGCGCCGCAGCCAGCAAAATGCAGAAAGAAATCATGTACACGGCTTAAGAACAATAAACATACAGTATAACGACACAGGGAGATGTGAAAGGAGATGGGATCGAACTGCATGCTGAGAAGTCGATGGTCAGCATTTTTTCCGGCACGGCGATCATGAAGCACCGAGCGTTTGAGCAAGTTTGGTCTTTTTGATGCACACCCACTCGCGACGAGTGGCGGTCTTGTTATGAAAAGCGTAGGGGCACCAGATTCAGTCGCAGCGTGCCCATGTGTGCCTGCTGAGGCCATGTACTTGCAACCCATCGTTATATGCGTATCGTAGAGAAGGTACGTTGAATTAAAGACGGGCAGTTGCGGAGGAGAGCTGTTGGAGCTTCAGAATGCATCGGCTACGATGACGCGCTCTGCACAGACCACACTACCCGCACTTCGAGACCACACTGCACATTCGACGAACCCTGCATACCTGCGTCCGCTCTTTCGAGACCGTGTTGCTACAATCTCGGTGAACTCAGTCACATCCACCTAAAGACGCCTTCATGAGCCGCCGTCCGCGGCTTTCGAACGCGAGTGCCTAGGTGCGATCGGCAGTGGTGACCAGCCCTCATAGACCTATACCTTTCAGCCATGGTCAACGAGGTGGGCTCGTCGCAACCGCCGCCCTCGCGGTACCCTCCCTCCATGGGACCCGGGGCACGGTCAACAGAAGAGCGGCTACAGTCGCTAGCGGACCGGGCACAGCAAATAAAAGCAACACTGGAGTCATATGTTGTAGAGAAGCAGGACGATGGTAGCCTCAAACTCCAATACGACCTCAACAACCAACAGCGCACATATGTCATTCCCTCCAGCAGTATGGCCTTTCCTGGCATTCTCACCGCCACTGCGCGGTCTACCAGAAACACAGGCATGTCTCTAATCGCTATGATCAGAGCCGTGGACAGTACAACCGGCACGATGCCATCCCAACAAGCTGCCGAGGGGTTTGCTGAGCACGGCTCGAAAAATCTATTGTGGCGGAAGGCAGGCTTCTACGGTTCCCTCGCCGCTGCAGGGTACTTTTTCGAGAAATCGCTGAAGCGGGGAGACATGAAGTTCCCCTTTCGAAAAGCCAAAGACCCGGCAAAATACCTGAAATTTCCGAATCGATTCGTTCCTGTCATCAAAGGGCGGCCGGCTTGGATCCTCTGGCAAGTCACAAGGTTCGGTGTATATGCACTATATGCCAATGTGGCCATTACACCCTTCACGCGTAGCATAGGGAGCACCAGCATGACGGTGGGGTTATATCGTGATGACAGGACGAGACCTTTCATGGAGGAGTTGAAGAAGCTCCAAAAGGTCCGAGAAGGTCGAAAGGCCCCGGACCAGATGGGCCCACTTATACCTGGCCAGCACGATCGGACTCGGCAGCAGAACCAGAACCCACAGCAGCGCAACTCTTTCGGCGAGCCACAAGATTCCGACCGCGAGTCGCCCAACGATCAGTCATGGGCCAATCCTTTCAACGGGCAGACTACAGACAGCATGCCCGACGGCTACAGCGATTCGAGTGTCGACTACGGTGACACTATGAAAGCAGAAAACGCAGCTTCCGCTACAGCACCCAAGGCTCAACCACAGCAGCAGCCCCGACAACAGTATGGGACCCCGCGACCACCACCCGCAGCAAGCTCCCCTCCTCCTTCGGCAGGATCACCACCTGGAGACGACCCCTTCGCCTTCAACGAAGATCCCCTCGGATCCTCATCCGACCCAGACTCCCCAACATACAATCCTGCAAGCGCCTCCCGATCCCAGCAATCACAGGCCACGCCCCGCCGCTCGTGGGCCAGCATCCGCAACGAAGCCCGGCGGGACAATATTTCTTCCTCATCATCCGACACAACAGACACATACAGCGCCGGCCCAGCATCGTCATACGGCTCACGAGCAGCAAGTCCGCATGCTCGGAAGTCTCCGGCTCAAAGTGAGAGTTACAACTACGGGGACGGAGAGGCTGATAATGAGGACGCCAAGGCGCGAGCGCGGAGGGAGTTTGATGCGTTATTGGAGCGGGAGAGGAAGGTTAGTGAGGGAGGGGATGGCGGTGGAGGATCGGGCGGAGGGAGGCGGTATGGAAGGTAGCCAAGCTCATTCCTGATGATATTAGACAAGCAAAAAGGTCACGGATGATTGGGAGCGATCTTGTTCAACAGCGTTCACAATCACGGAAGGCTCTGGTGTTGAGATAGTGTCGAGTCGATACTTTGTGTACAATGATTTCAGGAATCTAGCAAAAGTTGCGAGGAAAATGAGGACTACAGAACCTCTTGGGAAAATCGAACTCATGCTATCCTTTCACCAGCCGGGCTTCTTTCCTTCACGTCTTCAATTTGCACCACGCGGACTCTGTTTGGCCACAAGAGAAGCTTGTCATCCGGTCTCATGGAGATCTCGTCGAATATATATCCTGTGAGCAACAGTAGGAATTTCCTTGTGCGTTGTTTGCCTATCTACACGACACACGCGCCTGGAGCAGCACCCAACTTCGTCGCTCTGAAGGCCTCAGAGGCCAATCGTGCACTGAATCACAGAGCAAATGTCCTGTGACAGACCGGTACAAGCGACTTTTCAATATAAACAGATACGACGATTCAACTACAGTCGTCCTGGTGTAAGACTGACTGCCTTTGAGAAATTGCTTGCGTATTTCGTTGCATCTTCCCGTCTTCCAGGTGATCCCAATTGCCTGTGAGAGGCCTTGGGGGTTGGTAAGGGCGACAGAGTGGAGAGAGATGGTGTACGCGCAGGACCGCTTGCCCTTCATTGGCTTCTCTGCGAGGAGCTAGTATGCTTGTACATGCCGAAGACCAGCTTAATAATAGAACAATCCGCTAAAGAGTATGCTAAAGAGTATTGCTTACCTATTGAATTGTCTGCGGTCGTCGAATTTGACCCTGGTCGACCAAAGCAGGACACAGATTGCTGCCAGGAAAAGGAGTATCCAGGTTCCAATGATATCAGACTGGGATTTCCATCGTCGAGTCGACAGGTATACCTCGTCAACTCCCACGACCAGCCCGAGAATGGCAGCGTAGATCATGTCATTCCAGGAGCCGCCTCAGACTCCCGTGGCAATGCTCGCGGCGCAGAGGTACGGAAAGATCTGCAAGACGAGCGCCAACAGCGGATTCCTCGGGACGGTTGGCGAGACGCTCCCGAAGCGGACACCAGGTTGGGTGGAAGGCTAGGTGTGGAGTCGGTAGGGAGTTGTTAGGGAGCTGGGTACACATGTGGTAGGGAGACGGAGGGCTGAACAGGGAGCTGGAGCGAGAGGCAGGCAGTATTGTTCTCGGGGAGGACGGAGAGGTGTGGAGGAGTGGGAAAGGAAACGGAGGCGGACAGGGAAGTGAAAGGGAAGTTCGGGCGAGGGAAGGAGGTAGATGGAGTGGAAGAGACCTGGAGAGGCGCAAGTGGTCTGTACAGATCAGCGTCTTGAGATGAGCCTCACCTGTGCCTAACTTGGTGGGAGTGACTCATCGTGTTTCCGTCGGCTAGGGAGGGCGCTGAGAGTCTGAAAGTGTTGCGATACAAGATCAGCAGAGTCGATCCCATGAGGACATCTTCTTTGTGTGTATCGATTGGTCTTAGTAGAGTATGAACGGGGTATTGTGCATTCGAACCAGGTACCTGAGGGCAGAGGCCTCCCGAACGTGGTGCACCGCACGCGTCTAGTCGCAGTTCTTTCCACAATGGCCAAGCACGCGGCACAGATGCTCGAACTCGGGCGCGGACTCCTCCTCGAGGTGGTCAGACTGCTTCATCTTAGCTCCACGATACCGGGCGGCCTCTGCGCGCCATCTTTCGGTCGGATCATCCGCGGGTGAGTACGAGATCTTCTAGGCCTTGCCCTTGCCCTTGTCCGTAGAGGCCTCCTTGTCGTCTTCTTCGAGATCAGGCATGTCCTCATCGTCGTCCTCGTCGTCATCCTCCTCATCGTCAGCACCCTCGGCACCCATGCCCTCCATACCAGGCATGCCGCCCGCACCGCCGCCGAGTTTGGAGAAGTCGATGCCACCAAAGCCGCCGTCCTCGCCCATGCCGCCGCCGAACTGGTTTAGGTAGTCATCCTCGGGGGCCTCGTTCTGTTCGTCCTCATCGACCCACTGGAGAAAGTATTGTCAGCTTCTGTCCCGGGCGGCCTCTGGGTATGCAAGTGCTGGTGAATGGAGTAGACGTACCTTGTCAAAGTCCGTGCGCAGATAGTGGACCTTTGCCTTATCCTTGAGCAGACGAGGCCAGTATTCTTCCTTCAAATCCTTCTTTCGCAGCACCAATTGGATATTCGCGGGAGTGTGATGTGTCTTGGAATTCTCAACGTCGATTTCAGCGAAGAACTCGATCTCGAGGTGGTAGGTGGTCTTTTTGGAATCCGATGTGCCGGTGAAGGACAGGCCGGTGGGCTTCAGGTCCAGCTGGAGGGCTTTGGGTGGTACGTCCGGCACGCTGATTGTGAGGAAGATGTAGTTCTTCTCGGCGTCGGAGTCGGATGAGCGTTGTGCCCATAGGACTGCGCGGAATGCTTAGGTCGTGTCCACGGCATTGGGCAGGCATCTCTTACCTTCTGGAGTGACCTTGTCTGAGGGAGCCATGGCGGGGTACGACTGTGTAGAGAATGAAATGGAAGAACAAGTGAGGTCAACGGGCGATTGCGCTGAGGAGGACTCTGTACAATACGTCTATTTCGTGTGGAGGAAGTCGCAAATAAGTGGTAGTGACTTCCAATTTGTTTGCTGTGATGTGTGTTTGACTCAAGCCTCACTAGCAACGAAGAAATGGAACGAATGACATCGAAGCTTCAGCTACAGGCAATTGTAAGGCAGGCACCCACAAAGCTGCATTTTCTTAGGGCGGACCCTGGCCTGATGATCGTTTTCTGCCAGAGCCCGCCCCGCACTGCTCGAGGGGCATCGAATGCCACATTACAACCTTCACCGTATATTCATTGGTACTTGATCTACCTGACTAAGCGATCCAAGAGGACTCTGCTGCACCAAACTTGGATCTCGAATTGGCAGCGTTCACTTCGATCAATTCTGAGAAAGCGATCTATCGAGCGATTGCTTACGAAGTACATGCCGCAGAAACGAAGCCCCCAGTCGCCGCCTTGTCGCCTAGAGTTTGTCAAGCATTTCGTCATCCGGACCGCCCAGGCGACGCAACTTCACCTGATAGCCGCTTTCTTTTGATTTTCACTAGAGCAGGTTGACAACCTTCCGAGCGTTACACTGCGCTAGAGGCACAATGAGGTAGCACGACGCGACGAATGGATCAACACATATTACGGTCGTGATCACTCCGGGCCGCAGGGTCTTATCCGCCCAACAATATGGACACCTTCAAATCAGTCTTCTTCAAGCCGGATCCAAAGGAACAGGTGAGGGCGGCGCAGGCTCCTACGATATCACGAATTGACCGCCTGTCTAGAAACGAAAATGCGATGCTCTAATCCGCAAGAGCCGGCGACAGATCGATCGCCAAATCCAAGATCAAACGAATGCGAAAAGAAAAGCAGAAGCACAGATCCGATCAGACTTCAAGCGGGCGGAGAGGAATCCAGCACAGCGAAAGCAAGCACTCCAGTCGGTGAGACAACTCGCGAAAGAGTGTGGCGGTGTGGGAAAGAGCATCAACCGCCTCAACACCAATAAAGCACAATTGAACAGCATAGAGATGCAAGTCAACGAGACCTTTGCGCTCAAGAAGATTCAGATGAGCTTGAAAGACAGCACGACGGTCATGAAGAACGTCAACACCCTTATCAGATTACCCGAGCTCTCCGGAACGATGAATGAGCTTAGCCAGGAGTTGATGAAAGCCGGCATTATAGAAGAAATGGTCGGCGATATGCTTCCAGGCGAAGAACTAGAAGAAGATGGTCTAGATGAGAGCGAAGCCGAGATCAACAAGATCATAGCTGATGCTCTGGGCAAGGACAAAGAGAAGTACCTTGGACAGGCCGAGGAGGCCTTTCCCGAAGCCCCAGATCAGATCGAAGAGCCATCGACAGCGGTATCAGAGCAGGATCTTGCCAGTATGCGCTCGAAGCTTGAAGCATTACGAAGTTGATGCAACGAATGAATTCAAACGATTACCAATATGTTTCACCAAGAGACCAACAATGTTCTTCACGCTTTCCCGCACGCTACATACACCACCAGATGTCGGCTAATTAAAGGCTGTGGGTTATGAAGGCGCACTCGGCACGTGTCGTGGTACTGCCATCTATGCGTTGTCTTTCTTCTGTGAAGAGGGACGCGACCCTCCCGCCCTCAGTCGAGATGTCGCCCAAAAGATCAGCGGTGTTCATTCGCGAACCGTTAAGCTCGACTCCCGATGCCGAAGCACACTGTGTATCTCACCACAGCCCTCGTCAAGGACATCATAGTGTAGTCACTGCAGATCATGGCACCTAAATCAGAGACATCTCGCTGTTGGATGGCAGAAAGCAGCCTTCGCCTCAGGCAATCAGTCGACTCGGACATTGATACGGGCACGTGACTTCTCCAAGTTTGGACTAGTGCTATTTCGCCGTTGGGCGAGTGCAGCTGCCTTCGTGCCGCTCCCTTTCCCTGCCACCTCTCTTCCTCTTCAACCATCACTTACTCTTGCCGACTTCACATTTTCACGCTTCAGGCACTGTATTCAAATATTTCAACTCTCTTCGCCCGCGACTCAGCCCGTCGCTCTCCGACTTACATATTGCTCGACAATCTTTCAATCCGCGCTCTTTGTCTCACCACGAGCCCAAAGCGCATTATCCCATCCCACCTGTCCAACCCTTGACCGCTTCATACAACCCTTCTTTCATCTCTCTGATCACTCAACCCATTCGATCAAGATGTCTGGCCGGCTAGATCAATCGCTTGATTCCATCATCGATAGCCAGAAGAAGGCGAAGCGCGACAACCAGCGTCGTCGCAAGCCCACCAAGCCTGCACGCGCTGCCCCTGTCGGTGGTGTCAAGAAGGCCGTCAAACCGGCCAAGTCTGCTGTCAAGCCAGGCGCCAGTGTTGGAGGTGCAGCTCAGCCCAGCAAGATCGTCGTCAGTGGTCTGGTAAGTTCACTCGCGCTTAGATCATCCTCTGACCCGTCTTCTAACGACTTCCAGCCATACGACGTCAACGAGACCCAGATCAAGGTATGTCGAAGAACAGGCTCCAAGCCTTGAATTTCTTCCACCGCATCCGCGTGCACACTCCCGCCTTGCTTCGGGTACCGAGAAAGATCTCTGAAAGAGTCTGATACCACGGTTCGCAAGTGCTGTTGCCAATGGATCACAATCGTCGCGCTGAAATGCCGACAGCGGTTGCATCATCACTGTGAATCGGCTGAGTTGACAAACTCTTGTCCTCGGTGTGAACAATCAGTGCTTGAACCCGCAGTCTTGCAGTCAGTCAGCCTTGGCTAGCCACCTTTGCTGTTCTGTAGCAGACACCTGAGGAGGACGTCACAGCAGAAATGCGTGACCATTCCTGCGCTTTCGGACCACGAGCCATCCTTGCATGCAGTAGCAGATTTTGGAGCCACGTCTATATTGGCGCAACCATTCCTCCGAGCACAACCGCACGACATCGCCACAACACTACTTGTTAAACACTGCAACACGATTTACACAGCCACACTTCGACATGGAAACTGCCTCAGCATCATCACACTTTCACAATGCTTTGCACGCTACCAGTCAAGCCAACAAATCTCTGCTCCAGATGTCGCAGTCCAAATATCATGGATCGACACTTACGAATTTCCAATTTCTGCTACTGCTTGCGAGATGGCTAGTGGGCCACAAGGATCCCGGAGTACAGTATTCGAACCGTGCATTTCCTTCTGGAGTCAGGTGTTGGAAGCAGGAGGGCGCAGTGGACACGAATCCTTCGACCGCATCATTTACGAGCCGCAACAAGCATACTGATCACATTTCCCACGCGTAGGAGTACTTCAGTCAATCCATTGGCCAGGTCAAGAAAGTCTCGTTGCAGTACAACCAGAACGGACAGAGCCGTGGCATTGCCGACATCTCCTTCAACAAGCCCGGTCTCGCCGCGAAGGCCGCCAAGGAGCTCAATGGTCTTCTCATCGACAAGCGTCCAATGAAGGCAAGCAACTTTCCTCGCCGACTATACGCAATGTCTCTGACCGGAATAGATCGAAGTGGTGGTGGAGGCCAGCAGTGTGGCTCTGGCCCAGGCCAAGCCTCTGTCTGAGCGCGTAGCTACGCCAATCCGAAGAGGAACTCCAGGTCAGGTCCACTGACGCAGGACAGTGCAAATCCTAAGGCTCAGCCAAAGTCTGCCACCAAAGCTGTTGCAAAGGATGCCGCCAAGGGTGGTCGCAACAAGCCCAACCAGAAGAACAAGGGTCGGGCCGCTCGACCTAAGCCAAAGACCGCCGAGCAACTCGATGCCGAGATGACCGACTACTTCAACAACAATAACACCGCCGCTGCCACTGCCGCTGCACCAACCAATGGCGCGGCTGCTGGCGGTGACGACATGGGCATGGAGGAGATCTCTGTAAGCGACGCCGCTATCATTCCCAGGCCATCCTCGCTAACAAGTACCACAGTAAAGAGACTTCAACACGATAAATTTTCGAAAGTCCGAGACACGAAGCCCGCCCGACCAGACTGCACGACAAGGGGGGCATACCATATATTGAATAACCAGATACCCATCGAGATTGAAAGGGGACGACACAGACAGGGATGGCGAATCATTGGCGAGCACGGCTGCCGTCATTCATGAGAACACTCATTGCTCGGAGCTCTCACAAGAATAATCTTCAATCGCCATCTTGCTGCGTCTTAGTTGTGCATTAGAAGACTCCATCACTTAGGTAGCCATTCGAGATCTTCTCGCTGAAGCCCGCGTGTCCGAATGCAGACTGCCTTCTACTCCTATTATATTCCTCGTTTCCGACTAGGTGTGCCGGAGTGCGCCCATTGTGAAGAATGACGAGCCGTCCGACTGATATTGCGCTCTCGCCATTGGGGGAAAAGAATCCAGGAGAATCCTCTACTCAAGGCTAGCTGGCTGCTTGACGCGGCTTCAAGCTACTTACTGCACGAGACAGCTGAGGTGGCTCGTACTGTGCGAGCTACTGTCGAGAAGTGGAAGAGAGCCTGTATATAAGTAGGTAGTCCTGAGTTGAAACGAAAGGTCTCTTTATTAAAAATCATATCGTTACGTCTCGCATGAAGTCCTCACTGACGGACGTCCGTCGGATGACAGAGGCACTCGTATGAACCAGATGATTCGCTCGTGCCCCGCCATTTCCTGGCTTGCTCAGCTCGGATCTACAAGCTGTGCATGTCGATGACCTCCATGTCTTCGTCTGAGCCGGAGTCGTCCTTCATCTTGATCTTCGTGTCGTCGTCATCGGCTCCCTCGATTTCGTATGAGACCCGGTCCGGTACGGTGCGGTCTGGCCGAGAGGCGCTCGTGGCCAGGGGAGGAGCGTGCTCATCTCGGCCTTTGCCCTTGTCGGGGGCAAGGCTGTCCCAACGACCACCTATGCCCTTGCCGAGGGGTATACCGTCCACGAAATCCATCACACCAAATGCCCTGAGCCCGTGAGGGTTTTCCGGCGAAGCTGAGAGAGATGTGTCATCAGCTCTGCCCTTGCCCTTGTCAACAGAGAGAAAGTCGTCGTCATCCTCGAACCCGCTCTCCTCTTCAACACCCATATCCTCATCGCCCGCATCACTGCCGAAGAACTCTCCTTGGACATCATCTCCTTTTTCATTGACACTCCGAGCGCCCATGATCGTACTGACATCACCATCCCCATTCGCAGCCGCATCATCAGCATCTCCGCCAGTCGCAGTCTCATACGCTGCAACAGCCTGCTGAGCCTTCATCTCTTGAATAACCGCGTACACATCATCCTGGTTCATAAACCCGGAGTCGCTCGCGCCATCACTCATGCTGACCACCGTACGCGTCCCATCCGTCGCAGCGTGACTAGCACGAGCACGCGAGCTAAGTGCATCACGACTCTCGATCTCGGAGATATCGCTGTCGTCCGTGATCGAGCCGTTCTCTTCGATGCCATCCACACCTACAGTCTTGATGTGCATACCGCGCTTACCGCCGCGGAAGCCTTCGCTGCCGTCCATGTTGGGCACAGCATCGTCGAAGACACCTCCGGTACCATCATCGCATCCACCTTCAACCCACAGCGGCAGGAACTTCCACTCCTCGTCTGTCAACGCGATCACAAAGTCGATCAGATTCACTGGTACTGAGTTGCGGCCGTGGAACAGGTGGGGCGGGTATACAATCTCTTGTGCCTTGGTGTGGACGATTTGGCTGAATTCGCGGAGCATCTGAGTGGGGTTGATGTGCTGGACCAGCGACTGGGCGCTCATCTTCTGCTTCCAATTGAGCTTATCCGCGGGGGTCGTGAGGGGCGCATTGTGGACGGCTGAGCTGGACCGTATGGAGTGTGCGTCTTCGTCCTCGTCAATAGCCGGCCCGGGACCATCGAACATCTCATTGTCTATCGGATCGGGGGTAAAGAAAGGCAGGGTGTCGGAGCCATCGTCTAGAGTCGCGCGAAGTGCCTGTTGGGAAGAACCGGAGGCACCGCTGGGTGCAGGGAATGGAGATCCCTTCGGCGGCGGCGGAGCGGTGTATGAGCCCGTGCTGAAGGCCTCGTGGTTGTTCCATGCACTCTTCACGTCAGCCTCGAATGGTTTTCTCGCTCGTAGCGTAGTACTCGTCAAAAAAGTACTTGGTGAGGCCCACTTTGACTTCAGAACACGCCCCGCTTCCTCGGACATGTCCTTGCTGTAACGAGGATACGGTGTGTCGTTGGCCTTGCGCGCGCTGCTTTGAGCAGGCCGGAAGGGGATAGCTATCGCGGGATCATTTTCAATGGTTTTGCGACGCTTCTCGGCCGACGAGGAGTGAATCGTGCTGTCTGGCTGCGATCGCTTGTTAAGCGCCGAGGTGTCAGAAGAGTCATCTTTGATGTTATGCGGATGTAACTGGGGTGATGAGAATTGGCCGAAACGGAAGTCGTGGGACGACCGATTTGTAGGGGCTTCAGCGGTCTTAAATGAGGAAAGCGCCTCGTTGACCATTTGCACCTTGCGAATCATATCCCGTGGAAAGGTCTCCTTCTGCCCAAGGTGACTGAGAACAGGATCGGCCTTCTGCTCACGAGTAAGGTGGTACCATGAACCCCATCCATCGAAGAGCGTGCTTGACGAGGTAGCATCTTCAAAATCAATCGTGCACAGACCGAACCAGAAGGATCGTGTGAAGATTTTGGCTTGCCAGGGCAAATCGTTGTAGGTGGTTTTGAATCTGATGGGGTGCTTCGCGTGTGGAAGGACAGTGCCTTCCTCAGCACCATACAGATCTTCGTGAGTGGCTTTCAGTCGCATGACAAGGTGCTGGAGTATCCGAAACCGTACGTAGCCTGCAATAGCTTCCTGCGTAGTTGTGATGAGGTGAGCGACTTCAGGATTAATAGACTTGCAATCCACAAGTTTGCGGAATTCGGGACTTTGGTCGAGCCAGTCCACTGCAACGGCCACGCCGTTGAAAAGATTCTTGATGCCGGCAACAAGAGATGAAGCCGCATGGCCAATTCTACTACGTTCGTCGTCATCAAGGACCTCGTACGGTCGGCCGTGGACGGAGTGAGATGACGACATCATTTGACCTTGTGATTGACTGAGAATATCTGCCAGCGCTCTCTCCCCGACTAACATGGCGAAAGCGTCCCGAACCAGATCGCCCTTTCGGCAAGAAAAGGCAATTCTGTACGCAACTTCCGGGTTGTTCTGCACGAACTGGGAGTTTCCTGGGCTGTTAAGCCAGTCCACAATGTACCAGTTCACGAATAGTAAATCAGCACACCCGAAATGCTGAATAGTCGCAAAATATGTCCACATCTTGCATGCAGAGTCGAGCTTGGGATTGATTGCATGGGCTGCATTGAGCAATCGCTCCAAGCTCGACCTTTGCCTAATTGGACAGAAGTCGGCGGGAATCGGCACTTTGACCTCCTGAGGGCCCTTCATGGCCGTAGCAAGGGTGCTGTAGTATGGGTTGCTGGCAGTATCGAATTCGTCAACCCCTGCGACTGTAGCAGGAGACAGGTCGTATTGCGACTGTGCTAGATGCCATATTCTCAAGCCCCAGGCGCAACTCAAGCCCATCATGAGACTCGCAGCCTCGTCACCCTCTTCGGGTGGCTGCAGGTTGATGTGGTACTTGATTTGAGCTCTCGTAGCAGCACTGAGACTGTTGTATGCATCCAACTTTTTGAACTTCTTCTCAGTTCGAATGCAGACATTAGGTCTGAAGAGGTCATTGATTTTGGCAGACTTGAGATCCTTAAGAACGCCACTGGAGACGAGGTGTATAGTATTGAAGTGCTTGAAGATACGGTCGTAGTCTTCTTTGTCCTGATCGGGCACTCGAGGTGGAATCCCAAGGTAGACCGCGGTGTCGAAGTCGGGATCGCGAATAGGTGGGAACTCATTACTGAGGCGGAAGGGGAGATGCCTGTTCATTTCTTCCACAGGATTGTGCTTTCGTATCACCGGATCGATGTTATGACGACCATCTGGGCGAAAATGATCATCGCCTTGCGGTTTCGGACTGGTCCAATATTTCCGCTTCGGTTGCGTGCCTTCACTGACTTCGTTGAGACGCTCGGTGAGTTCTTCGGCAAAGGGTGACTTTCTGCCACTCTCCTCCTCGTCCGTGGCTTTCATTGTCGAGGCTGATGCACTTGTAGCAGGAAATGTGGTGTCAGGGCGGTCGCTGGGCTGTTGAAGGCTGTCCATTTCTCCTCGTACCTTGCCGTTGACAACTTCGGCTTGGTGGTCGGGCATGACGATGGCCTAATCGAAAGAGTCCTGCTGCATGTACGACGCTCCGTAAAGTGCCCTCGAGGCGGTCTGCACACTTGTCCGCTGACTCAATGCATCAGGCTAGGGCGGGCTTCATGCCACGATGATACCTTATGTGTCAAGCACACTTCGTTGTATGGATATGATAAGTGGCTAAGTTCGTGTTGAGATGATGTGCCGCTAGCACCAATGAAATGAGACTGATGACAAGAAGAAAAGTGTTTTGTGTCGACGTGGTCATAACTTATCGAAGGTCTGATTTACGACCGATCGTCCTGCGCTGTTGCCTTGCGAGCTGGCCAGTCGGATCAGAATCCGCACTGCGGGGCGAGAAGGAACGCCTTTTGTGGAGAAGTAACGCACAACTTGCCCACAAGTATGCACTCAGCTGGCAGGTGCTCTGGGAGTCAGGGAAGTCAATATCTGCGATCCGGACCGTTTAGCACTTGCATCGAGCTTGCTCGCGAAGGCTCGCTGCACTCGCTGCACTCCTCGACAAAAGCCTCCCTAGCACTCTGTTCCGTCGGATTTCCTGAAGAGAGCCTTCTCAAAGGCCTCACTTCAGACTCACTGCGGCTTGAGAATTGCCCCTACCGCAGAATTGATCGTCTTGACGAGAGAGGGCTCCGACAAGGGTGGACCCATCAACCACATTTTGAGAACATGTCGAATTGGTAAGTGACGCTGATTATACAAAGTCCCGAATGCAACCTGTACGCCCTGCTCAGTGTACGAATAGTGCTTGTTCCTCGTCCTCAGCCTATGCACTTGCCCCAAGCAGGAAGCCCACAGCCAAAGCCAACGAACAGGTAGAGTAAGAAAATGACCACGACGATGAGCAACGCCATGACTCGAACATTCTTCCACCACATCTGCCGCCGAAGACCACGGCTTCTTACGCGGAAGTCTCGAGCACTGCCTCCTAGTCGGTCGGTCTTGTCGACAAGGAGGTCAATCCGTTCGCCACGTTCCAGTACGCGCTCGATATTCTCCGTCATGATATCTTTGACACTGTCAATCTCACGACGAGCATTCGTCAACGAATCGCTGGGCGGTCCCACGTTGTACTGCTGCAGCATCGACTTCAGTTGGGTGTTGAACGCCGCAGACCCGTATGCCGGCAGAGACTGGAAGTTGGTGTCTTCTGGCGGGTATTTGTCCAGGAATTTCTTCTTCATATCGAGCAGGAAGGCAAACGGCACCCGTCTTCCAAGTTCAGCCTGTGCGACCACCAAGTATGTGACAGCAGCGTGACTGCTGATTTGTTCATCTGGGGCGTTTGACGATGAGGACGGCGAGTCTGCGATGTAGTGTACGAAGAGCTTGTCGTGCGTATAGGTAAGCTTCGCTGGTGTCGAGTGGGATATCTTAGGCAGGATGACCGAGGCCAGCGAGCATGCGGAGGCTGCGGAGGTCCCAGGCGACGTGTGCTCTGTCAGTATCGTGGTCTCGTGGGCTATACATGCACTGCAGTGTGTTAGTCCCGCTTGATGACCTTGACGGGGACGTCCTTACTAGAGCATCTGCGTTGGTGGCGATGAACCTGATGCCATGTTGACGACTAGAAATTTGTGAAATATGGATCGCGATAGATAGGGTGTCGCGTCGCTACAAGTTCAGCCTGCAGCAACTGCAATGAATGCTGGAAGTGTAAAACAGTGTGCAGCAACAAGTTCATTTGAGGCGAGGAAGCGGCGCTTGAGGATCCAACAACAACTTAAAGACAGAAACAATGACATCAGACTTGGCTCAGTCACGTGACTATACAGATTGCATCGCGAGTGCCAGTGTCTTGACCTCACCGCAGTTGCCAGTGCTATACAGAGGTGGGCTGTCCTGTTCTCGTGGTGTATGACCATGAAGACACATCAATTCACACATGATAAGTCGTGCTTGTTGTTGACAAAATGACTGTGCTCTGAACAGGAGCCCTGATTGACCTATACACATAGGAAGCGCTAAAAAAAGACACAGGTCCTCTCTCTCATACGTCTTACTTCGAGCAACAACGTCTCCGTTTGCTCGCCTGTAGAAGATACCAGGTCGACGGCCAAGTATGCGCTTCTCGGGTCGTGGTGGACAGGTCTGAAGGTAACTGTGAAGGCTCATGCTATTGACCACAGCAGTCCAGAGCACTCCAACATGTGAGAAAGCGAAACGGGCGAGATCGATGTCACCTTTCCCTGTCATGAGTCGAACAGACGCTGTAAAGTACCTAACGCTACATGTGCTGGTACAGTAAGTGTGCTTCAGCGTCTGGCATCGAAACGCCGTCGATGAAAATCCCTCGAAACGCTGTCTTGGCAATTGTCTCTTTCTTTGCGTCCACTCTCCTTCGCCGGCTCGCAGGTTCCTGGGCAAGGGTGGCTGGAAAGCCAGCCCTGGATTTCTACGCCATTGTCTTCTATTCACCAGCAGGACAGCTCCACTTTACTGCCCAAATAAGCCAAGACTCGACCTCATCCCGCTCCGCTATGCTTCTCTTGGCCGGCGGAATCGCTCACTTGCCCATTCAGCGGCGAAGATGAATAGGAATTTCGTTTGCTTCGACGACAATACCAATCAAGGGGGCTGGGAGGTTCAAGATGTTATTCTCGACTAGCAGCGATGTCTTGCATCCTCTTTTGCACTCTACTAACTTCTCAACCATCTTCTTCATCTTCTTCAGAACCACAACTTTCTTGTTGCAACCACTGCGTACTTGGATTCTTCATAATCTGCCTATCGTCTGCAGTCTTGCATCCTCGCATTGATACTCTTGTCGCTGGCGACGAACATCAACCTCGCTTTCAAGCGCTAATTTCTAATCACTCACACAACATGTCTGATAACGTTGACAGCCGGACTGTCAATGCACTGACGAATGATTTCAACGAAGAGACACCCTTGATCGCACTGTTCAAGAAGAGCTTCCGCAAAGCTGGACTCACAAGCCAAAGCTTCCGCATCGACCCGTTCGCATTCAACAAGATGGAGCAGTGGTATGAAGCTGAAGTGGCCGCAGATGATTTGGATGATGACGATGGTAAGTTAGAATGACACACAGAGTCCGCCCTGGTCGGATCTCAGATTGTGCTGACCAGTATGCGTCCGCAGTCGAGTCCGCGCAACCCAGCCCAACCGCTGCTTTGTTCGAGGCTCTGGGCGTCTTCACACCCAAACCATCCGACGGGGAAGACTCCAGCTCTAGTCCAATTCCTCTTGCTCCTTGGAATGCCCACTCATTCAACCCCGACTTCGACGATCTCAGCTCTGGATCCCGCCACAGCGTTCCCTACAGCAACACCTCCATCGGCAACGACTCTAAGGAGTCTGTCCTCTCTGGATCAGACAAGGAGAACTCTGACCCATCTTGTGGCAATCCACCCATCCCATCGTCAGCAGATGACTTCAAGCTCAATTCGGCCGATCCTGCGCTCCACAGTTCAGACAGTACCATCCCCGATCCCGATCTTCCAACCGCAAACGTCGACTACTTGTATCAGGAACCTTCCTTCGAGCATGCTGTCGACCCAGTCATGCCATCACCTCTACCTAATGCCAACCTCCGCCAGCCTCCAGTCTGGAGCCCGATCGTCGATCGTCGTCTTTCGAAAGCTCTAGGTCAAGAAGCTTATCTCTCCGTTCATGAACTCCAGAAGAAGCTATCTCAGGACTCACTCCGCTCAAAACGCCCCAAGAAGCGCTCGGCTAACGAGTGTCGTACTCCGCGAGAGACTTCCGCTGAGAAGCGAGCAAGGAAAGGTCTCTGCACTGCGCTGATCCATCACATCGACGAGCAACTTGCTGCCAATCAACAGCGTGGTTCTCCTCATGCTCCATCATATTCACCAATCAGCAACAACCAAGACGCGGTTCGTCCACCTTCCGATCGACCAGCTACCAACAGCCAAGATAGAGCTACTGCTCCCTCTGAGTCTCCATCCATAGTTAGACCAGCACCTCCGGACTCATCGGTCTTTCATTCCAAAGCTTCTCCCAGACCAGCAGGCTCTCCTCTCACTCCAGACAAAGACCTTGCCCGGCCTGCCGCACCTGGCTACTCTACTATCTTCGTTCCTGTCGCTGAGGCGTACAAAGCATATCCCGGTCAATTCGTCGCTGTGACTGACGAGTTCCTCGGTCGTCAAGGTCTTCAACCCCAGAAGTTCACTTTCCCAGAAGGAGTCTGTAATCGCAACGCCAATGGCAGCTACACCAACTCCCGGATGATCGAAGCGCGTCCTGCCTACCGCCTCGACTACTCTGCTCGCTTCCGCTCTGGAAGATTCCGCAAGACGACGAAGAGGGAGGAAGATATGTACGCCATCCTCGAAGCAAAGACAATGCATGCCTTTGGCGTCCGAATCGACGACAGTAGGATCTCCCTTATGCGCGCTCGTATCCATCACGAGGCTTCGCAGGCTCGTATCATTGGGTGCAGTGCTGGCGAGTATCGCTACTACGACGGTCATCTCACCATCGAGGACTACATCATCAACGGCGTCTGTGTCTGCTGGGAGCGCTGTGCTTGCTCGGCTGTCTGCACCCGCTATCCAGACATGCTGTGCCCATGCAGCGAGCACACTACTATGGACGAGAACTAGAGCGGAAAGCATCCACGATGTGGCGAATTTAAGGAGGTTTATTGGCTAGGGAGGACTCTGGGTTGCTTTTGCTGGATGGCTGACTTTTGTGAATGTGCGACGATTTTACTGGTTCGGGAGGACTCTGGCGGACTTTTCTGGCGATTGCTTGAGCTGGCGGAAAGTTTACCATGGACTGGCTTTCACAACTACCTTAAGCATTTGCGGCTCAAATTGCCTTCAGGAGTCCTCCAGCATAACAATCAATATTGTGAAGTTGAGCTGAAATATGGTTCTGCAAATTCACAAACAACACATGTCAGTCATAATTCGCTCGTTATATACATTATACGTGTCCATCAGTACCTTGTACTTATCCTGGCCAGAGTCCCCCTCGCACGAATGTTCTTTCTGCATCTCATATCACGACACAACCTCATGCATGATACGGAGATCTCCATCTAACGCTTCTGCAAGCGATTCGCATGGGCCCCGAGGAATCCCCTTCTATCTGGACTCTTCAGACAAATCAAACGACATGGCCTTCCAGCCAAGAGCCCCAGAGAGCTGCCTCGCACCGAAGACCGCAGACCACGAGGCTTTCCTCAAAACCTTGCAAGCCGCGCTCGATGAGGCCATTCAGAAGCGACAACGCATCGAGATCGATCTAGGAACTTCGGCTGATAAAGCCAATCTTGCAGAGAAGGCGAAGTATTACGAGCAAAGAATCGAGAAATTAAAGGACTGGATGTCGTTCGGACCGAAGACTGCCGACCTCGCAGATGTGAAGCAAGAGGGTGCAGCTGACAGGATGGCCAGGGCGATCGAGATAACAGATCTTCGGCAGAAACTCGCAGCTGAGAAGGAAGCGAACCAGGCAATCGTTTACAGGTCTGAACGGCATCGGCTAGAAGTGAGCATGTTGAGGGACACCTTGCAAGTCAAGACCGCCGAAGGCGAGCGTCACCAAGAGAATGCCCGTTTGCTGGAGAATGCCTCACAGGACATGCATACGAAGATACAGGAGCAGCAGGCAGAACTCCAGCACCAAAAGGATGAAATTGAGGCGCAGAAAGCACAATTGGCTGAGGCAGGTAAGCAGGCCTGGGAATGGGAATGCAAATACCGAGAGGTTGTTCGCCCCGAGGAGGAAGCCCGCTACATGGAGAATGCGCCTCAGTATACACGTGGGAACATACAGCCGCTCCAAGCAGAACTCCAGCGCCAAAAGGATGAACTTAAGGCGCAGAAAGCACAACTGGCTGCAGCGAACAAGCTGGCCTGGCAAATGGAATGCAAATACCGAGAGGCGGCTGATGCTCTGTCCAGCGAGCGCGAGCACGCTAAAGTCAACTACAACGTTCTATGGACCAAGATCAGAGGGCTTGAGGTCGAGAATCACAAAGTCACTGAGAAAGCCAGCACCACAGAGAAGTCTCTGTCTGCGAAGGCCACTAGTTTCGAGGTCGCGGTTATCAAGGCCTCCGGCAAAGCTGAAGACCTGGGAAGGGAGCTCGAGGAAGTAAAGCAAGCGAAGAATCTCGAGATCAACGCGCTTAAGAATCTAGAACGTGACCTCACCGATGAGATCAGAACGCTCGTGCACGAAAAGGAGGAGTCTGATCTCATCAGATCCGAGTTGACGACGAAAGTTGCCATGCTCGAGCCTGAGCTCGCGAAATGCCGATTTCGCGTCGACAGCCTCGAGCGCGAGAAGGGAGCCGTCAATGTAGCATCCAATTTCATGGAATCCCAATTGGAAGTCAAGGTTAGCCTTCTCGAGTCCCAGGCGCGGAGCTCCGTCTCGCCCAAGGTCGGATCGAAACACTCGAGCACGAAAAGGAAGAGTCCGAGCGTACCAAGTCTGAAGTGGCGCAAAAGGTCACCGATCTCGAAGACCAGGTCACATTGCTTAAGGACGTCGAAGTTGAGAGTATCCGGCGATTTGAAGATGCAGAACGCCTCAGGAACAAACTGAGGGACACGAAGCTCGAACTGGAGGCATCCCATCGCAAAGAAACCGAATTGGCGCAGAAGGTTTCCGAACTCGTGCCCCAGATCGCAGACCTCGAGCATATCCGCGTTCAGCTCATTGAGACCCATGAGCGCGAAAGGAAAGACTCCAGTAACTTTAGCTCTAGTATGGGGCGAAGGATTGCCAATCTCGAACACCAGCTGAGAGTATCGAATGGCAACAACGCCAAACTGGCGGCGAGGGTCAGGGAACTTGGATCGCTATTGATCGATGTCCAAGGAGAGCTTGACACCACAAAGCAGCAGAGGGAAGCCCTTCAAGGAGATGTGCTCGAGCTCGACACGCTAAGGACGCACATGAACGACTGTGAGACGAAGTTCCAGAACATGCAAGCCGAGAAGGCTCAGCTCTCGAACAAGTTGGATGATTTAGTGCGTCAGCTGAACAACACGAGGCAGCAAAACGACGCCGATGTCGCAGCACTACAAGACAGAGAGCGCACACTTGCCATGAAGCTCACCGCATTGATTGCCGAAAAGGAGCAACGCGAGCGTGTCGGCGCCGACCTCGCGGTGCAAATCACCAAACTCTCCCAACAACTGACCGCACAACAAAAGAAGAACGCAAGCTTGTTAGACGGCCACGCCAAAGAGAAGAAGGCGCTCGAGCGCTCCATCGACAAGCGGACGACGGAGATCAACGACCTGATGGCCTCTAACTGTAAGGAGATCGCAGAGCTCAAGCAAAGCGGACGAGATCTGCGTGAGAGCATCTCGTCCCTCGAGAAGAAGAACGCTATGCTTGTTGAGAGGCTCATGACAGGAGGCAGGCAGAGCGCAGCTCGAATAGGCGAGCTTCTCGACGTGCTGAGGTTGCGGGAGAAGGAGGCGGAAACACTGCGCGACGAGCTGGACCAGAAGAAGAAGGATGTGGAAAATATGTTGACGGATATGGATTGGCTGGCCGAAGAGGGTGGATACAAGAGCGACAAGATCAAGTCACTTGAAAAGGAGAACCTGGAGCTACATGAGAAGATCAGTATTCTGAAGGACGATTGGGTGGAGTCTGAGGATGAATTTGCCGAGAGCAAAAAGGTTGAGGAAAATTGATGAATTGGATCAGAGGATGTGTGTAGTGAGATGCTTAACAATGCCACTCTCCAAGCCTTGCATCCCAGGTCTTCTCCATACAACGCACTCAGTAGCTCGTATCATCAAGATCAGTGCTGCAAGAAATCTGCTTCTGCTCCTCCAACAGCTTCAAAGTCTCCTCACATTTCTGCTTGATGCTCTCGTAGCAATCTTTGCCAATGACGAGGCGGTGAGGGACAGGCTTGCCGTTGGCTTCGGTAAGTGTATCAACAATCACCTTTGCTCCCTTTTGGGTGTCTCCGGGCTGCTTTCCGTTATACCAATCCATGAGCTCCTCGCCTTTACGAACAGCGCTTCCATCGTAGTCGGCGATACGGCCTTGGAAGTCACCTTTTGCCTTGCCTACGAGGAAGTTGGAGCGAAAGTAGCCTGCTTCGACGCAGCACCTGAACTATGTCAGCGATCTCACGAGCTCGTAAAAGCTCAGACAGCGACCTTACACCTTGATACCGAACTCCTTCATCTCAAGCGTCATTGATTCAGACAACCCGCTCAGACACCACTTGCTAGCGCAGTACAACCCGACACCAGCATATCCTCGCCAGGCGCCGACGCTGCTAAGGTTCGCGACCACACCAGATCGCACCTTGCGCAAATAAGGAAAGAAAGCTCGGTTTACGTTCAAAACTCCAAAGACGTTTGTATCGAATTGAGCCTGCGTCTCCTCAGGCGTGAGCTCTTCAAGACCTCCGACTTGGCTGAATCCTGCATTGTTGATCAGGTAGTCGATGCGTCCGTGGATGTTGAAGGCCTCCTCGGCGATCTTCTTCAGCTCGGGCAGTGGCATGGTGACATCGAGGGCAAGCGTTGCTGCGCCGGCATCCTTGAGGTCTGTGATCTTGGCGGGATTGCGAGCGGTGGCGATGACAGCGAAGCCTCGACTGAGTGCTTCCTTGACTAGTGCGGCGCCGAAGCCCGAGGAGCAGCCGGTGATGAGCCAGACTTTTGCAGACATGGCGTAGTGTTGGCAAGACTGTGGTGTACAGTGGTCCGGTTGACGGGGACGAAGTGCTACGGAACTTGTGATCAAACTTATGGTGAATTGTCGAGCGCAATTTAGTGACCAACGACTCAAGACAAGGCAAGCCTATATATGTTCGAGTCGTACAAGTGTACCTACCTGCTCAAAGACCCTATGCCAAGCATTCGCGTTACCGTCTAGCTTGCGAAGCTGGCAAGATGCCCAGTCTGGAACTCGTCTTTGTGGGTGACCTCCACCTGACTCATGCATTTGCATGTCGCAGCGAGTGTCGTGACGCAATCATGCCCTGCATTGTCGCTCCATGTTCCTGGGCCGGCGACGAAGCAGACGGCGATAGTATTGTGTAAGAGTCAACGGGAGCCGGAGCGGAAAGCAATACGAGCTTGGCGTGCGGCCGCACCGCGCCTGGCTAACCTCTAATGACCAGTGGGTCGTTAAAGCACCTGCTTAATGTGTGCTGGTTCTTGTCCAGACCAGGCAAAGACTTCTCGTTTGCCTTTGAGACTCGTCGTTGGCCCGGTACTGTATGCTTCGTGCTAGGCTTTGGGTTTCTAGGACATGGAATTGACGACATCTCATAAAGCCGGGTGCGTTGCCGTAACGGCCGAGAGTCAGTATCGCAGTCACATCACTCGCTACATGACGAGTCGTCGAAGATGAGTGACGGTAGCTATACGATGGGAAAGAGACCTAGGATGCGGCGGGATACACATGGTGCAAACTACGCGCTGTGACGGAGGGCAAGAATAGCCAGAGACAACAAGCTGGCTAGTTCGGAGCAAAGCGTGAGTCGAGTCATAGAATCACAAGGCTGCGGTTGTTATGAATCGCAAGGCTTGCTTGCTCTTTCGACGTCATTTTCAATATTTTGCGTGTTGAAGCGCAACAACTGCGACTGGGTGTCGAGCATTGGTTGCACGAACTCTCGAGCAAGAGCGTCTGACCGGCAACTGTCACTCAAGCGATGTCATGACAGATCGCCGCCGGGTCAATGGGCCCGCAGGAGGGACGCAGCCTCTCGTACCAGTCCCGCTGCCAACGCATAGAACACAACGAAGTCGAAGACCTGACCAACTGCGAAACATCTGTACGCGTTTCACCGCGTCAAAATCTGCTCAAGCTAACGATGAACAGTTTTACATACTGGCACGATACCAGCTGCCAGCGGGTCTGCCTACTATGAACTCGAAGCACCTTCCCAGGCGTCAACTTCTCCGCAGCCAAGAGTAAAATTGTCGTGTGCAGTACATGGGCCGAAGCCATTGACTCGCAACGCCAGCTTCTCACCTAATTTGCAACTGAGCGCCGCTGTCAAGTATGCGCCGTTCGCAACGAGGCTTCGTCGTGGCTACATCCGCGATTCCACCGAGCGTGATCTGGGTATTCATCTCGAGAATGCGTTGAAGGGTCTGATTATACCAGACCGTTGGCCGAAAAGCTCTATCGAGGTCTCAGTATTGGTTCTCGAGGGAGAAGATAACGAGGATCTGATATCTGGACAGCCACTTGGAAGTGTGGCGGGTCAGATAGGACTAATGAACATACTGGCGGGTTGCATTACTGTGGCCACAGCAGCATTGCTTGATGCAAAAATTGACTGCCTAGATGTCATGGCTGGAGGCGTGGCTGCTGTCGTGGCTATGAATGGCGCAGAGGAAAAGATCCTTGATCCCTCACCCGCAGAGCATGAGTACATGAGGTCAGCATGCGTGGTTGGATATCTGCCGAACAGGGATGAGGTTACCGAAGTCTGGACTACAGGCGCTATCATGGAACAGGGCAACGACGGAAACAAGTTCGACGACGTCGTGGACAGTGCTGTCAGTGCGGCCAAGGCCACAGCATCGATTTTGATGGAGGTCCTGATCGAGTCCGCCAAAACCCACATCAAGACCTCATCGAGCGAAGCAAATAGCATTCCCAAATCGAAGCGACAGTCAACGATGAATGACATCGAGATGAAGACCTGATAAGAGCACGCAATACCAAGTTTCCTCGCCCCTCGATAAGCCTCCACGTTCCCGAGTGAAGTCGAAGAACGGACCTGAATCCCATTCATTGCTTGTATTCACTGTCAACGATCTTCTTTGTGGTACACGACTATGTAAGTCCCGATTGCCACTTTCCGATGTCACATTTTGTCTTCAACTTCTTCCTCTTACCCCGATCGTACAATTCCTAGATTTCGCGAGAACGAACCAAGCGTAACATCGTCGTCGATTGAGACCGTCAACATGTCGAAGCCTGTCAGCGGGGTTGCTATCTTCCTGCATCAATGCTTGACATTTTCCGACTGCAAGGTAAGTCCATACGGTGTCCTTAGAAGTTGAATGTGTTTGACACACGCAGGTCAACTACGATGCCGTTGGCACAGCTCTGAACATCAGTGCCGATGCCGCCAGCAAGCGCATGAGTAGACTCAAGGATCGCATCAAGAAGTCTGGCAACAATGCAGCCAGCAAGTCCTGGTCCGGCGAGCTTGACGCTGATGGCACCTTTCTCTTCCAGTGCATCACTTCGTCAGAGTGCAAGGTCAGTTCTGAAGTTCGAGTTTCCCACATCTGCAGCGCTGAATTTGTGCAGATTGATTACGGCAAGGTCGGTGCTGCTCTCAACCCACGCCTTTCAGCTGGCGCTACCGCCAAGCGCTTCAGTCGTTTGAAGACCAAATATGCGCCTGCAGAGTCTGCCCCAGCCGCTGCTCCAAAATCGAAGACCCAGACTCCCAAGGTCTCGGGCTTGCCTCGTTCAGTCAAGCGGAAGTCTGATGATCACGAAACGGAATCCGACGAGGAAGATACCGAGAAACCAAAGAAGAAGACGGCCAAGACAGATGCACCTGTTAAGAGGGAGGAAGATTACGAAGCTGAGTCTGACCTTGACAAGAGTCTTGTGCTCCCTGGAGGCGCGAAGCGTCAGACTCGGGCTCGCACTACTGATTAGTAAGTTCAAATACCCGAATCATGTGCAGCCTCCTACACAATAACGACAATTCCTTGCTGACAATACGGCGCTTCAGCAAACGTCTTCTGGAGCACTCTGACGAGTCTGACGAGGAGTCATCCCGCATTCCTGCCACCGATGGTCCTGGTTCCAGTGACGACTACAACGACACCGATTCAGATCAGAGTTTCAATGGCTTCAGCGATACCAACTGGTCCGAGAGTGAGGATGACGTCGCGCCACCAAAGACTCCTCGTGCCAAAAAGCCCAGCATGCTACCGACACCCGCAAAGACCCTGGAGAGCACAGTATCAGCAAAGACTAGCCTTCCTGCCGTCGTGTCTCCCGAGACTCCAACAAAACTCTCGACCACCGTGACCTCCACACAGAGAAGCTCCACTCGCATCCCCAAAGTGTCACTACTTACACCTGTGGGCCTGTCCGGACTTCCCGTCCTAAGGACCTATGCTTCCGGCGACGCGAGTCAATCCCCGCCACGCCATGTCAGATCTGTATCTGCATCTCCTGGCGCTGGTGAACACGTCTCCAACAGTACTCAAGATGCTGCGCTTCAAGAAGCTGTCGCGCTTGAGGCACGAGAGCGCTCCACAAGTGTCGAAACTCAATGGGAAGACACCGTTGAAAGCTTTGAAGACGTCATTCCAAGCATCGAGGACGTGATCCCAAGCATTGAATCACCCCATGGCCAGCTCAAGGACGTTCCTAGTAAGCACCCACTCTACGGAACTGGGTTTGACTAACCTTGATAGGTGGCGGTCTGCTTACCCGCGTTGCAAAGTGGTGGAAATAAAACTGAAATCATGGAGGACGTCAGAACGTTGACTCAATTGGTCTCTTCGCCCGTCATGATCGTCGTCAGCATGGCGTTTACATTCTCTTATCCCCTGCTTAAGGGGCTTCTGAGTAAGGAACGGATGCGTCAACATCCATGGACGAGCTTGAGTAATTTCATTAAGGCTCCCCAGTCCATGCTGATATGGACGCCGAGATGACGACGGAACAACAGCAGTGCTTGAGCGAGAAGGGCCACTTCAGGGGGTGTAGTCGAGATGGCCAAGGCTCCCAACTCGTTGGACCCATCGCGGCGACGCAATAAATGTTTGCAGGAACGGCCGATTGATGATCGCAAGGGCGCAAATAGCAGCTGCACGCTTCAGCATCAAACAAAAATAATCTACCATCCAGTTCGCATCGCATTTCCTTTAGGTGCAGGTGCATGACAAGAATTCGCAAACAGAAACACACGCCCTGTCCTCGAGTGCCGTGAAGGGCAAATCGCTTGCATGATCATCCCGTGCAGCTTTCCGCTGTAGGGTTACTGCCGGTGGCATCCCAAGCTGCATCTGAAGAGTGCTGAAAAGCCACACACGTGACATCAAGCACTCCAAACCTTGGAAAGCACGAGTCGTGCGAGAGGATGACCTAATTCCTGACGGGCCAGCCAGCTTGATGATCGACTGCAAGCCACATCGCTTGCACATTTGTCAATTTGACACGCGCTGCCTTCGTGTCTGATAAGCAAGCAGACTTTTTCATTAGAGCCACGGCCGCCATGCAACGACGTGCATTGTTGATATCTCGACCTCGTATGCTGTGACGTTGAGCATAGGGCGGGGTTAATCATTGAGCCTCAAAAGAACCAGGTCGATTACTAAGGTCTCCCAGCCCAGCAGGTTAGGGGTATCTTCGGTTGTGCTATACGGCAGAGTTTAATTTGCAATGGCTGCAGGTCCGGGAGTTGCAAATGCTTCTTTCGACACCCATGTCGCTGTTGCATTTTATTCAACAACATGAGATTGCGCTACACGACGAAGATGGAAGTCCCACAACTTCCACAACGACACTATGTCGGACACGAGCAGCCCTACAAAGGACAACACCACCAGGACATCGGCTTGGTCTGAATCAAGACCAAAGTTTGTCTTCGTAGAAGGACGAGCCAAGAGTCTGTCGCAACGGGATAGAGCACTACTTAACAGTGAAGTACGTGCTCATGCCGCTTTTGTCAGTCACAACAGATCAGACTCGGGCGGCAACTCTCGATCTGCATCACCTGCGAATGCATCCAAACGTCAAGCTGGAATCAGATCAAAGATTGCGCCACGACTCCATTCGGTTTCCCCAGACGTCCCTGACAGGAAGAAGCGAAGACGTTCGCAGCAACGCCAGGATGCGGCGGCAGCTCCTCAGCGGCCGGACTCTGTCTACGACAGGACAGAACTGTACAAGATAGTTCCGTATTGGATAGAGCACGAATCGATGGAAGCCCTGGACTTCAGTAAGTGCTGTCCCTCTTAGCTTTTCCCATTGGCTGACTCGCTTCCACAGTGCTCAGTGTGATGGATCCAGCCCACAGCGGCTTTTGCAGCCTGTTCAATATCGCCAATGTCGACAAGATCATGCTGGAATTCATGTCCGATGACTTGTTCTTCCATAGCTTCATTGCTTTTGTCGCCTACTTTATGGGACAGGCGCGAAATCCAGGCTCGTCATCTTCGGAGCATGTCTTCAGCCAGCGAGGCCACGCTCTTCGCCATCTCAACAAAGCCATCCAATCTTTACAGCTCGAAGAAGCTCCGTTACAGGCTTCGCCTAACGATCTCACCATATCCGCCATTGTTTACCTGGCATTGCTGGAACAGCTTCTGGGCAACGATGACGGTCACACGTTACACGCAACAAACCTCAGCCATATCGTTGCTATGCGAGGAGGTGTTGATGCCATCTCGAACCAGTCAACCAAGACCTTGTTGCTCACATACAATTCGCAGTGGGAGCTAGAGACCGGCATCGAGAGAATCCCAGTGGCGTGGAGTTGCAGTCCGCCGCCTGGATTGTCTGCGTCAGTGAGAGTCTCAGACGAGGACGTGGCGAAGTTGCCGGAAGGTTTTCAACTGCTGGCTATGCAAGGTTATCTGTCACACGATACCCTGGTTTTGCTGGGCCGAGGCGTTGATCTCGGTCTCTCGATGCGCTCGCGAGCGAAAGTTCGTGAGTCAACTGCCGCTCAAGAGCAGCGTCGTCCTCACCACAGCCTCCATGAAGCCTGTCCAGTGCTGAAAGCGGCCGACGATGACGACTCGATGCTGGACAAGGTCATTACTCTAGCCATGATCCTGTTCGCTCATATAACCTTCTTGGAAAAGCGAAGGCCTCAGAAACCGCCAGCATACCAGGCCGCACGGGCTGAGCTCACGAGAATTCTCTCGTCCAACCTAGCCTTCCCCTCACCATGGGGCACTGAGAGCTGCGTGTGGATCTGGTGTTGGCTGCTTGCGATCGACGCATGGCGCGCGGACAGCGGTCCCGCCACCGCGTTACTGCCAGACGGTCACGCACTGCTGCATCAGCTCCTACAACACTGCGAAGGCGCTCTGGAACGTTGGGACCACGCGAAGGGCATAGTTGATCGATTCTTCTGGAGCGACGAGCTGGACAGCTTTTGGCAGCGCCACTGGCAGCAGCTGGTCGGTGCTGCCGGCAGCACCGTTCCAGGCACCTGGCTGGCTAGATGACGAGGTACATTGTTGTTTTCTGCGGAGGCGCAAAAGCGTCGTAGACATTCTCAAAAATCTAATCTCCGCAATAACTAATTTCGGCATCGCACGTGACTTGCAACGAATCGCAACCCTTGCTTCCCCCGCCGCCCCTGCCACTGTAGCCACCCCTGAACATGGTGCAACGACCTCGAAAGAACCACCAAAAACAATTCTCCTTCTGCCTCAAGACTGTTTCACTAGCCGTCCCCGGATGATCTCTGTGCAACGGTCACACAAAACACCACGCGTTTGATCTCACAGAGCATCGTTGATTGACATTGCTTTGTGTCACTTGCCCTGTACTCCGGTAGCCTCACATTCCGCCCACGGACGCCAAAGCAGAGAGCTGGTTTCTTTGTTTTTGCGGTCTTGTCTCTCCTTTGGCAAACGATCTCGTAGCACGACACCATCATCGCGAGCTCAAGAATTAGGACACCGTCTTAATCACACGACTTTCACCCTTCGAAAAGTATTCAATTCACCAATAATTCCGACGTACCAATTCTATTACCCTCGCCTCAAAATCGAAACGCCAGTAATGATGTCAAAGCTCGAGGCCGCCCGCGAGCAATTCAGTGCCCAATACGGACGTTCACACAACACATTGCTGAACTCCATCCCTCAGTCGTTGACTAAACGCACCATATCCGCCGCGGATCGCTTGTCTGCTGCACGCGATCAGCTCGAAGCCGACCTCTCTTCCCTCAACAAGCGGATCGCCATGCCCGAGTCACCACGAGAGGCCCTTGCAGCCGCCAAGGCTCAACTTGCGGACGCCTACAACCATCCATCTCTCAACAAACGAATGGCCATGCCAGAGTCACCGCGCGAAGCGCTCGCTGCTGCTAAAGCCCAACTTGCCGATGCTTATAACCATCCCTCCCTTACCAGGCGTGACGATGATTCCGCACCAACAGGGGGTGTTGCGGACATGCCGACGAGCACCATGCAGAAGACCGTCATTCCTTTAGTCATTGGTATTGTGTAAGTGCCATCATTCTCCCCGACCTCCTCCCGGCCGAGAACCAACCAACTGACATCGCCCGCCAAAATAGCCTAATCCTAATCTTCGGTATCGTCGCCGGCATAATCGTCTACAAGCGTCGGCAGAAGAACAAGGCCGCAGAGAACGGCCAGCATCGTCGCAAAGGTCTCGACATCGAGGATGATGGGGCTGACGAGGACTTTGAGATGGGGGTCGGACCACGCGTGCAGACTGTTCATGGCAACACTGCGAATCGGGCTGGTGGCTGGAGTGACGATGACGACGTTAGCCCGCCGCCACGGGACCGTGCAAGCAGTTTGAGGAAGGAGGGTGGCGCTGGTACTCATGTTCGCGGGCTTGATGACAAGGAGTTTGCTTGATGGTTGCGCATCTGCATCTGCATGTTGGGCGGAGTTTGTGGAGTGAACAGCGGTACTCAGCATCGCGGTGCTGGAGGATATCCTCATCTGGCCGATTTCGATTTTTGGTGACTATCCAGCATGCACTCAGTGGGGAGGCCTCTGAGTCGTCGAGCTCATAGCAAAAAGAAGCATTTACAGCATCCTGGTCACTAGTTTGATCGGTCCTGCTCTAGTTGCTCGGCTCCAAGCCGACCAGCTTCTCGTACTTATGCCTCCACGCCGACTTTCAGTACACCATACTGTGGACTAGCTCCAGCTAAGCCGACCTCCTTCACGTACTCGTCCCAGTGCACAAGCAACTCTCTCAGCTTCTCGCCATGTCTCACAGCTAGATCCGCCGTCTCCCCCGGGTCCTCCTCCAAGTTATATAGCTGCCATTCTCCTGGTCCAAAGGGTGGTGGTATCAGCAACGCCTTCCATTTTCCTTTGCGAATCGCCTGCCGGTCGAAGAGTTCCCAACCATGGACGGCGTCTTCATCGTGGACTTCTTTGTGGACGTCAGGCTGGCTGAGGTGTTTCGCCCATGACTTTCCTCGAATAGGCACTACGTCCCGCCCGCGATATGTTGCACCGGGATGTGCGGTGCCTGCTAGCTCCAATAGGGTTGGGGCGATGTCCATGACCGTGGCAAAAGAGTGATCAATTGCGCCCGGCCGTTGACTAGTCACAGGCGGATACCGCACTATCAGCGGTACTCGAATGCCTCCTTCAGAGCTGAAGCATTTATACAGCCGAGCAGGCGCCGTCGCAGCGGACGCCCAACGTGGACCATACCAGACGTAGCTATTTTTGTTCCCAATATTGGCCAGGCTGTTGTCGTAGTACTTCTCGATATGCTCGAAGATGTTGTTCTCGCCAATCACGGGATGGGCTTCCATCAAGAGGCCTTCGGCGCCGTTGTCGGACATGAAGAGGACGAACGTGTTGTCGAGTTCAGAGGTTTTCCGAAGGTATGAGAGTACGCGGCCGATGTGGGTGTCCATGTTCTGAACCATGGCTGCGTAGGTTTCCATTGTGCGGGATGAGAAGGTCTTCTCGTCTCGGGACAGTGTTGACCATTCTCGTGATAATGGTGTTGTTACTGGAGGGCTGATGACTCCGTGAGGCTGGGCGTGCTCGGGTATGAGCCGAGTCCTTTCAGATTTGTCAGTCTCTGCTGGCGGAGGACCTCTGGGCCGTCGGCGTAGCGCCCGCGGTAGGCAATACGATCGGCCTCCGGGGCCTGCAACGGCCAGTGTGGTGCTGAGAAGGGCAGATACGCGAAGAAAGGTTGTTGCTGTTGTTCTGCGCTGCGATCTTCCAGGAATCCTAGTAATTTGTCCGTGAACGACTTCGATGAGAAGAAGTCCTGGCCAAGGTCTGCGGGACCGAGAGCCTTGTCGTTCTCAGCATAGAAAACCGGTGTCTTAGCAAGGACTCCTGGTATCTTTTCGTCCTTCCTTGCAAGCTGTGGTTCCCATCCGTAATGGTTAGCTGCGCCTGGCAGGAGAGCGAATGAACGATCGAATCCACGCTCGCTTGGCCAATGTTTCCGATCGAGACCAAGGTGCCACTTCCCTGACATCAACGTGAAGTAGCCGGCATCCCTGAGCAGCTCCGGTAGCGCCGCGACTCGTTCATTCAAGTATCCTTCGTAGCCCGGCTGCCCCTTCTGGTACTCCTTGATTGACTCTATCATCGCTCCGACTCCGGCAATATCTGGGAAGCGTCAGTCGTTGATCAATGCAACCCATGGCTCTAATCCGTACGATTGTCAGTGCCGCTGAGGAGCATGGACCTTGTTGGTGAGCAGGCCGCTGCGGCGTGGAAATCTGTGAATCGTACACCATCTTCAGCGAGGCTGTTGAGGTTCGGTGTCTTGATCTCGCTGCCGAAAGCACCCACATCGCTGAATCCTAGATCATCAGCAACGATCACTAGAAAATTCGGCCTCTTCGTCATCCTAGTGGTATTGCTCAGACCCAGCTTGAGCGAATGTATTCAGCAAGTTGTCACAGCTACCGAGCCTGCTGGTCCCGTAGTTCAGGCCCCCGAAATGTTTATAGGTAAGTATTTCGGACGGTGCTTATCAGTATGCGTAGGTCACTAGCATTTCTGCCCAGAATTGCGTGCTCATTTCCGCTATGTCACGCCATTTTGGAGAAGACCTTTGCCCACGTTCGCGTGATTGCAACAGTCAGAAGAGGGAAGTCCTACTGCGCAGATACAGCCAGGATCTCGAAGCATGCTAACGATGCGGTCCAAGGTGGACGGAAGCAGAGATCGTGCTTTTGCGGCAGTTGCAATGAAGACTCAAGAATTGAAGAAAGAAAAACGGAAGAAAGACGTGTCGCGCCTGCCAAGCCTATGGTTGAACTGTCGTCATCTTCAATCAACGTAAGGTGCCCTCCATTCCATCCCATCTATCTGCTCCAGGACCTCCTTGCCGGGTATGTACTCGTCCTACAGGCTGTACTCGCGAGCTTTTGCAAGCCCTTTGCTCCTGTTTCTCCTATTGAGTAGTCTGTATTGCACATTTGCGATGACGGTGTTGACCAAGCTGAAGGATATCAGAGCGACTATGACACTCCAGCCAGTGGGATAGTATGGCGCATCTTCCTGTTGGAACAGTTGACTGCCAACAATTCCAGAGCAGTTCGCCGACATGATGAAGACTGCATGGTAATTGACCTCTCACCAGCGGTGCGTGCATTCAGTGCCATCCAGGAGCCATTGACGGGATCTTTCAGGTTGTTAGTTCACACCAAACATCGCAACATTCAGGATGATATGCTTACGCCAGAAGCTCGAAACCGCGATTCCAAGTGTCAGTGCTGCGAAGCGCGACTTGGCATTGTGAGAGTAGATCAATGTGCGGCTAGCAACAACACAGGCCCACCAGCACAACACTCCTAGCGTCACCAGAGGACCTCGACGTCCCCATCTGTCACTGGACTAGTTGTCAGCCATATATGAGACGGGCTCGAAGGGGCCCGTAGACTTACGCCAAGAATCCCCAGGTCACGGTAAGGATCAGCGAGCACCACTGTCCAATGGACACCATTGCATTGGATCTCAGGCGCCCATACCCATATCCTCTGATCAGAGTTGGTGCATAGTTCCACATAACAGATGACGGTGCCAGTCCAGAGATCGTGAGGAGAACATGTGGTATGAGCCGCCAATTTGTGAAGACAGATTTGAACTCTGCTTTCGAGATGTTATGTTCTGGATGGCGTTTCGACGGGTCATCAAGGAGAACCCTCTGGAGCAGAATTGTCTTCTCACGTTCGTTGAAATACTGTAGCTTTGCCAGCCACGGCACAGGACGGAGTGGGCTCAGCGGAAACAGGGATGTAAAGATGCATCCAACGAGTATCGTGAAAAGCCCCTCCAGGAGAAAGAGCCAGAACCAGCCAGCGCGACCACCAATACCTCGCATATGAAGGACTGCGTACGCGAGAAGGCCGCTGATTGCCTGTGCAGACTGATTGCCGATGAAGAACCAAGAGAAGCGCTTGCTGGTCTCGTCTCTCTTGTAGAACCTAGTGATGGTATACAGCCCTGCTGGGATGAAGCCGCTTTCTGCGCAGAAGGACGTGGTCAGCACCTAACACCACAGCGACGCGTCATGGTAACTCCTTTATCTTACCCGTGAGACCGAGCAGAAGTCTGGTAACCATAAATGCAGCAACCCCTTTCTGGAACGCCTGGAAAGTTGCAACGAATCCCCATGCAATGATCTGGACGCCGATCCATTTGGCTGGCCCGACTCGGTATAGGATGAAGTTACTGGGAACCTCGAGGAGAACAATGCCCAACGACAAGAGCTGTTGCCCAATGTTGAACTGATTCTGTGTGATGCCCACATCCCGGAAGAAGAAGTCTGTCAAAGCATTTCCGATGTTGCCACGATCGAGTTGCAACGCAAAGAACGCCATCATCAGTAGCGGCATCACAATACTGTCGAGCTTTCTGACGACGCGTTTCTCTTCATCTGGGGTCCAATAAGGCTGCTCAGGTTCAGATACAGAGTCTGGCGTTGTGGGTGCTTTCTCGGCGGCATCGGTCCTTGAGGGCTGCTTTGTGATATCCATGATGGCTATTTCCCCTGTGAATGGCTGAGAACAGTGTCTCGTCGTCTTCGAGGCCTTCAGAGCCTTTATACACCGTCCATCTCCGCCATGACCCTGCTCATGCCCACGCATTGAGCCGCGTAGAAGTGTCTCCTATACCCCATCGTCCAAGACGAGGCTCGAGCTTTGTAGTCAGAATGTCGCCATGGTAGTCGAATCAGCGTGCACACGCACGGCGTTAGACCCGTCGGCCTTCTGCCAATATAGCACTAGGCCGGTATGTTACCATCTTCTCCAAGCGTTGCGCCATCCGTCTGCCAATCACGCAACACGTTTATCATCTACCACGTGTCAATGCTTCCGTGATCCAGCTCTTCGGACACGCTACCCAGACACTGCCAATCTCAACGACTGGTTCGGAACGAAACCCTTGAGCGTTCGCGTGGGATGTGTGTGGTGTTGGGGAGGGGATAGCGCAATGCTACCACGATGGGCAATGCCGAGAGAGCCAGCCATTTTACTGAGGACATGTTTATGCAAAGTCCTGTGTTTGCTCTCTTCAATCTGTCCGTCTATACCACACCAGTCTGCTTCAAACTGTCGCCATGGCCCATCTCGAAGCTCGCAAGCACATTTCTCCAGACTCGGGCTTTCCGATCACGCTGCACCCATCTTTCAATCCTAAGATTCAGAAGCACACTCCGCCGGAACCCATCCGCAGCGAGGTGACACCTGAGCCAGACCGGGCATCGTTCGCGGATCCCGAGAAGAAAGCTTTGCTTTCGGCAGCCAGGCAAGTCGACTTGACTGAGTCCATCGGCACCATTCTAGAAGATGTCCAGCTTTCGCAACTTTCACCGCAGCAGCTAGATGAGCTCGCATTGCTGGTCTCAGAGCGCGGCGTTGTCTTCTTCAGGAACCAGGATCTGACCACAGAGAAGCAAGTTGAGCTCTTCCAGCACTATGGCACTCTCGACAAGCATCCAGCCCAGAAGGATGTCAAACATGTCATCATCAAAGGCAGCACCGAGGACCACCGCGAGATCGCATCATATACGCCGTGGCCATCAGGAGACTTCCATGCAGACACATCATTTGAGATCAACCCACCTTCTTACTCGCTCTTGCGCATGGAGGAGCATCCGGACGTTGGTGGTGACACGGCCTGGGTATGTCGCAGTCTCCCCTGAATCCTATCATAACTGGTAAAGCTAACGCAACTCGCAGGTCTCCCAGTATGGGACCTACGACACGCTCAGCAAAGCGCTGAAAACATACCTGGATGGCCTGCACGCCGTACACACCTCGCGGTTGCAGTACGACACCATCCTCGACCTTTGGGGCGTTGGGCCCAACCGCCCTCCAATCGACACCCACCACCCTGCAGTGCGGACTCACCCAGTCACCGGATTGAAAGCGCTCAACGTCAATCCTGGCTTCGTCACTGGGTTTGCTGAACTCAAAAAGCGAGAATCAGGTACGTCCGAGTCAACAAACCGACCTTCTCCCTCATGCGGTTTTATCGCGTCCCGCTTACTCACAGAAACAGATTCCTTACTGAGCTTCATTGACCACCACATCCATTCCGCTGATGACCACTACGTCCGCTGGAAGTGGGCGGTTGACAGTGTTGCCATGTGGGACAATCGTGTGGCAGTCCATCGCGTAATCCCGGGTACCTATAAGGGAAATCGCAAGGGCATCAGAACGACTGTCTTTGGTGAGAAGCGTAAGTTTTCCAGACTCTTGACACAATGTTTGAACATTCGTGCTGACACTTGAGCAGCGTATTTTGATCCGAAGAGCGAGGGCAGGGCGGAAAGGTCAGCGCGACTGGTAACAGAGGAAAGCCATCAGAATGGCAATGGCGTCAATTGACATTCCCACAATGGCGCTACCAATTCACATTAGCTGGCAAGCCATGCGGTTTGGTATCGGCATTGCAGTCGTTCTGACCCAATGTATATGCAGACGGGCAGTTGGGTACGTACGGTACGTGAACATACGGGGGTCTTCTGCATGTTCATCAACAACTTGATTGGTCAGCCTTGTCCCAGCCCGGTCAACCGGACTTGACAATCTTTATTGCCCCTCACGAACCTTCATCGGACTGCAAATACATTCCGCGATTGGTCTCTGAAGGTACTTCAGTGACTGATTTGATTCTCTATCCGTGTGCGTATCCTGGAGCTGGGCGTCACTGCTCATATTTTGATCCAGCCACGCCGGCGACTGTTGCGTCACTCCACCACACGTCATGGACCCGTGGACCGCGACCTGAGCTCCAGCTCCATAGGAAGAGGCCTGCCTCCGGCGTACCATGCAAGTTGACTTCGCTGTGATTCATTGATCCCGCAATCATGGTCACCAGCCAACGTAGGACCACAACTGGCGTAGCCACTTGACTCAGAGATCCGCAAAGCAAGCTTCATGACCTTCCCGTCGATGCAGTGAGGAACCGGATTTGCCCGAGCTTCGCACTTTGGACGATAGTCAGCACTTGTGACTCCAGCGAAACGAGTGGCGAGACTTACAGCGCACTTATCGGCGCACGAGTCTGAATATCTTTCCCATGACATCTTGCCCGCTGGAGTACTTTAGTCAGTCTCCTAGCACAATTTCACAGCGCATGAGGACCCAGACAGGAGGTATACTTACTGGCATCGCATAGGTACTTGAAAGGCGATCCTATGCATCTCCGACCGAGCTTGATGTCTTCGAGGAATGGACTGCCTGGCGTTGAACCTTGCTAGACTCACATCGTCAGACTCGTGCGCTACAAGCGAAGACAACATAATACGACTTGCCTGTGATCTGCAGACTGTTAGCCACCGATGGCGCTTCACCAGATGAACACGTCTAGCTTGAACCGGCTCAGTATTGGTGGTTTCGTTGGCGTTAGTGTCGAGATTGGGGGAGGGAGCGCTGGCTACCAGGACTGAAAGGGCCGCAATGGCGGACAAAACGGTGAGCGCTCGCATACTAACATGTATCGCGGATGGTAATTCGGATGACGAAGATGATATTGCGAATGAAGGCGAGGATCAGGGGCGAGTATGGATGAGAGGTACATCGGAGATATCCGGAGGCGCAATGTAGGTGAAGACGCAAAGTCGTGGAGGCGGCCGTGACGTGAAGGTGAGGTGAAGAAGAAGATGCATCGCGATGGTCACGATTTTCAGCACTTTTATCGTCACAATGGAAGCCTCAGAGGCAAGTGCAACCCACACCTCTACTTTCATCACGAAGTGACACATCGCTGAGATGAAATGTCGCCAGAGCACCCTCTCAACTCCTTCCCTGGCCAGAAGCTCCATGACATATCGATCTCTAAGGACGCTCAAGTGGGGATCGTTATCAACCTACGGACTCGATTAGCAAAGCAACAGCAGAACCTCAGAATCCTCCCTGGCAGCGCATACTTGGTTAAGTGTTGCAGATCTAGCTGAAAAGACCTAGCGATGACTGATGGAGGTATGAGTATCAGGATAAGTGTGTGTGACGCCAACACACCGTCAAAGCGCAAACAGGTCCGTACTCTCCCCTCTATATGGCAAAGCACGCCTTCATGGATCCGCCATCAACACAGAACGGCACTGGATTAGCTCTAGGCTCACACTGGGAGGACAAGTCAGTAGCTTGTCAGGCTGTCTCAAACGACGAGGAGTACGCACTCCACATTTCTCCGTGCACTCTTCCAGCTCTCGCGACCAATCTAAGTCATCTGTAACGCTCAGGTCAGCGCACTCGGAGTTTTGGCACCTGTGGAAGAACACCTACTTCCTTCACAGATGTACTTGTAAGGAGAACCGAGGCACTTTCGACTGAGGGGGATGTCTTCTCTCCATTGGCGGCTGACAGGATCCTATGGCCAGCACCGTCAGTATGGGGAAATGAGGAATTGCTTTAAGCAGCCGACTTACCTGAGACTTGCAAACCGTCACGTAGCTATGGCGCTTCCGGAGGCGGTTGATCTGAGCAGGACTGGCCTTCTCATCACTTCGCTGTGATCTTATCTCAAGCCGATTGGAGAGGCCCTCATCTATGGGTACCCTAGAAACAAGAGGTCATTCCGGAGACCCCTAGGCATTGTGGAACAGGATTTGCCCACCTTCGCTCGCACTGGAAAGATACGTCAGTATTAGGTTTCTCTCTGTTATTGGCAGCTCATCAGGGAGGAGTATACTAACAATACACTTGTCCGTGCACTGATCGTCACGTTTCTCGTAATCGAGTCAGCCGTCTGGGTGAGCATATCAGCTGCCGTCTCTAGCTCAGGAGGCCTGCCTAGGACAGTTTGGAGACCCACCGGATTTGCAGTTGTACTTGAAAGGCCGAGCGATGCATCTGCGACCTAGCTTGGTATCTTCGATCTTGCCATCGACCTCGAGATACCAGTCAATACGGACCGTTGCTCGAGTGAGGCTGCCTTTAGACTCACCAGCGTCTTGCAGCTAACCGTGTACTCATGACGTTTCTCAAGCTGGCGAGATTGTTCCTGGGCGTCCGATCGCGTGATGAGATTCGAGTCATCAGCGTCAAGGACTGGAGCACCGAAGGCCCCAACAAAGAGCGCCGCAACAGCGAAGAGGCACATGAGGAACCGCATCGTACTGGCTGGGGTCTTTTGGTGAGGGTAATCTGGGCTTTGAGATGGATAGGTGGCTCGCAACGAGGTAGTGCTAGACGGAGGGAAAGTTTTGGGTGTCCGGGGCGAAGGTCAGATATACCCCCATGGACAATGGCAGTGAAGACTTTGTCAACTAGGTACGACAAACGAAGGAGTCATGAAGGTAGACTGCACTCAATGTCGCTCACTGGACAATGATCAAATGTCCTCCTTCAGGACAGGCGCGGCAGTCCCATCAAGCGGTTGGGTCATTCACTGGACACCGATGAGATACGACGACGACAGACACGCTTTCACGTCGATTCTTCACTCTTTGTTACGGCAGAAGTCCGCGGTCCCACGAATCGAGTGGCTCGGACATGCCGGCGGCCCCCGAGGACGCTGCAGGGGCCGCACGACTTCATGCGTGGCGTCCCGCGCTCTTACACGTCTGAGCAGTGGATGAGGATAGCCGCAAGGGCACAAGACTACTCCGGGTGCTGTTGTGCGCTATCCTGGCACACTTGGTGGTGGACAACCCCAAACCGATGGCAACCTACAGTTATTCAACCATGAATGGATGGGACATGGCGTCCGAGTCAGGAGAACTCGACTAACATGCATCCGGGCGGGCAAGATGGTGAGGCATTGTGGGACGAACAGTGCCAAATCTTTGCAGTCATGCAATGCCATACTCTTGGAAATGCTTCCTCAGCCCGTCGAGGGTCACCAGCCGAGAGCTGGCCTCTGAGTCAACAAAAGTTGCTGCAAAGATGAAGGTCTCCCCTTTCTGACTTCTGTTGCGTTCCTGTTCGGGACAGGCGTTGTCACAACCTGACCAGACCAATGCATATCAGTACTGGGGCTGTGATCGACTTACATCTGACCTCTTCTCCTGCTCCAGGCCTCCGAGGCTCATTCGTCTCTTCTGGTTATGTCTTCACGGTGCCCGGCGCGGCGAGGTACTAGTCCGACTCGGAGAAGGGCTTGGTTTAGGTATGGCGTGTCCGCTGTGAATATGTCGGCACGAACTCGAAGGCCTTCGATCCACAAGCAAACCGATTACAGTGTCGGTGAACCATGCCGAAATCTTCTCAACGTTCACTCTTCTTCAACGATCGATATGCTCGCTCCCGGCACAGCGGCTTACAATTCGGCTTCTGCAGCGGCAACACTCTGTAAATCCGAGCAAGAGCACTAGTCTTCCAAGTGTTTGCTGGTAGAGGTGTCCTGACATTTTCTGTGATCCCAATCAAGCCGCACATGCTCCCTGTACTCAGAACGAGCAGCGGTATGTTTCACGGGCAGAGGTCTGTCTGCGGCCTTGCCCATCAATCCATCTCGCCCGCAGGGAGGGAAATCATTAGGCCACTGCAACGGGCGACGGGTGGAGCAGGGAAAGACGCTTCGGTCGAGTGAGACGATGAGAAGAAGGCGGCATCCTCGAGTGACAAATCCATCTGCCTGCGGTTGCTGCTTCACGGGAAGATGGAAGATGGCTGTCGACCCTGTCTGATGTCAGTGCTGATTATGAGTTTGCACGGGTCTGCTCAACTGCTTTGATAGCCGGTACCGAGTGGATCGGCTCTGCTTCTGCTTTCTCTCCGGGTTTGCTGCTAGAGTGCATGCTTCGAGCTGGTCGGACGTGGGCCTTCTAGGCCATTGACAGTGACGTGGCGAGCAATGGCTGGCAGATCTGGCACATAGACAGCTTCTGACGAGAGAAATGAAAAGCACATGATGTTGTCCGAGCAGTGGTGATGAAAAGAATGATGGTGATGAGCGTGCAATGTTCTCGGACTGCCTGCTACCTCAGATCAACGAGACCAGTGGCTCCTTCCTCTGCAAATGGAATGCGCTCTTCGTCAAAGGCAGGCGCGACCGAAAGCAACAGCGAACTGCGCTCGTTGTGGGAAGGTGTATCCACGCTCCTGCCTTCCATCGGCACAGCCAATTTCAACCCGATTTAACACCAACCAGCAACGATGAAGTTGATAGAAGGCCGGTCGAGCGATGAACAATCTGCGTGACGATGGAAGTCACGTATGGACAGCTGTCGCCGTGATTTGGAGCGCATATCATCTTCTCCTGAGACACCTGAGAATCCAAGCTGAGCTGCCTGTCAGATGGGATCGTGAAACAAGCTGCAGTGAAGTCCGTACAGCATGGAGTCAAGATATTGCTGGTCCCCGTCGAGCACTATATATACTTACTTCTGTGTCGACCATTCTTGCTTGCTACCATGACAAGATCGAGATCAGGCAATATCCTCGATTCATCTCATCTCAAATACCCCATATCGTCCACGGTAACCCGATCACGACGCCACCAGAGCTCACTCCGCGATGAAGTTCTCGAGTATCGCAATGCTTCTCGCACTCACCATGTTCTCCTTGCTCGCCCCATCTATGGTCTTGGCTCGAGCCTGCCGGGAGCCGTCCTCAACAACTCGACTCTGGGCATTGACAGCATCTCCAGCTTGGAGGGCCGTCGTCTCGTCAAGCGTCGCACATGGGTCTACATGTGCTACAACAACGAGAAACACGAGCTCGAGGATGTCAAACTGGCACGTCGCTCAAAGTCTCCATTCAACTATGTGTGGTGAGAACCTTCTGAACTCTTCTTTCCTTTCACTGCTGGCTTGCTGTCATCTCAGTGGACACAGAAACCATAACGCTGACCCGAATCAGTGACTCGGAAGGACTCCCTGATGGTAGTAAGTTCTGTGCGGGAATGTCCACCAAGTTTCCTTGTTCTAACGAACCTAGCTGGCAAATAAGACGATCTGTGTGACGAACATTGCAAGTGCATTAACACTGCGGATCCAAAGCCGTACTGCATCAGGGAGATCAAGATGGGTACCGGTCCGTGGGGACTGTGCTTTTAAGCGGGTCGACTGTGAAGAGGGATAGCCGGTTTCAAGCAGCGCACCGTCGACCGACATCTCACAGCTGTCCGGATACACCCATCTCAGCAGCTGAGTCTGATTAAATGTAGGTTCGGAAGTCTCTGGCATGGCGGAGTTAGAGTCAACCGGTCACTCTGGAGGACGCTGAGACGTCACGCAATGCTGGTCGCGCGCAGCGACTACTGGCGGAGGTGATCGATCTTTGCGGAGGCTGCACCTCTACGGTGACCCAACTCAGTGAGTGCGGCACTGGGTCCAGCGATGCAGTACCAAACATAGAATGACATTCTCACCCACAGAAGTCTGCTTTACCGATTTCCGTCATAGCCACTACTACTTGTCTGATCCGACGAGCCCAAGGCGCTAGCTTTACCATAGTACTCGTTCGGAATGCTGCCCTCAACCTCATACGCTCGAGAATTTCTCTGCCTTGCGTCCAGCTCAGTCGGGACCGAATTCCTGCTCTTCCATCCAGCAAATCCTCGCCTGGTCTCCATTGCATCCATCTCTTGCTTCGGCCTGACTTGTGCGACTGATAGCCCAGCTAGCTCGGGCTTCATATGGTGGGAATCGTTGGTCTGGTACGCGGACGATGCCTTCCCATCTTCTCTTGCGGCACGTGCGCTTTTCGTCGACGGAAAATAAAGAGTCCCGCAACAATGGCGAGGATACCCACAAGTGCTCCGCCAATCGCGATTCCAGCGATCGCTCCCGTTGACAGTCCCTGGTTGTCATTGCTGGGAGCTCCACCCCCACTCTCATCACTGGATGACGTGCTGTTTGCGACTACTCCTGCAGAGGTGCCAGTGGTTGCAGTAGTCTCTGCACCTGTTGTCTCCGCAGCCGCAGCATCGATGTACGTTGTCCTCGCGGACACCGTCTTGATGTTGAGTCCAGCAATTGTGGGAAGTGTGGCATCTCCGTCAACTGTCCAGTTGTCGTCTGTGGTCGGACAAGCGGGCGGAGTGTTTGAAGGCGTGTAATCTGCCCTGGGCGTATTGACCGGCTTGGCCGTGCTGAAGACCTTCTGGAGGTTGGTATAGTCCGGAAGGGGATCTGGAAAGCCGCCAGTGCTGCTGCTGGGGTACTCCACGAGCCCATAGTCGTTCTCTTCCTGCGCCCACTCGTAGACGATGGCACCTGAAAAGGCATTGGGAAAAACGGACCCTAAGATGACCGATACCTCGTCGAAGGTCCTGGGCTGAATGATGTTGCAACCAACCTCAGTGAACACCGCTGGGATGTTTAGGGGCTGCAATCGCTCATACAGCTTATCGTAGCCCGCCTCGGAATAGGAGGAGTTGCCACACCATGAATAGGCGTTAAGACCATACATGTCGATGCTGTCTGCTTCATCACCGCATGCGAGATAGTCGGCGGTGGCTTGCTGCATAACGACCACGTCGGCTGCGCTGTACGCCATAGGAATTTTGCGATAGCCGCGAGCGTTTCGAAACGCTTTCATATCGCGAGCGGCAGCTTTGACGTATGGTGCGACCCCCGAAGTTTTATTGTCGTTGATGAGCTCATTGCTGACTTCCAGGGCCAGTGTGTTGTTATAAGGAGCAAATGTATCCACGATTTTGGTCATGTGCGTGAAGAGTTCCTCAGTCCATTCAGGATCAGCCCTGTCTAGGGCGTGCAGAGGTTCCGTGAGACCAATCCAGGCATATATACCCTGGGTAGCGAAAGCCTGCATACAGCCATCGTGGTTCAGCGAAGCGTCCACCGTGTAGACACGAACCGTGTTCACTCCGGCATCCTTCATGAACCCAGCATCGAGCTGGCATTGATTGGTATCTGCCAGTGGATCACTGACGGTTGAAACGCCATCGGGCTGGTACACAACGCCTGAGCAGCGATTAGCTTGGCTGTGCTCGAGGTCTAGATTTGCACACCTTTGATAAAGAACTGGTCGCCCTCATCGTCATAGAGTTTAGTGCCTTTGACCGATATTGGAGAGATTGCCACAACAGCAAGACCTTGGATCGCGGCGAGCAGAAGCAATGCGAGACCGAGGGTCATGGCTGGGAAACGCCCACGACAACAACAATAAAACCACACTGACGACGGCGTTATCAGAGCCGTACATTCGACATCGCAACTGTCTTGGAGACAATGTCAAAGAACGACAAACGTTCTGGGTTCTCGACGGTCCGTCTCCATCACAAACAAGGAGGGAGTGCCGTGTTTCATCTTCGACACGGTAAGCTTGGCTGTTTTGGAAGTTCATGAAATCCGGTCGTTCAGGCAGAATTTGGACGCGATTCATTGGCGGTTTAGAATGGTCGGGATTGCATTTTGGGGGCGGACGCAATTTGCAGACCTCCTGAGCGGCCTCAGTCCAAATCACCGCCGTCGCCACTGTACCGCCCTAGGCGAAAGCAGGCAACACTTTCCACTGTGACGTATATACATAATGCGCTGTTCTCCCATCGCACACGGCGAATGTCGATATCATGCCCAAGTACGGCTTCCGGACTCCAGGTCAGTGGTCCTGTTGGGAAGCTAGCCAATGCGAATGATCTCCTGGACTGGCACACCGTCGAAGAGTAGGGGCTTCGATATGGACTGCGGCTGTACAACATGGTGCTCTTCGCTGAACAGGGAGTCTTGCGAACAACCCGAATATTGTCGAAAGCTGAAGTTGAAGAAGATACGAGGTCTGACATGGGCGGCTTAGTCACCCGTGGCGTCGGAAAGTCCCTCCTAAGCCAGAGTCAAGACGCCTTGAGCTGACGCGACAAGTTCTCACGCTCTTCGACATGTACGTCGTCATTCGTGCTATGTGGGCTTCAGCAACATGCCTTCGCGCACTGATGAACGTCCAACATCTACGAAACTCATGATCTCCTGTCAGGCAGCCGCGCTACACGCCTTGCCTTGCCTTCGAAGGTTGGCCCCGAGTCCCGAGGCTACAGACCTGCCCCGAAGCTGACCTAGAAATGCGGGGTTTGGGGTATGGAGCTGTTCGTGTACTGCACACCAGGTCTGGATTCCTGGAAAACGATTTCCCTCGTCAATGCTTCCATGTGTGAGGTACCATAGCCGGCGCGCTGCAGCTGCGGCTTGCTTGCGATTGACATGACTCGCTGCCATGGAGCTACGAGATGGCTATACAGTAGCACTTTCAAGACACGGCAATCTCTCTTGTCTCGAAAGTCTGTAAAGCATTGTGCCGTGACACTCGTCCAGCTGTCGATTTGACTGATTCAGCCTAAGCATTAAAGGTTTTCCAAGCACTTGATTCACACAGCATCGGATCCGCCTAAATCTGAGGAAGGAACCATCTAACGCAGCGACCATGGCGACCATGAAAGCAGCCCAGTTTCACCCCGACTCAATGAAGATCAGTCTCGAAACAATACCAATACCCGAACCCAAGGCCGATGAAATCCTTGTGAAGACAATCTCAGCAGGACTATGCCACTCAGACCTTGTATGGACCTAATTGCCTGAACTCACCGACCGCACGTCTCAGCAACGCTGACCTGCGCTACCCAGATGGTTCTAGACGGCTCCCTCCCAGTCCAATCCACCGTACCTGTCACCATCGGCCACGAAGCCGTCGGCGAGATCGTCAGCCTCGGCTCTTCCGTGAAGGGCTTCTCCGTGGGCGACACGATCGGCTTCCTCAACGCCTGGCACGCCTGCTGGGAGTGCGAGGGCTGTTCGCGGCACTATGCTCAGTGCTCGGGTGGAGAGTTGTAAGTGCAGCCATTCTCAGTCCTGGACTCGGGGAGGACGCCGTGAATCAGAGTCTCCAGCCATCCGATTCAGTTATCCGAAAGTAAGTGCTAACACGAACGTGATAGCAAGATGCAAGGCTGGGCGCTCGACGGCTTCATGCAGGAGTACTGCATCGTGGACCACAAAACAGCATTCGTGCTTCCCAAAGACCTCGACGCAACGAAAGCAGCGCCCTTGACCTGCGCAGGCATCACAGCATTCAACGCAGTACGCCGCCCCAATCTGAAAGAAGGCCAGTGGCTGGGCGTAGTCGGATGCGGCGGACTCGGGCAACTGGCAGTCCGCTACGCCAAAGCCCACAACCTCCGCGTGATCGCAATCGACATCGACGACACTATCCTCTCCCATGCTACCGCCGCCGGCGTCGAACACACCTTCAACAGCCGCACCACCCCCACACCGGACCTCATCACCACCGTCAAGTCCCTCACCGGCGGCGGCCTGCACGCCGTCGCCGTCTTCACCGCCGTCAAAGCCGGCTACGCCATCGCTCCCAAACTCCTTCGCTTGGGCGGCCAACTTGTCTGCGTGGGCTGTCCCGGTGAGGATGTCGAGATCAATGCCATGAGTGTGGCGTTGAGCATGTACTCGGTGGTGGGCGCGAATAATATGGCGACGCCAAGCCAATTGAGGGAGTGTGCGGAGTTTACGGCGAAGCATGGGATTGATCCGCCGATGCAGTTCTTTAAGATAGAGCAGATTGAGGAGATGGTTGAGATTATGGAGAAGGGAAAGCTGGGTGGGAATCGGTTGGTTGTGCAGTATTGAGAAGTTGATCTGTGGTGTTTTGTAGCTTGGGAGTCTTTGGAGAGGACACCGCAGTGCGAGATGGACTTCGTTGTATGTCATTTGTCATACCCTGACTGGCTCTCATCGACCAACTCTCATTGCCTGTCATTCACTGATCGTTGCTGCAGGCATGCTTGTTGGCCTCAGCGCACAAGCAGGCTGCCAACAACAGTGCCCGTAACGACCGCGGACTTGCGGCTGCACGTGGCCCTCCAGCAACAAGTCATCGAACCACTGGGCACCGTCCGGAGCCATGAGCTTCGTAGGCCAGTACTGCTCGAACAGCTCCTGACCCTGGTCCCAGGTCTCGATGCCCATCGCAATAGCCTTGCGGCGAAGAGCGCCAACGAACCACGGCTGCCACTTCCCTCTGGGTGCATTGTGCAGATATGTAATCTCCCAGCAGGCACAGGCATACAGTGCCCATAATTGAGCCTCTTGAAGGACTCGCGTCTGCCTATTGTTGGCGATCGTCGGCCGCAGGAGGTCTCTGAGCAGGTGGATTGTGCCGTTCGAGTAGCACACTTCTCCGACTGGCTGAACGATGTGCTGCAAGATACTGAGCTGCATCAGCAGAGTCGCCGCGAGCATTACTTCTGCGTTCCGAATTTGGAATTGAATGGGATCTCTCGATGGGCTCCGACTTCTCGAAACTTCCTGTTGTAGTATATCGACAACCTGATCGAACAGCCTGTGAGATGTGCCGAAACTGAGGTAGAAGGCGGAGACGGGATCGACATTATTCTTCTCGGCGGCTGGTCCGCCATATACCGTCAGAACTGTCCTCCAGTCATGGAACACGTCTATCAAGGCCTGACTGAACGGCGCTCCGGGAGTGCTCTGCGTAGTACTGTCACCTCGGAGCTTGTTCACCGTAGGCTCTTGCGCCCGAATCATGCTACGCATTTGCGTGGGTAGCCAGTCCTGGCTGCAGATGATCTTGCGGCCAGCGAGTAAGGCTGTGAAGTTGTCGAAGAAGAACACTCGGCACATGCGAGTTGTCAAGATCGCGAGGCTGTCCGAGTCGCCATCTGCTTCCAGGGCCTGGACCATGCTTCGGATCTGAGAGCCGTGGATCTCGACCTGCTGCGCCTCGCCTTTACACAAGGCGGCTATGGTAAGGCACATCAACGCATTGATGGATGACTCGCGGGTCGTGGTACCCTCAGCTAATTCAAGACTTTCGCGTAGGGTCGACAAGGCCTGCCGCTTCAGTCGCATTTTCCGGCGTCCAAGCACTGGACTGTCATCGATGGCAGCCATGAGTGCAGCCGACTGATAGAGAAACATCACTGCGTCCAACTCGCTGCGATGAAGCTTTTGCACATCATGCTCCATTTCCAGCGTGAAGTAAGACTTTCCACCTTGCCCGCGTCGGTGGTTGTGAATGCATCTCCATATCGATGGATTCGTCCAGTAAACTATAGCTTCATGAATTTCAGCGGTCAGCATGACAGGTAAGCCGCTGAAAGGGTCTGAACTGCCATTCTTCGGGATGAACTGAAATCTGGTGCATTTCGATTTCGGCTGTTCACTCTGCCTACCGCAATCGCATCGAGGCTGGCATGCGCAAGATCTCAAGGGCCGAGATGGTGGATGAATTGTAGCTTCGCTGTCGCTACGAGTCGCTCGGTCGAAGTGAATTGGGGCTGTGATATACGCATGTCGTTGAGAGCGTCTGGAAGGCCTTTTGGCAGATTTGCGTGGCTGATATTGTATGAAGCGCGTGTAGAGAGGGTCTCTGGACGTCGTGCCGGGTAATGGCGATGCAGGTGGTGATCCCATTCGATAAGTCGATAGCTGAACCGCCCTTAGTAAGCCTGCTTTAGCACCAGTTCCGTGCTGCCCAAGCGCCTATGATCCGCATGCAGTTCCGTCCGATCACCTCGAAAACAGTAGCAGGTGTCGATAGCTCGTAATATGTTGCATACGAGGGTGGCTGCTGCCGTCGTGCCATCGTTGATGGTAAACATCGTCCTTATCACTAGGTACCCATGCCAGGCTTTTAGTCAGCTGCCAAGCAGACGAGGCAAAGTGGTGACACTGTTTCTGTTGACTCGGGGCAAACAGCAGGCGGCGACAGCCATCGAGAAATTATATGCATCGCAAAGCATTTGAGTCGATCTGTGGTGGCTACACAGCGGGAGGAGAGCCCACCCAGTAGCGAAAGTCAAAAGCTTCTGTATATCTAAGCAAGGTAGGTAAGGTATCTACCTATGCCAAGCACCAAAATGCAAATACTAGACCTGAAAGGCTGAAATTGAGATCGTGCTAATTCTGCGTGGAAAGAAAGCCGACGCGAAGGATCAGCCCGAGCAATGAATTACGAAAGAGGGAAGGGGCGCATTACAAAAGAAGGAAGGCGTACGGTAGACGTGGTAAGCAGAGCTCGCATAGTAGTTTCTCGAGTACAACGAAATGCCCTACAGCATGCGATTTCTGTGCTTAATCATCGCCGATCCTTGCCAATATGCAGGTACGACCGGGAAGTTCCTTCCATAGTCTCGTAAGGCTTTTGATAAGAATGAGAAATTCAGCACATTCAGGCAACGCTTCTACTTCTGAGCACCTTTGACCGCAGCAACCTCCTCGTCAAGTCCGAGAATATGTGGGAGAGGGCCCACAGGAGTAATGGAGTACGGGTTGATCCTGTAGATGTCAGCAAGTCTAGGCCTTGTATAAGCAAAAGTGGCACATACTGCTTATGAGACCGAGTATAATGATACTTGATGTGGTCGAAGAGTGTCGTCTCCTTGCCGAAAGCTGGGACGTTCCAGTACAGGTTCCTCATCCACTTGTGAATGGCTGGATAGCCGCTACGAATGTCACGGATATTGGTCTTGAAGTGCTGCACATAGACTGGGTCAAATCGAATGATGGTGGTGTACAGCCTCACATCTCCCTCCGTGATATTTTTGCCGTAGTAATAAGGGTCAGCGTTCTTGGCCAGATGCTCTTCAACACGATCAAGAGACTTGAAGAGCTGAGTCACCGCTTTCTCGTAAGCCTCTGCAGATGTCGCAAACCCGGAACGATAGACTCCGTTGTTGATATCGGGGTAAGTCCATTCATTTGTCTCCTCAATCTGGGCCTTCAGATCATCGGGTAACAGCTTGACGTCACGGTACTTTGGCTCGATGATGTCGTCGAACTCCGTGTAGAACATGCGAATTATCTCAGCTGATTCGTTAGAAACGATGGTCTTGGTCTTCTTGTCGTAAAGTGTCGGAACTGTGAAGCGGCCATCATAATCGGGATTCACATCAAAGTAGATGTCGCGAAGGTGGGTGAAGTCTGGATGTAGGGGGTCAGGGGTCGTCTCTCCCGTGGCCTCCTCCCCCTTCTTCGCAAATCGCCATCCTTCAAACGGTCAGTCCTTGTACCTGACTCTTTCATGTTGCCCTTACCTTTCTCAAGCATCTCCCAATGGACAGACGTGAATGGAATGATGTCCTCCAGGCCCTTCAACTTGCGCACAATGAGCGTTCTGTGAGCTGTATCGCGGTCAGTCAAGTACTCTTCATTGCGGAGCTGGTCAGCTAACCCCATGGACACGCATAGCTGACGTAGAGATGGTAGCGGTCCTTCTCCGCCGGAAATTTGGCATCAGGCTTGTTCTCTATGAAGTTTCGAAACTGGGACTGTTTGCGCTCAAACGACCCATCCTTCGATGAGTATGCGAGGATGTTGGTCTGATGGTCCTGGCGGATTGTTAGTGGGGCAATGGTTCGGAAACGTGGTTCGCCTACCCCAGGCATGCTGAAGTATCGCACAAAGGTCTTTATAGTACTATTGTACTGGCGCTGTCGGACGATGTATGGTAGCACGAACGGCGAGATTCGCAAGGACATTCAATGGGCACAGGCGTTCTTGAGCGTGCGGGAAAGTTACGATGAGCTATGTTATAGTTGGGCGTCGAGAACTGGATGGAGGACTCTTCAGTGGTGACGTTTACCAATGATTGGATAAGCTCTGCGGAACGAAGAGACTTCCGCTATCCCCATCCAGTGGATGACTAACATTCTGCCTTGCCACCATATACTTTGAGTCTATGCGACTCTTGCGATCTATGTGCTACTTAGGTACGTCTAATACATCTGTGAATGCTCCTGTGATCGTGCGCCTTGCTCAATCTCATTCGCCGGATGACCGACTGCCCGTAGGAAGGCCGCCCTGGCGAGATCACCAAAGATTTGTGCTTGATTTGCTCAATTCCATTCGCTGATGAACAAATGCCCGTCCGTATGAAGGCCGCCCTGGCGCAGTCGCCAAAGATTCTTTCTAGTCTCACTCGATTTCACTGGTCGAGCACCATCTGTCCGTATGAAGGCCGCCCTGGCGAGTTCTTCAAGATTTGTACTTGACCATAACGTATGGGATTTCAACGTCCTCCTCGGTCGTATCCTCGGCAGTGACCTCGCAGATGATGTTCTTCACGTGGTCTTCGATGGGCTTGCGGCTGATCGTCTCGACCAGCTTGCTCATCTTCAGTGGTAGTCTGTCCTTGAGCTTGCTGGGCGGGTAGAAACTTGCATACAGCAGGCTCACACCAGAACTGACCATTGAGACCGTCAAGCCCTTATCCTCGAACCACTTCAAGAAGTCACTAAGGGTGATATCATCCACCTCAAACCGGTCCCAGAGCTTGTCGATAGTCACTTCGCCGTTCTTGCCTTGATACGTGCCTTTGGGACTGGCGATAGGTTCGCTGAAACCAAAGAAGGGAAGAGCCAGGTTGACAAACCCGTTCTTATACTGCTCAAGATCATTCTTGCCGTCGATAATCTTGTACAGCTCCAGCACCACCAGCCCAGTAACCAGCGCTGTAGTAGTCGCGATTGCTGGGATAATCTTGCCAGCAATGAACTTAGTCTTGTGCCGATCAGCGACAGGAATGTCGTAGTTGATGGCACGCAGATTGCTCGCAGCGTTGATGAAGTCGATGTGATGGTTGGTGTCGTCATCTTTCTCGAATTCCACAACGTTGAGACGGAATGTTGGTAGTGACTTCGGCTCTGGTAGGACATCGATGATCTTTTGCAGCTCGGCGGCATCGTCAGCGAACGACGGAGGCGGCCCATTGGGATCTGGTTCTTTGTCATCGGCCTGGATCTTCACGTTGCTATCTGGCTTGAATTCGGGAACGATCATGCTATCGATGACTTTGGCATAGTCAGACTTGTCTAGCTTAGGTGCTTTGATACCATAGTTGTATGCACGTAGATTGGCACCAGCAATCACGAAAGCCATGTGAGTCTCGTCTGAGGTGTCGAACTTGAGTGCTGTTGGAGCTCGCTTCGGGCCCGACCAGAAGTCAGCGCCGCTCGATGTTTTGGTGTCCTTTGGGAAGTTGTACAGCAGCTGTGCAATGGCATTATGGTATTGCTTCTCGAATTGATTGCGGGCCCATGCAATGCAGTCTTCAAAGTTCTCTGGCTTCTCGGAGACCAGGAACTCTTTCAGACTATCCAAGATCTGTTTCTCGTTGCCTTGTTGACGTAGAGTAGTATTGATGTAGTCGGGCTGCGTGAGATAAAGATTGACGGTTTCCGGCGGACCCACGAAGAACGACTGGAACAGGTCACGAGCCCAAGCGATGGTGTGTTCAATCTTGTTCGGGAAGCTTCGTAATGTGCACATTGGGAAGGATTGTTCAGGTGGATCTTGCGAACTCGAATATGACTCCGTGAGACGAGGTAGCACAACCTGTGTGTTTCCCTTGGTGCCCAGTGTCCCGCTTTCGAGCAGTGGCTTCAGGTGGAAGACGCACTTGCGATCAACGTAGGTACGGGCTTCGACATTGTCCAAGGCATTGGTGACAATGTCAAGATCATTCCAGAAACCCTCGTTGAAGACGTCTTCGGAGTCTGGACCAACTCGATCGCCAAGAGTCTTGATTTTGCCATTGAGATCTGGATTCATTGCTTGGACAGCAGCTGCAGCACAGTCGCTCTTCTGTTTGCCTACATCCTTCGGTCGGAACAGGAACTGGCGATTCAGATTCGACTTCTCGATTGAGTCGTTGTCTGTGACAGTGATCTGACCATTCGGACCGGTCGCAAGGCCAATCAGAGAGTAGTTTTTGAGCATTTCACAGCCAATGGCGCCTGCCCCAACCAGGAAATTCTTCACATTCGAGATCTTCTCCTGGAACTCGGCGCCAAAGACAGCGATTTGCCCGTCGTATCGCGAGTTCTGGGGTTTGCACAACTCTTCTGATCGTTTGACAGAAGTGGGCAGGGATTCGAGCGAGTCGAGGTACAACCACTGCACGATAGGGTTGAACTTGCCGGAAACGGATTTGAGGACCTCCTGAGCAGCAAGGCCACCAAAGAAAGCAGCCATAGGGCTCAAGTCGCCCTGAGCCTGGTAGCTGAGCTCCTTGATGAGCTTCTCGTCCAGCTCGACGTCGGTCTCTTTAGCAAGCTTTGTGGCGAAGTCGAAGATTTCCTGTGCGTCCGCTTCGTTGTGAGGTCGGGGAAAGATGCCATTGTGCTCTGCCGCAAAGTTATGCAATGCCTGAATACCGACATGCAGCTGTGCTGGGCGGTCGAACTTGGCAAAGTCCGACACGAGTATCTCTGGTTTCTTGAGTTGCGATGAGAAGGATTCGAAGTTTATGACCTTTGGCATCTTGACCTGAGCAAACAGACCGCCGCCTTGATATTGCCCAAGTTCTGACACATCGCCAATGGAGAACGAGTAGGGGCCCTTGACTGTGATCTTCCGTGGTGCTGCACCATTGAGCTTCTCCAAGCCTTTGAGCTCCGCAAACTCCACGTAGTCGCCATCTTCTAAGCCGTGTCTCGTCTCTTCTAGGGTGGAAACCAGTCCTGATTCATCGATGCCAGCGATGATGCCACTGATGGGGTTCTCGCCCGTCACGTCGCCAACAGTGAAGTTCTTGCCAAAGTCTGCGAAGATGTAACCGAAGAGGCCGAACGTGTCGGCGATCACTAGGTATTTGCCTTTGTCGTGGCAGTACTCTGAGATGACCAACTGATCTTTCAAGGTTGTCGAAGTGAGAACGACTACCTGAAATTTGTCTAACTGCTTCAGATCTTGTGCGAGGGATTTCGTCTGCAGGACGGAAACGGGGGTATAGCTGTTCAGCTCGGCGACTCGTGGGGCGGTGACTTGATCTCGCGGCTTGCCAACGTCTTCTGGACGTAAGAAGAACTGTGAGGATAGATCGGCAATGGCTGCAGGTGCAGGGTCGTGGAGGGTGAGTGACTTAACGCCAGCCAGGGCGATGTTCTTTGCGATCTCGACGCCGAGGCCTTTCAGACCGACGACAAGAACGTTCGAGGCACCCATGCGCTTCATGGCTTCGTGACCAAGCACGTAGAGTTGTCTGCTGTAAAGTGATTCGTCGATCTCGCCGCTCTGGAGCTGCTGGATAGCAGCCCCAGGATTGTCGACATCCATGGCTGTGTCCGTCATGACTTTCTTCTCCGGCCGCTGAGGGTCGTCGCCGATAGAGGCCTTCCGCTTGCTGCTGGTTGTAAGTATAGGTGGTGCTTCTGCGTGAGGCGAAATGATGACTGTGGCCTTGCCCGTGGCAAGACCTCTGAGATGATTGTTTCGGGCGGCCTCTATGGAGAAGATCCGATGCTAGAAACAGAGGCAGCAATGCAACAGACTGGGAAGGACTTTGCACAGATTGATGGAAGTTTCGCGAAGTTGGTGTGTTGAAGAGTCAAAGGCCGCCTGGGTGCAATGTTTGCTGCAAAGTACATGATTCTCCAAGTGATGCAATTCCGGGCGTGCCTGCCGCCTGTCGCAGCCTTGTCGCCGCCTTATCAAGCAACGGGCCTCGATCCCCGGTTGCATTTGTCAAAGATTCTTACAGCGCCCTCCCTAGCTAGAAACTATTGAAATGGCTTTCTCTAGTAATCAACGCTGAAGTGAGGCTCGTCTCAAACACTGACTTGGTTAGCGAAAGAGGTTTCAGACCTTCACCGTCCTCTGACCAAAAGGCATTGAACAGCCTGAGTCAATCCCTCAGGGACCTCTGTAGTGTACTGGGGCGGGGAACAGCACTTGCTAAAAAGGCGTGACTTACCTGCCCTGGAGCTCGACGTGCTTCGCACCTGCTGTCCGGTGCAACGAACTCGGACATCCATATCGTGGACGCTGTACAGTTCACAGAGTACCTAGCACTTGCAAGAAGTCCTCAAGGCCACATCGAGGGTGTGTCACCTCAATACCGAAGACGTGCGACCCCTCTACACGCCTCGATGCGCGTCGCGTGTCGGCACATCCCTGCCCCACCATAGCGGCTCGCCTGGAAGGAACATTTCCCATGTGTCGCTTTGAACTACTCGGACGCCTCGTACTTTTCTGCCAGCCGCCACAACGGCTGCCTGCTAATCGCGCAAACACGAGCTCCGAGCCTGTGCGGATGATTCCGACCAGCTCGGCGCAATGCTACAACAAGAGATCCTCTTGGCCCTATCCGGCTACCAGTCAGACATCTTTGAGAAGGTAAAGCGTACCGACCAGAGTGATGAAGGGCTCAATCAGGTCGTGTCCGAGCCCGAAAGGGCCATGTTGAACGTTCTGGGTCAGATCGCAGATCTCCATGTCGAGATCAAGACGACAGCAGCACGCATCGCTGGCGGGCATCCATCACCTATCTGCAGAGGTGTTGCTGCTGCGATCTCTGACACTCACCTAGTCGCTTTCCGCAAGAAGATAATTGCAGTCGAGGCATCTATTCTGCGACGAGATGCGGCGTATGTCGGCGCTTACGACATAGTGCCGCTAAGCACTATCGCGGGCGAATTTACGCCATGGACACGGCGACTACGGTGGCTGAGGAACATCACTCATTTCGCGATGAACGCCGAGGGCAGTGAGCCAAGGACTGCGTGCTCCGGGAAAGCCATGCTAGACTATCTGCACTCAGAGACACGGACTGGCCATTCAGATCTTGAGGAGCTGGCACTGAGTCTTGAGATTTGCGCACAGAAGATCTCGATGCGTTCAGTCGCTGCGTGGGTTCTGTATGGCTCTCTTCCGACGTTTGGAGCGAGCGACTTCATGCTTCAGCGAAAAGCCTCTGCCACCTATGGCACGGCCGAAGCTACTGTTGACTATGCGCTGGTTCCAGGCTTCGTTACTAGACAGACCGCTGAGACGATCCTCGCCATCGGTAACGCCCTCAATCAGATCCAGGCTCAGCTCAAGACCACTGCAGGCGCAGCGCTAAGCAACGTTATCAAGCCGAGCAGCTTGTTGCCCAAGCACTTGAAGCTCCTGGAGTCGTTGCAGTATCCTTTGAGCACCTGGCTTGTGCAGCAAGCTATGAACGAGATCGAGATCTCAATTTCACAAAACGCGTTAGCTGCCATCTTGCCAGTCAACCAGGTTGCAGATTTCCTTGAGGTCATTCGCCGATATAGTCTGCTCTCAGAAGGCGAATTTGCTACTGGGCTCATCGAGCAGGCCGCAAGCAAGCTAGCCTCGCGGCAGAGCAAACATGCCAGCAAGCCAGTCAGAAAGATGGGCCGGGTGGACGACCTCACCATCAAGGACGCAGAGCTGAGTAGCGTGCTTACCAAAACATGGGACGAGCTTGCTGCAGTCCAGTCCAGCGACATAGGAGACAACAAAATCTCCAAGCTCGCGCGCACCTTGCTCGTCCTACGTGGCATCAATGTCTCATCAACAGGAAGTGAGACATCACTATCAACGCTCATGCCGACTGCGACAGCTCTGTCGATAGATCTTCCTACCGATTCTAACTTGCGCCTGTTCCTCCAAGCGCAGGACATCGCCACTTATTCCAGAATCACGTCTTTCCTCTTGTCCATCCGACGAGCTGAGCTACAGCTCGCCCAGTTGTGGAAGTTGACCTCGCAACGCAGATGCCATCCAACGCCGATCGGACCACCCATCAGTGCCACACCTTATGGCCAACAAGCGCTGACCACACGCCGCACACGCGAGAACCACAGGTCCAAAATCATGCGACAGCACTGGGCTTCAACAAGCAAGACCCTGTTCGTGTTCAACGAATTGGACGCGTACATACACGGCGAAGTAATACATCACAGCTGGGCGGCCTTCCAGGACTGGCTAGGTACTGGCGTCAACGGATCTCGGCCTGCCTCGTCACGCTCACAAGGCTCAAGACCCGGGACGGGTTCATCTACGACAGATGCTCTGCGCTCTTCGGGAAGGCCACGGCAAATGAATGATCCCAGAACATTGGCAAGCGGCCATCGAGCGTTCCTCGACGCGCTTCACGCTGGGTTACTGCTTGCTAATTCGCCTCTCCTGACTGTATTAAAGGAGATCCTGAACACAATCGATCATTACGTTGCCCTTTTCTCCCAGCTCTCCAGCATCTGGCAAGGCCTGGACTTGCAAGAGGATGAGGGAGTAGTCGACGCATTCACCAACTATAAGGAAGACGAGAGGAATGTTCTTGCGGAGATGACCCGCTGTAGGACTTCGTTGGAAGAGATGATCGTCGGGTTGGTGGAGAAGTTGAAAGCTGCGGAGCATGACCGGACGGCGAGTGATCTTCAGACTGGGTTTGAGGCGCTCGACATGGCATCGTCGCACGCCTTTGTGCCATGGAAAGTGAGGACACTCGATCGGTTGATCATGAAGCTAGATTATCTTACGGGTGCAAATGGGCAGCAAGATGATGGGGAGGGAATCATGCTTGATGATAATGAAGATTGAGGACGTATGCACGAATGTTCGAGTTGCTGAGTCGAAGCTCTTCAAGGATTGCGTTTCCAGACATCGTACTTTATAATTTGAGACAGAATTACTTCGTGCAGTGTTTCCAGACCTTTAGCGCCTTCCATGAGAAGGACAACTTCACGACGAACTATTCCCATGTGGTATGCATCTGTCTTGACAGCGAGTTAGCATGACAACTCGCGCGATACCTAGCAGATAAGAAATTGCAGCACAGAAACCAAATCAGAAAAGCCGTTTACCGCATCCCTCTCCCGACACACCCACGCCCACCATCTCATCGCTCCAAAATGGAACAACTCGACGACGAGCGCAAGTGATCAAACCAGATACCGCGTCACGCAAAGCCAAATGATCAGACCTCTCCACAACCATCTTCCCAGTCCGCCGAGCTTTCCAGCACCTCGTGGATGATGGGTAAGCAGCAGTTGGTCCGGTATCGGGGAGAGCGGCAAGTGGGTTTGGTGATTGGGGAATGGTCCACAGTCTTCCAACCGTGGGGAAGGGTACTTCGAGGGTTAGGAGAATGGATAGACTAGGTGTCATCATTTGGGTTTGTGCTGCGTACGGTTGGGAGGAAATTCGGGAGGACGTACTCTTACAGTCAAAAAGGTCGATTGTTGGTCAGTGCTGTTGCGTTAGTGGTCGGCACAGAGAGGTATGCGAGTACCTGGATCAAGGACAGCATTAGCTAAGTTCCTCGACGGTGAAATGAGAGTATGATGGATGTGGAGAGGGACGATTTCAGACAATGGTAAGCTGGTATGGTCTTCTTCAAGGGGTATCAGAAGCAGAACTGATTATTGTATTACTTTGATCATCATTGTGGTCGTAGGAGTGCTGGATCAAGAGCGATCACTTACCACGCAGTAGATTTTGAAACGGGTTCCATCCGAAGAGAACTACATCTTGTTTTTGTCAGTCGTTACTTCTGGTATCGTATTGAGGTAGGATCGCGTGTTGTTTGGACAGAATCAGATGGTAGTGCATGTAAGTTCAAATGGCTCATGATGTTGTCGCCAGGAACTAGGTATGTTGAAATTTCTTCATAGGAAAGGAGCTTGCAACGCTTCGGAAAGGACGTACCATTATCAGCAAGGCTTGGAGCAGACTACGAGACTGCTCGGCAGACTGCTGAGCTATCCTCAGTGACAAAAAGACGTACATGTTGATGGTGCGAAGTTCAAAATGTTCGAAGAGTCAATTCCGATTGTTCAAAAATGTTCGAAGTGGATCCCCGGTCATTGGCTGGCTATCTCCGCGTGCCAAGGATTTCCGGCAACCTCGAAGTCCGAGTCGACCTTTATTCAATCAGGGTTCATCACGAAGACTTCTCCTTGAACCACTGGGTGATGCTAGTTGTTGTCCAAATTCGGTCTGCCGTGATTGCAGACATCGTCAGCTCTACAAGGATTATAGTGCCGCGCGACGCATGGGTCTCATTTTGCGTGCTGTGAAAAGTCCCAAATGATGGATCCCTTGTGAACCACACTTTCGAGCTCCGATTTGGTGAGTCCTCTCGCGATGATCCTTGCTCGGGGCCGATTCTCGCGGTGTGCACTCGCAAACGCGGCTCAGGTGTTCTCGTTTTCTGCTTTTGTGAATACGTCGGCAAGATGCATCGAGCCCAGCGTCGTCGAAACAAGAATATATATCAACCTTGCGGTGAAATTGCACCATCATTCGACGAGACGTGTCACAGGCCACACAGATGTCAAATGTGATAAGGCTGAGAACTACATCAGCCAAGACGTCGATGGAATGGATTGCCTGCCCTGAAGGCTCATTTCATGGCCAAGAGGAGAATACGGGCGCAAGTGGGGGCCGAAAATTCTGTTGTGTCGTACTGACGAAGTCGACGCCTTCTCTCATAGGCTCATTCGTTACGATGCAAGGCAAATTGATCATCACCGACAACCGCCAGCGAGACGTCTCCGGAGGACTACAGGTCACACGGACCACTTGGGAAGTACGTCAGTGACAGGTGCAAGGCAGAATCTCTTGAAATCCTGAGGCATGAATATTCACGGGCAGGATACAGGGTATAAAAGGGTCGACAGTAACCTCGACAATGCGGTCGACCTGGACCTCGCAACAACACACGATCATCAAGCCAGAACACACCTTGACAGGCATATCTCACCTTTGACACGATGCAGCTTAAACTTCTCGCGACCTTTCTCTTGCTTGATCTGGCTTTTGGTCACGTTCTCCTCGGTCGCTCCGAGGAAAATGGGCCATGTACCGGCTCTGGTGGCGCGCCAGGTGTCTGCATTGCTACTGCCAAGTGTGAAGCTGGTGGTGGGACAAGCGTGAAGGACAAATGTCCAGGCACGCCGGACGACATCAGATGCTGTACAAAGCCAGTGAGACTCCTCCTAGCAGAAAAGTATTACAATTCGAGGCACTGACTACTTTCATAGGCTTGCGGCACGGGCGATGAGAGGAATTGTCGCTTCGCCTCAGATTGCGACAGCGGTGTCATAGAGACCAATAAGTGTCCTGGCCCAGACAACTTCAAATGCTGCATGCCCAAGAGTGGCGGCGGTGGCGATGGCTACCCGACTCCTGACTTCCCAAGCACATCATCTGGTTGCAAGCAGACCGCCATCGATGGTGCAAAAGCCATCGTTGATGCTTTCCCTGGTAAGGTCAAGGAGATTGGCTGCATCAGAAAATGCGATAGTTCCGATACCAGCGACCATTGCGACGGTATGGCCACAGATATGATGGTCGCCGATGGCGGCGTCAAGGTCACCACTGGAGAACCAATCGCCGAGTGGGTCATGAATCATTGCAGTTCTGTAAGTCCTAGCAAATATCTCCTTTGGCCTTTCATTCGACTCTGCTCCCTGAGTGACAGCCTTGACCAAAACGACGTGTCATACTCTTTGTGTTCCTTCACACCAGTTTATTCAGACCAAGCTGACCTTGTTCACCAGATCGATTGCAAGTACGTCATGTGGGGACAGCGCATTTGGGAGAAGTCACAGGATAGTGTAAAGCCATGGAACGAGTGGCGCTATCAAGCTTGCACTGTCATCAAGCCGTGTACCAACGGCGACCGTGGTGACAACACCGCAAACCATTGGGATCACGTCCATGTCAGCTACGCCTAATGGCCTTTCGGATTGTTGAAGCTGCAGTTCTTACGACCTCTACTACACCCTCATTTCAAGAGATCTAACTGCGGTGTGCCACAAAAGTACCTTTTCCGGTATTTCAGTAGAGGCTACGAATTCGATTAAGGGCAAAACTTGAAGAAGAATCCCATGTGGGGGCCCTTGGCTGGGCTCGCTTGAAAGCATGAAGAAAGTCAAGTCAATCGCTCCTCCCCAGAGTCTATTGTTACTGATCGCTACCGCTTTCTGATATTGCACTTTTGCAGACACTGCTCAACGCTCATCGCAACGTTCTTCGGGATTAAGCCTCGGAACGTATCGATATCTCTGCCATCAAACGTGAAGTCATTCTTGAACACTGCTTGCAGCAGGTCGTTGTCCAAGTCGAAAAGTCTTTGCGCGCTTTGCTGAACTCCTGGATCTTCTGAAGCAAAGCCAGCAACGAATACAGCCGGATCGCAGTTCGGATTGACTAATCGATACGACAATTAGTGATCTATGCGAAGAAGTGGATTTGGGCTTTTTGCAAGTCGACTTACACTCTGCATGGATTGCTCCTTGAGGAAAGACCGTCATTTGATACTGCGAAAGTTCGTTGCGAATGACTGTGGCGCCGTTTTCAGCAATGTACTCTGTGCCCAGAGTCCCTTCTACGATGATGTTTATCTCCGCAGATCTTGGATGCGTCTGTAGGTCGTCAGTTCTGCGTTCCACGGATTCCCGGTGTCTTCAACTTACGTGAGGAGTGTTGAATCCGCAAGGACCAATAAACCCAACAGTCATCGAAACGCCAGTTCCGATCAAGGCTGGAAAGTCCTTCCTGTCGGCCTTCACAGTATGTCCACCATCACCAGTCGTCACCGCGTCGGGTCTTGGAGGGTTGTTGAAGTCATATTTGTGGTCTGAATCGTTCGGCAGCAGCTTTAGTCTGTCCACTGCGGTTGCTGCCTGCTCCAGGGAAGATATGAGCTGCTGATTCCCAGATTGTGATGGATCTATTGACGCCGTGTTCATGTTGCTGCTGGTGCTGTTGCCCGTCGGTGCTGCTACTGCCGAGCTTGCCATGAAAGGCATCATTATGTACGTTGCCAGATGCAACATTTTGGTGTGTTGTACGATTAAGACTTAGGATTACTAGTGAAAGAGTACTAATGAGTGGACAGATGGAAAGAGTGTGCTTCGAATTGTTGAATGAGTATATCGAACCAGGCCTGGAGATGGCATCGGCTGAAGACTATATCAATTACGATACTGATTACTTTCATCGATGATCCCGGCCGCAGCACGCTTGTACCGTTGCGTCGAGAGCCTTTGCCGTGGCACCATCCTTTGCTGAATCTAAATCGGAACGACGATGCGCTAAGACGGTAGTCTGCACGCTCAATCCACATGTACTGGCACTGGGCAGTAAACGAAGCATGCTGTGCCCAGACGTAGGTTTACTATTTCTATACTTTCGTACTACGGGATTGGGGGCCTCGTGAAAGCGGCGCCCGTCTATTCGCCCGGAGCCCGCTATGATAATTTACGCCTGCCAAGATTGGCCTAAAGCGGTGAAGGCATTGCTTGAGGGGCCTTAAAAAGTGCTTATGAAATCTTGTGTTGATCACACTATCTCTTCGCCAGACGGATCCGTGGCACATCGCGCCCGCTTCGCCCCCCAGATCGCCCCTGGAGGGGTCGTTTTTGCGCCATGCGCATGCATGGTGTACAACTTTGGCCTCACAAGTGCTGACATAGCAATTAAGCAAGTGGCACTAGAGTATGCAACAGGCAATGGCTGCTTCGAGCAGGCGTAGCAGTGCCGAACGCTAAGGACAGCTGAAAGTCGTTTTCCCTGTCGACCAGGGCGGCATGAAATCCAAAACCGGGGAGACAGGGACGGCAATGCTCCAGAGCCCGATGATTGGAAATTGGATTCTATTACTTTACTTCTGAACGACACGTACGCCCTGCCTCGAGTCGTTATCGACCTGTTCAAGAGCATCAAGATCGACCCGGCCATTGTGTTTGTGCCGCGACCACTGACGAAAGTACCTACCGTTACACTCCCAGCGTGGCGAAGCCAAGGCTCGTTCGACCTCAGCCATCCTGCCCGTGGATCTCTACTGTGCTTTTTCCTCTACGTTTTACCAGGGTCATATCACACGCCGTACTTCAACTTCTCGGAGGCACTGTTATCTGTAGCGACTGTTGAGGCTCACTTCTGTCAGAATTCCTCTGGGCTCGATCAACAAGAAGCGGCTACCGTCTGTTCACTGACTTGACACACCTTGAGCACTATGGCGTTCTCGAAGTCGAGCGGCGCCGTGCCGCTGGGCGCAACAGGAGGCTCAAACTATCCTCTGCCATTGACATACCTTGTGCTGGGCACATCCATGCTTTTCTCGGCCATCAGTACGGGCTTGCTTGGGTACTTCACATACTACCTGAATATGGACTCCATGTCAGTGCCTTGGGAGTTCATCATTGTAAGTCTCTCGAGGCTCGTTGGGGGACTCCTACAAGCCTACCAAAGGATGAGCCAAGTTCTGACTTCGTCTCTAGCTTCTCACCACATCGTCACTCACACTACTCACCCATATCACCGAGATCTTCGCCCACACGCGCCGAGCAAGGCAATTTTCTGGCCCTCGACGACATCTGCTCATCCATAGCGTACTCCTTGGACTCTGGATTATCGGCATTGCCCTCCTCGGCAACAAGATCGGCCCCATGGTCTTGTCCCGCTCGTGCGGCATGTCAACATGGCTCACTACCACGGGACTCATGGTCTGCCGCATCTACAAAGCCCTCTTCGCCTTCATCGTCCTCTCTGCCGGTAGCGTCCTTGCCGCAGCCGCCCTCGACCTCAAAGTATGGCTCGGTTCCGGCGGCAGCAAACGCAACGTGAACCCTTACCGCGAGATTGGCGGCGAGAAGCAGCGCAGTGCTGGTGGTCTTGCTTCACGCTTCGGCCTCAAGGAGCGGGCGAAGACGTGGAGAGAGCGCGGTGGCTTTGAAGGCGACATGGCTACTTCGAGCACAGCTACTGGTGCGCCTGGGTTGCATGCTCAAGGAGTGGTCGGACGAGGAATCGCTACTTTGAAGGAGCCACAACCAAGTCCAGGATTCAGTGATGCTGGAGACATGGGAGATTCGCAGCGGCTGGTGGCTGAGAGTCCAGAGATGGTACGTGGCTCATCACCTTGATCTTCTCCATTCCCCTTTCATTAGGAGAAGCTGACTTGCGAATCAGGCTATACACCATATGCAACACCTAAGCTTACTTAGCGCATTGATGCTCTATGCACATTATTGCACGGAACTCTCGAGAACCACGCTGTCCGACGTCTGGCACGTCGATTGCCGCTCAATAGACGGCTTCACTAAACATAGTGTACGATCCTTGGTGTGGGGGTACATTGAGTGAGACTGAGGGCATATATATCAGTAATCCTCTTGCGGAGCTCTGAGAATCTGGCCATGCACCTGATCTGACAAAGCCTGCAAGATAGCGCGATCAATGCCTTGACCCAAAATACATCTGTCCATACCTCTTAGCCATGTCCATGCCTCTCAGCCGGTGATAGTCTTCCACAGTTGCGGAGGGATAGGCATCCTTGCATCCCCCAGAACCACCATCTTCAGCAAGTCGTCCTTCACAATCTTCTCCTTCTGCTTCTCGAGCTCCTCCAGATCCCATCTTACGTCCAGATATCTACCATTCAGATAGTTGGCCTGCGGCGTCGCGCAGTAGACGGTGACTGCACTAGCCAGCTCCACCTTTTCGGTGAAAAAAGGAATCATGAAAGCCGGTGAGTGCTTCGTGGTGTCTGTATCGGCTACTCCACCAGGATGCAAGGCGATACATTGCAGACCGTACGGCGACGCTTCAGCAGCAGTATGCTCGGTGAGCTTGTTGAGAGCGGCTTTGGGCAGGCAGTATGACGTGCCCAGAGGCATAAGCGCATTTGAGGCGAGAGAAGTGACATTGATGATGAACTTCTCTGGCTCAGCTGGTGGCTCAGCAGGTCTGGTCAGTGAGCGGATGTATGCTCGAGTCGTGAGCCAGGGAGATTTCAAGTATACTTCGATGTCCGCCCACCAACGATCGGGCTCACTGTCGACGAGTCGAGATCGGCCGGTACGGGCGCCTTGAGAGTTGACGAGGATGTCGATCGTGATGCCAGAGGACTTGGTGTCGCTGAAGACCTTGTCGACTTCTTCCACGCTCGTGGCGTTGGCGGCGATGGGAACCACGTTGGTGTTTGGGAATCTGCCTTTCATCTCATCCTTGACTGCCTCCAGTGCTTCAAGGCGACGACCACTGATGACAACGTTGGCGGCACCGACCTCAGCGAAAGCAATGGCAATAGCTTTGCCGATGCCTGATCCGCCGCCGAAGATGAGGACAGATTTTCCCTTGGCGGAGTCCTTCAGCGGGCCTTGGAGGTCGATGTAAGGGTAGACGTCAGAGTGCTTCGCTTCGGCGACCTTCGGGTCGGACATGTTGTTATGATTGCGTCTTCGGGACGCTTCTGCAACCTTTGGATCAGCCTGGTTGTGATGATTGCGTCCTCGGCAGAGAAGTATGGTCTCGCACGTGAGAGGTATACAGAGCAGGCCCGGTACCTTATAGTATCGTAGCGATCTTCTATTCGGCTTGTGAGTTGACCCGAATCTGTCTCGACTATTGCTTTGTACTGGAGAAGCGGCTGGCCTAATATTATCGGAATATTGCTACCCACACAGAGTGCTCGCATAATTCGTCGCGGCTTCAAAAGGACTTACTGTAAATCCGTCCAAGGAAGAGCCAAGCGTAAGGTCAGCGTGGAGATGCTACTGTACGGCTGGTTGACCGTTGTTGGCATTGGCAGTGTGTACGACGGTCTTCGCCCGTGACTAAACGAGACAGGGTGTGTAGGTACCTTGGACCAATGTGTATGCGGCTATAAGACTCACGAACTGCGTGTACGTCATACTGAGCCTCATGCCGAAAGTCAGTCACAAGGTATCGTTCCTAGATGCCTAGGTGAGTAGCCGTATACGCATGGTTCACCAGGACCTTGCATTTGGTCCAGAATCACAGCAGCACCGTCGATTCTCGCGTGAATCCGTCAATGAGCAATCTGATGACGTCCACAGCGTAGCTAAAAAGACCAGCAAGTTCGCATCAGTACGCAGGATTCGAGAGAGGGCACCTGAATCCAGTGGAGCACTTTTCGCCAAGGCGAGCTCCTCGTCACTTCGAAGAGGCAACTTTGGCGAGCGTGACGGTGACGAAGTCATACTTTGTTGTCCGCAGTCCTGCATATGACCGCTCTCAACGTCTAGCACCGTCATGACGTCCAACACTACTTCGGGCGCGAACACGCCGCGATTCGTCTCACAGAACGCCACCGCCGAGGACCTGCTCAAGACACAGACTATAGGGCTTGTAAACCTCTCGGATTTCCGGAAGCGGCGTGCAGATGTGCACGAGCTCAACGAGCGGGAGGCTCAGGACAGCAATCGGAGCGGAAGTCAGACACCGGCAGGCGAAGATGATGGACGGTAAGACCTGCTTGCTAGTCACGAAAAGTCGCAGAACTAACTGATCAAGTACAGTGCCTTGACTCCAAACTCCGATACACAACCCGCGAAGAAGAAGAAAAAGGCGAAAAAGATCCTCAGCTATGACGATGAAGAGGAGACCACGGAATCAATACCGAAGGCTCAGAAGTCTAGGACAGTGTCTAGCCTCACAGATGACGAGCCTGCAACATCGATCCGTAAGGTGAAGCCCAACCCGAACTCGCGGGTGCCGGCTGTGAAGGCAGTGACAAAGGCAGCTCAGCTTGCAGAAGCCGAGGAGCGGGAGAGGTTGCGAAGGAATTTCCTTGAGACACAAGAGAAGGTCAAAGCAACAGAGATAGCCGTACCATTTGTCTTCTACGATGGCGCGAACATCCCCGGAGACATCGTCAAAGTCAAGAAGGGCGACCATATCTGGCTCCTGCTGGAGAAGGCAAGAAAGGTCGCGGCTGAGAAGGGAGTACAGGGAAGCGGCAACGCGGCAGGCGGACTGAGCTCAAAGAATCGCGACTCAAGCAAGAAGGAGTGGGCGAGAATTGGTGTAGATGATTTGATGCTGGTGAAAGGGGAGATCATCATACCTCATCATTACGAGATCTACTACTTTATCGTAAACCAGACTGGAGATCCGACACGGTCAGGCAAGCTCTTGTTCAACTACACAGGCACAGCACCGGAAGCAAAGGAGACACCGCTCTTGCGTGTGCCTGGCAAGGAGAAGCTCGAGGGGCATGACGACGATCCGTCGCTCACCAAAGTTGTAGATCGGAGGTGGTATCAGAAGAACAAGCACATATTCCCAGCGTCGACGTGGAAGGAGTTCAAGGCGGGCAAGGAGTTTGAGGAGGAGGCTAAGCAGCGGAGGGATGCAGAGGGGAATGCATTTTTCTTTGCATAGTAAGGAAGGCACGCGTTGCTCAGCCCCACAGACCCTCATATGGCTGTCTCATCGACCTGTCCGGACTTCCATCGCCCCTGCCATCAACGATAGCATCAAAGGCCACGCCGAGGATTCGTCATCATGGATCAGACATTGCGATGCAACAATCAGCTGGATGGCTATTGCAGGAAAGCTCTGAGCGAGGAAGCTGTGGTGACTACTTGCTCGTAAGAACCATTTCTACCCTTCAGGCGTCTCCTCATTCCATACAGACACATATTCTGTCTCGACTGTGCTACCAAGACTCATCTCGCCACCTCACCACTTCATGAACGTGCCTGTCCGGTCTGCCGTACGGCGCTACCGCATCGTGATGATGCCATTCGCACGCAGCTCTCGCCGAGCGAAGACTACAAGACCAGCGTGCTCAGCGGCCTCGACCCAGGTACAATTATGGATTGTGCTAGTCGAGCCCTGGCATTCTGGACGTATCAGACAACACAGGAGATGTGAGTGATCCCGTAGGCTTTCTAAGCTCGACCTGCTGAACCTGATAGCTTCTACCAGGAACACTTAGGCAAGATCTTGAAGGATAAGTATGGCCAGTTGAGTGCCGCTATGGACAAGATCATCAACGAAGCCAATACCGAGATCTCTACTTTGCAAGACAAGATCAACAGTAAGACTCTCATGTTGAAGTGACGCATCAACTCACGCCGACAGATTTCAGCATCGACCAGCGAACATTACAGGACAAGTATGACGACCTGGCAAACCTGTATCGTGAGAAGAGCAAGAAAGCAGCACAAGCCCAGCAATTATACGACGCTCTCAAGAAGAAGGTCTTGATGCGCAGAGTCGAAACAGCTGCCTCCGCCGATGCCAACCAGACCTTGCAATCCATCGACGCTCGTGGTGCGCTACCGACTCATCAGGATCAACAACCGATGATGGAGCGGCATCAACCACATTTTGACCCTCCGGAGCGTCACATCAGAGAACACGAACAAGACGGTCACCATGCGTCAGCCATCAACAGCACGGTTACCCTTCGAATAGGAGCAGTGATTCTGGCCGCTTTGGTAACGCCATGGGACCACCATCTCGGACGGCAGCGAGACGACTCGGTAAGTAGCTCCGACTTGCTAGACATCACCACTAATAGCTTCAGGTCAAGGTACGGCAGTCATGGGCACTCCCATGCAACGCACCTCTCTGCCACTTGCGGCAAGAGGGACTGCGAATCGATCTCAGATCCCAGTCAGTGCTGCGAGACAAGACTCTAGGCCACATACCACCTCGATGCACTATGGTCAAGTCAATCGACACAGCTTGGGCGGACGTGTCGAGAACCCACGTGCCGGTGCTGGCACGCCCGGTGGATATGGAATGCTTGGAGGCATGAAGATGGGACGCGGAGGTACGGCTGGCGACTTGCCTGTTGCGGAACCACGCTTCTCGAGACTCAATACGGGTATGTTGTGACAGCCAATGGCCCCTTGACTCCCGTACACCCTGCCCTTAGAGGCCGATTGCGCTCCAACGTCCGAGTTGGGCGTCAAACTCCCTCGTCTGCTCTCCACTGGCCAATCAGCTGCCTTGCCTGCACAGATCCTATCATAGCAGGCTGTTCGGCGCATATTTTGACCTGTTCGAGGGCGTTTGGCAGCTGCTCAACCACCTTATTGCCTCTTCAAGCTCTCTATTTGCCGGATCTGGTACTTCAAGCAGCCTTGCATACTTTATTTGAAGCCAGTGGACGTACCTACGACTTTGGCGCTCTATCAGATGCCACTCACTGTTCTAGCGGAGAGTATGTGGTGCCAGTAGCCGTACTTCATCGATGGTTTTTACAAGGCTATTCTTATACGATTGCCTTCCACCTATTCCAATACTAGCAGCCACAAGTTGCGGGCACTCGACCTTACGTTGAGTGTGGGCGGACGTACTCTATAGCTCTCCATGAGCGAGATTTGCGCGCCGACCGTGTTCAGTCTGAGCGGCTGGTCATGTCTCAAAAGGCCGCTGCTTACTTACGGTAGTACGAGTAGTGTCCCATGATCCAGAGTCCGCCCGAACTGCAACTTGAAGATCACAACAGGACAAAATGTGAGTCGTACGAAATGGAGAGTACATCGACTTTGGCTTGGTCACATCCAAAAAAGAAGGTATGTGTGAAGAGAGCTCGAAATTTATTGTGTACTACTTCATCCCATATTTCATTGCGCCACTATGCAAAGCATTGCCATGCAAACTTCCAGGCCCTAAGAAGCAAAAGTCGTCATCTCCTGGCATATCAATGCCGTTCAATTTTGAAGCAAGGTCCACCATACGTTTCGTCCGCAATCAGCCCTTCAACCTCTCCATCTTCGGATCAAACAAGGGCTCAGGCGTGACAGTCGCGGCAATCTTCTTGCCAAAGTACTCCAACTCAACCTTCGCGCCCTCCTCGATCGCCGACGGCAACCAAGCATACGCAATCGGTTTCCTGACTGTGTAACCAAAAGCGGCCGAAGTGACATACCCAACGGCCTTACCCTCACTGAACACGGGTTCTTTGCCCAAAACCATCGAACGCCCATCATCCACAGTCAAACACCTTAGCCGCTTCTTGGCAGTCTCTACCGATTTGCCCTCAAGCGCAGTCTGCCCAATGTAATCCTTCTTGTCGGCCTTGACGGCGAACCCAACACCGGACTCGTACGGGTCATATTCCGTGGTCATATCAGTACCCCACGAGCGATAACCCTTTTCAAGCCGCAACGAGTTGAACGCCGTCCTACCCGCAGCCACAATCCCTTCCTGCTGCCCAGCACGGAACAACGCATCCCACAGCTTCTGGCCGTACTCGGCGCTCGTGTAGATCTCCCAGCCGAGCTCACCAACATACGAAAGCCGCATAGCGGTGACGGGGATGCCGGCTACGGTGGCGCGCTTGACGCGGAAATACCGCAGGCCTTTGTTCGACCAGTCGTCCTTGCTGACTTTGTTGATGACTTCGCGCGCTTTCGGGCCCCAGAGACCGATGCAGCAGGTTTGGCCCGTGATGTCCTTCACGGTGACCCATTTCGGCGGGTCGGCTTGCCGCTGCCAGCGCGCGTGGCGCGAGACGTAGGCTGTGTCGGTGGGACCGTTGACGCCGACTTGGAAGTAGTCGTCTGTGATGCGGGCGATCGTCAGGTCGGACTTGACGCCGCCGTTGTTGTCGAGGAACAGGGTGTATGTGACGGGACCAGATACTGCGAGTGGCTTCTTGGTGATGTCGCCGGTGGCGAGTCGGTCGAGGAGTTCTTCAGCGCCGGGCCCTTCGACTGCGAGGCGGCGAAGGGGGGTCATATCGTACATGGCGACGGCTGTGCGAGTTTTCCAGGCTTCTGCGGCCGCGATGGGCGAGTAGAAACGTGTTGACCAGCCGTCACGCTCGACGGGTAGCCATTCCTCGGGGAGTTCTTTGAGGAGTTCGCGATTGGCTTCGTACCAGTATGGCCGTTCCCAGGCGCCGCCTTCGAGGAAGTACGCGCCGAGTTGTTGCTGGCGGGCGTGGAAGGGGCTGACGCGGAGGTTTCGGGGTGAGTCTTTGGGCTGAAGGGGATGGAGGATGTCGTAGACTTCGACGAAGTTCTGCTTGCTGGTCTCTTCGACGTATGCTTTGGTGGTCTGGACCTCTTCGAATCTGTTGATGTCGCAGTCACCCATGTCGATTTGTGAGCGGCCGTCGGTCAGAGCTTCGGCGACGGCACGGGCGACGCCGGCTGAGTGGGTGACCCAGACTGCTTCAGCGACCCAAAAACCGTCCAGATTGGGTGCCTCACCGACGAGCGATCCGCCGTCAGGGGTGAACGAGAAGATGCCGTTGAAGCCGTCGTCGATCTCGACATCCTTCAGAGCGGGCAGCAGCCGTTTTGATTCTTGCCATGCGGGCTCGAAGTCTTCTGGGGTGAAGTCTAGCCGTGATGGCATCTGCTTCTCTGTGACTTCCTTTGGCGTCGCACCGAGGTCCTTCGCAACAACTGCCATTGGCTTGTGGCCGTAGTAGCCGATACCATACTTATCGCCGTGCTCGCGGTAGTACAGATCTGCATCTTGGTGCCTGAGGATGGGAAGCGACGCGCCATTGGGTGCTTGATTGTTTCGAGCAGCCAGAGCTGGAACAGATTTGGTCTTGACGTACTGATGTGCCAGAGGGAGAAGGGGGACGGGCAGTTTGATCATCGCACCAATCTCAACACCCCAGAACCCAGCGCAAGAGACCACGATATCGGCAGGAATGACGTCGTCGCCGGTCTTCACTCCCGTGACATGACCGTTCTTTTGCTCGATACCAGTCACCGTCGTTGCACCGAGATATTTGACGCCGGCCGCTCGTGTGCTCTCGATCAGCAATTGCACGGCTCGTGCTGCGAGCGCGAGTCCGTCGCTGGGAATATGCAGACCGCCCAGAACCATATCCTTGTTGAGTTCTGGGTAGAGTTCGTAGCACTCGTCTGCTGTCAGTATCTTGGCTGGAATGCCATATGACTGAGCGTAGCCAAGTTTCCTGTGGATCTCGGCTAATCTGGCCGGTGTTGTAGCGACTTCGAGTCCTCCAACTTGGTTGAAACAGCTCTGGCCGTCCTTTTCGAGCGAAAGTAGCTTCTCAACCGTGTACTTGGCGAACAGAGTCATGGTCTTGGAAGGATTCGTTTGGAACACGAGACCTGGTGCGTGTGACGTTGAGCCGCCGGGCATCTCCAGCGGGCCCTGCTCAACAACTGTGATGTCTCTCCATCCTCGCGAGACCAGCTCATCCGCGAGATTCGTGCCGACGATGCCGGCGCCGATGATGACCACCTTCGGTCCGGGTGCCATAGACCCCATGTTGGTGGCTGCTGTTTGTGCAACTGGTCCAGGTGAGGTTTACTGTATGTAGCCGGGTCGTTCTATTGCTGAATATAGATGTAAGGCGGCGGTCGAAGAGAAGCTACACTATCTTATGGTCATGAACTACGGTCGTGAGTGTGTGAAGCCATACCGTCTTTGCTGGACCGTCCACCGAGCCCTTTGTATACCATCACTGATAACAGCATGCCCTGTTGAATGGAATAGACCCGGAGCCATAGAAGTGGAGATAGACTTCGAGGTCCACTCTCTTAGCCAGTCCAAGAATAGGCAACTGTCCCGGTCTTGACGTCCCACGAAATAGGAAAAGTGGAAGGTATGGCTGCTAAACCTCCCTGGTGATCATGGCCTTCTGCAGAAGCAGTCTAGTGGACAATATTGTGTTGCAGGGCCTCATCACACGTGAGCACGGGCATGTCGTACTGGCAAGGGCACTGAGATTTCATCTTGGTCCTTAACGGTGTGCCATGCTGACGAGTTGCAGGCAAAAGGTTCGAAAATGAGGTACTCAGGACCTGCTTCTGGCTTAGCTCAGCAAGCTTCCCCGCCAAGTCTTCCAACCTCACCCCTCAACTCTGCCCACAATCTGCAATCTACGATGTCTTCCACGGCGAACTCGGGCGCATGTTTGGGTCAAGATGACAATCACGGCCACATGTTCCAGCCTTCATGACGCTCCGCCGGTGTCCCGAAGCGAACATATCAACGGAAATCAGGGTCTCAGTGGCCGAAAGTCACTTCAGGCCCATGGTTTCCATGACCGGATTGGGATTAGCGATCCCTATTGGCATCTTCTTGGAATTCACGAACCACCGCATCTGCGACACACTTACGCGATATCTTGCATCGTAGGACGCGAGTCTTATCTATGATCCGAGCGATCTCTCACGTAGTCATCGGCCTGCAGCACCGTTCCAGTCATGTGGCTGGTGATTCAACTTCTGCCGCCCATTTACCGGATGTTTACCATATGATCCCGGATCAGACATATGCTGACATCCAGCCCGGAGCGGCATGCCCGCCCCAGGAAGACGTTGGATCTGACGCAGCAGGTGTCAGGATCCTTGCTCGTTATCCAGACATAGCACACCGAACGAAATATGCGCAAGCAATTATGCTGTATACACGGTAAGGCAGAAACGCGGTGAAAAGAGCCAGTGGGATAGAGCTAGTGAGCTGAAGTCGGCGCCACTGGCATCTGCTGATAACCTTGTCGGCCCCTATAGCCCAGGATTGGCGATCATCCCGCGATTGCCTATGCTTACCATCCAGCTTAGTATGTATCGCGCGCCAAAATTGTGCGTCTCAAGTCGTTGGTCAACGATAGCTTAGGTCACATGGCCGCAGTTGTCCGTTGTTACTAATAATGTACTTCTACTTGGTACCGATGCGCATGCTGCCATGTGCTTGGGGAGAACCCAAACAGTCGCTGTGTGCTGGACCTCGAAAAGGCTTCATCACGCGTCCTGCCCGGGAAACGTGGTGCAGAGCTGTTGGACGATCAAACGTTGCTGTCCAGGGGCTGTCGTCAGTTGTGACATCGACTTATCATGGTTTGCGATCTCAAGCTCAAAATAGACTAGGTGCACGGCTCTTTCCTGGAACCAGGTTCCAGCTTTGGCTGAGGGGGCCCGCATCCCATTTCTATGGTATTGCCTTCCCCTTCCGGGATTCCAGACCATATTACCATAGATAAGGCAAACATGGTTATAACTCATACTGCTCATCTCTCAGCACTCATCGACCATACATTCATATCTGGGAAGGCAAATCGTCTTATCGACATCATCTACTGCCTTGCTTCTCAGCCTCGCCATCATATCTAGTCATGGGTTTGCTCAATTACTTCAGCTCGGGGGGTCCCAGCCCTGCTGCAGCATCGGATGAGAAGAAGTCAGTCCGTGCTCTACCTGCACCATGGTACAGCTCCCAGGAGATGTATGAGCTCGAGCGACGTGCTATCTTCTCGAGAAAATGGCAGCTCATCACCCACAGCATCCGCCTCGCCAACGTTGGGGACTACCTCAAGTATGAGTTCGCTGGCTTTGACATCGTCCTCATCAAGGACCGGACAGGCACCATCAACGGCTTTCATAACGTCTGCAGACATCGCGCATTCCCCGTCGTGACAGAAGACAAGGGCAATGCGAAGATTCTGTCGTGCAGATATCATGGCTGGAGCTACGGGCTCAACGGCAAACTGGCCAAGGCTCCCAGCTACCAAGATCTACCAGGCTTCGATAAGACACAAAACAGCCTTTTCCCGATCCATGTTCACATTGATGTCAACGGCTTCATCTGGGTCAACCTCGACGGCAAGGCCAAGCCCGAGATTGCGTGGGACGACGACTTCTCTGGCATCGACACGCAGGAGAGGCTAGCAAGGATTAAGTTCAAGGAGTATAAATTCGACCATGAATGGCAGATGGATGGCCCCTGGAACTGGAAAATCCTCGCCGACAACTACAACGAGTGCTATCACTGCCCCACATCACACCCAGATATCGTGGCGATTGCCGATCTCGAAGCATACTCGGTCAACGTCGACCGGTGCTCCATCATCCACAACACAGCATCAACACCCGAACAGATTGCCGCTGGCCTGCAAGTGGCACCAACATACTTCTTTCCCAACGCCTCAATGAACGCTTCGTGAGTTGATCTCTTCCACCGTCGCCTGGCAAACACTAACAGTTTACAGACCAAACTTCTTCTTTATCCAGAGATTTGTCCCCAAAGGCCCCCTCCAGTCGACTATGCGATACGAGGTCTACCGCAGAGAAGGCTCTTCCGACGAGGACTTTGAGCTTGTTAACCAGATGTACAAACGCATCATGTCGGAAGACAAAGAGCTGTGCAACCTTGCCCAGAAAAACCTCCTCCGAGGAGTTTTCATCAACGGCGAGATGCATCCCGAGAAAGAGAAGGGACCCCTCCACTTCCAGCACTTGATCAGAGAAGAAGTCACAGCACATCACAGGCGAGAACAATCATTGAAACGAGAGATTTGGCCGGCGCAGCCGCCGCTGCCTAGCAATGCAGAGATCAGCGAGAAGGATATCGAGTTCTGCTCTGGGCTGGCATGTAACACGATTCAGGAGCAGTTGGTTTGGTAATTCTATTCGTGGACGGCGTTCCCTCGATTGAGGTCATAGTCATGGCGTTACGAGCATATTCTCCAGTGCTGAGTCCTACGATCAATCTCGCACAACTTCTTGGGTTTCAAATCAAATAATGACGATCTATTTCACATATTCGATACCTCTCGCTTGTCTTCCTGGTAGCATCGTCGTGACTCGCGGTGTTGTTGAGCGTCCTTCGTGGGAGTCCGTGGCCCTTATCAAGTCTTGATTCCGCCTCAGGAAATCTTACGCCTCTGCTCATAGGTCTAGGCATATCCAGATCGGGCTATGTGGTTCCCATCGACGTGCCCCACGGTCTGTATACAGCGAACGTCGTTGGTTGCCTTGCAACATTGTAGCTAATGATCCGCCGCAGACGCCTGACGGCGCCAGTCCGCTCTTACCTCAGCCTAATTGCACACCGTGATGACTGTCATGTCGATCTGAGCAAGACTGCATGGGAGCAGGCCCTTGTGCCAAGTCTCGTTCTGAGTATCAATGGCTATGACATGTTCACAAAGATCACTTGAAGAGAAGCACGACGATTCTGCATGCAATCTTCAGCGCGCTATTCATGATGAAAGACTGCCTAAGCCCGAGCAAGAGCATCTGCACAGTTTGTGATCTACTCGACGAATGCTTCAGCCAACACCCAATGTTCCTTGGCTGCAGCCACAAAAGAGATGGGTGTAAGATAAGTTCAATGAAGCCCATAGATAACAAGCACAGTCAGTTGTTCGTAATCGACGTGTTGTAATGGACTGCGATTCTCTAAGTGGAAATGCGATCCTCTGGAGTACAACGTCGGGTGGCGTCGGGATAGACTCTCGCGCTTACGATGATGTCCGTGATAAGGGAGAAGCCCCTAATTGCTGAAGCCAAGAACTCGCAAGGCGTCGTTCTTGGGCGTTGGAGTGCCCCTGAAGCGATGCATGTTTCCCCGCATCCACAGCACGCGTGGGCCAGAAGCCCGACGCCTTTCTTCGCCGTCCTGGGAGTGCCATCCATGTGCTGGTTTCTGCTGCAGCCAATCGCGAAGCTTCCCAGACCATATGCTCTATGACAGGACTCATGTTGACATGGTCGCTAGTAGTTCAACCGCCTTGTGATTGTTTACCCGATGGAGAGGTCATCCGGGGTACTAGTACTGATTCGCTGACGCTTGGGATCGAATACCCGTGCGGACTGGGCGAGTTATAGGCAATTCTCTGGCCTTTCTGGGTAGTCTTGTGCAAAGGAAGGCCGGTCGCCCTGTCTGCCGGCCGTTGCCTTGGTCTAGGTAGGTGCGATGGACATATGCTCCGCTCGAGAACTCGAGTGCTTTCGACTTATCCTGTGCCTATGCGATACCATCCACTTCCTGCTCTATTATTGCGTCCTCTATGACGGCTGCTCGAGCTCCTGTTGAAGAGGAACCACATCGCAGCCGCTTCTTGCATATTGCTGTTGTACTCAAGCTCATCCATCATGCTTCAGCCGAAGGCTCTCCAGTTCCCATCCTCCTCGCTCCAGGGCCGACTGAGGTGGCCCCTGCCGTCCTCAAAGCTGCAAGTCATCCAGCCGAATCACACTTCTCGCAGTCCTTCGCCGACGTGTTTGGCGACACTCTATCCTCGCTGCGGCCACTCTTCCAATGCACAGATCCACAGGCCCAGCCATTCGTGCTCGGCGGCAGCGGCACCCTTGGCTGGGACTTCGTCGCAACCAACTTCATCGCAGAGGGCGAAGCAGTTCTCTGTCTCTCCACCGGCTTCTTCGCCAATGGCTTCTACAACTGCCTCACCGCATATGGCGCAGACACCACAAAGCTGACGCCCACGGCAATGGGCCGTGCTGTATCCCTAGACGCTGTTGCCGCCGAATTGCGAAGCAAGCAGTACAAAGCTGTCGTTGCAACACATGTTGAGACTTCCACGGCCGTGCTGACACAACTCAAACCACTCTCGGACCTCATCCGCAGCATCTCACCAGAAACGTTACTTGTCGTCGACGCTGTTGCCTCCTTGGTCTCGGAGGAGCTGCGATTCTCGGAATGGGATATCGATATCGTCCTCACCGGAAGTCAGAAAGCACTCAGCTGCCCACCAGGACTATCCATCACAATGGTCTCGAGCCGAGCGATTGATATCGCGCTGCAACAGTATAGCAGCCAGCAGAAGCAGCGGGGGTGGTATGCGAGCCTGCCACGCTGGTTGCCAATCATGCGATCGTATGAGGCGAAGAAGGTGGGTTACTTCGCCACGCCACCAACGCAGTTGTTCGTGCGTTGAAGCAGAGTGTAGAAGGAATACTCAACTTGGGTATGGAGGAGGTGTGGCGTCGACACAAGGCCAAGGCTGCCTCAGTGCGGGAGGCTATCAGCCAGGAGCTGGGTCTGGTACTGCTGTCGACCGTACCAGAGGAGCAGGCAAACGGGCTCACAGCCTGTTGGCTACCGGAGGAGCTCGAGGCCAAGGATGTGTTGGGCTCGATGCTGAAGAAAGGCTTCATGTTGAGTGGTGGCATGCATGCCGAATTAGGCACCAAGTATGTACGCTTCGGACACATGGGCTACTCGGCCTTTGGTGAGGAGACGCATGTACAGCAAGGTTTAGAGGCCCTAAAGGAGGTCTTTGCTGAGTTCCGGAAAGTCGATGCTGATGAAGGCGACGGTGACTCCGGGTATGCGTCGCCCGGGTCTGTATGAAGTCGCAGCACTGAACATGGTTATTGCTGTATCGGCTGAACGTGTGCAGGCCATGCGGTTAGTGTACATACTTTCACTGTTTATGGTTCAGGAATGATCAATACTTGACCGTCAAACAGTGCCAGGGCGAATGCTCGTTCGTCTCCCGTCTGTGGTTTGCAAACAAGATCGACGCTCTGATGCTTCGCTCGGTCCATGAGACTGTTCGACTTGCGACAACTGCTATAGTGTTGTTCATGCAAACAAACAGACTGATATATCTCCTTAGTCGTTTCGGGACGGGGCGCTGACAACTTCTGCCCGCGGACTGCCAGGACGACTCAGAACTGCTTTTCGCCGATCCGTTGAAGTCGCAAGCCACTCTGAATCGTCATGTCTGTCAATTTCAACAGCATGGCCACTGCTCATGGCACTCTAACGTCACTCTCGATACTTCTGATCTTTCCGCTTGGTGCAATTGTCCTTCGTCAAAAAGCCGTCTCGTATTCGTTCATGACGCCTGTACTCGCTCATCGATGCCTCCAGTGGCTCGGATATCTTCTGTAAGTCCTATCGAACCATCTGCTAAAATGCTTGGCGGGGCAGAGCTAGTCCGGCAAATCCAATCGACGTTGGCTAAAGAGTCTGCAGCTATATTATCGGTGCGACTGTCGGGGCTGTTGCAACTCCCATGCTCAGGTCTATGCGGCCGTCCATCACACATGACCCACATATCGTGTTTGGCGGGCTCATTTCGATCCTGGTATTGGTACAGCCATTTCTGGGCGAAACTCATCATTGGATGTATATGAAGCGCACGAAGGCTTTCAGAGCAGCATTGAACACCGTGGGAGGACCACACGACACTGACATTGTCCCGTCTGTTGTGCGAGACGTTCAAGGCCAGCAAATAAGGGCGCCCAGAAGAACTTGGGTGGCATTCATCCACATGTGGGCAGGAAGGGTGATCATTTTGGGCGGCATAGTCAATGGCGGACTTGGTGAGTGGAGTGTATCATCGTTTTTGGTGGTCGCTAACACCAGCACGCAGGGCTGATCATAACCAACAGTGGCCCATTTCGAAGCAAGGCACACCAAAGGGTCGGGATCTTTTGTTACAGCATCACGGCAACCGTCATGGGGTTGGCGTATGTAATCGCGTTGTTCTCTTTTGAAGCGAAGGACCTAAGGCACTGCTGGAAACGACTGCGAAAAGGACATGCGACGATCGATACTTACAAACTGACAGAGTCCGCCGCAAGACTCGACTCAGACCGTGACATGCAGCTCAGGGAGGCCCAGCGGCCTAACGCACCCATAGTTGAAGCAACCTCGGTGCCGGCCATACGTCAAGGAACAGCAGGGATGGGCTCTAGAGCCCAAGAAGCATCGGAGAACCACCATACTTGTTAGCACTATGTAGATTTGAAGAAGTGAGTATTGAGCACTGACCAATATCCATAGCAGACCAAAGAGTCTGTAGCCCGAATCACGTGCAGGACGCCGTTCTCGGCGCATTATACGTCCACGCTATGCACGCGTTCAAGATAGGGGAGTGATTAGTCTGAGCGCAACGGGACGGTGCCTTACCAGGTAGTAAACACATCAGCCCATGGTCGGGGCAGTAAACCTCGGAAGAAATTGGTAGCCAGCGACTTATGACTTGCAACTGATGAGATCTGGAGGCAACATGGAGCTACCGATGACTTTCAATGAAAGGGTGTTGCAAGCGACTTGGAGCTAGGTGTGACGCTCAAGTGACGGGAATTGGATGCAGAGACGAAGAAGTGCAATCACATGCCCTCTTGCTAACGTGTAGGAGGCGCCTCTTGTGTAGGTGGCACCTGATTCACGGCCGTGTCTGAGCCGGTTCGTGACCACGTCCAGAAGCCGTTCTCAAATCGACGCCCGACGTCTGAGTTATGCCGGTACATAACAGCTCGGTTTTCGTCGAAGGGCGAATAGTAGATGCTATCAGCAGTATCAGGGCTTGCGGAGGGATCCTGAAGATGCAGGGGATCTGGCATAACCAGTCGGGGAAGCTGTGGTCGAAAGACTTGAGGTGACAGTGGAGGAGATTGTACCCGCCCACCGTACTTCGAGACAGCTGCGGAGAGGAGATCGGCTGCACTCCGGGCGCTTGTTGACGGGATGCTTATCCCCTTTGCCTGGGCACTCACAACAAACGTGGACGGCTGAGGCTTTGGCAATGTGTAAAAGCATACCGTCCGCTTGTTAATTGAGTTATGTCGGCTCACCGCGGTCAAGAATGTTTGGGCACTGCTCGACGTCGCAAAGCTTTGACGGATTGAGCAGTCCATCTTCGGCTGCGAAATCGGTCGGGAATTGTGCCCATTGCGTCTCCGCTTTACGACTCCAGTGGGCTTGGTGTGAGGACTCGAAGAGAAACGCGACGTAAGCTTACCTGATTGATATAGATCCATCAATGAATCGTGATGAGTACCAGTAGAGCTGCATGAAATTAATGTCGACGACCTTTTTGGCTCGGCCTTAATCTGATCGGTGTTGCGGATCAAAGGTGACCAGGGGATCGGCGACAATGGCTCTAACCCACCGGTCCTCGTATCTCTGTCGCCACTTACCTTGTAGCTGTCATCCGAGTCTGACGAGGACTGTGTGAAGGACCGCTGCGGAGTCCGGATTTGTGGGCTGTCATTGACGTCCTGTCTCACTGGTAAACGTATAAAGGGCCTCAGGCCCTGTGATACTCGCTTGAAAGCACTTGTAAAAGAAAAGGGACCCATACCCGATGGACAGGGCATGAAGGCATAATGTGAGAACGGATTGTCGAACAGACTCAAGGACAACCTTGCTGCATAATGATCGGATACTGCTTCTAGAGCGGAGCCAGGATCGCTAAGCAGTCTTTCGCGGGTAATGCGTCGTTGGATCTTAATTTGTTGTTTGAGCGCGTCTACGCGCTGGCGATGTCGGGTAGCGATGCCAGCGTGTGCCGTTTTTGATTTCGTGGCCGATATTGGCCTTGGACGTTCTTTGGGCATCGTCTGTCGGCTTACTGAACACGTACTTTGGCAGATACAGTCGAGAAGCTTCGCTGACAGTGCAGAAAGAGAAGCACGAGATGCACGCCGCAGCGGCGACCCGCGAGGCTTTGTTCCATGTTATCTGGTCACGCGATCCTCGTGTTTGGACAAAGACCACAAAGCATTACCTCGAAAACTTTGCGAGATTCATCAAAGCAGCTTAGTCGTATACAAAGAAGTCATGCTACCGAGGCAAGACAACCTACTGCTCGGGCCGATCCAAATATCGATGATGTCTAGCTTGTGATCGTGTCGCCCTAAGCTGCGATGAAGGATGGAAAATTGGAATGGCACCCGGGCCCTGGGGCTCGAAGGTGAACCGGCATTGGCGCCAAGGGTTGCGTTTGGGTCCAGGACTTCGCCACGGATATAATTCTTCTCTTCTTTCGTCCTCTTCCTAAGTGCCTTCTCGCCCGTGGTAACACGACTCTCCTGCAAGCTATTTTTGTGACACAAGAGCTTGCTGTTTACTTGTGAAGCACACCGCTTCAACGACTGTATTGATTCTGTGGCAGTGCATATGCTCATACCATAGTGCTTTACGTCATAAGCTTCATCAATATTGACCAGAGTCTGCGCGAGCCAGATGACGTGCAGCGATAGTCTCAGGGGTCCTGCACCAGATCATTCGTGGAGCGGTCACCACACGATTGTTCGACCATAATTAGAGGTGACCAGACGTCATGCTCAACGCGCGTGGAGAAGAGCTGGCTGCCGTGGCAAACATCACAGACCGAATATGTTGGCTTGACGGGATCCTCCAGGCAAGCTGTGCAATGAAGACTGCCCGCCAGCTCCTCACGTTGTTTGTCTCTACTTTGTTTGGCCTGCGGGGCCTCGTGCTACTTACTCCTCGAACCAGGTGAGTTCCCCTGCGACGAGAGCAAAGTTCGTGCCCAGTGGACACGTGATGTCTCTTTTATAATAAAGCTGAGGAGCAGAGATACCTCGGACAGGTGTTTCAGCCCGGCGATTCTCCTGACATGGCGCTACAGCCAACCATTTTCCCTGGCTTTGTTCCAGATTGGTCAAATCTCGACGTGCTGCATCGGAATACCTTGCCACCGAGGGCACACTTCTATACTTACGGCACACCAAATGCTGCCCTCAGCTACGACCGGGAGCAGAGCTTGTACCAGAGTCTGAATGGCACCTGGAAATTCCGTTATGAGCAGTGTCCATTCGAGACTTCCGTTGGTTCTGCTAACACTTCTGCATGGGACTTCATCGAGGTATGCAACTACCAGGACGCCATTTGTGCCATGGGTTGGCTTAATCACCATTATAGGTGCCCGGCATGTGGCAAACTCAAGGCTACGGAAATCCGCATTACACGAATTTCAACTTCCCATTTCCCGTGACAGCTCCCAATGTCTCTTATATCAACCCTACCGGCACTTACTTCCGAGACTTCGAAATCCCGGAGCCATGGTCGGATCATCAGATCCGTCTCCGTTTCGAGGGCGTCGACAGCGCATTCCACGTGTATATTAACGGTGATGAGGTAGGCTACAGCCAGGGGTCTAGAAACCCCAGCGAATTCGACATCACACCTTACCTCGAGGTGGGTTCCACCAATAATGTCTCTGTCCAAGTTTACCAATGGTCTGATGCAACTTATATTGAAGATCAGGACCAGTGGTGGCTTAGCGGGATCTTTCGTGACGTGTATCTGGTGCCATTTCACAAAAATTCCGTGGTCGACTTCGAAGCCACGCCGCTCGTGGCGGACGACTTCAAGAGCGCCGTTCTGAACGTCAATTTGAAGATACAAGGCACTCCACAGCCGCTCAATTTGACACTCTCGCATCCGAATGGCACCTCCCTACAGCAGATGCCGGGGAACGCGACTGGAAGCAACGAATTGCGCGTTTCTGGTGACGACTTGGTGCTTTGGTCTGCTGAGAGTCCTTCGCTGTATACTCTTCTGATTGGGTTACATAAGTCAAAGGGTCGGATTCCGGAGCATCGAGCGTAAGGGATCCAATTTCCTTGTCAATGGGAAGCCGATAGTTCTATATGGAATCAATTTCCATGAGCACAATCCGTTCTCCGGTCGGACTGTACCATATGAAGCAATGCGGGCAGACATGGTCGCGATGAAGCAGAACAACCTCAACGCAATTCGGACGTCGCACTACCCACGTCACCCGTCCTTCTTCGATGTCGCGGATGAGCTCGGCTTCTACGTTATCAGCGAGGCTGACCTCGAATGTCACGGCTTTGGTGTGTTCAGTCACTCGGACGAGGAGGCCGCTAGCTGGTTGTCCAGTAACCCAGCATGGGCAGCTGCTTATCTCGATCGAGCGCAGCAACTCGTCGAGCGCTACAAGAATCATGCCTCTATCATCATTTGGTCACTCGGAAATGAGTGCTTCTACGGCACAAATCACGTGAGAATGTATAAATACATCAAGCAGCGGGACTCCACGCGTCTGATACACTATGAACCTGATAAGAATGCGAGCACGGCCGACATGTACTCGAGGATGTATCTAAGCTTGGACGGAATCGATGCGCAACTCGCTACTTTCACGGACAAGCCTTTGATTTTATGCGAATTTGCTCATTCGATGGGTAATGGTCCCGGCGGCCTCCTTGACTACATCAAGAAGTTCAGGTCTGAGCCGCGCATGCAAGCTGGACTGATATGGGAATGGTCTAACCACGGGCTGTTGGCGCACAACAAGAGATACAGTGATGGTCCAGACATTGGCGAGTACTACGCCTACGGTGGCGATTTCGGCGATGAGCCAAATGATGCAGATTTTATACTCGATGGCATGATGCTCTCGGATCATTCGCCAATGCCTTCGATCTACGAGTATTCGAAGACGATCCAGCCGGTTGAGGTGGCCTTCGACAGTTCTTCCAAGCAGCTCACTATTACCAATCACTACGACTTCCTGGACCTGTCTCATCTCAATGTCACGTGGTACGTCGTGATGGATGGCAACGAAACGAGCCGACAATCGCTTGAGCTTCCCAGATTGGCGCCCCATAGCAATCATTCAGTAGCTGTCCCGTCCTTTACGAGCAGCCTAACTGACGAAGCTTGGCTCTTCATCGAGTTTCGACTACGCGATTGCAGGATCTGGGCCAAAGCAGGTCAAGTCGTTGCGTGGGAACAGATATATCTTCCCAAGGCAGCTTCGGCCTTGACAACCCGTCAAATTGACTGTCTGAACCGTCTTCAGGCGTCGTTGAACATGAGCCAGACCGCTACACACATCAAAATCAGCTCTGCCGAGACTAAATTTGACTTCGATCTGCTTCGTGGCAACGTCAGCTGGGAGGACTCCAACCATGCCATCCTGCAGCGCGGTCCGGAGCTCAACTTCTACCGCGCCTTGACCCAAAATGACGTGGCTGGCGACCACCGCGAGTACTGGAGTCAGGCTCGCGTCAACGAGATGCATCCGCAGGTGCGCGACGTCTCCTGGTCCTCAGAGCCATCCACAACATCCTTCCCATTCACTCTGACCTACAGCATGCGCATCGCACCCAAGGTCCTCGAGTGGGGCTGCGAGGCCGAGCTCATATACACCATCAATCCGTCCACACCACGCACGTTGAACCTGCACGTCAAAGGCCACTTCGTCGGAAACAGCACGCCTCCGACCCTTCCACGTATAGGCCTGCTCACAGTCCTGCCCGGCGAGTTCAATCAGACGTCCTTCTTCGGCCGCGGCCCGCACGAGAACTACCGCGACAGTAAGCAGTCCGCGCGCATGGGAAACTACCAGAAGTCACTCGACGAGCTGTTCACGCACTACGACTACCCGCAGGAGAATGGTAATCGTGGCGATCTCCGCTGGCTGGAGCTGCACAATGCCGTTACGGGCGCGACTTTACGAATCACGATGCAGGATGATCAGGGACAGCAGCGACCATTTGACTTCAGTGCACGAAACTACTACGCGGAAGACTTGGACAGAGCGCGGCATCCTTATGAGCTGGCGTGGTACAGGCGGAATGAGACAGTGCTTAACATTGACTATGCGCATAATGGGCTGGGCAGCGCGACGTGCGGGCCTGGGCCGTTTGAATGGTACCGCCTCAAGCCAACGCCATTCGAGTTCACTGTGACTTTTGAGCTGCGGAATTGAGCTTTGGTGTGGGAGGGATAGGTCAGGCGGAGTGGAAGCACAATATCGAGTAGCGTGGAAGCATCAGGTAGGTCAGACGAAAGACATCGTCCGCATATCTTGCTGGAGCTATCACGTGAACTGGTATAGTTTGAGATCAATGTCACACATTACGGAGGGCTGCTGTTGTGCGGGTTAACAGGACTTTATTTGAGCTCTGCAGGCTGATCATCGAACGAGCTACTGTCGAAATTCAGCGCAAGTCTACAGATTAAAATCCGGCAGAGTACACGCTTACAGTTCTAGTCAATAAGTCTCCGGCAAAACCCCTGTACTTGATTGCTCGTATGCGCAATAGGATATATTCATGACTGACGTTTCAACATACAGCATCACGCCCTCTGAGTATAAAGTCGTACACTTTTCACTTCACAGACCTGTTCTAAATTTGACACTCTATCAGATCCGCGATGCGGCAGAAAGATGACAGCCGTTGCAGCCGAAGACAAAGAAATCCATCCGCTGCACAGACCACTGGTCATCCCAAAACCACGTGTCAGACCACCACGATCCTTTGTCTCATTTTCACCACGCCCACGCAAAGTCGCAACCGGACGTCTCGAGACAATGACATTGCCGACTGAGCCGTGCTCTGTCCATCAATATGGTTTCTCTGCGCCCTCGTATTGCTCTCCCTTCCCGAGCAGCAACCTGCCTGACAAGCACCCGACACGTCCAGCATGCAGCTCAGGACCCCATTCCTGCTGCTGGCGCTGGCAGGCGTAGGCCATGCACTGATCGGCATCTCTATCGACATGTACAAGCCCAGCTGCGCGCACGGCTGTAGACGAGCGATCCGGAATGTGCGGCTGGGATGTTCGAAACAGGTGGTGCCGACCGACGGTGGTCCGAGCGCCATAAGCACGACTGCAGACTGCTTCGCTGCCGATTCATCGTTTTTGACCACCCTGGCATGGTGCATAAAGGAAGCTTGTGCCGAGGATGAACATCCGCCGTCGGTGTGGGAATTAGAGCGATTCTGGAACCAGAAGGAGAGCGGCAATCCGGACTTTCAGCCTTCATGGACATATTCGCAGTCGTTGCAGCAGATCGAGACAACGCCGAACCGGACCATCAACGAGACTGGACACTGGACTTCACAGGCGTGGTTCCGAGGGATCTGTGGCTGATCAACAAGCGAAGTCTTGAGGGTTTTGAGCAGCAGGAAGCTCTGCACAGCTATTATGGGCTGACGATACTGCTTGTCGGCGCCTTGACACCCTTTGCATTCACTCTGCTGCTCTTCTTCCCGCTGCTGCCGACGCTCTTCGCGCGGCTGAGACCGTATGTGGTATACCCATCGACATTTGGCGGTCGTCATGTTCAACCGCTCCCGCACGGCATCGGCAATGCGCCAACAATGGGTCAGGGCATGTATATCGTGTTCTTCGTCATCCTCAACGTCATCTGCAGCGCTGTTGGTCACAATTCAGTCCAGCCGAATGCGTTCTACAAGAACACTAGGGAGGAGATCATGCTCTATGTCGCTAATTGCACTGGAGTCATTGCGTTTGCGCTCCTACCTCTGGTTATACTGTTCGCTGGCAGAAATAATTTCCTGCTGTGGATCACGAACTGGAGCCATGCGACGTACCTGCTGTTCCACCGACATGTGGCCCGCATTTTCATGGTGCACTGTATAGTGCACTCGATTGTGGAGATCGAGTTGTATAGATCGCAAGGGCTCGCGGTGGAACAAATGAGGCTGTCATATTGGGTCTGGGGCGTTGTCGGGACCGTGATGGCTTGTGCGCTGGTCGTCTTCTCCGCACGCTTGTTCAGAAGATTGACTTACGAGGTGTTCCTGGTTCTTCATATCTTGATGGCGATTCTCTTACTGGTCGGCTGCTGGTACCACGTCGAGTTGCTCTTCAAAAGACGGTGGGGCTATGAGTTCTGGCTGTACGCGGCATTTGCAGTATGGATCTTCGACAGAGCGGCGAGATTGCTACGGCTGGCGCAGACTGGGCCATTGAGAGCCGAGATGCAGGAGCTAGGTTCTTCTGGTGTTGTACGGATCGACATCCCTGGAGTCCGCTGGTCGTTGCATCCGGGCCACCACGCGTACATCTCGTGGCCAGGACTGTCCTGGTGGCGTACATTTGGGAGCCACCCCTTCAGCGTCATCCCTCTCAGCCATTGCCAGCATCCCGACGATGAGGTTGAGTCAGCGATCACAGCACCATCTACAGGGTCTGGGCGAACGAGTCCCACCCTTGCAGTAATCACAGACCTGGAAAAGGCTGTCAGCAAGATCCGAAGCATACCTCTCCATACTCGACCACTCATCCGGCCTGGCGTCCGGCTGTATGTGAAGAAGCACAAAGGAATCACATCACGACTCGGTAGCGCTAGGAATATTCTGACGCTCTTGGAAGGTCCATATCGCAATCACAGCGTAGGCGTGGCTCCCAATGCTGGAGTGTTGGCTTGTGATAGGTTGATTTTGCTGGCTGGTGGCATCGGCATCACTGGTGTTGCTAGCTGGATCCGCGCGCATACCAACGTCAAGCTGTACTGGAGCGTCAGAGAATGTGGACGGGCACTGCTCGAAGATGTGCAGCAGAGTGGTCTCTTAGAGCCGCTATCCAGACTGGGCCGGCTCGAAGTGAATGTCACCGGTTCCGGGCAAAGGCGACGGGACCTGACGGATACGATAGAGCACGACGTGGTCGACGCTCTGCATGACTCTCTTGTCAAGGGTGTCAAGGTCGGGGTCATCAGTTGCGGGTCGCCAGAGTTCTGCGATAGTGTCAGATCTGGGGTCGTTGACATTGGTCGGAGGGTAGGCGGACTCGTGGAACTGCATTACATCGAGGAGGCGTTCGGGTGGTAGATCAGGTTGCATGTTCTTCTGTGTATTTGAGCAAGTAGCATCAAAAGTATACTTCAACCGTATGCAAGTAGTATGATGTCCTTGATGAAGGGAGATGAATGTATCTGTGTAGGTCATACTCTGTTCTCGTCACGCTGAGTCTCATGATCCACGCGCCAGAATGACGGCTTCTCACGAAAACGAATGCCCAAGACGACATCGTTCCTGCCCAAGTTAATTCGATGTGCGGTGCATTGCGTTGCCGCGGGCAGCGCACAGCAAGGAGCCGTTCGGCGAAAGCTCCGAGGTCGTCGCAAGCAAGCGAGAAATCTGGGCAAGCCCTAACGCGTAGTCACGTGAGCTTCTGGACTTACTAGTACTAGTAACTGAGTCTCTGAGAGAACTGGTGTTGCTTTTCAAAACACAAAGGCGCCCTTGGTCATCAATTCTCACCTCATGCAACGCATCCTTTTCTGGTTCAAGGTCACCAAAGAAGGTCACAGATTCTCGAGTTTAGCCGGCGAAAGTAAGCCGCTGGGTCCTGCCTGTATGGCCTGAGCAATGGATACATCCCGCATCAAGGTTGGGGGTCGCCCTCGAGCAGATGTATCCGAGACTGCGACTCGCGCAGACAACACCGAGGAGCGCGACCCAAAAACTCTCATCATGACTTTTTCATTGGCTTCCATCATCAAAACGCCCCGCCTATGACCTGCCATTTACCCATGGTCAGCTTCTGGAAAGCTCCCCTCCCTCGTGCTTTCCCCGCATTCGAGGTACCGTGTCATGCAAGTCTCGACCTGTCGGCAGAGCACCGGCATGCCTCCGATGTGGTGGATGTGCCAGACACAATGCTTCCGATGCAGGCAAAGGTAATGTCATTATTTGGTCGAAGAGGGGCAGCAAAGCAGTACATGTAACCCACGTCGCACTCTTGATTGCTTCACATACACTGCTGCTGACCACTTCTGTTCTGCTGTTCTTGTATCTGCGTACGTCCTCTCTCTTTTCAGCGGAGCTTCAGGTAAAGGACTGGAAGTTTTTTGCCCCTGGCAACCAGCGTACAAACACCGTCACCATGTCGACGCTGGAGAAGCATTTCTTCAGTGATCCTACTGTCCTCGTGAATGGTGCTCTCCGCGCCTTGACCCTCACGAACCCTTCCCTCGCCTTCGACGAGCCCAACAAGATCATCTACCGCAGACCAGACTCGTTCAAAGGTGAAGCAAAAGTCTCTATCATCTCCGGTGGAGGCTCTGGCCATGAGCCCGGCTTCGCTGGATTCGTGGGCAAGGGCCTGCTCACGGCAGGTGTGGCCGGTACGATCTTCGCCTCGCCCTCCGCAGAGCAGGTCCGTCGAGCCGTCCTCGGACGAGTACCTACAGAGAAGGGTGTGATGGTGATCACAATGAACTACACAGGCGACGTGCTCAACTTCGGCATGGCGGCCGAGAAAGCAAAGGCCGGCGGTGTGGCCACGGAATTCCACGCCATTGGCGACGATGTCGGTGTTGGTCGCGAGAAGGGCGGCAAAGTTGGCCGGCGAGGCATTGGCGGTGGCATCATGGTGCTCAAGATCATCGGCGCACTCGCAGAGCAAGGCGGCAGCCTAGACCAAGTCTACAAGCTGGCACAACAGGTCTGCAACAACCTCGTCTCCGTGGGTTCGAGCATGGAACACGTCCACGTCCCAGGCCGCGGACCCATGGAATCACTAATGCCACTCGGCGACATCGAAGTAGGCATGGGCATCCACAACGAGCCCGGCTCCCAAACCGTGCGCGCCGACCTCCCTGACCTGATCAAACTCATGCTCGCGCAACTCCTCGACCCCTCCGACAAAGACCGCCACTACGTCAACATCCAAAAATCCGACAAAGTCGTCCTCTTCGTCAACAACCTGGGCGGCGTCTCCATGCTCGAAATAGGCGGCATCGTCGCCGAGCTCGTGAAACAGCTCAAATCCACCTACTCCATAACCCCTGTCCGCGTCATCGCCGGCACCTTCCTCACCTCCCTCAACGGTCTGGGCTTCAGCGCCTCCCTTCTGCGCCTCGAAGACACAGGTCTCGGCTCTGGCAAATCAATGCTCGAACTCCTCGATTTCCCCGCCGAAGCCTATGGCTGGGCTGCGCCTATTGCAACCTCCACGTGGGAAGCCGACAACAGCAGCACATTCGACAGCAAACACACCACGACCTCCGACCCCAAAAAATCCAATCTAACCCTCGACCCCGCGCAAGCGCAAAAAGCGCTCGAGGCAGGCCTCAAACAAGTCATCAGCGTCGAAGCCGAGGTGACGCGCTACGACACGATCGTCGGCGACGGCGACTGCGGCATCGGATTGAAGCGCGGCGCCGAGGCCGTCCTCAAGGAGCTGTCCTCGGGATCCATGCCCACGGACGCAGTCGCGTACCTCAACAAGCTCGTCCCCGTCGTGGAAGAAAACATGGATGGGACGTCCGGAGCGATCTACGCTATCTTCCTCAACGCGCTCGCCGCAGGCGTACGCAAACAAGATACGGGAAGTGAGAAGAAGATGGATGCTAAAACATGGAGTGCGGCGTTGGAAGCAGCACTGCAGGATTTGAAGAAATATACACCCGCGGCGCCGGGGGATCGGACGCTGATGGATGCGTTGTTCCCGTTTGTGGAGACACTGCGGGATACGGGCGATGTGAAGAAGGCGAGTGAAAAGGCGAGGGAGGGGGCGGAGGCGACCAAGGGAATGAAGGCGAGTTTGGGGCGGCAGTCTATGTTGGGGCGGAGGATGAATGGAGAGGTGAGTCTTGCGTCAAATGTGTGTGGCAGAGCGGTTTTACTAACGAGAGTGTGCATAGGTAAGATTCCGGATCCGGGCGCTTGGGGCTTGCAGGAGTTCTTGACTGGGTTCGCGGGTGCGCTGTAGTCTTTAGGCAGACTGGAAAATTAGGAAAGGAAGTAGGAAAAGTGGCGAGGTCGTCCAGATCATGGGCAGATCAGGTGAAAGATCAGTTGAAAATTGACGACTTTTTGCATTCGCCGGCTTTTCAGGTGTTTCCTGGTTCGGGAGTATATATATATATATATTGCACTGCAGTAGACGTCTCTGTCTCGACGAGTTTTTGATCGTAGGCGGTCAAATCTGTCCGAGTCTGCACTTGTGCAGGCAGAAGCGGTCACGCTGCGCTCGAGTCGCATTTGCGCCTTGACCGACTTAGCCTGATATGGCTTGCAATCTAGGCAGCCGCAGGCAGCGATCCGACCAATTGTCCTCCGTGGTTCTGAGGATGCCCGCGTGCAGCTGACAGAGTCTCGTCTCCGAGGACTGGAGTGCTTCGTTGGTACCGATGATGTCGGTTGTCGATGCAGCAGCTATGCACTGCATGTATGGTACTTGGCAGCAGAAGCTGGTCTGCAAAAGTGCATTGCGATGTTGTGAGACAGAGCGCTCCCTGCGCATGCATTGGCATCGTATCATCTATCGAATAACCTCGTAAAAATGGTGTTCGAAACCCGCTCACGAGCTGAGCAGAACCAGAATGACACTGTCGCCGCGCAAGAACATCTTGCTGATGAATCTGTCCTTGTTGACACCCTTCTTGCCGTCTTTGCCACTCTTCTCTGTCCACATCTCCTTCACATTCTCGAGGACCATATTGCAGTGTCGATCGAAGGCCTTGACGCGGGCGAGGAGTTTCCGATTGTTACGGCAGTTGATGAGGACTTGTGTGTGGTTACGGGTGGCAGTCATGAGGATCGAGAGGGGACCGGTCTGTAGTTCATGTTGCTCGAGGAGCGAGACTTCGTATTCCCTGTGATGCGATTTTGTTAGCTTGAGCGCGTCGTACTCGGGGAATTTTTGCGTGCCGTAGAGCATGGTGATGCGACAAGATGATGCAGTAACAGAGACTGTATGCGATTGATATAGAATGATGCGCGACGAAGAGAGGTGGTGCACTGAGGCGACGATGAGGTCGTGGGTAGAGTGGGGTGGCGGAGCGGAAACGCCTCGTCGAATGGGGTAAACAACCTCAAATTGAACATCAAACATCAAATGGGGACTAGAGAAGCCTCAAGCAAAGATAGCGCGGGGTAGGGGAAGGACAACTCACGTCAATTCGTTCCTCGCTTTGCCAGTAATTCCCTGAAACACCAAAAGTCAGCAAACGATTCAGCCTGAAGATCGAGCGACGGAAGAGAGAATGAGTCACGGGACTCGGAGATACGGGAAGGGGAGGCGACAGAGACATACTGTATCTTGGACGAGTCGGCCATGACCAGAGGATTTACTTAAGAGGTGTCGGAATCCAGTCGATGTAAGAACAAATCTTCTCGACCTTCTCATTGCTGGCGAACTTGAACCTCTCTTCGAACCTGGCCTTGGCATAAGCTAGTAGCCGAGTCTAGCTTTCTTTGGGATAGCTTCAACCTCGGACCGTTCTTCATCGGCGTCATTCCTTGGCATCGGTGCTAGCATTTGGAGCCACGCGAGTCGCGACGGACCCGCGGCAAAGACGAGGAAGGGCTGGTAGTAGCAACACTCTTCCAAGCCAACATTCCTTACTCTTACCATATAGTCGACACATAGATCTCGCTCCTTCCTCAGCATTCGCAGTTGTACACATTGCATTCTCATTGTCTTGTAGCAATACTCCACGGCAGCATTGTACAACAGAGCAAGCACTAGCATATCGACCTCTTCAACACGCGTTTTCTCCTCAACTTAACTTCGTCACGGTAGCAAGCTTTGCAGTCACTCATCACGCACTGCCTCGCCACTCGATCCGAAGATGAAAAGCTAGCACGCGGATCTTCTCGCCTCTGCTTAATTTTAGCAACCTACACCTCACTCGAACCTCCCATCCCATCACCTTCTGTCTGCCGGTATGGCGTCTCCAGACGCTGCCACCGTGCAGACAGTCAAGCTCAAGATACTCTACACCTTTGACCACGAATCGAAGGACAATCATCTGGCGAGATGGCCACATTCAGTCCAAGTCACCACTGCGTTCATCGACAATGTCAATCAAATTGGTGCTGTCGACCTCCGTACCTGCCTCGAAGCTGTGACCACCGCGAGTCCCGAACTCACGTCTCAAATGGACAGCGACTACGCGGTCTATGCCTACGACTACTCGGAAGAAGACACGCCTCTAGTCGGACAAGGCATGCTGTCAAAACACATGATGGAGGTCATAGGCGCGGACACAGAGAACATGGTTACTGGCCGGATTGTGAAGGGTCTCATGGGTCTCATGAGCAAGAATGCACAGCCAACATTGGAAGTCAAGCTTCGATTGAAGCCTGTGGCGACAGCGTTCAACAGACAGCGCTCTGGTAGCATGAGCAGTCAAGACGGCCGACCGGCGTGGTTGCAGAACCCGGAGTCTGCCTTACAGAGATCTGCCTCGCCAATGGACACCACCGGTCTTGAGAACATGCAACGTATGCTGAGCGATGGCATGCCGCGTACGGATGGATACCCTCATTCACGTCCAGGCAGCCGTGCTGGTACCCCAGTCTTCCAATCATACGACCAATCGATGCGACCCATATACGATGACTCGAATCGACCGAGCTCACGTGCTGCTGTCCGACCGCAGCCGTCGAACAACCGACATGACTCATTCAGCGGCTACTATAGTGCAGACGATATGGTCGAAGAAGCACCAGCTCGGAAACGCGCCAAAACAACGAAGGTCAAGCAAGTCACCAAGGATAGCTTCAACATCGAGCAACAGCCACAAGATCTTCGTGCGATGGCTGGCAAAGCCAGTAGTCTACGCTTGCACCGTCCAACGCCAATACATCCAGCTGGCGTGCCCAACAATGTTCTCATGAGTGAGGAGCCAGTACGACCGCCAACGCCCGTACCTACGAAGCGTCCAAGGGGACGACCAAAGAACTCGGATCGCGGGAAACCCGATCGCGGCAAACCACTGTTTCCAGCTTTGAATCCGGCCGCAGTGATGGCGCGAGAGATTGTGGCTAAACAGCAACATCACCAGGTGCAGCAGCAGATCGTGCGGGCTGAGGCGAATGAATCTCAAATGTCTCCAGAAGATACGCGTGCACGAAGCGTGTCCAGCACGCCCGCCAACATCCCGTCCTCGCCTCCCATAATGCCGACGATGGCCGCACGCACCAGTCCCATGTTGCCACCCATGCGAGAATCCCTCGACTCCGGAATCGGCAGTTCTACTCTCGACGAGGATATCTTTGGTAATAATGGCATGGTGAATTTCGACAACTTCGAATTCAATAAGGATGCGGACATGCCGCTCGATCTGAACTTCGATCAGTTCACCGAAAACCATTTTCCTCCGGTCTTTGACGAGGACACCCCGATGCTAGCAGTACAAAATCCTGACAGCCATGGCAACTTCCACCACGACCAAATAATGCCTACGACGGAACTGCCCGAGGAAGTCATGCCACCCCCACAAGATCTCGCACAGTCACAATCATTGACGCCTGCCGACGCCTCGGTGGAAGCTACTGGTGATACACCGCAGCCTGGGGATGTCCAGGTCCCAGAAGTGGCAAAGCGAGACGAGTCTCAGCCACCGCCAAAGCTCGAGGGCACCCAACAAGCGTACGATGTCGACCATCCCTGCCAGCGATCCCGTAGGCCCGACTTTGACAAGATCGCAGACATGGGCTCCAGGCAGCGATGCGCCGATGTCAGAGGCACCCAGTGGCCAGACTGATGACGGCAAATCTCGATCCAAGAAAAAGGTCGGCAAGGAGCAGACTAAGGCGCGCTTGATGAATGCTATCAATGCTGGAGAAATCCCTCCTTACTGCGATAATTGCGGCGCAATCGAGACACCGGCGTGGAGGCGTGGGTACGCAAAGGTCTTCGATACGCCGTTTGGCTCACTTGATGTGGGCTTAGGTCCTGGCGAGATTGTGTACAAGCATGAGCTCGATCGCAACGAAGACGACACGATAAAGACGTGGAGAGGCTACAAAGTGGACACAAGCGAACAGGACGTCGCCAATGGGTGGGAAACAATCTGCCTGTGCAATCGTAAGTTGACTTGCAGTGTCTCATGGACAAACTAACATGATTTCAGCTTGCGGCTTGTGGTTCCACAAACAGAAGTGCCCTCGACCAAAAGAGAAGTGGGAGAAGCCGACCAAAGGGCGCCGCAGACGCGGTAGAGGACCTCCAAAACCGACCAAGAAGCGTGTCACCATAGCAGATCGAAATGCCCCAACCCCTGCGAGCGACGCGCCTGGTAGTGAGGACTCTTCTCCTGCGGACACAAGCACCGAGGCCCCTGATGGCGACGACGCCTACGAAGAAATGCAGGGCCTAGATGATACTTTGACGGACAGCAACGAACCACAGCTGCCTCCCATGCCACGGCCGACTCGCGCTAGCAGTTTGGGACCTGCCACGAGAACAACGAACAGGGCTGTCCTATCTCAACGACAGATTCAGTCGAGTCCCACCAAGGGTGCCGGCCACACTCCCGAGGAACCTCATACTGACCTCACGCCGAAGCCTGTGCGACGGCAGCTGTTCCCGTCTCCTCAGAAAAGTATCAGTGCGCCTGCCTCTACTCATGGAACTTCTGCGGCATTCAAGACCGGAATTATGGCAGTTAGACGCAGCCCGAGGATCAACAAGACCAAAGACATATTCCAGGTACCCGGTCTCGCAGGTGCGGTTGCACTTACTATTGACGGCAAGGAGAATTTCACGCCCGAGTCGTTCATGGTCGATTCCTTCGGGTCCTTTGATGACTTCTTCGACATGGACATGAGCCAGCCTGTGAACGAGCCATCGGATGCACTGATGCTGCCACCATCTACACCGCATCGCCGGTCCGAACGTCTGCACTCGAAGACGCCGCAGCGGGCCTTCGGTGATCCAGTCTCTCCAAATGCCCAGCGAACTCCACGCAAAACTCCCAAGACGAAGCAAGCGGAAAACGATGTTATCCGCTCGCTCTTTGGCAGCGTGGTCAGTAAGCTAGACAATATGACTCCAATATCACGAAGCTTGCACGACGCCATAAGTGCAGGCAACTGGAACGAAGAAACACTGACACCGAATAAGCTACGGAAGCAACCAATGCGAAGCTCGCCGAACAAGAATGTGACCTTTGACTTCCCAGATCTTCCCTCTTTGCAGGGCTCATCCCCTTCTACGCGCAACGACGACCCGCAATTCAGTGTCAACTTCTCAGAACTGCCGACCGATATCCTACAAACAGACATGACTGCCTTCAGCACAGATGCGCCAATGCCTAGTTCGCCGCCTGCTGGGTTTGATACAATGGACTTCGGGATCCATCACGATTCTGGGCTTGATGACTGGACGCAGTTGCAGGAAGATCATGGTGTGAAGCCAGCATATCCAGATCCGACTGATCTGGGCAGCAACGTTCCCACCACGCCTAGGAGAAGTGGGAGGCACCGAGACTAGAAATCACTCAGCCCTCTCGAGCTGCCCGAGATGATTGGCGGTGATGACGAATGGCTCGAGCGGTCCAGAGCATTTGGAAACAGATACGTGCTAGATGAGTACCACGTCACAGAGAATAGATAAGCAGATAATGAACGTCGTGCCAGATCACGTCTTCCTCTTCATCCTTGGTTCTCGCTTTCTTGATTCACCTCCGGGGTTTGCAAGCGGGTATTTCATCTTCATATGACACGCCTGGGGGGGCGCTAAAGACCTCTTGTCCTTTCGCTGATCAAGTCGCTGAGATGAGATGAGCCTCACCAGAGCGTCAGAACGCTAGTAAGAACGTCTCGAGAAATCCTACCCAGGGAGGGCGCTGTAGAAATTCTTCGCAATACTTGTCCCCTCGGGAGAAGGTTTCATGCTCGTCCTTGACTGTCTATGCCGCGCTCTCTATCATGCTGGTGTCCCACGACAGTTGCCCTTGCGCCAGCCCTATTTAGCGATGGGATCGGAGCGCTGGCCACCTCGCCTACAGGTAGCCTAGACTGTCGAGCCGCCCAAGTCCCTCATTGGAAGTTTACAACGCAGTCTATGAATTCGATGAGGTGATACTGACTCCCTCACACCGGCTTCCTCACTGCCTATGCAAGCACAATCGGGTATCTCAATTGACGAACATGCCACCGTCCTCTTGGCCACTCCCACCCTCATAGAAAATCTCCCGTACCTTGTGCGTCGCATCCACCACCGCCTCAAAGAGCTTGATATCAGGCAGCTCTCCTCTTTCGTTCTTGGGCCATTCGCAGCTACTGAGGACTTTTATGCCGAGGCCAGCGCCGCCGTCGAGGTTGATTACTTTGCCGACGATTTCGTAGAGGTGTGAGGGGGAGAGGTGGGAATCGCTGGGCGAGCGTCAGCATTTTGCGTCGCAGGCGAATAACTGGGGTTATGCTGAAGCTAGGCATATGACATTGGGGAGCTGCGGGCTGACATACCGATTCAGTATGATGGTGACGGCATCGTTGCCGCATGTGAGGGTGGCTTGGTCGCCGGAGACGGTTGTGATAACACCCAACAGGCGGACGGTGGTCTTGTTGGATGGGTTGGCGGAGCCGGGGGCGAAGGCGTGCAGGTGGGAGGGCAGGACGCGAGGAGTTGCGATATCCATATTTGTGTGGTTGGTGTGCTTGAGGTCGATGTCTATCGTGGGCGGCACAAATGCTGTGTGACGTTGTCGTCTTCTCGCGGAGGGGATCGAGTCTGATGGGAATTGTCGGTAATCGATCTGTGGTTCTGTTCCGCTATAGTGGCACGCGCTTTTTTGCCTTTGCGATTTGGAGGACGCGTTGCGGGGAAAATGGCCGCCCACCTCACTTAATTCCGCTATTGCCGATGCAAAGTCATCGAACGACATGTCGATTGCTCGGGCTCGCCTCAGATTATATGCCTGGTCCGGCGACTTGAGTTTACTCTGGGAAGGACTTCTGATACTATTGTTGACTTAGTGATACTGTTCCGGTCCCTATCGACCATTATATAGGCCATGAAACCCGGTACCGCTAACGATTAGATGACGAAGCGAGCCGCAAAGCGCAAGTTGGACAGAACCGACGACCATCCCACGACTCCGAACCGACGCCCTTCCAAGCAACAGCGAACCTCTGCGATCCACGAAGACGACTCGGATGATATCATAAGTCCCAGCAAGAGCCACCGCCGAAAGTCCGCCAACTCGCCAGACCAACCGAGGAAACATAGCAAGCACACTCGCAACGGCCTGAACTTCAATACAGCTTACGACAGAATGTACACCTTCACATCCACCCGGCCCAAGCCCAACGGCGTGATAGATCTGACCAAAAGCCCATCAGAGAAGCGCAAACTTTCCCTGTCTGCACAGAAGCCCAATGGCTTCCATAACCACACCGGTCCGAAGAAGCTGATCGTCAAGAATCTCCAGAGCAAGCCCCGCATCAACGCACAGGAATACCTTGACAGGATATGGCAGCAAGAGGACGTCTCCCTCGATGCCATCTTCCGCAATGAGAAGGAGCCATACTCACTTGAAGAGCTGTATCGAGCAGCCGAAAATGTCTGTCGGCAGGACAAGGCCGCGGATCTGTACAAGCGCGTCAAGGCGAAGTGCTCGGATCATCTGATGAGTAATGTCCGGAGTAGGCTGGCGAGAGCGGCCAAGACTGAAGCAAAGAGTGCGGTGCTCAAGGCGTTTGTGGACGAGTGGCAGATGTGGAAGAAGCAATTGCTTGTTGTGCGCCAGATCTTCTACTACATGGACCAGTCATATTTGCTGCGGTCTGAAGAACCCAGTCTGACGGACACGGGCTATCAACTCTTCCGAGAGGATGTGTTTGAGGACACGTCGATCAGGGAGTCGGTGTTGAGAGGTGCGACGGAGTTGGTGGATGTCGATCGAGATCAGCAGAGTGCTGGGAAGAATAATGAGCTGCTACAGGATGCCATTGAGCTGTTTCATGAGCTAGGAGTGTACTCCTCGGACTTTGAGCCGGGCTTTCTGGAGACTTCAGAACAATACTATCGAAATTGGAGAGGGACTCAGCCTGGGAATGAGGAACTGCGCCGCTATGCTACGAATTGTACGATCCTGCAGGCAGTGGAGATGAAGCGCTGTGACGTCCTCAACTTCGATCGGAGTACCAAGACAGGTCTTTCCGAATTGTTCGACAAGATATTTGTGGAGGAACAAGTCAATCTGCTCACGAACGAAGACTTCGTCATGGACATGCTGGAAGGTGACATGACTGAGGAGCTCGAGCAGACGTACAGCCTACTGGAGCGGAAAGGCATGGGCGATCTGATGGCACCACTTTTCAGCAAATACGTCGAAACTGAAGGATCTCTGATTGTCTTCGACGAGAAGAATGAGGCCGACATGGTCATAAACTTGCTGAACTTCAAGCGACGACTCGACACGTTCCTCGAAGCCTCCTTCCACAAGAGCGACACGATCGGAAACGCCTTGCACAAATCCTTCGAAACGTTCATGAACAAGACAAAGAAGTCGCAAGCAAATTGGGACACCGACAACGCAAAGCCCGGCGAGATGATTGCCAAACACATTGATCTGTTGCTGAAAGGCGGCGCCAAGGCCATTCCTAAGCTGGTCGCTCAAGAAAAGGATGGGTCAAAGGGAGACGAAGAGCAAGACTTCGACAACGAAGAAGACGGCGACCAAGAACTCAAGGCCATCAACCACCACCTCTCTAACGCCCTCGACCTCTTCCGCTTCGTCCACGGCAAAGCCGTCTTCGAGGCCTTCTACAAGAAAGACCTCGCCCGCCGCCTCCTCATGGGCCGCAGCGCGTCTTTCGACGCAGAGCGCAACATGCTAACCCGCCTCAAGAACGAATGCGGGCAGTCATTCACCCACAACCTCGAGTCCATGTTCAAGGACATGGACCTAGCCCGCGAGGAAATGATGTCCTACCGCCAACTCCAGGCCGACCGTGGCGAGCAACTCACCGGCCCAGACCTCTCCGTCAACGTCCTATCAGCCGCCGCCTGGCCCACCTACCCGGACGTCCCCGTCAACGTCCCCACCAGCATCGCATACGTCCAGAGCAAATTCGATGGGCACTACACGGCCAAGCACTCCGGCCGCAAACTCACCTTCAAGCACGCCCTCGCACACTGCCAGCTGCGCGCCAACTTCCCCAAGGGCCGCAAAGAGCTAGTCGTCTCCGGATTCCAAGCCATCGTCCTGCTCCTCTTCAACGATGTCGCTTCGACCGCCCACCTGTCCTACGACGACCTCTCCAAAGCCACTGGCCTCTCCGACGCCGAGCTCAAACGCACCCTGCAATCCCTCGCGTGCGCCAAGTACCGTGTCCTGACCAAACACCCGAAAGGCCGTGACGTCAACACCACCGACACATTCTCCTTCTCCACGGGTTTCCAGGACCCGAAGATGCGCATCAAGATCAACCAAATCCAGCTGAAGGAAACCAAGGAGGAGAACAAGGAGACGCATGAGCGGGTCGCAGCGGATCGGCATTATGAGACGCAGGCGGCGATTGTGCGCATTATGAAGAGTCGGAAAAGTATTGGGCACAATGAGCTGATTGTGGAGGTTATCAAGGCGACGCGGAGTCGTGGGGTCCTGGAGCAGGGGGATATCAGGCGGAATATTGAGAAGTGAGTCCATACTTTCCTCTCCTTCCCTGCTATGTGACTGTTGGATATGGATTGCTAACGCGGGTCATCTAGGTTGATTGAGAAGGAGTACATGGAGCGAGAGGATGGGAATCGGTATAGCTACGTGGCTTGAGGCTTTGATTGGCGGTGGCTCAATTTACGAAGGAGGTCGATCGGTGCTGGACATCTACAGCATGGAGGCCTCCTTGACCAACCTCAGTGGTCAGCAACAGATTCGGAGACTGCATTCGCTGTCACGCAGGCGGCTTGTTGTAAGGAGAATATAGAGCTCATAGACGAAGCCGGAGACAGCGATCTCAGCAAATATATTCGCCTGCGTGTTTTGTGCTGCAGATTGCGCGAGGCAACTTCCTCAGCGTGGTAGGAATGCACTACACCTATGCTGCCTTTCTCTTATGGCATCTGCGATGGCTGGCTATATTATTCTGGATTTGCTGCTTGCTTGCGGGTAATCTAACCCCTGTCAACCGGCAACGGACGAATCGGAGCGATATCTGGTCATCCGGTCTCGTGTGAGGCTTCCCGTCAACCGGCGTCTACGCTGGTGCTTCACAGTCCGCTCAAGTGACTACAGCATTGCCGATATCGTGAATGATCCTGGATCGTACAAGACACAGTGAACGCTCACAAGCCGAGTCAGTGAAGTAATCCCTTCGCTTCGCCTCGGATCTTCACCGTGTTGCTGTGGTATAAGTAGTCGCGTTGCCCGCGCCCTCGTTGTCTTATTCTCTTTCTTTCAAGATCAGTCGTCCGCGGACACATCGCCGTTGTCATGCTTCGCTAGCATCCGCTGCTACTTGGTGGGGCGAGCAATCTATTTTGTTTGAACGATCATAATGTTTCTGCCTGCTTTTCGCTCACGAAGGCCGCCTCAGCGCCGAGGCAGGGACAAATCGATCGATGTGAGGCAAGTCACAAGCATCGAGAAAACCTGGGATGGGAGAGCAGGAGCCGAACCAGGAATGTAGAACACAAGCTACAGTCAGGACGGCTTCCAGAACCATTTTGGTTCGCGTGAACGACCGGCATTTTGATTTTGCAACAACTATACAGATCGTGGTTCGGCTTCTGTACACGTTTACATGCCCGGGCGGACTCTTTAGCTGACAAATTCTATCAGCCTCAATTCATGCTACAACCAGGACTCCCGCCAAAATACAGAGCAGCATGACGTAGACATCTTCAGGCTTAATCCAGGGCTCTCGCAGTCTTTCGATTTCAACACGTGCTGCCTCTAAGAAAAGTCTGCTCTGTAGATCTGTCCACAGCCGGGCGGGCCCTGGTTGAGGGACAGGGTCAGTGGTCTCATCCTGCGAGTCGTCTGTCGAATACTAGTAACGTGGCTCGCCCGACGGGCCGCCACCACCGGTGTTGGAGCGCTTCTCGTCGTAGCGCGGGTCGCTGCCGTAGCGGGAGTCGCCGTAGTGCTGTTTGACGTATTAGTACATGTTGCGCAATGGTGGAGACAGAGGGGGTTTATACCTTCTTCCTAAGCGCAGCAAGACGCTTCTTCTTGGTGTGCGTGTTGATGTAGGTCCCAATCACGAAGCCAACAATGTTGAAGAACGGCACCCATGTCTGCTCCGGGAGAAATTTCTGTGCAAATGCGAGCGTGATCGGGCTGGCAATCCACGAGACCTTCATGACAGGCATGAAGCCAGCGCGAACCGTAGCGCGGATCTGGTGCCAAGTGCGGGCGCCGGCGATGACAGCCATTGAGGCGAGGTATACACTGTTCTGAATCGGGGCAATGACCAAGTTCGAGACCAAAATCTGGAGAATTTTCGCCTTGAGCGATGTGCGGTTCGCGAAGACGCGTTGCAGAAGCCCGACGAGCAGGTGACCCATAGGGGCGCCGATGAATGCGCCGTATGCGGCCATCTTGGGGACGCGGCTGCTGACATAGTGGCCGTGCTTTGAGCGGTCGTGGGCAAGCCAGCTGGCGAGGACTTCTTGTAGCGCGGCGAGCGAACCAGATGTCAGCATCTTGGTGCGCAGAGGATTCGATTGTAGTTGTTTGAGATAGGCGGCGAGATAGCCTTTGGAGGTGTTGCCGCCGGTGAGGGCTTCGCCGATGCGGTGTGCTGTTGACTCATCGCGACCAACGGCTGGCGCTGTCGCGCGAACGGTCTCTTGTTGGAACTTGACGGACATCGTGGCTCAATCTGACGCGCAGCGGATATGGAATCTGGTGGGATGAGGAACGAGAGTGCCTGTTGCGCGGCAATGGGCGCAAAGGTGTCTGGCAGAGCGTCAGATCAGTGAATGGAAGAAGCTGACGGCAAGCGAGCAGCGCTGCACTTGTGTTGATAATGCGAGGGTACCGAGGTAGCAGTGGATTACTCTCGTCTTGCGGGGAGATAAGGTGGAGCTTGGACGTTGCTGCACGTACCTCTGCGCGTGGAATGAGTGTCGGAGTGTGGAGGGCGCAAGATGACCGACCACGCGTGTATAAGTCGTTTCTGATCAATGACAAAGTCCTGCTGTCGAGTCCAATGTGGTTGTGGACTCCTCAGGCCGATGCGCGCTGGTACTAGGAGGACGCCTATTCGGAGTTAGCCGGCGCGTTGCTAGGCCAATTCAGCCAACAACCTCGAAGTAAGCACTGCATTTGGCTGCGGTGGTTCAGGACGGCCAGAGGTGCACCTGCTATGATTTTCAGCCTTGCCCCTGATGTCTCCCTCTCCCTCTCCTTCTCCTGCCATTTCTCATCACATATCGCACATGCAATGCACACATTGTCTCGTACGATCAAGACGCGAACTCGTGGTCCACCACAGGTGCCCACAAAAGTGCTCCTTTGCTGACCTGAATCCCGTGACAGTGAGATCGTCGCAATTGTACTTTTGGTTACGACGCTAATCCGAACTTACACAACTCGAAATGTGTGGTCTGCACTGCTTCCTGGTAGACCGGGTTGGAGTCGCATCACATTAGTGCAGAACTTTCCGAGGTTGTGCTGCATTCGTTGTAATTTCAGGGCTTGATAATGAACCATGTGAACACAAAGTCAACGGGAAGGGGCAGTACGATGGGAGTGTAGAACGAAATTACAGGGTGGCAGTACAGGGACAGGAGTCGAGCATCGTACCAAGGCCTCTATTGCAGACGAAGATTGGGTTGCGGCGGGGCGAGTCCAACCAGGACAGGGTATAAAGTCCATACTGACAAGCACGCGACTTTGACAAGAGCCAGGTAGATGAAGCGAGGCCTGGAGTCAGTAAGTGCCAAAGAGACAGTGAGGTAAGTTGAAGGCAAGAGCCATCGATGCAATGCACGTGACTGCTTTCTTTGGCAACTGCGACTACATGCTCAATCCTTTTCCCAATCGACCTGTCGTGTGCACCCTCGAATTTCCTCCTTAGAGTCGTCTGCAGCTCGTCTTCCCAATGGCGTCTGACGTCGCGGCATCTCATGCTGAACTGCAGCTTCGAAGGTTGGAGAACAGATACTCGAGACTCAACACATCCAAAGTCAACGAATGCACACATTACCGGTTTACTCGACTGTGGGATCTTGACTCTGTTCACCGTTGCTCCAAGTGTCACCGACAAACGACAAACTTCGGATGGATCTGGCCATGCACTGTCGATACACACGGCTTCATACCAGCGTCTGATCCTTTCGCCTCCTTCGGCTGGGGTAGTATCGATCCATCAACGGCATCCTCATCAACTCGACCAACGACTGCATCGACCACGTTCGGCCGCGATGCCACATTGCCGACAAGCTACACTATGTCACTTCGCAGCGTGACAGACCCCGAGCTGGCATATGACTACGCGGATCAAACCGTCCCGTGGCATATGTCTAGACTTTTGAGTGGTTGTAAACACATGTTGTGCCCACCTTGCGGTCGGTTTGCGAAAACTCAGGATCCACTGATTGATGAGGTGATGTACGGTGCATCTCCATCAAATGAAGAGCTTATGGTAATAAACGCCTCTCCTATCGTTTTCTGAAGTCGTCTAATGCGTTCCGCCAGAATCGTCGAATCTCAGATGCTCGACTGGTAGCCATGTTTCCAACCGCCGCTGAACGTGATGCAATGCATCCCGACAATCCTCCCAACTTGGCACAAAGCGAGAGATATGGTGCAAAGCCATGGCCATATATCGGAGAGCCAATCCCACCGCCATTCGCTGCCTACGGATTCATACCTTCAAGAAACCAACCATTTCCGCCAAGTCCTGTCGCTACGCCACTCGCCCTATACGAGGACTTCAACTCGTGCACGGTCATATCGGAGGCTTCTGGCTCCATCTTTGAGGATGGAGCAAGTGAGGTTCTCCAATCGATCACCGAGGACGAAGAGAACAACAGTCAGGGCACGCCCGAGGCTGCCAATACTAGCAAGGCCGCATCGATGTCCTCAACTGATAGCGAGCGCACACTCGAGGATGTTGATCCAGATACGGTAGCCATCGATTTCGTCAACGTCAGCCAGGGTTCTACTGAGAATACGAATCAGGTCACAGCAGCCTCAACTTCTTTGGATGTCAGCCCGGCTGCTCTGATCGATACCGTCAATGGTCTCTCGCACACCGACAACAAGCGTACCGGATTTCGTTCAAGGTTCCACAAGATCTTCGATGGCAAGAAATCAAAGCTGATGGCAAAGAACGTACACAAGAAACCAGACAGCACCCTCGCCGGCTCAAACCTACCCATCCATGGCACTATTGTCGGTAATGCCTCGCTCGATAACTCAGTCACCCAGATGATCGCGTCGAACACGCCGCTACCTCAGAGTCATCTCAGAACACCTACTTTCCCGCAAGGCCAGCTTCCTGCTCCGCCTGCCGTCAGGGACACGTCCTACAGTTCACTGGGTGCTGCTGTTCAGGCTGCTGGGGATCGTCGGAGTAGGGACTTCTCCTGAATTGCGAAGTGCGAGGAGGCTGGGGAGGACTTTGTGCGTGAATTGTTGGTATCAGATTGCCGTTCAGATGAGACATCAATATGAGATTTGGGACGGTAATCAGCAAGTCATCTCAACAGCGCAGGGGTCCTTCATCGAGAGATCTCTGTACGAGAGATGACATGTTTTGCAAGCTCGAGACTCTAAAGCCTAGGCCGTCGCTCCATGTGATAGTAGATAGCTTCAGAGTCAATGATATCGAGGCCAGACAACGCGGTGCAACCCCCTTTCCAGGCCCTGCCATCGCCGTCCCAATGCACACATCGGAGTCGAGAGTATAGGAAGTCGTATGGTTCCCTGGAGCACTGTTCATACATGACGCACACAACTCGTCAGAGTGAATAACCTTGGTAGTCCACTCCCCTGGCTATCACGAGCGGACAAATAACGTGTCCTCCTCGTGCTACTGAGGGTTCGAATGCCAACAAGTGTCGGCGACCATGTCACGCTATTCTACATGGCCGTCACTGTCATCCTTGTCCGCGCCGAAACTGCCGACCTTCAAGCTTTTGTCTTGTGATACCATGACGGCCAGGATCTCTTGGACTTCTTTGGGAACAGTGTTTTCGTAAATACCAATCAGAGATGTTGGCTCCGGGTAGACTTTGAGTCCTTTGTAGAAGCAGAGTGCTGCTGCTATTGGGTCGGAGCCTGTTTTGTCGTATGCGTTAGCTCTCTAATCGCTCCCATGCCATGTATGTTGTTATGTGAGCGGTGTGCGAGGACTTACCCTCGCCAGCCAATTGCTCGCCCTGCGCGATCTGCTGCATAAAGTATGCCTCCCGCTCCTCGAGGTCGGTGGGAAAGCCCTCCTCTACTGCTTCCCGGACTAGGGATCGGATTTCTTCTTTTTGTTTTTGGCCTTGTTGGAGAGATTCTTCTTTTTGGAGGCGCGCTTGTCTTCGCGACTCGCGTTTGAGGTTTTTACGGAAGGAGGCGTCGTTGTGGCGGCGGTAGTCGAAGTAGATGGCGTATGCTGGGATGGGGTTAGATGTAATGGAAATGGTGTGGTGTGTGGTAGGGCCCTGCGCTGCGAGAGAGACGTATACACACGAGAGAAAGGCAGGTAATCATGTGGAGGATATGAGAGCTTACTCACCTAGTAGACCAGTGACGACGGTGCCGATCGATATCGTGACTATCGTCGATGTGTTCATACTCGAGGCCATGGTCGCAAGCTCGGAAAGACCGAAGGAAAAGGTAGACGGGGGTTGGAAGAAGCTGAGAACCCGACACTAAGATTTACAGACAAAGTACAAGGCCTGAAAGGAGAACGAGAAAGGTTCGTCGTAGTGAAAGGTCGTGTGTGATTGACGGAGTGCATGCATGACCTCGATCTGTCAAACTGGAAATTTGTATGGAGCCTTGCGAGGCTGAACTTTCCGCCGCGGAGCTCCTGGTCCGACACCGACTACATCCCATCACTTGTTCACTGCCTCGATCTCCTCCTCTGCTCCTCTCCAAAGGTCACAGGGACTACCCGCGAGCTTCTCTCACCGCGATCATGAGCGAAGGTCGCTCCCTGACCCTGCGCAAAAAGCGCAAAGACCGCCCCAAGATCAGCGGTCCCCAAACCATCTCCGCTCCCCGTCCGCTGATCCCAGGGCAACCCACGTCCAACGCGCAAGCATCCTCACAGAGCAGCAACAAGAGACCGGACAACAACCTCTCCATCCCCAAGACCGAGCGCACCAACACCGAGACATCTGACCTGATCAAGCGTCGCTACTCGACCCGCTACAACCAATTGCCTAACTTCGGTGGAGGCGATGCACCGGCTGTACCTGCGCTGCCGTCAGCGTTGAAGCGTCGGTCGGGTGGTGCTACGTCGCCGAAACGGCCTGCCACTCGAGAGGGTGGTGCACCCTTCAAAGTCGACGAGGATGTCCTCAGCGACCCGAATCTTGCAGCTGACCGCTACGTGACGAGCCTACTGAGTAACGCATCGGAGACGGACATCGCCGACTACCAGAACACATTGCGGCGGATCAAGAATCGGAACTCTACGAATCTGCAGCAGAGCGTGTATCAAAACCGCACGCAGTTCATCAAGATCAGTAAGGAGGCGGAGAAGTTGAAGAGCGAGATGCAGATTCTGAGGGGCCTGATGGGGGATCTGACCGGGGCGTTGAGCTTGACTACGAGCTCGTCGGCTGCGACGAATGGCGGTGGGGCTGCGTTGAGTCCAGAGCTGTCTGGCTCCTTCAAGCGACGGAATGCGAACCGCTCTAGTGTGGCTAATCTGGAAAGCATGTGGAATGTGCAACTCCAAGCGCTGTGGAAAAATGTCGAGAAGTCTCAGAAATTCCTGCCCGCTATCCCCGGCCGGCATATTATCATGGAGAACGGCGCCTGGGTGGAACTCGACAGCGCGACCTGGAAGCCTCGTCGGCCGGTGCATCTGTTTCTCTTGAACGACCACCTGCTAGTGGCGTCTAAGAAGCGCAAGCGCATGGATCCCAATGTGCCCAATCAAGGCCCCGCGCCGACGAAACTGGTCGCGGAGGAGTGCTGGAGCTTGCAGGATATCGACATGGTGGACATGTCGACCACGCCTGGCGTGGTGTCGAATACCGCAGAGGAGAGGGCCATCGCGACCGCGGTGACCATCCGTGCGGCGGGGAGGTCGTTGACGTATAGGTCGGAGAAGAGGGATGAGGCCGCGAAGACGCAGCTGTTGCAGACTTTCCGTAAGGCGGTAGAGGATCTGCGGAAGATGAACAAGGTGGAGATCAGCAAGAGCAGTCCGACTATGGACAGCTTCAACTATTTTGCTTCTCGCGACGGTGGGGCAGGCTTGTCCCGGAGCGGCAGCGTGCTCTCGTCGTTGAGCACTTCGAGGGGCGAGAAGCCGGATATCCTGATCGAGGTGGATGGTAAGCAGCAGAATTTCAGGTGGGTCGAGTCACAGATTGATGAGTTGGATATCGACATTGCGCTGCAGCGCTTCGAGGAAGCGGTCGAGAAAGTCGAAAAATTGCGCAAGATGACCAAGACGTCGCTAAAGTCGAACACGATCGCCCAAGAGCTCATACAGTCAAAGGTAGACGACCGCGCCGCCAAGCTCGCAAACCTGCTTTGCAGGGAACTCACGGACAAGCCATCGTACATGGCTACCACGAAAGGCCTCGTCGCATACCTCGTCCGCCTAGGCGCTGAGGACCAGGCGCGAGAAGCATACCTCAGCGCTCGCAGCGAGGCTCTGAGGAAACGCTCCCGACAATGTGTCTTCGAAGGCGATCTGCACGCCTACGTCTTCAGCATCTCGTACGTGTACTTCACGATGGTGAAGAATACGATCCTTATCTATCAAGCCAGCTTTTCTGCGGCGACGATGTCGGCTGTGATCAAGTGGGCGAATGAGCACCTGGAGGGCTTCAGTCAGATCTTGCAGCGGCAGATGAGTAGTGTGGATAAGGAGGGCAGAGTGTGGAGGGAGTGCATGGATGTCGTGTGGGAGCACGAGGCGAGTCAATTGGGCGAGAATGGGCTGGATTTTAGGGCGGTGATTGGGAAGGGTTTGGAGGTCAGGGAGGTCAAGGTGCCTAGCGTGCCGAAGGTGCCCGGTGGCTCGAGTGCAGCTGGGTCGCCCGCGGGTCAGAGGGGTAGGAGTGGTAGCGAGCGGAGCGATAGGAGTGGTGGCAGGTCGAAGTCGAGGGGTCCGCGACAGTAGGGCCGTCGTAGTCTTCAGGACGGGTTGGGCACATATCAGCAGGTGACTCTGCTGAGTCTGTGGGAAGCGCAGCGTGGACGTCAGTTGGGTAGGCCTTGTGAAGACAAGTTGGCAGAGGAGAAACGTGATGCTGGAAAGGTTGAGTGAATTATCAAGAGACTCGGGCTATGTGCCTCCGATTCTTGCTCCGTGTTATCCGCGTACAATTGAATCGCAATTGTCCGTGGACTTAACTTGCTCAACGTACATGTAAGACTTGACTTGCTCAGCGTACATGTAAGAATTGACTTGGTCAGTGTCAGTGTGTTGACTTAAGCTTGCTCAGCGTGAATGCGTGACTTGACCTGCCTGGAATAAATATGTGGTTTGGACTTGCCCAGCGTGGATGTGTCGCTGGGGACTTTCAGGACTTTGGTATTTAGAGTTTCAGAACTAGGGTGGTGGTTGCCTTGTCGGACAGCGCACCTTGACAGCGACAGCCAGTTGCACTTGCCTTCAATGCGCCAGAAATGGTGCTCTTGCCCTTACTCTCTGACATGCACCTCCTCTCGAGATGCTCATTCTTTCTGATCGCTGCTAAGTATCGTCAGCCACCATGACAACGCCTATGCCGGGGCGAAGAACCACGCTGCGTCGACATATCCATTCTGATTCCTATCAGTGACGACTGCTGCCGGACAGCCTTGAATTTTGTTGTCGCAACAAAGATGCCGAACTCCGAATCTCGGACAGACACTCAGTTCGCAACAACCGCCTCGGGCGACGATGGTCTTTATCATAACCACAGCTTCTCTGACAACGAAGGCTCCGCTGTCGAGGGTAAATCTTCTCACGACGATGAAATGTATAGCGAGGTGTCCACTGACAGTGAAGAGTCATCTTCAATGACTATCACCGTCAATGGATTCCGCTGGTGTCACTGCCAGATTGCTGGCTATGATGTAGATCATTTAGCACTCCAGCAGACCGAAACCTCCTTGCACTCAGCACATGCTGCCGCTCTGTCCTATGCCATTGGTGACTTCGGTAGGACTCTCCATGTGCTCGGCCACGTCCACCACGATGCTCCTCGGCCGTTCAGGCTGACATTCGGAGCGGAATGGGACATTGAGGACACGAAGGCGGCACTAGTCCATCTGACCAATGTTAATGGTGGCATATGGCTCGACCAGCTGTCCATCACTCAGGAGCCAGCAGAAATCGCTCTCTTCTTACCACGACTACCACAGATCTACAGTATCCTAGAGGTTGTGGTATTACTGCCCAATGCTCCCTGTTCCTGTTTGCAGTCGGCAGTGGACAGCTATCTCAACGGGAGCGACGATTTTAGGGATGGTGACGGCAATTTCCACACGGTCCGTGTCATGGATAGTTGCTACAACGCACTTCCGATTTCGTCCTACCATTCACGCTTCTGGACAATGGTCGAGTTCAAATATGCCAGATCGATCAGAGCCTACTTTGTGAGCGTTGCTGGACCATGTGGAGCTAAGACGTCCAGGTACATCCAACACAAGTTGTGCGAAATCCGAAGTTTAGGTGACGAACACGAATTGGTCGACATCTCCGATGAGAAATGGCTTGAATGGCATCTTGATTCTTCACTCGCGTCCTTTGAAGGGGGTGTTGCGATGTGCATTGGATCTGGGTCAATAGCTCTTCTGCGAACAGCACAGTTCTTCCTTGGGACGCCGTTGCATCGCAAATACAGACTAAAAGTTCTGGGGCCACCTTTGTACAGCACAAACCATCGTGCAACAGTGGTGTCAGACATGGTCAGCGTTGTGTTTGCCTCAGATCGCCGCTACAAGCCCCCTGCTGACTCCTCCCATCTCAACCTCTCGGCGCTGCTAGAGGATGGCCTGCGCCAGAGAGAGCGGAATTACTGTCTTCAGTATTTGACGACTATTCCACAGGGACTGTTGGTGCCCGTCAACGAGATGAACACGCGAAATACAACACTGTGCCGGCCGACAATGTACATCAACATCGTCAAGGTCTCGACTGCAATTGATTTATACGGTACGCTACTTGCAAACCAACCATTGCAAGCAGGTGGCTACATTCTTATGAAGTCACGGCGCGCCGACCACGGCCTCAACACGCGTATGCACAATATAGCCCCATTTCATCGATTTTTGGCGGAACGCAGCATTTTCGGCGTTGTCGAAGCTTTCGCGACTATGCAGGCGAGACATTCTTATCTTGATCTCTTTAGTTTGAGGGCGAAGTACAAGAATCGGCCCCTGGGTCTCCTTGATGACTGGGCACGAAAAGTTGCACGTGGCGATCTGGAAGACCCTGCTGGCAAGTGGCCAACCCTTGACCACCAGCGGGCCGTTTTCGTGGAAGTATGCAGATACTTCTATATGAAGAATGAGCACACGCCTTATGCCTCCACGGAGGGCTTCAGCAGCATCGATGTCCATGAGGTATGCTTCGATATTACGTGCGACGCTTTGGGCATAGACCGAGATGTTGCTCACAAGTATGAATTTGGCCTCGTCGTTCACTCTGGTCCGGCTGTCGTTCTGGGATTCTTCAACGCGGAGGCGTGCGCGGCTCTGTGTGATGCCGATGAAACTATGTCTGGGGCTGTCGAGGGACCGCGAAGCTCACATAGCCGGCTCCGTAACAGAGACCATATGACAGTTTCTGTACTCGACCACGCCTCCGAGCACGGAAACATAACTTACGAGACCCAGCAGCTAGGCAACGTAGCCTTGGAGACTGGCCGCGAGGTCCCAGCGTATGGGGTCATTGGTGTGTGGGCTATGGGCTTGATCGATGATCCTGCAATCGGCGCCGACCTCACTGATATTATCGCAGAGTGTGATGCTGTGCTGGTTTGACCATAGCATCGAGTGACCAGAGCCCTCCGGAATGACCAGCCCGTTACTCTCAAGCTGTGACACCAAGCACAGCACTGAGCCTCTTCTCCAAGTCGCCCACCTCCTATCCCCGAGCCAGAAATACTGCTCTTTATGCATTTTCTCGGCCAGGGAAGCCTTTGAGGCCGTGGCACTGTTATACTGATCAAGTCAGTGGGATTGAGATGAGCCTCACTCAAGCATTACTGCGGAATGTAGAAGTCAAGTTATGTGTTCACGCTGAGCCAGTCAATTTCCGTGTTTATGCTGAGCAAGTCAACTTCTGTGTTCACGCTGAGCAAGTCAAGTCATGTATGCATGCTAAGCAAGTCAAGTCGCTCATTCATGCTAAGCAAGTCAAGAGGACTGGTCGAAATTCGGAGTCCGACGAGTGTCTAATGCTTTTGTGTCGCTGTGTGGGCTGCCACCAGTCTGCTATTATGGATCTCCGGCACAAAATTAGGATCTGGTCTGTGTCGAACGCTGAAGCAATGCAAAATCACCAGTTTCCGCGACCCCTTCTTCCTCTCCCTCTGCCACCGCCGCCTCCACCGCCGCCTCCTCCACCACCAAACCCACCGCCCTGATCAAAACCACCTACACCGAAGCCTCCAGCCGGCCCCTGCGGCACACCCTGCCCACCACC